CGACAGCCGGAGTCATTTCGACAGCACGTGGTGTTTTACCCTGCGGTTGTCCGGATGGACGGTTGTCTTCACCCGTACGCTCTGGTACAACTGTCAGCGAGCCTACAGTTGTTTCTTGACCCACTGGATTGGCTGCAACTACCGCATACTGACCAGCATCTTCTGGTCGGACCTCGTCAATTTGAAGAACGACTTGTTTCGTAGGAACATCATATTGTGTACGATAACGAGGTGTTGCTTGCAGCGGCTTGTTATCTTTGAACCAAGTGAACTAAATATTCATGATTATTAAATACACGATATTGCTATGTGGAAAAGTTTTTACCGTGGGCGCTGGTTTTCCTGCTATCGTGGCACGCAAAAGAACTGGTGAGCCTTTCGGTGCTTGGATATTCTCCAATGGTTTGACTATCTTCGGTGGTTGCGGCTGCGGCAGATCCTGCTGCGTAGGCTGTGGCGCTGTCACTTGTAACGGTTTAGGTTGCTGGAAGTCTTGAATATCGGCATTGGTTAGTGGTCGAACAGTGAGCCTTCCGGTTGTTTCATCAGCACCATTGGGGTTAGTGGCGCGAAGTGTGTATGTACCTTGATCTTCAGGTCTTGTGTCAAGGATTTCCAGAGAGACAGTCTTGGGCACGACATCATATTTGGTGATGAATCGATCACCAGCAACAAGTGGCTGACCGTTTTTTAACCAAGTAAACTAGAAGAAAAGATGAATGTAATCAGAAATGGTGATTTTCTCGAGAAATAATTCAGCAATGCTCTACTTTGGCGTTCGGAGAACCTGCATCAATCGTGGTTGAGAAGATCGTGGGCATTGTCTCTCTTGTTTCGTTGTCTTTCAATGGTACTAACACACGTGGTGCTAAAGGTGCTGTCTCGGTTGGTTGAAAGTCAACACCAGGTGCTGCTTCTACAGGTCGTGGCGTTTTGCCTTGTGGTTGTCCGGATGGACGCTTCTCTTCACCTGTCCGTTCTGGTACAACTGTCAGCGAGCCTACAGTTGTTTCTTGACCGATTGGGTTGGCTGCAACTACCGCATACTGACCAGCATCTTCTGGTCGAACCTCGTCAATTTGAAGAACGACTTGTTTCGTAGGAACATCATATTGTGTACGATAACGAGGCGATGCTTGCAGTGGTTTGTTATCTTTGAACCAAGTGAACTAAATATTCATGATTATTAAATACATGATATTGCTATGTGGAAAAGTTCTTACCGTGGGCGTTGGTTTTCCAGCAATGGTCGCACGCAAAAGAACTGGTGAGCCTTTCGGTGCTTGGATATTCTCCAATGGTTTGAGTATCTTCGGTGGTTGGGGCTGCTGCATATCCTGTTGCGTAGGCTGTGGTGCTGTCACTTGTAACGGCTTGGGTTGCGCGAATGACTGTGCATCCGTGTTTGTCAATGGCTTCACGGTAAGCTTAGCAGTAGTTTCATCGGTACCAGTCGGGTTAGTAGCCCGGACAGTGTACGTTCCTTGATCTTCAGGTTGGACATTAAGAATTTCCAAAGTGAGTGTCTTGGGTACGACATCATACTTGGAGATGAATCGATCGCCAGCAACAAGTGGCTGACCGTTCTTGAACCAAGTGAACTATAGAAGATAGAATAAGGAATGATACATATTGTATTGGAAGAGAGAAATAATGATGAAGCTCACTTTAGACATGGGTGAACCTGCTTCAATGGTGGTTGAGAAGATGATGGGCATTGTTTCTTTTGCATCACTATCCTTTAATGGCACCATTACGCGTGGTGCTCGTTTCTCTTGAGGGAGCAGGTCTTGCTCCGTTGTATCCATTGGTGACACACTTGATGGGATATCAATACCAGAGATAATCTCGAGCGGTCGCTTTTTATCCGCTTGTGGCTGTTCAAGGTTGCGAAATTTGTCTGCGGGAACGAATGGACGTTCATCAACACCTGGTTTATCTGGTACGACATCCAGAGTACCAACTGTGGTTTGTTCACCAGCTGGATTCGATGCCACAACGGTGTACTGGCCCGCATCTTGAGGACGAACATCGTTAATTTGCAGAAGTACTTGTTTGGTACCAATATCATAGCGTGTGCGAAGACGATTCGATGCTTGCAATGGTTTGCCATCTTTCAACCATGTGAACTAAGATAAGAGACAAAACAAATTGAAAACGACTCAATGATAAATACGCCGCTTCACTCACATTTGGTGTTGGCGTGCCAACAATCGACGCTTGAAGAAGTACAGGTGATCCTTCATTCGCTTTAGTCGGTTGTAAAGGAGAGAGTACTTTGGGTGCTTCCGGTTTCTGCATCTCCTGTTTGGTTGGTTGAGGAGCTTTGACTTCCAATGGCGCGAAACGTTCGGGTTGGACAAAAGGACTGTTGTCGACACCAGATTGAGTAGGAACATTTGGACCAAATGGTTGATCAAAAGCGGCAAATTTCTCCGGTGGAACAAAAGCTGAAAGAAAGAAAAATTACAGAAGTTAAAAGACTATCTTCAATAGGCCAAGAACATACCATTCGTATCAACACCAGGGCCTGGTAAGACATTGACTGTTGTCTGTGTCTCATCATGACCAAGTGGATTTTCTGCTTTGAGAACATATGAGCCAGTATCGTCTGGGCGAGCGGCATTAATTTGTAGGAGAAGTGTTTTCGTAGGTAAATCATAATGTGACCAAACTCGATTCGATTCTGGAAGTGGTTGACCATTTTTCAACCATACGAACTAACGGAAAATGCTTTAGTAGAATCAATTAGTTGAAGTTTTCACTTACATGCGGCTGTGGAACGCCTTCAACTTTAGCGGTAAAGTTAATCGGTTGCCCTTCATTACACTCGATTGGTTGTAATGGAGCGAGAATCTTCGGTGCTACAAGTGGCTGTTTCTTCTCGGGTGTTTCATTCGGTTTTTGTTTCGCTTGATCCAAAGCTCGTAAGACATCTGGACTCAGATAACTATTTGTATCTACGCCTGATTCATCCACAACAGGACGCAATGGTACCACCGTTTCCAGTGTTCGAAATGCGTCAGGGGCAACAAATGCTGTTCGATCGATTGATGTCGTATCGCCACGTACTGTCAACGGGGCAGATGTTTCAACACGCTCTCCTGTCTTTGGATTCTCAGCAATCACAGTGTAATTACCTGAATGAAAAGAAAAACACAATATATATGTTTCACTTTCTTGCTTAAAATAATACCAGCATCATGGGGCCATATATCACTGATTTCCAAAACAAGTGTTTCCGATGGAAAATCGTAGTAGGTTTGTAGACGATTTGATTCCAATACTGGTTGATTATTACGAAGCCATGTAAACTAAAAGGGGAACGTTTTCTACACAAGTTTCCTTTTATTTCTCTTCTTTACCTGTGGTGTTGGCCTTCCACGTATTTTCGCCGTCAGTATAACAGGCTGTCCTTCTTGCGCAATAGCTGGCTTCAATGGAACGAGAACTTCCACGGGCACACTTCCCTCCTCTTCTGGTACCAAGTATTCATTGACTGGTTTAGCTTCTAATAAGCGAAATATTTCTCCGCTAACAAATGGTGAAGCGTCAACACCCGAACGAAGATCACTTGGTATGCGTGGCTTGGATTCTAATGTTGAGAATTTTTCAAATGGAACGTAGCCAGTTTGATCTATTTTCGAAACAGGTACAATGATCAATTCTGTTCGTGTACGATCTTGACCAGATGGGTTTTCAGCAAGTAATTCATATGTACCAACATCGCTTGGCCGACTGTCGACAATTTGAAGAAAGCAACGTTTAGTTAACATGTCATAATGTGATGTCACTCGATTCGATGCCATCAGTGGTTGATTATTATGCACCCACGTAAATTGCGGTAATGGATAGCCTTCAACTTGTGCTGACAAAAGAACTGTTTCGCCTTCAGTTGTCTTTGTTGGACGAAGTGGTGTAAGAACTTTCGGTGCCGAAACAGGCATAGCTGCATCACTTTCTTCACCGCCGACAATCGCCGACGGATGTTTGATGTGCCGTTCATCCAAGGGACGAAATAGTTCTTGGTTGAAAAAACTTGTTTGGTCGACTCCACTGATGATACTATTAACCTGTAATAAGGGTTTTTCTAATTTATCAAACGCTTTTTGTGGTACGAATGAACGTTGATCAATATTCGGTTGATTGATATCGACAGTCACTTCACATGTTGTCTCTTCTTGCCCAGTTGGATTCTGAGCAACTAAACGATATGTACCCGAATCATCTTCACGTGCGCCAGCAATAGTAAGAAAGATTGTCTTCGATGGAATATCGTAATGCGTACGAAAACGATTTCCTTCTGGTAACGGTTGATCATTTTTAAACCAGGAAAACTGTGGTTGCGGTTTACCTTCGATTTGAGCAGAGAGAACCACTGGTTGGTTCTCAACTGCCTTCATATTACGAAGTGGTATTAAAACAGTTGGTTTCACCTGTTCGGTTTGTTCTTCTTCTTCTTCAACAATTAATTGCGCCGGTTTAATCTCCAGTTGTTGTATTTTGGTTAAATCAACGAGCGGTCGTTCGTCAACGCCACTGATATCTTCAGTTGTACGAGGTTGATTTGGCTGTTCTAAAAGTCGAAATTTATCAGCAGTAATAAACGATTGATCCCGAACACCTGGTTGACTTGAAATAGTCAATGTCGCCGACGATGTTGTATCACCTGATTTATTGTCAGCGCGAACAGTGTAAACACCTGTATCACTAGGCCGAGCATCGTTTATTTGTAAGACAATTAATTTCGATGGAATATCATAATAAGTGGTAAAACGAGATGATGCAAGTAACGGTGCATTATCTTTCGACCAGGTAAAGTTCGGCATAGGACTACCAGTAATTTTTGCGGTTAAAACAACTGGAGTTCCTTCTTGTGCTTCGACTGGTTGAAGTGGTGAGATAACTGTAGGCACTTCCGATTTCTCTTCAACATCATACGGTTGTTTCATTATACTTGATGGAATTTCGAGTAAACGTATTTTTTCCATGTTGACAAGTGATGTTTCATCAACACCACCGAAATCATTCAAAGGCCGTCGATTCGGTTGAATTTGATCAAATACAGCAAAGCGATCTGGTTGAGAAATGTATGAAGTTTGATCAACACCTGATTGTACTAGTACATATGGTTGTTGACTGAATGGCTTTTCTAGTTTATTGAAGACATCCATTGGGATGAATGACGATTGATCTATCGAAGGTGCACCAACAATTTGTATTGTAACTGATGAATGTTGAAGCTATATACACAGTAAACATCAAATTGTTTATCGACTAGAATCAACTCGTGTAACTTACTTGTGGACCGTTCGATGCTAATACAGTGTATGTTCCGGTGTCACTTTCCCGTACATTTTTTATTGTCAGTGTAACACGTTTGCTAGGTAGATCATAGTTTGTAACGAAACGGTTACTTTCGCCTAAAGGCAATTGATCCTTCAACCAAGTGAATGTTGGGATTGGACTGCCTTCGACAATGGCTTCGAAAACGACTGTAGTACTTTCCGGCGCTTGAACCGATTTCAATGGAGTTAGAAAACGTGCGGGAACTTGAACAACTACTTCGCTTGTATAGTCTTCCGTTATCTTCGTCTTGAGCGGTGCTTCAAACTGTTGAAAGAGTAATGGATTAACAAACGATGTATCGTCAACGCCTGTGGTTGCCGGTGCTGTTGGACGCGTCGGTCCAGTTCCACGTTCGATTCGTTCAAATGCTTCGGCTGGTACGAATGCTGTATTATCGATTGGCGTCATGCTCGGTATGACGTTGAGACGCGCGTCACTACGCACTTCACCAGTTGAATTATGTGCGATCAATGTATACACAGAACTATCGTCAGGACGAACATTATCAATACGAATCCATGCCGTCTTTGATGGAATATCGTAGTTCGTTGTAACACGATTCGATGCAGGCAATTCAGCACCATCTTTTAACCACGTTAGCTATAGAACGAAAGAAAGAAAGAAAACTATGAGTAGAATTCAGGTTGTTTTCTTTGGCTGTACCTGTGGGACAGGAAAGCCGTCAATATTTGCAACTAGAACAGCAGGCTTTCCTTCAATCGCTTGTGTGCTCTTCAATGGTTGAAGAACTCGAGGTGCACGTTTGATTTCTTGTTCCTCGTATACTGATTGTGGAGCAGGTTTTACTTCGAATTGTGCAAACAATTGCGGATTGACATAATTGGATGTGTCAATTACTGGTCCTTGATCCACCAGTTTCTTTGTTGGTGCAGCTTCTAGATACCTGAATGCTTGTGGATTAACATACGAACTTTGATCAACTGATGGACCCGTATCAACAGGTTTTTCTTTCGGTTTTGCTTCGATATAACGAAAAGCTTGTGGATTCACGTACGAACTTTCGTCTACAGCCGGTCCTTCCGGAATACGTTCCAGTTGTTTCGGGCGATCGAGCCAACGAAAAGCTTCTTGTGGTACGATTGGACGAGTGTCAATTGCGGGAGTTTCATCCATGCGAGGCGCCGTCGTCGGTTTTTCTAAGTATTTGAACACTTCTGGATTAACCAAAGGTGTAGTATCAATAGCCGGTGTTGTATCACGTGGTTGTGGAGCAGTTTTTCGTTCCAAATATTTGAATGCATCAGGATTCACGATGGGTGTCTCGTCAATTGCTGGACCAACGTCTTCAGTTTTCTTTAAAGGTTTACGTTCTATGAAAACCAAAAAAGTAATTAACAAAGAATCAAGAATTTATCGCTGATTTACCTAAGTACTTAAACGCTTCAGGATTGACAATCGATGATTCATCAATACTAGGACCTTCTTCAGGTTTCTTTGGCAATCCCTTGCGTTCCAAATATTGAAATGCAGCTAAGTTAACTTGAGGAGTTTCGTCAATCGATGGGCCTATATCTTGATCTTTCTTTAACTTGGTTGCGTCAGCTTTTCGTTCTAAGTAACGAAAAGCATCGGGTGCAATGATCGGTGTGTCGTCGATCGATGCACGAGTAGTATCTTCTCGTTTCGTTTTAGGAGCTTGCCGAGCTTCTACATAACGAAAGGCATCAAGATCTACAATCGGTCGATCATCAATTGCTAAATTATCCTCAGGCTGTTTCGACTGCTTTTTTGTTTCCAAATACCGAAATGAGTCAAGATTAACGAATGATTCACTGAAAGCAAATTCCATTCAAATTCTGTTAGAGTCCGAAATAAGAAAATTACCTATCGACACCACTTGTGACACGATCAGTACTTTTATTAGCCGTGCGAAGTTGTTTATTTTCAGGTGTTAAGTATTTAAATGCATCCGTTTCGACGTACGATCGTTGGTCGACTTTAGTTTCTGGTACAACTTGTAAAGTAGCAGTACTACGATCCGAGTTCATTGAATTATCTACAACACATGTATAATAGCCTTGATCTTCTTTGCAAACATCTTTGACACGTAGAACAGCAGTTTTTGTTGCTTGATCATAATAAGTCGAGAATCGTGGTCCAGCCATCAAAGGTTTACTATCTTTCAACCAAGCAACCTGATCGAAAAAAAAAATAGAAATTGGAATTCTTCAAGTATTTTCCTCGAGCATACTTTTGGCTTTGGGTTTCCATCGACTTGACAAGTAAATTGTGCAGTTTCACCTTCAACTACTGCACTGCTCATTGGTGTTTTCGTAATTTTAGCCGGCCGAGGCTGTGAAGTCGAAGTGTCAGATTCTCGACGTTTCGGTTGCCGAGCACCGACTGGTTGTTTTTCCAGATATTTGAATGCATCAGGTTGAACGTAAGACGTTTCATCGATACCAGGTGATTCTTCAACGATGACATGAGCAGTTGTTTCGACATAACCTTGAGGATTTTTAGCAATCTAAAGTTGCAAATGAGAGGAGTTATTTTCCAACATAGAAAGGAAACTACATACCACAGTGTAAACACCACTATCTTCTGGTCGTGAATCTGTAACACGTAGTGTAATTGTACCGTTATTTGCATCATGGGCAATTTTGTGTCGTGCTGATAATGGTAATGGAACGTTATTTTTAAACCAGAGAAGCTAAGTAAAACGATTGATGTCGTATTGAGATTGACGGATGAAGAAACATACCTCAGATTTAGGAAAACCTTGGACTTGACATGTTAATTGAATGGGTTGTCCTTCTTTAACATCTTGATCTTTTAATGGACGACTCAATGTTGGTGCAGTTGGATGACGCTGGGGAGCAGCACGTTGTGTCTTCAGGGGGAAAAAAGTCAAAGTAAGGATATTCAATATACGTGACAACATTGGGTGAGTTCTTGACTTACTGGCTCGTAGAAAACGTCATCGTCACTGGTACCATATGACATGTAACCACTGCGGGGCGCAGGTTTTGTTGGTCGCATACGTTTCAATTGTCGTTCTTCGAGTTCTTGAACTAAAGCTTTGCGCTGTGTTTGTTCCACTTTTTTCTTCTGAATATTTTGAAATTGTGCTAGAGTAGAACAAAGAAGAAAGAATTTCTTATTGATATCTTCTATAACTGTTATTTACCAGCTGGAACCAATTTTGCACTGGTTGTTTCTTCATTGGGTCCTGATAATTTAACTGTATATGTTCCAACATCTTCATCTAATGCTGTTTTGATAATCAATCGAGTTATTCCGCTGTTCAGATTTGTCACGTGATAAATTCTATAATGAAAACATGTGTCATTGATCTTAACAACATTAAAATTGCTACGTACCTATTGTTCAATTGTTGAGGATTGTTGACGATTTCTACTTCATTACGAAACCATTGTACTTTTTCTGGCTGTCCAGTAAATTTACATTCAAAAACTGTTTCGCTGCCTGTATATAATGGTTGATCTTGCAAACCACTGTCGAGAACTTTGATTTGTTTATCGGCATATGTTGATTTCGTATTGAAATTAGGTAACAACGGCGGAGCCGGAGGAATAAATGTTTGAGGTGCTGATTGTGGTTGCTGTGGCTGTTGAGGCGCAACAGTTTGAGGTTGTGAAATGTACGGCTGAAATGGTGCTTGTTGCTGCGGTTGCTGTTGTTGATACGAAACAGTGCTGTATGATTGTTGTGAAGTAAGCGATTGAGGTGATACTTGCTGTTGGTAGGACAATGGCGTGTGTGAAGTGTATGATTGTGGTGAGTATTGTTGCTCAGTAACTGTTTGATTTGTATAATATTGAGATAGAGTTCGTTGTTCTGGCTTTTGATGATGAAGAGGTATTTGTGCATGAGTTGAGTGAGTTGACTGTGTTTCATAAACTGTTTCTTGTGGTACAGTGTATTGCTGAGTTGATTTGACATGATGATGTGTTCGAACGGGTCGTTCTAAATAGTATAAGAAGAAGAGAATGCAAATCAAAATACAGCTGCGATCGATGATACCTTCAACGGTGAGAGTACATGTTGTAGTTGCTGATCCTGATGGAGTGTTGGCTACACACCATACTTGACCTGTATCATGCTTTTTGACATTGATAATTTCTAATGTAGCAGTGTCGTATCCTTCAGTAATACGATAGTGTTGATTATCGGGTTGAATGGGTTGAGCATGATGATACCATTGAATCTGCGGTCTGGTTTGATAAGGACCAACTGATGATAGATGTACGGTGATCTGTACGGTTCCTCCTTCCAATGCGTCAATTGGTTCCAATGGCTATGTTACAGAGAGAAATCAAGAGATAAGAAGTTAAGGGTGATTTCTATACCTTTGTGAAATTCGGTCGACTAGTAATATATGAAGTTTCCACTGTGTCATATTCTTGAGTAAGTGTTGGGCCTGCTTGTTTAGCAACAGTTGCTACAAGGCCAGTTTGACGATTAGGTTGTGTACGATATGCATTAGAGTATATCGTTTGATTATCCTCCTCGGTTGTGTACGTTGTTTTGATATTTGGTTGCGTTGTTTCTTGATTAGACGAAACCAGAAATGAGATTGGCTGAAATTTCGGCTGTGTTCCATGAATAGAATAAGTTATTTCGTTGTTTTGTTGATGCGACGGTATTTGATAGACTTGTGTCTCTTCAGTTACTTGTGTTATTGTCGATGATGGTTTCGAGTAGACTCGATAAGATTCAATTGTTTGTGTTGGTCCTTGTCGATATAAATCATTCGTTGAACTATCCAGCTGACGACGCTTTGGTGACGGTCCGCCTCCAGTTGCTAAAATGAAACAGTGCTACTATTGATACCGCATTCTAGTTCACTTACAATCCACAGTCAAACGCGCTGATGTACGGCAAGTACCATAACCATTCGTTACAGTACATGTGTATAGACCTTGATCCTCAGCAAATGCTTCTGGGATGTAGAGTGTCGCTCGACCATCGCCGTAGTAATCCAAACGAAATGATGAATCATCACCGATTAATTGACCATCTTTATCCCAGATTATTTCTGGAGCAGGTTGAGCTTGAAAAAAGGAGAAGGAGCAAAAGAATGACGCGTATAGGTAAGAAAAACAATATTTACCAGAAACTTTAATTTCAAGAAGAACTGATTCACCTTCTCGAATGGTTTGATCATTCAAAGAAACAGTAAAATATGGAGTATAGCCTTGTTCATAGCCAGTATTCGTTGTCAGAAGTCGTGACGTAGTTGACGTTAACGGAGTATCAGGTTGTAGAATTAAATCTACTTGATCGAATGGTTTTACACCGCGAACTGTTGATCGACTGATTGTTTCGCCATATCTACCAGGAGTATCCGAAGAAGTTATTGTTCGTGTTGTTGTCGTATAACCACTAGGAGAGTCGCTATCAACAGTTGAATATTGTTCAATTATACTATTATTGTAACCAGGTAAACCACCTGATACACGAAATTCAACTGGTTGATATTGACGAGTGACAGTTTCTAAAAATGATTTCACAAGTTCCACATCTCTTTCTAGATGGCTCGATCAATTACCTGTCATCACTGTTGAATTGTTATCCCTTCCAAGAGGCGAATTTGATAAGATTCTCGAATTGTGACCTCGGCGGTATTGCGGAGACACCGTGGATGTCGTACCTCCATCAACATTGAAAACTAATTCCAATGGTTTATTCAAATCAGCATGTATTGTCGGCGAACCATATGATTGCATTTGTTGATGACCTGAACCTAAAACATACATTTCATCGTTTTCTACATGTCTATCAGTAGAGTCCGTCACAAGCGTATGTGAACTCGTTTGACGGTGTAAATGGGATTCTATTGTTGTTTCGTCTAGTTTGTCATGTTCTACAATCGTTTGACTACTCGGTTTTAGAGGGGATTGAAAGGACGATGGTATAGCAGATGTACTCTCTTGTAGAAGTGGACGCGTATAGTTTATTTCATCTTCCAATTGTCGATATTGTTCAGTGATGGTCTCGTATTGAGTCTGCGTTGAACTCGGTTGTCTTAAATGTAATTCGATTGATTGCGGATGTACACTCCGTGTAGTTTGATCAAATAAAACGGACGACGTCGACATTTCAGGTTGGAATTCACTTGAACGAACCTGTTTTGTTTCATATTTTCCGTGTACATCAGCAAGCATTGTCGATGTACTTGTGTCGATTTGTTTAGGTTTCGGCATAATCATTTCCACTTCTTGTTCGGAACGTGTTGTTTGTTCGAATGTCACACTCGAAGTTGATTTTTCCAATTTTGATACGTCAAATTTCGTGCGTGATCCAGCAGGAGCTGGTGCGACTTGAGCAAGGACAGTACTTGTTGAGGATTCAACATCAAAACGTGGAATAATTAATTCATACGGCGCTGTTTGTTGAGAAGTATTGAAATCCATCAGTGTCATAGAACTTGATTCTTCTAATGTTTGAGGAACGTATGGACTTGGTTTCAATAGTCCACAAATACCTAACTCAGGTTGGATGCTAGCTAAAACGGTTGAAGAACTATCTTCAATGTATGGTTTACGTAAACGAAGTTCAAGTATTTCCTCGTTTGGATATCGATCACGTTCCATCGTGTACGTAGACGTACTTTCTTCAGTTCGAGTGGTTTTTGTTTGTTGACGTGTTGGCTGAATTGATTTCAATTCTAAGCTCGGTTGAATATTCGCAAGCACGGTAGTCGAGCTGTCACGTAATAATGGTCGTTCGTAGACATCTTCCATTTCGTCGTATCGTTCATGAAAATTTCTTTCCGTAACGTTCGTGTCAAATGCTGTTGATTTCATTGATGTGATCTGTGAAGTCGCTGGAATATCAGCAATGACTTTCGATACACTTGGTAAAACTCTTGGCCGATCGACAACTAATTCAACTGGTTCGTATTTAGGTCGCGCCTTGCGTAAGTATGTTGTAGAATGTTCGACTTCTTTCGTATTCAAACTTGAATGTTGCTTAGGAAATACGACTTCCATTGGACTGTAGGTTTCTACGGGTTGATCATAATACTTCGTCACATGATCGCCTAATGAAAATTACAATAGGAAGAGCGTGCTATCAAAGAAACAATTCCACTTTATTTTACCAGAAATAGTTTGTCGACGATCAATTGTAAATGTTTGTGGTTTACCAGGTTGTCGTTTGATCAGTGTTGTACTATGTTCTGAAGATGATCTGTGTTTGGGTACTAACAGTTCCATTGTATCAGCTGTAGTCTGGATAGACTCTTCCAGAACTCTCAGTTCATGTTCACCTTCAATAGGTCTTCGTCGAGTATCGATCTCCATGACCGGTGCTCGACCACGGCTTCGTTTAATTATTGTTGATGAATGTTCAGCTTGATTATATTTTGTTTTAGGTAATTTCACTTCCAATACTTCTTCGATTCGAACTTTGTCATGAAAATATTTCGTTTCATGTTCATTTTCAATTTTTCTTCCACTGCCGGTGATCTCCAAAACGCGTCGTTGTGGATGTGTTTCAGTGATTACTGTCGACGTATGCTCAGCCATATCCGTCATACTCTTTGGAACTATTATTTCCACACTATCGCCCGGACCAGACTGGATCGGTTTATCAACTAAACGCAATTCATGTTCACCTTTCAATACTGTTTGAATATTATCGACAACGTAACTGGATCTCGGTCTTCGATTTTGTTTCACTATCGTCGATGAATGATGACTCGTTTGTGAAGTTAATGTTGGTTTAGGAAATAACAATTCAACAGGTTTATTTCGTGAACTTGGTTGGATAGGTTCAGATATAATACGAAGCTCATGTTCTCCGGATAAACGACGCTCACGACCTAATGTTTGACTAATATCCACTGTCTGAAATCGACCACCTTTTCTTGATTTAACTACAAATGTTGATGAATGTTCGGCGGGTAATGTTTCGATTGGTTTCGGAACTGTAAACTCCACAGGAAGTGTCTGACCTGATGTAATAGGTTGCTCGATAATACGTAGCTCATGTTGACCTTCGATGGTTCGCCGACGTGGCTGTTGATGAATATTTGTTGTAGACCTTCGTGTTGTCTGTCGAGTATCTTTCAGTAGGGTTGATGAATGTTCTCCATGTGTTGTTATTAGTTGTGATTTTGGTACGAGAACTTCAACGGGTAGAGGTTCTGTACGCACATACTTGATGCTCGTCTCTCCTGGTATGGAACTTGTCGACGAATGAATGTGTATTGGTTTTGAACGCTCCTTTCGAGTAAGATTATAGTCTATTCCTGAGAAATCATCGCCACTCAATGTCAGATCTGTTGTAGTGAGTGGTTGAAAACGCTTTTGAAGAAGATTCTCCGAAGCTGAACGTTGATATGTATTGTCAAAATGATCTCTACTTGTTATTGTCGTTGTTCTGGGTTGATGGTAGGTTCGTTCAATGGTTTCATATTGTTCAGTTGTTTCATAAGTTGTTGATTCTTTTCGTTGATCCACTGATTTTCTTCGACGTTTCAATTTCACATATTCATCAGTCAGATCATCTAAACAACGAAGGTACTGCTGTTCAACATGAAAATTATCTCGTTGCCGTTGTTTGAAGAGATTTTCTGATGATGATCGTCGTTTCTTTTCGATTTCATATTCGTACGTTCGCGTTGTTGTCTTCGGTTGGTTATTGTTATCGAAAGGAATAAAGATTTCTAAACTTTTCGGATATTGTCGTACGCAACGATAATCACCCGAACGTGTTAATGAATGGCTTTGAGATGGACGAGGACGTTTATTATCATTTCGCGTTGGTGTTATGAATGCGGACTGTTGATCCATTGATTGAGACATCAAGGATGAGTATTGTTGTTGTTGGTTAGTTTCAATTTGTCGTTTACGTGAGATAGACGGTGATGGTGACATTTCAACAAGCAAATTAGACAACATGTTCTTGTTGATGCCTTTGCAGGAAGAGATATACAAAACAGATTATTTATTCTTAGATACGAGTTGAAAGTTACGATAAATATAAGGATACATTCGGCTCGTACAACAGTATTCATTGATTTCTTCGGCATGATCACAGATTGAATGAGATATTCTATTTTGTTGAAAAGCATTGACAAGAGAGTACATCGTCGTTAGTGCTGAAAAAACGAGCATCAGGCGACAAACTAGACGAACCAACGAACGTACAAAATACAAACATACGTATACATATGTGTATTCGAATAGCCACTACCATCAATACAAGGAAACAACAAGAAAAGAAGAAAAGCGCGTCAACAAGACAAAAAATAAATGACATGTTTTCTGATGATATATGCCCTATTGTTAGGTAACCTACCTCGACTATTTTCATCATTTCCGCTACTTGCACTTCGACGTTTGACTATTCGCGTACGAACAGGTGAAGAAGATCCTCGATTCATAGTAACTAGACGAGAAGATGATCACTACTTCTCATGAAAGCAAAGAACCACAAACGACTGAGACGATATTTTACAAACACAGATATTTTTCTTTCTGCTTCTTCTCGATATGCCTTTTTTCTTCTTTCCAACAAGAATGTATTTCCCTTTTCTGCCGTTCCCTATCCTATATCTGTTATGCTATTTTCCAGAATCGATCATTCTCCGCGAGACGTTGTGTATAGGCACATACGTTCGTTCTTTTTTTCTGTACAAAGAATCGATGGCTTGAAGATAGATGGATAGATGGATATCGACTAACTTCTTTCTGTTTTATCTCCTTATTTTCTACCATCTATCGTTTGCCTTCTGCGTTAGGTCGTTATACAAACAAGTCTATATCTTAACACATATGACGAGGAAGATGGATATAGAGAAAATGAGTTGTTGTTATCATCTTTTCCTTCTCCTCTCCTCTTTTCGCTGTTACAGAAGGAAGATCGTGGCCAAGTATTGTCAGTTGGAGGCGGACAAACAACATTTGTTTGCAAGATGAAGAACAAAAAGAAAACGATGGCAAGATCTGTTGCTTTTTATTTTTCTCAAGGGTTCTCTAGTAGAAGTCTTAACGTATTGTTAATCAACTAATGAAAGACAATTCTAACCACAACGACATACTTATCTTTCTTGTATTCTTTTTATTCATGGTAAAAGGGCATTCACAAAGCAAATGCATACGAATAGACAAGGCAAGCAAGCCATTTCAACTATTAGAGCGATGCATACATATATGTATATATAACTATATATATATATAAAAGCATCAAAGAAAACGACGATGTACTCTAAATAAAATAAATGAATACTGTCTAAGAAAATAAGCATATGCGTGCATGAGGTAAAGACAAGTGCATTGGTCAAGAGAAATCATAATTGAATCCAGGTTGGACGCGAGATTTTCTTACCGTATCTTGCAATGGTAGGCGGAACGAATAATTCAGCAGTACAAGTTGCTTTGCCCCACGCATTCTCCACATGTAATGTGTATTTACCAATATCATCATATCGAATATTAAATATAGTTAATATGTAAGTATCATTAAAGATCTGCTGTTGATAGTGTTGATTAGAACCTAAATGAGTTATTGGCGAGCCATTAAATAACCAATAAGCCTTGATAATAATTAGATTAGGGAAAAAGTCGAATTTTGAATGAGAAAAAAAACTTACATTTAGAGGTTGTGTACCAATTGCTCGTGCTTCGAATTTGACTGTGGAACCAAGAGATGTTTTCTGATCGTGAAATAGCTGTCGAAATTCAGGTGGAAAGCCAACTGGAGTAGTGAGCATAGGTTCAGGTGCAGGCATAGTTGACAGAGTGTTCATTGTAAATGATAGTTTTGGTGCACTACCGAATTTCATTGTTTTTGCTTGATGAAAACTTGATCTACTTCGTGATATTTTCGGTACTTCCAGCGTATCCGTAGTATTTGCAGTTTGAACCTGTAGAGAAGAGTAAGAACAAAAGATTCTCATCTTTCATGTACAGATTTTTTAAGTGAAGCATACTTGTTGTTCATAGGTATTGGACACGGATTTTGTTTCGGTGATGAGAGTACTTGTCGGCACAGTTTGTTGTTCCACAAGTGCGTTGGACAGGAGTTTTTCGCTTTCCTGTACTGCTTGACCGCCAATTGGTTGCATGTGATTGGACTGAAGACGATCACGTAGCATCAGTGTATCACTCGATTGAACAATAACTTGACATGTACATTCCGCTTGGCCCATGGAATTCACTGCTGTTATACGATAAACTCCCGTATCATTCTCCTTCTCACATCGATCTTTCGTTAATGTGCATAGTTGTCCATCAAATGTAACCATGAGATCACGTGAATTTTTCAACGGAATATCATTTCGATACCAAATGATCTTTTAGTACATGAAAATAGTTGCTTTTCTTTCGCTTCTCAAAGAATATCTTACCTCCGGTTCTGGATGAGCATTTACTGCTGCATTCAGTTTCAACTTTTGTCCTTCGCTGATGGTTGTATTACGCAAGAATTGAACAAATACAGGTTTACTTGGTGTATCAGATAATTCTGATTCTCTGTAAGAGAAAAGACAAAAGAGCTTTCCAATTGCTACAGAAAAAGATACTTACGGTGTTCGACAAAAAAAGTCTTCCACGGTTAGTTGTGTAAATGAATGAGCTTCTCCTATACTATTGCGAATTACAACTATATATGAACCAGTATCTTCTGGAAACGCTTCTTTGATTAATAATGCTGTATAATCGACTTCTTTGACAACCTATGATTGATAAAAGTCGACAGACAACTCGATTGTATATACAGATTGAATACTAACCTTAAAATCCCGAGATATACCAAGTGCTTCGAAATCGATGGGAGTGCCATCTTTCAACCATGTTATTGTACCTTTGGGATATGCAGTAAAACGGCAAGACAGCTTTACTGGTTGCCCTTCGCGTACGATATATGAAGCCTGTAATGGTTCAGTGAAACGTGGCTCGTAGTCAAGGGACATATCGATATCTGTAAAGAAACGACGATATCAATGTTTAAAATTTTTAAAGCTTCCGCTTTTTATCTATTTAGAAAGGGACACTGATGCAAATAAGCAAACTATTTGTCTCATAAACTAACAACTCGCCTATCCATCACCATGTCTCAAGGAGATCTTCGACGACAAGAAAAGAGAATGAGGAAGACAATACCATATAGTAGTCGGCCTTCGATATACACACAAAAAAATGAGGGCGTTAGCAATGTAGACAACTATTGGGCGTTTCTTACTATCTTCTTCTTCTTCTTCCCCTTCTTTTCTTCTTTTTTTTCTTCTCATACTTCCTAGAATACGATATCGAAGGAGGAAATCCAGTTAATACATGTTTCTTTCTCGGCTTTGCTTTTGCTTCTCATTCTTATTTATCATATTGTTGTTGATTAAATTTGACACATAGACCGGTTATTCATAGAACCTTATCATAGGAAAACATTACGATTTACTTTTTTGTCGTACATTATCAAGTGTCAACTGATATCTATATCGCCGTCATATGCTTTTTGGATTAGCGTCTTCTTAGATAACATGTAATGTTTATACATCAGAACATAACTATTGAACTCATATCTGCACGACGAGAATCGAATGGTTGAATAAATATCGTAGGTCTAATGATGTTGGTATATCCATTGTCAATACATCGTCAAGGATAACAATATCAGAAACAGATAAGTAGGTACCTCTGCTTGTTTTCTTTTGCACTTGTGTGCATTAATTCAAGTATATTTACAATTGACATGATAAAATACACCGATTAAATCAATTGATTAGCCTGGTAAACGAATCAAATTGAATATGAATGAAATTAGAATTCGAGACTGAACATCTGTCATATGGAAACCTTCTAAGAAGCCTGTTAGATTGTTATAACTCGTTAAAGCTAGTGCCAAAAGCAAATACCAAGGAGAGCAATAATATCAGTCCATCAGTCGACACTAATATTTGTGTCTTGTTACAATCTATAACTGTCATTTAACAAAAGAAGACAAGCGACAAATTCCTCTCGTCTCATATGTATCATTTTGCGTCTCCGTTGTCGAACATTTAATCTAACATCATATCGTTGTTACTGCGAACAACAAAGACTTCAGTACAACGAAATTTCCTTCAAGGTTCACTCAGTCAAAAAGAGAGAACATTGTTTTGATTGCTTCAATCTTGAAACAGAATAACTAATAGATCTATTAATAGACAATTAGCAGTTAGACGATAAATCATTCTACTCAAATCAATAATGATTTTTGACAAATAAGATTTGAAAGCGAATCGTACTTCAACAAAATTATCTCTTTGCGAACTTCTACATAGAACAATAAACATCAACATCGTTGACGTAATCAACATTTATTAGATCATCGAATGGAGTATATCAAAAACTATACATATGCATCTAGGCATAGATAAAAAAAATACATTAATAGGAAAAATACAGCATTTGTCTCAAACAGAGACATATGGGACACTGAAGATGTAGTCACGTTTTTCCCTCACGAATTTGTGTTTACTAATAGATGAGTTGTTTCCGCAGCTTCGAGAATCTTCAAACAGAAACGAAAGAACTAGTACAGAAACGATCGCCAGGCAGAAAAGATACCTGTTGAATAATGATACTCGCATCTTGTTTAGCTTTGTTAAATAAATCCGTTTGACCATGAAGAAGAGCAAGATTATAGGAGAAATTATTCATTGCTTTGGTAAACTTCTTTCCACGTAGACCGTGCGTTTCGAACAGTTTAGGAACGTTCTGACTGAACTCGTACAATTCTGTTTGTACACTACTCAACTGTAAAAGAAAACAATTTTTTCCGTTTAATACATCATCAACAGAAAATTTCGTTTTTACCTTCTGATATATTAGATTGCCATTTTCTACCAAAGCTCGACAACGACCTACGACCTAAACGATCGAACTTTGTCATTGATCACAAGCATTATCGCTTTATTTATCACGTACTTCTTCTAAAGCGATGATACTCTGTCGAGATAATTCGGGCAACGTCGTTGAATATTCGAAGATAGGAATCTTTATAAGTACGATAATTATCAATTTGGTCAAAACGACATTCCGATTCACTTACATCTGATTGGCTTCGAATAACAACAGCACCGATAAGATTGCCTTTCTGTAATCGACTAGCGATTTTTCTTACGCATTGTTTGACATTGGAGATACCTGGTAAACCACAATGTTCGTTGAGTTCACTTAGACTCTGCTCTACACCATGCCGATATTCGAATGCCGTTTCTAATGGTTGTATCACTGACTAGAAGTATCGAATACATTGGTGATCTGCTCATTGCTTGCTACATACTTTGAAAAGATCATCGATTCGCTTGTAATAGACTGATCGGAACGATGCGATATGCAGTTTACGCCGAGTGACAGAACGACGATATCGTGACAATGTTCGACAAGGTTTCTATTGAACAGAGGCAATCTCAAATTATGATCAATGATTGCGAAACATACAATCGTCAAAGATTTACTATTGATAGCAACATGAACAAAGAGATAGGCGTTAGGAAGGAGATCTCCACCAATCGTATACAGATGAACGTGTCGATAGCCTAGAATTGAACAAATGTAGGAAAGAAAAGAAAAGGAAAGAGTTTACCTGGGTGGATGCATTCAAAGGGTAGTGTGAATTGTCCGATAAAGTCATAATCTAGTGAATCATCGTCGAGTACAACGAATCGGACGAGTGCCAATTCCGGAAAAGCGATTTCAAATTCAAATGTATCATTAAACTGAGGGTTTTCACCTGCCAAAGAAAACACACATCGAACAACGAAGATTAATCAATTAAGTCTTACAGTTATGATAGACTGTCTTGGTTCGCGCTTCATCACAATCTCTAGGTACGCCGAAGATTTGCACAACAACATACGGGTCAACTGAATTGGCTTTCAATTCTGCTTGTTCAGGTCGAGGAAGATGAAGAGCACTGATTACCTTTGAATTTTTTAGAGAAAAGAAAGAAATAAAACATTCACTTTCTAAGTATTTCATACTTTAATATGTAGTATTTGAGGTGTATTCGATGGATACAGATTATTTGTTAGTCTATTGCTCGCTATTGTATTACTATTGGATCGTAAGTAACTTGGTTTAAGGACGTATCCACAACTGCCATTAGTAAGAAAACGGCCGATATACACGTCCATAAACTTTCCAGCAGTTTGGTAGTTCATTGCCACTAGAGAAAAGAACGCTTTTCAGAGCAATTGGATTGTCAAAGAAAGATTATATCAGTATGTCGAGAAATAAACATCTAGGAGATTTACTGTGATCAAATGATGGTATATTCGGTATGGATTTCGAAACTGTCTGTCAGTTAAATGAGAAGAATACTCAGGAAATGAAAGAGTTCGGTTTTGTTGACAAATCACTATGTAACTAACCCATTTGACAACCAACATTCCAAAAATCTTGCGGATTAAGATTTGACGAATCGACACGCCATGTTCCTGGTGTCACTCTGGAAATAAACCGTTTATTATAAGTAATAAATTCTTCTGCATCGGTAGTCGCTAGCCGAAATCCTGCACTTTCACTAAACGTACACACTTGACCAAGTTGTTCTATACAAATGAAAAATTTCGATGATCTATTACAGAGAATTATTCTTACGTTCACTGAATGCGGTAGTGAAATCTTCGAATGGTGCCGAACGAAGTAAACAAACAAGATCGGAGAATACCCGAGATAATTTCCGATATTTTTTACAATGATTCAATTCCTATTTCAATCCAAACACTAAACTATACTTAACTCTTATCTTTCCAACCTTTTTCGATCGTCGTTTATGGTCCTCGTAACAATCATCATCGTCGGTAATTTCTCCATATTCTCGATTGATTTCATTCGACACGGATGCAGATAATTTTTTACTCTAAATCATCAAGTACAACTTTGCCGACGATTCATTCCGTCGTGCTTACTTTGATAATGACTCTACCACGCAATGCATTCGGTGATGGAAGATTTGCATCATTAGATGATAACGAGCTACTAACAAACAACTTTTCACCGAAGATTTCAATTAGCAATTGAGCAACACGTTCCTGCTGACTGATACAACAATGTAGTTCCATGCATAATATCAATGGATAGCTAAAACATCAGAGAGAAGAACGAAATATTTTGTTGAGCATTTGTATGTATTACTTGGATGTTTCGAATGCATAATTATTGATACATTCCAATGCCTCTGACAAAGCTATTCGTGATGTTAATGTACCATTATGTATCAAGGGCTGCCCATCAGATCCATCGAAACAATGGAGATCCAAACAGCGGCAACCACGCATCAATGCATGAATAAACCCATCGACACTCGATGGGCCTTTTAATTGATCAGCCAATAGAAATCTAAATGTCAGGAATGATTGTGCTATAACGAGGATTTCGCCCACTTACGTATTGTAGGACGATGCTATAAAATAGTAGTTTAATGGATGATCCATATCTTGTGTAATCGATCTCTGACTTGGGTTAAATATATCACATTCCGAAGATAAAAGATAATTCGTAAAACCTGACAACTTGGAAGATTAATATCTGGCTCATTCGTTCTCCATGTTGACTTACCATCGATACCTAAGTGTCCTAAGAGTCTCGCTTCCACCGAGGGCTCAAATTCTTGGATGATCTGTGTACATTTCTCTCGTGTAATTTTTGACATCTAAAGCGTAGAATAAGAAATTCAAATTTCTTTTTTCACAAATTAATTACGCCTTGTTCAGCTTCGAGAAATAATGTTAAATCTTGCGTTGAAAGAAAGTCCTGATTCCGAGAATATCTACACAAACAAAAGTAGATTGCTTTCTTTTTATAGCCTGAATTCATTCGAACTAGGTCAACCTGACTAAAAGATGATAAATCTCCGGTCGTGTCGAAAGTTTTTTAAACACATCAACAAGTTCTTCGGTGGAGAAATATCCCCGATCACCTTCTGGTTTCTTCGCTTGAATTTCCTTAATGAAAAGAAGTCATTAATGTAATACTTTCCTGTTAAATGAACATGAAGATTTACTTGTAAACGAACTTTTAATTTTTCTTCTGAAATACCATAATCACTCAGTAGCCGAATGGTTTCATCTTCGTCGATCAAATTCTTCTCTGTTAACATTTGATACTCATTAGAGTTCATATGTTCCAAATTGCTCGATGACGACAGTCCAGTTGCAAAAGCATCGCGTAGCCAACGATCACGCATCTGTTGTCGATCTTCGAGATCTACGAAAAGAAGAAACCAATGCTTAGTATTCGAACTTCAATCTTCTACCGGCTGATGTCAACGGATTTCCATGAGTAGTAATCAGACACGATAAACCCGTCACCCAAATATTTGCCTCATCAGCATTGCTGGCGACAAGGTCAACCGAGACGTATTCATTCGTTTCATTCGTATAAATAATTGAAAAGACGGATTCATTCTCATACTGTTGCGCGTGTTCACGTAGACGTTCAGTTGTTTTTCCCAGACGTACTTCTTTGATTGAATCAATTGTAACTAAATTATATGAAACTAATAACACATTCCAACAGAGAAAACATCGTTTTTACTGTTTGCCTTCGATGGTTTCTTCGCAGACGGATACCAACTGATTGCGGTGAGTGTATCGTTTATTTTGTAAAGACGACGAAACTGTCGAGCATAGGATCGAATTTTGAGTAAATCACTTCCTTCTTGCATATAGCGAAGACAATCAGTCACTGAAATGAGCCGTAGTAAGAATTTCAACTAATCTTCTTATGCATCTTACCATCGGCAACATTTTTCTCAAATGGCATCGCACTGAATGAGACCACTTTTCTCTTGAATGTTTTACTCGTCGGATTATCTTCGTTATTCGAACTGGCATTTGTCGAAATATTCTCTTCATTCGTTGAATTGCTTTTGTTATGATTCTCAACAATAATATCGTCATGAAAAAATGCTCGTCGTCGATTGATTTGTTGTTTTCGAAGAGCACTTATCGGTAGTGTCGTGATTGTATTGTTTGTTTCATTAACATCACTATTCATGTTCCAAGATTACCTAAGATCTGCTATCCTTCATTGAATGATTTTGTTATGATCAAAACAAAAATATATTCATCTATAAAACACGAAGAGAGGAAGACAGATATTTATTGATAACTTTTGGTATTACTATACTTTCTATTATCAACTGTCATTTAATACTTGTGCGAGAGAGAAGAAAAGAAGAAGAAGAAGAAGACGAAGAAGAAAAAAAGAACTGCATGTTTTTCTCCTTTTCTTCGTTCTAATATGCAGTCATTGGTATAAGGAAGACAATCTAATGAAATAGGCGGAAGTCAACTAAATAGACGTGAACACACAGATTTGTAGCGCTAAGCCGATTACAGATATATTCAACATCGAATTTTGTTTTGTTGCTTACTAGTGAAATTTTTTTGTCAGTCACTATTTTGATACATGAGAATAGGATAATAGAAATGATGGCAAATCTAATTTTTTCCTCTTTTCTCATTCATATGAGAAATGATTTTGACAAGTAGCATGGATATGAATTCCCACATACGTATCTCGATTGCTGATGCTATTGCGTTTTTTTTCTTTCTTCTTACTGAAGTATCTGTTTAAGGTAGGCGAAAGAGAAGAAGTTCTTCGCGTCTAATTTAGTGTAGTAAACGGTGCAAAGAAATAATAATTGTAATTATTCTTAGAAGCACTATGTTCGAGTTTTCTTTTTTTATGAGAAGAAAAAAAAAGCCGAGAATGTGGACGAAGATATTAAATAATTACTTGGCAGAACGTCTTTCCATTCCAATTTTCTTTTCTTACAACTAATCGATAATAAGGCGAGATTAATAATAGGATCAATTAGTTTGAATATCTACTTATGCTTAATGATTATCCAAATGCTAAGAGAAGAAGACTCTATCAACATTTGTGTTAGATGTTCGAACTGTGAATTATTTTAACACAGGAAGACAAAGATACACAGACATAAGTACTGTCTTCCGTTGCCTTTTCTCAACTTGATTTTACTCATTCATTCTCTTCAACGATGCTTTTGTTAATGATAATAGACGAACGAAACACTCGCGTTTTTTGTTGTCACTACTGCTGATGCCTATATACTCTTTCTTGACTCAATTAAGTGTCACTATTATTGGGAAAAGATATGATTTTGTCTTCATTGTGATCGAGTTATTGTAATCGATCATTCTGAATACCACACCGATCCTCAAATCCAATCATATAACGCCCTCGGACTACTTCAGTACACGCATGGCTGCTAAATGCTTGTCGTTATCGACATATTTTTTGTGTCTTTCGAGAGTTAGACGGAGTCAGCTGGATAAAAAACATGCATAGATTCGACAGAAGTAATAGAGAAGATAGACGAAGGAAAAGCCACTGTGCGTTTAGAACCCTGGGCTAATGTTTTTCCTGGTAACGATTGCATTTAACTCGAACAAAACAAAAAAAAAAGAGAGCTGGTATTTGATGCTGAGACGCACGACGAGATCTGAAATGAATACATTTGTTTACACTTGTTAATTGATTTAATTACGAAGATTGATGTAGATGGTAAAATAAATATCAGTTTTCTAATTGGTAAAAAGCTAATAATTTTCATTTGAATTAGTCTTTCTCGCCCAGATCCTACGAAGAAAATTTGCGTGGTTTCCGTTTCTTTTTTTAAACTGAAGAGAAAGAATGTTTTAATTATATGACGAGCTTTTCTTCTCCTTGAAAATAATAAAACAAAACATAACACTCATCAAGGTTGGGAAAGAATCTAAATAAATCATGAAGAAGTTCTCGTTGCACCACGTTTAATTTACTACTTACGTCTATGAAAATGAATGCATAGGAAAGTATCTTTCATTACGGCATCCAGTTAAATCGCTAGACTTTCGAGAAGAAATCATTGCATTGAAATTTATTTGAAAAATAAGAAAAAGACTCGCATTCACAGATTAAAAAAAAAGTGTGCCGACTAGAAAAATTATTGAATAATTCTCAGATTGATAGGGAGAGGTTATGTTGTTCATCGATGATATCATTCGCGAGAAAAATCTTCGGTGAAATAATTTTGATTCGATGAAAATCGATTATTAATGTGGAGAGATACGAGAGAAGACAAATGGTTAAAATCCACGTCGAAACAATCGTAATTAAGTGATAATTCCAACCCTACGCAAGCAGAATTCGAATTTAATCGTCCATTTAGATTTACATACTTGGGTCGTGGGCAACCAAAGGCTGTTTTCCTGATGATATTTGAAAAGAACGATTGCTTGAACGATGAGGACTAAACGAACAAAAGGCGTTTGTTTTACAATTGCTTATCAACTGAAAAATTCATGAAATATCTCAAATACTAATTAGTTTCTAACATTATGATTACATTCGTCAGTTAACCAGGCTAATTGTAGATGAAATTGAATCTACGGAAGGCTATTTTCTTGGAAATTTGATTCTGCAGAGTTAGAATAAGTGTATGATAATACTCGGCAAGATTCGCATACGAAATTGTGAAATTTAAGTTTAATGTCATTCTTTTATCTAATTTGACAAATATCGAGATCTAATTGCCTAAATAGATCGATTCCCGAAGGACATCTTTTCTCCTGTCAAAACCGGCTGACTTAATAAAAGCAATTGCCTAATTCAATTCGTTTTTTTTCAATATCTCATTTGCTTACATATGATGAGTGTCAAAGTACAGACGATTGTTATTAGACTTCGAACGATCGGTAATATTCGACTTGAATACAATAATGGCCGGATCCAAAGTGATAAAAGCATTTCACAATACAGAGCTCCAACACTTGCTAGAAATGTTGCGTGCATTGCCACGAGACGAATCGAATGAACGTTGGAGTTCTATTCGAAAAGATATTAAAGATAAGTCGAAGAATAGTTCATATACGAACAGGAAAATTGCAAGTAATGCTTAAACTGAATGCAGCGATAAGTCCACAGACGAGAAAAGTGACGTTGAATCGAGAATATTTTCTTCCGCATGTCGGATTATTCCGAATGAGTTCAGCACTGAATGAACCGATTGAAATAGCGAACATGATGATGGAAGACTTACATTTGGCGATACCGAATGTAGATTGTAATGAGAACTGAAGAAGGATGCAATTCATTTTCGAATTTTTCACTAAACGATAGAAACTACTCACGAAGAAAGGAAGCGACATTGATCAGTTGCGAATAAATACATGATTCTGGTGATTGACTTGATAATTGACTAAACGAAAAATCGTCTTCAATTAGCATCAAGCCGAAACTATTCGAACGCTTTCATATAACTCGATTTCGAGCAGCCCCAAGAATAGACTATTTTCCTCGAATAATCATGCGTCGAGAGAATTATTTCAATTGATATAATTGCTCAAATATTGACACATGCAATAGTTTCTTTTGTCTTCGAAGACATTTATGCTAATTTCTCGCGTCAGTTGTCATGCGTGTTTCTTATTGATTAACAATTAACAATGATGTAAACTGGTGAAACTAAAGGTTATTTCGTGACTACCAAGCATATGTAAATTGATGCATCACTCTGAATATTATTAATATTCTCGAATAGAGTTTATATAATCAATCTTACCTTACATATGGAAATTCAAATTTCGAATGACCAAGATAGATTGCGAAGGCGAAACTTAATGGAAAACATTCTTCTTCAACTGATAACACATACAGACAGTTTGACTTACGAAATCACATATGCACATGGAATGAGAACACAAACAGACAAGGGAAAGAAGTAGAGGTGTCCCTCGATCATCACTAAAATAATTATTGATAGTACAAAATATTTAATCGACAGAAAAATATTCACATCAGACAGTTCGGATACTGAATTGCTCTCGTAATCGATTTAGTCGAAAGTTGTATGTGTAGTTATCGGAATCGAACAGGATCGGAAATCACTTGTGTAACACTTAGTGAGTTGTCGTCTATTCGGATGAAGAGCATTTGACTTCGAGAGACTCGATACAAGTGTGCGTTTGTTTCTAAGAATCAATAAGTTCAGTTTTAGCTCTAACCAGTGTCTTGACTTTCTTAGATAGCGGAAAGATCTAAGAGGAAAAAGAAAAAAAGACTCCCTAGTGTGTTTTTCCTCTGTCTATAAATAGATATTTCCTACCTATTGATATGACAATCTGGATGTCAATGTGAAAATGAATCTGAAACATAAAACATCGAATAGCAATACATATGCATCCAAACGAAGCAAGCGCGCCAGAAAGTTGAAATAAATGAACAAAGAAGTTTATATTGGACGGGAAATTTGTACAATAAAAAAATCCGAAAAATAGTGCGTGTTTGGTTGATTGATCCACAGATCGTCGATGAAAAGCAATCTGACCAGAATAAATCTCTTGGTTTCTTTGTCTAATCGGAAGTTGTTCGTTTTGATGCTGTTGAAAACATAGCGACGATAATTCCAACAAGAATTAGTATAGATAATGTTATCGTAATTGCACATAGAAACTTTCGTCGATTACATCGTCGATGACATCGACGTACCTAAGAAGAAAAGTTAGTATTGAATTTGGATGTCTTCTTCTTCTTCTTTTCATGGAACATACAAAGCACGAAACAACAACAATGACGACGACGACGACAAGGAATTTTCAACGTACTATAGATGAGCTGCTATCACTTAAATAGTGACGAAGGGTCGATCGGTGCCCTTCGAGACTTCTCTCGGTGATCAGATCTGTGGTGTATTTATGCATATTTTCAACTAAAGTAGAATGATGCAAATTCAATCGCTTCTTTAGTCGAATACGAACTGAATTCTTTGGAGTAGGATGTGGCATGATGTCGCAATTGATAGACGTCAATGTGTTCAATTTCATCACGAAGTGTTTGAATATATTGAATTTGACTAAATGAGAGTCGATTGATTCGATTAGCAGAGAGCCTTTCAATGGAATTTACTTCAATAATTCAATGTAACGATTCGTTTCGTTTTCTTCTGCTTCATGATGTTCGTAAGAGACTTCGTCGGCGGCGATTGTGGAATCTTCAAAACCCAAATTAACAACATTTTCCCTATCTGCAATGTTCATATTCAGAAAATCTGTCTTCAATCGTCAATAGAATTTACCTCCGGTCGCTACTGGAAAATAAACGAGTAAAATGGAAAACTTATGAAGCAAATCTTCGTAATAGCTGAGAGACGCTAAGGTGAAACACAAACATTTCTCGAAGCGTCGCACGGTAAGTTCACTTTTAGTTCTAAACAGAAACAAAGTTTTCGCCATCGGTCACGCTGTTCGTTTCCCCCAACTTACGATCCAGCTACGGCAACATTACTGCCAAGCACTTCACGTTGATGATAAAAACTACAGTGAATACGTTCTTTTAACTTTTGAATTTTATTTCGGAGCTTCGTTGTATCACACGATGTGCCAAGGTAGTAAACATATTGTCGAAATTTGGCTACATCTTTCATACAGTCATGTAAAACCTAAAAACATACATTCGAATGAATCCTGTGCAATCAAAGCGCAGACGTACTTTGAAAACTTCGCGGTCATCTGGTAGATTTGTATGAGTTGTCGTATGTCCTGCAGAACCTTGTCGAGTCGTTGGAATGATATTAGCTGGTGCCATTGAGATGATCGATGATTCAAGAACAGAGCCCGTTGCGGGCATTCTTTCTCGAAATGTCAAAATCCTTGATTAGTTCTAACTAAGAAAACCAACGACGATGACAAACGAATGAATATTCATTGAAGTTGTTTTCCATACCAATATTTACAATGATTGTAGCGCCGTGCTACACAAGAACGAATCGAGAAATTTTTACCCGATTACAATGATTTTTCGAAAATATTCCTCAAAATATGCGCAATTTCAAAACTTCGTCTACATTTCACTTCTCGCGATAGAGGTCGCCTACAGTCAATACTATTAATAAGCATTAGATGGAAATGACATGCATAAAACAACGTACTTGAATATGCAAGTAGTTTTATATAAACAAAATCATTAATCATAATCGAAACACTGCACTGTTGTATTACCTGCACGTTTTGTTTTATCCACAATTGATTATTAAGATGTTGTCCGAAGTCATACTTTGTATACACACACTTTCTTTTGTTCGACCTACAAGTATGATATAATATTTCTCTAATTCATAATAAATAAAGACATTTCATATGAAAAAAGAAAAAAAGAAATAAAAGTACTCGTTACATTAAATAAAAAGTATTTTCTTTCGACTGATAAATATTTAAAAATGAGAAAGTTTGCTGCGTTTAAAACGAGCAGAAAACTCTCAACGAACGATTTCAACGGGATAACTAATTGTAAATAATCACTCGTCAACGACAATATAATTATACATTAGACAAATGCATTTTTGATAAAAAAAAATCCATCTCGATAAGAAGCCGTTTTCATTTGCGAGAACAAATTATGATCGATGTTTTCTCTCGTCGAAATCGCCCTGCAAAGATACAAGAGAACGAACCGAAACAACATATTGATGAATAAAAGAGAGTATGTTCTGTCATGTCACACCCTGTAATATAGCATGGAAGCAAAAGAATAATATCTAACTCACAACGTTCTTCCTGTGACGACGAGTGCTCTCTCCATCATTTCAAAGTATAGAGTCGGCATACATATAATAGTATGTAAGCATCGAAGTACGAACGATGCTGTTTTCTTTAATTAATAACCACGAGAGTGACATGAAACGGTTATATTGGTTAGCAAGACAAGCGAGGCGAACAAAAAAGATGATGTTCGTTCGCATTTCAGAGGTGATAATGATAATCTTGCAAGTTCGATAATCTGTGCGACGGCGGCGACGAAGTTGTATGAGACAAATGTCGATTCGGATATCAAATAACAATATATTTGATAGAAAAACACACAAGAAAATAACAAGAACAAGAACAAGATGCGAGGATGAATTAAGTCGCTTTTCTTTTTCTTTTCATTTTTTTCTTGGAACTCTGATCATTATCGAATAGAGAATCTTGTTCAACAGTTGGTGCTGAGTTGTCTTCAAGAGAATTATTCGCTAGATCAAAATTCAATGCTGATTGGTCTTGTTTGGAGCGATTGTGTTTAAGAAAAACATCTTGTTTATTCAATGGTTCAATACGAACGCCAATACGTGTTCGTACTTTCGGCTGATTCAAACGGCGATACGCTGTTTCGGGATTCCATTCACGCCCTAATGGTTGTTGGATTAGCGACTCGAATTGATCAGCGTTAACGAATGGAAACGGTAGATCGCTGACCTGAAAGAGAGAAAAACGTATGATTTGCTTTTCTAAGCAAAACAAAAGATGCATACGCGATGTTCGGCAATCTTCTTGTCAGCATTTTCGTTGATGATCACGTGTTGAAGATGAACATCTCGGCGAGGCGGGGCAGGCTTCGGAGGAATTAAAAATCTACATATAAAAAAGGATTTATCTTCGTGATGATTGAAATCTATTCTTTGTTACTTTCGTTTCTTGCGTTTGTTTACAGGTACGCCGGCTCCAGCCCACTCACCCCAACCAGGTAATGATAAGTCAATCGCTTTCGGGCGATCACGGTCAACGATATCAGTTTTTTCTTTTTCGAATTCAGCAAGAACGTCATCGTCGGCAAAAGCTTCTTGAATATTCATGCGATGTTGCTGACTTTCTTCTTTTTGTTCTTTGTTTTCAACTTCCATTCGTTTATTAGTCACTGGCATGTTCAGATGCTCGACAGCTTTAGCTGGAGTTATACCATATGTTTCTTTCTTTTCTATCGATTTATTTTCTGGCTGCACGACTTCATCCTTATTACTTTCCTCCTCCTCCTCTTCTTCTTCTTCTTCATCATTATCATCGCTTTCAGATGACGAACTTTCTTCATTTCGCATTTCATTTGGCTTCGAATATTCGGAGGCTGGAAGAACCGCACTTGTGGTTGTTAGCCAAGGATTTGCTTCGGCTTCGACTTGAGATGGCGGAAGGATCAAAGGAATTTCGATAGGTTTCTTTTTTGTTATTTCTGCAGTTGGTTTTATTGTCGTTGCTGTTGCATCATCGTCATCATCATCATCGTCGTCATCGTCATCATCGCTCGCTACTGCTTGTTTTTTACTAAGTTGTTTACCAAGCTTCAGCTGTTCTTCGACATCTTCTCGGACCTAGTCGCATATAAACGAATTGATGAAGTAAATCAGAATTGCACTTACTTTTGTATTAAACTTAGCTAACAATCGTTTTTCTTTTGCCCATTTGGTTGAATTTTTGTGGCGTAGAGTTGAACGTTCTTCAACACGATGTCGTTCAAGTTTTTGTAAACGTTCAAGAAACTCATCAGGATTTTCAGTAGCCAACTTTTCCAGATCTTTCTCTTCTTGTTTCTGACGTTCTTTTCGGGCAATACGACGAAATCTACGGGAAATAAACGCAAGACAGGCAATTCGAATACACAAACATTGAATTTCTCTCATTACTTTTTGCTTTTAATCTTTCGTATTCGCTTGAACTTCGATTGTTGATACGATATTAACGCCCGCATTTTCTTCAATTCATTTAACTTTGCTTTTGCCTTAACAGAACATTCTCTAGTCGATTCTGTAGACATTAAGACGACTACTCACTTCAAGCAAGTCCATTTTACTGATGATTTTCTTCTCTGCTTGCGTGAGCAATGAATCCGATTGAATGTTATTATTGCTTGTTTGTAATATCGCTGCAATATCTTTCTCCAGCGAGCTCAACGGCTTGAGTTTACTCACAAATTCTTGTGTGGTTTGAAATTGAACACCACCGTTTTGTAGTGGAAAATTCAAAGTTTCTGCCTGAAATGAAACCATCATCTTCATTTGCTTATTCGCAAATATCATCTATTTACCGTTCGATATTTTTCCACGACAGGATCCCATTTCTTTAAAGATTTCTTTTCTTGAGTGTAGGCAGCAATACGTTGAGCCTAAAAGAAAGATTCTTTTTTCTTTCGATGATTATCTTTCGAATAGAAAGCGACCTTATCAGCTTGAGGCTTTTGCAATGGTTGTTGAAGAACAGCTTGATGTTTATTAACTTTAGCTAATTGTTTTTTCAATGTCTGCACTTGCAACGACGAAGATTTCTTTAAACTTGATAACAGTTGATGGCTCTTGATCTTCTTCGATGCATTTGCTAAAAGATACACAAAATCGATTCGATGAACTCACGTCGTCTGCACTTACATGTCTGTGCCGATGCAAGAAGATTTGTCGGATTGCTGATCGGTTCTGTCCGTAGGGTGACTTTCCTATTCGAAATAGTGGACACTTATTGGTGAAACTCGAAATGAGATCGTTCTTACTTCTTTTTACCACCCAAATGAACGATAGAATCGATGAGTTTCTCATGTTTCGACGTTTTCGTGTGTTCGTATGATTGCTAAATAAAACCGACTTTACCTCCATCGTTCGATTCGAAATCTCATACCTCTTCATCGTCATCATCGGCTAAAACCGGTTCGTTAATAAAATCGTCTTCCATCTGAAATATGGAACAGAGTTTCAAAATACTAATCAATTGAATGCATATATCTCAATTTTTCATTCGTCGAGATTTACAGTACGATTGGAGATAGACTTTAAATCAATCAGAAATGACCTGGCGAGAACTCGAGTAACGAATGATGGCGCCAGATGTCGAACCAGATACACCATATTCATAACTTTGTTCTGATGATATTACTCGTTTAGGTTTATTTGTATAAATAAATATACAAAAGATTCTAGAATTCATTACAAAACTATTCGATAAAAATAAATAAATAGCTTGGTTAAAAATACACGTAAAAAAAAACAATTATAATTGCTGGCTTAAAATATCAAACTTTTTTTTGGAGAGCAATGCTGTATGTACATTCAGGTGTGATTGATCATTTTCCACTAAGGTGTGTGGCTTTCAATGCGTATTTTGGCGGTAAATTCACTAAACCAAATGTACCTTCAGTGGCTTCTGGTAACGGGCCGGTTTTATCGAAGTCATTGTGATATAAAAGTACCGCTAAGATACCAGTCAATAGATTAAATAGATGTTTTTCTGCAATACATGCTCGGGGACCGAATCCAAAGGGTGAGTAAGCATCAGTTGGGATGCTTGATGCTTTATCGCCAAGCCATCGGTTTATGTCGAAATTCATTGCGTCTATCCAAGCAATGGAATGATGTAGTGCAACAACATTTGCACCGAATTGTGTACGTTTTTGAATGTGAAAGTTACGCCATTTGAAATCTTCTAACGTGGAATGAATGACAATTGGAACAACTGGTGAAACACGTAGAACTTCTTTGACAAACGCTCCAGTGACAGCTAGAGACTCAGCCGATGATAGATTGAACGACGAATAACCTTTCGATCTGTAAAGAGAAACGATAATTTTATTTCTTATTCTTTGAAATGTCAATTTATTTTACCGTGCCTCTCGGCGGCATTGATCAGCTGCTTCAGGATATTTAGCAACATAGAGTAATAACCATGAAAGTGCGCCTTTGAGCATTTCACTTCCATGCATGATTATGTCGAGTACACAAGCAGCAATATCGTCTTCATCGAGACGCGGTGATGACTCATCGAGCACATCCAAAATTGAACTGAGAAAATCTCTATTTTTTGCCGAAGATGAGATCGCTTGTTCTTCAGATAGACCTACAATAGCGCTGCTTTCATCGCGTCGGAATCGTATCCATGTTTTGATGTAGTCTAACACATTCTCATTGATATCTAACGTTTCAGATAAACCAGTTAGTTGTGTTAACATAACTTTAGCTGATTTGGCAAATGTATCGGCGTGGATTGCTTTCGAAATCTTATAGAGATTCTGTTCGAATAACTCGAAAGTTTTGTCTTCGATCGATGCCGCTGTTGACGAACATGTTAATCTTGCTAACAGGCGAACACTGAAATAGAATGTCGTTCGACGCACGTCGAATTTTTCCGTCAAATGCGTTTGTTTGATCTGATCTTGAACAATCGAGTCGAGTCGTTTGCCGACCAGATCATTATCCATATGATTAACAAGAGCCTTGTGAATTATCCGAGCATTGTGGTCCTGGTGACGAAAGACGATGCCTAGAAAAAAAAACATAAAACGCTGCAATTATCGCAATTGCTTTTCTAATAAACTGACACTCCTTCAAATAAAACCAAGTCACTATCCATAATTATTTCAGACTTAACTATCATAAAGCTGCTTATTATATTCCAGCTAATATTTGTCTTCCAAAGCACTCATCACGGCTCTCTGTCTCGACATATGATGCATCCTTTCATTATTTATATATTGAAAGCTACATAACATCTTCTCAGGGTCAATTTCTGTTATAATTAGAGCAATTCACTTCGCCAAACAAATCAATTTTTTCATAGGAATACCTGTGCGAATGTGTTTTCCTTCTTTGTAACGTAATTGATTTTCAAGGTACCCATCGACTTTGTTACTGACTAAATCTGCACGGCCGATGAATATTTCATTAATCAGTCTTGGGTCATTGAGTAAAACTAAACGACCGACATGAGTCATCACTGTACAGGAATCAGGATAGTCCGTAGCGAGTGCAAGTAAATTGTCCCGTTTCTTACGATGAAAAGATATGGCATCTTTGATGTTTCGCCAATCACGAGGCCCTTTCGGATAACGGTATCGATTACGATCTATCATGGGAAAACAACAAGGAATTTACAAGTTGTTCAAAGTTGAAAATACTCCTATGTCGTACCGTATTGCCATTTAAGTAAAATAACAATGATTATCATAGCAAAATGTATTCCGAACGATAGAATATAACTTAGCCATGTGTCTTCTTCCGCTCCTGACGAATGATCCACATCGGCAATCGTTGATTCGAACGCATTGCCAACAATGTTCGCTACTTTCGTACCAACCTCCGCTGCTAATTCGACTTTTTCAACAATCTTTTCAGTAATATTTTCCGCTGCCATGGTTCTAGTCAATCTAAGATGAGACGAAGAAAAACAATACAAGAATGATATTGTTCTTGACTTAGACAAAACTGAGTTCGTTACGTACAAACAAAATTTATTTTTGTTGTCTTTCTCTGGTTTTTTTTTCGATGCATCAATGCACATCGTCGATTCAGCAAAGAAACAAACAAATAAACATAGACACGAAAGAAAGCGAAAGAGAAAAGAAAACGAGACACACGTGTACATATTCAGGTGAGATCATCGTCACAACTAACAACAACAAAAATGAAAAAAAAACAAGTTCTTCTAAATTTTTGCCAATTGTTGAAAGAGATTCGACGGGAGAATCGACTCAATTTTATCCGTCAAATATTGCAGAGGTACACTGAACCAGTTAAGAAACAAGCGAGCGATATACGCAGCAATTTCGGGATATTGATGAGTAAGTAAAGCAAGCATGGCGGTGCCTGAACATAATCCAGCTGTGAATAAAATAAAAAATGGCAGTTCTTTTTTCGGAAAGACAGAGACATCATGAAACGCTAAACAAAAGACACCTTACAGATGGAATTCGTGAAGACAAAGCAAAACTTTACCAGGTAGTAATTCTCGATCAGCTGCTTCCGTGCACTAAAACACAGAAAGAGAGAAATTTTTTGGTTTTACATGAAATGTTAAAGGGTGATTTGACTTACCGTTGGATATGGATGAAAGAGATGTCCCTTTTCTAATGGATATGGGATCATTCGAAATGTTCCTTCCCATGTGCAGTGTAGAAGATTTAATGCACCGTCGACGCGACGCCAATGTGGCAGATGAAAAAACGCGTATGCAATCGCTTCTGAATCACCACGTTTGAGAATATGTTCAGGTGGTAAAATCAAACTTTTCATCTCTAATAAATACTACAATGAAAAGCAGAGGTTGAGTTTGCTTTCGCCTGTGTCAAATCCTTTTGTGAGAGTCTTTACCTTTGGTACGTGTGGATTAAATTCTACTGCTCGATGGATGGCCTCGACTGCAGACATTTCCGCTGCAGTTAAACCTCGTTTACTTGCAACGTCAGGCGAAAATCTAATTAGACAATATAGATGAAAGTTCGAAGAAAAAAACCTCTTTTTCGAGCTACACATGGTTAATTGATGCACTAATAATCAGCTTTGCTTTACTCTTAAAATAGTTAGTATTCTATATTCCTTAAAAAGTTATTTCCGTCTTCGGGCTCCGACTGAGAAGAAACAACCTTGAGACTCAAAAACTACCTTTGATGAAGTACACCTGGACCGTAATGAATCTTCCGCAATCTACTAGAATAACTTTCACTGGAAGTTTTACGTACGTGGCAGCAACTGCTCTGGCTTTAAGCAAAGCAGCTGTGTAACAGATCGTTGCTGATTTCGGTAAACTGATATCTGAATGGAAAAAGAGAATTGTCAACTAACGTAAAGAAAAGTTTATTCTTACCATCGTATTTGGCGAGCACGCCCTGTACATCGGGATAGTTTTGAAGTGCAAGTAGAACTTCAATAAGATTTTCATGAATGTTAAAAACCGACATCATTGGAAATTCTTTCACCAGGTCACGAAAGATTTTTGTTGCTTCACGAAGTTTACCCAATTTTCTTGCACACATACCCAATCGACGTTTAACATAGATTAAGATATTTGTATTACGTTCTACAAGAAAACATGTAGATCATTCCGAAAATTCGTCTCATCGAATTCTTTTCGTACTATGTACAATATCTTGGTTATGACCTTGCTCGAGTAACTGTTGTGACTTTCGATAGGCGTTCTCTGCACACTTCAACGCTTGCTTCAGAATTCGTTCGACTTCAATGATTGTCGTTGCTTCTTCTTCCGCGAGAAGTATCAATGCTGGAGCACATCTACAAATGTGAAAGCGTGCCTTTGTGGATTGATTAATTGACGAATTGTTTCTTACTCAAAATTTTTTTCTAGTGCATCATGAGCTAATTGAATACGTGTGGATGGTGCTCGTTCGCGCCATGCTCGCTGCATCACTGAAGAATAACAGATTCGATCTCAGAGAGAAACTAAAATCCTAAATTGATAAGTTTTACTCTCGTATTCCGGTTTGCCTTCGTCCAGTTCGCAAGAAAAAAATGTTTGATGTTCCTGGGCAGATAAATTCATATCATGAAAAGTTAATGGTTCTTTGCTATTGTACTGCGTTAAACGTTGGTATTCCGCTCCACGAAAGAGTGCACAAGGGTTTTTCCAAACTTTACATTCATTGGTACCAGTCACCGGTATTGTGGAATCGATTCCATTTGTTAGCGAATTATTTCCAAGCGAATTGGTTCCTCCACTATTACTACAACCGTTCGTTAACGAGGACGATTGTAAAGATGAGTCATTGTTAGTCAAAGTAGAATTTGTCGTATCATTTCCATTTAAAATTGGAGTTAGATGATTGATTGAGACTTGTTCGATAAATGATGTACCGTATCTTTTAAAATACCACCATTCGAAAATCTAGATTTTGTAGGCGAAGAGCAAAGATTTTTCTTCAGTGGAAAGACATTGCATTACTTACCAGAATTAGGCCAGAGATTAATGAGGAAGTGCCTGTCAGAGCGACGTAAAATTTCGGGGTAAGAGTGTTGAAAAACATGGTTGCTGGAAGGAAAAAAAAGAATGTTTTTCATCAATGAAGAAAGATTCTCTTGGAAGGAAAATAATCACGAACTACGAATATTGAATGAAAAAAAATCAAACAGAACTTACAAAATATGACGTTTAACATGTTTGCTGTAAATAATCACACAACAGTGAAAAGCCACCCGAGAGAATGAGAAGGAGGAGAGAAGGAAGATGTGCGTGTATGTGTGTGATGGTGCCGTGTAATATTACAGATACATGAGAGAGAGAGAGTAGAATAGTAGCAGCAGCAGTAGTAGTAACGCAGATATAGAAATATATATCTAGAAAAAGATAGATAGACAGAACGAGAATGAGAAAAGAAAAAAAAAGACACGTATTCTTTTTTTTTCTTCTTTTCTGTAAATGGGAAAACAGTCGGCAAAGAGAAGAAAAAGAAATTCATTCTTTTCTAACCCTTTATTGGGTCTCTCTCGTTCTTTTTTTGTGCGTATGTGTATCTGTGTACGCTTTGCTCGTTCTTTCTTTTCTCGTCGCATCGAGGCAAGTTCGTCGTAGAAGAAAAAAAAAAAACTAAGAAGACAAAAAAATATATATAAAGGCATCACAACTGTTCAATCATATAGATGTCTGCCATTAAAAAAGTGACAAGAAACGGCCACATCATCAACATCTGACGGAGTGTAGTGAACACAACACGTCGAGTTAAAAAAGTAAAATGTGATTCATCTACTACGCTAAGTTGTTCCTCAAATTTCAGAGACAAAAGAGAAAGAAAACGAGGAAAGTTATTTTTAGTATTAGTCATTCAATATACTGTGTTAAAAACGAATTGAAAAGCATTAGTAAATTAAAGAATCTTGCTGATGGAAGTGTTTACCATTATTGAAACTATTGAGAACATTCAGCGGGCCACGGAGTGATGCGATAACAACGAAAATGAGTAAAAGTATTGAGATACTCCAAAGATAGTTACACATCCATAGCGAAATAGAACGGAAGTTTTCCAAAATAGTGAACTGGCTTAATTCGTTCTCGTCCTCGTCACTGTAGCTCTCATCGTCGATTCTATGGTGATGATTTAACATAAAAGACTTCGATGTTCAAAGGAAGAATAACAAAAATCTAGAAGAAAGAAAGATGAACAATGCGAGAAGTATTTCACACATCAATTCATGTCATCTTAGTTTTAACGACAGACTAAACGAGTGAATATCAAAGATCTCTGTATGATTCAAGGTTTTCACAATCAACAAAAAATGTCAACTTTTATTTATAACAACTCTATTGCATGTAGAAATAGTTCATATGTGCATTATCTAAAACATTCAAAGAAAGAATGGTAAGTTAACTTTCCCATTTATCAGCATGAATTTTGAAAAAAGCACAAATGAGCATTGCTATCATTTTTCTGCGAAGAGAATATTCACATCCTACTTGTTTTGTCCGATAAAACCTCAGTTTCATTGAATCATCATTTGCCTTCATGCATGGAAGACGAGTGTATATCATACGAGCTCGTTATGTTGATTGTACTCGAAAGAAAGAAAAACTAAGTATGATTGTTTCTGCATTATATTTTTTTTCTCGTTTTTATCAACAACAACAGCAACTATAATAGCCAAATAAAAAACAGATGGCCACAGTAATACAGTTAATAACAGTAAAGATGATTTTCAGTCAAACAAAACACACACACGTGTGTCGGTGTGCTGAAATAACAAATAACAACAAGAGAAAATAACTGAAAAATGTAGACGAAACAAGTAAACGAATAAACAAACAAAAAAAAAAAAGAAAATCACTTTTTCTTTTTCCTATATTATACCGTCGTTATCTGTAGCTACTGTTCTATTCTTTGATTATCACAAGTAAGTCGACCTCTCGACAACCCAATGAACTTGTCATTGTGGTAGTAAGCGAGGTAGAAGAAACGTTGTCGTTGTTGTTGTGATTGGTTCTTGTTTGATGTAACAAAATTGTTGTTGTTGATGTTGCTGCTGTTGTTGAAGAGCAGCAAATGTGAGTAGTTCGATTGTTGTTGTCGTGGTGTTTGCTGGTGTTAGTGGTGCAGTTGTATTGCAACCGAGAATTTTCAATGTTGCTGAGCAACTATTCTCATAGTCTTCCATCGCAGTTGTCATCGTACAAGATGATGATGAGAGAGATGGACTTGAATAGCAATAGATTGGGAAATCATCATCAGGATTGTTTGGTTCACGTTTAATCAATTGTTCGATTAGTGCATCTGAAGAAAGGAATTCGTTTCTTTTCAAGTCAAGATAGAGAAAAATCTTTCCAATGAATTTTACCGTTTAGTGTCGCTTGACGAAGAACGTTACATGCAACGATTTGTGCAGCAGCTTGTAAACCAGTTGCTGTGATTTGCTGTTGATGAAGAGGTGGTGGTGGCGGTGGACAGGTGTTATTTGTCGTTGTTGTTGTTTCGAAACACAACGTTGTTGAAGTTTGCTGTTTCGATATGGGCTCCTTCGAGACGAATGTACCATTACGAAAGAGAATAACTTCACGAGGTGTAGACTTTACACGGCGACGTGTTGATGAACGTGTTGATGTTGTTGAAGATGGTTTTAAGAGATCCGTGTCACTGTTACTTGTAGAACTTAAACCTAAAGTAGTTGTTTTGGAATCGATTCTTGTTGCATCTTCAGCAATAATAACAACGCTGGCTTTGGGTTCTACAGAGATGCATAATATCAATTGAGATAGAACAAGTCCGAGGAAAGTCTTTTACCTGCAGCAGTTGAGTTTAAGCGTCGTTTGGTCGATGCATTACTCCTTGATGCTCTTCAATGACAAGACGAAATTCAATTCGAGTAATTTCATTTATAATGCAAGAGAATCTTACGCTCGAGAAGTAACTCGACCACCTCGTTTGAATTTCTTTCCCTTCAACACGCGTGCAGGTACAATCGGTACCGATGGAATCGGTGACGCTGTCGTCGCTAGAAATCATCAAATAAATAAAAAAAAACTTCTCTACAACAATTCAGAGACGTACTTGTATATGTATGACCGATGGTTTTTCCATGAGTAGTAGTAGTATTACTCGTAGTTACAACTGGATGAAATTGTAATTCATTTCCACTGACGTATAAGGTTGTCGGCATTTCAGCGGGTTCGATTTTGGGTTGATGGATCAAATGAACAGTTGTTGTCGTTGTTTTCGTTGCTGGTAACTGTTGTTCAACTGATATCGGATGAAAAATATCCAGATAGTCATTCTCACGGTTGATATGCGACAATTGAGATGAATGATTGAACTTATCAGTAAGAATGTAGGTATAGTTATCTGATTTCGACTTTTCTTCTTCTTCTTTAACGTCGATATCATTAAAACCGAAAATGTTTTGCGGTAGTTCATGTTCGAATAATTGATCTAGTAACAATGGTTTCATCCAATCGTCATTATCTTCTTCGTCTTTATTTGGGTTCAATGCATCAAGAAAATCGTCATTGAAATGTAACAACGGTGAGAAGGCATCGAACATTGATACCGGCGGGGACACAGATAGTGAACCAAATAATGTTGGATTATGCGATGGAGCAAAGTCAATTTCCATTTTACACAACCGATGAATCACCGGGGATGGGGGATCAAAAAAAAACAAAGAAAGGTAATGGTATAATTTATTAGGCTAAAGAAAAAACGATGTTTTATAGTAAAGAATCACAAGATTTCTTCTACATCATGCACGTGCACTAATTCTCGATGGAAGATAGATAGTTATCGATAATAGGTTCGTATACACAAAGACAAGTACATATTTCTATTGCGTAAATATGCAGGACGAACATTGACTCTTTACGAGTACGAAAGTCGAAAGAAAGGAAGGAAGAAAAAGAATACTATCGGTCTATAGTAACCATTGTTTTCACGAATGTATCCTCTAGAAAAGCGACTCTGATCAATGGTAATTATATGAATAGAGTGCGTTGCATAGTAACAGAATGGAGAACGTTGACAATGGTCAGAAACAAGGACGCATCTTCTCAACGAACTAGATAGATTTTATTGCAATGAGAGCATCATCAGCATCAGCTGCTGTTCGAATTCTTCCGACAAATAAAGTCTATCGACAATTATTTGATGCACAAGTATTTCTTCCGAACAAGATCGAATAGAAATGGGAATCTTCCGGTTTTCTTTAGGTACAACTAAGTGAAGCTTACAATCGAGTACATGATAATCAACTCTCCGAACCTGTTAATATTGTGACACATCCTGATGCAACACCATTAGTAAAAAATATCAGACCTCATGGTAGGTTATTCTAATGGAATGTTTCCTGAAATAATCTGATGATAATCTAGAATCTCAAAAACGACAATGGCTTTCTGGGTTGCCTTATACAAATGATCCTTCAATTAATCCAGTAACTATTTTGTAAGAGACATGCTTGTGAAAAAAGTGATTTCGATCATTTGGAATGTTTAGTTTTCATGATGAGCAAAAGCGTCGTCAAACCGAAGAAGAGCAAGAACTTGAAGAAATAAAACAAGAAGTTTTCAATTTACCTGATAATGTTAATAATTATGGTTTGTTGTTGGAGAAAAAGAACAATCTAGAAATAGGAATTTCTTGTTACATTCAATTAGGTTCGACTGATAGTGACGGTAATGCAAGAACAAATGTGACAGAGAGATTAGCCATTAATCGACAGAAGAAATTCAATCAAGTATGGAGCGAATTTATCGAGAAGATCGCTGAACTCAATCAAGTAATATCATTGTTCATTAATGAACGATGTCACTGAATGTTTTCTTATAGAATTTAGTCAAAGACTTAGAAGAGATCACTCGAGAATGTAACTCATATTACGAACAAGGTGATAAAGGTATGTCGGATCAATTGAAAACAAAACGTACCTGCTACGTTCTTCCTTTTCTTCTTAGAACTTGAAAAACAACTACAGACAATGATTTACCAAAAAGTACAATAGAAGATGTCGAATGAAATGGACTCTAATCATTCATTTGAGTGTTTAGGAAATATCTGCATTAACGCACATATCGTTTGATCAGGTATTTGAGTTCCTTGATCAATATCTTCCAGTACGTCATGCCAAAATTCAAGATTATTGCCAATCCATCGAGGAACTTGAAATGGAACGAACACAAAAGGTAAACTATCGATAAAAATCTTCTTATTCATGATTTTTCTCACTCTCTCTCTCGGTCAGATTCGTGAATTGTTTAAAACTTATTCCGAGCGTCTATACCATACCCATCATCTGTCCGATATAGAAACAGCCGCTCAGTTAGAGCAACAAGCTAATGTAAGTCTTTTCTTTGCAGAAGATAAACTAAATGTTTGTGCATTTCTTCAAGAAACTAAATTCGCAAATGATTGAAAATCGAAAACTGTATGCTGAATTAGAAGCGAGATTGCTGTCTGGTGAAACAGATCGAGTTCATCATTATCGCGATCAACTTGTTGATCAACACAACAAATGGAAAGAAGACATGTGGATTATTAACAAGCAAACCTGGATGTGAGAAAAACCATGTCTGCAATCAATACACACATCTATTTTTTTATGTTTAATTTTAGTGCACGATTATCACAATGTAAAGTCAAACTAGATGCAGCAATTCTAACGTCATGCGAACCGATTGGACGAAAGCTTGCTGAACAAACACGGCGATTTGTTGAACATGTTAACTCACTAAAGTATGATTCTATTTTTGTCATTGTTGTTTGGAAAAAATTTGTATCTGACATGAACAGTTCGTTCGTTCCACCGAAATCAACGAAAGACAATATTCAACTATGGTATAAGCAAGGTTATGAAATAATGGATGCGATCGTAGACGAAAGAAAAACGCTTATCAATCAAGTCAAACGAACAGTTCTAAATGAAGTTGACTTTCTCGAAAAACAATGGAAAATAATTGAAGTAGTGTTACAACAGATTTCGCTAAAATTTCATTTCGATTTACTAGGAAAAAGTTCGTCAAAATCAAATCTATGACAATGAACAACTGCAAATGGTTTTCGAACGAGATATTGAACCAATCCTGGACGAACGCAAACAGTTCTTACAGGAATCGATCATTGATCAGGCGGAAGTATGTCCCGTGAATTACCTTTAACTTTCTCTTCTCACTTAAATATTTTCTAGATAGAATACGAACGATTAACGAATCGAATGTACAATATTCTTGATCGTCTCTTAGCTTTCATTCAACCGCTTGCTGAACAATGGGATAATCATCAGATTCGACTGGAAGATGTTACAGCACAATTAGTTGATCTAATGCGTGAATGTCGTCGACCGCATGATCTTCAAAATGAAGTAAATATTTACTTATAGAGAGAAACGTTTTCGATGGTGTTTTCTTATAGAAAAAGCTAACTAAACTTGATTCTACTCTGGATGAAATGCGTAGTGCATCGAATGAAGCGGTTCTTAATCGATTATTAAAAACCGCATACGATCAGCTCGATTCGATCAAAACAAGGTAAGACAGTTTTCTCGATATTCATCGACTTTTACAAATCAATATCTTTAGTTTTACGCAATTCTATCAAACGGAACATGTAATTGTGGATAAATATTCTGAGATGATCGCTGGAGAGGTGAAACAGTACAAAAATGAAATGTTAGACTATTTTCATGCACGCGAGATTCAAACGAATGATGATGAAAGTTTGACATTACCGAATGCGAATCCTCGATTATACACAACGTCGATTGCGCGAACAACATATGAAATCGATGATTTGAGTAACGACAATAGCGAAAATCTATCGGAGAATCAATCTGGAGAACAGATATTTCTTACTGAAGATCAAACGACAACAGATGCGGTTCCGTTTATTAGATCATTTCGAATCCCATCGAATCTTGTTCAGTCGATTATGTTCAAGTAATTTGTAGTTTCTCAAAACAAAAAAACGCTAATCCTAATGCGTTTTCTTTTGTAGTTTATGTCGAGCTTTTCTCGATTATTACGATCAATGGCAAGAAGAAACGACCCGACGAGCCGATGCGGTTATGTATTCAAAACATGACGAACTCGATAAAGAACTGGATTTTCAAATGCATTTGCATGAACCGAGACGAATGCGCATTGAAAACGATGTTCACAATATCCGAGCAGGTATTTTCATTCTACAAATTACAACGAAACGAATACATATGTCTTAGCTGAACTCACCTCACATGACGAACGTATTGAACGTCACATTCGCGGTGTTGATGAAACCTTAGAACGAACAGATACAAACTATCGTCTAATGTTAAACGATTTCTCCAAATCGATCAACACTTATAAAGATGACATCAATAGTTTAGAACAGTTGTTCATTAGTGCAACCACTACAACACGCCTGGTGTCATTGCAAGAGCGTTTAGCAAAAAAACGTGATGGGTTTATGGATAACGTTCGAACAACATTGCGAAGTTTCCGTAAACAATTTGACGAAGCAATGGAGATATTACGACAAGCGAATGCGAATTTTCGTCAATCATTTATGTAAGTGGAATCGAAATCGACTGTAGATGGTTGACATACTTTGCTTTTGTAGAATATTTTCCGAGGGTGGTAATTACAGTCGGGAGGAAATCGAAATCTACCGTCGAAAACTTGAGAAGACCTCCGGACAGATTGATAAAGGCGAAACAGCGATCTTGAAAGAAATGGAAAAATTAGAAAAGAAACAATTAGAAGAAGCAACAAAGATCATTACACAATTTCAAGAACGGTAGGTGATTCGAAGGAGAACAAAGCATGCATAACGAGCTTGATTTAGTTTCAAAAATCATATGGTCGATCTTCAATTTATTGAACTTGCGAATCGATGGATCAGTGAGACTCAAGTGAAAATCAAAGCTGAAGTAGGTACAAATAACCAAGGAGCGAAAACATTCAAAGATTTAATTATATCTTATCGAAATCAAATTGATTCAATGTTGAATCCGAATGTCGATAAACAAGTAAAACGAGAAATTCAATTGAACCATCGGTAAAATTAGCAATCGAATGTTTGTTTAGACAACGACATTGAATAAAATACGAGAGATTTTTCAAGAGATCATTTTGAATAGTTACGAAAGAGCATTTTATTTGAAATGTTTAAATAACGAATTGCTCATCCCAGCGTCCGTGGTTACGGTATTACGAAACAAAGGCGTGCTTACCGAAGGTAAGAAAAGCGAAGTTTCGTTTGGAATCGATTCATATTTGAGATTATTCTAGAAAAATTGGTCAATGATTTGATGAATGCTGCTGCGACTAACGATGAATTGAACACATCGCGAAGATCGTCGAAGATGAGTGTTGATGAAGTGAAAACGGTAAAATTCGCTGCACCAGCACGAACATCAACTCGAACTAAAGGAGGAACGAATACTGCAGCTTGTTTAACAAGTGGACAACCAGAGGAAATGAATACGATTTCAACAATACGGACTCTTCTTCAGTAAATTTTATATGAAACTTTGCAGTACGAGACATCGGAGTATTTTTAGTAAAAGTGAACAACCTGAATCAGATGAAATCGTTGAATCGGATGCACCTGCTACTTTAGGTATGTACTTACTCGATGTAGGACATATCTACATATGAGATTTTAGTGTCCAACACTCGTTCGACGATATCTCGTTCATCATCGCGTTCATCACAAGGAAAACTGGCAAATGCAAAACTAAAGAATACTAAACGGTAGAGATTTTGCGTGGCAATCGTTGCACCATTCGTGTATCTATTTATTACAGTGCATCTGTTGATAGTTCAGTAACTTCAACTACAAAACGTCAACCATCTGGTCGAACCAAAACACGGGATGAAATTTATGCATTGTATTGTACATTCGGAGAAAAGAAACATTCCAATCATGATTTCATTTCGAACATCTTGAATATTCTCCGAGAATCCAATGAGGGCTTACTTACTCATGCGGAAGTAATAACACAACATAAGACTATTTGATGGTTAAAACAGAAAACTTTCGTTCTAGTTGTACTATAGAGAGAAAGGTCCACGTCCAGTCACTCGTCCTCAGGCTCTGCGCGAAAGATTCGATGAATATGCGAATACAATGATTGATAAATTAAAAGGTTACGAGGAGCAATGTCGAACATATCACGAACAATCAATTAATGGTATGTTCAATATTCTTTGTTGTCTTCTTCGGAAAAGCTTTTCTTCAAATTAGAATTTCGTGAAATGCTGGAGTTATTCGAACGGACATCATCGTTACTAGCTAAACTTGAACTCGATGAACAAACCAAACAGGCGGAAAATGTTCTCACTGGAACCAAGCGCAAGTTTGATATAATCTGCGACGAGAATTGTCAACAAAGTGAAAAAGATAAAGCAAAGAATTTCGAGCAACTTCGTCCAACACTTGGCCATCCAGCACGAAAGAATGAATTACAAGAAATCGATAATCATGAAAAACAACGCGAAAATGAACTTCAACAGCTAATCAGTGACCTGCGCTCGAAAACGATTGTAAATGCATTGTTTCGAGAGCAAATCATTGAACGCAAGACTTATCTTTTTTTAGAAAAGTATTCAAACGGATGCACAGACGACTATTCATACTTTAGCAACAAATGCAGAACGGTTGTTGATTATGTTCGACGATATTTTAACTGCCGATGAGATTATTAAAACAAGTACGAAGCAAAAGTTTTTCTCGTATCGAAAGCAGAAGACAACAATATGTGTATCTATCTAGAATTGCCGGAACCGAAACAGCCGTTGAGCGAATTATTACGACGGCAACAATCGGGAAGACCATTGGAGAATAGAGAACCGAAGCAAATACTGGAGCGAAAGCAGGGCCATTGGCCAGGTATATTATTTCGATTCGATTGCAAGAGAAGTCCACGCTTTCTTTCAAATAGGTGTACCTTTACTTGACGATCAATTCAATCGACCCACAGCAATAGCAAAGAAACGTTCAACAGGAGCGAGTCAACGACAAAAGACATCAGCTTCTATTGTCACACAAAAGACAACTCTACCTCAGATCGAAACCATCACACAACGTGATCTTGCCTATCAGGTTTGTCATCGGAACTTTTCTGTTTTACAAGTAAGGAAATGTATTTGACGAATTCTAGCGATTCAAAGCGCTTTTGTTACAAACAACATCTGACATTGAAAAGCGTTGTTCTTTGATATTGAGTGAACTTGACCGATACCGAGCACATTGGGCTGCATCCATTGAAAAATTACAACAACTACGAACATGTTAAAAAGTCATCTTTTTTATTTCCATAATTTTTTCGAATAAAATATAAATATTTCCAAAAATGAAAGTTTTTATCGCGTTCATTGACGTTCCGTATGATTGTAGCGCTGCGCGTAGGAGCAAAAAAGGAAAGAAATGATATCACATCCATAGTTTACTCGTCGTTGTTTATTCCTATTGAGTCCTACACCTAGAAGATCTTTTTTTACTCGTTGTCCTCACTACTTCAAAGATAAGAACATACAAAGGACATTTACATGCCTCGTGTAGCTATAATCGGAGCGGGAGTAGTTGGTTTGTCTACTGCTCTTTGCATTAAGTTGCAACATCCTTCATTAGGATTAACAATCATCGCTGATCGTTTTCTGGAAGATACGACTAGCGACGGTGCCGGTGGTCTCTTTCGACCAGATGATCGATTCGTTCTCGGTGTTGATCTGTCGACTTTAAGGTATTGAAAATTTTCAGGTATCAGACCGAAGACAACTGTATTCTCTTTGAAATAACCGAAGAAAATGGTCTCAGACATCATTCGAGCATTTTAATAATATTATTTTTTCAAATATTGGTGCCGAAGCAGGCATTGCTCAAGTATCTGGTTATCAATTGTTCAACGAACCACGACCTGATCCATCCTACCAAAATATCATCTATAATTTCCGTCATTTAAGCAAAGATGAACTAGCTACGTTTCCTGATCATTACAAGTAAAAATGAACCTTAGAGTTGCATGAAGACAAGACTGAAATGAACACTTTTTTTTGCAAGATATGGCTATTTCACCACGACTTTGTATGTTGATACACGCCGCTATATGAAATATTTAACTAAAATGTAAGCTGAGAGAATGCGTTGGCAGCGAACTCGAGATTTCTACACTTAGATTGGCGGAAAAACAAGTCACATTTGTTCAGAAGAAGATTAATTCCATCGAAGAGGTTGAATGATTTATCGACAGGCTCATTATCAAACTGCGTTTTTCTCTTCTGCATAGTTAGTGGATAGTTATGATATCGTTGTCAACTGCACGGGCTATGGAGCTAGAGAACTATGTCGTGACGAACTCATTCATCCAATACGTGGACAAATGATCCGCGTTCGAGCACCATGGATAAAGCATTTCTATTATACGGATGATAATTGTTATATGATTCCAAAGTAAGTCGTCAGCAAGATTAGGTTTCTTTTCAAGTTTTTCTTGTTAGTTATGATACCATTGTTCTTGGTGGTACTCGTCAAGTCGATAATGATAATACGCAAGTTGATTTAAATGACAAAGAAGGTATTTGGCAACGTTGCCTTCGATTATGTCCTAGCTTAGCAGTAAGTCAAAGAAAAGAGCATGTAACTAAACCTGACAATCTTCTTTGATTATCTAGCAAGCAGAAATTTTATGGCACTGGGTAAATGATCCGAAGAAATATTTTTATTTATAAGAACGTTTTGTATTTTTCACAGGCTGGACTTCGACCGAATCGAGAACCTATTCGTGTCGAAACTGAAACCATCAAACACGACAATAAACAACTCTTTGTAAAGCAAAATATGCCAAGTTGGTTTCCTTAACAAAATTTCTTTCATTTCAGATCGTTCATAATTACGGTCATGGTGGCAATGGTATTTCACTGTCATGGGGCACCGCCGTCGATGCAACGCGTCTGTTCTCTTCCTATTTGAATGCAATCAGTACTGCAGATAAACAACTATCGTCTAAGCTATGAGCTCACAGACTTCGGTATCGAAACGTACTATGATTTTAATATTATTTTGTGCTTCTTTTTATAATATCATACGAATTTCACTACAAAAAAAACGCTACAATCACTGTCCAAGTGTTAAAATAGGCGAAAGATTGTCACTTATGCTTGTTTTCACATGATCGAAGGGAAGGAAGTGAATTCACAAAGGAATAAGAAAATGTATCGATGCGAATGATCAGTTGTTGCTACGACCCTCAGTTACTCAGTTGAAGTTGTACTAGCACCAGCCTTGCGTACTTCTCCTTCCAGTAACTCTCGCATATCGGCCATGGCTTTACCAATATGTTTACCAAACCGTTGCGAATCCTAGAGTAGAGTTTAGCAAAGTAGATCGATAAACAGTCTGATTGAAAGCGCTTACGGTTTCTGATGATGACTTATTCGATGAAATATGAAAGAAGATAAGATCTTCCGATGCAATTATATAACTAACACCATAACCATCAGCAGCGACCTAAAGGTAAAACAGAAATGATTCATTGAGCAAGAGCAGATTATCTCTTGTAATTCAAATTAGTAGCGAGCAAGAGCATGCAGCAGAGCAACAAACAAATAATTAGTGCAAGAAATTCAAGCAAAGGAAAACAAGATCTTCACGTTTACCCTAACAATTATGCCCGATCTCTTATTTATGTAATCTGCAAAGTATTCTCATACGAGAGAGACTTCAATTAGCATCGTGAAATCAAAGAGCGTCTACTTCTGCCGACTCCACAAACAAAATGATAACTCACAGGTCCGAAACCACCACCGGCCATAGCCCCTTTCTTTCTCCGTTCTTCACTATTATATCGATCTTCATAGAAAGCAGGTGTCTATTAGATGAGTGAACAAAAAAGAAAGTGCAAACATGCAATGATACAACGGGGTTAAAACTAAGCACAATATTAGTGAACATTGAATGCTAATTTTCTCACAGGTCCGAAGCCGCCGCCAGCTCCTATGACGCCTTTGAATTTTGTCCAACCAATTTTGTCTGCAAGCTCTGGTTTTTGAGCAATCAATTTTTGGACATGTTTATCGTCGTAGAGCGTCGGCGTCTTATATAGATGTGTTCGTTTCGGAAATGACTTGTCTCTCAACTAAGAAGATGTGTTTCACTTACCTGACTAGTCGACAATTTCCATGGTTCCTGAAGAACCTGTTGAAGAAATGGCGAATCCAGACCAAGAAATTTCGACACAACATAAAGACAAAACAAATGTCGATCAATCCCTTTGCCTGTCATCGCGTCACGATATTGTTGCTGATGATAATCACAAGCTAGTCGAAGTAAGTTTATGCGTTCAGCTTTCTAAACAAAACAGTGTTGATGAACAAATAACTAAACCAATCAGTTAGTGATTCATACCGTGACATTTGGATCTTCCATTGCTTTTACCCATAGACTTGATTCAATTGAACACGAACGAACAGTTTCTGTACGGCCATCACGAAAGAGTCGTGTCATCGATGCTTCATATGTTAAATTAAAATGGCCGGAATCCTTCAACAAACGGATTTCTGAGATTAGTTAACGGCAGAAATCAATCACATACACGATAATGTGCTAACTGAAGTGCCATTTGAATGTAAGCATCAGGTGAGAGTTTACATTTCTTCATAAAACCTTTTCCATATGTATCCTGAACAAAAACATGGAGATCGACATCGTTATAGATTTTCTTCGCTTGACTAAGACTTTTTTCGATCATAATTTGACACTAAAACATCAGCAAATGGAACCACGATGAATCTTACAAAGATGTCTCACGTTTTCAGAAATATTCCATCGGAGTTTAACGGGTTTAAGTGCGGTAAAGCGAGGTGTGCCACGCGTATTACCGAGTTCATTGTAACTAAAAATCAGATCGTTTATCGAAAATCGAATAACAATCCATTTACCCATAGTACAGAATGTCTTCCGAAAGTACGTATTCAACCATATGGCCGGAAATGGGCGCATCAGCCTAATACGAGAAGAATATATCTTGCAAGTAGCTAAGTATTCAAACTATCTTACCCAACTATGTTCGACATTGAAACCGAACTAGAAATAAAAATGATTCATCTTAGAAATCGCATCGAGTTCGTTGATATTCACATACCACAGCATTTTTACTAACAACAAACGTGAATGATTTGTCGAACCAACGATTGTATCCTTTACCATGGAGAATTGCATGAGCATATTCGTCGAATTTACCAGTCATATTCTAAAGTGCGAACAATGAGATTTATCAAACGTACGAGAAGTATTCTGTGTTAGACGCAAAACACCATGATTAGACAAAACGTATTAGAACAATAATAAGTCATATTTAGTGTTATCGGACGAAAATAGATATTAATGTTGTTTACCCCTTTCTCGGCCGCTGACACTGGTGTATTTTTATCTCGCTGGATGGAGTCGAATTCATAATTATGAAAGGGTATGAGGAATTTAACTTACAGTTCCGATTTCGAAATCTTCGTCATCCAAAATGAGTACGAATGCGGCCTTTTCGATCGCTTCTAACGAATACCGATTGACACCAGAACGAAAATATTTTTGGCGAGCGTCTGCCCAAAGCGGTCGTTCACCAGCTGTCAACGCAGCCAAGTGTTCTTCACCATTATCAGGTAAGGTTGTATCACGAAGAATTTCATCCAATTGACTGAAACACAAAGTCGTATGAAAACTATCTAACAGCTAATTCAACGCACAGTTGAAGTTCACATGGTTCCAGAAGAGTGTTTTTGTAGAACATGTAGACCTTATACCAACGTCCTTTATGATAAACAGCAATATGATGACTGTCGGAATAATGGACGATTTTATCTAAGATCAAAAACATTATATGGGAAATTTTCTATCGAACGAAGAAGTACCTGTTTCTTTGCCAGGTATGCGGACAGTATTGAATTGACGTTCATATTGACTTGAACATAAAGGAATTAATTTCTGTACCATAAGCTAGAATGAAAATCTTGAGGGTGAGTATGTCTAACATTGCCGTCACGAATGACATACAGGTTTGACAGTTTCATGATCCAGTTCAGTACGGTATCGAAAAGCCGCACATGTGACGTTGGCTGCTCGTGCTGTTTGAATGGTTGTTGGTCGTACATTGATTGCATCCTTGACAAAGAAAAAGACAAATTTTGAAACTCGATGGGTTTGTTTTATTTCGATATAATCGATTAAAATACGTACGAGACCGTAGAAATTACTATTGACCATAATTGCCGATCGACCACGTAGATAAATGAACTTTTCCCACCAATCCGACACCTAAATAACTCTACGTTAGTTAGACTAAATCGCAAAGCAAAGACTGACATAATTTGACGAAATAATCCACTTAAGCCAGAGATATCTCTGCAATTTCCTTGCAATTGTTTGTTTGAATTCTTCGGCTAATCTTTCCATACGCTGATACTCAGAATCATCATACAATGGTCGCACTGATCTCAAGTAACGTCGTAGTGTATCATCCAAACTTGGTAACGGTAGTGTTGGCAAAAGGTTTTGACATGAATATAGCGATGGATTACGGCCGACACATAACTTCACCAGCACCGACCAAATCTTGGGTACTAAGCCAAGTTCCGTTCCATGCTCATGATACATCCAGCCATGATAGGAGAATAATTTCTTCAATGTGTATTGTCGAACTTGTGTAAGAACAACGTAAACACCGGCGCCAAAAGTAATGCAAGCAATAATTTTTGCATTTTTTGGTGCAAAGTAGCGTTGGAAGATATGTTCGTCCAGCCAATCAATAGCATTGAATGACGGATCATGACCTTTGAAATATAGTACGGAGACAATTCCGCAACAAGCAATACCACGAAGTGGATGACCAGGATATAGTGAGTTGTAAAGAGAATTTAATGTGCGACGATAACGAAGTTTCCAAGAGCGTAAACCAGCGTAGATGAGTGCTTTGAAAACGTCATAACTTACGTCAACATTAAATCCTAGATAAAGTAAATAAACAAACAAAGAAAGTGAATGAAAAGAGATACGAATATTTTAAAATGCACCTTCAGGACCAACGGTAAAGGAGAATGCAACAGCTTCATGTGCCTCGGCCATGATTAATTCGACGATGGAATGGAAATATTTTTCGTTGAAATTTCGCTTTACTTCGCTGTACTTTGACCCGTTCTCTTCGTTCTTAATGGAAAGGAAGTATATGTATGTGTATGCGAATGCGCGTTAGTTTAACGTACGCTACAGAATGAAAGAAAAAAGAAAAAAAAGAAGAGAAAAGAAGAAAATATGACGAGTAGTACGATATGCGTAACTCCATTACAGAACACAAACAATTTTGTATGCTTTTTATAACGATACAAAGATAAATATACACGAATCTCTGTTAAAAAAACGAAAATGTTTTTTGCTGCTAACTTGTCATATCACCACAATCATCGATTATCTAATCAGTTAGGTAAAAGTTAAACAATGATCATTCATATTTATTATTTATGTCATTCAAACAGAAAAAAAGAACCTAACAAAACCCATTATTTTCATTCTTTTCGAACTAAATATTACACTTCACAACAAACAGATAATAACATGCAAAATAATGTTAAGAATAGTTATAAGGAAGAACTTCAAACTAAAATAAAACAATTATGATTGAGGATGATATTGTTGAACGGGATTGTAGTAGGAGTTTTGTGGAGGATAGGCACCATATGGTTGTTGAGCAGCCATTGGTGGTGGCGGCGGCGGCGATGAAGCATGAGCAAACGGTGAACTGTTTGCTGCCGGCTGTTGTGGTGGATATGCATTGTTGGGTGCATAGCTCGGATGTGCTGGTCTTTGTTGGTATAAATTCTGCTGTTGACCATAATATCCTCCTTGTTGTGGAGGTGGCTGAGGAGAAACTGTTGTCGGTGAGGATGTTGGTTGGTGATATTGATGAGCAGTAGCTGCAGTTGGTGGTGTACTGGGAGAAAGAATTGTTGGTGGCCCGTTGCTACTTGGAGTCGCTACAGGGGGAAATCTTGGTGTTGTGTTATTGAGTGCAGGTAGTACGCCAGTAAATGTTGTTGGCGGAGGACCAAATGTATTTGTTCTTGCATCTTGCTCTGGTTTGAATACTGAAGGAACAAAATTTGTTGCTGGTGTTTGTGAAGCATTAACTAAATTTCAAGAAGAATAATTATACTACTTGGTATAACAATGCTTTTCTTCTTACGCATATGATTTGCATTTAATTGCGGAGTTTCTGCTGTTGCAGATACTGATTTCTGTGATTCAATTTCATTTGCTGTTGCTGGTGCATCTGACACGTCATTTGTTGGCAATTGAAGACGATCAAGAATGGTTTGAACTGAGTTTCGAATGGCTTGTAACTCCGTCCGAAAAGTTTTCTCATCAATGAAATCTCCTTGTTTATCTGAATTTGCATTGATTTGTTCATTACCATTGACAAATACAAATAGACGAAGAACTTTATGAAAATGTAAAGCCACTGTCAGATCACTATCATTCGAAAGAGTGACTTTATCTCCATCATCATCCAAATATTTGATTATCAAGTCATCGGTATTCGATATTTTACCAACAAAGATACGCTGCATCATCAGAACAAGTTCTACAACAGTAATGCTTTACTCTTAGTTTTATCACACGGAACAGACTTTACCATTCAATGTTAAATCTTCATTATTGATCATCATTTTCCGGATATCATCAGCTAATTGAGCTTTGATGATCAATTGACCTGATAATTTGTCATTGTTCATTGTAGCGCAAGTAGATGAAGTTGGTGAGCTAGTCATTGATGAGAATTGATTGTACGATATCAGAACAAGAGGATAGCTATCAATCTCACAAGGATAGCCACGTTGATATCAACATGAATAGATATAGGTGTTTCCAACGCCAATGAGTGTCTTGATTAATAGAAGAAAATTAGGTGAAGACGTTCGAGTTGGTTTTTAGATAAATTCGAAATGATTTTAAAACATTCTTCATTCATTTGAGAGATAAATAATTTGCCTCCTGCAGATGTCCTTCTATCATGGAACATTAAGTCGAAGTTAACAGAATGTGTTACTGATTAGCAATAACTGCGTCATATGACGTTGATGAACTATTCTCTGACTTTATGAATATCAGTCATAAAGATGATTAACTTTTTATTTTTCTACATGTGGATAAGTATAAAGATCAACTCTGAATAGTTGATAGATGACTATATCTCATTCTCTGGATAGAATTATTCGTGCTAGTCAGCAAGCTCACCTTTCTAAGTTGTTTTTCAGATCATCCTTGAAAATTCTCCTTGTATTCTTTGACATTTATTGTTTAGGGAAATAGTCATTTTTCTCGTTCTATGTTTGAATTTTCTTGTAATGTTATAACATAAATCAATCAATGATGATTAAACTTTGTGTTCGTCACAACACTTCGTAAACTAATCTATTCCCCAGGAGAATTCCTCTCGCTACACAACATGCATTCCATTACTTGGCATATACAACTTCTTCGTCTTCTTTTTTTTTTCGTATTAATTAATATCTGGTAAATCAGTCGACATTGTACTGCTTAATCTAGCTTTGGCAAGCGTGCATGTCTTCACTGAAATCAAACACCGCTCTCGTCGATTGAATCGCGTGTATTATCTTTTTTCTGAAACATAAAACGATGTTTATTCAATAATATGAGACATAGAAAAGATGTCTGAATTATTTAGTTTGTCTCTCGATAATCTCACTGAAGAAATCTTTGTTTGGTTGATTGTAGAAAATTGAAGTATGATCAGTCGTTTTTGTTTTCTATAAATCAATTTGTGTGTTTCGATACAATTATGTTATTATCCGACGTTTTTCCAGATGAAGAAATTATAGATCCAAGTGTCTACTTGATAAAATAGCGCTTAATGTTCTTTTATCGAGTGCTTTTTTAAACTAATAACTTCCTTGTGGAGGAAAACCTAGAACGATTTAAGCCGAGAGGCGATGAAAAGGAAGAGAAGTTTTTTAGTTCATTGTTGGTATGAACTGATGAGATCGATTAATATAACGGATAAGCGTATGAATGAAAGTGGTAATGTTAGCTCTCTGCTTCTATCGTTATCTTGTTTTTCTCTTATTCAGCCATGCAGCTTTTCTTTTATTGTTGTTCTTGGTAATGTTTCTCGAATGAAATAAGTTCTGTTATCGTTCTATAGAGCGTGTTGTTCAGGGAATTGTTTTCAAGAAGGGAAGAACGAGAGAAAAATAGATGCAGTTCTTCATTTTTCCTTCTTTCTTGTTTTTATATCTAGACATGTTCCTAACTAAGGCTTAGAGTAAAAAACGAGACGTTGATGCATCTTCGCACACCGTCGAACGCGCCATTCGACTGTTATTATTTAGTGATGAGCAGGCAACAAGCAGTTGAAGCTCTAAGAAAAGGGGAGAGAAGAGAGGTAAGAAAAAAAAATGAAAAGATTTTATACTGACGTCAAATGCGCTGATAATAAGATGACGGTAGTGTTGCTAGTTTAATTGTGTAGAACAACTACCAACGGTTTGACTAGCAATTGAGAAGACATACACATCTCCGGTTACTTTCTCTTACTTGAATAGAGTTATAAAGAGAAAAAAAGGAGAGAAATTGCTTGTTGCTGCCTATTATTAACGATGTCTTTTCATTTGACATTCTTCTCTTCGTCGAGGTGCAAATCTGCTTGAGAGCTAACTAGTTACTTTATATTCTAAATTATACGAAGAAGAAGCTCTTTTGTTAAACTATTTTTATTACTAAATAAATAGTTGTAAATAGAAATGGATGTGCGAATAGATCAATAGGAAAACAAGTCGAGAGGTTTTGACTCGATGATTGATAAGTTCTATTTTAGAAAAAAAACAAAACAATGAACTATGACAAATAAAAATACATCGAGCAAAGTCACATTTTCTTCATTTATGAGTATGTCTTTTGCTCTGTTTCTTCCTTCCTATCACAATCCATGCTTTTTTTTATTTCCTTTGATGACGACAAATTCCATACATCTTGCTGTCTATCTGTCTATTTAAAATATTGTGCGTGTATGCATGCGTTCTTCTATGCTCTTCGTAGAGAGAAGAAAAAACCCGTCACATCATCTGTGATTGTTGTCTTGTGGCAATGACCTTGATCAAATCAAACTCTTCTCATTGTAATATTTAACCATTCCCTTCTTGTTATTTTGCTTCTCTTTGTCTATAATTCTTGACAATTGTATGTCTATCTCTGATTTTTCTTGAATATCGTTATAACTCGACTGAAAGTCAAGGCCCGGAAGAAAAAACTGACGACATATGTATATATAAATTATTGAAATTAAAAGCTTTTCTTTCGCCTTTCAGAATTTTATGCATATATGTCCTTGCACGACGATGATGAACTGTCGAAAACGAGAACTATGCCGATTAGGATGTCTTCCATTTAATGAATTCGTTGTGAGCGATGTTATCTATCAATGAACGTAACGGTCCGCTTTATCCAAGGTAAAATATGTTCCTGACATTTATTTTCCCTGAATAAATAAGACCATTATCTATCAAATTTATTTCTAATATTAACAGTTTTTCTCACTGCCGATTTAGTTGCGTTCAGAAAAAAGAGAAGGAAAAGAGAAAATTTGACAACAGGAAGCAAACATTTTTTGTTTCCCAAGCTGATAATTTATCTAAAAACAAAGAAATCGTGATAGATTAGTTGAGGAAAAACTACCACCTCGTTTACCATGTTTGCCTATGTAGAAGATCATGCAAGTGGACAGTCGATGGGCTGAACTAGTTGTGGCTAATCAAGGTTCTGTTCCATTTGGCATAAATCAACAGCTGTCATCTAATATTGATCGCCAAATATCCAGCATTCCTGTTCATTCACCACCTGTTGTATCTGCACCACCACCACCACCAACAACAACAACAACAACATTACTCACGGCTAGTGTCTTTCCTCCACAACGTGTCGAGCCAGTCGATATGCCTCGTCCGCCACAGCAACACCAAGCACAGAATCGAAACCGAACTGGTTATGTGCGCCCAGCTACCGCCGATGATCAACAGGGACAACCTTCTTATCCACGAACCATACCCATTCGCCATGTAACACATCCTGCCGATCAGTCATCATTCGTTGTATTTCTACGACGTTTATCGACACTATCTTTTCTTCTATTCGTTTCGACTCCATGTGTTATTATGGTCAGTTTGATTTTACCGATCATACTATTGTTACGAGCATTCATTCGATTGACTTGTCGTTATCATTGTACAATAACACCCTGTACGTGTGATTACCTATCAGCAGGTGACTTATTCTGGTTGTATAATAGTAAAACATCGATAAATCGAAATAAGAATGAAGACACAACGAAATTGAATACACAATCAAATGCACCATCTGCAGCGGCGGTTTTCTTTCTCGAAGGTACTATTGATTGTCCATCTTAGCAGTTTATTTTCTTATCTTTATATTTAGGTCCAGTTAATGAAAATGCTCTAAAGAAACTTCTTATCAATCGCTTAATTACGAACACTTCCCGACGTGGTTCAACGACCGGACAGAAGACCTTTCCGCGTTTCTCCCAAATTATTCTTTCACACTTTTCCGGTACCATGTGGATTGATTATTCCGCCTTTTCCATCGATGAACACGTTCACGAAATTCCACGAGATATGAACAACGACGAGGACATTCAGTCATACATCTCAACTCTCGTCTCTAATGAACTTCCGTTTACTCGACCCCTTTGGCATCTGTATTACAAAAATCGTTCATCAGTGCGTCCGAATGATAGTGTGCTTATCTTTCTCTACCATCCAGTTCTATCCGATGGCATATCATTGATACGCATTTTGCTAAAACATGTTGTTGATAATCGAACAACCCAACTCGATTTAAAGCCACGTTATGCCGGTCGCCATGGCGAGCATATCTTTGATTACATCAAAGCGTATTTGTTTGGACATATGTTATTGTTTAGTAAAATTCTATTTAATTCGTCTCGAGATAACTTTCTCAAACGGATTACTCATCCGAACCCATTACCGACAACGAATTTGAATCAACGGCAACGAATTGTGCTCTGGTCTTCACCGTTTAATCTAACGCGAGCAAATCGAATGAAGCTCGTCACACGAACACGTATGAACGATTTACTTTCAACTGCCGTTATTTCATGTGTGAAACTCTACCTCGAAACACACGGGTAAGATCGAGATTTTCTTTGATCTTAAACTAGATGAGGAACAAATTCTACACTGAAGAGATTTTCGTAGTAATCTAATTAGCACTTTTGTTATCAGAAAATTGAATTTGGCTGAAAAGAGCCCAAGGATTATCCTTGTTTATAGACCAATGTCACACAAAAAAGAGCACTTTTCACATATCTAGTTTTCGAAAGAGATTGTCCTTGATGACATTTCGATATTCATCGATCCGTTGAGATTTCATCCAATTAACATTGATCAATAAAAGATTTCATTGGGGGGATTATTTCTCGTATAATCATTCCGCAAGATGAAATTTTTGCATCTTTCTTTGAATATTAGTTTGGCCAATGCAGAAAATATTAATTGCATCATGCCGTGTGATCTACAATCGAATACAGCGAATATTGTTATGGGAAATCATATTGCACATATATCACTGAATCTACCTTTGCATATCGAAGGAAATATTCCAACGCTATGGTCATTTAATGATAATACAAAGCGAATGAAACAAAATGCTGATTATGCAACAATGTTTTTATTTAATTATATTTCCTACCTTCTGTTTCCAATTGGAATCGGTAAGTTCGAAGAACTGGTGATACAATTGCACAGTTTTCATCTCTTCACTTTTCTTTTCATTCAAGCGAATCGATTGATGGCTCGGATTTATAACAATGCTAGTTTATGGTTAACAACAATTGCTGCAGGCAGCAGTACCACATTAGCATCGATGTCCATATGTAATCGAGAAGTTCGTAGTTTAGTGTGCCTTAATCCCAGTATTGGAACATACAGTATTAACTTTTGTGTGACATCGTATTCGGATGAAATTCGCCTTGCTGTTAGTTGTGATTCAAATCTTGTGCCTAATCCACAATTTTTTACCGAATGTTTTATTCAACAGGTAGAAGACGAAAACGAATATTTCAGATTCACTTGTTCTTTCTTTTGATTGGATGTAGTTGAATCTGGTTTATGATCTTCTCGCACATAGAAGAATACCCGGTGAAATTCGACGTATCACTCGGCCACCGAAGTTTGCGCCGCCGAAGAAGAGTATTAGTAGCATATCCGACATATCCGATGATTTAACAATTGAAGAAGTAAGCTGATCAAGAAGGATGGAGAGAAATAGTTTCGGATATTTCTAGATTCAATCGAAAATGTCCACGCTACAACAAGAATTACTTTCATTGAAAAGTCAGTTCGAAAATGTTGACGCGACTGATCCATCGGGTCAAACTCAACGTTTAATCATAACAACCAAATTGGAAGAATTACGACGTGAATTCCGAGAATTGCTAATCAAGTTGCAAGAACGTCAATGTGAAATGTCAGGTATGATCCCAAGTGATGAAGAAGATGAAATGGATCCACACGTACGAGTACGTCTACGATCTGCAAGCGTTGCTTCGAAGATTTCTTTGAGATCAAATGAACAAAGACAAGTTTCCTCAAGGTACACGGATCGTGTTACAAGAAAGCTTCTTATACTCGTTCACTTTTGTTTATTCAGAAATTATCAATTAGAAGATGGAAACGAATGCATTCCAGGGACAGTGCAAAATTCTGTTTCATCGTCGAAAATGAATTTTGTCGGACAACGATTGGTAAGATCCACAGATGTATAGTTTCTGTCCTTTCATCGAAATTTTTCTTCAGAATAATCGAGAACTTGCCGGCATGCGTCGTGCTCAATCGGTGAGTGTTTGCGAAGACACCAGCGTGGATATTCCACGTCCAACAACGATCGTAAGTCGAACGCGTCCGACGACGCCATCGAAAAAGTTAATCACAACGACGAATGCAACGATTGTACATCTTGATCCACGTGAACATTGGAAAAATGGAAGTGGAAACTAAATGAATCTCAAGAGAAATCCATTGTTTTCATATCGTTGCTCAATCTCAGCTCCTTTTTTTTGTATATAGACCGATTGATTCAAATGGTCTTTCTTATATTTTTCTGAGCATCTATTTTTGTTTCGTTTGGTTCTACTTGTTGTCTTGTTTGTTTACTTCTTTTTTTGCATGTGAACTAATGGTTGAAAAGAACACGCAAGAATCGACGAACTTCATGATGAGAGCTTCTTGTCTGCACTTCAAATTACACGACTATACACCAAAAGACTCCTTTTATGAATCTAAAATTAACTCATCTATTGCATGGTTTCTTATTAAAATCCCATCTTCCTACGGGTAACATTTTTCTATTAATAAATGTTAACATCTTTTTATTTCCATGAGATTACCTGTGTTTCTTGCTTTGTGACTCATCGAATCAAATTAATTTTGGTGTCAACCGTTATCTTAGATGCATCTCTCAGCTTATTCACGTTGAGTCCTATATCATATTGAAATTTAATCCTTCTTTGCGAAGTAAGAAACAATCAAACTATTATCCTGTGAGGTGTTACCTTACTAGGCTATAAAAAAAAACATGACCAGAGCACCCACTTTCTCTGTATGAGTAGGTATTGTCGTATTTCTGAATGATAAAAACAGGATTCTAAGGCGTCATCGAATAGAATTTATTTGCCGGGGGATTGCAAAGGGACAAATCATGTTCTACAACGTTATCCTTTCCATGTATATAAAGGAGAACAGAAGAGCACTGATAACCAAGCGTTGATTTTCATATTAGCAATAATGTTATCAATAAGTTTATTATTTGTTTGCGTTTCTACTTTGATTGGATATGTACATGGTGCAAATCAATGTGAAGCTTTTATTGATCTAACACTGATCATTGATTCATCGAATAGTGTACCTGAAAACGATTTCGAACAAGGCAAAAATGCTCTGCTCGATCTTGTCAGTCGTCTCAATGTCGGTGCAGATAAAGCCGGTGTTGCTGTGTTGAACTTTGCATCAACAGTTTCGCTCAGTGCTAATACTGATGTATATGAATTCGATCGAACTGAATTACTCCAACAAATAGCCGCTCTACCACGATTGGCAACCAATACGGCCACTGGCGAAGCTTTAGCTTTGGCAAAGACTTATTGTCAAAATCGTTGTCGACAAACGGCGCGCGCAGTTCCTCGAGTTTTTGTCATATTTACTGATGGACACAGTAATACAGGTCGACCGCCCATACCAATTGCGAACGAAATACGTTCAAGTCCAATTGAAGGAACAATCTTTGCTGTTGGCATCGGAAACATCGGTCCCGATGGTAACAAAGAATTGTTAGGAATAACCGATGATGCCAACTATATCATGAATATCAATTCATATTTGGATTTGGCTCGTGTTACAAATGCTATTACAGAAAAAATGTGCGAATTCCCTGCCTTTGTCCTGCCCGATACTACTATAGAATTTGCAGCACCATCAAATTCCAGCCGATATTACAAAATGCATACAGTAAAGAAAAATGCCTTTTTCGAAATCGAATTCAAAGACCAAGAAGGACAAGTACATATTTTCGTAGATTCTCTGCCTCATTCATTGATCTTTCGAACATTTAGGCTGTGGTGTATACATCTACTACAAGTAAGAAACCGACTTCATACACATCAAAGAGCATGACAAGCCGTCGTAGTGCTAATGGCAAAAAGATCTTTACAACGTTCGTGTCTGCTGATGCAAAGAATTTTTATTTTAGCGTCAAAGGTACGGCAAGAATGAATAAATCGCAGTTTATTGTACGTGTTCGTCCTGTTGAGTTTTGAAAGATGAATGAATAAAAAGTGCGAAATATTTTGAAGTTTATGTTCCAACACAATTAGAAATATCTTTCTTCAACGAAAGTTAAAATAGATTGACTTTCTCGTTGTGCATCGTCCAGTAATGTCTTTGCTGTTTCTAAATAAGTATTTCGTATAGTCTAAAATGAAACACATATGAACAATTTTCTTTGAAAGAATGTCTGTCAATTACAATGACCTGTGAATCACTGGTATCGTTATTATTGTCTAATAATGAAGAAGAAAGGAATTCCAGACGTTTGCATGCGCCATAGACTGCAGTTTCCAGACATTTGATTGCCATCTAAAGAGAAATATTGGTTTTCGAATCTATAGCGAATCCGATTTCAAACCAGAAAATCCGCTTTCGTTTGAATATTGAATAGCAACGCCAATTTTCGTAATGGCTCCCATAGCTGATTGACCTGTTGAGCGATATCGAGCGAAATATCGAGACAATTCTGTAAACAATGCTTTTCAGTTAACCGTTTACTAAAAATGAAATGTTGTATTATCTAAATGACAAAACTGTCGTTGCAACTAACAAGCGTTTTTCTTCCACACTTATTTCTGCCATTTTCTGTACCATTAAAAAGGAATTAAATGCGTTCGTATCTTCATCTAATGTTTTCATCAATGTTGATATTGCTGTATGAAATAGAACGGTAAGAGCACGTATTTCATTCTCCACTGGTTCGTACTGAAGATTTCAAACGAACAGTCAAATAAGCGTTCACTCAATCGCTCTTACTTTTCGCATTCCATAAGTCAATGATGCACACATTGTGCTCAATGCCGTACCGAATGTTGCGACTAACGAAGTGACACAACCTCCACCTGGAATAAGATTTCGAGCACTAACATGCTTGATTAAATCTTTTAATTCCATGGAAGTTAAACTGTCTTCTTGTCCTTCACGTTCGCGAATAATATATTCAATAATTCGATCCTTTGGACTGAACGGTGTAATTGAATTTAGACCTAAGCGTTGAATAACTAAGCGAATCTTTTGATCTTCTTCTAGAACGAAGAGATTCTCCTTTCGAATGAAATAATCTGCAGCGAGTAGTAAAGACTTTAACGGTACAATGCCGATGATTTGAGAACCACAAACGCCAAGATTGAGTAGTTCAGCTTCTTGAACACATTGTTCGTAAGCAACATGGATATTTGTGATTTCAAAATCAGTCAAGTTCAATGAAACTTGAGCTAAATTACCTTCCGATGACCACCAACCAAGGCCACGAACACATTTTAATTTTCCAGGCTAAAAAAATATACTAAACAATCGACAAAAATTCGGTTTTTCTAAAGTTATTTACTTCGTCGATGTCACGTCTTTCCTGTCCGAGGTTCATTGCAATACGATATGCTTGCTCTCTCGTGCCAAGTATATTAATATTGAAAGCAATCAAAGATTTCCTTGCCCCAACACATGTCGCTCCCCACGAAGGAACAAACTCACTTGGTCCTTTGTTTTAACACAATTTTAACAGTTAAAATTCATTCACTCCTGAGAGTATCTTACCAAAATCAGGTTCCCATTCTTGCTGTCGAATCTACGTACACATCTATAGAGGATGAAATTGTTGCCTGTTTTCTCATCATACTTTATGTGCCAATCCTTCATATTCTCCTTCGCGTATTTGTGCCAGATCTTTTCGATATTCTTTCTCCTGTGCTTCACCGTATAAATAAACAGGTATATGCAATTCCAATGCCAATCGAACAGCAAATTCACGTGCTAGAGCAATACAATCAGCCATTGTCGCATTCCGTACAGGTACAAACGGTACTACATCCTAAAGTATCACCTCAACAAAATGACCAAAACTCTTGTAGATCAATTACCATCGCACCGATTCGTGGATGTTCGCCAACATGCTTTGTCATGTCGATTAGATTATGCGCTACTCGAGCAGCAGCGAGTGCTGCTTCAACAACGCCTTGTGGATGTCCGACAAAAGCTAAGAAGAAGAAAATCGAACTGATTCTCGAGATTTTCGAGGTGGTTTTACTGTAAATGGTTCGGTTTGTTGCAATACCGAAATCAACATCCAATAAAGATACACCTGGGATAGTTGCAACAGCATGGGCAATGGCGTCGATGACCTTGAAATAAAAATGAATAAAAAAAAACAGACAAGATGGACTCCATTCGTTTACGTCTTTCCGTTGACCTTCAGAGAAATTCGGTACACATTCAATAACTCTCTTCATCACTGTACGAATTTTACGTCTACTCTTTGTTGGCAATCACTGTTATGAAGCATGGACTGCAAGGAGGAAAAAAGGCTGTCTCATTCTGTAACAATCGCACATGGATGAAACCCAGTAAAAGCAGAACAGAAAAGAAAAGAAAACTTTTTGATCATATTTAATTTACCGCCTTGATTATTTCTCTGAACATTAAATGTTTTCGTTCATAAGTTTATTTCGACGAGCAAAATCGCCAAAGCGTATTCTTCTCTTAGCCTCATTGCGTCCAGGCAGTGGCAATGCGGCGACGGCAGAGCGTCTCACCCATGAACTACAATTAACAGGAAAATTTACTGTTGATTGCATATCTGTCGATACTCCTCAGACTGAATCGCATTCACTTGTCGCATCAATGGATGAATATACAGCAATTCTCGCCTTGCATGTCTATCGAGCAGGCCATGTTCTAACATCGATTTACAAAAATGAACGAATTTATCATCCACCACTGATTCTCATATTTGCTGGTACAGATTTACATTCGTGTGAATCGAAATGGATACCAACGATAGAATTCATTCTTCCGTATGCAGACGGAGTAGTTTGTTTCAGCAATGAATGGAAAGCTTATGTTGAGTTGACTTATCACAACTACTTATCGTGTAAGATAACCGTCATTCAGCAGAGCGTATATTTAACGTCATTCCATTTCGAACAATTGCCTTTAATAATCAACAAAAAGCCAATTCTATGGATTGGAGAAATTCGCTCGGTGAAAGATCCATTATTTGCACTAAAGGTTCTGCCGTACTTAAATGCAAATGAATACCATCTACTCCTCGTTGGCGACGAGAATGATTCCACTTTAACTGAACAGATTCGTTCAGGTTCATCGAATTTGACCTTACTCGGCCGGCAATCTCAAAGTCTTGTCCATACATTGTTGCGAACATCATTTATATATATAAATACATCGGTGAACGAAGGAATGTGTTTAGCAATACTCGAGGCAATGACATTAGGCATACCTGTGCTCGCTCGTCGAAATATTGGAAATCTGAGTGTTGTCAAACATGAAAAAACAGGATTGTTGTTTGATACACCCGAAGAAGCAGCTCAATACGTGTCGAAATTAGAGCAAAACATCAGGTTAAGACAATCATTAGTCGAACAAGCCGAAAAATATGTAAAGAAGTATCATGATATCACTGATGAAACAAAATCCTATCGAAAATTACTTCAGGATTTAATCAGATAAATAAACAATAGTCAGTGTGCAAATATATATATATATATATCATTGTATAAAATTCATCAATCTGAAGAGTAAAAACAATTATTACTAACTGATTTATAGGATAAATTCATGTACAATATCGGTGATCAGTGTTTAATTTTCATCTTGGGGCGATTTTAGAGCGGAGTTTCGAAACGGTGTCGACCGAGGTTGAGACGACGATGTCAGAGCACTAGCCATATGCTTCATTGCAATTCGAGCAGGTGGATAAACACTGAAAAGACTACTGTTAGATGGTTGTCTCTATAAAAAATACAATCAATAGGATAAAAGAAGAGAAACCATTGAATGTTGTTACCCGAGTCAGGTCACTGGATGTTTTCGAGTGAGTGGATAATTTTGTTATGGAAGTGAGATCTTGTTGAGGTATGAGTGCATTTTTATTCATATAAGTATGATCGCCTTTTGTTAAACCGAACTACGAAAGAAAGATCTGCGAAGATCTATTTGACGGATAGAAACTTACAGATGAGCGATTGATGGATAAATTACTTAAATGACTATCGCTACCAGAGATGTTTCGTCGTTGTTCCAAAGTGCTGAAATAGACCGATTTCAACGATGGTTCAATTTCTTTTCATTGGCACTCACCGTGGGAAGACGTTGCTGACTTGTTGTTCGAAACTGCGATTTCCTCGAACAGACGATGAAACTAAATCCGAATATGCAATTGCTTAAAGAAATCTCTCATTACAATTATTATCGAAAATGAACCTGTAGAATCAGCATCGTTGTTACCGATCACATCAGAAACTGTCTGCTTGGAAGGTATTCGTTGCGCATTCGTTGCAGTATCTGACGTTGGATGACAATGAACAGACTGGCTACGAAACAGGTCTCGTTTACTTTCGCGAGTCTATTAAACGAAATACTTTGGTCGGAAATTACAGTATTCAACGAGATTCGTCTTACTTTAGAACGTAGTAGATGAGTATCGTTAACTGGTCCTTCTCGCGTCGGTTCTGGCACGATAATCATTGATGAACGATAAACATACGATTCGGGAATTTGTTGTTGATTATTGGTTACCAATCGATATTGGTCCAGACTAAATCGTTTATTGATGTTTTGCAATGATGTTTGAATTAGATCGACTGGAGGTTGAGGCTTAGGTCTGAGTAACACTTCGTTTGCATCATGTCTCAATGTTGAAGATGATTGTTCACGAATTGACGGAGTCGATTGTTGGCTGGGAAGATAAGTTTTGCGAAGAAGACTTGTATTCGTGTCGATATTCTCGTTCACAGATCGAGATTTGAATGTTGAGGATTGACCTTCTTCATCGCTGGACGATGAATACGTTCGAGTTCGTGCCCGGATTATCTTCGGTCGATGTTGATTGAACGAGACTGATCTATCTGGTAAAGCATTACTAGTATGATGTTTGGACTTTTCGCATGTGAACGATGCCGAAGCGAACGATAGATCAGTGTGCTCATCAACGCTAACATTGTGATTTGTTGATGAGGATCGATGTCGAGTAGGAATGAGATTACTATCTTCATATCTTAAAACAAAACAAAACTCAGATAAGTTGAAGATAAATAACGGTATTGAATCTTACGATCTACTCAGTCGACTCTCTGCTTGAGAAGGTGTTTCACGTTGATGAAGAGATTGTGAACGTTTATGATTTAAATAATAAAATGCATCGTGTTGAATGCATTGCTCAGATGTTAAACGATCTGCGGAGCGTAGTTGTAAACAATTCTTTTGAGAAAAGAGCCAAATTCTTTCATCAATACAAACCAGTCGAGATATTTACTTTGAATAAATGTAGGAAATCAGCAGGAAAGATTTGATTGAACTGACTTTCCAAAGGTTCGACATGTTTCACTGTAGGAAACTGAGATCGATGAGAATATACATATACAAATCCATGAGAAACGCTAGAAATTACTTTGAAGCCTTCAAATTTCGGATTGCGTATCATATCTTCCAGATATTTCATTGGTAACTGTCCTAAACTTTTCTGTATACGATACAACTGATCAATATCACTTTCACCAGCTAGAATACACCAAAACTACAATCGAGCTAACAAAACTCAAACAAGATCCATACCAAATAAAGCTTGACCAGTTGCCAATTCAGCCATAATACCTTGAAAAAGAAACAGAAATAGTTTCTTCACGCGATGAAATTCAGTATCACTTACATCCACATGCCCAGATATCCACTGATTTACCATAAGCAGAACTAAAATAACGATTTCAGAGATGAAGAAAATCTACTAGATTTATTAATCAAACACAAAACATATGAACGAAATTTTACCCCACAAGCAACTCCGGTGATCGATACCATCGCGTTGCAACCTAAACATAACGTAAATAACAAAGTCTTTGCCTACATATTCTCATACATAATTTGTATAGTAATCCGCTGACGCTTGTCCATTACAAAACCTTGCAAAACCAAAGTCGCACAGTTTCAAAACGAAACTTTTTGATATAAGCAGATTCTCTGGTTTGATATCACGATGAATGATTTCATGTGTATGACACCAATGAACACCACTGAATAACTGATGCGATAATTGACGTACCTGTTCGAGTGGTAAACCTGTTGGATGTTCTTGTAAGACTTCCAACATGTTCTAAAGCAATAACTGCAAGTTTTCTTTTGTAAAAATTGAAAGCGCAGAACAAACCGAATCAACATATTCGAAAATGAGAAAGTATCGCTTCTTATCGCGAAACCATTCGATTAACTCGACAATATTTTCAAATCGAAGAGATTGTAAGATCCTCAGTTCACGTTCGACGATGTCAATATCACTGTTATAACCTAAAAGGATCAAAATATACTTTATCAGGAAGAAGAAACAGACGCGAAGTATTCAAACCGGGCATTTGTTTAAAATATTTAATTGCCACAACTTGCTCGGATTCCTAAATGACGAAAAACACACCATCGATTCGACTTCTCGATGCATAACATCATACTTTCTTTCGAGCTTTGAGCACGAGTCCATATGCACCTTGATCGAGATGGCAAATGTCGAAGAGCAATCGAAAAACATCGAAGAAATCTTACCTTCACCAATCACACCGAGAACTTCAAATTTGTCTTTAACTTTTCTCGGTATATGTCTCATCATCGCTGACTCGTTTTGTAAGATGAAAAATTCAGGCAAAAAATTGATCAATACGTTCTCTTACTCTATTACCAAGCCAAAACTCATGTCTGCTTAATGGCATAACCGATTTGTGCGATGTTGTTTTTCGCACTTTCAATACTTATCGCGCATTTGTTTGCTTCGTCTTGCGACAAATTTTTCAAATTTTCTTTTCAAGAATTTTCTCCGACAAGAACGAATGAATAAGCAACAGAGGTCACCGCTGTAAGCAAATCAATACAAAAACAAAAAATAGTATTGTGACAAACAGATCGTTTAACAAGCACACTCCCGAATAAAACATAACAAGTCTCTGATTTATTTCTTATGAATGATACTGTGTATCAGTGAATCGTGAAAAAGAAAGACAATATAACAGAACGAAAAAAAACACGTCTATACATATATGCACAACAAAACAAAGTTCTTTTTTTTCGTATTCAAAACTCACACCCATCAATACCGTCTAAATAAAGTTCGTACTCTTCTCGATTGCATTTACCATCTGACGTAAAGATATGTTTATGAAATGTACCATTGACACTGGCTGTAACCACATGATTCGGATCGGAAAATGCACAAATGCATGCCCATTCGTTATCAACTTTAAAGTTGCACAGATCACCATAAGCTTCGTTGAGGACATGTGGCAAAGCGACCATTCGGTTGGATTTCGAATCTCGAATACCATAGATATGCATGGTGCCTTTATCGCTGGACACACATAGGAAACTGGAATCGAAACTAAATGCAAGACTATAAATATCGGCCGTATCGGAACCGCGTCGAAATTCGACGATTTTTTCACATAAACCTGTTGTTAAGAATATACGAATTAGAGTGCCCTATTTGAAATAGTAAAAATTAGAAGAATGTTTTTATTGCTTTCAAGCAGTGTGTACTCGTTTTGAAGCAGTTGCTAAGAGACTACCAGTAAAATTGAGTGCAATTGAAGCCAATTCACTTCTATGAGCTTGAATGATACGTGGATTATAAGACATATCATCATTTTCAAATCCATTCATATTCTAATACAGAAAAAAAACGACAGAGTATATATGTTTGATTTGAGTCTTTTCTAATTTTGCAATTATTAACTGGTAGGACGTATAATGGAATATGAAATGAGTGAGTATCAGTTGACAAGAACGAAATAGATGTGCCCGTTTTCTTTTTTTGCTGTGCAATACTTGTTCAATTAGAATTTGATCCGGTTAACAAAAAGAAAATCTATGCACTTCATCAGCGACCGTACGCACGCATACTCGAATTTTCCCATAACTTTGAAATTTTTTCAACTACAAAATAGTCGATTCGAAGTGGAAAATTACAAGTTCTCTTTCATCTCAGACAAGAACATACTTAATCATTCATTATAGCGAAAGAGAAGAGAGGAAGAAGAGAAAAAAAAACGTCAATACCATATCATCCTTTTTTTTTATTTTTCTCTTTCAACCAATAAGCTTTTTTAACCAATCATCAGCTTTTTCGCCTTCTTCTCTCTTTTTTCTTCATCAACGAAAGAGAGAAAGTATACAATACATTTGATCATATTACTCGAGTACGTGAAAGGCGAGAATATCAGTCTATATATCACCATCTGAGATTTCTCGACATATGATGAAGCCAAGTACAACAAGTTCTTCATATCACCATTCAACATACGATTATCATCATCATCACAATTTTCCGTCAACGTCAGCAAATCTTTATCCAGCATATTACCCTAATCATTACATATCTCAATCGAATATTTCAACCAAAATAGAGAATGATGATTCATCGAATTCAGATTTACCGCCGACAGCTGCCAACACTTCGCTCATTCAAAATCCAATCATTCTCAAACTACCAAATAGCAATAACATCGAACAAACACTGACATTGACCATTGATCATTTAGCATGTGTTTGCGAAGCGATTCAACAAAGTGGTAAAATTGACAAATTAATCAAACTCCTTCAATTATTACCAGTGAAATCATCATCACCTGACGCGGCCTTGATACATCAACATGATAGTATTTTAAAAGCACGCGCAATCATCTACTACCACCAATCAAAATTTCGTGAACTGTATTGCTTATTGGAAGCACATTCATTCGATAATCATCACCATCCCGAACTGCAACAACTATGGTACAAAGCACACTACATGGAAGCACAGAAGATCCGTGGACGAGCATTGGGAGCTGTGGACAAATATCGTATACGAAGAAAATATCCATTGCCAAAATCGATCTGGGATGGTGAAGAAACCATCTACTGTTTCAAAGAGAAGTCTCGTCAAGCATTAAAAGAATGTTATCGACAGAATCGTTATCCCACGCCAGATGAGAAACGCTTACTAGCAAAGAAAACAGGCTTAACATTAACACAAGTCAGTAATTGGTTTAAAAATCGACGACAACGAGATCGTACACCACGAACGTAAGTTTTGCCCTTTGAATAGCAGCGAACAACAAAATTGCCACTTATCCTGAACATTATCCACCTTATGTTCATATCCTAGTAGTCATGACACATTTACAACCTTTCCACTTTGCACTTCCATCGTTTGAAAAATGTCAATTGATTTTGTTTCTTTTTTTAATTAATAGACAAGATCTTCAGACATCGTTACTCAACCAAGCGGCCTATTTTGCTGCCGGATCAGTCTATCCCCATGGATTGTTTGGTGCACCGTCATCATCATCATCAACAAATCAACCTATACCATCAGCCAATTCTTCATACATTCATCACTAATTCTCGAAAAACGACACGAATCTCTCTTTCTCTCTCTCACTTTTCTCATTGTTGTTTCTAGTCTGTTAAATAAAGAAGAAGAAAACGACAATGTCAAAAGTGAATTCGTTGCAGACGAAAAAAAAACGTCCATAATAAAGTAGTACCTGAGATACTAACAAAGAAAAAGCAATTTTTTTTAAGTTTGGAAAGCAATGATGCACTAATGATCATCTCGGATGTTTCCAATAACATATAATCATTTGCTAATTATGTTATTTCATCCGTTGCGCATCTGGTTACCTTCTTTCTTTCTCAGCTACCTGCTGTATTTTGTCATTAGAATGAAGACAGAAAGATGACACGCATCTTATAAATAGGCGATGTCAACTAATTGATAATCATAATGCGCAAGAGAAGAAAAAAAAATTAATGAATGAATGGCTGAATTCAATTCATCCTTTTTCACTAATCACTAAAGTATACAGAATCGAGCGCAAGTTATTTGATGCGGTCATTATCGTACCGAATACAGAGCAAGAAAAAAAATATAATCTTCCATCTCCACTTATTTCTTGTCGATCTTTCAAATGAATATTAGCATTCAAAAGTATGTGCGCGCTATATGATACCTCTGCACACATTCATTAAAAGTCACTGCGCACACGCGTAATGACACAAAAAAGTGTACTCATGTCAATCAATCAGTCAACTTCAAATAAGACTTTAAAAAGAGATTCATTTGAATAAGAGATCATTTCTGTACTTACTAACAATTGAATGAAACCACTTTTAGATTTAGTATTGAAAGGAAAAGCGATGATCGATCCATCGTTATTCGATAGTTCACAAAGACCTGTATGAAATGAAAGTGTAGTTCTATCATTTTGGTTATAATACATACATACCTTTTGGATTATCTTTCGTTTCGATTGTATGTAAAAGTCGACAGTGATTTGGAAAAGAAAATATATGAATTTTGTTTGTAAGTACGACTAAAAGTCTATACAAAAACAAGCCTTTTCAAACATATAAGTCAATAGTTCAAACCTAGTTCGAGACATTCGTATAGACATGACTGATGCATTGAAACAAAGTTCAAGTACATGCGTTTTGAGTTGATTATCGTAAATATTGACTGAAAAATCATCCGATTTCATCGTTTAACAATCAAGCAAAACCTACCGACATTCGACGCGAAGCCTGTGCTATAATCTGCCGGTACATAGGCAATTAAATTCGTTCGATAGAGCATTTCAGCATATATAACATGACCCACTTCTGAAAAAGTTCGATTTTTACTTTAAATCAAATGAAAATCTTCATTACCGAGGTAACACTTTTGTGCAAGTGGTTCCACATTGAATACACGAATTCCATCACGTGTCGTACAAATAAAACAACCTACGAATTCGAATTGAAATCTTTCTCGTCGAACATCTCTCACGTACTTGAATCTTGATTGAAACGTAAACTAAGTACATCAGCTGTTTTGCGCATACATCTGGTCGACGACATGAAATATCTAAAAACATACATTGAAATTGACTTCCTAAATTTTATTATGAAATATTCAAACTAGAAAGTGAACATTTATTCATTTCATCGAAACAAAAATTTAAGAATCGGGCGAAGTTAACAGATAATCGTTAGTAATGTCCTTTGACCAATCAATATCAGCTAAAACAATGTTAACTTCACCTAGAACATGTTTATTGACATTTAAGATATTATTCCAAACGCTGACACGCAACGTTCGCCTAAAATAATCGAAATGAGTTGATCGACTCAAAAGATTTCTGGACTTGCTTTTGAATCTCTGTTCGATCGATCTCATAGGTAAACTAAACGAAAAATAAAAGTTAAGAAAGTTCAGTAGGACAAAAAAACTCATACTGTTTCATTAAATATAGGATTTCGTGAATTGACTATGTTTCCTTTTCTCTTCGTTGATTTAGACTCATCAGGAATTAGATAACATTTACAATATGGTCGCGGTTCGTTTCCATTCGATAATGGCTAACGGTAAACAAACAAAAGACGATTTAGAACGTTGAAATTTTTAACCTTACCAAATTACTAGCGTGACGAACCATAACGTATAGTTTACCATTTTCATACTTTAGTATTATACCAATTTTCGCTCGATTATTGACCATTGGATCTTGGAAAACACGATCTCGTGGAGAAAAATCAATAGGAAAGAGACTTACATTCACTGTTTTTCTCTCGACGGTCGTTCAGTTGTTGATCACGTTGGTCGGTTTGAAAAAATGTCGAAACTATATTGGACTGAATATGAAGGACAAATGATACAGTTGAGATCATTTCGAAAATTTGAGAAATTACTTCGATTATCTCATTGGTTGAAGTAAACAACTGTTTGAGAAATTCATTCATATCAAGAAGACGTTTTTGGGCGAGTATTCTATTTTCTGTTTGTTGAGACATTTTCATTTCGAAACCAATCGATGGAAACTGGTTGATCAAGCATTCATAGAACTCATATAATTCATTATATGTTCGATAATGATACGTTATATCCGACCGTTCAACTTTGAATTTATAGAGATAATGCTTCACAGGCACCCTTCGCTTTTCATAATCGATCACCTGTGCAGATTTGATTTTGTCTTCGTGAGTAATAGCGTAGGTACTCGGAACAAACGATGGGATTGTTTCACTTGCCGGCGAATTTGTTGAACTTAACGGTTGCGCCATTTTATGTATGAAGCCATTCAATCTCGTCCACGTTGAGTTGAGACTATCAACGATGAGATCGGTGAAATGTGTGATACTATCTGCATAGTTCTTCGATGGTGCTAAGCGCTCGTGAACAAAACGAACAGCATCGTAATTCAGATTTGGTATGTTCGATGAACAGAGATGGGAAAGAAGAAGCAGAAGCAACGAAGAATTCTGACGTAAAGTTGTAAACGCATTGCAGCACAGATCAACAAATTCATGCATCGCATCGTTCGAGGTACCACCGTAGGACATGGCATATAGCATTTGTTTAGTAAAGATGAACGGCGCCCGATCGCTGAAAATAAAAGTTAGAAACAATTTGCAAAAAATTATGAACACTTTCTATCGTGTAGGAACTTACCGATTGAACCATCCAAATTTTTGTGTATCACCTAGATATTTTCCAAAATCGATATGGAATAAATGTCCCGATTTTTTCACCATCACATTTTCATTGTGACGATCACCAATACCTAATATATACGTCGCCACGCAGTAACCTGCGCATGAGTACATTAAGTTATCGATTGCTGTATCAAGATCCCGTTCTGTAGTGTTATTCTTATACAGCCAATCATATAATGCTGATTCACCGAATGAACCCTTGATTGTCCCAAACGGTTTTTCGATGTCTAATAATGTTTCGCTGTCTTTGATCATTTCAATTAAACCGCAACGCTCTTGCGTCAAAACAACATCGAATAAACTCAATCGAAAATCGAAATTATTCGCTTGCCAAATCTGATCCATACATGATAATAATTGGAGAACGATTTGATCTTGCTATAAGCAAAATTTGTCAAAGATTTTGATTGAATTACGAAACTTACACGTAAATCATCACCGATTTTGAACAGGGTTTGATACTTTTCTGAAGGAAAGCTGCTCGAATTAAACACCAGCTTCATTGGTAATGTGTATGAAGGGAATATTAAACATGCAGATACATCAATATTGTTTGTTTTGAAAGCAAATTGACATGGTAAACGGCAGGATCGTTGGCCAGATTGGAAAAAGTCTTTATTGATGGCTTTCAATTGTTCACTTAAATATTCGACTCGATTCCTTTTAGATTCTTTGATTTCCAAACCGATCTTCTTTAAGTTTACACAGAGATCGTATTCGTTTTGTAATTCCACACGAAAATCATCGTTCATAACATACAATAATGCTAGCAACATATAATAATAACGTGTAAAGTGGATACTTTCAGTTAAAATCAGTTGTCTCAGATACCAATAGAACTTATGTGCGAGATGACAGTTCCGTTGACACTGTTCAAGAAGATATTCAATAATTGGTGATGAATAATCATGATCACATTTCATAATTTGCAAAAGTTGAGGAAGATATCGGAGAAGATCATGAGAGTCAACTTGTGACATAAACGACCGATAGGCACAGGATCGTATGAACATATCTGGAAAAGCTGCTAGGAGAAGTTCGAGCGCTTCGATTTCATTAATTGTACGTTGCTGAGTAATTGCATTGACAAAACCGTAAACATCAATTAAACTCGGATAATCCCAAACGGTGCGAGATTTTAGCAGTTTTGGTAAAGCATTTGGTCTGTGCATGAGGTAGAATCGATGCGACCACAGATGGTAACGTTCATCATCAGAAAATTCACGAGATAAACTGCGAATATAAGCGCCTAGAATGTAAACTGATAAGGAAAAAAAACACGCAAGAAATGATTTACGAACTTTCATCTAGTGCGTTGGAAGGGGATTGCTGCTTGCGATTGTCGATCGTTGGGTCACTCGTCAGCAAGATATTATGATCGATGAGAAACAAACATCGTCGATCGAGTAATTGAGAAAGTTCTTCTTGTTTTTCTGAGCTGATTTCTGTTATATTTCTAGCTACGATATCCTTTCTCGCTGGAATATCTGGCCAGAAGTATGTGCGATTACCAAACGAAACAGTTAATATTGAACAATCCCGATCGGATACATTTCTCAATGAATAAAATCCAGTTCGATTCGCAGTTGTATAATCAATGATACCGAAGTATCGTTCGCCGGTGATAAGATGACGTTCGTGATCGAATAATGTTTGTGAGCACCAACCAATAAGACGCATGGACATCCCATCGAATACTTCTGAAACCAAAGATGTTAATATCGGGTCACTGTCGTCAGTAAAACTTGCGTAGATTTCGAATAAGATCAACGTTTCTCGTTGTAATCCACAAATATGCGCGTCGACAAATGAAAGTTGTTGATCAAATCGGACTTGGGAGAAATTGTCCTGAGATGTATTACGTACGAAGGACATTAATCGTGTCATTTGCTTGTCTCGTGTTTTGTTTCCATAACAGAGACGAGCGATCACACGAACTGTTTTGACATTTGATGGTAACGAAAAGAGACTATCGATATGAACAGTGAATAACTCTGAAGAGCTGGTAATTGGTTGCCAAATCGATGCAATCGGCTAAAATTGAGACGTGAGAAAAATGAATGGAACNCTGCGATGTATTACGTACGAACGACATTAATCGTGTCATTTGCTTGTCTCGTGTTTTGTTTCCATAACAGAGACGAGCGATCACACGAACTGTTTTGACATTTGATGGTAACGAAAAGAGACTATCGATATGAACAGTGAATAACTCTGAAGAGCTGGTAATTGGTTGCCAAATCGATGCAATCGGCTAAAATTGAGACGTGAGAAAAATGAATGGAACATAAGAGTGATGTTTTACCGATGAGGAGAGATATTTTTCGATATCAATCACTTGATTGGTGTTATTGCAAACTTCTAATTCATACGGAATTAAAAACGCTTGGCAATATGTTTGAATATATTTCATTAGTGTAGAAAGTGAATGAAATAATAATTGAGAGAGATGTTCTTGTGTGCCGCGAGAGGAATGTTTCATCAATTCGATATTGTAATTTCTCAGTTGATTGTATTTATCGAGGATCATTGATGATTGAATATCCGAACATGTTAGTTGAATTTTTTTCATGCAATTGATCAGTTCCTGAATGGATTTGATGCAATCTTCGATGGAATTCATCACGAAGCTGGGACTGAGTAGCCTATTGATACACTGTTCAGTTTGCTCGAGAAGTCGATTGATCTTTTCGCGGAATTCTTCTAACCAACGAGAATCGAATGAACGTGTTGGATAAGATGTGAAATACTTGTTTTTAATCAGCGATTTCAATGGTCTGAAGCAAAGCGAACAAAAGGAAATCAGGAAAATTCAATAAGTGCATAAATACTTGTTCGGTTTATTCGTTGGAAAATATTTCTGCTGTTCGTTCAAACAGAAGCGTTCGAAACTAATCTGTTCTTGCGCTTTGGAGATTGATACTGGCTTTTGAACGAGTACAAACTGAACTGGTTTAAGCGAATGAAGACAATTATATACATATTCGATGTTGGATAAGACATCGTCGTTGTGTAAATATTCTTCGTGGGAACGAAGTTTAAGTATCGATTGCTCCACATCAAATGATATGGTGTTTTGCAATTGTCGTAGAATTTCCTGTACTGTTGATTCTAAGCTCACTTTTGTTAAGCGTGTAGGCTCTTTAGAATCGGAATGAAAGATGTGAAGAGTAACCGATTGTTGAAGTTGTTCGATATGTTGAGAAGTACGATGCTGAATATGTTTACAGTAGTAAATATCGTCGATCAAAGACTAAAATTTAGCATTCCAGTAGAAGTACTCATCAAATCATGGAAGATGAAGAGCAATGATGTGAGTAAGAGCGACAAGACCTAGTGAATCGTTTCCTGTCATAGACATAGCTGATCAAAGGTCATTTCAGAAAATGTGTTCTTACTATCAGTTATTAGTTCACTTACTTGTTTCGATGAATTGTCATTTCGAATTCGTTCAGCAAGTTGGCTTAATGGCTTTAATTCAGCAGACGATGTCAATTTCAATCGTAATTTGATAGGATGAGGATAAAATGGAGATGTCTGAGTGTTTGGCTGTACAAACGCCAGTGTCGACGGTCTCCCATCAACTTGTTTCAACGGATCAAATACGTCAAATAGCGATGCATCATTCGCATCTATCATATTCATCAAATCCTTGGACATGGAATTGAAATTTCCAATTTCACTCATAGGTGATGGTTTAACGGGAATAGTTGTTGTTTTGTTTTCTGATAGACTGAACAGATCAAGAAGATCTGGGAACAATGGATTTTGTAACATCGATGGAGATTCTTTACTATGTAGTGTTGTTGACGCAACCGGTGACGGTATTGGGGAATTCTCAGTAGTTGTTGGTAAAACTATATTAGGTAGTAGTGGACGACGATCCTTCGATGACATCGCTATTTCAGAGTTTATTTAGTGAAAGACTATTTAAACTATGAAAAGAATGGGAAGAAAAGGTTCTTTTACATTAACCGATGATAATAATTACTTGACAAAAAAAAACAAAAACATGACACTGAAAGATAACGGAGACGAAAGAGATCTTCTTCTTCTTCTTCTTCAAATGATATTTTATTCTCGAAATGAAATCGAATGACATAATCACTACCATAGATGGCGTTGTTCAATAGTTTGAAAATTTTCTTTATTCATTCATTTATTCGTAAACATATGTGTATTCTTTTCTGAATTTAACAAATCAGTTACAGCCTGTTGTCCTAATATGTAAGCTAGTTTCAATGCATCTTCCTTGGCATATAACGCCGTACATGTACTTGGTTCATCCGAATGTTGAGCTCTTGTCAAGGTTGTTTTCTTCTTTTCTTCGACATGTGGTAGTGTTAGGAAATGTACTATTTCAGGATAGAAATGTCCGTAAGATGGTAGATCATAGAATAGAATATGTCGAATGCCTTTGATACGATATCGATGATAGAAGTGAAATCGTTCGGTCATTAACAGAAAACGAACTTCTCGATGATAGAAGATGTTTCTCGCTAGAAGAACTTGCTTTTTCGTTGAATATTCGCTCAGTGTTAAATAATTGAACTGTTTGTGTTTCTCCGTACGCATATAGTTTCTCAAACGAACAAAATCGAAATACGACGAGAGATAAATCAATGTGTGATCATAAGTCGATGTGTCGAAACGAGGAAGAATATGTTCAACGAAGTAATTAAATCGTAACGTTGGATCACACACGGGTATACGTTGAAATAGTTGAGGAAATGCTGATAATGGACGTATATACCCATTCAGCGGAAAATGCGGTTGTATCAAGCATTGTCCAGCATAGTTCATTGCAAAACGATGAAACAAACTAAGAAATAGTGGACTTGTGAATGACGAGAGAACGATTAGTTGACGATAGAAACGTGCCCAACCATTCAATGACCAATAGCGTATGCGAGAAAAGTCTGTTGTTGCTGTAGCTTGCTGTGGGATGACATTCAGATTCTCTAAGATAAAGAATAGATGATCGAGATTTTGCATGGATAAGATATCCAGTTGATCGATGTAAACGCATTCGATTGAAGAGAGAAAGTCAGCGATTGTTGAAGCATTGTTCGCTGACGAATCTTGATCTTTGTCGTCATCATCGGAATCGGAATTATCAGATGCTTCCGCACGTTTACGTTTTTGACGACGCTTTTCAAGTAATGTTCGAAGACCGACCGGTGAAACAATGAGAAAATCGGATTTGTAAACCGATTGAAAGAATTTCAATGATTTACGTGTTACAGATATGCCTGCAAATGAACACTATTTCTTATCTGTCGAATATCATGTCGTCAACACTTACCTAATCGAAAATGATCATCGATATTGCCACTGAATATTTCATTGTATTCATCGGAAGTTCGTTGGAATTTTCCATCGTTCGCTGGGGTATCGATTTCACTCCCACCATATTCTTCTTTGAATCGTTTTCGGTGACTCATTTGTAATTGATCATCCTTTTCGCTGTCATCATTGGTGAGAAGGAGATTTTCAAAACAGTTTACTATTCGTCGAACACTTTCACGAAATGGAACGATGATAAGTACTTTCGGTCGGGAGAAACCTTGATCACGATAATCCAGATCGGGATTCTCCTTTAATTTCGCATTGTGAGATAATACACGGGAACGGGTTTTCAAAACATGATTTATCAGATGTAAACAGATAACAAATCGTAGTTGTTCGCCGACATCGTTCGAATTCGTTCGGTTTGGGTAGTAAACATCGTAATATTTATGAATTAGCGAGAAGAAATCTAGCTGTAAGGGTGTTAATTGACTACCTGAGTTTTCGATATTTGACAAAAGAGATTTTTTGATTGCGAATGAATCAAGATTAGTGACTGGACATGGCAGAATCGGCGATTTGTCCGTAAATGTCGATGCAAACTGACAAGAACCAAGTGACAACGATGAGAGTTCACTCGTCGTTTTCGATGATTTCTTATTGATTTGTGCTTCATCAATCAATGTTTCGAAATGTGACAGAAATGGATCTTCTCTAGTCGCCGTTTCCATCCTTGCGAGATCTAGAAAAAAAGAGGAAAACACCGAACAGATTTTCCATTCCGGCTGCAAAGTTTCGAAAGACCGAACAATTTGTTCATCCTCCAATTAGCTTGGACGTGTGTCATAGCCAATCAGCAACGATATAGTAGAAAGCGCCATCTATCGATCACCGATAATCAAATAGATATTGAAAAATCTTTCAAAGTTTTTTCTTCATTTAATCACATGCAAATTTCCGGATATTATTCAACTAATCCTAGTCTCTTTCTCGAACATACTTCTCATTCTGATTGGCTAATGAACATGAGACAAAGACATGACTGCGCTTTGTATATATATAACCCCCCGTTCGCTGTTTCGAAGCAAGAGTTAGTCGTACATATCATATTATTTTCCCTTAGAATATTTTGATTTTTTGTTTTTCAATTATCATCTCTACGATGTTGGCAGTTGCATCACTAAAACGTTCGCTGGAATTCGATCCAGTTGAACAAGGTGTTAAACGTAAACGAGCTGAGCTGAAATTACCAACAACAACAACGTCATTCACATTAAACAACACTCCTTCATCACCATCGAAACAATCATCGATATTTACATCCTCGCCTATAAACAAACAAGCAATCAAATCATCATCGTTAAGTTCCATCTCATCGTCACCATCATCAACAGCCGATGACAAACCGATGTTTACATACATCCAAACTGCTCAAATGTGTGCTCGACTTTTACGTGAACAAGATAAATCCATACGTGAACAGTATGAACAACTATTAGCCACGAAACGTAATGAACAATACGAACAATTCGTGATATATTCCCATGATAACATTCATCGAAATTCTTCCAAAGAGAAGTTAGTTCACTTCAGCCAACCACAAGAATCCGATCAGACATCCATTGAAGATTTGTCTTATATATCATGAACATTTGTTTCTTTTTCTGCGTACATATTATACATACGATCTTATTTCTTCTCTTTATTTAAATGTTTTGCCATATATACATACACACACACACACACACATTATAGTTATTAAAGAAAAGCATGAAATTATCGAAGTAAAGTTTTCTTCTTCAATCAATTGATTAAAAGTATTATATTGAACGATCAGAACATTTTTCTATCAATAAAAAATCACCAGGTCTTCGTGGAGAAGGTTAAACTTTCTATTTATTTGTGATTTATTCCTTGTGTATCGATTTTCAGTGACCTTGTTGAATTATATCCATGTGGAGATATATATATATATATCGGTTGTCTCCTGAAAGATAATCATTTTGGATGAGTAGAGAAAGTATTTCGAAATGTCGACAAGCGTATATTTGATGAGAAAACTTGTTTTCACAATCGTCATTTGCACAGATCTACGTCAGTGAGGCAAATTCCGACCAGAACGAGTTTTCACGGTTATCATTCGATCGATAAAGTCGTGTATGTACGCATGAAAATTAATATGCAAGTGTGCTTTGCTATTACTGTTATTTACAAGCTATTACGAACGTATATTATTCATTTGAGTTCGCTCGAGAAGACAGCAACGAGTCTTATTCGTTTCTCATTAGGAAGTGGGAAGTGTAATTAGAATTGATTTCACATGGATTATCTTTTCGGAGTGTCTGATATTCTAATCGAACATTACCGATGATCTTTTCATTGAACGTACAAATGCATTAGTTGGAGTGCCGTACGATAATAGCTTTCGCGCTAATGACATGTTCAAACATATACACGTACTTGTGAGAATAATTCGGATTCAAGGATGTGACCTTAAAATATGAATATGATTTGAAATTTTTTTCAAATTTGCTCGTTAATGAATCGTTTCTTCTCTTTTTTTTTCGTACGTGTGATCAATCTATTTTATCGATCATCTCGATTTCTCGAAAAAGAACGAATAGTCATCACGCATACACACAAATAAACGTACATAAAAAAAAGAAGAAGACAATGATGATGAGCAGAAATAAATGAAACAACAAACAAACAAACCAAAATAGCGAGCGGGAAAAACACATGAATAAATATACACACGCGCGTGCGCGCATACACATGAAATGAAAAAGATATGTGAATCAAGAATAATAGTGATAAAAACCAACCAAACAGAGATTTGGGTATCTATCAAGAATCAAGGGTGGTCACCGGTGTCGATGATGCAAAATTATGGGTTTTAGTCGTTGGAAGAATATGATGAAGTTGAACGAATTGAACCAGACCACATGATGACGGTGATGAGGGTGGTGGTGTCGATGGAGTCACGTGCGTCGGAAAATATGGCGTTGATTGAGATAATACGTACGAGGTTGATGATGGTTTGCTAAAAAATGGTTGCTGTTGTTGTTCTCGTTGCTGTGAAACATCTATTTCATTCTGATTTATCGGCAACGATGATGATGGTGGAGTAGGTGGTGTTGAAATCAACATGATCTGTTGAGGTGTTGACACAACAGCTGTTGAAGGTAACGATAAAGGTGGTAGGGGTGAGGTCGAAGGTGATGGTGGTTCTGGTTCAACGACTGTTGATAATGCTTGACTGATATGATGAGATGAAAATGAATATGAATGATTAAGTTCAATCGATGTTGAGGGTCTATGTTTACCACCTGTATGAGGTACTATGGGTAAATTCGAGTTATTTGCATGATCAAACGAAGCGTCCAAATGTATGGGATTGGATGTGAATGACTTCGATTGATAATGATGCGCTAATGATGTTGTGTGCTTCTGGACGGTTAAATGCGAATGTAAATTATATGATTCAGTGAGTGATGGTTGTGCTGACCGTTGCCATAGTACATGTCTAGAAAAACGCAGATAACAGTTTAGATGCTATAATGTACTTACCTTGAATGTTACAACATACTTGTATGTGAAATGTGATTTGACTGTTGATAGAGGAAAGATTGTTTCATCAATTGAATCATTATTTTCTTGTTCAACATGACGATCGTAGAGCAATCTAGATCACAATTACGTACATATATGCAATACGTATCGCATCTGATCGACAAATCGTAAGAATATTCGTACCTTCCGCCTCGACCGATGCGTACGCGTCGCTTCCCGTAATGATTACCATCAGAGCAAGCGAGAGAGTAATACGATGAAAAACTGGAACGTTGTGATGGAATACGCTGTTGCTGATCCTGGTCAATTGGCTAGAAAAGAACGATATTGAACTTGATGCGGATGACAAATATTTACCCTCAGATATCTGCATCCTGTCTTAGGTCGAAATTGCCAAGGATCAGTTGCTTCTTCGTCATCAACACTCGTTTCTGTTCCATCTAGTCTACTATTTATATTTTCATTTGTATTTGATAATACAGATGAACCGTCCTGCAAAAGAACACGTCGATTCGTGCTATTTTCAAGCTCCTAAAAGCATTCATTGAAAGGAAAACTAAACTTTCGAAATCCTATTCTACATACCTCTCTTTGCTGCAATTTTCTTGCTGCTTCAAGCAGTTGAGCTTTGAGCAGGATCGCACCTTCGGGTGTACTATCTGCTAGGGACCACAAATCATTTGATGAAAGATTTCGGTGAGTTTTTCCTTGTTTGACTATCCCTGGGAGGGATTTTTTCAAACGACGTCGACCACTCTGCTGTTGTGTAGGTGAATAAACAGCATTTGATGGTGACAATCGTTCAAGAAGTGATTGTGGTGGGATGGAAGATGATTGTGATCCCATATTATATACATGTGATGAAGGTGGTGTCGATAGCAACTGTGTTAGTTTATCAGTCTAAAATAAAAGTCTCATGTGTCAGAGAGAGAGATACTTGATTGAATCAACTTGAAGTCAGCTTACGTGATTAGTCTTTTTATGTGAAGTTTTAAATCGTTTGATTTTCTGTTGTAATGAATCGTTAGGATCAATGGATAGTGGTCGCGATTGAATAGGCGACTGTAGTAGACTAGCTAATGATGTTGCAGACAAGTGATTCTTCTTATGATTTTCGAGACGAATCAGCTGTGTTAGCAATTGCTGATGGTGTGCAGACATGAAGTTCTGACTACTGTTCATCAGTGACGATGTTTTCAAATGGGAACGAGCATGATGACGATTTCGATCTGGATTCGTCGACAACGATGCAGGCGATGGAATTTCATCATCCGATTTTGACTCACATCTGGACGAGCATAGAATAAAAAGGCAGACAACACACAGAGTTCCCTAAGCGAGACTCTCCGGTTGCCACCGACGACGGGTGGACAGACAGCGTACCGTGCTTGGAAAATTGATAGTGCGCATTCGAGCCGCGATGCTTTGGTTGTCTCACGCAGTTTGATCAGATTTGTTAACTTCCTACGAATTTCAAAAAGCAAAATACGCCGTGAAACGAGTGTCGTCAATGTGTACATGAACTTACAAGACGGCTTCGAAATTAGCACGTAGTTTGAGCATAGAGAGATAGGCTTGCTCATCATTCTTTCGATTCTATAAAGAGAAATCTCTGGTAGGTCAAACAAGGAAAATCTTTATCGATTTTTACTTTTCGTGTAGTCATCTTTTCTACACGCCGTCGAAAAGCAACATATGGATGTTGTTTGCCTTTCTCTTCTTTGATATCACGTTCTGTGAGCAGACGCGTCTTCAATCGTTTGTCCTAATCATGTTTGGAAAAAGAAGAACAAAAAAACAAACGCTAAAATATGATGCAATGGACGATAAAACACATGAACGAATCGTTTTTCAGTGTGTTTTAAATCTCGATGTGCTTTCAAAGATAATTTATACTTAAGAAAATGTACCCGTATTGTTCGTCGTTCATGCCAAAACTTGTAGACGGTTTTTATGTGTAAATCATTGGTAAGAGACGGATGTGTCGATGCAAACAGTGTTCGTGCTTCATCCAACGAGACAAGTGTTCGCGTACTTGCATTCTCAAGTTCATCAAAAATCGTTTCGTACTCCAAACAGGTAAGCTCGGGACATATCGTCTGTCCTGACTTGGTGAACCAGTTATGGTCAATTTCATCCATATCATATTCAGGTTCGTCAGATTCGAGCTGTAGAGCTAGTAGAGAGAGAATATGCTGATGAGATACAACGAAATCAACGAGGAGATGCATTTCATACGTTGGAGACGAATGAGTTCTTTAGGTAAAACAACAGTCGCTGGATAGATCGATTGACTATTTGGATCCTCGAATAGGTTTGGAATTGGAACAGCGCGCATCTTAGCTGATCCAAGACGACGTTGAGCATCGAGAGCATTTTGAAGATGATATTCCTAGAAGAAAAGTATTCAAATGGTTTGTTAATCATTCTATTCAGAAAAATGAACATTGCCAATTTCCTCGCGAACTCTTTTAACTTGAGTTATAAATTATGTTTCTCATTGTATCAACACATACTACGAAAAGTCAATATTTGTTATGGGATCACATACAAGCTAGTCGACTCTTATAAGTCATCTTTAAACTCAGAAAAATATTCATTATTTCCTTCCCGAATCGATAAGAAATGAAATGTTATCTACCGCTTCTTCTTCTCGTTCCATTCCTGATACAAAAGGCATCTGTGGTACACATCGTTGTGGTAGTTGTGAAGTCGATCCAGTTGACTGTTGAGTTGCGTTTGTGGATGCAAGAGAAACGAGAAGATTGTTACTAGAAGATGACTGTGTCGTTGAATTCGTAAGATTATTATTGTCATCGTGTTGGTCGACGAGCAGTCGGATACGTTTACTCGGATCGAGATTTCGTGCTCGAAATAGAGGTCGATTCATCGAATCTAGAAACATAAAAACGTCGAGATTCTCTTTTTTCTTTCCTTCGCGAAATTTCAAAGATGAAAAAGAGAAATGCACTCGCTTACGTATGTATATATACATACATACACATACTATGATTACTACTAGGAGATGACTGACTGACTGACTGAAAATCAATATGTACATCGAACATTTGCCCGTCCGAATTTGGACGATGAATGAATGAACTAACGCGATTATTTTTTCCTTTTTTTCCTTTCATTCTGTATGTATACATTTCGGCGACGAAAGATTCACGTGGTGATGAAAATTTTTCTCTTCCCTTTCGGGCTTGTTACGTTGTTTTGTTTTCTCATGGATAGATAGATAGATAGATAGATAGAGAAAAAGAAATCAATCTATCCAGGGGAAAAATAAACTGAAACTATATCAGCGAAGGACATCTGATAAATGAAGAATCGATGATTCGAAATACGCGATGTACAAAAAACGAAAAGGGACAAGCAAAAAGTCTTGAAAAGGTAATTTGAGTACATTTAATAAAACATTCTTTTCTTTGCATTTCAATTTCTGTCCTTAGTATAAAACACTAATAAAAGAGATATCTAAACGCTTTTTACTATCACATGCCACGTCATAAATATTTATTGCCATGAAAAATAGGAATAGAGAAGAGATGCGACAGTTATTTTTCCAGAATATGATATATCGAATAAAGAACAATCATCTAGAGACAAATTCAATAAAAACAACATCGATTGTTGATCTTAAACAGGTGTCAACTATCTCGACTCTATTTATGACGTCTAGCAAGGTCAATTCGCCCACAGACTTGTTCTTACGTAATAGGAAGAAACAGTATAGACAATATTGATGAGAAGACATGCCAAAGTTTTCTTTCTTTCGGATTGCTATCATCGAATGGATGAATTCAGTTTTTTACTAATTGAAAATTTTAGTTTGATCTCTAGTTAATTCTTCAGTCATTCCGTCGTTCTGTATCCATAGCAGGGATGCTATTCAATATAACGTGAGAAACGAGAAGAGAGGGAGGGAAAAAAAGAAGTTTGAAAGTATACATTAAGTCATTCATTGATGTCCTGTTGTTCTCAATACATTAAAGAATCTATTCGTAATGACTCCATAGAATGTGCTAACAAGTTTTTAATCTTTTTCTTTGTTTCTTTGTTCAAAGATGTCGTGTCGATGATGGTAATCATCATCAACTACAGACAGAAGACTTCAAATGACATGATCATGTTGCTTGTGCTTTCTCTATTGTGTATATCTCTCGCTCGCTGGCTCGCTCTCCCTCCTTCCCCTTCCAACCTTCTCTTCTTCATAATATATCCCACATACTATCATGATACATACATGGCCATTTGTGCTCGCACGCTTGTTCGTAAAATGAATCTCGCGCGCGCGCACACACACACACACACATGATAAGAGAGCGAGCAAGCAAGCAAGCAAGCAAACGGACGCGTTTTACTTCTATTCTTTTTTTGCCCATCGTGTATGTATGCGCAAGCACGCATTGCCTTTTTCTCCTTTCCTCGGTGGCGACCCATGTATAAGGGATATATAGTATTTCAAGCCTGCAGTCGCTGATTTACTTCTATCTACTATTCACTTACGAATAAGAAAAAGAGAGCGCGCACAAGAAGAAAAAGCGAGAGAGTGTCGAGTAAGCTATCGGGCGAACGCACGAGTACGAATCTGGATAACGACGCCATTGCTTTTTCTCCCTTCCTCTCTCTTTCTCTATTTATATGTGCGTTCATTACATAGTCGAGAATCATAGAGAAGAAAAGAACGAGAGAAAAGAGAGGAATATAAACACTTTCAACATAAAAATACACAGAAGTATATCACGATAAGAAGCCCTTACAAAACTCTATTCAATTTTCTGGGATCACAGGAAATTTGATTAACATAAATACTCTTTTGACATGAATGTAAAAGAATTTGGTATGTTGTAAGAAGCTGAAAAGTTTTCTTTATGTATAAAATCCGACTAGTGTGAAAGATTTTACTTACTAGGTAAAGAAAGAGGAAAGAGTGGAGAAATATGGAGCCTATTTTTGATGTGTTTCATCTTTACAACAAGAAAAAAGAAAAAGCGACGGATGTGTATGTGTGGAATGAGAGAATTCTGCCGTCATTGCAGCCGAACGTGCGAGCGCGTTCGCGCGCGCGAATGGAAACAGATGTGATGAAGGCGATGGTGCTGTAAAGATAATAGAGTATGCTGCCTCTCGGGCCATTCGTTTGCTCTTACGTGTAGACTGGAAGGACAAAATTACTGTATTTTTTATCGTTATATAGACGACTACGAAGAGCATTGTACTTACAGTCCAGACCTTTAGGTTCGCCTAGAACGTATGCGTACTATGGTGAATGAAACTAATGTATAAAGAAACAGTCAAATGTACTTTTTATGTAATATATCATTTCGAAGAATATAACCTCAAGAAAAGAAAAGGCGTTAGGCATCCAGTCATATATATATAGGCAGTTAGTTCGAAATTATATATTTAGATGAATAATGTAACCTTAGAATACGTAGATATTCCAATTGAGAAGAAAGAATGACTTATCAAAGAGTAATGTTAAACGATTTCAACTTAATCACTATCAACGTGCTCTCATTAGACCGTTCTGTCTGACTGATTACATCTAAAATAAACAAGTTCATACTTTTATTTTATTTTATTCGAAAAAACAAATAAATATTTTTACTATAACCTTCTTGCTCAATTCATCTTCAGATATATGCATTAAATTGAATGAATAAAACGACGAAAAAACCCTTAGTTTCTTTCTATCTCTAGTCTAGAACACACAGATTTCATTTACTGTTAGTATATCGAGACGGCCGACTGAATTTATCAAAATGAAACGAGTGTGCTCTACTTAGGTTATGAAAGAGAGTAAGATTATTTCTTCTCAATTAGCTGGAAAGCGGTTTTCTTTGTGTGGAGTAAGTGTTTTCATTAAGCACGGTCTTTACTGGATTAACAAAGCGTATAAAGGCAAACATAGTTGTGTCATCAAGGGAAGTTCTTGGCAGAGATTTCAAATGCAAAAGCCGATGGTAAAGCTGACTTTCTTGAGAGGTTTTTAATGTAAAGTACTTCAGGTAACAATTTCTTAGGAAAGCAATTGAAAAACTAGCGGATGCAAACTATTTCTGCTTCCATCGTAGTTTCATACTACTTCCGACTATTGTTAGAGTAATCATGGAGAGCTCATACGCACATGTAATACAATGATTTATTTGGGAACGGGAAAAGGTCAAGAAATGTACTCATATCAATCGTTTGGAGAACCTTCAAAACAAAACGCATCATATTTATTCTCAAACTATGTGAGTTCATCCGATCAATAGTGCAATAAGGGTTTTTTAGACGCGCAACAGTGTTTGATTATGCAATATTTTATTTGATTAATGTCAATATTAGCGTAGCTATGACTGAATTTCTTAACATTTACAAAGTATCGATGATAAATTTATTATTTTTTTCCGAGGAAAATTCTCGTGGGTTAAATATGATAGTCGTGAACTGTTTCATTTGAATTTGGATTTATTGTAAAGACCGAACACCGCAAGAATTTGTAACGAAAAGAAAAGCTCGTAAGATATCTCATATTGAAGAACTCAGGAAAAAAAATGTTGATTTGTGACGAATACATATATAGTTGAAATTATCTGATTTTCTTCGGAATTAACGTCCGGCACACAAGAGAGAACGTTGTACATTGATCTGGATATGTGATTCGCAACGACTCATGTCAGTTGGTTTATTGCTCGACAATTTCATAATAGTGACATGTCGGAATGCTTATCGCATACGTATTGAACACTAGATTATTCTGTTCTATCAAGATTTATTACAACAGATATAATAGAATATAAATCAATACTAAGCACCACGTCGAACATCATATTCGGCCGTAATTTCAGCTAACATTTGTAATAGTGTATCAATTTTTGTGCGTAGAACGTTATTATCTTCTTCTAGTTCCTTTTTGTTTTTTTCCAATCTCGATATTCCTCGCGATGTCACTGGCGTACCAACAGTTCCGCCTAAATAAATCCATAATAAAACTCACTGATAGAGAATTATCAACTGATCGCTTACCCGATGTCCAGCCAGCTTGTGATATATCATAGATGAATTTTTGATTTCCAATACGTACATCAATTGATTGATATCGTGGTCCAAGTTCACGTGCGAGTTCTTCAGCGGGCAGTTTCAACGGTGACCGAGAAACAGACTTACGAGGTTTCGACTTTCGAAACGAAAATGAACTAGAAAATGGCATGTGATTATCTTATCTAAAAGAAATATATGAGCCCTTATTCATACTCAGCATGGAACACTTTTCTACGATCGCCATTTAAGTGTCGCCATCGTTCAGAACTGTTACCATGACGATAAGAAAATCAGCGAATAAATTACATTCCACACTTGTTTTATTGAATTTTAGTTGAAAACGTCTGTGAATGTTGATTGTTTTTGACATATAAGCGGAGTTGGCGCTAGGAGTCGCATTCGTTCATATCCAATCGATTTTCATCGAACATTCAATTTGCAATGACTCACCAATCAATCAATAACTTACATCGTACGATTCGAATAAAAAAGAAACGTAAAAACATCGCTTGTTTTTCAAGTGATACAAGAAAAATCGAACAAATCGTTTTGTTTTCTCATTTATTTATCTTCGTTCAGATTGATGCTCAGTTCAGTTCATTCGTTGCTCTCGTGGCTCAACGAAGCTGAACATGTCGCCCGATTCCAACGTTATTTTGGCGTATTACCCTTACCTTCTGCTCAGCCAGATTTGATTCCTCAAACTGACAAGACAACGCATCTCAATACCGACACTAATAGCAATCTAGCTAATCAAGCTCTCACAAATTTATATCACCGACATCATGAAAGGAAAATAACTTATGATAAAAACGTCTTAGACGAATGTATTCAAGAAATCAATCGTAGTTCGAATCAGAATGCAACTAAAAAACCAAGTCCACCTGATGTTGATTATGTGGTCACGTCATGGTTTTGGTATTATTTCTTTCAAATCGGTTCGGCGTTAGGAAACGAAATTTTTTATATTTTATTTTTTCCAACATGGTGAGTCAAGTTCGAAATGTTGAAAGATCTTCACGATTCCCATCTAGGATCTGGAATATCGACGGATGTGTGGCGAGGAAAGTATCGATGTTATGGGCGTTCTTCATGTACATTGGTCAAGCTTCAAAAGATATTCTGTGCATACCGCGACCGTCGTCTCCTCCTGTACTGCAACTTGAGAAACGGTATTTCATTTTGCAGCGAACTAGACCGTTTGTTTGACTGTATTGCGATCTTTAGCTATGTTGCAGAATACGGATTTCCTTCGACGCATGCGATGTTTGCAGCTGGTATTCCTTTCTCACTGGTGTTTCTCTCGCATCAACGATATGAAGTAATTTGAATCGATGCTCTCGCACGGAAATCTCTCTATAGATTTCATCTAGTTTGACCTGTGGATTGGATTAGTCAGTGCCTCAATTGTCTGTATTTGGGTGTGTCTTAGTCGAATATATCTTGGCATGCATTCATTGCTTGTAAGTTCTGATCGATTGATCCTCATTTCGCAAGATATTGATTTTGAGTCAATAAAAAAAAACGCTTTCTTTTCTTTCAAGTGTCTGCGAAGAGAAAGAATCTCCTCAATTTACTAATATACACACTTCACAGAAGGTCATAGCTTGTCTTGTTGAAGGAAATATGTACTTCTACCTGAAGTACCGCACGTCTATTGTTACATGACGATGTATACTTTGTATGCAGGTAGTGAAATTATTCATCGATTACTGATTTAATCTGATTAAATCGAGGAAACGATGATTTCAATGAATAGCAAATATTTGATCTTCAAATTTGAGATGAAATGTAACACTTTCAATGCAGAACTATGATTAACAAAGGATCTATATTTAAACAGCCTCTTAATCGGTGTACGTGAAGGTTTCTTTTTGTTCTCCTAGGATATTGTTGGTGGTACTATATACGCATGGATATTAGTCTTTGTCATGTTTTTTTATGTGGAAACAATCGATAATTTTCTATTAAATCACATTGTTTCGCCATTCCTTTGCTTCTCTCTTGGCATATTTCTGATCAAATGTTATCCAAGTCCAAAGCAATGGTCAACGGCTCGTTCGGATACGACAATCATCTTAGGTAGTACAATTGGTTTCTTGTCAGCATCGACAATTATGAATGAAATGAGCTTACTTGAAAAGCCAATTTTGCCGCCTGTGTATGAAATCATGGCACCTGATCTTGGCCTTTGTGTTGTACGAACGATTCTTGGCTTAGTTATCGTCGGAATAACACGGGAAATAATCAAAACAATTGTTTTATTTTCAGCCTGTTCTTTCTACGGACTTGACTGGAAAAATCCCGAATCGAAACGTTTTGCTAAAATCGAAATGCCGTATTACTATTTGACCTATTTTGCCATCGGGTTTAATATCGGTTTCACCTGTCCATTAGTTTTTCGTGCTCTGGGAATTAATCGTGATTACAGTTACACAGAATTATAAGAGTCAATGTTATGTTATCTCTTCTTAGCTCAATCGTACACCACAAATCAACACTTTATCTTTGCTTCTTCTCTTCTTACACTTGTCGAACAAAATTTCTCTGGTGATAAATATTACGTAGTGTTGTATGTCTCTTTCTACTTATATAAATATAGATAACAAACCAAACATGGTTTTCATCATACAGTGAAGCGTATTGAAAACGAATGATGACAGGCAAAAGTCTAATCTCGCGATGTGAAAGCAAGGAATAAATACGACACTTATTCCCCGGTGACAAAATCTATTGGATTTGATTTTCATGTACCAATAAAGATACAGAATTCATTGAGTACATTCTAGACACGGTAGATCTCTCTTGTAACTTCACTTGTTTTTTTTTCAACGCACGACTAGATTGTGCCGGAGAAAATTACAAAAGTGAATTGATGGTTAATTATTGAAAAGAACTTCCGGTATACAAATTCTCTTTTGATAGAGAAGAGGAAATAACTTTTCCTTTTCTTCAACTGACAATTAAAAGTAAATGAATTGAACATCGATTAATAATCGCGTTTTCAAAATATGAATTCAAACATAAACAAAAGAGAAGAAAGACTAATGGATTGTTGTGTATACGTGAATGGCGAAAAAAAAGAGATGATGACGATTTCTCAAGGTAAAAAACAATTTTTTGTTACGAATAAAAACAACTCCTTGAAAAACATTAACTCCCAGCGAGTCGATCTTTTTTTTTTCATAAGAAAATGTCGCTTTTTTCGTCTTGATGAGAGATTTATTCACTTGTCGTTCTTCCATCGTTAATATATGTCGTGTGCGTATGTGTGCCGCTTGTCTCAGATTCTCTTTCTACTGCGTTGACGATATGACCGGACTTATTTGATCGATCGCAGCCAAGCGACAAGTCCATTGTATTCAGGACATTGATGAATGAACATTTTCTTTCTTCTGCCCATGACACCTCATGTCTTCAGCATCGATGAAAATGATGACGACTAATTGAAGTATGTCTTTGGATTTGTCTGCATTACAGATGCGTTCACCATTCTTTGATTCTCTCAATGAGACTAATCATGTTTGATAGAAAGAAAAAGACAGCCGTCAGATAGTATGCATGTCTTCAGACCGATTAGCAATGAAACTGCGTGCATATCGCACGTAAAGTCTTCAATTGAACGGAAATAAGATAATAATAGGGTTCATGCTGAGATTAACTTCTGATTTGAGAGGAAAATATCGGTCAAAGTAGACAGATAGAGAAGCACTTGACCAGACTAAGTCAAAAAGAAGAATTAACCGTAAGTTTGATATGTAGGTAGGCAGATCTCTCTCTCTCTCTCGTGTAATGATAATTAAAGTATGTTCCTAAACCATAGAATAATAAGATGAAAGATAAAATCTCAGTAATTTTCTTGTGATCCTTTGTTATTCATGGTTCTCATATCTATCTTTGTTCAGCAACGTATTGCTGTCAGTCGACATGAAACTCCCTAGATCAAACGAGGCGTGTATGTCTACCGACTGAGTTTTGTTCAACTTCGAATCATAAACTTTCTTGTTCGTCAATCACTTTATGTACATAAGTAACTCTAGACATTCACACTTATTCGAATTGAAAGAAAACATTTCATCGTTTTTACTCACTCATCGTTCAGATGACCCATGTCTAGTCTTTAAATGATCAATGAATTTTATTACTTACATCGAGTTGTTCTCTTTCTTCGATGTAGGTCGATCTTTGCCAGTTAGTACTCTTCTGCAATATCGAACAATGAACGTTGAAATTAAATTATTAGGAGAGAAAGCTTCCAAGATCAGATTAAGTTTTTTTCTATATGCTTGAACTGAATGTCATCATCAATTGTGTCAATATAAGGCTTCATCAGTGAGACTAAAAAAAAGAGAAGAAGATGAGAACGAAGAGGAAAAAGAGAGAAATAGTTTTGATTATCGCTCTTCTTAGAAAATAATGTTTGGGCATTATCTCATCTGCGTTTTTTATCTTTGCCAAGTAAATATGAATTGTATGTGTAGATGTGAAGAATCGAATATATATATATTTCTATTTTTTCCTCGTTTTCTTGTTGATGTTCGACGTCATTGGAACGGATAGAAATAACGACAACATTACGCTCATTAACATTGTCGTTTCCTCAAGGCAAGAATAGAAAACTGTTGAAAAGGAAGAAAAAAAAATCATTATCATTATTGAAGGTATATAGTTGTCTATTACAAGCTTTGCTCGTACTCATCTCCTCACGTCAATTTACCTTGAAAAGTAAATTAAAATTCACATTGATTTCACCTCTCATGCGAGCGATACTTTTGAGCATTGCCATTTCTTCTCGACAAGATAAGGAAGCAAAGATTTCAATATATTAGTAATGCGTCAATATGCAAGCTAAATTTCAATCCATTTGTTATCTGAAGGTCACCAATTTTTTCCTCTTCTTGATATTTTAGTAATTCAATCAGTCTTTTTTTTCTCTTCTCTTGTAATATATATATATATATATATATATATATATATATTGACTGTAGTCTATGCCTTTTTTTTCTCTTCTCGTCTATAGATATATACGTACGTACGCCGACTACCAAGCAGTTTTTGTTACACTAAATAGTTCATATTCCTGAATAAATTATGAATGATTTAGCGGAGAATATGGGCTTTGACGCTGCATACGAACCGGCACCTGTTGATGAAATCATCGAACAAACGTCGACTGTTTTCAACGGAACAATCAATAGCACTCTACAGTCATCAGTTGATCAAGAGTTCGCTAGGAACAATGACGCTCTACGACTTTTACTCATTACGATTGCTATCATCATTGTACTTGTTTGTATAACAATATCGACGATTTTATTTATTTTCATTTGTCTCAATCGGTATGTACAAAGATTTGTTTGTGTTCTATCGTATTGAACAGAACTGTCATCGCTCACTCAATTGTGTGATGTATATCTGTTGCTTGAAATGATATCTAGATAGCGATCAGGACGTCGCATGAGTCGAGCTCACGGTCTTTTCTCTAATAGTGACAATTGTAGTAAATAACATGCCTATTCCTCTAGGCATTTTCGCGTTGATTTATGGAAATGAGCGCATGTATTATTTGTTTGTTTGTTTACTCAATGAAAGAAATTGATGAAATCTTACGTCGCTGTTTCGAAGCCTCTAAAGAATCGACTTTCTTGTGTACTACTCATTAGAATTGTTAATCATATTTGCTTTTAGACGCCGAAATTCTAAACGTCGTGAAAAACAAGATCGTCCTCTTATATCTGAATCAACTGACAAAACTTCGCGAACAAATTCTGTAAGATGCCGATTGATTTCTAGTCTCAATTCATCTGGACTTTCTACTCGATTCTAGTCCGGAAAGAAAAAGCCTAAACCGGGTAAAACATCTGGGAAAACGACTGTGCCGTTAAGTTCAAGTACCACAAACGAAAAGATTCCAGTTGGCCAATTTTACTATGATAATCTTGACGATATTCCGTACATTGATGAATCACGACCGACTAGTTACATTGATATAACACGAGTTTAATTCTCTATTGAAAGCGACTTTCAACGAACAGTAAACTCATCGACAACGGAATGAAGTCAGATATTTACAAATATTACATACGTTTAGTCGAGATTTTATTTTCATTTCCATTCGTAAGGAAAGAAATTCTTGTTGAATTCAGTTTATGTTTTTGTCACTGATTAAAAACAAACGCGAAATATAATGTTGTTTATGTCGACGAAAAGAGATAGGTTTGGATTTCAACATATATGAATAGGACATCGATTAAAATCGCCCTCTGCATATATGAGAGAGTTAAAACAAGTAATTTAAGTCGACCGTTTAATCTACATGTCTTCGTTTCATTCATTATACGGTAGAAATGTATCGAACTTGACGCAATGTCAAGTCACAGACGTCTGTAATGTAATGCGATTGTTTTTGCATGCATTACAATGTGCATAGCTCTGCTCGCGCTCGTGTTACATCAGTATTTCATTTCCTTGAGAGTTACCTAATGTGAATGAAGTTCATATTTTCCTGGATTTATCTCTGTCCTTATCGAAAAGGACAAAATGTTTAAGAGACGTGTCGAGTCATTCAGACTAATATGTTATTTAAGGGCTATATTCGAAGGTTTTATGTCTTACGCGTCGAATTAATTTTTCATGGTTCTTTTTGTTATGCTCACAAGAGGAAAAAAACGTAATTAAATTTTGTTTTGTTAACGAAATTTACATGTTCGTCTCGTTTTTTTATTATTCAAGACTTCACCTTGAGCATATTTATAAATACAGGCAATGGTTTGTTTATTTTCTTCTGAAGTATGCTAGACGAGACATTACAAAGTATCGAAAATCATCGAACAAAGAAAATATACAAATGAAATTGTCAGTCGGACAGATTGCTTCGTATCATGATCATGTCTCGAATGTAATAAACACACGGGATGGACTTCGTTTGAGCGTAATTTGTCTCTGTGAGTAAGAAAACATGACACTGATTGTTCGAATTGCTGACGCGTTCTTTTTTTTTCGCTCGTTCGTTCGTTTATGTTCAGTTACGCTTGATTTGTTATTCTAACATTGTCATATACACTCGAGAGAGTATCTTCATTTGCATCAAATAAAACATGTACTTCAACTCCCAATTTCGGATATGTTTCATTATTTATTGCTTGCTTCTTCTAACAGCTTCTGTTCGATCGATTATATTTGTTAATCTTTGGAATTCGTGTGTCGATGTCGCTGTTGAAAAAAACACCTTTCCGATGTCATTAGTTCAATCAGCGGATTATTATCAAGTATGTCCAGCACGTGACGAACACTGGCGTCGATTCGGTTCGTCTGTATTTCGTATGCACATCTTGCGAACGACGGAGCCGAAGATTGATAAATATATTCACATCCAACACAACGGCTATGCTCATATTCATAACGAAACGCGCTTAACAGTAGCGAAATGGTATGGCGCTGATCATGAAGAACTTTAGGAAATGTGTAACTTTCGTTTTTTTTTCTATATATATATATCGGATGAAAATCATCAGCATAGATGTATTTTTTTCTTAAAATAACAACAATAACATCAACAACAAGAGTAAAAAGCGGCTGCAAACAAGAAAAAAAGAAAACAGAATATAAATAAACCAGCACCACATTAGTTGAAAAAAAAATGAAACAGCACCAATAAAAAAAACAAAGATTTTTCTTTTTTTTTTCTCCTGATAATAAAGGAATATAATCTAGCAATAAATATGACGAAAACAAAACAGATTGCAAGTTCATTGCCTAAAATTAAGATTACTGATTGGTATCAGAAGACGCTACTGATGTTGAAGTCTAAAAACGAAAAAAAGGAAGAACGTGAGCATATTTTCAATTGAAAACGATCGTCTTCGGGGTATGTCAAGCAAGCATGCAGTGGGTGTATCTACGATTTTCTCAAACATGCGTATGTTTTTTTTTGCTCGAGAGTATAGTCTACCTCTCCTTGGCCACTAGGATGTATGTCATTCAAATGTTTATCGAGTTGTTGAGTGATTGAATCTTGATTTTCAAGTGCTTCTTTACTTGAGCGAATCAATTCATTCAACTGTTCAGCACGAATGTCAATCACAATCGGTGATAATGATGGTGATGGTTGTTTAACAAGTTCAAATGATTCGTCCTAGATAATATTAGTAGTCAATAGAGCTAGATTGATACGTAAATAAAGAAGCTAAGCAAAAGAAGAGTTCGTCATCCTATCCCTCGACGTGCAACAACTATGAATCAGAAAGAAAAGATAACGTCCTTACAGCAATCACTGCTGGACTGTTAGTAGCAAGCAGAAGTTTTTCGTCAAGCTGGTGTTTTAATGCACAAACTTCATTCGTTGATGCATCGTGCATCGATTGTAGCTGTTGAATTTCATTGCGAAGACGTTGGATTTCACCAGTTAAATGTTCATTCTCATTACGAACTGTTTCGACGACTGATTCTTTCTGAAAGGTAAAGACAAAGTTCAGATATATGAAAACTTCCATGCAAAATCCGATTTACATCTTTCAATTCAGAGAGTAGTGATTCTTCTTTATTTTGTACAGTTTTTTCAATCTCTTTCAATTGATTTTCCTAAAAAATAGAGGAGAACTTTGCAAGATAATTGAACGATTAGTTGACTCACAATGTCATTCATGTTTCTTTGAAGTTGATCATTTTCGCGTTTCAATCCTGCACATTCCTCTTGCATATTGTGCTACAGGAGATCCATAGAAAATCATATCAAAGAAAAATCGAAACTCCTCACCTTGTTGGTTTCTACCAATTGTCGATAGGTGGAAAACCAATGATCTGAATCCTAAGATCAAAAAGCCATTAGTACGTACAGTATGTGGAATGAGGAACATCATTACCTGATTGTCTTGTGGTAGTTGAATTCGAAGATCTTCAGTGAGGAGATCAGTAAGCATTTTGCGGAGTTTTTCACGCTCTTGATGAAGATTTTCTTCGGATTTAGCAACAGTAGATTTCAGTTGCTCAACTTCATTGCGCAGAGCATTACTTTCTTGATTGTGAGATCTTGAATGAAAAGAAAAGATTATATCAATTGTAAATGAAATGTATCCTTACTCATTCGTTTGTTGTTGGAGGTTAATTTCTTTCTAGAAGGAAAATCACATTGATTTTCAAGAAGAAGATCCTCAGAAATTTACTTTTAATTCCTCAATTTCTTTCGTTAATGTTTGTATGGTGTTTTCGAATTCGCGTTCTTGTTCCTGTTTCGATTCGATTGTTTGTTTCAATTGTTGAATTTCCTTTTCGAATTGTTCACGTTCTTCAGTGCTGACTGTGAATGTTTGAACGTGTGTCGGCGACGATGGTTCAACGTGAACAATATCTTCGCGGCGTAGTTGTTCATTCTCACTTTCGAGCTGCGTAATGCGACTTTTAAGTTCGTCGACTTCCTGATCATTTGATTGACGATGGAATTTTTCTTCGACTGATTTCAATTCTTTTTCACTTTCTTGGAGTAATCTTGTCAGTTGCTCATTGTAACTACAACAATTCCATGAAAAATCGACATGAAATTTGATCGGAATATTCTTACCGAAGTAGATCTTCTTTTTCCTTCTGTGCTTCCTTAGCTAATAAATCATTACTGTGAGCTTTCTTTTCCCAATTAGCATTATCCATCGATAGTTTCTTCACTTGTTCACTTAACAATTGGAATTTGAGATTGTTTGAATCTCCAGTGTTTGTCGTTGTCAATTGTTGTTGTAATTGAGCGTTTTCTTCAGTTAAACGTTTCACTTGCATTTCGAGTGTTTGAAGTTTTTGTTGCTGAGGTTGAGTAGCACCCTGCGAAGGAGTTGATTTATGGGAAACGGAATCTAATTGAGCATGAAGAATTTGATTTTCACGTTCTTTATCAGTTTTTTCTTTTAAGAGATCATGATTGCGGCGTTTTTCGGCATTGAGCTCGTCAGTTAGCTCTTTGACACGTTTCATGGAGTTTGTTTTCATATCTTTAGAAATCGGAAATGGTTACATGAAAGCTTCGCTGACAAATGCACATACCATCAGCATAGGCTTTGGCTGATTCATCCATCACCTGCCCAATGTGGCTTTTAGGATCGATTTTTTGGCCAAGTTGTAACTGAAAATGAACAGATAAAAATCACGTCGAGACCTGTTTAATGATTCGTCTTACTTTACTCCAATCTTGTTTGACGAGTAGTTGCTTATTAGCAATCTTTTGCATGATTATATCTAATTCATCAGTTGATAATGGGTATGCGTCGAGTGCGCACATTAATTCAGTAACAGCAAGTTGAGAAGATGGAAGAGCTAATAGCAAAAGTTCATCGAATATAGAGCCAGATGACATACAAAACAAAACCCTACCTTTAATAAGATCAGCAACTTTAGCTGTTGGTGGTGTTGCTTTTGTTTGTTGTTGTTGTTGTTTAGGGGGTAGTGAGGTCGTTGCTGTCGGAGTATTAACTTGAACTATTGTTGGCTTTTGTGTAGGCTGTTGGCGTTGAACTGAAGCTGGAGATGATTGCTGAACAGGAACAACAGTTGGTGTTGCAGGATTAGCATGCTGCAGATAAGCAAAGAATATATCAATTAGTTTGACTAAGTTTAACTTACAGGTTTGTTTTGTTGCTGTTGCAATGGTGCTGCTGTCGATTTATGTCGATTACCACCAACCACTGTAAACGGTTCATGATCTTCGATGACTTCGGCCGACTTTTTAGTTGTTGTTGTTGCCATTGTTGGTTTATTGTTGGTGGTTGTTGACTGTGGCTGTTTTTGACCTTTCGTTTGTTGTTTATTTGTTTCGACTTCATTTTTAGTCGTTGTTGATTTTGGATGAGTTACCGGTGGTGCTCGTGCTGTTGCGCTTTTAACATTTGCTTCGACTTGAGTTAATGGTGTCTTATTTTTATTGCGTTTACGAGCTTTTGACGAATTTTCAGCAGTTTGTGATTGTTGTAGATTTACTAATTCTTGTTCGCTTTCTTCCTGTTCATCATCGGTTTCTTCACTAGCTTGTACTGTTGTTCCTTTCGCTTTCGTTCGTACTTGTTCTTCGTCTTTGGCATCACGTTTGGGTTTCTTTTGATCTTTGCGTTTCTTCTTTCCTTGATCGACAAGTGTTTTTTCCTTTTTCTTTTTCTCACTTGTTACATCCGAATGTTGATTACTATCGTCGTTCGCCAACGGGTCGGACATATTTATTTTCCATGCCAAAAAGCCAAAGAAACCTACTAATGTTGCAATGATAACCAATGCAATAACGATAGTTAGCCAATCAATCATATTGTCTTCTCTTGTTGAGTTTGCTTGTTTGAATTCCAAATACACACTCTCACACACGCACAACACACTTAGATAAACGATCTGAAAACAAAGCAGAAACAGCGTACACGAAGGCAACGACAACAGCTGGAAGTTTTATTTCGACTTATTCGGACACGTTCTAGAACGAAAATGAAGAAGAACCAAGGCAGAGAAAAGAAACGTATTAGCTCCCTATCCTATATAAACAAGAAAAGAGGATATCTTCGACCGATGTAGCACGTGTATGCATTTTAGACGAGAATTTCTGCAAGGAATCTATTTGTTATTATTTACAGAGATCTTATCTTATCGATCGTTTGCATTGTGAAACGATAAGAAATGAGAATGAAGGTACGACGACATATCAATGGCGAATATCAGCCAATTGGATGATAACATCACTGATCTCTCGTTCTCGTCTTCTTCAATAGGAAGAACACACGAAGACATCTGCACGAAATCACAGCAAATCATCTTTCTCTTTTCAAATTTTATCACTGATGGCTGTTCATTGCCTTATTCACCACGCTGATATACAAGCAATTAAAAGCTCATAGGCATAGCAAATATAGATCAATCAATGAAAAGTTTGGTATAATGTTTCCAATGGAGCAGTTAGTGCAAAGCTAGTGCATAAATCTTCAGATGATTGATAAGACCAGTTTAAATTTATCTTATATCATACGTCAATTCTATTGTATTCTGTTCGGATCTTATAATGTGGTTGAAAACTAGACTGAATGATACCTGCTCGAAAACCTTGATGCGTCATTTTTTGTTAATGGACAAATATCTGTGACGTTTTGATTGACGTCAAACTACAGTAAGCTTTGTGTCATGGATGGATGCCTTACTAATTTTGCTCTTAAAGTAGAAATATTTTCGTGGGATCAAACGGGTCTTTCGTCCTATAAATACTCACATTTTCGAAAGCAGTGCATATTCATTTGCTTACAACTTCTACTTATCTTCTACACTTCAAACATGTATAACGCATACGGTGCAAATCGAGCAGCGCAACGTGAACTGGCATCCGACATGTGGATTCAAAGACACATTCCCGGTGGATTAAACAGTAAGTTTCTCTTTTTGAAATGAATCTTTTATAGTGTTGATCTAATGGCATGTTCTCATCTAGGCCCATTAGGACGCCAACTGGATAACTACCTCGGTGGAAATCCAAATCCAACATGGGGCCAAATGACGGGTGGTTATTCAGCCTATCAAGGCTATGGCAACGGATATGGCTATCGTCGGTGGTAGTTTGAATCAATCATGATTATCATTGATTTCATGTAAAATATGAAAGCATTTGTCATAATTTAAATAAAATCTCGAAAACATCCATTTTGTAATTGTTAACGATGACGATGTGAAGTTGCAAATTTGCGAGAGATGCGATAAACAAACTCTGATTGTTGTCTGTGAATAAAAAGTACGAGTAGATCAAAAACTATCGTCAGAAACAAACAGAAGAGTTTGAAGTATTGACTCAAGGAAAGAAAGATATGTTTTATATAAATGCTTTTTGAATATATAACAAACACATCAGTCCATCTTCTTTTTCTCTTGAGTCTATTACCATAAATTTAGAGTCTAATGCGCGCGAAACCATCTAATATAGACTCACAGTATGAATCGGACGACGACCAAAATTCATTGAAACATAATGAATCTTCGCCTGATCCACACTATCATCGTACTGTTGTTAACCCATATGAAAACTCTGTTGGCAGAATTAATTCAGTAGATGACAGAGAAAGAGAAACCGAACCTTTATTGGATATAAACAAAGTAGAACCAGTTTCGACAAGTTACCTACCATGCACAAAAATATCTTCGCGTTATGTTCTCGCAATTTGGGCTTTCTTTGGTTTCTTCGCTTTGTATGCAATGCGCGTGAATTTATCTGTTGCCATCGTTGCCATGGTAAAAAGGCTCTCCAGATTCGAAATACCATAGGTAATCTGTACTTATTGTTGTTGTAGGTAGCTCCACAGAGCACCTTGAATCGATCAGTTCAAGCATGTCCGGTTACGAAAGTAAATTCCACAAAACCTCCACCCGTAAGCTTTACATTATTCATTGGTTGTAGAAACTGTATTTCTTCAAAATAGGAATATGAATTTGATTGGGAGCCATCAAAACAAGGACTAATTCTCGGCGCTTTTTTCTATGGCTATATTACTACACAAATGTAAGTTACCATCTAGCTGGAACTTCCCTTCGAATACGATGTTTCTTTCAATATGATTTGTAGAATAGGAGGTAATACAAGTGTGTACGGATGTAGTCTGCTCATATGTGGAAGTCGTTTTCTTCTCAGGTAATTTGGCTGAGAAGTTTGGCGCTAAATGGATTTTTGGCGGCAGTATTTTGGTTTCGAGTATTCTAACGCTTTTAACACCACTAGCAGCCCGTGTTGACTATCGTCTACTGGTCGCAATTAGAGTCATCATCGGTATGGCCTCTGGTCCAGCCTTTCCATCAGCAGCAGCACTCTGGGGGCAATGGGTAAAACTAAGTTTTATCATGATAACTCTTATCTTTTAAATATAAAAGATCCCGGCATCTGAACGTAGTACAGTTCCGCCAGCAGCACAAACTGGAACCAATATCGGTATCATATGTACCACACCGTTAGTCAGTGTCATGGTCGACGGCGGCTTTCTCGGTGGATGGCCGTCGGCATTTTATGTTTTCGGTATGAAAAAAACGCTTTATATGATTTTCAGACAAGTAACTCTGTTCGATAATTAGGTGCGCTTTCTGTTTTATGGTTTATTGGTTGGTGCTTTTTTGGCTTTAATTCTCCGAATGTTCATCCAAGAATTTCGAAGAAAGAACTCATCTATCTTAATAAAGAGATTGTATCACATCCGACTAAAGTATGAAAATCATAACGCCAGATTGAATCTCATTCTGCTTATATTCGAAGCGTCGTCGTACACCGTGGAAAGCAATCGCGCGTTGCGCACCCCTCTATGGTGTTGCAATCAATCATGTGTGTTTTAATTTCATCTACTATACTCTGTTGACGTCATTACCAACTTATTTTTCTACTATACTTAATTTCAATTTACATCAGGTTTCACTCATTTCGAAAAGTTCTTGCTGATCAGTTGAATTTTTAGAGTGGTTTTACTTTTGCTTTACCATACTGTGCGCAATTTCTTACGATTATTGTTATTGGCCAACTCGTTGATCGTATTCGAGCACGAAAGATTCTCTCGATCACAGTGCTTCGAAAAGCACAAGCTATTATCGGTAAAACCATTCAAGTTCAAAAACGAAAGCTATAGTTCAAGATTTTGCTATTCAGGTACACTCGGTACATGTTCATTTCTCATCGCAATCGGTTACATGGGATGCGATCATATTGGCGCTGTTATTTGTTGTATTCTTGCGGTTGGCTTTCTCGGCTTTAATACATGTGGACCGATCATTGCTCATTTAGATATCGCATCAAATTATGCTGGTAAGATTTGACGTACATTAATAGCTCTCATTGTTTGGCTTTAGGAACATTGGTCGGAATCACAAATATGCTAGCCACTATACCTGGTTTTGTCGGTCCATATGTAGTTGGTGCTATTACGAACGATAATGTATGATCTCCTTTCTTGTTTTTTCATTCATGATGAAACAACACATCTGTTTGTTTGTTCGTTTGTAGCAAACAATTGCTGCTTGGCGAATGATATTCAGCATTTCTGCTGGTATTGGTGCTTTTGGTTGTATAGCCTTTTGTATTTTATTCAATGGCGAAGAACAAAAATGGAATCGTATTGATTATGAAGAAGAATCGGTTGATACCTAAGCAGAATTTGGACTCGAATCTTTCTATATTTGTGATTTTTCTGATAAGGTTTAACAGCAGAACACAGTGGTTATAAAATTATTTCATACCAGAGTTGTATTCTATTGCATAAATCTATAAAACTTCAATACTCAAATAGAGAGAGAACTTATTTTGTCAACACGGATAAACAGATAATTATTTGACTATTTATCATGTAATGTCACCGCTCAGTGACGCATTCAATGCAAGAATTTCGCGTCCTAAAATCACAAACGAATTCTGTACCGAACATTAGCTTCGTTCTTTATATAACTTATTGACAAACATAATCAAAGCTTATCTAAACTATCGATGTGCCGTTTTATGCATCTCTAGGGGAAAAGCATGAGTATATCACATAACATCAGTTATATTCTCCAATAAAAACAGTGATAACAAGAACAAAAAAAAACGAATGGATTTCTCGTGTTTATACTGAATACACTTCGGTAATGTTTACAATTAGTTGTTTTCATCACGTTTCGTGTCCTTTTACGTTTTGGCACTATTTATTCTTTCGGAGATATATTGTAGAGAGTATCTTTACCGATGACAAGTTTCCCGAGTACAAAAAAGTTATCTTATTATCTTTCGAAAATAGAGATAAGTCGATGGAGAATCAAAACGATACTAATTTTCGCCTGTTAGAGGATTACTTATTTTAAAACACTCCGCTTTCATTCTGGTATTTTTTTGTTACTATTTACAGATATGATTGATGAGTACAGAAGAGATAGAGAGGAGAAATATAGACGATGTGCTAAGCAGCATTCGATCTATTGTGAACGAGAAAACAGTGAAATGGAAAGTGATTTGACCAAACGTCGACCGTCGTTAGTTCCCGATTGCTTGCCTGGATTACCTGTTGGATGGTCACCAACTATACCAATAGTAGAAGAAAACGACAACGACGATGAGAACAATTCGAGATGTTCCTCATCAAGTGCACTCTCTTACTTACCAGCCATAGCAGATTATGAAATAAATCCATATATGGCTATTAAAAAGTTTCAATTGAATAATCATGCGCCGTCGTCCATGGCGCATACGTATGGTATCTGCGTTTTGAATACTGATGCAGAAGAAATTCTTGTTTGCGATCATTATAATAATCGTCTATTGATGTTCGATTCGATGACTGATGGGCATTTATTGGAAGTATATCGTGGTGATCTCGTCTCACCCGAATGCGTAGCAACACGACCAAATCATCCTCAACAGGTCTACATCACGAAAGCACATTCGCTGTCTCTATATGATCTGGAGAAAAAGCAGTTTATACAGAAACTGGGCATTGAAGAAAGTGGCCATGCAAATAATCGATTTAATCTACCCGGTGGTATCGTTGTCGATCCAGAAAATGGGTAAGTTGATGTGAACAAACATACTTTCAAAGAAAATCTTCCTTTCTTCATTGATAACATCATAGAGAGGTTTACATGTGTGATACATGGAATCATCGAGTCTGCGTTTTCTCACCCGATTTTCGTTACGTTAACCGTCGATGGTACTTAACACGATGGGAACAACCACAGTATAAAGTAAAACCAAACTCTCTTGCCATTAATGCCAACAATCAATGCGTAGTTACATGCGATGATGCTCCAACGTACCGCGGCGCTGTTTATCTGTTTGATAAGATGGGTTATATACAAAAAATCTATGACCAACAATCACGCAAACAGCATCGAAATGTCGAAGCCAGGTTAAATGTGCCACATGGAATTCTATTAGATGATGCAGGAAATTGGTTGACAGCGTGTTATTCCGATTCCGAATCAACTTGGGTCGAAAATCGAGTAGAATCCGATGAGCAGGAAAGAATCAATTATAGATATCATAAAAAACTAGCAGGACCAAGCGCTTTAGCAATGAAACGTGATCAGACATTGATTGTTGGTGATCGAGATGATAGTGCAGTTTATTTTTTTAAACCAATTGCCCAACAAAATTGACTAAATTTATTTTTATTGTAAAGACAAAAGTGCTTTGTATTCTGATTGAATAAATATGTTTCTATGCCAGCATCAAGCACTATCTTCTCGCAATGATTGTATCACAACTCCCTAAAGTCAATCAAATTGCGCGACAATAGCTAAATTTGATAGAAAAAAAACGAAATAAACAATCACAAACTCGTGCACTGTAATATTGCATTTCTTTCTAGCGAACTTTGAAATCAGCTTCTCGTTTTTATATTCGTTGCTCATTCTCACCTTGAAACATTTTATGTCTGCCTCACCACAAGTCTTAACTGAGACAAAACCGCGAATATCAAACGAAAATTGATACACAACGACGTATTTCTCTTTGAAATGCATGAGTGCTCACCAGGATAGCAGATTTCTGTGTAAATATACCTTTCCCTAAAATCTTTTCTACTTAGAAATCCTCCTAAAAACTTATTCATTTTTCGCAGTACAAGTGCATTGACATTCATAACATGATAGTCATATTTGTCAACTAAGTCACTCATCTGTTCTGTTGATAACATGTCATTTTATCTGATGATGTATGGTGCGATCATCTTTCGAAATATACTACTATTGTATTCATGGCGTGATTCTCTCTCGAGTACACGAATCAACATTGTGTCTTTATATATATATTCGTCAATGTTCTCAGAACTTTCTAGCCTTCATATACATCTCTTTCTTTTCTTTCGCGCTTTCAAAACTTTATCTGTGTATAAAACCATCCCTTGTAAAATATTCTACTTGGCAGTAATAATCGCATTGAACAGGTAAGCTGATAGAAATGCACTAATCGATATTCTAATTATATGAAAGAGCTGGCCATGAAGATTAGAAAAAGACAAGACTTGATGATACACGACTCCTTTACGCTTCGAACATATAACCTACAATTTTACGAGACTACTGATCAGATTTCTATTTTTATTTCTTTTTCGTCATTATAGACAACAAATAATAGTTCGGATCACAATCTTGCAAATATGAACTACAAAGATCAATCCGTATTGAACTATCCAGTTACCAAACACAACTACAGTATCTCTCGTATATTTCGTTCAATATTTCCTTTTATCGGTGAGTTACTACTGCACAACACACGTGCCCTTCAAACAGTTTCTCTATGATTTTTTTCGACATGATGGGAATGCTTCCATCTGGTCGTATATTTCTTCGTGCATAGATAGTAGCGCCATGATTGCTGTTTTAGTGACGAGACCCAAGGCAACTATTTAGCGTACATTCTTACGATTGGTAGAGAAAATAAGCATTCAGTGTGATTCATAAATATTGTTTTTCATCGTTATTATTACTTGTCGTCAGAAAAAAAAAAACTTTGAACTGCTTAGAAACGCTGTCTATAAGAAACAGAACTGAATCATCGTGACGTCAGAACTTTAGGACATTTTGATCAGGTTTTTGAATTTCTAGATCGTAATTGATGGCGTCATAAGAACTAAGAAAGTAAAATATTCCACAAAATAGTCTTAACCTCCTTTATTCGAACGAAGGCGATGATTGCATTCGAGAAATGATTTTTGCGATTAAATACAGGCAATGACATTTAATTTGACGCCTGACTGATTTAGCGTGGTCGAAGCCCTCAAGATAATACATAAATATGCATATACATAGTGATCGCCCCACTTACATCCCCCCTCTTTATATATTGTCGAATGATATTTTCATTCATTTGAGACAAATAAGCGCACAGTAAATAGGTACATTATCTTCTATTATTTTTTCTCCCTATTTTGCAGACTACGATCCAATGACAACGACAACAGTTCGATTTTATGATTCAACATTTTATACAATTGCATTAACATCCGTCGCATATTTGATATTTCAAACCTATTCAATACGTCCATATGCCAATCGTCTAATCTTGTTCCTTTCTTTCCTATGTACTTGTCTTAGTTGTGAAACGTTTTTCCATATTTTTCAACCGAATTCATTAATTCAGTTCGCCAATCTAAATATTACAAATTATTTTTCGCCAACTGTCATTCATTTAACTTTATTACTATCAATATCATCATTTCTCTGGAATGCAACGCAGTGTGCTGCATTAGCAACAATCCTACTTCCATCAAACTCAAACGATAATCAACAACCACCCAATTTCGTCCTACGTCGATGGCTTCGTCATGTTTGTGTCGATCATTTGTTTGCGCTTCTACTTGTCCGCTTAGGACGCTTAACTGATGTTGCAACCGTGACAGCATTGAGTAATATGGCAAGTATTTGTGTCATTGCTAGTTGGTGTTCACAAATAGCCGTTTTTCCATGTATGCTGTGTTTTCTTCATTCATTATTTATTGATCAAGGAACCATAACTGATAAGAATGTGACACCGACAACCTTGACCAATGCTGATGAGTTCACATCGGTCTTGCATCGCTTGAAAATCATCAAAATTATGGGTTTAGCATTATTCGGTTTGAAAATTTCAGCGTTAACATTATGTGAAGCTTTAGCTTTTGGATTGACGACAACTATTTGTTTATCTTGTCTTATTGTTGCACCACCCGGACGAGAAATGTCAAAATATACCAGAATATTCGATATATTTATTGGTAAAATGCCCGGTGAAGAGAAAAATGAAGCGATTGCGCTTGATTGCAATAAGCAGCAGCAACAACAACAAACTATTACAAGAAGATCAATAGGATCAAGAGTTGATGGTAAGGAAGCAAAACTTTTGATACATTTCTCCATAACTTGATGTCATCTAGATACTCATACTCATCCGGTAATCGACCATCGACAATTATCCAATGGACATCTTACTCATTCAACATCATCGCCAGATGTGGTTAAACTAGTCCCTACGACGGATGAAGCCAAACCTGTACCAAAAATAGTGATCGACTATTCAATATTGACCGACGAAGAAGTTCTGGAGTTAGTCAAATCAAAGAAACTCTTAGCACATAATCTCGAAAAGCATTTACCATACTTACGAGCAGTTCATATTCGACGACTTCTTCTGAAAGAACAAATGATTTCCATTAAAAACACATTACCATCATTGACTACCTTACCGTATGAACATTATGATTATTCGCTGGTCATCAACCAATGCTGTGAGAACGTTATCGGATATGTTCAAATACCGGTAGGATATGCTGGTCCTATACGTGTCGATGGCAAAAACTACTATATACCTCTAGCAACTACAGAAGGTACGACTAGTTTTTGCACTGAATAGAGAAAAACTTACTTTTGTTTGGATAGGAGCACTTGTTGCTAGTACCAATCGTGGTTGTAAAGCACTATCAATGTCGAATCATGGGGTGGACACCGTTGTTTTCAATGATGGTATGACGCGCGGTCCTGTTCTGAAGTTCAGCACGATACGACAAGCACACGAAGCATATGAATGGCTAGAAACAAATTTCGATGAAATTAAACAATGTTTTGACCGTACAAGTTCATATGCACGTTTAACTAACATCAAACGAAATCTTGCCGCACATTACTTATTCATTCGATTCGTGGCTACGACTGGTGATGCGATGGGTATGAATATGTTATCAAAGGGTGTGGACGCAGTACTAACGTTAATCAAGACAGCATGGGCAGAAACAGTAGATATTATTAGCATTAGTGGCAATTATTGTATAGGTAAATGAAAGATAATCTATATAAAAAATTTCATTAAAAAAACAATCAAATAATTGTAGATAAGAAACCATCAGCGTTGAACTGGATTGACGGACGGGGCAAATCGGTTGTAGCAGAAGCTGTGATATCACATGAAATACTCGAAAAAGTTCTCAAAACTAGTGCCAGTCGATTAGTTGAATTAAATCAATCGAAGAACTTACTCGGATCAATCATGGCCGGTTCAATTGGTGGATTCAATGCACATGCTGCTAATCTTGTAGCTGTAAGTTAAATATCCTTTGCTCGAAACGATAAGTCTCCTATGATCTATTCATTTAGGCCATGTTTATTGCTTGTGGTCAAGATCCCGCACAAGTTGTGTCTAGTAGTAGTTGTACGTAGTCAGCATTACTCTCAGCTAATAAAATCATTCCATAATTTTCGTCTAGGTTTGACATGGCTCGAAACCACCGGCCCTGAAAAACAGGATCTATACATATCATGTACAATGTATTCCCTCGAAGTAGGAACCATTGGTGGGGGAACGAAGTTAGCTGCACAAAAAGCTTGTCTGGAAATGCTCGGTATTGATGGTTCGAATGTACAAATGCCTGGTGAGAACTCTTGTCAATTGGCTCGTCTCATTTGTTCAACAGTGCTAGCTGGTGAACTTTCCTTGATGAGCGCATTAGCAACGAATGATCTGGTTCATTCACATTTACGACTCAATCGAAGTGCAACTGCTCTCAATCAAATCAAATCATAAATATTTCGATGGCCGTAAATATAGACAATAGAAAATTTTGATACCCGCGTGTTTTTTCTTTTTTTGTTTTGCATTGTGTATTATTTTCAAAAAGAAAAAGAAGGGTTTATCGATATTTATTCAGAAGAAGAAATTACCGAAAGAAAATATTTTTGTTATGAACAGACATGACGTAGCTGATGTAAACATGTCACATTCTCTTTATTGTTGTCGATCGCTGGAAACGACCAATACGGCTGTCTTGCAAAACAGAAAAAGAATATCGATGCAGAAAATAGATAAATTTCCAGGGGTTGTTTTCTTTTGATGTTACTGAAAGTAATAATACAATCTGTCTTTTTTTTATCGGGATATTCATCGATGAAAAGCGATCATTCATTGTCCAATCTTTTCGTGTTTTCAATGATGAATCTTTATGGATATAAAAATCGGTATTTCAATTCCCCTTTCAACTTTTCTTGATACTATCCTTGAGCATTGTTATTCTTCCTCCTTTTGTGTATTATTCTCTCGTACTCTTTATCCATTCGAGACTGATTCTAACAATCTATTCTTCTTCCTTTCCTTTCTTTCTCTACTTAGCTATGCTAAATGTTATTCTAGTGTCGAACTGCAGCACGGCGTCTTTCCCAAAATGAAGAGCAATCAATACACATCTTCATATTGTTCTCCTTGTCTAGATATACATTCTTAAAGATGCATATTCCGCGTATATACACATTTATAACAAAGAGGCGGGAAGCGGTTATCTCTATCTGTATTTTTTTCCTCTTCCGGTCGCCCGTTGTTATAGCGATATGCATTACCCGATTTGGTATACGTTGATGTACATCTTCTCTGGAAAAGTAGAAGCAGAAAAGAAAGAAAATATCCTATTTTGGTACATCTGGATATAGTCTAGAATAGATAGTAGCCGCCGTTCTTTTTGCGGGCAATCTCAGTGGAGGAGAGACATACATATCTTTCGAGCATCTCAATCGTTATTTGAAACAAGACTAGACAATGTGTGACGAAGACGTTGCAGCTATTGTTATTGACAATGGATCGGGTATGTGCAAAGCTGGTTTTGCCGGTGATGATGCTCCTCGATCGGTCTTTCCATCAGTCGTTGGTCGACCACGTCATCAAGCTGTCATGGTTGGTATGGGTCAAAAAGATTCTTATGTTGGTGATGAAGCTCAATCCAAACGTGGTATCTTAACACTCAAATACCCCATTGAACACGGTATTATTACCAACTGGGATGATATCGAAAAAATTTGGCATCACACTTTCTACAACGAACTTCGTGTTGCTCCAGAAGAACATCCCGTTCTTCTTACTGAAGCACCACTTAACCCAAAGGCTAACCGTGAAAAAATGACTCAAATCATGTTTGAAACATTCAATTCACCAGGTAAACGATGCCCTTAGAAACATTTTGTCCTATCTAATTGATGTTTCTCTTTTTTCTTTAGCTATGTATGTCGCTATCCAAGCTGTACTTTCACTCTATGCTAGCGGTCGTACAACTGGTATTGTTCTTGATTCAGGCGATGGTGTCACCCATGACGTACCCATCTATGAAGGTTATGCTCTACCCCATGCTATCCTTCGTCTTGATTTAGCTGGTCGGGATTTAACTGACTACTTGATGAAAATTCTCACCGAACGTGGTTACTCATTTGTCACCACCGCTGAACGTGAAATTGTCCGCGATATCAAAGAGAAATTGTGCTATGTTGCCTTAGACTTCGAACAAGAAATGGCAACAGCTGCATCAACATCATCACTTGAAAAAAGTTATGAATTACCTGATGGTCAAGTCATCACCATTGGTAACGAACGTTTCCGTTGCCCAGAATCACTCTTTCAACCATCATTCTTGGTAAATTGATTCGAAGCAAAAATTCCCGAAAAGAATAACAATTCTTTTTACCTAGGGTATGGAAGTTGCTGGTATTCATGAAACAACATTCAACTCAATCATGAAATGCGATATTGATATCCGTAAAGATTTATATGCTAACACTGTCTTATCAGGAGGTATGCAATAGTATTTCTGGTGAATTTTGACATCGATGAAATGTTGTTATCTAGGTACTTCAATGTATCCTGGTATTGCTGATCGTATGCAAAAAGAAATTACAGCTTTAGCACCATCAACAATGAAAATCAAGATCATTGCTCCACCTGAACGTAAATATTCAGTATGGATTGGTGGTTCAATCTTAGCTTCACTTTCAACCTTTCAACAAATGTGGATTTCAAAACAAGAATACGATGAAGCTGGTCCATCAATTGTTCATCGTAAATGTTTCTAAATCGATCGAAAGAAGATCATCAATTAGAATATTTCGTTTTTGTCTTCTTCTTTTTCTTCTACTTCTTTTCGAGCAAACAAAACAAAAAAGAAACCGTGGAAAATTGCACGTACACTCTACTTCCCCCCTTCATTTCGATGATGTGCCATCATTACCTTTCTCTTTTTATTCATTCAACTTTTTTCTATCCCTTTTACATTTTTGTGCAATGACAATACCATTCATATTCATCAGCCTGTTTTGGGATTAAAAACATGAAGAAAAAAAAACATAAATTCTTACATATTTATATTCTTCTTTCAACTGCAAATCTTTACTGTATAGCTATTAACGAAACTGCTTAGCTATTTATCGAGTTTATTACTATGCACCTAAGTTTAAATTAGGTTTTTTTCCAAGTTGCATTCTGTGAAAGCTTTTTTGTTGTATTTATAATTCGATGGTGGGTGTATTTGATCTATAAAACGCTTTGAAAGAAAGGACTTGAGAGTCGTTAAACAAAAGGTAAGCTCAGATATGTTTCATCTTGCGAAAATCACCGAATATTGCAATTTTTGTTGACTATTTTCGATCACGGACTGTGAGATGGAAATTGAGCTACATTTTCGAACCTGAATCTAAAAACTATTTTCTGCTAGAGATTTTTCACATTTATCTGATACAATACGTTATCTTAATATAGTTAGAATTTATTACTTTTAGTAATGGAAGTTAGTGCACCAAATACGGATTCATCGTTACATCTTTCAGCGAAAACTGAATTTCTGATTGATGGCAAATATCGTCTCGTTCGTAAGATCGGTTCAGGTTCATTTGCAGACATTTATCTTGGCATCAACATCACAAATGGTGAAGAAGTCGCAATCAAACTTGAATCAGTCAAAACAAGTCATCCTCAATTATCGTTTGAATCAAAATTATACAAAATTCTGCAAGGTGGAATCGGCATTCCACGTATTCGATACTATGCCCAAGAGAAAGATTACAATGTTCTTGTTATGGATCTACTTGGACCATCACTTGAAGATCTCTTTAATTTCTGTTCCCGAAGATTTACGATGAAAACTGTACTAATGCTTGCTGATCAAGTAAATGAAACTGATCTGAATTGTACTTTTCTTCAACCGAACACGTTTTCTCTCGTTTAGATGATTGGTCGAATTGAATTTGTGCATAACAAAAACTTTATACATCGAGAGTCAGTTTTTCTTCAATTGAAAACATTTCCTATGCATTCATATCACTGTTTAGTATTAAACCCGATAATTTCCTAATGGGTATTGGACGACACTGTAATAAGGTACAATTTGAACATATTCATCGGTTGTCTATTTTTCGTTTTCCGCTTTTTTTCCTAGGTGTTCTTGATTAATTTTGGTCTAGCAAAGAAATATCGTGACAATCGAACTCAACAACACATTCCCTATCGAGAAGATAAAAATTTAACTGGTGGAACGCGTTATGCATCTATCACTGCCCATCTCGGTATTGAACAAAGGTAAGTTGACTGAGACGGGGCGGAGAAAGGTCTATGATTGATATTTCTATGCTGATTTTAGTCGTCGTGATGATATGGAATCGTTAGGTTATGTTTTGATGTATTTTAATCGTGGTTCATTACCATGGCAAGGTCTTAAAGGAGCAACTAAAAAACAAGAATACGAAAAAATATCCGAGAAAAAAATGTCAACACCTGTCGAAATTCTCTGCAAAGTAAGACGAGCGGAAACGTCGTTTTCTTATCCACTCACATTCATCTGTTCGCTTTTAGGGATTTCCAGCCGAATTTGCTATGTATCTAAACTATTGTCGAGGTCTTCGTTTTGAAGAAGCACCCGATTACATGTATTTACGTCAATTGTTTCGCATTTTGTTTCGAACATTAAATCGACAATATGATTGTATGTTTGATTGGATGCAACTAAAACAGAAAATATCAGATGCGTCTCCAGCAAAACCAAACTCATCCAGCTCCATTTCACTTTCATCGAAAGGTAATGTTATTTTGAAAACTAACAAACATCTGTCTATTCAATTCATAGATACGTCTGATTCATCAAACACTAGTCCCTTTTATAATGCATGCCGTGAAAATGACATAAGTACAGTCGAAGAATATTTGAAGTCTATGTCTTTGGAAGACGTCGACCGACTAGAGCCGAATGGGTCTACTGCGTTGCATGTAGCTGCATACGAAGGACATGAGAAGATAGTCGAACTCCTATTAAAAAAAGGTGCGGCGTGTTCAATCAAAAACAAATATGATGCCACCCCGTTAGATCAGACTAAATCTAACAAGATAAAGCAGTTAATAAGACGTCGAATGAATCATACACGTTTTGTCAGTGATTCTGTGGAATGGATTCTTAAAGCAGATAATGCTGATTATCAAGCACATGAATATCTAAAACCGCTCGAATCGTATGGCAAGCATCCGCGCTTTTACGAGTACATTACTTATATAAAACAAAATTTTCTCGAAAAAGATTTACGAGATATAGATGATATCGATATGATAAAAGAATATTTCGATAAGGCAATCAATGAAAAGAATCCAATTTATCTACTGATTGCCTACACTGCTGAAACAAATTTCTACTCAATTCTGAATATTCATTTGGCAAAGATGCGTGTTGAGAATTTAACTGCCGAAGAAAATCTTAAGCTCGCCTATTATATTGGAATAATTGCTCGTCATCCAAACTTTGATACATTATCGTATACCGGTGTTACATATCGTGGTATGATGGTGACTGCTGATGATATAAAACAATACACAAAGGGTGCTCGAATTTTGACGAAAACATTTTCATCATCTTCAGTAGAACCAAATGTAGCATTGCGATTCATGACGAATGATTCAACAACGAGCAATCGATCAAGTACATTATGTATTTATGAAATACGTAATCCAAGAACTGCATTAGATATTCGAAACATATCGATGTTTCCGGATGAAGAAGAAGTCTTGATTTTACCTTACTCCGCATTCAAAATAAAAGAAATCAAAACAAATTACAACAGATCACCAAGATATGAAATCAATCTACAAGAATGCGATCCGTGGTAAAACGAACTACTGACACTGATTTTCTTCATATTTAATCACGACTTTTTTAAATTCACAAAGAAAAGAAAAGAAAAGAGATCATAAATTGCCTGATATGTCATAAACGAGGCAATGTCGTCGTATCAAACACTCAACTCACTGACTGATAAACCATTACCTTTTATGATTTCAATACACCTCGAAGTAAATTCTCATGCGATACTCAGTTACTGTGTAAGCATTTTTGAACTCTACGAAAACAACAAAGATCGGCATTAATAAGTGATCTCACTCATGATTGTTTGCCATTGGGAGAATTTCTTTGTTGTGCGGCATAGAATGACATTGTCTTTATGTCATTTCATACGACTAGAATTACTACAATGAGAATATCGACAGACAGTATGCACACTGTATAAAGCTTTCGTTCTCTTTCTTTTGTATACGTATATCCCTTTGTTGATGTATAGACATACTGAATGATTGTGTTCTCTACAATGAGTAGGCATCAAACATAGGCAAACAAAAAACGTAAAATATATTTTTCTTTCTTTTGCATTTCTTCTTCGATTCTCATCGCATCATTTTTAGTCTTCTTCTTCTTAATATAATCGTGCAAGAGAACGAATGAAAATATGCATCACAACTCATGGTTCTCCTTCCCCCTTCTGCTTACCTTTATCGAAAAGTGAGCGAACTTCTTGAAAGAAAAAATAATATTGCAACATCGACGAATATTTGTATTTATTTAACATGTTTTTCTCACATAGGTAGAAAAAAATGACCGATGTTTGAATATTTATTACGAATAATTACTTTGACATACGTACACTTTACGCCACATTATTCGTTCTAACAAACAGTGATCGACTTTCTTCTGTTCGAAATTCCGGTGTTCTTCTTCGTCACAAACATGGCTGGTTCATCTCGTCAAAAAATCTCACTTCTCTTCCACCGTACACGTTTAAAATCTCGTTATATCTTCTCAATACTCGTTGGACTTGCATTGGGCTTTGCCTTAAGTCTTGCCAGTGTGCCATTAATGAGCATATGTGATAGTTCATTATCAATACCATTTTCCTCCTCGTCAGATTTTTCTCTTCACAATGGCAGTTTCTCATTGCGTGACAAATTCGATCCGTTTCGAATCTTAAATCGGCAAGCACGATCAATTGCTGATATTACACTTGTCGATTACGGTAGTAAAGATTATGAACCACGAATTCATCCAATACAATCAGCAGCAATGAAACCAAATAATACCAATAGTAAAAGTGCACAAGCGGCAGCAGCGACAACAGCACGTCCGCCACCTGCCCCAAAAATCGTACGACCACGTTATATAGCCGACGAACTTGGTATTCGTGAAAAAGTTCTCGTTGCTGTTTTAACCGAGACAAATCATTTGAATACATTTGCTTTATTTCTTAATCAAACATTACAAGAGCATGTGAATCATCTGTTATTTTTCATTGATGACGTCGTACAAGATTTTCCGAAGGGTTTGCAAGTTGTCGCCATTCATGATAAACGAGTGTACCTGAAACCATTCTATGTATTAAAATATCTAGCTGAAAAGTTTATTAAAGCTTATGATTGGTTTCTGCTTGTACCAGATAATACTTTTATACGAGGCTTCAAGGTAAAAATCAATTTAAATTTCGATTGTACAACTTGGCAATGTCTTGTTTTAGTTACATGAATTTCTTAGTCATATTAGTATCAATCAAGATTTGTACATGGGACAAGCGTTTGATGATATTCACGCGGTGTATTGTTACTTTGGATCCGGTATCATTCTATCCGGAGTAAGTTGAAAGATGTTTGTTGTTCGAGTGAAAAATTTTCGATGATTGCTAATTGTAGACAGTGCTTCGAAAAATCTACGATGAACTTGATTGGTGTACGAAAAATGCTTACTCACAAGATCTAACTGATAATATCGGACGTTGTGTTTTAAAAACAGCTAAATTGCCCTGCACAAATACGGCTAGTGTATGATTTGTTTATGGTTCATTAAGAAAAAAAGGAAAGTCTCTGTCTGTTGATTTTATAGAATTATCAATTCAATGCATTTGTTGATTATCGTTTTGAGTTCGACACAGACATCGATAAATTAGCAAAAAGCGCTACATTCAATCAATCGTTAACTGTTCATCCCGTGCAAGATCTCGAAACAATGCTGAAACTTCAAAAGTATGTGTTTTCAATGTTTCACTCTTCTCTTCAATTCTAACGATGTTCTATAGGTATTTTAATGAAGTTGAAATCAATGAAATGACGCAAGAAATAACCAAATACGAGGAAACTATTGAAAGTTTATCTTGCTACGCCCCTGAGGGCTGCGGAAATATACCTTGGCCTCCAGGAGTGCCCGCTCCTTTCAAACCACCGACACGATTTGATGTTCTTCGATGGGATTATTTCAATGAAACACATATCTATCTCAAGACAGATAGTGAAGTAGTTGATCGACTAAAACGTATGAACTTGAAGGATATCGAGCGCTTTTTTCATCTTTTTTCTTTTAGAAATCGACTACGAAGATGTGCATGAAGTGATTGACCATTCTGTACAGCAACTACAGAAAAAATACGGAACTGAGTAAGTAAATCTAGAAGATCATTAGGCAGTTAATTTTATTGTTCTATTCTAGCTTAAAATTCAAACATTTACGCAACGGTTATCGTCAATTTGATCCAACACGTGGTACACATTACATTCTTGATTTGATTCTTATCGACAAAAGTGCAAATGAGATTGTTAAACGTGCAGAATTGATGAGACCGTTAGGTAAGTGAGAGAATCACAACTAAAATCAGGATATATGTATCCTATGTCCACAGGTCTCGTGGAAATCGTTCCCATGCCATTCGTTACGGAAACGACGAAACTCTTTTTAATATTACCAATTCATTCCGATGAACAATCTGTAGCTTTAAGATTCCTTAGTCATGCAAACAAAACATTGTTCGAACACGAGACTCCTGATAAGTTCGAATTACTTCTCACACATATCGTGTACACAAAACAAGAATATTCGCAAACACAAAAATGGTTCGAACCTCTTCGTTCGGAAATTAAGTTAATTCACCAAATACGACCAAAACTGACAATCACGTATCACACTCTACTTCTTCCGTCAACGACAATTCCACATTATTCGAAACCAATGTATTTATTAGAATTCTTTCAAGCAAAACTTCGCACAAATTCTTTAATATTTATTACGAATCCATATGTTGATATCGATTCCGATTTTGCCAGTCGCTGTCGATTGAACATTATCGAAAACACTCAATGTTTCTTTCCAATCGCCTTTTATCAATATCATCCACGTATTATTGCGCGTACGCATCATCTGACAGATAATTCTACAATTGAATTACACAAATTCCATGGTTGGTTTAATTCCTATGCATATGATCAAATTGGACTTTATATGAGTGATTATTTAAATTTGAAAAAACTCATCTCGTATCATAATATAACTGAGTCGAGCAGCAATCTTTACGATCTATTTATTCAATTAACCGATATGCATATTTTACGTGCACCGGATCAGTCGTTACGTGTTCATTATCGGCCGATTCAATGTGATCTCACAATACAATCGAGTTCAATTGAATACAATCGATGTTTAATGCAACGAGAAAAAGGCCTAGCGTCTCGTAGTCAATTGGCAATGATTGTTATTGACAATGAGCCAATTAAGACTAAAAAATAAGAATTCTTTCGCTTTTTTTTCTTTATGCTTTTCCTTTGACTTGTAAAATTAAATGAACGGTGAATACCAATATTTCAACGTGTTGAAAAGACGTCTCTATTGATACAATCAATATGGAGTCAAAGAATGGCTCTGACCAGAAACGCATATGTATATTTGCATTGATCCTTTTCATTTGATGATGAATTTTATTAGTACACTAACTATCCCATAACCAATCTCTAATTCTCACCTCACTAATAGTCCAGTACTTAAAAAGAGTATTCTCGCCAAAGCTGTTGGTACAGTAATTGATAACGTGAGATATTATATAGCTTAATTACAAATTTCACTCGTATTACTTATGTTTTATTTGAGTTTCCCTTGGATCAGTCGATAATAATATCCACTACGTGCAAGTAAATCTGCGTGAGTTCCATATTCGACAATCATTCCATTGTGCATTACATAAATAACATCACAGTTTTGTACTGTAGACAAACGATGGGCAATAGTAATTGATGTTCGATTTTCTTGTGCACGCTCCAATGCCTCCTGAACAATCTTTTCGCTCTCGCTATCCAACGCACTTGTTGCTAGTTAAATACAAGAAGATGATAACAGTAGATCAATTTCTATGCTTACCTTCGTCAAGTAGCAAAATCTTGGGATTTCGAAGCAGTGCACGTGCAATGGCTGCAAGATGCAAAGAAAGTTTCCTTAGTTGTGTTTTAATCGTATTTGAGAACTGACTTACCAATTCGCTGCTTTTGTCCACCGGATAATCGAAGGCCTTTAGCGCCACAACTTGTTTCATATCCCTAAGACAAAAAATACGAAACGTTGATAAATTCGAATACTAGGTAAGTTACATCCGGAAGTTGTTGAATGAAATCGTGGATATTCGCATTTTTGGCTGCTTCAATGATTTCCTCCAATGGAATATCTTGGCGACTGTTATCACCGTATGCAATGTTCTCACGAATAGATGTGTCGAAAAGGGCCGGTTCTTGTGAAACAATACTGACTACATGAAGGAGAATGAGAATGGGGGATTGTTAATAGAAGATGAGCGTATTTATTCTTACTTTGTGATCGATACCATTGTAAATCAAGACTTCGAATGTCTTTTGAATCAATAAACTATGAAATAGTAATTCATATCGAACCTATAGGAACATATTTTGTGTACATACGATTTGACCAAAATCTGGATCGTAGAACCGTTCGATCAACTGAATCATTGTTGATTTTCCAGAGCCTGAAGAACCTTTGAAGACCAAATCCAGCATTTGCAACGATAATGGTGTCAAATCTGATTATACATACCAACAAGTGCGACTTTTTGTCCTACGAAAAAAAGAATATTTCACAAAGAAACGGAAATATATACAATCACCTGATTTGATGGTAAAATTGAATTTTTTTAGAATAATTGAATCTCTGCGAGTTGGATATACAAAATAAACATCTTTAAAATCGACATGACCAGTACAGTTTGGCTGTTGGTCACTAGCATTATAATACAATTCAAACATGAGTGATGTACACTTACAATTTTATCACCATCCGTAGATTGATTGTTAATCGGAGGTTTTCGTTTTATTATATTGAAGATATTCCTAGCGGCTACGATAGCTTTACCGTAACTTGGAACCCTGTATCAAATTTTGTTTCCATCTCGAACAGAATATTTCACAAAACTTACGATACGAAATCATAAACAGCTACTTGGCTGAAATATACCACAGCATCCATAATCCTAGAGATAGAATTACGTATGTAGAAGAAGACTATTGGCCATTTGTCATGTTTGATCTTACACAACTGCATTCACATCGGTAATAATCTGCTTATCAAGAAGAGTGGTGCCCAAAGATAGAATGGCCGTTACACAGAAAGTATTCGTGGCGAACATTATAGAAATCAATAGGCTTATTATGTGTATCTGTTTTCTTGATAACCTGCAATAGAAAATATAAATGAGAAAACAAGTAATGCACAAATACCGATAAAGAACATTCAGTATTCGAGAATATTCATTGTAAAAATGTTCTTCTTTCGTCAATTGAACCACTGTCCGGATATTTTGTATGGTTTCCACCGTGATCTACCAATTATGATCAATATATAAATGTAAATTAACTAACTTGTGGTTCTACGAAAGGATTTGTTTTCAAACCTTTCCAGCGTCTTGTAGGAGTTTTTGTTGTTTATGGGCAAGCCGCTTTGTGAAGTATATCTGTGCACAAAGCCCACATATGTCTATGGGGAGAAAGGCACAGCTAAGCAATGCTAATTGCCATGAATAGATGAACCCAACGACGAAACAAGTGCAGTAAACAGCTAGATTTTGTAAAATAGAACCCAATACGACACCAGTCGTATCTTGTATCGTTGATACGTCTGTTGCCAGAATAGTACATAACGCCCCTGTGCTGTTTTTTGCGTTGTCGAAAAAACCGGCATCTTGGCAAAGAATAGCATAGAATGTTTTCAAGCGAAGGCGCCGAGTAATATTGCCGCCAGAATAAGCAAACGTACTACTCTGAAATACATAAAATAGTCAAGAGGTATCTTTAATTTCATTACAGACTAGAACTAATTGACATATCAAATAAATAAATGCGCAACCAACAGTTGTAAGGATATTTTTGTTGATTTTGTGGTGTTGTGTATCAATGTCGCATTCTTGAAAGGCCTAATGAGAACAGAACGCAACAACTATTATTGACATTGAACAGTAAGTCGTCTATAAACACTTACCGTCATGACATTCACCTGAAAAATACTAGGCAATACACAGATTGCGCCAGTAATCATCGACATAAGGCATCCAACACCTATCCATATCCGTTCTGGTTTGGCCATTTCGAGAATGTCTGATATTGGATTGCTTTGTTTTTCCTAAACGATTAGTGATTAATAGCATATAAAAATAGCTTAATGCCAACGATCACCTTTGTGCTTTTCATCTTGTTATCAACCTGAGCATCATCATAATTGACTATTGTGCTTTCTTTTCCGTACAGTTTTGTCAGCACTGATGGTGTCGTACTAATGACCGATGAACTTCTGTCCCTGGTCACATCTAAATGTGATTGATCTGAAAGAAATTGTTTTCTCATTTCTTGCTGTTCAAATGTCAATTCTTCTTCTTCCCCGGCTTGACGAATAAGTTGCTGTTGAACCAGTTCGAAATAAACACTCTTAGCTCGTATCAATGATTCATGGTTGCCTTCTTCAACTATTTCTCCGTTTTTCAATACAATGATATGATCAGCGTGACGTATTGTTGATAAACGATGTGCTATGACGATTGTTGTTCGACCTATGTGTATAGAAACAAATGGATTGATATTTCAGGCTCGTGCTAACAAATGAAAAAAAAAGCAACCTTGTGCAGCACGATCCAAGGCATCCTGAACAATGGCTTCACTTTCATTGTCAAGTGCACTCGTAGCTATGACGACAAACAGGAAACTATTATCATCAATTGTAAACAGATTTACCTTCATCCAGAAGTAAGATTTTAGGATTCCGAAGAAGTGCTCTAGCAATGGCTGAAATATTTGAAAGGAAAGACAATTCTCTCTGTTTAATATCACGACTATGACATTTCTACTAACCGATTCTTTGCTTTTGTCCACCTGACAACGCTAACCCACGTTCTCCAACTTGAGTTTCGTATTTCTATGAAAGAAAACAAACAGTAGAATGCAAATGAACTGGTATTTATACATCTGGTAAAGACATTATAAAATCGTGTGCATTTGCTATTTTAGCTGCTTGGTGGATTTCTTCATCGGTAGCTGAATCCGCTCCAAAGAAAATATTTTCTCGAATAGTTGTATGAAATAGAACAGGTTCTTGACTAACAACACCGATTTGTTGTCGTAACCATTTGAGGTCATATTCATTGAGCTCTATGCCATCAATAAGTATTTGACCTGAACTGATTTCGTAGAATCTTTGTAGAAGTTGCACACACGTTGATTTTCCTGATCCAGATGATCCTACGAAGGCAACAGTTTGCCCAGATCTGACATGAAATGACAAATTATTCAGAATTGTCACGTCTGATCGGGTAGGATAAGAAAAAGAGACATTGATAAAGTCAATATCGCCAATGAAATTAACCGGCTGCTTAGCGAGTTTTTGTGTCGTATCTGTCTTCGACTAGAAAATTAGATGGAACTATATTTCATTCGTAGACATCACTCAGTCTACTTGATTGATTGTTTTTTCGATGTTCGAAGCAGCGGCTAGCGCTTGGACAACTGCTTGAAAATATGGGCTGACCGTTTTGATGCTGTATGCAGCATATAAGAGCGTTGTGTAAATCTAGAAATACAAAAGCTACTTTCTTACGCGTCTGAATTGCAATGAGCGTAACATTTACTGTGTACATGCTCCCAATAGTGGTGTCGTTCTCAAGAACGCGTTTCGCTCCGTACCATAAACCTACATTGCCGAAATGAAAACAGAAACTATGAAGAGATTATCACGAGTACCGAATGCCATCAAATTGAGATAAAGACATACATAAATGCTTATTACTAAACCATTGGAAAGATCTCTTCTGAGATTAGATGCTCGAGCCATATTCACATGTTGTTCGTATCTGAATGGAGAAAATAGTCATATTCAGTGTTAAATGATGTCAATAAAACCGTTGTAATTCTTTTGTTTGTCCATTATAAGAGAAGACTGTTCGAATTGAACTGATAGCTTCTTCAGCAATTGATCCAGCTTTTTCATACGCCGTCAATTCGATTGCAGTGAATTTTGAAACCAACTATCGATTGTATAATCACTTAAAATCAGTTGCTTTTCAAATTAAACTATCCTACTTTTGTCACAGCGATAGGCGAGACAAAAAGTAAAGCGGCCGCCGATAATATCACCAATGTTAAGTTCCAATCCACAGTCAAACCTAGATTTATTCATTGATAAAAACAACAGCACTGTACATTTGCACTTACAAAGTATTATACTGCATATTAGATTCGACAAGGTACTGATTAGTAAACCAAGTTGATTACCAATACCAGTGCGAATTTTATCCATATCATTCGTTAGCAAAGAATTGAGTTCGCCAGTTTTGTGATAATCAAAATAAATCATGTCTTGCTGAAGGATCAGTTGAAATAATTTCTGTTTCATGGATTGAACCTGTCTTTCTGCTATGAAATTAAATATTGTTAGATAAAAATATTCTAGCAGAAATACGACAATAGCAAGTATCAATAAGAAATTAATTTGCTTTTTTGTTTGATTTGAAAGATCATAATTAATGTCAGTAAAATTACACGATCTAAATGAACATTGTATTCAAGATATTAGATACGACATGAAAGGTTTCTCACGAAATCCACGTGTAATAATTGGCTACTGTCAGTTCGATTCCAGGTGGACAATGCTCTTCAGCAAGGGACGTTAAATTAGCCAAGCAAATATTGGATGACCGTGCAACGAAGAAGCCTACTGAATTGCCAAAAAACAAACAGTATAATGGTGCTTTGAGACTAGCAGCACACGAAGCAACTGTTGCCATGATTGCATAGAATATATCAAGGGGTGTAAGATGTCGAAGCTAGAATTATATTTGATAAAAATTGCTTTTACTCCTATGAAGTATTCGTGGCTGATTACCAAAAATTTGATACCGTTGCTTTTGAAGACTTTTTGTGTTGAATTTTCTGCATGAACAGATGCTTCTCTGTGAAAGAATAAAATAGATAACAATATCGTCGATCATTTATTGTACTTTTCAGTCTTGATTTTGTCTGACTGCTCTTGGTTGGCATCTCTATCATTCTCTGAGATGTTTTGAGTACATTTTTGAGCATCCATTTCTTCTAGTGCAAAAAATTCTGTATCACACGTTTTCATCGACTGAATAATCTGGTAAACAAAATAAATCTAATCAAACGATATTCATCATAAGGCAATGAATCATCCCTAATCTACAATGTATGAGTGTATAAGAAGATACTGTATTTGTGCATAGATAAGGGTAGTATTTAACATTGTTTTGATCGTTCTACCGATGAGGTATTCATGTGACTGTATAATCAATCATTAAGCTTTTAGTTAATGTGCATCCATCCATTACGTTTACCTTTCATGAAATATGCAGACCAAACACCGACAGTACACCTAGGTGATGTAGTGGAAATTAGCAGCGGATTGTCGGTGTGAAGCTAGTACCAGAAAACGAAAAATCATGCAATACCTTATGTTCAAATGAAGTCACTTTTATGAACGGGAAAACGATTGGACATAAGGTTCTTGTGAGCCTGTCTGCAGGGCTGTGGAGTGATGTATATCATAAAAGAACAAAAGGAGAATCACTTCCCGTATACTGTGTCTAACACACACACATATATACGGGGAAGAAAAGAGAACAGAGAGAAAGAATGGTATCGAAGATATCATTCTTTCAAATGGAAGAAAAGAGCGATACGTGATCGCTAACAGTTCTGAATGGTTTTTCGTTTTCTGGTGATAGTTAAATGGCGCTAACTTCACACCAATTAACAATTCGTGGGTATTGTAAGTAGTGGACGACGTCTGCCTTTTTCTAAATATTCTCATATTGGTTCAATAAGATAACGCTTCTTTGCGCAGAACTTTTCTATCATTATTTCATTTTTCCAGATAGTGTCTATATTTTACATTTATGCCTTGTAGAAAGTTGGCAATCTCTCGCAAGCGAATTCGGACCAGAGATATCCACAGGGCACTTTTTTACGTCCTGCCCTGCCCTGAAGATCAGGGCAAATGGGTATCTAAATGTTTTCAAAGTGAAAATCGGAAAATGTATGATTGATTCAATAATATACGTGTAAGATTTATAAGATAAAAATGATTTTTATCTATCCGTCAAAGTTTTACGCTTATTTCTTGAAATGATAAACTAAAATAGATTATTTGTTAAAAAATATTGAAGATTTAATTGGCAAAATATTAACAAAGTACAACATTCAGTATTTTTTTATTTGTTTTTTTTTCTACTGACCTAACAAACAACCAATCAACTTCACTTGATTTTTATTCACCGTTATATTTTTTCCACTGAATATGATTAAAACGAAAACTATACGCCCTCATCCTCAATTACTATAACATAGAAAATAACCAAATAGTATTTATGGTTGATCAGAAGTTCTAAACTCTAGTTTATAAATTTTACCAAACAGGTAATATCTCCAGTTTTATGAGATAAATATTCCCTTTTCTGAAAGAAAGGGTTATACAGCGTTTAAATCGTGGGCTCAAAACGCTTAAAGTTTGTCTATCTGTCCTATCCAATCAGACAGCAACGTTTCTTAAATCATTGAAATTTACCGAAAGCAACCAAAGACTGAATACTACTAAGGTAATCGGAGCCGAGGAACTCGAATCCGTTGTTAGTTTTCCTTACTTACTATGATTCGTCTTCTTCCTTTCTCTTTCTAAAATTTTTGCCATTCAAGAAATCAGAAAAAATAGTATCTATTTAATATCCTATTTTCCTTATGAACTACAGTATGTGGGATCGTTCGATAGAATTTTACGGGAAATAGATCCGCAGAAAGTATACTCGTCAGTGTAATAGTATCTTATTAACTGCAGAGACAACGGCTAGCCGTGAGTGACTGATAGGAGGGAGGCCTACGAACGACTAACCAGTAAGTAATGGGGCGTTTAGTAAACATAGCTAGTACTTGAAAACTATTCTCTGACAGATGGGTAATTGATTCGGATCATAGAAAAAGAAGAATCTTTGTCTTATATTGATTCTCGTATGGGACACAATGCCATGATCTAGCTGAGATCCAGCAATAACCGCAGTCTTCTATTTGTTTTTCAATGTATCTGAATATGTTCAGCAGCAGAGCAACTGTTTCAGAAAAGGGTCGACGAATCCATACGATGAGTGTTACTTGTATAGTAGAATGCCTCGTAACAATAATATATTTGAACAATTGCAGCTTAAATTTAAATATAATCTATAACCTCATGTGGCGTTTGATCAAATGATTACACTTGCACGAGAAGCAGTTTCTGCCATCACCTGAAATAAAAAACCGCTCACTCAAGAATTCTCAAGGGACTAAAGAATATTTTCAAAAACGAATTAATAAACACTTTCGACAAACTACTAGAAAGAACGCAGTTCGTATTAATAATAGTAGTGACTATTTAGGATCTGTAATAAAAAAATTGAAATTTCTTTTTCGTTTTATAATTCTCCTGGAGTTTTGTCTTGGTTCTGCCTATTGCAGACTTCGTCTGAGGTTTTCTCACCCAGTATCACATTGGAAAAAGCGACTATTTCTGTTTATCCCCGAATAAGAAAATAATGCATAAAAGCAGCGGGGCATAATGGCTATGCCCTGCCCTCTGTCCTGTCCTAGTATCTTGTAAAACAGCGCTGCTCTGTCCTGCCCTGTCCTGTCCTGCCCTGCCCTGCCTCGTGCTCTGTCCTGTCCTAGTATCTTGTAAAACAGCGCTGCTCTGTCCTGCCCTGTCCTGTCCTGCCCTGCCCTGCCTCGTGCTCTGTCCTGTCCTAATATCTTGCAAAACAGCGCTGCCCTGCCCTGGGAACATCTCTGGTGGGATGCCATTGGAATCATTTTTCGTCACAAAAAGTCGATTAATATGAGATTTTTTGCGTGAGATTCAACGATATATCAGAAATATGAGAAAGATTTTAGTCATACCGAGATTCAGACATATTAAATCATAATGGTAGAGCAAACTAAGCGTAAAAAATATTTCGAACTTGGAAGGTGAAGGGTTGCTAAATGAGATATATCGGTGATGAAACGAACAATTTTCGAGAGCATATGACATTGAAAAAGTTAATTACGAGTGCATAAAGGTAAGAGGGAGAGGGGAGGTAACTGATCGAAAAAGAAACAGTATTTTGCAGTCATTTACCATTTATGGTGATTTCAGGATAAAGAAACATTAAACTAAAGTATGATCATCGGTTGATTTGACAAAATCAATGCACAAATTGTGAAAAGCAAAAACAGCATAACATTGTAATTCATTTGAATGACAGATAAAAGTACGTAAGGAGAACAAGGGTGACTGATCGTGTATAGTATTTACATGGATGTCATAAATAACTATAATTGTTTGCAATTTCATCGATCGGGCTGCGAGAGATCGGGCAAACATTGATAAATAAAAATTAAAAAAAAAGGGAACGGGGTTCGTTTTGCCTTTTATATAAATAACATTGATGATTTGGGTATTCACTATATTACAAATACGATCACTCGAATACACCGCCCAAAACATATAAGAAGTATCCATCTTTTTTCAGCTATAAGAAAAGCAGATAATAATTTGTTTAAATCGCACTAAAGTTTCACTCATTTCTAGTTCTAGACACAAATGCGATCGAATCCATATATACCGTTAATCGCTGCCTTAATTGCCTTACTTTGTATGGGTATAGTGGTAGGCACTATTGCTGTTGCTCTCATTCCAGTATATTTGCAACAAAAGGGAGATGATATTAGCGTTGGTACTAATTCTAGTGAGAGTGCTATTCGAATTTGTATTTAAAAAAATTCTACTTCATTCTTTATTTCCAGATCCACAAGTTTACGCTTTGAGTTATATAACAAATTCAAAAAATCCAACTTCATACTCAATAGAAGATATGAATGCATTGAGTGCACAAGTAAATTGTACAGTTTTTTTTAATGTCTTCTAATTCTTTGTATTTTTATTTTCAGCTGAACCAAGCATTGAATCTAAAGGAATTGGTCACGATGACAGCTAAATATGTACCACCAACAAGTAGTAACAGAAAGAAAAGAGCGTAAGTTCACGAGCGACAGTATTCTAACATAATTTTACTATTATTGAAGAGCAACTGAATGTGTAAAGGGGCAAAATACAACAAATGGTATATTTGAAATGGAATTCCGAATTGACTATTCCAAAGCATGTCGAACACAAGTGTGTCAACAAAAGTTGGCTGATCAAGTTAATTCACACATTACAAGGCTTTTCCCATCAATTAATCTATCAGTTAATTTGCCTAATGGTACTTCAATCAGTTTTTCATTGAGTTTCTGTTCGCTGAAACCAGCTGTTAGTACAACCACGACACAGCGTAAGTTTTGCATAGCTTCGAGAGCATTGCGATAAGAAGTCTTTTAAACCATCTCTATAATTATATAAAACCAAATGAGATTCTCTATTAATTTTTTATATACATTTTTTCATTCGACTTTAGAAACTTCAACAACCTACACTACCAATCTGCCTGCCTCAACTGCATCAACAGCCACTACATCAACAACCACTTCTTCGACAACGTCAACGTCAACATCAACATCAACAACAACAACAACAACAACAACAACAACAACAACAACAACAACAACAACAACAACAACAACGACAACGACAACAACAACAACAGGTATTAAACGATAGAATCTAATTAACTTTTCAATTGGTGACATATTATCGTTATCTCTTTCATCTTTCATTAGTTGACTGAGAAATACTTTGAAAGAGATAGAACCTTGGTGGATTTCAGGAAAAATATACGATGATCAATCAACACAACTATTGATATAGTACCCTGAATCATTCAATTCTATTTCTTTAGTATCACTTTGTTTCAATGGAATTAAAGATCAAGATGAAACTGATGTGGATTGCGGGGGTGCCACTTGCAGTGCACGATGTGACCTCACGAAAATGTGTTCCCAAAACTCAGATTGTGCTAATACCAACTGTCATAAAACATCGAAGACATGTCAAGGTTAGTGAATTGTCTTTCAATTGAACTTGAACGAAGATCTCATGAGAATTAAGACAAGTATAGCTTTGTTGCTATGAAGAAAAAGGTACCTGTAGCTGTGAAGTTTGATCGTTTACCGCAAGATCATCATAACTATAAATGGATCTGATTAAATTCTTTCATTTTACTTCAGCACCATCGTGTGACGACGGAAACCAGAATAATGGTGAAACTGATGTGGACTGTGGTGGGACACAAACACCCTCGTGTCCTAGATGTGCTGACGATGAAACATGTACGCAAGATACAGACTGTGGTTCCGAGTCGTCCTGTGATTCATCGAACGTATGTGTCTCTTGTTTCTCAGGCGATGAAATGGTAGTATTAGCAGATGGTAGTACTAAGTGGTTAAAAGACACTCAAGTTGGTGAGTTTGTTTGGACTATGTCCTCCGATGGAACGCAAACATATTTAACTGAAGTGATGATGATAGCAAATACTCAACGAAACACAACTAGTTAGTATATCAAATATATATTTCCCACTTGATGAATTATCTATTAATTTAGAACTTTTCTATACAATTGAAACGGAAACTAATCATAAATTGAGTCTTTCACCTGATCATTTTATTCGTGTGAAGCATTTTGATTATTTACCAGCAGAACAATTGACTTTGAATCATTCTCTTTTTGTTGTGATGAAGGATGGTTCTATTCATTCATCACGTATTCGTACAATAAATCAGGAATACAAAACTGGTGTTTATAATTTGTTTACACTCGATGGAACAGCACTTGTTAATTATATTGCTGCTTCTACATATATTAATAATGGATTTGGATCGCATCATATGAAACATCGTATTTACACACCAATGCGTATTGGTTATTATTTATCGAAACACTTTGAATTTCTTCATAATATTTATGTAACAAATGAGTACGGAGTACATTGGATTGTTCTGAAACATATTGAATATCGTCATGTTCTTATCTTCATCGATCAAATCATGATATCTTCAATTAACTTTTTTTTATCGATTAAATTTCTTACCATTTTATTTGGCGCAATTTATATCAATAAGATGATAAAAGGTTCTCATTAAAAATTGAACTTTTGGTTTACTAAAATACAAATTGTGATCACGATTTATTATATACGATTAACATTTTTCCAAGCTATATTTTTCAATTTATACATTTTTTTATCTGTGTGTGTAGTTTTCCTATCAATAAAATATCAGTCGTCTCGAACTTGAAAGTTGAATTCAGATATTCATCCAATTCCCTATTACGGAACACTTGCTATTCAAGATCTTTACCGGGAAAATAATAATTGCTTTCTATTTCATGTTTTGCCACGAAAGATTGAGAAGAAAGGTTATCTGTATTATAGTGATCCCTGCTTTCGATATGATTATAATCACATATCTCGGGTTAGCTTCATAGGATCCTCGATAAGTCGAATTTACTAGATTGTGTCTATTGTATTACGTTTCATCGTTATCTCATTCAAACGCATCTATTTGGTTCTAAACTCACTGGATTTTAATATAGATAATGAATACGAGACAAGTATCGATAAGAAGAACATAATACTAGTGAAAAAGGTTTCATTAGATTGCCGTTAGAAGGTTTATCGAAAAAGATCAAACTATATCTACATGGCACTTCTCTCGTGGTAGAAAGATCCGTAATTGTGTTCTTGATTGTAGAAGCTTTATATGAACAAACATCGATTACGTTCTGTGCTTCTGAAGTTGGACGCTCGTTTAACTGAGGATGACCGACAACGTTTTCATTTCTTCATGGGGAATAATGTTCCTCGACGAATTAGGGATGATAAATCGCTGAATGGAACACTTTCCCTACTGGAATCGCTTTTCGATCGAGATATAATCAATGAACGAGATTTTACGTTTTTGATCGATGCTTTTGAAGAAATCGAATGCTTCGATGCGGCAAAGCTCTTACGAGGTTTCTTCTTTTCTTTTTCCTATATCTGTTTAAAAATTTTCTTAAGAACATAGAGCAATATTGCAATCATTAGGTTCGAGACACTCAGTACAAAGCTTAGTATCGATAATGCCACCAGTAAGAGATGGACTCTTATCTAGTGTTATCAACGATCAAGACAATGAAAAAGACGGAATCGTTATATTTAATCGTAAGTTAATCTTCATTTATTTATCGTTATTCTAGTTTTATTTTAGAACTGTTCAATACACCGCTTACTAATCTACAAAACAATCACAATACAACTAATGTTCGTACTGAAAATGAAGGAGCAGAAGTTACTTTATTAAACAATCGTGAGAAGTCATCGTCCTCAGGTCAATTTTCCTTGAGGAATTTTTTGTCAAGACATGTTTACATTTTATTGGTTATCTGTGTGTTATTAGTAGTATTAGCAACATTGTTAAGCCTTGTGATTAAAAAGAACAATCAAATTTCACATTTTGAACAACAAACTTCGCAAGTTAAACAACAAATCTCACAGTTTGAGCAACGAATAGCACAGTATGCACAACAGATATCAGAATTTAGACAGAACACAAGTAATTTGGACAATGAAAAACGTAAGTTATTCGCGGTATGAATACTCCACGGAAAAATACCTTCGATCATTTTCAGAAAGAACGATCCTGAAGCTCGGTACGACGTTTGGTGGAGATGGGGGTGGCCACTTTGATGATTCAGAAGCAGATAATTTTACGCATTCCTGTTATTTGAGTGGATTAGAGACAGGAGGTGATGATGACTCCTTGGTTCACGTACAATTTTTTTATTCATCTTCGAAAGGCGGCGATAAAGTCATCCAAGGTCCAACTCATGGCGATAAAAGATTTTCTAAAACTTCACGAAAATTTACTCTCAACGAAGGAGAGGCATTTGTCAAAGTTCAAGTATATTTTAACCATCGGAAGGTAATTATGGGAGATAAGTCAACGAGGAATGTTCTTATACTAACAGGAATACAGTTCGCCACCACGATAGGTCGATTAAGTCCTTTCTTTGGAAAACGCTCTGGCCATGAATTCAGCGAGAATTCCACTGGTTTTATTGTTAGTTATGTAACTGGAAGAAGTGGTATACTCATCGATCAGCTACGATTTGCTTGGTATCGAAATCCTGCTGTATAATTTCTTCTTGTGTCGAACTGTTAATCTGTCATTTTCATTCGTGCTGAATGTGATGTAGAATGTGAGAATTTTATTAACAAAAACACGGGTTCAGCGAAAAACGAAAGGCCCCAAATCGACATCATTGCAAAATTCACGTTTGATGATCAAATATCCATACAAAAATGAGATTCTCTTGCTCATAAAACGTACAATCGTTGATGTAAGCAACATGTAAAAAGCGACAATATATCAGAAAAACATATTTTATCAACACTTATGATATCTTCTGAAACAAATTTGTGTTATTAGGTAACTGTCGTGCATAAGCCTTTACTTTCTGCTTCCAAAAGTCAGCATTTTCTTTCATTCTTTCCATATTTGCCAGTACAAGTGAATCACCGGTACCGTACCATGGTGTATTCGACTTTGTATCATAGCCGAGTCTCTTTAACATTGGTGCTAATGCATCTAGTTCTTGTCGAACATCATTCGGTACATGACCAAACCATTTCGTCAACGCTTCTAGATTAATCGGTTTGATTACTTGATCGGATGAGTGTTCCGTTCTATGCAAAGAAGAAAAATAGTTGTATTTTGCATATTATGGAAAGAATCTTTACTTCGACAATGAAATTTTCTTTCCAATTAATTCTTCATGATGAAGAACGCTATCAACCCAGGGAACATCTAGGAATTTCAATATATTTTCGATTGATTTTTTCGGTTGAAGCACAAGTTGTTCATAATAGACCATCATGCATCGATTGCGACCAATCTGTTGACATTGTTGAAACATGGTTTCAATTCCTTTATTCCACATTTTCAAATTTTGTCGATAATCAGTTTGACTAAAACCAGTTATCGTCACTTTGCGTGTCATCACGGAATGTATCACAGCGCGTGCATCACGTATTAGAAGAAGAAATTTCGAATTTGGAAATATAGACGCAACATATGTCGCATATTTGAGAACAAAGGGATCTTTATCACAAAGAATATCCGCTGATAGACTATGATGAAGTAGAATTTCGTAAACGAACGCCCGAACGGCAGAGTCGAGAATAGCTTCCGTCATACCACCAGCTATAAGTCTATAGGAAGAATAAAGAATAAACTGAAATTATAATCAAATATCTTACCGATTCCATTCAACAGGCGACTTTTTCCATGCAGCTCTCATACTTAATATTCTCGGTATAACTCTCGTCTCTTCTCCACATCTGATAAGCGGATGTGAATCAAGAATTGCACGCATCAACGTGGTACCACTTCGTGGCATACCACCAATAAATATTGCCGGTTTAGACGACGAAACATTACGGTTGTTTGTTTGAACATCACTCGTACCAATGGATTTCGTTAGACATGTTTGCGAAAAAATTGGATATTTGGAAAAAAGCGTAGAAAAACTGAGTATGATTACGGTCAAAACTAGTGAAATAAGCCAAAGATTTCGTGTTAATCGTTGATACATATTACATAAATTGCGACGTCGAATAGAACAGCATAGCATTCTTATCTGTTGAGAATATTGATTTCTATAAGATAAAGAGCAGTGACAATTCTTGTTCGAAAATAATTTCTCTCGTGAATATGTAAACAAAGTTTTGCTATCATTTTTAGTCTAGTTGACGTGATGATACACAGACAAAGTTATATCATCGTTTACTCGATTAAATATCAAATATACTTTTCACGCTGTCAGTTCGTCAACGCATATATGCAAACTTACACAGTTGTTTTTTCTTTGCTGCAGGAAACTCCATCATTTGCTGCATTTACATTTTCAGTATATTTCTTCTTTACTCCATCTGAAATGAATAACAATTACAAAATGTGGACATTTTCTATATATAGTTCTTCTTTTCTTTTTCCTCACACACAGGCATACTGGTATACTATTGACGCTTTCTCTCCCTCTCTTTATTAATTCTATGTGACAAAGTAATTGAATACTAATAAAACAGTACACGCTCGAAGAATGACTATACGAATTATAGCAGATTGAAAAGGAAAGAAGACTGATAGAATTCAAACGTAGTATGTCTAACTCTTAGATTTCATAGATTAAAGTAATAATAAAACACGTGTTTTTGTAGAACATTAGCAATAGTACAGTAGGAATAGGTGCCATTTATGATAGATTCTCTGCCAGAATTTGGTTGGATTTTGATACATACGAATAGAAGTCACATTGAGACTGTCGATAGGTGTCGTTGAAAATTTTCTCGAAACGACATTGCTGTGTTGAATTATTTGTCTTCAGAATGAAATCTGTGTTTTTGCTCAATAAATAGTGTTTAATCGAAAATAACAACGCTAAATAAAACAACATGTAGTGTAGTCACAACGATGAATGAAATAAAGATGATTGCAGAGATACAGAAGAAAGATTTGAAAGTTGGAAACAACGTCGAGAAATAGAGAGATTAATAGATATAAATATATATGACTTATAGATTTAAAATTCATTTTTAACCAAAGAAAGAGGAATGAATGATAAAAACAAACAGACAACAACGAGAAAACAACCAAATTTATCTTGTATTCTAATTCACCGTTTGTTAATGAATTCTTTTCATTTATTATCAATTAACTTTTGTAATTCCAGGACGAGTTCACGTGCCATACGAAGAATTTCTTGCGCGTCATGTCGTTCAGCCATTTCTACAAATGAAGAAATCATTCAGACGAAACCTTTCAAAAAGATCGAACCATTGAAAAATTTGATGATATCGGTAAAATCCATTCGATTATCTAAGATAATGTCTCGGTATGATTTCATCATTGCTAATGCGATGAACAAAGCAAATCGTCGAGAAACCGTACGTCGTGCAGCAGTTATAGTTTCCCATATTAAAAATATGTCATCATAAACATATTCTAAAGAAGATGATAACATGAAATACATTATTGTTTAGGAGTAATACGTACCGCGTTTGAAGTCAAGTAAAAACCATCGATAACAGAAATAAAAATGAGTAAAATCTCCTGTGCGGTGGATGTGTTCGTAGAGTTCGAAATCAAGGATTTGTAATAATGAACGCATATGTCCGAAATGTTCATCCATGCCGGTGCCATGTGGAAAATTTGGCAACAAACGTTTCATTACATGACAAAAGCAACTATAAGTCATGACTTCTAAAATNTGTTCCTTTTCAAACCATAACGGCGGATCAAGTTGACCATGCGGCGCAAGACCACTTTCCAGACAAGACAGAAACGCTAATAGATGGCCGCCTTTATCTTTGATATGTAATGGAGGATATTGAACACCATCACGACCAACAAGAACAATTCGATCGCCGTCAGCTGAAATCGAAAAACTAGAACTCGTTCATCGCATCGTTTCATTTACCATGATGATGACAATGGAGATAGACAATTGAAGACATGTTCACGGAGATTGCGTAATCCCAGAGGATGCTATTTCGTTTCGGTGGATCGGCTGTAGTATTACTGTCGACGGAGCTTGGATCTTGACAGTTCTCCTTCGATGCTTTTGTTCCATTCATTAGTTGATTTGGTGTCCATTTTAATGCCATACCGTCTTGTGTCAAATGTAACGAAAGGTAACCAGGAATTGGGTCATGGCCCAGAATCTGACAAGACAGAATTTAGTCAACAAAACACTTCAAAGATAAGCTAAGTAAATACACATGCGTAACACTCGTAAATAGAACTCATTTTTTTGTCTCACTGAACTTTTAATAGGATGAATATGGAGCTTATTCACTCTAATTAATTTACCGGTTGAACAAGAACATTGTTTTTCCCGTAGATCAGTTGCGATTTAGCATTCTGATGCAATGATTCGACGTATTCTTTGCCTGTATTCGTTGCTATCGACATAGATCGATTATTTCGTTGATTATCTTCACTCGATGAACTTGCATGACGTTTCAACTAGAAAGATATCATTCGAAACGATAGTTTTTGTATACGATGACTTTCATCGTTATTTACATTGATTTGTAAACTTGGTCGATATTTTGGTGAGTGAGGATCATGAACATTGATCATCATAGCTGTCGAACTTGATACTGTTCGATTTCCGCTATGCATTCGATGTCGTTGGACAAGTTCATTGGCATGCGGATCTGTCCAAAGATGATCGGATGTTTTGACTCCTGTAAACTCCAATGCACATGGACCCACTATATTTAAGAACAACGTCATTTAATGATGAAAGAAATTTTCAGTTTAGTTTTACCAAGTAATGAAGCGAGAATTGGACCTTGAACAGAATTGCAAACCAGTGCGTATGGTTCGTAGTATTTTCTAGAAGTATACCGTGAACTGAAGCGTCTATCCTTTAGTTTCGTATTACATACGAGCTGTTATTCACAATGTATTCGACGATTGTATGAAGAGATCGATGGATAAGTGCCGTTCGAATCCATAAATAACGATTATATACAGCAGATCGAATCGATCGATGTTGAATTTCTTCACTGTTAGCTAATTTCCTTTGAATAGAATAAACATAATTAACTTATTGCGATTCATACGGTCACTGCCTATCTCTCCAATAAAAGAATGCAGCCATCCTATATCTATATTAGTATCTCTGACGAATGTGCAGTTCATACTTTGAAAAGCTGAATAAATTAGTTGATTCTTCACTGTAACGATTATCGTTATCAACAAGTTTCACAACTTCTGTTGCCGACGGACAAGATTTGGCGATTTTTTGTAATAGTGCCATTGTGGTGCTCGTTTTGAACAGGCCGACTGCTCGTCTTTTCAAGCCGTGTAGAAGACATGCTTCAACTGCACCTAAATCATTGCAAACGTAGAAGAAACATAAATCAAGAACGGGTCGATTCCTACTGGAAAACGTTGTTATACTACAATTTTCTTCGTGTATGCATTTTTTCATAACTGCTTCTTCCATCATTTGTTTGACCTGAGTGAAAAGTGAGATCGAATCGAAGCAAAACTTAACGAACGACTTACTTCTCGTTTGACATTCCAGAGCAGTTTTTGACGAAGTTGATCTTGCTCTTGAAAAACAGAGGAAATGAATATAACTGATTTGTGCAACGAATTTTTACCGTCAATCTCAATATTTGATTCGCTCATTTGTTTTTTTTTTCTTCTTCCACTTCTTAGATATTAAACATTTCAATAGGAATAGAGGAAAACAAATATAACTAAGTGTTTGATTACTATATTGTCAATTATTCTGTTTTCTTTTCCTTCTGTTCCCAGAGCATTAGGAAAAGAATCGATATAGAAAGTGTGCATGCTAACTAGCATTAATTTGAGTTAACGCTTAGACACCAATGGAAATTAAGATCACATCGCAATTGGAAGATTTGCGAAAGAATTTCAAAATTTTCTTGAAAAACATTGAAATAAATTAGGCATATAGTTTTTTCTTTAAAAGTATGCATTTATATTAGCGCCATCTATCGAAACTCATCTGTTGTGTTAAAACAGAGTTAGTACTTCTTGACCGAGATTCAGGAAGGTGCACTTGCTTTTCTATTTCTTCCATTAATGACATTATAATTGGAATAATGCACAAAAGACTTGGTAGGTGTCACTGACACAAGGAAGTTGTTTCTGGAATTCGATAATATAATATAGGAAATCGTATTCAAGATCATGCGAGAATACTTTAGTATTGTTCCGTCGTTTAGGCATTTAATAATACTTAAAACATATTAGATTATTATTGTTGTTATTAGCACGGGCAAACCGAATGAAGTGAGCAGGAATATCATGAATATAAATTGATGTGTGTTTTTATACAAATCAATGAATAAGAGTAATATGATGTTTCGCAGATGATCATCTGAGCATATATATTAATGTTGCTAAGGTTTTTTTGGCGCTTCCGTCAAACTTGGGCATGTGGAAACTTCATAAAACGCGCACGTTTGTACTCAGTAGAAAGTCATTTTTTAATGAATTCTACATTTGATGTTTACGGAGGTAAATATTAAAGTAGCGTTATCAAATCGATCGCATTATTAATGGAAATTCTCTAATGATCTATTAACTATGTATATATAGACATAATCACGATTAGAAACACCATGTTTTTGAAGAAAACAATATGTTACTTAATGAAAATACGGGAATAATGTATTTATATATCGCATTAGTCGCTATTGACTATGGTCGGTAGTTTCAAAAATAAACTTTCTTTGCACGTTAACAGTTTATTAAACAAAGAACTATCTCCTCAGGGTGGCCAGGGTATTATTTCTGAAAGTTAAGGATCCAATCTCAAAACTCATCATGATAATTTAATTAATTCTAATTATTAAATTGCACAAGTAAATACTTTCTAATATTTCACCAGACAACCTTTGTTATCACATACAGAACATGACACGCAGGGATAGGTCATGTTTCTTAATATATTTCACGCAAATTTCGATTCTAGAAATAGTTTTTCTCGAGGTTAATACACGCAATGAATAGTGCGCTGTGATCGAGGTAAGAATTCTTTTCACTGTTGACATGCAGATGTATCAATGAATTGGTCTCGATTACGATGATAAACAATCTCTAAACAACATGTTGCGTTAATTCTACTAGACAGTTTTGCTTTTTAACATGAGTGACAAATGAACAAATATGTTTCGACGATTTGAAAATGATTTCTATTCCTGCTCAACGAGACAGGAAATGAGTTTCTTCTTTATGCCGATCCAAATATTGAAAGTAAGTCTGACGAAGGTCTTTTATTGAACGAACACAACGTAGAAAACATGGATAAAACTAAGTTTGAAATGATACCGTATGTCCATTAAGCGAATTTTTGGCCTTGCAATAATCTGTCGTGGTTGTTGTAAGCAAAGTTTTACAATCAGACGACCTTGATTCATCACACACGGTTTGTGCAACTGCTGCTGGAAGGAGGAGGGTTCGGTTCTTAACGGTCGTCTTCAATGAAATTTGTTTTAATTTTGACGTATTTGAACAATGAAATATCTCGCGTAATTGTCGCCGAAATAGAGACGACGTGGCTGAATAGAGAAAAACGTTGCAACAACAATTTAGGTAACGAAATGTTTGAGTTAATGTAAACAGAGTCGGGTCAGGGATTGTCAATTGGCGAATCTGCATATAAAACCAATAGATTCTACAAAAAAGATTAGACAGTTATTTGATAGATTTCAAAGTCAATTCCTACTGGAATGGAAATGACATGACCATGAAAGCAATGGCGACTGTGATTAACATAAAGGTGATGTTTCGATCAGTATTTCGCTGTCGTTGTTGCCGTTTGCGCATCGATGTCGACGCTGATGATGCGCCTGTCCGATGGCCCACTTTCGTCACTTTTAATGAATGCTGAATTGCTGTTTGTTGACGTGCATGTAGTCGATAAACGATGAGGATATTTAATATTCCCAGAAAGATAAATGGAGCTATAAAAGAACAGTTCGAAATTTAGTGAAAAACAACGACTGATCTCGTACCGATGTAAGTAAAGATAACGGATATTGTTCCAAAGATTTTGTATACTGTCGGTTGCACTAATTTGCATCGTTCTCGATCATTCTCTTGTGTTGGATTATAGCTTAGAATTAATGGGAACCACGCAAAAATCAAACTAGATATTAACGTGTAGCTGATAACAGTAATTAATGTACTTTTGAAAGTGACGTATTTCGCTTTGTCGAATGGCTTCCAAACGGAAAACCATCGTTCAACAGAAATAAACACCACAGAATAACCGCTTATTGCGGCGAAGAGAAGGTCGAAATAACCATGAAAATGACTAAAAATAAATGCGAATTGGCGCTCTATCTCGGGCAGAAAGAAAAGAAACAAGATTACATACCACCAGAATGTCGATTCATCTGACAATAAACCACCGAAAAGCTCCGGTAAGATGATGTTAAATAATGAAGTTATTAACAAAAGAATATCACTGAGCGCGAGAACAATAGTAAATATCGAGACACAAAATTTAATCATTTCACGACGAGCAAAAACCAGTATAGACAATAGATTTCCAATGATACCAACAGCAACCGAACATGGCATTACCACATGGGTACATATATAAACAATAGCATTCGTATCATCACTACTACTACTACTATTCGAACTGATAGTGTTGTTAAGTGCATCGGCCATATTTTTATGATAATCTAAATGATAATCATGTGAATCTAAAAAAGAATTCATAACAAAAGCGTGTTTTTTTTCAATAGAACGTCAAATTTATTTTTCCTCTAAGATAGTTTATCATATCTACGTAAGAGATGTGGGAGTGAATAGGAAAAGAGTTTATGATTTCCTCCTTATTACATGAATTTCAGGGACAACTCAAGCTAGTCATATTCCACATGGAAGAGTCTCATCGTCAACGGATATCACGCAATAGAAAGCAATTCAATTGCAGGTTTCTTTCATTGTAGAAACTCAGTGAGGTAAAACATCATTACCCTCTTCTCACCGTGCTCGAACCTGTCAAAATACCTGTTGGAGAACAGATTGATATAAAAAATAATTTGTTGAATAAAAACTCGTCGGTTTCTCGGTGATGCATGAGACGACCAAAACTTCATTCTTCTCGGTCTTTTTATCCTCGCGCCTACCCATTAAACTAATCGATCATAATCCGATTTGAAAAGAGTTTTTTCTTCTACTCATTAATGAAAAAGAACCTAAGTCCTCTTTTTCGTACGTGTAAAATTAACATATAAATATGGAATACAATAACCAACTTCGAACATCACTCATTACATCTAATAGAGTACACATCGAATAATTTCATTTCCTTGGTAAAATATTACGACAAAACAACGCGTTTCTACTCAATCCTACGACGTCAATATTTACCATCTAAAAGCAATGGAAATAGTATTTCATCCAGACGCCACGCTTCCATGATTAAGTTTTAATCACCGGCCTAGTTGATTACTTATTGATAGAGAAAATCAGATGATCTGATCTGACGAATATTGATAATAAACGGCAATTTCCATAAGACAAATATTGCTTAGCACAATAAGATTATCCATCTGGTGTCCCTATCTTCTTCTTTGTTTCTTGTGAATGCAAAACACTGAATACAATTAGATGAAGTCTACTTCGCGTTTCAAATGAGCGAGCGAGCGAGCGAGATAGAGAGAAGGAGAAGTTCAGAGATCTAGTCATTCATATGCATATATTTGCCTATGAAATAAGAGAAAAATTGATATTGATCGACTTTCTTATGTATCATCATTAATAATTATACACAGACAAGAAAGTTTCATTCGCTTTTAGATTATCTTTCGTAGAGAGATAACTACTTATGAATATTGACAGCAAAAGGAAGATATCATTGACTTACTTGATGAAATTTGATGTAGATGAATGATTGGAAACTCGTTGCTTGGAGTGATGCAAAGAGATGTCTGCCTGCTAATCAGTCAAATGTTGTTGTCAATGATAATAACAAATCATAAAAAGAAATCTCGACAGACGGAAAGTCACATTTATAATAGAGGGAAGAAAAACTATCGCAAATGCATGTTCAAGTGATGTTTACAGCTTTTCTTTGTTCTTCGTTGTGATTTGTAGCTTCGCTCTCTTTCTCTTTCTCTCTCTCTCTCTCTCTTACGCTAAATCTGTTATATAAACGTCGCCTATTGGATAACGAGAAAAAACAAGTCGTTTTAAAATTCATCTATTCTTCACAAAAATTCTCTTATATACAGATGATAATTAACACATCATCATGGTTAAATAATCAAGATAAAATATGTATTCATCCTGAAATCTGAATACGATACTTAATTAAGGGCGGTTTTTTGCTCGGAAACCGGATAAAGAAGAATCTTATACTGATGTTTGTTTTTATCTTGGATTCTAGATTAATTCTTCCGCGAAGAAGAAGATATAGCTGATTCATCCTTCGCAACACACTCTGTCTAGAAATCAGAAGTCAAATCGATTTGATCAAATGTCAATCCGAAACGAGACAGAACATCACTAACGATCACTATCATCGACCTACAACAGCTGCTAATAAAATGTCTTCATCGTACAGGATGATATGAGTTCAGAAGGGTAAGATAATAACCTTATTTGTTTTTTGTCAACATCATTTCCCAATCGAGAAAACGATTCAATTTCATCCATGATTGAGAACATTTGTAGAAATGAAAACAAGATAATACTCACATGAACTAGAAAAAAAAATCGTTCTATATTCATAGATGAGAATGTTTTGATCGAAAATATGAGAGAAAATGTCTTGCTCAAGAACTCAGAAGAAATCAAACAATGAAACGTCATGACATAACTTTCCCCTTTGTTATTTCCGTTCACTAGCTTCCTCTAATTAACGCTTTTCTCTTCTTTTTCGATTCCACCATCTAAATACATTCTCATATCTATCCAATAATTGAAAAGGAATACATTATAAATCTTTTTCGAACAATGATCAACAGTACGAAAGCAACAAGCAGAGAAACAAAGTTCATAAAAATGCCCTACTTCCTATCGATGCACTCACATATTTCTGCAACTTATAAATTAAATATAGTGAACAAACGGCTACCATTTCTAGAAGAAAATTCTCAATGTGGCATTAATAAATCCCTTGACTCTTCTTGACATTCTGACAGAGTAACAATTAACTACTCATATGTCTACACCTTATATTGTGTTATGTATGAGATTTATTCTAACGATAACTTTGAACATGATTTTGTTCAGTTGGTGGAAAAGAGTAAAAGTAATTTCCATGGTAAACAACAAATATTGGATTCTCGATACTTACTAAACAAGCAGAAATAATTGCTGATGTGTGCTTTGTAAATATGAAATATACCAAATAGATTCAATTGATTTCAAAGTTTAGCAGGTACCTTTGGACTTGAGCGAGGAGAGGAGGGTTCTTCGACAAAGGTAATGATCAATGATAATTTGTTGATGAATGAGGTATAAATTATTAATTAACAATAGAAGGAAAACGATCGATCATCTCATTTCTGATTGAGTGTTAATATAGTTTAAAAATTGATAACGTAATCGATACTACACGACGTGATTGCTAGAACAAACGGTGAAACCTAATCATGTTAAGTGGTATAACCTACTCTAATCTGTAAATATGCAGGTTAAAGTCAGATCTCGATGATCTCTACAAATTTGAGTTTGTCCGACAAACGACTTATGTCAGTTAAGTGGATACAAGAATTTGTTTACAGTACAAAAGAAGAAAGAACGAAGTACATCCGTTCCGATAAAACAATTTCTATTTCACTTAGAACGACATGCCCCTACTATTATAGACCAAAAGGTACTAAATCGTACGTTAAATTAGGAAAAAAGTAGATCAATTCAACAGGTCCTTTGCACCTGATATTTATACTTGTTTAAGAGATTCCTAAAGTAAATATAGACTATAATCTTTTGAGAACACCTGGCCTGTGAAATTCTTACGGAATGTGTCTGAAAGTATCCAGCATTTAGATTGCAATGGCAAGTTAATAAGCTTATGTAAATATATTTCAGCCCTTTGACGTTCGTTCTCTGTAGAAAATATATCCACAAGCAATAGAATTCTATATCTCACGTGATCTAAGCTATAACTTTAATCCTCCCGTGAAATTTAATGAACCTTACTTGACAGAAATCCGTAAACACCTATTGAATGGAACTGATACTTGGAAAGGAAAAAAAAGCCATTAGCACTGAACTGCTCTTGTATGATATTGTAGCGGAAAAGAAATTCTGTATGGATTAATTTCCCTATGGAATGTAATATATCATAATTAGGTAGTGGCGATGGTGACAGACTTATTGGAAACGTTTGTAAGATACATTGACATTAATAATAAGCTGTTGAGTTTCGTGAAAAAAAAGGAGAAAGAAAAGTATTGGTAGAAATCTGTCAACAGATTGATTAACTTCGAAGCGACGAAAAAGTGATCGATAGTTTTGGTTGGAAATATATTCTTCTTTTGCTTTTCTTAGGCTTGAAGTTATGATTAGCATTTGTGGACGGTATTCCCTAGTCTCATTTTGCTTGTTGATGAAGATTAAGCGCGAAAAACAATATTGTTTCTGGACGAGATAACCTTTTCTGCGAAATAGATAGGGCAGTCACAATTTGTCAAATGCAAAAAAAAAGTAAAGCAAACAATGAACTTTATCTGACGGCATGGTGGCATAAAGAGAGCGTTGTCAATGTTAAAAATTCTATTACGATGCGCCGAAGTATTTGTATTTACTAATAAAGTTAAAATTCAACACCCAGAGTAGCATCGCTACCCCACGGCATATGCACGAAGGTCTTATTGCGCAGTAATACTGTAATTTAGTTTAATATTTACTTTGTGCTTCATGTCTCTCTCATTTATTTCATTCTGAGAGGATAAGTTTCATCTTCGTTGGAACTAATTATAGTTCCTAATGTACCTTCACTTCGTACGCCTGTCAACATTCCTCTTTCCGCATCGTTACTGATTGAGTAGTGACATGAATGAATTATGAGAGCAGTTCGATAGCTACAGTAGCTGTTGATATGCTCAAATGAGTTTTTCCATTGGATGAATGTATGAACCATTGACACCAGTCGATTCAAGTCAAATTTTTCAAGGCTGCAAAGTTCTCTTGGTTACATTCCAATTCAATAGTACTAGAAATCAAATAAAAACTATGAACATATAGTTTTAATTACACAATGTCATGCTTAAAGTGATTTAGAGTATTGTCCATTCGCCAGTGGAAATGCTGTCACAATCATGGCACTTTTTTCGTCAGGCAATTGCGTATACCCGTCGAGAAAAACTATTTTCAGCACTCAGTAATAGTGCACTGGAAGTTCTTCATTTGTCATCAGTAGTGTCCTTACTGAATCCAACTTATTGACCTACAAAATGAAAGAAATCAAATCTCTGGAGGAAAAAGAAAATCGGTTATCATGAATGACAAAGACGTAGATCAATCTCGAAGGAATATAGTATGTTTATTAACACCTATCGAAAACAGTCCCATATCGTTCTTTTGATGTGAATGATTCTCTGATTGTCAGTTTTCATTATTTATTGACGGAAAAATGAAAGTAAACCTTGATCTTTCATACTCTGAACGATACTCATAGCATTAGGAACAACGCTGACAGCAACGTTGATGAAAGTTTTCATCAAATTGTGTGTTAATTCTTGAAACATGCCACCAATGGTTTTCACACTCAAGTCAATGTTTTGATTATATTGACTGACAATTTGAGTCCATTCACCTTCGATTCTGCGAGCATGTGCTTCTAGTTCAGCTTTTGTTTCCGCAACCCATTCGTTGATTTGCTTCTGAATGGCATCGAGTTTACCGTAGAAAGCACGGATACGTTCTTCGAAATCGAATTCACCTTTTTCTACAGCCGCTAATGTATCATGTGCTAACATAAATACTTCTTCATATAAATGATGAATGTTTGATTTCAAACGAGCCATCAGTTGTGAGTATTTTTCTGAAAGCGGGTTTTCCGGAACGGCAATTGGACGCCCAAGAATAGCACCGATAGCATTGAATTTCTCATTCAATGGTGTTTGTTTACCTATCATAAAAAAAATAAGAGTCTTTGATAAAGTAATCTTCCTCGTATACCTGAAGTTAACATATCAAATATTGGACTGAAAGCATTATTCCACAAGGAACTAGCAGTTGCTTGGAGATGATTGATTGTGTTTAATAATTCTCGAATGAAACTATCAACATGACCACGAATGTCATTGACGAATTTGTCCACTGATTCGCTGAGTAGATTTGCAGCGGTATTGATAGAGTCGCCAACTTGGTTCGCTGCTGAATTGATAGAATCCCCAACTTGATTAGTGACGGAGTTTACCGAATTGCCGGCATTATTGATGACTTGGCTGATAGGGCCAAAGAAGCAGTGTGCAACACCGATAAGAAGAAAAGCGATGAAAATTGTCGATTTCATATTGTGAAAAAGAAAACGTTTAATTAGAAGCATTCAACACGTATGCACGTATACATATATATGTGGAATGAAATGATTAATTTATAATCTTTTCATTCTACTAAGAACTGATAGAATCTTCTATTTACCGTCGACTTTCAAAAGATTAGAGCAACGAGACAAATTAGTTTTTCAATGACAAAGGTTGAATTTGATTTTCGAAATATTCCGCTAAAGATAATTGAAATGACGGGAGATATGGGTCTTATGTAGACATAGTACGTTTTTTTTTCTATAACAATACCTTCGCCCTAGAAGTTCTAGTCAAGCAAAAAAACAAGCACAAAAGAAAGAAACTAGAGTTCATGTTTGTGATGTTCATGAATACGAGCACTTTTCTGGAGAATATCCGCTAATAGTTGCAAACTGTCTGCTGATAAATTTTTCAAATGATCCCGAGTCATAAATTCTTCATGTGGTTCATCTTTATTCAATTGTTTCCATACATCCGTGCCTGTTGGCAATGCCACGCTTTTCTTGTCTAATTCATCAGTAACTTGAAGATAGAAATCACGAAATATTTCCCGATGTAATTCTTCGTTTGCGCCAAATAACAGCAATAAATAACTGCGAACATCTTCAGAAGTAATTGTTCTTTTACTCAAATGTCGTACTGCATGCTCGTATCTCCATAGAAATGGTGCCTGACTCAGTGGAACATAAACTGGCGGATTCTTTTCGCAATCAGTTCCAAGAAACTCTTCTCGAATGTTTGTAGGTGCAAAATCAATAGTTAGTGCGAGTGTTCGACCATGTGCTCGTATCTGATGAAATTTATATGCTGGAACAAATAAGCAATCGCCTTCACGCAATGTCGTCCAATACCAGGGTGCTTCATGTAAATATTTATATTTATATGCATTGACTAAATCAACATCAATACGAGAGAATAGATCACCATTGGCTTGTTTCACTAGATCAAATTCACGCGGATAATGATTAGCTAGATCATAGATAATGAAATCTTTTCGACCATCCAATACGCAATGTAATGTGTGTTGTGCATGTGCTTGTAATAATGATGCAGTATCACCTGCACTGATCCAGAGAATAGGTTCTATTAAACGCGAACGAATTGTTCCGCAATTGATCACGGAAGGAAATGGTGTCTCTAATTTCATCTCATCAGGTATGATTGTATTCATATATAAATCATCCTGCCGATATTGTTGAAGGAAGGTTTTTAATGGCGTCATGACCAATGTATCCACTAGACGTTGCTTTCGTTTGGCAGCAGTAACATTTAAGTGACCATAATGTTTTGATAGATAAGTATCTGTCCACAGTACATCCATTGGTGAGACTATGCCACGAATAACGACGGATCGATTGCCTCGCACGAACAAGTTATAGAAACGCTCTGGATCGATATTCAATGAGTCTTCGATGATTGGCGCTTCGGCACGTCGTTGCCAACCTAATGGGCGTAAATGACCGAGTGCAAGTGATTCATGATGTTGAAGAATGGGCGGAAATGTTACATATAAATTCATATCCTTTGGAAATCCGCTACCCGTATCAGTCGAAGAGACTCCGATCTGATTGAGAGATAGAAAGAGAATTGTGAGCAGTATCATAATGTGTTGAAAACAAAACGAAGGAATGATACCTAGCCAAGCTTTCCTTTCCGTTTAAATACGTTTGTCACCAGCTGGTAACGTTATGCATATAATTATTTTGATTTGTTTATGAAATAAACAAGGAGAGACTATGACGTGGCAAGAATCAAGTGAATCAGTAGGTCGGTGGAAGATAGTGGATATTCTTTTATGAATTTGTTTATTTCAAAACAAAAAACACGATCAATTAGGTTTAACAACACTCAATGACTTTCCTTCATTTGATTTCACTTTACTAGCACATTCTTGTTCGATGTTTTTAGCAATCTGTGTAGTTAACCGTTGTTGTACAGCTTCAAGGCCAGTTTTTCCACTCCCGCCAGCATTTTTCTTCTTCTTGTTCATTTTAGTTTTCGATACTTTTCCACTATTGACCTTATTGCCACCTGACTTCTTCTTTATGTTCGATGGTAATTGAACTTTTGCTTTTAATTTACCTTGCGGCATTGCTGTGCTTTGTATCCTCGGTTAATTCTTATCTAAAATAAAACAAATTTGACCATACATATTTTTTTCTACAAAATTAAATATCAAGATTTATTTGTCCAGGAGAAAAGATCACGTAAAACAAGACATTGACTGATATCTTCTTCGTTTTGTGGACGAGACAATGCTCTTTCACCGTCATGATAAATAAACCTGAAATTCACAAAAGTATTCGATTGATTTTGATTCTAGACAACCGAATTACGTACGGAAAACGTAGAACCCAGATGGAATCTTCTGTGAGGTGAATCGGTTGAGTGTAACTCGGAAAGAATGTTGGACTGTTCGGGCCAGCTGGTATAACTTGAGGATGAAGAACGCATTGAATCGGTGTAGAAGTCGACGGTGTAACAACATAGGCACGCATCAGTTGTGCCCATACACGTGCACCAGTCGACATGACTCGACAAGAACATGGAGTATACAATGGCATATCAGATCGTACTAGTTTGGCACCATCATCCTAAGAGAATCAGAGATTTTGACTGTCGAAAGATCGAAAACTGAGGAAGACATACCTTAGGAACACCAGTCGGACCAACACGAATAACATGGTTCGGAGATGAACATAGAAATCGATGACCGCGTGGGCACTCATATTCACATCCAATATAAGCACGAATAGTCACGTCCCAAATTGACGAACTCTGACCACCTAAACATTCGTCCAAATGTATGAAAGAAAAATCACAAGAAAATGAACGGAAAAGCAACGTACCCCGACGATTGTGTTTATAACTACGCGTGGCTGTTGGACGTTGTTGATGATACTGTGCTGCGCCACCACCGCCAGGATTATTAGTGGATGCTTGATTGTTATGCGGATTTATATCCCATGGTATTAAATGATTTAAATTCGTCAAGAAACCAGGTTGTTGAAGGCCTACAATGTTATTTAGAGAAATTGCGATTGGAACGCCATCGTACCTTTTGTTGACACATAATCTGACGCTCGACCAATACAACATAAACTCCAGGAACTGAATCGCGGTAATAGTCCGGGTGGACTATCGGAATGTGTCATACCATCCAAATACTCGGTCGTACTGGGAATAGGCTGTACGTCATCCGTACATGTAACAAGTTGTGTTGCATCTGTTTTTTCACCCGTGATATTATCAAGGGCCTGTTGTTCTTCGTTGGGCGCGGGCGAATACAGCGCTACTGATTTTGATTGACCTGTAAATGTGAGAATAGATTAAGTATACACTAGATAAGAGGATATTTACTGAGTTCCGATGCACCGCTAAGATCGTTGACAAGATTGGCATTTTTCTCTTCAGTTTTCTGCTTGCTACCTAAATATTAGATGTGCATAATAACAATCATCGGATGCTGTTTGTCGAACTTTACCAGCTCGTATAGCTTCAGTTGCAGTAGTCGTTCCACGAAAGATTGGAAACTCGAAGTAGATCGGTTTTACGGACAACATTTTATTAACATCTTGATAAAACTCGTAGTTCGCTTCCTAAAAACCGAATACGACATCCGCGAATGCATATATTTTTTGTCTGTGTGAACAACTGATCTACCTTCAAACTGAATGGATCTTCACGTTCCTGTAAGATTTGACCGCAATTACTAGCTGCCATGAATTGCACCTTTCATTAAATCACAACCATCGATATAAACAACGATAGATACTCATTTCTTACTTTGCTGTTGTGCGCTCTGACTGGTAGATGTGCCAGATTCGCAGATTCAGATAAATCTTCTTCACCAAGTACCCGATGCAGCTGAAAGTGAAAGATTAGTTTCTGATTGATGTGTAACTGATGAAATTTATACTTTTCATACCTCATTTTTACATGGATTTCTTGTTAAACTAATTGCTTCACATAGTTGTCGACCGTCTTGCCACAGTCGCGTACATTGATCGATCAGTTGCTGAACGTAACGTTTATAACTCGAACCACGCGCGTAAGTCGCAAAAAACTCCGTTGCTGCTTGTAACTAATCAAAGAAATCATGATCAAGAGCTGAGGCCAAACTCGTGGATACGAACCCGTTGTTCGTGGAAATGTCTTGTATATCGTGATGGCAAACCATCTTCATAGTACTTAATAGCCATTGGTAAGCATTTCTTACATCGTGTTTCGCTTAGCTTTCCATCGGGATCGACATTTGCTCGGAGCATATTGAACGCCTGTCGCAAAGCTTTATTCGATGATTCAAATAAATCACGAAGAGAGTTAAACAGTCGTGTCCATGTTGTATATGTGCATAATTCAAACGATGATGATTCACTACGAGCACCACCAGAAATGCCATCATTGGACCACCCGTCCGTTAGAGCTTCTTCGACATGGCGAAAAAGAAAACGTTTGAAAGCAGACGAATCATCCTGCTGTTGAGAACTAGCACGATTGAGCAGATTGGTGTTACATGCTAAACAAGAAAAAGGCACTGATGAAAGAAACGAGAAGTTTTCTGTCATACAAGATTCTTTGGTTTGTTTAACAAAATCCTGTAGAATACCGAGCAATTTTTGAGTCTGTCCTAACGACGCTGCTTCTTTATAACAACGATGGATAAATACAAATGGTTGTTTATGTGCAATAGTAAATAACGCTGAGTTTCTATAAAGAAAAAGCATTTCGCCCAATCAGCTGATCGAACAAACAATAAGCCAGTCTTACGTTTGATTTGAAATGATATACGAACATCTCAGTGCATTGAAGATAATATTTTCTAAATTTCGTGCCATATTCACCGATTTTGGATCATCATCTCGATCGTTGTTGCCCGGTGCATCATTTCCCTTATGGTGATTTTCGAAAATAAACAATGCACGTGGTACACAAAGTCGTCCATCGTTAAGAAAAATATCTGCATCTTTCAAGAGATTCAGTGATCGAATAGCTTCTAGAACTGCCGGTTTACTCTTATGTCTTAAAAGTTCGATAATACGAAAGAAACGTAAATAGTTCAAGTCGAATGTATGTGACGAATGTGAAATCTAAGGAAGAATAAAGTGAACCTGTGAAATCGAATCATCGCAGCTCGACTTACAACTATAATATGCGATAATAGAAAGCAAATCAAGCATTTCTTAATAAAATTTGCTTGTTTATTCTCCCATAATTGTGCAAAATTTTGCATCGATGTATCCTCATGAATGTTATCAATTAAATTCAACAATTGATATGTGTCATGAAATGAGCGCAGATGAACGTAGATTGTATTATTGATATGATCGTAATAGTGTTCAAAATCATCTTCAGTATTAGTAATCACATGTTCTTTAAATGCCGGAGTTTGAATAAGTTGATTGAATTTCCACGATTTATTACATTGCTGTTCGAATAATGTACTTTTACCAATCAATGCTACGACACACAGTTGACTAATCTTTGTTCCTGAATTATCTACCATCATTCAAATCGATCTAAAGTATAACAGTCGAAATGTATCAATCTTGGATTTATTCATTTCGTTTTTCTTCTTTTTTAAATATGAAAAGAAAAATGACAGGCGAGACTAAGCGAACAGATGAAGAACAATACACAAGAAAGGAAAGGAAAGAAAAGAAACGAATGCGGAAAACCTTTGAGGGAAAATATTCAACGACAGCTAGCAATGGTAGAAACTATTTGGTCGGATCTTTTGGTGTGTGTGTATATATATATATGTGCTAGCTAACAAACATAACGAGGAAAAGTAACGAACAATGGATAAAATGTCTATACAATGTTTGCGAACAATAAATAAAAAGAAAAAAAAGATGCAAATAATAGTAGTAGTAATAATAATAATAGAGAGAGAACGATTGAATCTGGGTAGCTTTTCGATGTCAACTAAAAATTACAAAAGAAGGCACATGGAAACACAACAAGAGATATGTTCACGAAGACGGTTTTTGTTGAATAGTTCTACTGTTCCGGTGTGTGATTTTTTTCGATGAGATCATGTACGTTCTCAGAGACTTTCGACATAAGTTGCAGGATAGAGACCTATTCGACCACCGACGCGACCTTTACACCATCCTTGGTCATCTTCGTCTTCCAACTTAGTAAATATGTCACCTGAAAAAAGAAGGTTATGGGTAAACCGGAAAAGATAAGTGGGTGATTTGTATAGTTACCTTGTTTAAATGATAATTCATCTTGTTCTTGTGCTTCGTAATCATATAGTGCTCGTACAGGTGCACCGGCACTACTATCGAGTGATGAACCGCCTGTTGACGCTGGTGATTGATGAGACGTTTGATGCGATGGCGATAAAGAATCAATATTATCGTCATCGTCTAAAAATGGATTCGCTGAAGCTGGATAGGATGATTGAATATTATTTGTTGGGTACGGCGGCACATTAGAAAATCCGTTATTATTCGTTCCACTTGTATGATTTGAACTAAAATGGAGAACGGAAGTAGAGAGAATGTAAATCGGATAGAAAAGAATATCAGTCACATGAATGGATGCACATCATCACAATAGGATAAGAGTTTCTCAGCTTAGCGTGCAAAGGATAAAGCATGATAGATAGATGGACATTCTCATGTTCAATTTAGATAGACACACACACACAAACTCAAGCAAGGTTAAGTGGCAAGCTTGGTTCTCTACCGATTGGTCGTTGCACTTTCTCTTCGATTATGATTATCATGATGATGATGATCATCATCGTCATCATCATCACCGAAAGGATTCGCACTGCCAGTATTACTTGTCGTCAACGAGGGATACACAAATGGCTGAGCACTGCGTATCGGTGGTACTGGTGATTGATTTACATAACTAGACGAAAGCAGATGAGATGGCAATGGTCAATAGGATGGTATATTGAATTACTGGTGGGTAATATGAGCCCAATAGAACATCGAGAAAAAAAAAGAAAGTTTCTTACTTCGTTGATTGACGAATATCTGAAGTAGACATGTTAGTCGATCCTCCATTTTGACTTGAACGAATAGCAGTCACAATGACGGGATTTTCGCGTTCGAGATCGCCCTTTCGCCGCGAAAGTGTTCGTTGCGCATCAGAATATTCCTACAAAAACAGAATGATATCCATATATTGCGTTTCCCTGCTATATTTTGCAAACATAATAGTAGCGGTTAGCAAAAATAATTAGTGCGAGACAAGCAAAGATGAGAGAGAAATGTCATGATTATACCCTCGTGTAAAAGAATGAAACATATATATATGTATCCAAAAAACCAAAATGTAAGTTCATTTGTTTTTCTAATAGTGGAAGACTAAATATTTAGATAGGTGATAATCTACTTCACGTTTGACTCGATCTCGGCGAACGCGTGTGACAACAGCAGCTGTTCGTCGCATCGATCGACGAATAGTGGCATAGGAATCGACAACTAAGACAGCAGCACTTGTTTGACTAACAAAATGTGCTAACGGTCGACGGTGACATGTGTCATAATTGCACGTTGAATCGTCAGCATAAGAGAAGCGATTTGACTGTGTCGCTTGTTGTTGTATGTGTTGAAAGTGATTAACTAGATCTGTAGGTTCCTAAGACGTGGCAAGGGTAGCAATCGTTAAGAAAAGAAAACACTAAGCGAGGGTGTGCGAAATCAATAAGAAGCATTGATCGTTTCATTAGATAAGTGATAGGCAAGAAGAGAAAATAAACAATCGAATAAATACCTCGAATATGGGCCAATTCATTTTCATCGTTGCACCATATGTGTCTGACCACCATGATAAATCTCTATCTGGGTCGCAATTTTTAATCGTCTGAGAAAATTGTTGGAAGACGGATGGTCTAGGAAAACATAATTTGATTAATTTCGAGAAAAGAAAAGATTTGTCAGATAAATCGGTAAGCATGGCAGTGAAGTGCCTGGCAGTAATGGTGAAAATAGAACTCGATTTACTTAATATAATTAGTTTCCTTTCTTCGAAGGTAGTTCAGGTTTATTGGTCACCGGTTTACTTACTGTAATCGATGAGTCAGATCAAGACATTTTTCTGTAGCACCCAGAAATTCACGAAATTTCGCGAGACGATCTCTTTCGAATACTTGACACCGGGTGAAGACCTATGTAACAGTATAATGATGAGTTCGAAGATTAGAATGTCGAGCGATTCCTCCTCACCTCGTTCATATCATCCATATATTTCGGATTTGATCGATTCAATTCTTGAAGAGCTTCAGTGTATTTGCATTTAGCAGCCTCTTTTTCTTTCCGACATCGCTCGACTTTTTCGGCAACTTTAGCACGCTGAAATCGATGAAAAACAGGAGATATTATATTGTCTACTTAACATCTGTTTACTTGATCCTGTGGAATGGCACCATCGAGTTTCGCATTATTTTCTTGTGTCTCAGCCATTTTCAAATTCTTTGTTGCTGTATGATATTCACGTTTATATTTGTCAACTTTCACATACAACTTTGCCCATGGTTTTTGAGCCTAAAATTTCACACATCGATCGAATCAATCGCAAAGATGATTCACGAACTCGTTTGAAATCTTCATCAAAATCTTTTGTTGATTTGATGTGCATCATTGATTTGACATATTTAGCTTTTTGCCATGCTTTTATCGATGGTACAACATCATTTTCTAATTCATCATGAACGCTTTGGTGAACCTCAGCTGACGCATCAGCTTCATTCATAATTGCTTTCCAAGCTGACGTCATCGAACCGAATTCCGGTGCTAAAAATAGACAAAATACAAGCGTCATTGCTCATGATGTTTATGAAAACGAAATTCGACTGACATTTGGCAACATAATCCGACCATTTCTTCGACCAGCCTTTGAGCATTTTTGAAAACGATTTTTCAAGTTCAGCTCGTTCATTAATCATACTAAGTAGATCAGTTGTCAATTTATTTCCATCATCGCATCGTTTGACCACACGATTGTATTTACCGATCTAGAATCGGATCAAACGAAGATAAGAGAGTTCAGAGAGAGAGAGAGAAAATAATGTACATACTTCCCAGAAGGAATCAGTTTGAGGTAAGTAAAGATCATTGTCAATGTTGGATTTATCACCATTCCCAAGGTCCATAACGGCAGAATGAGTTAAATATTAAGGTAAAACAGTTCAGTTGAAGACAAGAAGAAGGAAATAATCTGAAATCAAATCGGTCATAGATCATACAAAGAAAACTATCATGTTATTTAATCCTTTGATAAATGTTGCCTTGGAGGAAAAAAAGATTCTTATCGCAAACACATGAATAAAAAAACCCTTACAGCACGCACTATACAAAAACGACGGAAGAATAGAACAAAAACAAAAATCTATTATAAGTCCACTATTCAAACTGAAACGACATATGTTGCTCATTTAATTATAAACAACGCTGTGTATGCGTACGTATGTTTGTTTTGATAATAGTAAAAATATAAATAGTACATTTCGATTTTATTTGCTCACAATTAAAACCATCCTACGATATGAAAAGGACATTTTTGTTAGCAGATATTGAAATCGAATAAATTGTGTTCATTCTACGCACGCTCAAAAATAAAAACGATTTTATTGCTGAACTTGATTAGCAATACTCACAAACATCCTTGACTATTGTAATAAAACCTAAATGAGTAAAAGCGAGACGAAATAAAAAACACGAGAGATAAGAATGAACATTGTTATACGGTCTATCGACAGTAGACAATGATCGTATCATATATACATTTGTGAACTGAACTCACGTTTGCAATATTACATTCTCGAGACAGGTGGCGATGATCTCTACTATTTAACGTCATCCGACCGATAAGATCTATTCTTTGTATGATTCCCAAAAGGAAAATTATGAGAGTCTTTTTATATCGTCTCTCTCCGTTTTGCACATCGAGAGATAACTGATCAAGACAAGGAAACGATCGCAATGCTATAGAATCTATCGAAGCTAGTTGTATCTCTACGTCCTTTGTTTTTCTCTCTTCTTCGATTTATTCACTTTAGGTCAATCAATGTACTGTCGACAACAGCAACGTAATGTTGGAGAACATATACATACATATATTCATACGAAAGAGAATAAGTTAAGGTATGTAAACGAATGACTGCTCGAAGTTCATCTCCGTTGTTATGGTGGGAGAGAAAAAAAAGCGAAGAGAAGATGAGAGTCAACGGTCTCTCTTGGTTGGTATGTAACGTTCAATATATAACTATGTGCGTTATTAAACATTTACGAAAAAAATCAAATGAACTTGAACTCGAACGATTAACAATTAGATAAATAATGGCCTTGTTTCTGTTCAATCTATTATTATAGATAAAGAATTTCGAAACGAAAATCTACCGTATAATTATAACGCATAACTTTGATTGCACGTGAAAAGGAGAAATGATTTGACGATGCAATAACGTTTGACTAAGCGTTTTACTCACCTACGTGTTAAACTGTTTTATCGTTTTTCGAAAATGAAATATTAGTCACTGCAATTATGCAGTTAAATAGACAAAAATGATTTAATAAACATGAAATATTTCATGACTAAGCAAACAATAATAAACAGAAAGGAAGACAGATACAGAGAAATAAAATGAAGAAGAAAAAAACGAATGTACGTACGTATGTATGCATACGACAAATTTTCATTGGTGACTGAAATAGTTTAACAGATAATTATCAATTTCTAAATTGACTTTATCTAGCGAAGTCGATTACTAAAACAAAATTTCGCTGTGTTTTTATCTTGATTTCTATCGGAATAGATGTCGCCAAAGGCAGTATCGATTCTCACTCGATTTTTGTTTCAACAAATCACTTACTTACTAAAAAGAATAATATTATTATCGAAGATTGTTTTTAGTTGTTTACTACAACACTCCGTTTCATCACCGAAACCAGTAAAATGGCCTCGCTAATAAGTCGTGGAATAGCACAGTTGAAAAGTAAAGAAATGCGCGATTATTTAATGAGGTACGAACTTAGGTACATGATTATTATATAAACTAATTTATCTTCGTCTATGTTTTAGCACGGTAAGATTTAACAGAACTGATGTATTTTGATTGTAACCTTCGTATTTATTTTTAATGAAAAGCATTTCTGGGGTCCAGGTAACGCCCTTCATTTGCTAATGAACAATACGTGACTTTGTAATTTATTTCTAGTTGCTAACTGGGGTTTACCATTGGCTGCTATTGCTGATTTGAAAAAAGATCCAGAAATTATCAGTCCAAAAATGACTGTTGGTAAGATTTTTACAGAACACGATCGGATGAATATGATGAATCTACTTACTTTTAATAGCCTTATGTTTTTATTCAATGTTATTCATGCGTTTTGCACTCCAAGTTAAGCCTAAAAATCGACTTTTATTTGCTTGTCATTTTGCAAATGAATGTGCACAACTTGTGCAATTAGCACGTTTTATTAATCACAAGTATAAATTGTCTTTTCATTTGATTCTTTTTCTTTAACTTTTCTCTCCAGGTATGGAACGCCCCAACCCATGAAACAGTATCAGGTGCCAGCTTCTGCAACAAAACCTACAGGAACAGGAACATCAGCACCCATTCAACCCGTCCGTTCAGCCTAGATCATGATGATACCGAAACTAACTGTAGTGATCATCGTTTGACGTATTTTTCTATTCTTTTTTTTGTTTTTAAATTATTTTCCATAGTAGGTTATTGAAAACTCTTGTAGTCAACTCACCAGTCATAAGAAAATGGCTACTCAACTAGACAATATCTGATTAATAAAAACTCCACATGCGATAATGGAACTTCCGACTATTTTCTTCTTTTATTCCCACTTCCGTACGCGCAATACTTCAAAGAACGGAAGATTTTGACGAATAGAAAATAGAACTTTTCTTTTAAATCTATGTACAAATAGCTTTTATTGCCAAATATCTAACTACAGTCAAGAAAAGAATGTTCTGCTTAGACTACTGTCACTTCCTTCGTCGTTGTTTCTCATTTTTATCTGATTGTGTATGTTCTATAGCCAGTTGTCTGGGCTCTTGAGATTGTGATCGAAGTCGCCCGTGAGTTGGCGGTGTCATCAGTAAATTGTCCGTGTAACCGCCGAAGCCATTACGATTCGAATTTTTAAAGCCATATTGTTCAGCTCGACTGAACCATTGCCGTTCGAACTCATTTTCATCATCAATATGTTCGAAATCACGATGTTCTAAAATTCGACCACTGACTGGATCACGTTCTTTGGTTATACGATGACCACGCTCACCGAGCCGATGAGCAACTTCCATCTTTTCTAAATTTCGTCCTGTATCGCGCACTGCTTTGCGTGTTCGCGCGAGACCTACACAGATACCGAAATAAATTGTAGACAAAAACTTCAGATGTTCAAGTATTTACCTTCGGGGCCACGTAGTTGTTCGGATGTTGCTTGAATGATTCGTGGTTGATCACCACTTCGTCTGTCCATGCTCATGACAGTTGCTGAACTAAATGATAGGCCTTGACCATTTTGACCATTGAAGTTTTGACTCATCACTGGTTCCAATTGACGAAACATTTGTCCCATACTGCCCATCATACTTTGCATCAGACCGAGCGGATTGTCAAATGGTGACAGACTTTGGTCATTAGTTGGTTGACGTTGACTGATTTGTCGATTTGAGTTGTCATACCGTGATCGATTTTCTAATGCTAAGCCTTCAAATGGTAGATCAAGACCCGAAAAAAATGGATCGTTGCGAAACGTTGCAAAACTATTCATTTTGTTCGATTGAAGTAATTGAAAATGAAGTTTTTTGCGCCGTAGTTTGATTTATATATATTCAGCAAAGAGAACATAGACAGTGAAACTTCGCGAGTGTTCTAGAAGTAGGAGAAAGAATGAAAAAGTGAGGGAAGACGTTAAATATTGTTTTTTCTCTTTCGGCCCTCTTTATACCGAAGGAAAAAAGAAAATATTAAATTTCTTGTTTTTTCCTCTGCAAGCAACGGTAGAATAAATGCTTGTGCAAATGAGCGTATACTCTGCAACTTTGATATTATCTCACACGAATCAGTATCAACGCAAGAGAAATTTGACAATGAGCTGAATCTGATATAATTGAATTGATACATAAATATTAAAGATGTCTCGAAGATTCTTTCCACGTTGTCGTTCGACGATAGAAATTCGATAGATCTCACTCATTTGTGTGGACTGAGGTGTAATAGGCACTACCTGATGAAGTACAGCATCGGAACAGTTCAATATGATTGAGAATTGAACTCAATCACACATTTTCCCAATGGTGTCGTCTTCCGATGCATCGTCGTCATTGCTGATGAATTTTAAAATGTTAAAGGCAATGCACCACAATGACTATGCTGTTCAATTAATGAATCAAGATTTTCATCGCCCTAGACATTCTCTTGTTTAAGAATTTTTTTTGTTAGGCTTCTCGATGATGATGATTGAGCATTGTCACTGTTTAATACGTGTGACAGGATAGAAAAAGCAGAAAAGAATCGATCGAAGTCGGTAAAAAATCTTTCCCACTGGACCAAAACGACCATCGAATGGATATTCATCCTCTTTATCGTCATTATTATTATTATTATTTTCACTCGCGTTCTTTCGTCGTTGAAATTTATCTACAGGTACACAAAAATGAGATTTCATCGAATGAGTCGATTTATTATAAAGCAGATTCGGTTTAACAGTACAAACTTCTCTTTGACCGAAATTCTATGTGATCATCCGTTTGCACTTCTGAAACCCGATTCCTGTAGTATTTTACGAGAATGTGTAACAGATGTTCGGTTCGTATTCATTGCTTTCGAGAACATATGATATGATTAAACAATTTCAGTTAAATTTTGCTTCGAAAGAAAATCTATATGATGAACATCAATGTTAAGAGTGGTGTAATCAGGATTTGATAGGTGGCCTGGCAGTGCCTTGTAGAAAAGTAAAAAATCTAAAACTTTTCAGGATTTTTGAAAAATTTCTCACAGATTTTTCAAAAAATCAAAATAACCTATGACTAAAAAACCTCCGTGGTCTAACAGCACCATGCCATTCCTTCGCTACACCGCTAATTCAAAAGCCAATACTGAGCAATAAGTACTATCAATAATGTCAACATGAACCTTCTTTTATATTCAGATGTCATTCTACGGATACTGCGCTCTTGGAATCGGTCGGCGCTTCATTCGAAAGCTAGGGTAACCTGATCCAATATACAAAGGCTATCGAAACCTTTCAATCGGACTGAATTTACAACCATGTTACGCATTTGATCTTCTACATGTATTATCAAGCAATCGCTTGACAGAAGTTAACTTACATGTCATGGCTAAACAGTAGTGCTATATAGCCTATTTACTTGTCTCTTTAGTCATTATCTATCAAACTTGTCTATTAAACTATGATTACATTTATAATGTTCTATGTCATTCATGATACAGATGACTGCGCAAAACGGCGATCGTTCTTTAAATGTTTCTTTTTTTCTTTTGTAATTGTTTGTTTATTACTCTTTCTTCTCCTCACAGGTAATCTTCTATAAATACATGTACATTTTGCCAGCGATGAATTCATTTTTGTATGTCAACCTGTTCTGTCTTTTAATTACCTGTATCTACTCTCAAGGTTAAATGGTTATTTCGTGTGAAAACGATCTTTCGAAGGAACACAATACTGAACAGTCATCGTTCGACGTAGAACACCCAAGTGTCAATGAACAAACTCTGCATTCACCGACATTACGCCAACGATGTGAAAAATTATGCGATGACATCCATAAAATTCAAATGATTGAGTACGAACAATCCTTAATCTCGGAACGAATGATTTCCATTGACGCTGAAAAGCAACAGTTAGAACAATTACTGAATATCTTACGATCATCAAAACCTAACGACAAGAAGAAGACGCCGAAATCCCATCCACACTCATCGAAACGTCTTCACTGCAAATCCAAACCACGATGAACTGCTTAAACATCCAATAAATGTTTCGTTTTCTTTCTTTGTATAGAACTATATTCCAATAAATAATACATCAAATATCACATCCTATCTGTTTTCCCTTCTCAGTGGCCCCTCGTTTACTTTAGTCACTGTGACCTAAACTTACCCAGTCCCTTGCCTAAAATCTTACAGTCATACTATTACCTTACGTATTAACGATCTGTCATGCATCATTCATTTTCCTATCATTCACTTTCAAACAAACATAAAAATATAACAAAACGACATTCAGTCATACGCTACCCGAACGATCAAGAGCTACATGTCCATGCATATGAAAGACGCATCCAACAACCCTCAACAAGCACCGCGATCTGATAAGAAAGAACCTCATGAAGCAACAGAAATTGAAACCATTGAACGTGAACAACGAGCAGTAGTAGAACGAATGATGCAGGTCCAAATACAACAAGCACGAGTAAAGCATTTACTCGATGTATTACAATCTTTAGACGATGATGAAGGTCATGACTGAACGACCGAACTCAATTACTTTTTGTGCCTGTTCTTCCATTTTGTACTAAGCGAAAGTTGTATTCAAATGTTTGTAATTTATTATACAAGAATAAATTCCAGAACTAAAACAAATTGTATAAAAAAAAAGCAATGGTCATGAATTCATAACAGCCAAATTTTCATCGACTGAGCTGTTGGATAAATCAAACGTTGAAGATCAGGAACGGCTGATTTCTTCACTTTTCTTGTCTGTGGTGTTGACGAGTCGACCGGACGAGGTGTATATTTTGACAACGACCATCGAATATGAGCTGGCCGTGGTGTTGAACACAGATTAGGAAAAGCAGCACATGTATTGAATTTTTTCGGTGTGGATGCTGATTGAGGTTCAAAGAGTGTTGAACTAGAAGAAAAATGCACGTCGGTAAATGTAAATCAGTAGATGACTAGATGAATTCTTACTTCATGTTGATGATTTGGAAATGTGGTGATGAAGAGATTCATGCACTGTATATTTACATACGATATTTCAATTGCTAATTACAATAGAGAAAGAATTGTTTACAATCAATAAGTTTAAACTAATAAGAATTAGTGTGATGTGATCCGAATGGTTAATTGATGTAATTGTTTCTCATATGAGCCTGTTATACAGTACAGAAAAGAACAAAATTGTATGTTCTTTGATTTATTAAGAGAACGTGTCAGTGAGAGAGAGAGAGAGAAGAGTGTGCGCAATTCTGAGCGTTTGTTGACATTGAAAAATTTCATATTTATTTATTTATTTCATATGGAGCCGTTATAGAAACGATTGATAATCTAGAAAACATTTGGTTTCTTTTTACCACGTACAAGAAATATTTATGTACAAAATTTGTTCATCCGGTGTAAAATCTACGCGCATATTATTCTCATTTTTTGTATCATAAAATTCTTTAATAAGAACGTTCGGTTTGATATTCCCATGCCCATCAGTAATTGTAACACGATAATTGCTTTCATCTTCGTTTGCTGACGTTTGAATGTCGGTCGAAGATGATGAAAGTGATGATTTCGAAGAAATATCATCATTTGAGCTGTAGCCACTTTCATACGTTGAATTTTTCTCATTCAGCGTTGTAGTTAAACAATCTTTTAATGAAAATAAGAAATGTGTTGGCTGGTTCAGTGGTACACAGGCGTTTTTCATAGCTGGGCCAGATAGAAGAATATCTTTTTCTTGTATAGCATGACTGTAGAATGGGTTTTGCTCAGCAACGATACCAGCATAATCAACCGAGATGAAATGCTTGCCTAATGTAACAGGTGTAAATGAGCATACGTAGGACGTTCGATGACGACGACGTATGAATACAGATGGAGAATGTTTGCCATCTGTTAATATATCGACGTTGAGATGACGATTGGAATCATCGAAGGGACTGTCGATAAAGACCTTGAAAGAGGAAGAAATAGAATCACTTAACATACTATTTTCTCATTATGAAACGAAAGACAAGAGGGAGATTCTAGTGATTGAAAAGAATAACCTTGAAAATAGCACGTTCTCTCGATCTTACTTGGAATTCAACAGTTCGATGCAACATAAGTTCTTTTGGTAAACCAACAACACGTATGCGAGGCTTGTCTCGTAAACTCAAACTCTTGTCTACATGCGCAATGAACGGTGAATTGGTTATATCTTTATCATTTTCGAGAATATGTATGGGACATTTGCCTTCCGTTAATGGAACGTATCGTACGGTTGCCATTTGTTGCTCGTAATCGATTTCAGCTTGATAGGATGGCTCTAATCGAAAGTGTATGTTTGGATGAAGTGTTTGATTAAGGTCAACGTAGAATTCTGTTGGTAAACCGACAATTGCACGCTTAAGGCCAGGACCAAATGGTTTTAATTTCGATGGAAAATTCAATTCATCTTGAATAACATCAATAGCCACTTGACGGTGAATGGTATTGTTGAATAGAACTAACAATCGATGCTCGCCAATTGACATCGGTTGATAGGTCAATTCAAGTAAGTCAGGCGATAAAGTACGGCGTTGCACAACGATCGTATGGCCATGTGGATCGAGAATTGAAATCGAAAACGAATCAACGCTGGGATGCTGATAGGTATTGTACGACGATTTCAATCGAAGACGAAAACGTGCGATTGAATTAACAATGATCTTTGTTGAACATCCATCACCCTCTAGTTCATAGTGAGGTACTTCTAAAGAAACACAGTAAAGTTTTTTTTTCTTTCGCTGTCGACAGTCTGAATAGTGAGGATGGTTTTGCTTACTTAGTCGTAAATTAGAAAGAATTTGCGAACGATATGGTGGATGTGTCATAATGAAATGATGCGTTTACATCAAATCGAGAAGAAATGAAAGTGATATAGAACTAAGAAGTCTATGCGTATAGGACTGTGTGTGATTTCTTTTTTCTTTTCTCTTCTGATAACGATCGAATCGATGATTTCGGTATATGTTACAAGTATATTTTTCCTCGATTTTACTATTAGATCGAAAATATATTCTGGTGGTTAAGTCAAGTATTTTATTTCGCTTGTGGAGATGAAGTAATCAAGTCTCAAGTAGATGTAAGGAGTTGACGTCAACGAATAAATGTTGATTTTTGATCAATATACTCGTATACTTCGAAACATGGAAGCGATTTTCGTTTTTGTGTTTCGCAATTAGATAAGAGGAAAATTATACAGTTATTTACCTTGTTGCGGTAGTTTTATAATTTCTTCAACTAATGACGACTGTTTCTTTTGATAGGAACCATAATTTGACGTTGGATTTCGAATAAAAATCATATGTTGTTGATTAATTACTTTAATATTATTATGAAAAAACGAGATTCGATAAATTCCAGCTTTATTCATTGGTGTATATTGACATGAAAAGAGTTTCGTATGACCTTGATTATATGTACTGATTGATTGTAGATCAATAGTGACAAGATTTTCGTCGGGATCTAAGATAATTACATCGAGTGGTAATGAAAGATTCGTTCGCATAGACGATGTTAATTCGAAACAGAACAGAATCGATTGATTTAATTCGTTGTATGGGTGATACGATTGTATACCTTGACCAAAACAGCGGATATCCATCTTTTGTGTCGGATGGATTTGTGTCCGAGCGATGACTGATTGTTGAAATTTAGAGAGGAAATCATCGAAATGCTTCTCATTCGTAAGCAGTTCATTTGTGGAGATTGTTGATAGTGGAGATAGATGAAGATATTCTTCGGCAAGACAAATGATTTCTTGTAAAGTTCGTAATGAATTCGAACAATGAATACGGTACATATTTGGACATAGAGAATCGAACGACGTATACAGTTTTCGTATAGAAGGAAGGACTTGAAGGAAATGACAGTTGGTCTTGATCATTGCTGATTTTTTCATATCGAGTAAATCGAGTTCATTGGGATTGCTCCATATCGAATCGTTCTCATGGTGATTAATGTTCGAAGTTAAATATGACGTCATTGGATATTTGTGATGTTTACCCATTTTCTTGGACGAGCGGTATTCTTGATTGAATAGACAAAGATCGACCTAGAAAATACACACGTTTAGATACAAGAAGGCTTAAGTTAAATCAAGTCTAGCTGTAAACACGAATACGACGATAATTGTACCTGATATGTTGGTAATACTGACACGTATAACTATTTATGTCAACGGAGAGGTTGTCCTTCGTCATCGTTCGACTCAATTAAAATGAAATAAAGAAGAAAAAAAAAGTCAACTTTAACTAACATGATTACAAATTAATCTTGGAGAGAAATTTCGTGGTTGAAACAAGTTATACGACTGCGTTTTTATGCAAAAGAAACCATAAATCTTCGTAACAAAATCAGACAAACAACGAGATATTTTCAGGGACAATCGTTTTACAAAAAAGCAAACGAAAGCCATTTTTACCCTATAATATGTTTATACTTTTCAAGTTCTTCTACACTATCGCAGAACATTCAACATTCGTATGATAAAAACTTCGAATTCGTTCTTACTTTAACTAACATAATCTTATCGAAGAACATTTAGAAATGTGTCGTAGACATATGCGTTCAAACTATCGTTATTAATTATTCTACTTTCTATGTTCATTCAAAATCGATTTAGAAACTCTTTATTTAATCATTAGAATCTATAATGAATGACGCTCATTAGATTTCAATAGTTCCTTCATTAAGAAACCTTGTTCGATACGTCAACTGATACATGTCGTTATGACTTACTTACTGTTCTATGAATTCTATAGAATACAACTACTCCTACATTTCAATTATGTAATATAAACTACCATGTATATCGTATAAACAATATCTGGCATGTATATCGTACGCGATATAATTTGCTTTCAATGTTCATATCGCGAATTACATGTGTTGCTCATCAAAGGAATGATATAGTATTAGAGTATACTTCTTAGGACGTACCTTTCTTTGATCTTTTCTTCTCTTCATACTTTCGAGTAAAGTGAAGTAATGTAAATGAACCATCTGATTTTCAAATTACTACTTGCAGTCGACAACAGAACAGAACAGAACTGAACGATCGAATTAATCTTTCGTAAGCCTCAAATGTATAATTAAAGTTATTCTTTGCCTGCCTATGACGTAGTGTTGCCTCTATAATCAATAAAAATAATATGCAGAGAAGAGAAATTTCAATATGATTCAGTACAACTAATATTCCACTGCAGGGCTAAGGACAAATCGATTCGTTCATATAACGATGAAGAAATCTTATTTATGCATGAATAAAGTTTTCATTTTTCTTTCCGCGGTATATCTTTCGAATTTCTCTTCGTGATTGGCTTACAGAAGGAATATTAAAAAGTGCACTAATCTCTCTTTTGCTCTTTATAAGGTGAACCGTGAAAAAAAAGAAAGGTTACACTCCGCGGCGGGGAATCGAACCCCGGTTTCCCGCGTGACAGGCGGGGATACTAACCACTATACTACCGCGGACGGTGCTCATTAACCGAAACTAGCTAACTACTGAGACACTATTTGTATTCGTCTTGAATTATGGATATATATGTATCCCACGTCAGAGGTTGTAGTACGTTCGAGAAGACTTTAAAGTAATTTCATTAGGAGAATTTTCAATTTTTTTCATAAAAGAAAGAGAACATATTATTCACAGACACAGGCAATTATAAATGTATGAAAATAGTGTTTTTATTGAGTAAGTCTGTCGTTGTTAGGTGCTGAGTAGTTTGAAAAGTATGTGACTACAATTGAAACTGTTGCACCTTGAACGTAGAAAAATGTCTTCTGGGTGCGCTGGAAATCAATTATCGTGTACTATTGGGCGTATCTTAGCTAATAGTCAAGAGGGTCTATCTTATCCGTTCGAAAGATTAAAAAAAAGCATACTTTCACTTTTTTGGATGAAAACATAATATAAACAAATTGAGACAAGAAAGTTGCAAATCACGTTTGTGTATATATATACAAGTAGTCAGTAGAGACTAAAATATGTCTGAAACGAATGGCATGTTGTCGAGTGATAAAGGTAGCATCTGAAAGAATGTAAGAGCAGAGAATCTGTTTTTCATGATTAAATAAATATATTAAGAGATAAAGTATAAGATCTGCATACATTAAGATTTCGTGCTGTTTGTGTGTGTGTGTTTTTTTAGATTCTCTGCGGAATTTTTTTTTCTTTAAGTGTTATTACAGTTCAAGTAGAAAGAACGAAAAAGTGTTGCCTGGATGTGTTACAATCGAGTAAGATAGTACGTTTAGTTGGTTTCGTAAAACAATCGGTTGAAAGTATTCGTTTTTAAACTATGGCTTGAATGAAGTACGTTCGTATTCGTTCATTAAGGTGCTTTTTTTTACAAATGATCATCGAAGCAGTCTTTATTTGGTCAAGGTTAGTCAAGTTTTACTCTTAAGAATTTATCAATATCTGACCGTGACGAATCACGGCTTCGCTGTCGTTTAAGTAATTGCTTCAATGTTTTTTCGAGATCGATTTCTTGTTCTAAAACCTGTTTGGCTTGTACACAGAGTGTTTGAAGAATATCAATTAGCTTCCTTAATTCGACTGCGTAAGGATGATTGATCACTGATTCATCATCATCGTCATCATCATCTTCTTCTTCTGATTCAGTTTGCTTCGGTAAGAAATCATTCATCAATGATTTACTGACAGTTTCATCTTCGGCGACATTCGATTTTAACCATGCTGTGGTCGGCAGAGTTGTTTCAATATAAATAAGTTCACGAATCCAGTATGCATCTAAATCGAAATGCGACTATTTTATCATTACTCATAACAATCTGAAACTTACTCGCTTTGGCGCGTGCATTTTCAACCGAATTATGTATGTCGCCGACAGTAATACCTAATAGGAGATTGAGAAACACAATTGTCATAATGACGACGAATGGTATGAATATAAATGATGCAGCAGTGAATGTTGCTTTGGAAAAGAACAATGTTTCGTAATCGAATTCACCGACAATCATCGAAGAGGATTTGTGTATAGTTTGTGTCAATGTAACAAATGCTGAGTGATTGAAAAAAATCATTTTTAAAGATATTGTAAATGCAATCAACAAGGGAAACATAGCAAGAACTAATAATGTAAATTTAGTTAATACTGTTTCGAGCATGATTAGGAAGCGACCGAAAAATGGCACTGAACGAAGAATAACTGCTGTATTAAACCATTGAAACAAGATTCCAAACGACACCAGTTGCCATTGAAGATATTTCATCTGTTCAGTTGCATCTTGATGAGGTATAAAGGCGACAATCGAAGATGCAAATGAGATTATTCCGAATAGTTGCGCAAACGGAACACGAAAGCCGCGATAGAGAATGATTTCAGAGAAGATTTTCAATAAATTCATCGACGACAATGCGATAATAATCCATCGTACTGTGGAACTAAGCATTATTGAAGACAGCCAAGATAACGATGTCGGAGATACGGATGTAGTTTTTAATGGAGCTGGAATTATCAGTGCATAGACGGTTAAAATTGATAGAAGTAGAAATGCTAAAATCCGAGGAAAGTAAAACAATGAACGATACAATTTCCATTTTCGTTCCATGAGTCGTACACAAAGAGGATGATCAAGTAACGAATGATGGCCAGAATCCAGAGCAATAATCAATGGATGATTACGATACAACTGCCGACTGCTAGTTGCATATAATTTATCGCTATCTCTAAAACAAACTTCGATATGACATTTGTTTTCCATTGTTCGTTTACTCACAGGAAATAATCATCAAGGTGTTTATATTTATAAACTGTACGTTCGACAATATTGCCGAAACGATTCACTTCCGTTGTTTTTAAAATTAATTTATCAAATGCATGGTACGCACAATCTGGCATGTATTGAATCATCTCTCTCAGCGGAGTTTGACGAGAGTTCAGTTTTGACATCAACCACGATTCGGTTTGCGGATGCTGTAGAAGAACATGAATGATGTTATTTTGTCGATATCTGATTGCAATTTCTAATGGTGTCTCTTCCTTTTCTTGATCGAAATCAACTCCCAGATTTTGACATAATAGAAGTTCTGCAATATCGACAAAGCCATTTTGACATGCAGAAATCAACGGTGATTGGCGACGTGATAAAACCGAACGGAATTCATTCATATCTTTCACCGAAGTTCGAATTAATAATTCAACGCATTGACTATGGCCATTTTGGATGGCAGCATGAAGTGGTAGTTGGCCAAGATAATTCGCAAGTAAAACATCGGCATGATATCGGAGAAGTACTTCAATTGACGAAATATGACCTTGCTCAGCTGCAAGATGCAAGGGCGTTTTTCCATCTTCGTCTTGTGCATCGAGATATGGACGCAGGATAGGCGAGTTGGCAATGATACTGACCGAATCGGAATCGATTGTGGTTGCCGTTGAATAGCTACGACTTTTCATTGTCATGAATCGATCGGATTTCTGAATGTAGTCACAAAGAAACTCGATTACATCGTAGTGGTCATTGCGTGCTGCGATGTGAAATGCATTTCGACGTTGGTTATCGACTGTATTCCATCGAATATAAGGATGAGTCAGTAATAACGAGCACATTTCGACAGAACCAGTTTGGACAGCAAGGAGAAATATTGAATAGTCGTTTCGTTTTTCGACTTGATCAAGAATTGGATACAACTGATCGTTAAGCACCGATAACAATCGATTCACAATCGTTAATTGGCCAGCAGATACCGCAATCATGATTGCATTCATATTTTTATTATCAAGACTAGCAATATCAGCACCAAAGAAAATCAACTGATCAACAATACTCGCACTTGTAGTAACGGATAAAGCAGTTCGACCGCGACGATCTTTGATTTCCAATAACAACAAACCTGTTAACTTATAAAGTTCTTGAACGATCTCTAAACGATTCGCGACACTTGCTATATGCAATGATGATTGAAACTTGGAGTTCAACAAACTCGGCTCAGCTCCATAGTTAAAGAGAAGATCAATCATCGCAGGATCACAAAGTTTCGCTAGACGAGAAAACAATCATCTTTTCCATTGGATTCTTCGAACACAAAGAGTCCAACCTACCTGCAATGTGCAAAGCAGTTCCTAACGGTTCAGTTTGTTCGTTGATAAATAGTTTTAGATCATCATTGGTATATTCCTTAAGAATAAATTCTACTAGTTGCATATTTCCATTTTGTACGGCTAAATGTAGACACGTTGTATTTGTGTTCGTGGTCATCTCTAGAAGATCTTGAAAGATTGGTTTCGCCTTTGAATGGATTAGTTTGACTACATCGAAATGTCCTTTCGAACATGCATAGTGCAGAGATGTCCAATGATCGACATCAATAGCATCGATTTCTACTCCGTGTTCTATTAGGTATTCGAGAATGGCTATGTAACCTTCCTTGCATGCTAGATGAAACGGACGAATTCCTTGGCGATCTTCTGCCTGAAATGAAAATTTTGTTGATAGAAACGGTGATCAAATTCTTTCAAAGACAAAATCTACTTCGATATCTGCACCCAGTGTAAGTAGCTGTTTAACACCTGATAGGTTATTTTGAGCTACAGCATAATGGAGTGGTGTGAGAAGATACTTATCACGTGCGTTGATATCTCCATTGGCTTTCGCGAATAGATAGATCAATGGGTGATCACTTGCAAGAATTTTGGTTGTATAATCATCATGCCAACTCTGCTTATCCTGGAACTAAAGAAACAAGAATCCGAAGATATCGATCATAGTCTTTCATACTTGATCACCAAAGTCAATATCTATATCGATCTGATTTTCTAGATCGGACGTACTGTGTGATAGACGAAATGCTGAATGAATCGGCGTTCGACCATTAGCATCTTTGATGTTTACACCAAATCTATCATATGCGCGAAAGAAAAGAGTAGGAAACGAATTCGACTCGGACGATTCATACTTAAAGTGCAGGTTTGATAAAAGAATCACACAGACGTGTAATTGCTGATATCGAGCAGCGTGATGTAAAGGAGATAGACCTGTATCAGTATCAATTCGATCAGCAATTTGACTGGCATGCTCAGCCAATAATGTCATTTGCCGGCTATAGTCAATGAATCGACGCAGACGATGTAGATCACCCTCACGACAAATCTAAATACCAGTGATTTTTATCAGCGTCCGAAAATCTTTTATTCGGTTAGCAAACTTGACTGATTAAACTTGTATTCCAATCATAAACTTCAGGAACGATACATGGTAGAAAATCTTCTTCGCCTTCATTCGGCTGATCGTTATTTAACGGCGTTTCTTCGGTAGGCTCGACATCGTCAAGAAGCGGTACCGAAGAAGAAGGCAGTTGTTGAATTTCATCGTCATCCATAGTAGTAAAAGAAAATGTTACCTTTTACTTTCTTTTATCTTTATGCAGTCGATGTTATCACAATTTCTTTTTTTCTGTCTAGTAGATATCAAAAGAAAAAATCCTGTGGTTTCTACCAAGACTGAATTCAGACATCTATCGAGTTACAGAATGTTGTTTCGTATCTGAGTTTTTATGACATAGCATTTGTCAATGATGTTACTAGTCAATACTGATAGACGCGAAATCTAATTGGTAGATGACGAAATTTCTTTCATATTTGATGTAATATGAGTGCTGAATTTCGTTACATCTAATGTGTTTACTGTCTGCTGTTGTTACACATCTAATTCAAAGCACGAAGTCATCCAGTACTCAATAGAAAATCGTGTTTATTAAATCATTCGGAGAAGTAATAATAAAATTTACTATCACAAAAGTTCTATTCGTACGTATTAATCATCGTCTATCACTCGTTTGGCTATAGGGATCATAACAATGGCATTGTTTTTTTCTTCTGCACTTTAGTTTGTTTTGCTTGCTTTGATCCTTGCAGTACCATTGTTTGTTCTGTTGTTTCGAGCGTTGAGTTCTGTTCTGCACAAAGCACTTTGCCCACAATCAATACGATAACAATTACCGTGATAATTGCAATCGAAGTAACTCCTATTATGAGAAGAATTTTCGAGTGTTCGCCTACTATTTGTTGACGAGATTTTCCTGTTGAAAGTTCGTTGTTCGCATTCGTTAGATTACTTGACTTCGATCCATTTACCAGTAGTCGTTGATCAGTCTGTTGGAAATAATTCGATGAAGATTGACTTGCAACCATTGAGTTCGAACATGTCAAGCATACAATCGGAAGAAAGATGCTTGTAAATGAAAGCATTCCGCCTATAATAAAAGAAGACCTTCGTTGATATTTATTCACGTCGAGATATATGTCTCTGTCGAACAAAGAAATACAGCATACAATTATAACGAGCAGATGGAGAAATAGTAAATTGATTCGTTTATATGTTGTTACTGTGTCTATGTATATATATTTGCTTCCCCGCCTCGTGGGTTTTGATAGAAGGGCTCTCGAAATACAATCGATGTGAGCGAGGAAAAAGAGAAGAAATATGAATATCTACACATTCCATCAGTTTAACCCTTACAAGTGAATTATTTCAACTTTTACTGGTCTTCATTCGATCACCACAAATCGAAGTTGTATGGTACAGAACGATTATCCAGTGTTCAATGTTTCTGGTGTGACATAAGACTGATTAATCTCTATCGAACTATTGAGCCTAATAATAAATCAGCACTGAATAAATACATAATATTTGATCGAATTGTAATAAGATGCGTGTATCATTTATGAGTCATAACATATTCTTCCTTTGTTTTTGCGTTGTCTCTGTATGTTTAGTGTAAAATCGGTTTACAAATTGTCGTTAGAGAGAAAAGATATGAGAATGATGATTTATCTTCTTCTTGTTCTTGTTCTTTTAGAAAAATGTTTGAAATTGTTGTTTGGATGAAAAACAAAACAGACAAAAAAAAGAAACAAACAGTCAACAAAAAGAACAAAAGTGTGGTTGTATTTGTAGTCATGTGAGTACGAAGTTAGAAATCGGAAGGAGTAGAACATAGGTTAGTCTTCTTGGATGGTTTTTAGTAGAGAAAAGATTCCATTCAGTAAATTTTTTCTTTTTCTTGTTTTGTGTAGCAAAAAAAAACAAAAAATGGTAGAAAACAACTGTTATATATTTGAAAAACGATGCGTATCTGGAAACAATTATTTGCTATTTGATACATCATCGAAGTTTTCGACAAGATCTAAACAACAAAAAAAAGACACACGGTCTCTCGAAAGATCGTCAATTCTAGCCAAAGCACATACTTGGTACTTCGTCATCACCTTCTTGTTCGTTTGTTGTTCCTGCTTGACCATCCCCTGTTTCGTTTTCGCCACCTTTACGTCGGCTAAATTCACTGGCTAGACCAGGATCAACCGTGGACATGCCCATTTGTGACATGATGGTTGGTAACATATCTTGTAGTGCTAAAACGAAAGCGATCTGTGCAGAAATTGACTTGAATGCATTCGTTGCTTACATTTTGTATCCGATGGACCGGAGATAGCATATGTATTTGAGCCGAGTGAGGCTTGCACCTTTGGATTTGAAAAATGAATTACTTCACCATTATCTTTAAACATGTTGACCTACGAAATATGAAAAAGAAGTTGTTGATTGGTTGTAGAGAAAGGAAAAGTTCAAACCTCTTCAATGTTCGGAATATTGTTCGCAGCGAGTTTTTTCAATGAACTTTGAAGATTTTTGTCACCTGCATTGGCTGATCGATGAATGATTTTCTTCTTTCGGCGAGCTGTGCCCTAGAGAAAGAGAAGCGTTTGTCTCAAAATGATCGATTTCGAATTAGCACAGGTGTGCTAACAAACCTTGCCACCGATTTTGATCGCATTGGCACTTTCAGCAAGTTCTTTCAATTTCTTTTGATTGATTTGAAAAGCTGGGGCTGCATCCGAAGATGTTGTCGTCTGTTCAGAGGACATGATTAGGTGTTTTGATCTTTAGTCTGAAATAGAATGAGAATTGTGGTCCTATGATTAATTGAGATTATACAGAAAACAAGAAAAAACAATAGCAACACAAAGAAAAGTCATAATACACAATTATATTGCATAGAGGAGGAATCAATTAGACAAAAACACTGTTGATTAACAAAGATAGTTCATAATTAAACATTGAATAGAAATAATATACACAAATATTCTGAAAGCTCAAGGCAAGAAATCATCTGCGAAGAAGATGATCAGAAATGAAATACAACTATCTGACATGTGTCGAATCATTTGGAGGGATCTTTTTTGATATGGTAGACGTTATTTGAAGCGCTTCCTTCGGCTTGCGCTTGAAGAAGCAACAAGTTGGATGGGCTGTATGCTCATAATCTTTAGCTGCTTGATTTACATTTAATACATTATTTGACGAATAATTTGATGGCGGCGCCGGAATTAGACTGCGTCGTTTAGTCGGAATTGGTCGACGATTTTCAATCGTAGAATTTGTTGATGGTAACATAACGGGAAGTTTCGTGGTACTAGCCATTGAAAGTGTGGTTTTCGAACCGCCATTCAATGTCACAGTAGTAGCATTCGTAGAGCTTAACGGTAATTGAGAATGAGGATATAAACTACGTGATGCCACTGTACGATTACGTGATTCGTCATTGTTATTAATACATGTTGTTGATGAGGACATGATATTAGTTGTATTGGCAGTCTTTTTGGCTGGCGCGTTCGTTGAGGATACACCCGTAACAGTCGTATTTGCTGTTTTCGACCGTTTTGACCGATGTTCTTGTAAGGGTTTTATCCAATCGAAATCATCATCGTTGATATAGTTGTTATCTTTCATTGCATTGTGAAACAGTTGCCGTAATCCGTTATACTGGAATGAAAACATTCGTCACATTATAATCTTCATTTTTTTTCTTTCAAAACGCTTTACATACATCAGGAGTTTGAGAGAATTCTAATTGGCGCACAGTTCGCATGTAGGTAAGAAATTGCCGTGGATAACCTTCACACAGAATTTCATTGGTCGTAAAACGTTTCGTATCACCGATCTTTTGATATCGTTCTTTCAATGTATCAGCTTTTAAGCCTTGCCACTACGAAAAAAAAGGAAAAAACCATGTGATTGCAAAGTAAGGAGTAATGACAGCGTACTGGTAGACTTCCTCGTAGAAAATACATAAACATGTAACCCAATGCTTCTAAATCATCTCGACGACTTTGTTCACGACCTAAATAATTATATTCAAGGTAATTTTTTTTTCAATTTCTCCATTACAATACTTACCAGCATGGGTATTAATTGACATATATCTTGCCGTTCCTACAATATACAAATCAAGACCATGACTTTCCAAGGACGATTTTCTCTCAGTTACCTGTTAGACTTTTATGTTCACGATACGGTATATGTGTTCCATCGGCTGTTCGATATTCTTTTGCTAAACCGAAATCTACAATATGTATAATATGTTGTCGACGGGTACTTCCACGTCCAATCAAAAAATTCTCTGGTTTAACACTAGAAAAACCAAAAAAATAAACAAAATCTCAAGAAGAATCATCTCTTACTCTCGATAGATTAAATTTTTTGAATGAACATATTCCATTCGGTCCAGCAGTTGTATTGCAATCATTGACACAGTTTTCACTGTGAAACGTCGCGAACATAAATCAAATAGATCTTCCAGTGATGGTCCTAACAGTTCCATAACCAGTGCATTGTGGGAACTAGTCTGCCCGTAGAATTGAACTTCGGGTATTCCATGATGTTTACCGAGTGATTTATAAAATCGATATTCATATGCTAGTTGAGGCGTACGAGTGATAATTTGTTCTAGTTTAATAGCGACATATTCATGTGTTTCATTATTCCGGCCAAGATGTATTTCACCGAAGTTGCCCGAACCCAACAGACGACCAATTTGATAATGCGAAGCTAGTGGACGATTTGTAGTCATTCGAATAATACCAAATACAGACGAAAAAAAACGGCGATTGTTCTTTTTCTAATACGAACTAATAGGTACTCTATTCGCAAGTAGTATCTGACATAATTATTGTGCGTCGATAAGGAGAACGAGTGATGATGATATTCTGAAAAGGTATGGAAATAAACAGAATATTTATTTTTCTTTTCTTTTTCCTCCCAGAATCAAAACAAAAAAAAATTTAAATGGCCGATGAAAAGAAACAGAGAGTGAATCTCCAAGAGCAATTTTAATGTCAATGGTAAACTGTGGACGGATAGTTTTTTCTTTTATGAAACTTTCCGACAAGAACTAGACAATTCGCTTAAAAATCATTTTTGGTTCTAATTGATTTTTTACATTTCGAATCAATGAAATTTAATTTGAACGAACATCTGTTTTTATGTAATGTTCGAAAGAGGTCGCTAGTTCACATGATTGAGCTTTTATTTCGAAGAAAAGAAGGGTGTAGCTAAGGCAAATAATTGCTGTATATTTATTCGTGTATATTATACGGACAAGGAATGGAAATCAACAAAAACTGCAAAACTCGTAGAATGTTTTGAATAGATAGGAAGATTAAACAATGGAAAAAATTATCAAAAGATTAATCAATAATCATATGATCTGATTCATTATTGGTTCCTCCACGACGAAAAGGTGTATCAGATACATCCATCATTGCTTTGAAATGCTACAAATAATAATCACAGCATAAAAATTTCGACTAGTTATTGTCTCGTATATACCTCAGAATTTTTAAAACCAAGATAAAGCGAGAACAATGCATGTAATGATTGAATACGCGATTCATATACTGGAATGTCGAGAAGTGCTGAAAATAATGAAACAGATTATCTCTCTCTCTCTGCATGAGATCTTTCTTTAATTTTACGTACCACAAGCTATGTCAGTGTACGTCGTTAGATCTGTATCAATATCAGCAGGCGGTGCAGATGTCTAGAATGAAATTGCATTCATTGCAACAAAACAAAAATACGAGAATTAAAGTTAGTCGACCTCTCTAAGAAGATCTTCGAATTGCGTTGGCCATTCTTGCATTAAATCATCAACATTCGGCATTGGCCTAAATGTATGCAATAAAGATAATCTTCGAAATTCAATCGAGTTCTTGCGCAATCGGCTCCTACTTTCGATATTGAACAGTATCACCTGTTTTGGCTTTTTGTAACTTGCTTATACTGTGAACCCACTCGTCGATTGCTTTAGGACTTTTATCAGCGTTGCCAATACTACGAACGTTCTGAAAATAACAGTACAATTGGCAATGATAGTCGACCTCAGTTGCACTTGTCTTACGGTCAGTAAACTAGATGCAATGGGTTGTTTTGATGTATATTTCATCTGAAGTGCTAGTACATGTGCATCACTTTGTCTGGACGACGGCTCATCGAGAACAGTTAAACCAAGATTATCTTCTTTGCCATCAGGTCTAGGTACCTAAAAGAACGTTTTGATATTCCGCAGCAGATTAATAGATTTATACTTTAAGAAAAGCATCGATATCGCCGATTGCTGGCACATATTCCGGAATGAATGGTTTCAATTTTGTTTCCAGTACAATATCTTGTGGTTGATACCTTGAAATATCGAATTACTTTTTCCATGAGATACGAATGTACTTCGAGGAAAGTCTTACTTTTCGATGTAACTGAATATATCTTTTACCTCCGGTGCAACTGGAAGATCATGATACATTTTAGGGTCATAGACATCCACATCGTGTTTATATTCTTGTTGCTCATGAGCGCCCGGAGACATTTCAGACGAGTGTGGTTCCGAACCAGACTCGTCTTGTGTATCATTATCTTCATCATCATCATCATCACCACCACCACCACCACCATGGTTGTGAGCCTGTAAAGCGTAGATGCTCATTTGTAAAACTAATCATTCACGGGAACTTACACGAGGATTATCATCTTGTCTCGGTATAATAGGTCGCTCCCGGGCAAGTTGTCCGATACCTATATTTGGAGTTGTATCCGGTGCTAGAAGAAACAACGACTCACATGTCTTCGTATATAAAATGAAATAATCAAGAACGAGGACTCATGGGCACAAAGAGATACAATATCTAGTTTATAAAACCTGAGGGAGTCAGATGACTTTTGCGACGCGGACTAACAATGTGAATAACTTTAATTTATATGAATTAGATTTTTTCTAAAATTCTAGCATCCACAACGAACCTGGAGGCTTCCTTGCCGACGGCCCCGGAGGCACAGGCGTATAGATACTTGCGACTTCTTCGTCATCGGCAACCTTTGAATATAAAAATATTGGATTCCATCGTATTCATCAGTAATCAAACTATTGCTTACATCCAACGATTCATCGTATGGTCGATTGCGGACCACTTGAAGCTACAGCATCAATAATAGATGAACTTATGTTTTCCCTATAGACGAGTCGTTTGTCTTACTTCATCTTCATCGTCACTCATTTCCTCTTCTTTTTCTTCTTACTAATTGTTGATCGATCGATTGGAATGATAGGTTACATCTTTGACATGCTTCGCGTTCCTTCACCTAGCAATACCTCTGTCTGACAACCGAAAGAGAGGTCACTACCAGATAGAACAAAACGAATTCACTGTTCGCTTTACTCGACAATTGTACATTCATCTTCGTCGATTGACAGATTTGAATTATATTCCGAATCCGCGTGTTGATTTCAGAAAAAAAAATACGTGGCACATGTACCTAGCCCTTTTTTCAATTAAAACTAAGCAGCGACATTGGGCTTTAATCCGATCAAACAATATTTTTGGTTGAGAATCTCGTTTCTATTAATCATCTATTGCGATTCATTATATACTTCCCTACACGAGACTCGAATAATCCTGATTTTACTTAGAAAAGAAAAGAACAACGTCATGTCTTTTTATCACACAGTCACGTTCGTTTTTCACATGATGGATTATAAAAAGTTTCTATTCAGCTTCTTCAAGCCCCATTAAATGCCAATGACGTTATCAAAAATATCAATTGTAAATATACTTTCTGAGTCATGTTATTTCGATACTCTCTACGGAAGTTCCATTTTTCACGTAGTTTAGGCACGTGCTGTCACCAATGACGTCTTCAAAATTAATAAAAAAAAAACAGCGTAGGAGAAACTCTTCAATGTATTTGATTGATTTTGGGGAAAAAATGAAAACACTTGAATGTTTAGAATGAAAAGCAAACAAAAAAAAACTCCAAAATGAATATAGTGAATAAGAATGTACGCAATAAGTGTGCTTGAAAACAAAGCAAAAGCAGCGTAGAGTTCCAGTAGAGAAGGAGAGGGAGCGCGCAAGAGAGAGAAAGAGTAATTCAACACTTCGTACTCAGTAAAACCAGCGAGGGACAAGGATGTAAAAAGAACCATTCAGATTTCGTTGATTTTCAATCTTAATTGAAAAACTTGCACAAGTCGATGGTTTAAGATTTTAGCCATTGTTTAACTGTTCATTGTTTACTGGATTGTAACAAGTGCTTCTTCTGACAAATCTTCGGGTATCCATGGTAGCTCATCATCATCAACTTCGTTTGAACAATCAGTTGAATTCAAACGAATGAAATGATTATCGTTACGAGCTTTTCGTGCTGGTGTTTCGAATGCTTGTTTGACTTGATCCCTATGTGATAGATAGATATATATATATATGAGAAAAAGTTTTCTTGGAAAGAAATCTTTTCTATACCAGAATTGTTTGGACATGAAATAGATGGGTTTGCCGAATGGCAAGCCGTTGAATTGAACAGCTGCAGAAATTGTATATGCGCCCATATCTTTCCATAGAACCCAATCTTCAATGTTTAATTTTGGCATTTGAATGGATGTATGAATGCAATCGAGACCATCGCAAGTTGGTCCCCAGATTGAAGATGTAAATTTTTCGTTGGATTCATTCTATTCACGCGAAATATGCTAATTCATACAAATCTTCGAACGAAATGTACATACTTGAGGAAGAAAACATGGTTCTGGCACATAATGATCGTAAAGAACGCAATTGAATGAACCATAGACGCCATCATTGATGTAATACATATATTTTGTTTCACCTGATTCTATTTGAAAGTAGCTGAATTGATTTGTCTAGTAGAGAGAGAGCGAACTCACCTGGATCAACCATTTCACGCGAAGCGATGACATTCGTTGCTAACGAATAAGCAGACGCAACATAGTATCGTCCTGGTTCAGCGATGATACGGACATTTTCTTCTGTTGGAAAATGTTCGTCGAGTGCTCGATTGACAGCAACAGCAATTTCTGCAAAGTATTCCTCGGTGCCTGAATTGCCTGGAAAGCCACCTCCAATATCTAATAGTTTCATATTGAAGCCCAGCTTTTGTCCGTAATTCATGATGACGCGGGCATTTTGAATAGCGTCAACAAAAGCTTTGCTCGTCATTTGGCCACTACCGCAGTGGAAGCTGAAAACGAAGGATAAGAAATTTCTTTTCATACGTTCAAAAGCTTGCTTTTACCTGACACCAATAATTTCCATATCAATTTCTTGAGCTCTCTCGAGTAAACGACGTGCTGTATTCATATCGGCACCAAATTTCATGGAAAATCGGCAAACAGCATTCGAATCATCGGTTACCAGTCGTAAAACGAGTCTACGCACAACAAAATTGAATGATGAAAAAGCACACATTCACAACTTACTTAGCATTTGGATAAATTTGTTTGATTTTCATTAATTCTTGTTCGTTATCGAATGTCATTGTATCAACGCCGACTTCTTTTGCATAACGAACATATGAAGATTGTTTACATGGATTAGCATAGATAATACGATCAGCTAGATGAAAACAAGCTTCTCATAATACAAAAAAGATTTCAGCGTAATTAGAAGAAACTAACCGGATACGCCTAAGTCCATGACTTTCTTTATTTCACCCTAAGCGGAAAAGTGAATCATAAGAAAAACTATCAATTTAATCGAATGATTTACTTTGCTTGCACAATCGAAGCATGCGCCGAGATTGGCAAGTAATTTGATCACGTTGGTATCATCGTTGCATTTCACGGCTACAGAAAACCGATTGTGAATAATCAGAGAACGTTTTCTTGGTATAAACTTACCATAGTGTGGTGCAACGCGAGGCATTGAAGTTATCCATCGGATGTGTTTGTTACAAACATCTTCCAGATCGACAGCGAAGAATGGTTCGACTTCATCTGTCTGTTAATGTTAAAAAAAGGAAGTTTTATTCTGGGATTATTTCTGAGAAGTATAAACTTACCAGAAGTTCGATTTTCTTTTGAATGAATTCTTGAGCAGTGCATTGCTCTGGTGTAATAACTATTGACGAGTTTTTCAAGATATGCATGTTGATTTGTTGTTGGAAATCGGATTGAATATTGAAAGGCTGTTTGTACTGAGTACGAAGTGTTGAATAACTTGAAGTGGAAAAGACCGTTGTTTAGAAGAAATTTCACGGAAATGAATGATTTTCTTACATGTTTGAGAAAAGGGAGTTTGTCAGCGATTAGATCCTTGTAGGGATGCTAGCGAAGAGGACCAGGTGTCCAAGGAAACGCAAGAAATGTTGAAGTTAAACAATCAGATGCAGAAAACCAGAAGTTGTCGGCAATAACGCCCTAAAAACAATTGTAAATTCAATTCATATACGAATTCGAGCGAATATTGAAGATATCTTACCCGAATAGAGTCGTCCGATCTGTCTTCCTTGAGATTAGTTCTGGGCAATATTTTCGGTTGCTTTAGAAGCGATGAAAAAACTGATCGCTGACGCGACTAACACTCACAAGCACTCGCAATAGGTAACTGGTGTGTTTTGACGACGATTGTCCGTGCGTTGAGAACGATTTGAAAATGAAGTGCAACGAGCAAAGTACAGAATCTAGAAATACTCGCCCATGAGAAAAAAATATAATAAAAAAAAAACAAGAGAAAGAGAAAAATCCAAATGACTTGTCAGCTTGCAAATCTACTCAGCATTTTCGACGCAATAAACGTCCAATAGATATTGCGATATGCTTGTATCCTCAATATTTAGCTTAGGCACTGAGAACGCTTCGAGAACGAGAAAAGTGCATGTCAATAAAAAAAAATGACGCATATAAAATAGAACGAGCGCAATCGTCTACAATGAAGGAACGAAAAATAAGTGGGGAGATGCGGGATCCAATGAAAAATATCTCTCCACTTCTGAGTCAGCCATGAGTCACCATCTCCTTGTCGTTTTCGAAACCGACTCGAAAGAACAAATCCCAATACTATTACCAGTGATGTAATTTTCAATCATTATGGTGAAAATCAATCACAATCTTTGCTCAGTGTGTCATTTTGTGATATTTGAAAATTCAATTATAGATACCTTTTACTCTACTAATGGCAGAGTCGAAACGACCTGCCTTTGGTTCGCGACATTTATCTGATGATCGAGATGTTTTCTCGCACAACGCTTGGTAAGACCTGTTTTTCTAATGAAAATTTCTCGAAACGATTTCTTCGAACATTAAAAGGGATGATGTAGAATGGAGCGAAGAACAAAGTGAACAAGCAAATAGTGTAATCGCTAAACAATACGAAAATCGCATGTCAGACAATAAATGGGGTTCGTTAAGATTCCATTTCGAGGTTTGATTATTGCTGTTCGGATCATATAGAAACAATAAAATCGGATTTACCCTCTGCTTGGAATCGATTCTACGATATTCACGAGAACAAATTCTTCAAAGATCGCCAATGGTTATTTACCGAATTTCCTGAGTTGATCATACCAGAATCCAATCAATCTGTCACTATACTTGAAGTTGGCTGTGGTGTTGGTAACTGCATCTTTCCAATCATTCGCACGAATAATCTAAATCAACAATCGAATGTGTTTCTATACTGTTGCGATTATTCTTCGACTGCTATTGATATTTTAAAGCAAAACCCAGAATACAATACAAAGTATTGCCACGCCTTTGTCTACGATGTGACAAGTTTAAGTCCGCTGCCAATCGAAGAGAACTCATTGGATGTGATCATCATGATCTTTGTCTTAAGTGCGATACATCCATCAAAACATGACGAAGTGATAAACAACCTAGTGAAATATCTCAAACCCGGTCGGGGAAAATTCATTTTTCGAGATTATGGTTTATATGATATGTCACAATTACGCTTCAAGAATGATAAATGCATTGAAAAGAATCTATATGCTAGATCAGATGGAACGTTGACATACTTTTTTCAACAAGGTGAGAGATGAGCTTTGCTTTTGAAATGTTTCAAACGAAATCGAAGCTAATTTTAGATGAACTCGATCGATTGTTTACACGGAATGGTCTGATCAAGGAGCAAAACATAATCGATCGACGATTACAAGTGAATCGGTCGAAACAGCTGAAAATGTATCGCATTTGGTTGCAATGCAAATACGTAAAAGCGTGACATAATGTTGTTTTTTGTTATGAAAGAAAAATAAACGTTGAATTCTGGTTAGAAACACGACGTGGTTTGAGTTGACAACATGAAGTCTGTTGCCATAATTCAAGTAAACAAAAAGTTTGAGTCACATGAATGAAAACTGCGATCAAAGTCAAACTGTCATTTACATCACCTGAGCAGCGCGGAAACACCACTCTTCAAATACATACAAATGTAGGCGTATAGACGCGACTTGATTCTTTGTAAAAAAAAAAAAGAAACATTCGACTGATGTTGAGACTCACCCACACTTAACAATCATAATATTATAGTATCAAACATACATCTAGTGGGATTACATTCATATCGACATTATTTCAATATTCATTCATGATATTTACATGTGTAACTACTCCTAAAATGATAAGGTGTTGAAAATGATACATTTATTATCTTTATAAGCGCATCGCAACGTTTTATATCCCTGCTAGGCTCCATCATCGAGGTAGAAGCCACGATCGTGACAAAAAAAGATTTGAAGACTTGCTAAGATTGATTTGGTCTGACATGATCTTCTCAAAATTAAAAACAGAAGAGGTTACATCTATTTTAATCACAAGAAATTCGCTATCATACAAATAATCCCTAATTGTTTCCTTTCTTCCCTCAAACAACTCCTCTTCTTGTCTCATGACTATTAATAACATCATTCCGAGGCAGCACACCTGGGTACAGAAATGATCTTTCTCACTAAGGTAAATGCAATTGATATAACATAGTTATATGTCGAAATTTTCAACTGAACAAGTCAATGAAAACCTATTACTTCATATATTCCCCGAGATATAACCACTGCTCCCCTCTCATCTTCCTTTTATTCCACGCATTTCGCTCTCCATATAAGGCTAATGTTATAATCACACCCAATCGATATTCATTTTAAATAGATTACATAGAAAGATATTTTTATTGACATTGCCCATCTGATGTTTAACTCTAAACTAATCACACGTACAATCATACCATAACTTAGTTGTATCTATTCGCTGATAGTTTGCTTTGATTTTTAATTAAGTCGACACTCTTTAAAAGCAAATCATCGCTCGATGACGTGTTCGATCATTACCTTTCATTTCAATCTCTCCCGTATTCATAACAATCAACAGACAGATAGATGGTACGGATTCATTTAAAGAATAAGAATATCAGAAGCAACAATTTCTACAGTTAAATGACATAACAAGCAAAGGCGTTTCATTAATAAGTCAAGATATTCGTTCGATAGTCCATATTCATACTGTTCGATCGGGAACGTTGAAGAAAGAATTCTTTCAGAATAGATAAACAAGTAATATTTGACGACGGTGATGCCGATGGTTTGCGAAGACTATTTTTTTTCGTCTTCATTGAAAGAAAACGCATTAATAGGGACTTCGAACATTTCTTTCCCTCATCTAAAACAGTTTTTCCACGAAATGCATTTGTATTATTTACATGTCGATCATCCATTTGTAATAAAAGAACGGATTGATCGAATATAACAGGAAAATAATCTAATGTAAACGACGGTGGATGAAAATGTATCAAAGCACCACGTTGAAATGAGTAAAGATTAAATTGATTGGAAATATGTGGTGGCAGATGATGATTCAACAAAGAACGTAATTGTTCAATTGTTTTATCAGATGATATCGAAAATGTAATACGCGAATGATCGGATAACCGTTCCGCCGTAACTGTAATCGGTTTCCTGAAACAATTCAAATTATAATTCTTACTCATCACTTCAAAAGTCATTTTTTACCCTTGAGATTTGCTGCGATGAATTTTCATTCTAAATGATTAGTTTATCTAAAGAAACAACAAACAGATTGTTAGTAGTTGTATATATACATATCAGGGTGACTGCTATAGAACGAATGACATGAAAGAACAAATCATATTTTGCTGCTCGAGGTGATTTTACTCTCTCATTGACTGCTAATTTTCTCTTACGCTCTATCGCTTTTTTCTTACTTCTGAAAGTCAAGCATTATGCTTCTATTTGATACTTTCGAGCGACTGAGCGAAGGAAGGATACTTTAGGTAGGTTATTCGATGATAAATATCATTAGTTGCTATAGTAAATGTACGACATGCGTTCACATCTATATAAACAGGTTTAGACGACGAATAGCAAAAGATTTTAATTAATGTGTTGAAAAATGTGCATTGCTGTTGACTTGACGTATTTTTTCTCCCTACAGTCAGAACATGACGACCTAAAACAGATAAACGACTGAGAAAAACAAATAAGAAAAATGACACATAGTTTTTCAACGGATTAGAAAAGAGGGAAAAGAACGAGAAACATACCAGATATGTGCAATAGGGTTAATGTAACATTAAATCTACCATTTTGATACATTTTGACACGTCACTGACAAAATGTTTCATCTTAATCGATCTCGAACCATCACATACTCGTACTCAGATGAGGATAAGTCAAATTTCTAAATCTAATAATTGACGATCAGAATGGTCCTATCTATCTTAAGTTACCTTCGTGACCTCTCATCTATAATAACTACAAATTTGTTTGTGACAAGATGAAAGCATTAACAGTTATCTTCAATTTAGTCTGACTAGAATAAAACAAATACAAAAATTGATTCGTTATATGATAAAGAATAGCTAATAACTAAAAACTGAGTTGCATAATTGAAAAAGGCTGATTACCATGTCAAATGGAGATAAAATCTCATGCTCTATTCATGTACGATGTGCACATAACGACTCGCCGTATTAAAATAATAAGATGTGCATCTCATGACAATAGTGTTATCAAATGAGACGTCGGTGATGATCAAACTGTGACTCTAAGATAATTAGCATAAACGAAGGATGTTATTCTCGGATAAAATTAGTAATGGATTCGTTTAGTTAACCGCGCGTTATTGATAGAATAAGAAGTCGAATGAGAAGCAGTAGCTTCAAAGAAGTTTTATGCCCTCTGGCCGTATCTGCAGAAGATATGGAAACAATCAATCTTTTCTTTTTTGCAATATGACAGCTCATCATTTTGAAAAAGAAACAACGCAATTTATAACGTAACATGCTATCAGCTATTTTGATCAGGTCAAATTGGTACATAACAAAAAAGGCTTAGTTTAGGTCACGGATCAAGTCATCATGCCGAATAGTTTTAAATATCATTAATTATATGTCATGCATATCTATAGTGGCGTATTAGACGTGAATGAATCTAAGATTAAAAAGAGGCGATTATTTATGTAGAAATACGCAGTCGTGTTTTTAAGTTAAATGAGTTGCCGAATTAATCATGGGAGAAAATATGAAAAGAAACTGATTTAGAGCCGAATAAAAGTATAAACTATGACCATAGGAGAAATATAGGCGATCGTTGGAAAATAGACGAGTCATTGTGTTGCCTCGAAAAATAACTGAAGAGCTATCATAACATCGATTATGACTACAATCTTTTAAATTATGCTTTGATTTGGACTAAAAACCGGAGCGTCTCGACTACCTTCTCAAGCACAATTACCTTCTAATAATCGGTCACAAAGTTTAACTTGCAAACGACAAAAATTGTTATTTTCAATTAAAAAAAGGAGAAAGGAAAGAATTTAAGTAGAAAATTGATGCCTCTTTACCGTCATTGCTCGATAATAAACAAACAACCATCAAATGTCATGATGTTCTCCGGCAGCTATGTAATGACTTATACACTCTAAAAATGTGAAATACTATTTTGATGTCACAATGATCCCTGAGTGGTTCCGGTGTATTTGAATACGTTTCTTATGATTTGTCTGAAGACATGACTAGTTTCTCTGAATAACATCTTCCAAGTAAAAAGAACATTGACTCAAATGATACGAACTGTGAAATAATGTTAATTGCTTTCTGTTTCCAAGCATCGAGGGCAAACATATTCTCCAGTCTCTAAAGTCTGAAACGATATATCCATTCTATACCTCGTTAAGAAATCCGCCCAAGGTGCGGAGCTTCTCTTTGAATACCAACTAGACTTTTTACACAATATTCTTCTGCTAACAGAGATTATAGAGCTTTGCGAGCATAACATGAAAGCAATCTGTTGAAATATTCGAAGATTGGTTGAGAAACTGCTGGAGCGACTCAGGTATGTTTTAGCTGCTAGAAAATTGTAACGGTGCTGTGTAAACAACAAACATGGATTCGTTTGTACAAAATCTAATTTAAGGATTCACAGTTGGAGACAAAGATAGTTTGAAAAGTAAACAACTGATGAGATTCTGAGACACAGGCGATTAACTTTGTCTAGTAGAATCATTATCAGGACGTGGAACGTCGCGCATTCTACTTCCTTTGTTAAAAGTGTATTTATCTAGATGCGTTTCGAGGATTGTCACCAAGAAATAGTTGAGAATGTCTCTGGTATGATTTACTGAAATACATTTTTTGTAGTTAAACTAAAAATTTGTTATTGTTAATAATCATGAAAAGCAAACATTGAAAATAGAAGAAAAACGTTTACACTGTTTTCGTATTTTGAATACATTTAACACAAACGCACACGTACATTTAATTAAACAGACATTTAGTTTTCGAAGTCTATCTTGTTCGATATCCTATTGTTCGTCAATTGATGTGCGAGTTTTTGTTTCATTGAGGGCATCGATGATTTCCAGACGAAAGTTGTTCAAATACTCGCGCATTTTATCATACAAAGACTTATCGCTTTTAATTGACTGCCAGCAAATACCATGAAGATGACAATATTCTACAATCGAATAACAATCGAGAGGAATATTAGAGGAGAAATCCGTTTACCTTTGCAAATAATATCTGATGGGTAAATATGTTTATTAGTTTCATTTGTTGTGTAAAGATATTTCAATGATAGTGACGATGAAGGAATATTATACATTGGCCAACAGTTATATTGTGAACGTATCTCTGCTTTTAGATGTTTCAATAAGATTTTCACTATAGTTTGATGCAAGTGTTCGTTGGTTGTACTGAATTCATCTTTGAACGGGTTGATTATATTGAGAAAGAACAAACATTTGCGTTCGCTCTGTAGTTCATATTGAGTTGAATATTGTTGAATGTCAAAATTCGAATGAATGTAAACAATGCGAGGTTTTTCACTGATCGATGGCATTTCCTAAGTGAGATCTTTGATCGTAACTACACAAAAATAACGTTTGTGTATATTTATCTTCATGCGTGCGTGTATAATGACTTATGAAAAACTGTCGCTACTCTCCGTTCTATTCATTGGTCGCACATCGCGCTTTAGTATGTTCTGTTTAGATGATTAAACATTGAAAGTAATTCTACTTTCAGATCATACAAACTAGCAAAAAACACGATAGTTCGCATGGAATGCTTCTCTGAAATGAATTCTGTTGAATGAAAGTGTAACGTAATTTGTTCATGTGCACATTTTAAGGCCAAAATAAATGGCAATGTAATATTGATCCATAAACCAGTAGCCTCTTGGTGGCAATCCAACAAAAGAATGAAGATAACAGGCAGTCGTTCGTGTCGTATTATGAAGCAAACTTGTTTGTTGAGCTTTTAAATTTAGCAATGAAAAAAAAACGAAGTTTTGATGTTGTTCTATTCCATTTCATTTTCTTTCATTTGAGTTCATGTATCTGAAAGTACTTCTCAATACTTTGAAGTACTATGTAGAGCACCTTGATGAACTTTGAACTGTATTCCCACGTGAAGTTTACTTTTCTCTCTTTGGTATTCTAATTAAATTGTGCTGGTATCAGATTCAATTCGAAAAGTATTAATTTACTTGCATAAATAATTGCAATAAACTGGTGGGTAAAATTGATTTCGATATACAAGCGTATGAGCGATGATTCTGACGAAATCTATGAAAGCAAAAACAACCTAGACGAAGATCGTTTTTGTTTTCTAACGAAAAACAACGTGCGACTGACGTACTTTTCAGGTACACTGTGAACGAGCAGCGATAATCAGTGAAATGATCATAGACCTCTTCGAATCAGTGACACTCTTTCGACTTTTCTTGAGCGAGAATGTGACCTTTCTCTACGAGTCCACACTAAAAGTACGTTTTGTAAACAGTCGGTACGGGTTAAAAAATCTAACGGCTTCCCATTGGCCGAGTATATATATCAGACGATTTTGCTAGCTGAAGTATTAGTACGTAAGGGTAAGCTATTTATACAAGCAACTCTATTTTTCGTGAAAGCATTTACCTCTTACCTTTACACGCATCACTTAACGCACAATGAGAGCAATAATACAGATATATATGACTGTTTTCATTCGAAAACATGAGAGCATTGTCCTTTTTTCCAAAAGTGAGTTTGCTCTCAATTAGTCATCGTCACGAATTGCGCCCAAAAAATATAACTTTTCGCGAAAGATGACATACTTTTGGAACATTTTAACGCCTGCATGTGTCTTATATTGGTAAAACAACGATGAATTTTATTTGAATTTTCTCGTAGAAATCAGCGGCATGTCACTTGTCTCGTTTACAAGCGTGTTAACATCCTTAATCGTACTCACTATCCTTACGACATGTCTTCTTTGGCCGTGGCTTCATGCAACTTATACTTGGCGTACAGGTACAATTAAATCTTTAAATGAACTTTCCAATCGACGATCAACCACGCGACAAGTACCTCGCATTATTCATCAAACTTATCGTCATATCGATTCGATTCCATTAAAATGGCAAGCAGCATCGAATAGTTGTCGGTATCTTCATTCAAATTATGAGTACAAATTTTGGTCAGATAATGAGGGACGAGGTTTAATCAAAAGAGAATTTCCATCTCTTTTGCCTACATTTGATTCGTATCCGTACGATATTCAACGCGCCGATGTTATTCGTCTTGTTGTGCTTTACCTGTATGGAGGCATTTATATCGATTTTGACATATTTTGTTTGAAATCACTTGATTCGTTACTCGAGTATGAGTTTATTCTTCCTCAAACAAAACCCGCTGGTTTATCGAACGATGTAATCATTTCGAAACCAAGGCATCCGTTTTTGTATCAAGTTTTGAATAATTTACCGAGTGCAAATCGATACATCATCAGCAAGTAATAGATTTCATCTATTTTTATCTGCAATCGATCTAAGCTGACGTGCATTTAGGTATCCAACAGTCATGTTTTCGACAGGTCCAATGTTTCTGACGCAGGAGGCATCAAAGTATCCTAATCGATCTTCTCTGGATACTCTTTCCACTGAACTGTACGGCAAATATGCATCTAATTCTTCACGAGCTCTCTTTCGACATTTAAAAGGTAGTAATATAGATTTATCAATGATCCCTAGTCACGTTTTGTTCTGTAGCATCAAGTTGGCATGGAAGTGATGCATTATTGGTCAAATGGATCTATCGTTGGCGGAATATCTTTCTCTTGAGTTTCCTCGTTGTCGTTCTCTACGTTATTCATACTGTTCAACAACGCTATCATCGAACGAATAATTCAACGATGAAGCAATAGGAATCTTGTAAATAGTTCATTCAGTTCGTTTTCTTCGAAATAAAATGACTCAGTGTGATCCTTCTAGAATTCTATCCGTCAATCAGTATTGCAAAGTAGAGGGCAACCAGTCTTCAATCTCTTCTCGTGGATAAAAATAGATAAACCGAAAGATCTGATCTATACGTGACACATCTCTCTCTCTCTCTCCTTCTTTTTCTACCAAGGAAAAAGCTATCGATAAGAATAAAAAGAAAAGGAATCATGCCACTACCATCTCGTATATAAAAAGGCGTGTATAGTCCACAAATCCATTCATTTCTACTCTATACTATTCTCTCATCGTTATCGAATATAACTCAACGCATACCAATGGAAACAATTAAAAATGCTGCCAATGCGGTCGGAGATAAGATCAATGTAAATACGGATCTTTTGTTAATACGAACAGGTTTATAATTATCTTCTTTTTGTCTATTAGGAAGTAATCAGTGGTTCATCAGCAGAATGTAACAAGGAAAAAGCTAAGGACTCAAGCAACACTGCTGGTGAACGTATTGGTGCTGGCATTGATTATGTTAAAGATAAAGCCGAAGAAGCTGGTCACGCTGCTTCGAAAGAAGTTAACAAACAAAAAGCTATGCACTAGATCGAAAAACGATCAACTCTTGTATATGTAATCTCGCTGTTCTAAGTGTGTTTTGATATATTGTGTAAAATAAATTGAAAACGATTGTCCTTTCCGGGCAAAAACAAAACTATCATGCATAACATATCTATCTGTTACCTAGATGACGGATTATAAATATTTATCTTCGCATGCATTTTCCATCACGTGTAACGTGCACGTGATTAACTAGCTGTCCCTGTAGAGACTGTAAGATCGTCATTGTCAGTATGTACTTTGAGTATGATCAAGGCGAGAGGATGCTTTTAAACACATGTGGAATGTTAGCAGGACGATCGGATAATTTGCATAAGAAGTACCCGATGGCGTAGTTCTTCTTTTCTGTCGTCGTCATCATGTAGCACTGGATAAACTCAAGCTATCAGCACCGTCATAGAAAGTAGCTATGAGAGCGATAAATCGTCTTAGTAGAAAAGTAGTCAACTCATCAATAGATCAAGTTCGTTTAGTGCACTTTCGCATCACAAAATTTATCTGAAAGAATACTCTCGTAACTACACATTGTCAATATTCGTCTACGGTTACTGTTGAGTGTCTTTCTGCACAATGGGTCATATGTGGTAACTAGTCTAATGGCTCTAGCAATGTTTCAATAATAAGGAAAAGATATCTCCTTTCCGCCTTTCGACGTGTCAAGGAAAGAAACAAGCTGACTTAATTCGCTCGTAGCTATTTGTAAAAATCCACTGATAAATGAGAGTAATCAACGGTGGTTTTCACATATAACATCGCTTGTTTGATTTTGGTTTATATCCTTTTATAAAATGAAAAATGAGGTTTCACTATGCCGTCTGGCGGTTTGTGAATGAATATTTCTAACACAGTAATGCATTTCGGAACAGCTGATATCAAACCAATAGAAATAAAGGTTTATATTTACAGGAATATATGAGAGAGGAAAGCAAAGTTGACAAATTGTTTGATTGATTTCGATATAGTTTCTGTTTTCGTTGCGATTTATTTCGATAGCAATTCAAGTCACACTTCGAGCTATATTTTTGTCAATTCATATCGGCCATGGGTGTTCTTAATGATCCGATCTATCGACCACTATCATGTATGTTGTTTTTTCTTGTTATTTCCTTTGATAAATATTATCATTCGCATTCGTCTTTCTATTTTAGTAACATTTATCGAATATCAAGAAGGTAAATAGGTTTTCGAACTGGAAAGGAATCATTTTATTGTTGAATCACTTAAGGTGACAAACTCGGTTTTCTTCTGGCATGGTTTTCAATGTTACCGTTTATTTATATTGTTTCCTTATGCACATTAATTCTTTTCCGACGTGATATACAAACGGTAGAATAAATTCATTTCTTCTTTCGAATGTCTTTTGGTTTGTTTTCTCCGATAGATTATGTATTTCGGTGGTTTCTGTATCTCGGAAGTGTGCAATTCTTGTCTGAAAAGAATTTTCAAACAAGCACGACCAGAACGAAGTTCGTTTTACCTAGTTCATTGAAAAGATTCGAGATTGACATGTTTAGCTCGAGACCGGATGGGTCTCTATGAAGTTCATGGGATGCCAAGTGATCATGCTCAAACGTTCTTCTACTTTATGACCTATCTAGCTATATTTATCATTCTCAAGTAAATACAATTTCCGTTGCGAACGATTCCCATGGATGTTTTCCTAGGTCTCAAATGCCAGGTACTCCGCGTATACGTTCCATGCGCAACCGTTTTCTTGTTGCTGGCCAACTCATCGTAGCAACAACTGTTGCCTATAGCCGGTATGAAACATAGCGGCAATCGATATTTCGAACACTAACCGTTTCGATCATCTTCAGAGTGTATCTACATTACCACACCGTAGCACAAGTTGTTGCTGGCGCATTTGTTGGCATTGCATTAGGTTCTACATGGTACTATTTCGTGAACTATTATTTTATGCAGTATGCACCAATGATCACCGAATTGCCGATAGCGAAATATTTCCTCATTCGTGATTATACTGCCATACCACGACTAATTCATTTTCAATATGAAAGTGAATATGCAGAAGCAAAGTAAGAGTGTTGAATTTGTGAATAATTCAAAATACGACATGTTCCTTTTGCTTCTTATTAGACGTTGGCGAGACCGGCGATCTGCGTATCCAAAAGAACAAACGTCTGCGTCACAATAGAAGTCACAAGAGATTCTCTTTTTTATATGATTTATTTCAGCAATTTATGAATAAGACATTTCTTTGTTTCGTGTACTATCGATAATCAAACGGACTAACATATATTAGGGAGAATATATAACATTGATTTTGTTTTTGTTTTTTTCTAGAATATCGATGTTAGCAAATAAAACAACTAATAGTAATAGTAACAATAACAATAACAATAATAGTCATAGGCGACAACTGTCTGGAGGTATTGGATTGACAGATCGGTCAAGTCGATCGTATAGGGGTAAAATCTTGAACGTTGTTTGTATTTGAAAAAGTATTTCGTGTTTTTCATGTTCGTTTAGATGATGATCGTCAACTTATTCAGTATTTAGTTAATGAGTATCTCTTGGAAGGTTCACACGATGTACTCGATCTTATCCGGAACTGCCCAAATGAATGTTTCGAAGTACGTACACTGATCGATGAGATTGTTGGAATACGAAAGATTTGTATGTACTTGCAGGCGCTTCTCGACTTCATTTGGAATCCAACATCTCAATCAGCTGATAGTAATGAGGATGATCTATCGATTTATGGTCAACGTTCATCTCTTCTTTCGCCTTTGCCAACAAATGCTCATCGACAAGGCGCACGTTCTCGTTTAGCAATTATTTTTATTGAGGTATTTAAACTATTAGCCACCCCCACAATCACTGGTGGTCGATCTGATCTTCAACGACAAACTCGTCTTCTTGTTTTTCCCGCACAAGTTCGTCAATTAATCGACGTAAATAATTACAGTTCAACTCATTGATTAAATATATTCGTTCTTCTTCTTTGTATGTTAGTATGAACCTGATATCCATGGATTAAGTTGTTTGACACTCTCTTCGATTACTCTTATTAATCCTAATCTTATTCATCATCAGCTCGCATTGGTAATTGACGTGTTGAAACATGCGGCGAATCAGTTTGTCCAAGCAAATCGTATGGAGAAAACAGTGCTTTGTTTGGTCAAATGATTTCTACTTCTACATTTCTAGTTTCGTTTGACACACCATCGACACTTGCACTTTCTATTTATTCGTTATTTTATTTATTGTACATACTCTACCCGAATAACCTTCGTCGAGAGCTTCAACCAGATTCTACACCAACCATTAATAGCAATGAGAAACTAGCGAATCGATTAGGAATTGAGAAAGTTCTATTGGTAAGTAGCGAACTGATGTGATCGACAAGGGCACGTTCCATTTAATACCGTAGCCACTTTGTTATCACTTTAAACTCCAACCAAGTATTGTATGTGGTACAGCGGAAAGTGAAAAACATGAAAGTCGTTGGCAAAATGACTCATGGCAACATTTACTGGCGAATGGCGATCGTGTAAGACCGTTTTCTTCGATCGAAATTTTCCGAATTGATCAGATCATTTTCCATCGATAGTATGTGGCATCAGACGATCTGTCGTCATTGTTACCCAATGATTTCAGGAAACGAAAAGAAGAAGAAAGCAAGAAAAACGATGATTCCAATCGGGTAGATTCTGATTTGCATAACAATTGTTCTACTTTATCACTTTATACCTATTTTCTAGTTTGAGATCGATCAAATAGTTCGCATGTGTAACAAGTACACCGAGAGTGTTTTAAATCCGAGTGAAACGAAAAGTCAGATAGTTAAAAGTACAATCGAAAGTCAATACGGGAAAAAACATTCAACTGACTGCTATTCGAATTATTCAGGTACATTCAATCATTACAAAAATCCATGGAGAAGACCTCTTCTTTAATTTAGATTCTCATTGTCAAACTTATGAACAACAATGGCAAACAACAATTCAAAATGGTCAAATGAATCTTTCTCGTATTCAAGCACCCGATGAATCCAATCGACGGCAACATACCAACGGTACATCAACAAAAACAGATTCGAAGTCTGTTGATCATAATATCTATGCAAAAGTCCAACTGCAACTCGACATGTTGGATTGCAATTATGAACAAGATAAACGAGAATACTATGCTCAACTAATTCGAGATGTTCGAAAGGCAAAACCTATTCACGAATTAGAGAAAGAAATCAAAAGTCAGGTAACGTATTTTCTTCATTATCAACAAGAAATCATTGAGATTATCTGTAGGAAATGCGTTATGAAGAATTGATTAATGCTCGACAACAGAAATGTCCGGATATACATACGGTCCGAGATCGAATCAATGAATTTCATCGATTGAATGAGACATTTTACAATTCGTTATCGGCTACCCAAGTGTAATGCCACACATTTCATCATTTCATGTTCATTCATGTTTAGTTTTAGTGAATTGAAAACCGATGAAGACGAACACTGGCAGCAACGATCTTTGAATAACGAAACATACATGCGATTACAAAACGAAAAGAAACAACTAGAACAGGTAAGAGGTAAGACACTCGTGAAAATGAAAATCTTATTCGAACTTGCAGGCCAAAGCTTCGATTGAAAATGATATCCGTGACATTCAACGTCGCTTATTTCAATCGAAGCAAGATGCTAAGCAATCGATTGATTTACGTGATAGTATCGATAAATTACATATTGATCTTGTTTGCACACGAAAAAAACATCAATTATTACACAATGCTTTATTAAATGTGAAATTAAAAGCAACAAATGCGGAAAAATTACTTGTCATGCATCAGAATGAAGAACGAGAACAAACGATAACAACAACATTGGATGAAAAGAAAGCAAAATTCGAAGAATACAAACATCTTCTTGATAAACAAGTATGTCAAAGCATCAAACAGATCCTTCGTGAAATAGAATCATATTTTTCTCGCGTAGCAAACTGATCTGACAGCTAAGCGAAATAGTTTCAATGAAAAACGAAATATGAACACACATAAAATCAGTGTTATACGTCGACAGATGGATTCAATACGTATATGTCAAACACAATTACATACAATGAATATAAACAGTCAGATTGTTCGTAAATAGAAATCTTATTTAAGAAAATAAAGAAAAGTTTAAAAATCACCTCTTATTCTTCTTAGATCTATTCCCTTCTTTTTTTTTATAGATGCCATTAATAAAACTTTTATGAACTATTGATAGACTCCTACTGTGCTGAAATTAACAAAAAAAGAAACTTCTTTTCGCTCGACTAAATTGATGTGAGGAGATGAAATAGTCAAGGTGGTACACTTGAGGAAATAACTTTGCTTTATCAATGTACAGCGGTGGTCTATTAAACAAACTCAGTTCCATCTGCTCTCCTTGGCTATATCTGGTAGTTAGAAGTTAATTATAAGCTGCTTGTGTCATGTCATGTAGCCGTGCGGTGTCTTATCGGACTTGACTTCCTCCATACCAAGGACGATCCGCGATTGACGATGTTCATTCGTTTTACTGAAACTAACGCAGTTCAATTCAAACAATCGAATCGGATAAGCATTGACAGATTATTAGTTCATCAACAAATGTAAATGTCATTGACGATCATTGTTAATAACAGATTCTCTCAACCTATGAAAGGTTACAAGATAAACAAACGAGTCCTATGATAACATGACCACCAGTGAATCAAGTTTATCAGTAATAAAACGTTCCAAGAAGCTCTAATCCTCACTAATTATCAAGCGTTCCTCCTCTCGATTTCTTGCACCGTATAACATACGATTATGTTTTCTCAGAATGCTAGAGTAGACTAATTTGACAATATCAAACTATCTTTCTGCTAGACTGGCTCGAAATTGGCAGAAAACAATAAATACATTGAAAACTTGAATTATCTGACTGGAAGTGCACCTGTCTAAATAAACAATCTTCCAGCAAAGAGAAATTACATTGCCGAACTTCATTCTACTCCGATAAATCTTCATTTGATCTGTATGTACATCCTATCAGGAAAAGATCATCTTTATTCCAGTCAAGTGATCTTCGACGTATGAATCTCGTTTGCATTATGTATACATAGTTAATAGGTATTACGCATGCTTTCTTTTCTTTGCTTGCCTTTCTATGTACGTACGCATGTTCATCATGTTTATTACTGTTTTGTTCCCAGTATTGGTTAATGAAGACAAGAGTTTGTCTTCCACCCATCGGCAAAATTCATCTAGGCCAGTGTTATTCGAACAAGTCATTTGTTTATCTCATTTGTCGAACGAGTATTCCGACGATTGCATCGACGCAATGAGAACGATCCAGATTCACTACCAGTTTTACAAATCAATTCATGGTTCGAAAGCGTTTTTCTCTCTCTCTCTCTCTCTTTACTTCTATGTCGAAACTAATTTGAACAACTTGATTGTCTTATGTAATACAGACAGATAGTAAGATAGAGCAAAAGAGAAATAAACGTGACTATATGTGTTGATTATTGTAATGGTCAACATCGGTTGATTATCTAACAGTTTTTTTAACCTCCGAAAGAAGACATAAACTTCTACTTTTTAAGTTATCAATCTTTTAAATATTCAACGTTCAGTTCATGCATAATACACATTAATGGAATGAGATCAGACATTCATCTGTTCAGCACATACGTGTACATATATATAAGCTTCCTCCTATTCTTCTTTCTCGCTTGTGCATTTGCTTGTTGTTTGCCGCTTTAATTGCGAAATTATGTGTATGTGTACCTCGTGTATCAATAATGATTTGATGGGTGAGTGATATCGTATGTCGATAGTTATGTGAGGGACGAAGAAAAAAAAGAGGGAGAAAGGCGATAATGAAGAATAGATGTCAAAAAAAAGAGAAGAAAAAGAAGAAGAAGAAGAAGAAGAAAAGAATACCAAAGACAGACCATCACCTTTTTTTCTTTCTAGGTAAGCTATCTGCATTTTCTTCTCTCTTTTTCTATCTTCTTGATTGCTTGTTTTTATTTGTTCTGTACGGTACTAGTGAAAACCACAGTGAGATATTTTCCTTTACCTTTATCAAATGATAAACGTTTCGGTTCATAGCACCTATTTTGAAATAGTACTCTCGTTGGACTTGCCTTTTTCTCTCACATTCGGCGATAAAAGAAAGTATATGCCAAGTAAGCTGAAAGGTTAATGTCGATGATTCTTTCCTCCTTGGCTCATATTTATGAACCGATAATCATCATTCATTTGCTGACATTACAAACAAAGACGAATAAGGTAGATAGATAAGAAAAGTAAACTTCCAGCAGTGGATCGACAGGTGAGCTGATCAGTCGCGCATAGGCTTCCTTTTCTCCCTCCCGTTCATTCATTCACTGGACTCAGATCACTTCTAATCCTCTTCATTTACTCCTTTTCTAAGAAAAGAATCTCAAATAAGGATCGATGTACATATGTTTGAATAATATTGCTTGTTGACATATTTCATCGGAAGAAGTGCTTGATAGAAAGCAGCTTTCACCACATGTGTACATCAGATTATTGCACAATCAAACATTCTTTCGCTAGTCAAATACAAGCAATGACATCGATGACCATTAACATTTGCTTGTCACAAGAGAGAGAGCATGACAATCATGTCTTGTTAGCACGGGTTCGGTTTGAACTAGTAGCTATGCATAGAGATCGAATGCGAAGATTCGCTTGCTTTCGCTCTTTTTTCTTCTGACTGTTTCAAGTGAAGTGACACTTCGAACTAACCGACTTGTATTGTTTAACTTCGTTTTTCTCTTTTCTTTGTTCAAGTTGAACAGAGTAGAAGGTTAAGAATGCTTATTTGTTTGAGTTTATGTGTGCATATGTTATGCGTAAAGGCGAAGAACGTCATCATTGTGTCTTACTGCAGGGTGCGTTGTTGAGAAAAAAAAGCAAGAATAATTGCGCTCTCATATATGCCCTTGAATACAACGAGACGACGACGACGACGATGATGATGATGATGATGATGAAAGTACACACGATTGATATATAGAAACTATGAAGGAGAGTATCAAAGTATATCTATTTGATTGCAAACATCTTCATTGATGTTCAGTTAACTGATTCGACTCGTCAGATGAGTAATCATTCTCTCTCCTTGACTTGCAGTTACGTATCTATATGAACAAAATTCAACCACGATCAACATTTGACCAGCTTAGAATTCTGTTTTCTATTGAAGATTAACAATCATAAGAGAATTGTCACTCTTCTTACACATCTATGTATATCATCAAATTCTTCAAGGATTTCTATGCCAACCTTCATCTGTGTTAAACTTGCATGTTTGTAATTGTGTTGAAACATCTCATGACAAGTAGTCGTACCATAAACATTTATTCATTTATTTTACCTTTCATGATTTCTTTTCTCCTCATAAGCATAGATTTCAAGTGACGAGGGGGTAAGCGAGTTAGAATGTTCCTGTTTATTTACAATGGCAGGAGCCGTAATAAGATTCGATTATTTTTATGATCGAGGCCAAAATCGATTGTCAAATAGAAAAATGATTATTAATGTTTTCTAATCTGGCTATATTTAGGATTTAGTACCTAACTACCTGCGTGCTTTTCAATTGCCGCTGTCAACGAACATTTTCGTGGTTATTTTTTTACTTCTTCTTTCTCGTCATGAAAACATAACTTTCAGTCATTTCATGATTTTTCTCTATGAAGGTTAGATAATTAGATCGATGGTCAGTGATAAAAACGCTAAGAAAAGAAAAACATCTCGAATGTCGCTTAGTAGCAGGAGAGAATACTAATTCTAACTTGTTATGTGATCTGATTGACATTTCTCTGCAATGAAGATATGTCAATCGATCGAATTATTTCTCCCACCTTCTGTTTGATCAATTGATAAACACCAGTAGACAAAAATAATCATTCACAGTTTTACTAAGGACAGAAGTAGTAGATTTGATTGATATCTTACAAGGACCATTTCAATGTATTACATCGAGACCAAATGTCAAAATCAATCTGAATTGTCTCTCTTTCAGATAATGCTTATTCGACAGAGTTTTCTTCTTTTAATCAGCATTATAATTGTTTTTATCAATGCAAAACGTAAGTTATTTTTCTTTGGCTAGGAGCTGCAAAATGTGTCCCTTTGTGTAGCACTAGATTTCCAAGATTCGTTTGGAAACGAGGGTGATGATGATGATGCTTATTACGATGGTGATCAAAATGGTGCCGTTCGTGTCAATCTCTTTCAAACACTCGATTGTTCAATTCAATGTCCACCATATTGGATTGAGCCTGTTGTACAGCAGAGGCAAACATTAGTCTATCCAACATCCGCGTCGGTTTCGTTGAAATGTCCATATGATGCGAAGCCGAAAGCGAAGATCACATGGTTCAAAGACGGACAACTTTTCCTACCAGAACTTTACGAACTGGTAAATGAATGATTTGAATTTCCTCATTTCCGACCAAAGTATGTTGTAGTTTTCAATCGATCATCAATTTTTGAATATCTCAAAAGCAACGATGTACGAAGCAGGTCTCTACACGTGCGTGGTCGAGAATAGTTTGGGAAATATTAGTCGATCATTTCAATTGATTGTCCAAGGACGTAGTCTCGATCGACCAGTCTTTATTTCTAAATCGAGCAATTTAACAAAATATGAAGGTGACAATGTCACATTCGAATGTCTATTCTATTCCGACTCGAGTCCGTTCGTTCAATGGTTTGTCCAACGGCAAGCGATAAAGCAAGGAAGTCAAACGTATCAACACAATGAATTAGAATTCATAAAGGTAATTATGAGTTCTTCATTCTCTTGTTTATCCTAGCAATTCCAACTGTTTGCCATCATTGAAACAAGTTATGTTTACATCTCTCTATAGTTTTCTAATAGATCAAGGTTTAGTGTAGGAAAAAGACAGGTAACCATGTGAAAAATCTCAGTTAGTGATGTGTGCGTTGCCAATATAAGTTTGTCGCATGCTTTTCATCAGATTCAATACAAGTTTCAAATTCCTTTTTTTGGTCTGTGATTTGCTTTTCTATTTGATTTGAAGTGATGTTGATCTGATTCGTACAAACGGGAAAATTAATTTGAATTAATCTTCTAGGAATACAATCCACATACGATGTCTGAAGACGAAGTCAAATTATTAAGCATTCAACGCTTAGAACGCAACGATTCGGGCACATATCTTTGCCGGGTGTTGAACGAATACGGTTATACTGATTTACTTCATTATCTGCACATTTTACCTGGTAAATAATCTTCTTTATTTCATATTTATAGTAGTTATTTTGTTTGAAAGCTTCGGAACGGCCTTCATTACTGAAAGGCGTTTCAGCAACTAAACGGCATCATATTTACAATCGATTTCCTGATGAAATTATAATAACTATCGTTTGCGTGATTGGCATATTACTATTTGCTTTCATATTTTTCCTTATTTATCATTTTCGAAATGAGAAAAGCCTACGTCAAACGCTCCTGGCAACGCGTATACTAGCAACACGAGGTATTAACAATTTAAAATCAGTAAGTGAATACGACAGTTTTGTAACGACGGACGAAAAATATGTCAACAAATTTCAGAATCAACTCTATCGAAGTGACATCGATCCGAAGACAAAACGATCATTGATTGATGATGGTTGTCGTCGATTTCCAACCGAAGGAACTATTTCAACTATTATCTCGTCATACTATGACGATCAATGCGAATTTATTCGAGAAAAGTAATTAGATTGACTTGAATTCTTGTATGATCATCATTTTCGTTCGATAGTTTGACTGTTGGCCATCTGATTGGCAAAGGAGCGTTTGGTTTTGTTTATCAAGGTATTGCAAAAGGTATTAGCCCAAAAGAAAAAGTAACAACCGTCGCAATAAAAACTGTTCAAGGTGAGTTATTCGGAAGGAGAATCGACGCAAGACAATTACGATGATTTTGTAGATGATGCATCACCTGAAGAAATCGAAAACTTACTTAAAGAACTGTCCGTTATGAAGATGGTTGGTAAACATGTGAATATAATCTCTCTACTCGGTTGTTGCACGAAAGGAGGTAGTTTCTTGTCCGAGAATATCTTCGATTTTCACTGCACAATTTAGATCAAGTCATGTTAATTGTCGAATATGCGAAACACGGCAATTTACGTGATTATTTACGTCGCAAACGTCCTCCTGGTCATGTTCTTTCAGGCTCATACGAAGGACCATCGGATACAGATTCGAACGAGCCAAGTCACACCATCAACGACGACGATGCTGCACGTCCATTAACTACTGTTGATCTACTTCTATTCTGTTTTCAAACAGCTTCAGGAATGGAATATTTACATTCGAAAAAAGTCAGTAGTTCAAGAAACTGCCTCAAGGAACATTCGATCATTTGTGTTCTTCTAGTGTATTCATCGTGATTTGGCTGCTCGAAATGTTCTCCTGGCGGAAAATCGTATTTGTAAAATAGCTGATTTTGGTTTGGCAAGAGATTTAACACAATTATACTACTATCGAAAACAAACGGATGTAACTAATTTGATTCAATCTGTCATTTTCTAATGATTTTTCTCTTCAGGGTCGAGTGCCAGTCAAATGGATGAGTCCCGAAGCATTGTTCGATCGTAAATTCTCGACTAAAAGCGATGTTTGGTCATATTCGATCTTGGTATGGGAAATCATGACGTACGGTGGCACACCGTACCCGTCCATTGCAGCAGAGAAATTATTCGATTACTTGCGAGAAGGTAACCGTATGAGTCAACCGATCAATTGTCCAAATGAAATGTAAGATTGGAAATGGAAAAGACAATCACACTTCTTTCGGACATCTTCTTTCGTTTAGTTTTCATTTGGTTGAATCCTGTTGGACGTTTAAAGAATCACTACGACCCACATTCGCACGAATTTGTGAAATTCTTCGAGAATATATCTATGGCTCATCTCCAGTTGATTATTCCGACCTAGATTATGTCGATTTCCCGGAGATATCATCTCCATCGATGAGTGATTTCCCCTCAACAACCATCTTACCTTTATCATCATCAGGGATTGCAAGTGATACGAATAGTCATAGTCATCTAACAACAACAGCAACATCATCATCGTCCTTGTCGTAGTTTTCCTATCTTTAACTTCGACAGACATTTTGTATACATAGCATTTGACTTCTGATTGTTTTTTGTTGTTTTGTTTCTTTTCTTGTCTCTCTTTTTTTCATGTCAAATATTTTTTCTACGTTTATTTGCAATAATAAAGAAAAAGATTACTCAGCAAATGTTTTCATGACTTTGTTGAGAAAAAAAAAGAAAGTCCGTTAGATTCATCGACGCACACACACACAATTAATTATAAAATTTATTTCATCTAATAAGTCGATTAGGAAAAGTCAGTACAAATCGCAACTAAGCTCAAGAGACTAACAACTAACTAATTAGTTAACATTCGATGTCTGGACAGTTCAATTTTCATCATGCACATGATGTCGCTCACTGCAATTTTGCATTTGCACTTCCAGTTGTTAGCGTCATCTTTCTCAATGCTTATTATTAATTGGAAAAAGATTACCATCAATCCATGTAACTTACTGTTGTTTTTCCTTTTGCACTCGTCTTCTTTTCTTTTTTCCTCTTCTTATATAAATATTTCTCTCTCGATCTTTTCTCATTGAGTTTTTTTTTCCTAAGATCTTCGTTTTATGGTATTGTTGACTGACTGACAGACATGACCAATCTATCGTATCTTTCCCTACCCTTGCTTTTCGTCACCATGCTGATGACTCATTCTCATCTCAATTGACACGTTATGCTACTTTGTATTATTCTTTAAAAACTCGATCTACTGAGTATTTCCGGTGTTCATCATGCAAAGTGCCCCGCCTGACAATGCAGTTACCTACAAATTGGTCGTCGTTGGCGAAGGTGGAGTTGGCAAATCGGCCTTGACTATTCAAGTAAAACTAAACGACTCATGACTTGATAGACATCGGATGATTATTTGTTTGTTTATAGTTTTTTCAAAAAATGTTTGTCGAAGATTACGATCCAACGATTGAAGATAGTTATATTCAACATGTTGAGGTCGATCGGCAAGTGTGTGTCCTTGATGTTCTTGATACAGCTGGTCAAGAAGAATTTTCTGCTTTACGTGAACAATATATGCGTAAAGGTGATGGCTTTCTTATTGTTTATTCTGTGATTGATCCAAATTCATTTAAAAATACACGACAATTCTACAATCAAATCCTTCGAGTTAAAGACAGGTAATTTGTTCATGGCAAGTTCGCCAAAAGTGAAAGTTTCTTTCGTTCGAAATAGAAAGTCGTATCCAATGATACTTGTCGCAAACAAAATCGACTTAGTTCATTTACGAAAAGTGTCGGAAGAAGAAGGTCGTGAGTTAGCGGCTGAACTACAAATTCCATATATCGAAACAAGCGCCAAAGTCCCGCCAGTCAACGTCGATGCTGCGTTTCACGAACTTGTTCGCGCCATTCGATTACAAAACCAAACTCAAAATCCAGTTAAAAAGAAACGAAAAAAACGTCGATATTTAAGTCGATGTCGTTTAATGTAATCATGACAAATTCTTTCTTATTTGCAATCAAGAAAAGTTTCTTTTTGCTTACAAGCTTCTTTCTTTCTTCTTTTTGTTCCTATTGTATCTGTTGTTTATGTGCCTTTCTTTTCATACGTGTGTGTACTCATCATTTCTAGCTCAAACTTTTCTTCTTCTTCTTCTTCATCCTTTTTGTCAATGTGTGCATGTGTGAAAAACTAATAAAACGGGATTTCGTTCAAGACGAAAGAATGGATATTATTAATCGAATGTTTTCTGTTAGATTTCATCGTATTAGCAAAGTTTATTCATAAGCATAGTGTCGATTATTTTTATTTTTACTGTTGATATGAATACAAACAAGAACGATACGAAAACTAGTTGGATTCGGATTTGTACTTGCATAATCATAGATTTGTTTCTTGTTGATGTTGGTGCTAATCGATTGGTCATTATTGATCAATATCAATACGTCTTCACTGAGCCATATTGGATAGGTTGGCATTGGAAATTAGTAACGATTCATTATGATCGATTCTTTTATAACATTCAATATCAACATTATTGATTACGACTAATCAGATATTGCATAATAGTATACAAACTATTGCTTTTCTGCACATATGACTCAACCTGTTGTCTTTGTCCACGAATGTCGAATGCGAAAAGAACGATAGCAGAGTTTTAAGCTAACTTTGCTTTTGATTTCGAGAGAAATCTTTCTTTTGGGTCGAATGTAGCGCGTAATCTCATATGGTAAGATGGAATAATGGATATATCCGGTTCATTGTTCGATCAGGTTTCCTGTTTATTTAACAGTCGAAAGAACTACATAATTGATTGATTGAACACAAATTCATTTTTCTTTGAAATGATCATTATTACAGTTGATCGAAGTCAAGTCAGGTAATGCAAAGTTGTTTCATTGGAAGTTCACAGGAGCAAAGCTTCAAGAGAAGATTACCCCACTTTATTGAATAATCTTATTATGAAATAAATACTGCTCTATTAGTCATCTTCATCTTCGAGAATATGTGTCAGAACTAACATCATAGTTGATTTAATTTGACAACCAACGAAGGTTTCCGCTGACGAATAGAATGATTCATTCCATGTGTAAATCTTCCTCTTTATTGATAGAAGGAAATCATATTTATATACTAATTTATTCATCTTTGATTAGTTAATATGTCCAAACAAAATGTTCGTTCTGATCCATTAAATAACACAGAATTTATAAACTACAATGCGTCACTTGCGTACAAGTAAGATTGACTTCTTATCCATAAGCGAGAGATGAAAACAATGTTTTAGAACGGAGATTATTTTGAAAGATAAAGCTACATATGGGACATGGACAACAAAGTATGAGCCATGGCTGGCTAATGAATATCGTCAAGTAGGAGTTTTCGTCGAAAGACAAACATTTCTCGATTCGTAATCTATTCCAGATGTACGATCGTATGGCCAAAGTTCACGGTATTTCTCGTGAAAATGACATAATTCCTGTAAAACGGCCAGAATGGCAACAATCAAGTGACGTTCTCCCACCGATAAATCAACGTCTATGCGGTCAACGTCGCCGACGTATTCCAGGTGCGTTTCCTCAAACAATGAATGACGTAAGGTGGTTGTTTATCTAAGATTTTCTTCGAGAAAACTCGTTATCTAGATGATCGGATGGCGAGTTCTACCCAAGCAGGCCGTTGAAGTGTATGGAAGTACAACAGCGGCGTATTATGGTAATCCAATAGAAAAACGATTAAAGCTTTCCAATTGGCCTATCGAAAGTCTCCATTAATTTCGAAAGACACTTTTCTCCTTCTTTTGTAATTTATTCACATATTAAAAGAAATGAGATGGCAATTCAATAATTATTGGAAGTATATGATAATACTTTGGCGTTGTGTCTAGTGCTTGTGTTATGTTTCATCATTGTTAGAATGTATTGGAGAAAGAAGAAGAAGAAGAAGAAGAAGAAGAAGACGAAGAAAGAAAAAAAATACTAAGATGAAGAGAGGCGTTTGCTTTTCTTCTCTCTTTCTCGTTCGTTTGTTCGACCGGTCCGTTTCTTTTTTGACAACCACGACTAAGCAATGCTGCCGTTACTGCTACAACGATCGTCGTCGATAGTCTGCGTCGACTCAAGAGAATGCAGGATGTAGTAGTAAAAAAAAGAAGAGAACGCGTATTTTTTTGTGATACGTGGTATGTGTGTGTGTGTATGTGTGCATGCGTTCGACCTAACTACTTGTTCTTGCGTTTATACATGCAACTATGAAGTAGAGATATATGCATGTGCTTCTAGTTTTATTTACTGAGTATCAACATGATCTGATAGAATAGTTATTCAATCTATTGATTATTTCATTTCTTGCATATCATAAATTATTTGATAGCAGACTAAATTCGATTATATGATACGTCATACAGTCGTTAATCTTCGTGTTGTTTTTTTTTTCTTCTTGTGTCGATAATCTCTTTCGTATATATACATACTTTCTAATGTTTTTCTTATAGAAGTATTATCAAACACAATTGAATCATTTGTATCTGATTAAATCAGTAGTGAAGAAAGTAAAACTATTCATTAAAAATGGGTCAAAAAACGAGTAAACATAAGAAAGATTTAACTCATTTATCCGAAGAAGAAATCGAACGCTTGACGAAAAATACAACATATTCACGACAACAAATTCAAGATTGGCATCAAGGATTTCTTCGGTAGCGAAAGAAGTTCAGTAATAGAATTTATTATCTTTGTCGTATTCTCTAGTGATTGTCCTAATGGTAAACTTGACAAAAAGAAATTTTTAGAAGTCTACAAGGTATTGAATTCATTCACGGTCGAGTGGGATTGACTTTCGTCTCTTCTCGTTTTAGAAATTCTATCCGGAAGGCAAAGCAGAAAAGTTCTGTACTCAAGTTTTCAAAACATTCGGTAAAAAGCAACGACAGCATCTTTCGACTTTCTACTTCTCATTACTGATTAGATTCGGATGACAATGGATACATTGACTTCGTCGAATTTCTCATCGCTGTTAACATAACATCTCATGGTTTGTAGTTGAAACAATCGCATTGATATACGATTTCATGTTTATGATCTAGGTGATATTCGCGAAAAACTCCGATTGGCTTTCGATATGTACGATATGAATAAAAATGGAAAGGTAATATATCTGAATGAAAACAAAATCTCCTGCGCGAAGCGAATGTTTTTCGCTTTTGATATATGTAACTTACGCTTGCGAATATAATATGAATTAGCATACGCGATTTTGTCGTTCGATTATATTCGAAAGCAAAAAATACGACCAACTGTTGCCAATATCGATACGTCGTCATTCGCACCGCCGAACAATTGAAGGAATAATGTAGAAATAGGCTTTGTCATTTCTGATTCTCTTCTTTGGCTCGAATCTATTAAAACAGCAATCCAATCGTGGTTTCTTCTATTATTTTTGCTGCCAATAGATTTCTTTTTCTACATCATCTATTCGCTCGTCGACAGAATATGTCAACCTTATAAACAAAATGCCGAAAAAGGACACTCACAGTATCGCATCATTGCCTTCTGCTTCAGATCATCTATAAGTAAACGTATATAGTAATAAGAAGAGTTAGGAAACGGAATATCAATTAGATATATACATATATGCATAGTGCATCTTTATTAACTGTTATTCTTCTTTTCGCCTCTCGTTGTTTTTTACAAGCTGCTGACTTGTCGACAATATTTGTCGCTATAGGATAGAAAAGAAATGAGAGAGAGAGAGGGGGGGGGAGAGAGACACAGAGAAGAATTGTATTAGGCAGGAGGCCTAACAAAAAATCGATTTGAGTGCGTGTGTTAGTCAACGAATAGCACATCATTAACTATTTCATGTGTTCAATTGTTTTTGTTCTCATACATTGTTCCTTGCCAGCAACACCTTTCTCTTCTTCTTCTCCCTCCCATCCTCTTACTTTTCATTCTATCATCTTCATATTTATTTTGTTTTCACTTTCATTACTCTATTATCACGCGTAAACTTCATCGCGTTATTCTACTCTTACAATCGCATCTATTCAGATTGAAGTTTCTTTCGGAAAAAACAAACGCGAATACGTCAAATGGGTCACAAAGAAAGTAAAGTGGCTGGTGTCGACTTGAACGACGAAACGATCGATCGTTTGACCAAGAATACGAATTATACACCTGAACAAATTCGACAATGGCACGAAGCATTTCTTCGTGATTGTCCCAATGGTAAATTGTCGCCGAGACAATTCACCGAAGTCTATAAGAAATTCTATCCTGAACACGAAGCTGAGAAGTATAGTTCTCAAGTATTCCGTACGTTCGATACGGATAACAACGGTTATATTGACTTTGTCGAGTTCCTTGTCGCTGTAAATGTCAATGCCAATGGTGATATACGCGATAAGCTTGGTCTTGCCTTCGATATCTATGATATGAACTCGAATGGACAAGTAAGAACGGTTTTCTTTGTGTATATCAAGTTTACACAAAGTACATGATATGTATTGTCAGAGCAGTCGTTATTTTGTACACAAACGCGCGTGATTAATCCTTAAAACCAAACCATAGGTCATGTTAACTTGCGATTGTTCATTCTGCTTTTTTGTTTAGATCGATAAGAAAGAAATGACCAAAGTAATCACGGCTATTTATGATCTCTTAGGTGAGTAGTCTTGCTTATATACGACATACGTCAAGTAATGTCATGTTTTTCGTTTGTATCAGGCGAAGAAAACCGTAAAGCCGACAATTCACCAGAAAATCGCGTGAAGAAAATTATGGAAAAATTAGACCTCAACGATGACAAGAATATTTCACGCGATGAATTCGTCGAAGGTTGCTTGAAAGACGATATACTCCGACAATTGCTAGCACCTAATGTTTAAAACCAACAGCAATTAACTCCACATATGAGCATGTGAAATTACAAGAAAAAAAATATGTTGTTCTATCTATTTTATCTTTTGGTTGTCTTTAACACTATAATTTATCTTCTATCTTGCGTAGTAGTCGTATATTCAGTCGTCTTTGCATGTTTGTATGTATTCTATTCTATTGATCTTTTCGTCGTCGTCAACTTTTCTTTTTTCTTTTTTTTAGGAAAACATTCAATACCTTGTTGTTGCTTGTGTTTATGTTTCATCTTTGCTTTGTTTGTTTTCTCTTCTAGTTCTCATCTTTAATTCTTATTCTTCTATTTTCTCTGGTTTCTTCTTCCTTGACAACACAAAAAGAAAATTCACGTGCTATATATGAAGATCTACATAAACAATATTAAACGAAAATTGTACAATACTTACACGTTAATTCTCTAAATGACTTGTACATGAGCGCGGAGGTCGAAGTTGATGTGAATGATCTGTCTAGTAGGATCAATTAGTTTATATTGCAAAGAAAACCACAGAGAGGAAACAGTAGAAAATATGAGTCAAATACTAATCAGGAGCACTTCACAGCAAAATGATGATTTTGTAATAAATTAGTCGAAAACAATGGTACAAAAGAATATACAAAGGAAATGAAAAGAATAGTAAATGAGAATAGAATGATGGAAGATCGCATTCGGTTTAAGCTTCAGTACGTCGAGGATGTTGTTGTAATCGATCTTTAGTTATTTCTTTGAGTGTTGTTGTTTTCTCATGATCGATATAAACATACGATCGAGTTGTTCCTGATGCCGCCGCCGTTGCTGCTGCTGTCGGCGTGTTATTCGCGTTTTGCTAAACACAGAAGTAGAAGAAAGGAATCCACGGGAGAACAAATCATCTTACTCCTTCTGTTCTTGTTGATACATCGACTAACGAGCTGGATTTTTTGAAATCAGTGTAATTGACTTCGATATCGTGCGAATATTGTTCATTGTTATCTCGCGTAAATGCAAAATAGTTCTCGGATAAATCTGGCTCGGAATTTCTGTAGAACGATGTTGCGGACGATAATGACATTGCTGATTGGATACGTCCGAGATTGTTCACTGTCGAAGAGACATTCGTCAAACTTAACATTGACATATCCTGCGGTTGTTGCTGCTGTTGTTCGGTTAACTCATTGGAAATTATATTTATACGTTGATCTAGACAATCAACGAGACGTCGAGCTTCTTTACAACGAAATGCATAACGTGCAGGACCAAGTGGTGCACGGCGGCCACATTCGAGAATAAAGATCGAATCGTCAAGGCCGTAACGTTTGATAGTATCGAGTGGAATAAACAATGATTGTCGATGCTTTTGATGAATGCATAAACTATCATCTGAGATTTGAATCTTTGCCGAAGAATGTTTGCGACCATAAGAATTGATATTATCAACTTTGAAAACATTATCTGTGGGTATATTATCTGTGTTCGTAAGATCGGGAGTGGAATGATAGTTACCCATATCTGAAAAATAAACAAAACACATAGTTCATAGGTTTTGGAGTCTGCTGTTCTTTTATTCAAATTTGTGTTTTTAGTGAAATTCTCGGGACAATATTCATAGATTGCAATTCTTGAAAAAGTAACTTGCACGCATAGGGAATTTTTATCGTGGCAACATCTGATGATGATTTGCAATACTGACACCTAGAAACAGAAGAAATTTCGAGATTATTTCGAGAATAACGCGAAAGTTCATACCAGCCGTTATAACCAAATAAACCACACTGGTTACACACATCCACTTGGAATTGATCACTTGAAATCATCAAACGTTCAAGAATTAACATACTAAAGCAGATGTTACAGTTGAAAAGTTAAATAACTTAGAAAGACGATGATTTTACCTTGCACCGTAGCCAATCAGACAATCACCTAAAGAGAATAGATTTTGTCATGAATTGCGATTCCAGACACTTACGCTCCATCTCCCCAAGTCGAAGACCACCATCACGTGATCGACCTTCGGTTGGTTGTCGAGTTAAAACTGATCGAGGACCACGCGCTCTAGAAAATAATGCATAACGAAAGCCAACTATAATGATGAGAACTTACCTTGCATGCATTTTATCTTGAACCATATGTTTCAATTTCTGATAGAAGATAGGCCCAAAAAAGATATAGGATTGTAACGGTTCACCGGTCAAACCAGATGTTAGGATATCTTTTCCCAGATAATTAAAGCCTTTATCAATTAGGACTTTGGATAAATCGACAATCTTATCGCCACCGAATGCGGTACCATAACTAACGAAACGAAAGAGACATTCTATCCGCGAAACAGATCGATTAAACATTACTCACTGGAACTTTCCTTCGAGGACTCCAGCTTTTCCCCCTAACAATTCGATCAGTTTTCCAATTGTCATTCGACTTGGATAACCATGTGGATTCATAATAATATCCGGACACATACCCAAATCATTGAATGGCATATCTTCTTGTTGAACAATTAACCCGCAAACACCTTTTTGTCCGTGACGCGAACTAAACTTATCGCCAATTTCTGGACGACGGGTTTGTCGTGTTAATAATTTCACGATAAACATATCCTCGTGATTACTTGTTAACATCACTTTTTCAATACACGCTGGGACTGGATTACGGTAGATTAATGGCGTTTCCTTTTCTTCGGGCTCAGCAAAAACATTGTTTGCTGTGGTTAATCCACTGCTTTGCTGTTCAGCTAAAGTCATCGTCGTCGAACTAGGCGTATATTTATTTACAAGCACTTGTTTGTTATCAACTATTTCGCCAACACCAACAATACCGTCGACATCGAGTACTTCGTGTTCCCATTTGGGTTTTTTCGTATCGATGTTGATCAATGGACCTCGAATTCGATCACACGTTTGATTAGGATATCGCTTCATGGCGACGACTTGTTTTTTATAAACGATACATCGTCCAAAACCACGATCCAACGAAGATTTATTCAAGATTAGAGCATCTTCAATATCATAACCAGAATAACTCATCACAGCAACGATAGCATTCTGACCAGCTGGTAATTTTTCTAAATTGATCAATTCGATCGTCTAAAATATGAAAGCAATCAACGAGCAGCTCTTCATATCTATTGTATTCGTACTCGCGTCTTCACCATTTGACGTTGTGGATAAACAAGTAAATATAACAATGTATCACAACGTTGAGATTGATTGTAACCAATAGCACCCCTACATGAACAATATGATATATCGGAAATAATGATGTTTTTTAACTTTGTTTTATATAAACATTACTTAAAGAAGCATCACTTTACATTTGTTAGTACTTACATTGCTTGTTTACCCATAGCACATTGATATGTGTTACGTGGCGACTGATTATGATGTGGGTATGGAATGAGACCTGCACATGCTCCTAATAGAGTAAATGGTTCGATTTCCAAATGTGTTGTTTTCCTAGAATAGTCAACAAAGAAACGAGATTCTTGATTTTCCTTTTTGTGAAAAAGATTTGTCTTACCCATCGATATCTTTTTCATAAACAGCAATATTTGAATCGCCTTCTTCATTCACATCAAGATATTCCACGAGACCTTGCCGAAGAAAATCCACAAATGTCCTAAATTATCCGAAAGATCATCAGTTATCTGCCGACAAGGATTAACTTCGGTCTCATTTATTCATTCATTCTGTCTGCTCGTTGTGCAATAACTTTGCATCGCCCTCGTTAGAAATGTTTATTGACCTGTATGACATATTCATACTGTAATCACTTGGCAGAATGGCAAAAGTCTATTGTAGTAGAGATAAGGAAAGCGATGAAAATCGCAAAGAAGAGGAGAAGAATAATATCAATAGACAACTGAGGTCAATATTGACACAAGTTGAAGATCAATCAATTGCTCACACACTGATTTGACTTTTAAGAAAGTTGTATTGTTTACCTTTGTCCCAATACAAGTTCTTGTATATGTGTATTGGTTACTTTTGGTTCTCCATTTTCTACAATAATATATGGTCGACATAATCGTCCACTATCTGATGATATATTTATCACTCGTTGTTTATTCAATGTATAAACAGATATAAATTCATTGAGATATCCTTTTCGTCGGAGAAATCGTATGGAATAAATCAATTTCTTCGGCCTATTCGTTGCACCGATAATGTTTCCGTTTAACATAACAATGAACATATTTTTCGCATAGATCTCTTCGCCATTCATCATTGTGATATCTTCGATGCCGAGATTATGAGCTAAACGTATCAATGGTTCTTCTTCAATGTCGGTTGTGATGTGTGTCATAAGAGCAAGATTTTTCACTAGACCACAACCTTCACCTTCAGGCGTATCGGACGGACACAGCATACCCCATTGAGATGGTTGAAGTGAACGAGGACCGGACACTTTACGAGTTTTTTCAAACTGACTGGTAATCATTGTCATCATACCTACACCTGCAACGTATGAAAGACGAGAAAGAACATGTGTAACACCGTGTCGTTCCATTTTAAAACGCTTTATCGTCCAATTTCCGGTGGAGATCGCAATGACGAGACCGTTGGTAATTATATCTGGACGGATATGTTTAGCGACATCGAATTGTTGTGCACGTTGGCGTGGAATGGTTTTATTCGCAATTTTTTGTAACTAAAACAAGTAATTCTTCATCTATTCAGAACACATCTTTCGCTTACTTCGGTGTTAAATCTTTTGAAAAGATCTTCGAAGAGAATAGCGATCAATTGTCCGGCTAATTCCAATCGTTTATTTCCGTAGTAATCGCGATCGTCCATGTTCACCAGACCTAATTGTGCTTGTATGACACGTCGTACCATGGAAGCAGTGTAAACAGCTTTCAATTTATAATCATATTCAATAACCTCTGATGAGAAGACGACAGAAAAAAAACGACTATTCTCTTGATAAGATACTTCAACTTACTGGCACATGAGCTAAGATGATATGTGCTAACAATTCACGTGCTTCATCGATTCGATTTCGGCGTGTTGATTGATTCGATGCAAATTGTTTTGACGAACTTTTCATTCTCAGTGAAATATGTTTCAATGCCTGAACAAAAAATGTCAAACAAATGAAATTCATCGAAGTACTTTACCTGAATTTGTGTAAAAATCCCTAAACGATGGCATTCTTCAATAGATGCAGAAAAACAATTAAGAATGTCGTCTTCAAAACCAACCAATTCGGCAATTTCTTGATCGGATTGAATTCCATATGCTTTGAATACAACCACGATTGGAATATCCTGAATAAACACATCAATCATTCATTCGAATATAGAAATTCAACTATTTTCTCACATCTGTAAGACTGTTATGTGCCAGAAAATATCGTCCTTTGCTTTCGTAAACACCTGTTTTAGTTTTTGTTTGTTGAGTCGTACTAAACAGAGGAAGGAAATTCTATCATCGAGGAGTTTGAAATTCGAAATACCTTGTTACAGTACATTGAAAGCGATCTTTCGAATCTTTTTCAATCAACATTCGATTTTTCGATATTTGTTCTTGAATTAGAATAACACGTTCCGTTCCTAATGAGATAGATGTTTCAATGTGAAAGTTAACGATCAAAACAAGCTTTTTGTTTCTAACCTCGTGTGATAAAATAACCTCCTGGATCCAATGGACACTCTCGCATCTTGGCCATTTCCGCTTCATCTTTTTGATAAAGAACACATTTACAACTTCGCAGCATAATCGGCAGTCTAAAATGTTTCTATATAATTTTACAATTGGCAGTGAATCAGAGCATACCTTCCAATAGTTAAACCTTTGCGTATTACACGTTCGTTACCCCGAGTGTATTCAATATCAACAGATATCGGAGCCGAATACGACATATCACGAAGTCGACACTAACGTCAAAACAAACATCATTTCGGTTCTTTGGATGGGTGTACACATACCTCGTGCGGAGTAATTGGTCGGACAATATTAAAACCTTCTTCAATACTTGGTGAAAGAACTTCAATATTCAGATATCTATATGATAGGAAAGATTAGGACGTGTCTTTTTTAAAGTTTATTCATCTCTTTTCAAACCTCATATAAAAAGAAGGATCGGATTCGATGAGAATTTCTTGATTCGCTTCCATGATTTTTTTGATCTAGACAAAATCAACTTTTATTCCTAAGACGAAGAAAATGCAAGTATTTTTTACCTCAGTATTAACAAAATAATCGAAGGAATCTAAATGTTGTTTGACAAGCCCTTTGATTTTCAGAAAAGCTGGAACAAGCTTCCATTTGTCCTACAAAAGCAATTTCGTGATAATCAGTCAATTGTTTTCCAGCATATTTACTTCAATAGTTTTCACTGGCGCAGCTAATTGTTCAACACCCATTTCTAATCTCAATCTAGAAAACAATACACAAAATCTGCATGACGAAAGTTATATTGCATCAAGTTAAATCATCTTTTTCTCTTCGATTACCATCACTGACAGACAGACATAGCTTTTTTTTGCATGACTAAACGGCTACTGGTCGAGAATGACTCATCCGATCAAATTATCTAACACACTAATGCACATTTGCACAGTATGTATCGATCACAGCTGGAATTCATATGTTCAGCGTGCACTGTTATGCTTGTACATTCTTTTTCCATTCGAATACTTAGAAACTAGTTATTCACACACCTGCCGTGATCGAAGTTCAATGAAATATGTACATAGGCAAACAAATGTAATATTGTTTTTATAAGTACAATCTAACCAGTCTAGGTCACTCAATCGAAAAGAGGAAAACCTTGGAGATGGCAAGTCACATTCAAATCGAATGATTTGATCACAATCCATGCAATACTTCATTGCATCCATTTTTTCCCGTTCTGTAGGAGGCGTATATAAACAGATGAATTTCGTCATTTCGTGACATTATTTCATTTGCTATTTCCAAATTACTAGCAGTGCGCTATTACAAAACTCTCATTCCATGACTATGAGACCTTCAAGCAACCACTCACCAAATTCTAGTCCTACGATGGCCAATACTCGTTCTCCATCATTTAAATCGAAATTGTTTCCTTTTGGAAAAAGTAGGTATTGTCGAAAACCTGGTCATATGAGTTCTCGAAAGGTACATAAACCTAAAGAACAGTTGATCGAGTTTCCATCTTTTTCATTACTAGGAGGAAACCGACGAGATCCATTGAATTTGAATGAACTCATTTATATGAGTCGACAGCAGCAGCAGCAACAAATCACAAACGTTAAGGAATCCATCGACAAAAGTATTTATGGTAATGAGCAACCGATCGAACTTTTACTCCAGCCAGATATTTACGATCCTCTTTGCCTTGATAGCATTCCATCAGACCACGTTTCAACCGAACAACTCACTGCACACACCCACTGGAGTTCAGCATGGCCCTATGATCAACAAGTACCTCGATGGAGATGACATTTTTCTTCGCAGTAATTTAGAGTTTTGTTTGTAAATGTATTTATACTTAATAAGTTATATCCTGTCATGTGAAATGCACATCAGGTGTGCATATATACTTTTCTTTTTATACCGTCTTATGTCAAGTTCTCGTTTGTTTAGCACTTCAAATATTTATATTTTCGACGATAACTACGAATGACTTGGATCTATTGACGTCGTCGAATTTGAGGCAAATTATCCGTTGGCAAGATGATAAGTCGATTATGTTTGTGAGGAAAATCAGCAAAACAAAAGTATATATACTTAATAATGCTATCTATAATTGTGTCAAGGTGTGGTGTGGATTAAACAAATGTTTTCGCTTTTAGAATAACAGTAATCATATTTAACTAGTCATAAGGTTTTGTTAATTACAACGGCAGTGCGGTACAGAAATCGCAATCATGTAAACTTTTTATTAAATAAGGTTTTCTTAAAGAATGAAAAAAAGAAAAGAGATGCCGATGTAAGTGCGTATGAGCGATCTGGATTTTATTCATCCGATCGTTTGAATGTGTTGGCCCATTCACCATAAGCAGGATCGAAGAGACTTCGTTTCTTTTCAAGATAATTGGACCAAGAATCACCAAATGCTGGATCATAGAGTGCTCGACGGGCTAACATTTGTCCTATGTTCTGAAATCGAGCACGATGGGCAGGTTGTTCGTTACCAAGATTTTTCTCATCAATAACACGGTCAAGTTCGCTCTAAATGAAGATATCGCGATGCATACGTCAGTGTCAATAGTCATAACTTACAATTCGAAAACTGTGTACAGTAGAAATCAAAAGAAAAAGAGCACAAAAGAATGTGAATACTTGTTGACGAAATGAATACATGCCGAGCTTGTTCGTTTCTTTTTAAAATAGATAAATGATTGAATAGTCGATGCTCTTGTTAATAAAAAGTTTCTAGAAATAAAAACAAAGATCCGGTGTTTAAATGTATGCTATTATATGAGCAACCTTCTCGCGCTCTATCCAATCTCTTAAATACTACCACACTGTGCAAAAGCGAGGGAGAGAGAGAACTTTTAGTAGTCATCTCAAGTAGAAAGTAATTGACTTTCAACAGCACGCCTCTGGCATGCCGTTCATCTTGTTTCAGTAATCAAAATATCATCTCGGATTTGTCATAGATGTTTAAAGAATACTATCAAAAGTCTACTACACGTCCATGATATTTCTCGTCTTGAGCTAATGCTCTAAGCATATGAAAACACCCTATCTGTACGGACCCATGATACATTTTGAATGTTAGTGCGAAGGGAGAAATTAGTCTTTTTCTCTCTGTTTCTTTGTCGCTAGTTTTTTTCTTTCATTATTTAAGTAGTCTAGAATACATTTTCTCTTTTTTTATTCATGACATCTCTCCATTCCGCCTTCGTACATATCGCCACATAGTTGAAGAATAACATGCTCACCGTTTTGACGTATGCTGCAGTGAAGTTTTGTTTTGACTTATTTCCGAGTTACTAGACAAATAGCTAATGCTAACGGAAAGCATCAAAAAAGTTTGTCCACATAATAAATCGATTTCAAATGACGTCAACGCAATTGTTGATTATTAAGTCAATGAGTATTCGACGCAAATCCAATATTTTATTGATTGTTCATAGCTTAATCAACTTTACTCTTGGCAATCAATCATCTATGAAATCTTTGCATAACGGCAATTCATGAAAATAGAGCAAAATCCTGCCGCAGGGTTCAGTTATTATCTCCTTGATGAGCATTACAAGCTTATTGGTCTCAATTTTACTGAAAATACCATTATTTATTATATAAAATTATCAATCTATACACCCGTAGCATTTGCCAACGCTATTGACTCAAACAAACGCGACATGATTTTACCAAAGATCTCTGGCGGAAAATATTTGCCTAGACAACATATTTCTTTATCCTATTATTCTATTTTATTTTACAATACCATCTGCTTATTGGTATTGATTCAGCTAGTTTAACGACATTCTCGTTTTGTTGTTCGTAAAATTCTAATCCGGGCGATGAAGACTGTGCACGATATTTTTTATGATTTGCTAATCTAATTAAGAAAAAACTGAGCGAAAACAGGAGCACTTGATCATGCATCAACTTGTTGCATGCATATCAGGATCTATGAACTAAGCGGTAAATCATGCAGATTTTGCAACGAAAGTCATTTGAATTAGCCGGAACTACTCAAAGAAGAGAGTATCTATTGTAAATTTGACGTAGACGTCTAAGCTGAATTTGCTGTCATAGAATTTTCTTCGTTGCATTCAAATCAAAATAGTTCTTTGCATGCATCCTTAAGCTAAACTTTAGAAATTAATTAGCGATGTTCGTTTAGTTCATCTTTATCTCAAAATCGGAAAATAGAAGCAGTCTTGTTCGATATCTGAAACTATAGAAGGCGTTTTTTAGATCTGAATACGATAGTAAGAGGTACTTTTTTTGTTAATGATAACGTCCGACAGTTACATCACGTATCATATCGTAGACATCCTCAAAAATAATTGCAGATAGGATTACTCCTTTCAGTGGAATTCATTTATATTCTCTAAGATATTACTTGGGAACTGGCGAACTGTCATACGTATTCAGGAAACTAATTATTCATTATTTATAATCGTGAAACTACATAAGAAAAAAAACCTTTTCTGTTTATTAAACAAAGTAATTATGCAATATTAGAAGTGCCGCTATAAGAGCAGATTGCAGCGTAACATTAATATTTCACAGAGAACATAAGTTCAGTTAATCCTATATTAAAAAATACTTGCTAAAAATTCGTCTGTCATCTTAGCCAATCTTTCATTTCCTCTTTCGAATTACAACTCTCAAAGTTCTTTTCAACCATGAAAAAGTTCATATTGTTGTCGAGGTATTCTCAGCAATGGTGCATCTTGCCGCTTTTGTACCCTATCACATCGAGGATTAGTGTGTGATTGAAAGTATTCTACTCAGTCTGTAGTATCACTTGTAAATCCATTGTATACACAGTCAGCGAAGCATCTTGAACTTGAAGCGTGGAAGAATATCTAAGCAAGAAAGTCATTCATGGCGGTTAGACCTGCTTTAATTATTTCACCACAACCGGGAGCGTGATTTTCTGTTTGAAAAGACAAACACCTATTAGCGCGAAACGCTATTTTTTATCGTAATTAGATACAGGGGAACAATTAGCGAATGGTTCTTCATTACGAAGGCGTTCATATTAAACAACATAGAAATCATTTGCCTCTGGCAAAGAAAAGACGTGACGTTTATAATTTACATCTACGTCTCGTCAAACAGTTTACTTCATTTAAAAATCAAGAGTCATGGATATCCCACACAAATAATTATATATTTTTCAAGTTCAAAGTTCTGTGAGATTTGAACATTGAATAATTGAAATAAAATAGATCGTACAGTTCATTTACTTACAACATTTCTTTTACTGTAAAATGTCAACTTTAGTATTTAATCTGCGTAGGCGTCATTGACTTCAAACTTGAAAACACATTGATCTTTTTACTTGTGATACAACTGACAGCAACATCGAAGGTGTCAATAGACAAAAATTATTTCGAATATGAAAGAATGTATGAAATAAACATGCATCGTTACAGGCCTTATGCTCTCACACTTCTAACTAGATCTCCATAGAGTGTGCTCATCTATTAGAGTGTTTCTCGTGGTGAGACTTGCAACTATTCTAGGTGACAAATATTCATTCATTTTGAAACGCGAGAAAGATTATAATAAGCATCGACACAACATTTAGGTCGACTCCCACATTGTTTGAACTTTGCAAGTAGTGAACATATTGGCTTGCTCAAAGATTGTAAATCATGCATTCTGGCACTTTATTCATATACTTCATAGGCTTAACATTTGCAAATCTATTTGATAGATACTCTACATTCATACAATTATCTAGGTTAAGTCAGCTCTCATCAACATATTCTCCCGTTATAAATCACTTAATTTACAAGCATTTTTAATTTGTTCTGTCGGAGCGGACGATATACCATTTAAATTTACGTCTCGAATGAATAGAAACCAATGAGAAGCTTACACGTCGGCTCATTTGAACATTCTACCTGATGACTAAGTCAATTTGGTAAAATTCCCATTCCCACTCTCAGTGTATTATTTTACATATATTTCTTCATCAGTGGTTAGTGTCTCTTCAAGCTTTTTTTTTTAAAGCATCGAAGTACTTCTCATTTCTGTTGCGCACTTTCATTGCTGAATAATTTACCTATTTGTATATCACGCTCAACCGATGAAGAGTAAACGAGTGTTGTATACACTTGAAGAAAAGCATCATGTGATCAAATACTTACCTCAGCTAAACGATTCCATAATTGAACTGGCTGTCTTTTGGCAAAAAATTCAATGACCTCAGGAGTTTCAATAACACATTTGATCACCTACTAGCAAAGAGATATATTCAGATAAGTTCACATTGGCCTGATTTACATTTTGAATAAGTTGAATATCGTGGAGTAATGAGAGTCCACCACACTTTCATCTTTTCTAATGATTTACTAAATTCTTCTAAATGTTCAACAGTATCGTGTCTTGAATCACTGTATTCGCTCTTCTCCATTTCATTTTTATTTGACCTAAATCTCCTAGCTGATCGAGCAATTCGTTCAATTGAGCATGGAGATTATTTCGCAAAACATCAGTCTGAACGATAAGACAAGCAGAATTATATACTGACGTATGCTTTAGATCGGCTCGTGCAAAGCGAAAGCAGACTACAACCTGATGAACGGAATGGAAATGATCCATGCTGGCTTGAAAAACATCGTGGATTTGAGATATCAGAAAATCAACATTCTTCAATTGAATATAAAAGGCATGCCGTGCTATATTTATCCAATCCGATTAAGAATTCAATTAGATTTAACAATATGGGATTAGAAATGGCCTTTTGATTAGATTGAGTTTCGATACACAATTATAAATGAATAACGTCATCTTTTCTTCAGGAATAAATAAACTTCTGTCAGCGATGTCATATTAAGGTTAGAATTATCACAGATGAATGAATATTACCTAGTTATACAGGTCAAAACGACTATCACATGGTTGCACTCCGAGTATGTGCATTATGGTCGATAGAGAATAAAAAATGTCAATTTAAAACCCAATAACATATAGCCTTTTTCTTTGTCTATATAAATAATCGAAATAAAAGTTCAAAAAAGAAAACGAGGAATTAGTGATATCGAAAACGAATTTGTGACAAGAGTAAAAAGAGCAATAACAAGCCAATAACAATTAAAAATGAAACAGAAAATATATTTGTTTGCGGTGGATGTACATTATGTACATAGAGATTTTTATCCGCACTTATACTTAGAACGCTTGTTTCATAGAGATAGTTTTCTTCTCGTAACATGAAGGCTAAATCAGTAACGAATATCGAATGTGCACGATGTTCGTACAACATTTTTAATCGATCGGTTTCATAGATTCGTACACAACCACCGGAATCACCAACGGAAACATATTGACCACAGTTACTCACAGCTAGAGCTGATATTCGATCGAGTGAAACTGCGCGACGTTGTCGAACAACAAATTGATGTTTCTTATTTTCTGTCCATTGAACAACGTAACTAACTAATTTATCAGCTACACTTTGTGGAATGAGGCTTGTATAGAGGTAATAAGACGCATTCGACGATGAAGATGATGGTGAAATGCCAAAACGAACGTGACGAATACGATATAATGGTTTGACTGCTGTGGTCGTTTTGCTCACACCAAATTGATTCAAATCAAGATCACAATGCTTATCGAATGGTGGTGAACATTGACGAATTTGTACGAGAAGATCACGGGATACACTAATCAGCCAGTTACCAAAAGGATCAACAGCTAAATCGTCGATTTCTTTCGTGTGTGCTGTGAATGATGTCAGTAGATTCAATTGGATCAAACGATCTGCTGACGAAGCAGCCGGCCAGATAATCTCATAGATTGTTAATGATCCATCACTAGCGCCGACAAATAGTTTCGATTGTGTAACTGGACAAACAACTAATGCGTTCACATATTGCTGATCGGGAATAGGCACTGTGTAGATATTATTTAATAGAGTTGATGTCGTTCCCGTTGATGTTGGTGTAGCTGGTGGAAAGCTAAACGAAACGGAACGAGTGGTTGGCGATGTAACAAGAGTTGTTTCATTGCCGACAGCTTCGACAGTTGCTTGGCCGTTTCGATGCAGTACAAGCGATGGACGATGTTGCAAATTGAGCGGATCGATCGGTGCTGTTGATGATGACGAATTATGTCGTCGACGTACAGTTCGCTGTGTTGGTATAGTTTGCGCTGTATCTTGAGCATTGGCCATAGGCGGTGGTGGTACACTCATTGCTAGCCCGTTATCCATGTCTCGTTCCGAGGGCTTGAGCATAATTACTTTTAATTGTCGATTCAATGCTAAGATAAGGTACTCGTGTTGCTTTCGTAAAGAAACCATCCTCATGACACTATCGTGCTGAGTAAAACTGTTAACATTTTGTACGGAACATCGATTATTAGTCGGATCCGACGATTGATTCAAATAAATCCATTTCAAATCTACAGCATTAGCGACACCAGTTTTGGCTGTGCCACCGCCACCACCCACAGCCACCATACCCCATGATTTCAGAGGTTGAATGCAATAAGGCGGATAAGCCATTTCTTGAAGAAAATGTGCTGTAGCCAAGTTTGATGACATGATTTTATCTGAAAAATTACTGATTGAAATTGCTTTCTTTTTCTTTTTTATGCAGGGTTGTGTTAATCTTCTCGAATAAAGTATAAAAAAAGAGACAAAAAGTGTGTTATTTATATATGGTACATATGTATAGAATATTACAGAAAAGATACAAGCACCAATTAAAAGAAAGGAAGGAAAAAGCAAGAAGGCGAAAAAAAAAGTATTTTCAAGATTTTGCCAAACTGCGAAAAACTGAATTGAAAAGAGTAGAACCTTTGTTTTTGAGAAAACCAATTGAACCGCTCATGACAGATAGATGTTGTGTTTGATGCTGTTGGCCAGATATTGAAGGTAATGAACCGAGACGTTCATGAATAGATGGATCTTCAGGTATGTGATAGTCTAAAGAGAACGCAGAACGTTCTGTGAAAGCTCGAATTGAACGAATAGACTTACCTTGTGGTACTGTTTCCCATTCGTCACTATTCAAAAGATCTGTCACATCCTTTTCCACATCATCAAACCAATAATCTGTGACATAAGCTCGACTTATTTCATTGACTTCTTCTTCCATCATATCAATATATTGTTGCGAATAGACAACGGGATTGGGTCTAGATGAAAAACTCTCCAGAAAAGAATAGCGAAATTTGTATATACGAACCGGCTGAGATATCGTTTTAAGGTTAATAATCTACATAGATTTTCCAGTGTATGTGTGACATTGTTCTTGTCGATCGGTATGCCTTGCGATATACAACTAGTAACAATGTTTGCATTAAGTTTTGCCACATCGGCACGAAGACGATCCGGTGTTAAATTATCTGTATTGAATTCTCTAGAGAAACGAGTCCGACATGTCAATATCAACAACTATGTGATCATCTTACAATTGATGTAAACGAAATGGCAATGCAATATGAAGATAGAAGGCAATCACATTGATTAATTGACAAGAATGAGACAATGCAGAAACAATTTCATACAAGTCATGCGACAGCGTAGATTGAAGCGAATCAGCATCTTGTGTTTTACCATCAACATCAACAGTTAAAAGAACTAAACAGAGAAATCCAACTTGAATTCATTTCTCGTACATATTGCATAACAGAATATTTCTATCTCAGCTGAGACGCCATTGTTTATATTACAACATATTTATATGACGCTGATGAAGACATTGATATGTATATACATACGTTTTACAATTTGATAATCTCCATTGGCTAATAAACATGAATTGACGATTTGATATCGATCACCACCGACATTCAATGAATCATCATTCTCCGAATAATCGCTATTGGTTTCATCCACGATAGGCTGTTGTGCGCTTGATAAAGCTCGCATTGTTGATGCCAGTTTTCTAGAAAAATCAACGGTAATTCGTTCTATGCAGAAGAAAAACCACTTTACTCTTCAATGGGCGACGCATGTTCGATAGGAAAGATGTACTTATAGACTTCATTGAGACGTTGTCGACGAATTACGAGGAGCTTGTTTTCATGTTCAATGCGTAATTCGTTCTTTTTTCGTATCTCGTCATTTGAGGACTTCAGGACTTGTTTAATATCCGCAACTTTTTTGGCGAGAAAGTCGATACGTGCACAGCACTTGTCATTGTTTTGTTGCGCTTTGATATTAGCCAATTTATCTACATAGAAAATGTTAGATTGCAACAAGAACACTTCTTTCTCGTACTATGTTTGATTTGATTTCGAAGCCGTTCAATTGATTGACTGATAAGAGCCAAACGGTTTTTACGGACGAGAATTTCTTCGGACTAGGAGAAATAGATGAAATTTAACTTTTCAACGCAAGTAACACCGCATTACCATTGCATAGGCTTTCAAATTTGTTTCCATTTTCGTTTGGAATCTGTCGAAAAAAAGTGAAATAAGCTGATAATGATTTTTTTCCAATAAACTTCGATGAGTATTTACTCTTCTTGTAAAACATTCTTTTGTGCATTGAATTTCTTGAGTAGAAACATTCGATCTGAACATCTAAAACGACATTCCCTGTTATATTACGATCATTCGATGATAAGTATTCTCACTGTAAATGTGGCGGTGTGTTTATAGAATGTTTTGTTGAATATTGTTGAAATTCAGCATAATCATTTGTATTCAACATGTTTGCTAAGATTTGCCTTCGTTTATTCGAGCATGTATCATGTCGTGACGGACAAAATTCACCTGTATTTACACATTTAGCACATGTTAACGTTGCATCATCGACTATTTTCCGACATAAACAACATTTATACGATGACGATGTAGTTGCTTTGATATTTCCGTGTAAATTCATCATCATTGCTGACAACGGACCATCCTGATGAGTATCAATATTTGTTCGAAGGTTATCACGATAAGTTGAAAGTAGAAAATGATTTGGAGCAATGGTTGTTGTCATCACATTGTTTGTTGAAGGATATAGACCATTCGAATTAGGTTCATCTTCGTTGTCCATGATTTGGTTAGATCTGAAAAATAGAAGAGAAAATATTAGATGCATTTATATATTTCAATTGTGTCAAAATTAGTTTCGTAATGTCATTGCATAATAAAATATAGAATAGAGTATCACATGACAGAAAGGAGAAAACCACGCGAGAGCAATGGGCGTCAGGATCATTTGATATGCTCGTGTCGAGGAAAGTAACTAAAAAGCTGGTTTATTGTCGAGTTTTTTGTGGTATCACTGGGTACATTTGCTAAATATTCCCGACGTTCGTCGTTAGTTCGGCGTCGACCGATTTGTTCACCCATGCGAACAAGAGTTTCCATGGAATTATCTGAATTGTGATGGATATCGTCATCCCATTTCACCATACCTGCTTTGAAAACAACAACTATAGTACTACCGCCGTATGCAAAATAGCCTAAACATAAAAAGAAAGATTCGGAGGGAAAGAAAGAATTCATCTTACCAAGTTCATCTCCTTTCTCAACAGGTTGATGCGGTTCAACAGTAAAGTTGACTGATCCGACGAGTAGTGCACCGACAGCTACGAAAGCAACTTTTTCGTAAGATTCACACTCGATAGTAATCACAGTTCGTTGATTTTTTGTCAGAACGTCTAAATTTTCCTTTATGGCGATTGGATTCACCGTATAGTACGTTCCACTTATTTGTTTTGCATGTGCGCCAATTTTGCCACCGATTGGCGAATGAAATCGATGATAATCAACCGGTGCTAAACGAAAGATAGCAATCGAACCACCGTTGAATTCTTCGGCCAAAGTCGCGTCATCAAATAGATGCTTCAATGAAAACTTATGGCCTTTAACCCAGATACGTGTGGCATCATTGATATTATCAAATACGATCAAACGGCAATCAGCAGCCGACACAATCACATTTGGATCATGTCGGTTGGCAATGGGTCTAGCTTCTGGTTTTAGTTTTCGATAGAAAAACTCATTGAATGTTGCATAAGATTCTATATTCGAATGAAGTAACTCATCCAGATTTATCTGATACATTTTGACAAACGCTGGAATGTGTTTTCGCGATTTGGGTTCGTCGAAAGCTTTACCCAAACGTTTTGTTTCTCGAGCGAAGAAACTTTTAATAGCACGTGTGTGTAAGATTTCACGTTGCAACGGACCACTGAATAATAAGCGCATACCGTATTTATGGTACGATGGCATTTGTTCGTATGTTAGTTTACTCGTACGACGATCAAGCACCTTGAAAGCATATTTCACGCCTTGTCCATCGTCGTATTTGAAAAATTGTCGAGGTAATTCGTGCTCAGGATGTTGTCGAACAGATTCATTTGTTGGAACGATCGAACGAAAGATAAATGACCAATCGGATGGAATAGGTGTGTGCTCAAAAATATTTCCGTCAGCTGCTGCACCACTGGAACACGTTTGATCAATCATTTGTGAAAAGGCCGTTTGAACTTCGCGAATTTCATCATCATCGAGTATTGGAAGACTTTCATCGTTGTCTTCGATCGATGCTGCCGACGCTCTTTCCGAATTACTTCCCAACGATGCTTCGGATTCTGTTCGGTTCATATGCGTCATTGTCTAAAATGTAATAAGTAGGATATATTTATTCATGAATTCGTCGTACGATTAAGCATTTTTGTCGAAATAAAAAAAAAAACGAATTCGATTTTGGCTAATCTTTGAGATTTCTCATTTTCTTGTTTTTTTTTTGAAAAAAGAAAGAGTTCACGTGTTACAATAAATAAATCAATTCTGTTGTGTTTGCACAGGATGCAACGCGTGCATGATGAAAAGAGAGTGAGAGAGAAAAAAAGATAGAGACAAAAAAGCAACCGAAAACATAAAGAGTATTTTAAAAAAACAAACACTAATGACAGAAAAAGAAAAAGCATATCTTCTTTCATTTGTTTTCTGTGAAACAAAAAAAAATGACACGAACACATCTGAAGTAAGAGTAAGAAAAGTCAGGAATAAACTGACCGAACTATACATAAAAAAGAGGATTTCCTTCGAATTCTTTATTATCCTTCGTTCTATTGTTTTATTTGCATCATTTGAATAATCCAAGAGATCAATTTGAAAAAAAACAATCAAGGACCGGATCGGCATTGAAAAACACAGGAGTCATTCGAGGAGAATTTGAGCGATGTGTTGCTAGAGAAAGAAAACATGATCATTCCGACAGAACGAAACAAAAAATAATATGAGACATGAAGAAGACAATAAAACACAGCACCTAAAGAGGAGAAAAACATGTGTTATACTGTCAAGTTTTAATGAATTAAGGCTGGCTCTGGTGATGTTGAACATCGTAATGAATTCGTCGTAGTTGATGAGACAAGAGCGGCTGTTGTATTCGTTAATTCGGCACAAAGATCATGAAAAAATTGTTCAGTTTCTTCGAAAGCTGATGTTGCTGTTTCCGCTAAATTGGAATCGATAGTTTCATTTCCAACAAGATTCTCTGTTGAAGATGAATTCTTTTGTCGACGTTCAGCACCAATTGCGCGTTTCAATAATAAAGTTACATCTGTTTCTTGTTCGATATCCATCGTGTCACATGGGGAACTATTGGTTTCGTTCGTACTTACAACTGTGACAATATCAGAATCTGTATCCATATCAATTTCGTCGTCGTCATTATTCATACAGTTTCCATTTAGATCAAGTATCCATGGACTGTTACTTGGATCTGTCTGGTTGACTGCTTGCTGTTCGGAATTGGTGCTGACCGATACTGGTTCATTTTCAATCTTCTTTAAAAAGCGCCATACTAATAAACGATTTCGTAGTGAAGCTTCAATAGGTCGTTGACGTTGACTTATCGTCGACCGTTGCAACTAGAAAGATAAACACATGACGATTATTCATTCGAACTTGTTTTTGACGGCAATTCAAATAGACACACACCTTTTCATAAGACAATAAAATATACAATTGTGATAAATCAGTTGGACTTGTCATTGTCATTAGACTAGGAAGTATCTAAAAGAAATCGCGATTTATGATTTGCTTTCTATTTGTTTAGCTGAGACAGGAGACAAAAAAACAGCAGCATGATAAAGAGAAAATGATGTGGGTGGGAATAGAATTTTTTTCTCTCAATTTCGATGAGTCATGCACATAAGCACGCGACCTTAGCTTAACCCAGAAGAAAAGAGAATGACGGAGAAGTTGATAAATAAATAAATAATTGTTTTTCGATAAAGTAAGTCATTTCAATTTTGATGCTTCATATTTAGGAGATAATATGATTTGTAAAAATATTTTCAACCGAAAATTTGACAATAACATCTAGTTATTAATGCACTTATGCACTTTAATGACATATAGTTACTATGCAGAGTACATCGACAATGGAAGAATGATTTGTTCGTTTAGTTGAACAGAGAATACTCAGTTTCGTAGTGAAAACGTATAGTTAGTTGAAGGTTTGGAGGGAAATCAATAATCGTACTCTCATTCTCACTGTTCATTCATACACGATGCTATATGTCCCAAGATGTTCAACTATATTTTCCGCCTGTTGGATTTGACACTAAGGATATCATTGATTTTTTCTTTTCTCCAACTCTAATGTTATATCTTTACTCTCAAGAAAATAGAAATTATCATACAAACCTGACATGGCCAAACTACACAATTTCGATGATGTGAAACACAAAAGACTCGCACCGGAAAGATACAAGTAGATTTCACGGTTGTTATGCTACTACTCACTAACAAAATATCTATTTAGTTCGAATAGTTATCGTATATTCGGAGCACAAGATTCCGAAGAAGCTACTCCGCCATCTCGACAGAATCAAACTCGTGCACCAGCACCGTTTTATACCGAATCCGACGCAAATGCATTGCAACGACAAGGATTCGAATCACGTCATGATCCTTATGCTGCGCGGCCAGTTAATAGTAATCAAACGGCTGCAATACGAACAAATTTCGGTCCAAATGGCCCAATGAGAGCTGCTCATGGAGAACGTGATGAATCTCGGTGGTGGGATTGGACTCATAGCAAATCAAACTCGTCTGATTTAGTATTGAAACAACAAGATGAACGCACTAGAGGACAAAATGGTTCATATCAGAATGTTTTCAACTTTGGAGTAGAAGAGCAATCACAATACTCTCGACAGAATAGTCGTTATTCTGCTAATCCGAAACATACGCGTACGGTAGGAATTGGTAATTGATTGATATTCTCAAAAGGAGAGAAATTAAACTGGTAACTCTAACTCTAGTGCCAATCACTACTCTAAAATCGGATGACATCGAATCAGTTGATCCGCAAAATGTAGAACGAGCTCCATATCAACAACATTATGTTAGTCAAACTAAATTAGATTATGCAAAACGAGAACAAGTAAAGTAGAGTCGATGTGAAAATGTCTCGCTTCTATGCATTTTTGTTTTCGTATAGCAATATAATGCGCCTGTCAGTGAACCACCAAAACCAATGGAGCGTAGTCGAACGATGCCATCTGCGAAAGTTGAACGTGCGGGTAGTATGTGGGATCTATTTCATCCTCATAGTGATGCTGATGACCAAATGTCAGTGAATCCTCGAAAATATCAACGACCATTGCCAGCAATAAAACGAAACGAGAGTTACAACAATATTTGGTCTGATCCCGCAGCATACGCATATAACTATCGTCCTAATCGTGATTATAATCAAGCAGCAATGGTCGATCAAATGAATATCGAATAAATAGAAGTGATTTCATTAACTTTGTGTTACATTTAGTCAGATACCCATTATACCTTGCTGAATGTAATAATTCCTTTTTCTCAAACAAGCATTTTAAAAAATGAATTGTTTCTCTTTACTGATTTCAATAAAACTTCAAGATTTGCATTTAGTTGTTGTCTGCATTTCGACGGTGATAGTGTGTCCGTTGTGAGTCAAAGGTCACAATAACGGAAGTGAAAGAATCTTTAAATAAATTTGACTTTTCAAGCTCTTCACCAGTGAAGTGACCTCGAGTCTGTTACTACTAGTGCAGTGCAAGTAGATTTGGTACAATAGTTTAAACGAAAAGATACGGACCGATATTTAGCTTGATTTAGTGGTAGATTGTATTAAATTGGTTCATAGAACTATGTGTGGAGATAGTAAGTAACGTTCACGAACGAGTAGATGCTTCACACAGTACGTTATCAGCTCAATTAAAAAGAAGATCAAATATTTTTCGTTAAATATGTGTAGGCAATGAAGACATAACAGTTCCTTATGAAATGGTGCTCTCTATAGTAAAGCGACTATTTCACGTTCAAAACTAATTGGTACGTATGGCTAATAGATATTGTCAAAACAGATCATAGTAAAGCCACGGTAGCGCAATCAGTTGTTGAATCTATCATCGGTACGGCATATTACTAAACATTATTACTAGACCAAAATGAAAATATATTGGTACACAGGCAAAACGTAACCAAAGTGAGTTTAGCAGACTATGAGAAATATACATTAACATATAAAATACGGCAACAATGTGCGTTAGTAATCGAGTTCATGGGCATAAGAAATATTTTGAACTTGATCTTGAAGGATCAATCACGCTTTCTTACGATAGAAACTCCGCAATACATTGTGAAAATATACAGCTGTACAGGTGAAATTTTCTGCCCGACGATTCTGATTGAAACTAATACCTATCGATACATAATTGATGTCAACTATTCGTAGAAAGCTTCGAATCAAATCGAATTGGATTTCGAAGTCTCTTTGCATTGTATCGAATATTCCCGATATTACTACTCTTCTTAAAAGGAGCCTGTTTCCTGCGGTTCTCAAATCCCTGTCCGATGAAAAAGCTTTGAAACTCTCAGAGAAAAAAGTGCTAACAGATTTAGATTTGTGCCATCGTCCCTTGTGCTCGATATGAAGTGAGCACGAAAATCAAATGTCATAATTATCTTTACCATTTTAACAACCGCAAGGGTTCTAAAATATCATTTCTCATTACGAAAAGTTCTCATCACAGCTTAAAACAAATCAGCATGCTTATTTTTCTCTTCAAAGAATCTGCCAAAGCTTCATTTAAGCAACAGTGAGAGAAGCAAAATTGAATCTCTTATATAGGTTCCCGCTGTTTCTGAGTTTTGTAGACGTTCAAAGTCGGTCTGGAGCTTTCCAAATAGGATGAGAAGATATGAGACGCAAGGACTATCGAGTCATTGTAAAAAATACAAACAAAAATCTAAAGTTTTCTATCGAAAACGAGAGATTAACGGGGCAAGAAGCACATCTTCATCCTTCAAGGGTTTAATCATTCCAATAACACATATTTTACTTTTATTCAAAAAGGAAGGAAATAGACCTATTTGACTCTGATACGTTTTGTTTAAAAAATATCTATAAGTGTTCTCTTGTGTTCATTGCTCAGCCGACAATTAAGAAAGTCATATACGATGAGCGTTATTTGTTGTTAATTTGTTCTATCATGTGCGTAAGATGTTTTAAATAATTCAAACAGAGCCGTGACGATTTCACCTGTGATAACATCATTTGTATTTATCTTAAGTATGTATATAACCAATGATCCATCGCGGCCCAGATAATTAACTAAAAAATTCGTTATCATTTGGCTGTCTTCATTCGAAACTGAAGTTGCTTCTGATCCCGTTGTTGTTACACGCTGAGGCGTCGTTGGCGACGATGAACGTTCTTCGGGTGTTGATGGAGCATTGCTCTCCACATTTAATTTTTCCGTCGAAATCGGAAGAGTTATATAATCACGTGTGCGCAATGAATTTGTTGAATCTAGACTTGCTCGTAACAATCGACTAGCATAGGGTGGCATTAAACTTTGTTGTTGATGATAGTGATGTACACCATGGGAATGACGAGCGTATGCGTGAGCACGATGGTGGTGATGATGATGGCCGTGAGGACTATGGCGCATTGAATGACGTCGAGGCGGAATAGGTTCTTGAAATGGATCTTGAGGGAAATGATGAGTATTGATACGTTTCATTGATGAGAGATAAAGAATGAGATATGTTCGATAGAATTGTGGATAGAAAAACGAAACAATCCAATAGATAAAACCAAATAGTGTAAATAATGTCGTAAAGTAAAGCCAAAACCAAATGATTAAAAAGATCTTCTCATTGAAGAGATTGATCGGTAAACTACACTGTACTGTATAAGTATGAATATTATCGGCTAGATTACGGACAGCAAAATTACACCTAAATTAAAATAGGGAACATGAATTTGCAGGAAATACTACGCGTTATCTCTTTGTCTGATCTCTAGTGAGCAGAGATAACTTCGTATTATATTTCTTATCTATTCAATATGATCTCATTGTGTTTCTGTTCCTCGATAGATTGATTCTATAAATAGGAAGTGATGAATCTGATTAAGATACGTACCATGTTACTCGGGGAAACCTTGGTGTTACCGTCCAGTTTTCATTATTGCCAGTGAATAATGCATGTATAACTGAAAAGCCATACATGTGATAATCATTTCCGAGGAAAAAGTTGAGCAAATATAGTTGTCCGAAAGCATTGAGTAAGTAGAGAACTTTCGTAAAAAGAAACGACCACATGAGATGACTTTCTCTCATCGATAGATGATTATTATAGAAGAAAAACGTGAAAACTGATGAACATTTCAGCGAATGTAATTCATCAATATATTCGGAACGTTTGTGTCGATGATATTCAATAGTTCGGTCGATATGACGCGCTAAATGACGAACAGATGCGGTACGAAGATCTGCTGTGTATGTATCTGCAAAACGCGCTTGAGTAATAAGCATCCCTAGATCATATCCACTTTTCGAACTTAATGTCGACCAAATCAACGATGGGATATAGAAAAGTACAGCTTGAATCATCAGAATAAACGGAACATATTGATAGAAATAAATAAATTGTTCTGTCTTTGGATCGGGGTATTTAGGTAGAAGACGATCAAATGATACAAAATAAGTATTCGATATCCAACAGATATTATTTGTATATTCCACATGTGTACCGGTAAAATGTGCTGGACAGAAACAAGCGATAGGTTCGCCAACATATTGTTTTGATGAAACAAGTATAGCGAATATACTGAGAAGAACAACTGAATAACGACGCGATAAACGATCATAGAAGTCATCGTCACATGCACCGTCATGACTATGATGACCAACTTTAGCAGCTGCATCAACGAGAAACACAGCCACGCTGAAAGAAATTCCACAGAACGTCATCTTCTAGATATATATTTAGTATGAGAAGCTCTAGAAAATACTTTCTCAACTGTGACATTTGATGAGATGTACATTGTTTAATTTTCTCAGGTTTCAAAGCTTATGCTAAAATTTTTTCGCATCGATCAGTTTGGAAACGGTTCTTATTTTCAAGCGAACAAAATATTTAATTAGTTCGGAGAACGTCAAAACGGTCTAACAGATTTTCTGACATTTTCTTCGTCGTCTGCCGTTGTAAATGTATTGATTGACAACGAAGAAATTAGAGTAAAAAAACCGGCTTTTCTCGGACCACACGCACACACACGTGTTTTTCTAATTAACAGAAAAACATCTCCATACATTTCGTTCCAAAAGTAAATGTGCACTGTTTTCAGATCTTATGCAAAATTATTCATCATCACTATTTTCAAGAACCCATTGTCTATTCAAGAGTTCGTGTCACTTTCCAAGGGCGTGCGTTGTATCATCTCTTGTTCCTTATATTATCAACATCTTGTAAGCCTGGATACATGCTCGTTGAATCCTATCACGTATTGTTTGGCTTTGTAACATAAACATTATTTCTTGTTAATCCTAATCGCTCGGCCTTAAGTGTTATTAGAAATTTCCGGGTAAACTTACTGTTCCAGTGCATCTAATATCCACCAGTGAAACATGCTGCTCGATGAAAATTAATATCCAATTGAGATATTTACTAGAATAAATAAAAAAAAAGAAATTCATACGATAGACAAAAGACTAGTCGAATGAAATAGGAAAAAAAAGGAATAGGAAGTTCTTTATTCTTTCTTCTTCTTCTCCTTCTTCTTTTTCTCTTTCTGCCTTGAATTATATTGTATTCTTGATTAGTGACAGAGAAATTTGCAACAAGGATTTTTTTCTGCTACCTCGTTTAAATTAATACGAATCTTGATGATTGTCTGGGTCGATCGATCGACATAATTCTTGTTATCTATTATCTACTTACTTAACTTTCTATCAACAAAATCTCGATGTTCTGCTTTTCCTCTCTCGTTGCATGCATGTGTGCAGCAAACCGTGTGAAATGTAGACGAGCCTTTAAACATGAAGTAATCAAGCAAAATACCATAGAAAAGTCAATTGAGATTAGTTCTAACACAATGCAAGTAGTTCATTGGTCACTGCCGGAGAACATCGATTTCTAGCTGAATCTACAAAAGAGAGAAATCAATCATTCTTTGATTATCATTGCTTTTCTTTTACATTTCTGATAAGTGCATTAATTGAGGCCAATTGAACACGATTAGTACGTATGATTATCGTGATTCATTCTTTTCTTCTCTTGCAGGAACTATCACAGGATGACGTTCTTGATTATTAATCGATGAGCAAAACGAGATGTACTTATCGATTCATTCATTTTTTGCATTCTGCTTGAACCAAACAAGAAGAGAGAAAATCGATAATCAAAGAAAAGCAAGTGAACAAATATATTGTTGATAAACCCCTTGATAAGAGTATGTCACTTCGTTAGCCTTGACTCGTCAATTGTTAGAAAAGAAAAAGACAGAAAGAACTCTATACTAGAAAACATTATCCGGTTACTCTTTTTTTTTCTACTTTAGTTAACAAAGAACGATCGATTTATACTTCCTCTTTCTGTCAAATGTGCATTTGCCGAATTGTATTGATTTAGAAAGATCTGTGTATATGTGTAAACATTCGGACGGTGTATTCAAGGTCGGAAGTGATTGAGATAATATACCTAAACATGCAAATTCAAACCTCGACAAGGTTATTTTCTACTCACTGAAATAAAAACAACTCATTAAAATCAAAAGAAAAATGATTATACATTTGCTAGCAGAAAAGGAACTTCGGCGAGTGATTGTGGCAGGACCAAAATACCTCGATGATATTCTTTTAATTGAGGCCGAGAGAGAGAGAGAAAACGAGTATAAGTATAGTTGAATAGAGCATTCGCCGCAAAAATGTTATAGTTTTTGCAGAGTTTATATGTGAATATTTAGATAGTTTGCTTATACATTTTTTATTAAGACTCCCTATTGATTGCAATCGTTTGAAGTGATTAATTATTCATAGCTTAATTTGTTTTTTTGTATAGTATTTTGTCGAGCTGATGAAATATTCTATTCTGTAGGAAAGATCTCGATGGTTTTAACCAATACGAATGAGTTCATATTCATTTCTTCAGTTTGTCTTTGGATTGTAATTGATTGTATCTCACGAGGCATTGAAAATGTAATGTACAATCTGAACTTCTTTTTATTCCTTTATTTCAATCAATGAATACACTCCGTCTATGCGAACGCTCATTATTTATTCACAATGCCAACATCAACTGGATCTCTCGCAAAAACAGCTCGACGAAAATTCATTAAAATAGAGGCTCTTCGCTGTTAATCAGATGTCGAGTAAAAGCACACTATTGTGTTCAGTCTTTGATCGTCAGATTCAACATTGCATACGTGAAACCAATTATAAAACCAATGCAAAATGCAGCAATAAATATGCAGATCGTAAGAAAAACATCTTTACGAGTTGGTGCAGGTAAACTGAAACGAGAGACAAAACAGTTCTTTCATTCATTCATTCATTGTTAACCCATTTAAAATGTTTCTTTCATATCGGTGTTGAAAGTACACTATCTATCTATTCACATGAATTACGTCTCGATTGTAGATGACATTTGATACGTACCTGTTTATATTCTCCATGTTTTGATGCGATGTGTAATGAATGTTCGTGAATATTAAATGAATCAATCTTTTACACAGCAGGAGATAGAATGTTAGACGTTAAAACTCATTTTTTCTGGATTTCTTCTTTCCTAGACATGAAGAGATGCATTTCAATTAAAACGTCATGTAACAAAAAACATTACTCGATCGGCCATGACCATTTTCGGGTACAGTTCTACGTAAATAGATTAAGGTTCTACTGAATTGTCTTGTTTACTTACAAAAGAGATTTCTCATAATTGTTTACGCTAGAATGACCTATGAAAACAAAATAGATACTTCTCAAATGATGAAAATAAGATATGTACTTGTCTTTGGAATTAAGTTTGATTTCGAGCGATTTGTAGAAGAAGTTGGCATGCCAGTTGGAAATGCAGAATCTGAACTCGATTCCAGCGATCCGAACGATATTGAAGGACTTGGTATCACACTATTCGAACGTAATCTGAAAGAAATGACCGGTATGCGAACTAAAACAACAATAATCATGTCACCTTGGATTGCCGCTACTAAGACAATTTAAGATGTTTGTTTCCAAATTTTTGAGAAATAACGATTTACAAGGTGGACTATCATTGGTATTCTTTGATTGAAATTCTCGCTCCGGTTGATAGGATACCGACTGTTCTGGCTCATTGAATATCTGTTCGGTATTCTCGTGTCGATTTCTGTTCGATCGACGGCAACATGGGCAGCATCGGTCAGTCCAACTTTGATTTCGACGTTGCTGTAATTGTTCAAACTTTTTGCGTAATCGTTGCCGTTCGCTTTCACATTTCTTCCTTTCACATTGTAATCGCGCTATGTCTGCTGCATTTGTATTCACACATTGATTAGTTTGAGGGTGATTGAAAGTTGCGAAATAATTCTTCATTATTCGAATGATCGACAGCATAAATCCTTGACGAAAATAATCGGCAATTCATGCGTGGATGCTTATCAAATTGAGTAGAAAAGGAATTGTTGACCAAGCATTATTGGCGCTTGATTCATTCTTTTGTTCTTCTCTCCATGATTTCTTCACAGATTTTATTATCTGCTGGAGATCAGAAAAAATCAATTCTCATGGAAAGTGCAGCGAAAAAGTTTCCTGAACAATTTTTCGTTCAAGCACATCCATTCAGTGATCTGACACTTTTCGTTCAAGGTGAGATTTATCGCATACAAATAGATGATTCATCATTGGAGTTGTTTAGATCGAGAACTCTACGTTGATAAAAGCGTCTTAGCGGTCGGATCGAAAGTTTTTCGAACTTATCTACAAGATGCAACAATCGATTCGATTGAGATACTGGATGTTTCTGCAAATGATATGATTGAACTTCTTCGATTTCTCTATCCGCAGTATCATTGTACGATTAATAATCATAATGTGACGATCTTGCTCATTCTCGGTAGGAAAACACGAGTGAAACCAGAACTAAACTCATCCTAATTTAGCTAATCGTTTCGAAATCGATTTTGTCATATCGGCCTGTCGAACATTTACATTAGTGTACTTGTCTAAACTTGAATTAAACTGTGCGAATGAATTGATCGAGCAAGACGATGGCACTCGTTTACCAATCTCATCTATTATCGAGATTTTATGTATTTGGTTTCGTGAATTCTTCTATATGAATGACGCGAACACCTGCCGTGCTGTTTTGGATAAACTATCGCAATGTAAAACATCAACAATTGACGCATCAAATGGTTTCAAAGGTATCGACGAGGCTATCAAATGGCGAATCTTTCAAGCACGAACGAAACACCTAGAAACCAAAGCATCACTTGAGTGCAAATGATACATTATTTTTCGCTAATTAAAAAACATTTGCTCATTTCCTATCTCGTTGAATCATTTGACAAGTATGGAATGAATGTTGATTGTTTTATCTTCGAATGCATGAAAACGAAGATTTCTTCGACTTAAAAGGAAAAACTTAGTCAGTTTATTGTTCAACAAAATGCAAAGAAAGAAATGATACAGATTTCTCATCGACATTAGATCTCTAACCATCGTTACGATACATACAGATCTTGATTGAAAGAGAAAGGTTAATGAAATTTGTACATAAAGAACAAAAGAAAAATGATTGAATGATCTTCAGATTTCTAAACGTAATGAGAAAAGAAAATAATAAAAAAAAGAAGAAGAAAAAAATGTGTGTGTGTCACGTATTTTCTACAGCCATTACTTTTTTCAAACACTTTGATATCCATTGTGATTTCGTCGACGACAGATCAAATAGACAACAAGTACAGTAATCACCAGTACTGATAAACATACGCCAACGATAATCGGAACTTTGTAATTGTCTCGAAATCGATCTAGGAGGCATACGTCCTCTGAAAGAAAACAAAAGATTAACATTTAAAGGCTTTTAATCGTTCTTGCCTGTCTCATAGTCATGAAAGATAATGCTGCTATCAACAAATGGTTGAATGCGTAGGTTTTGCAAATCAATTGACTTAATTGTTACATTGCCGTCCGATTTGAAATTGTCGATTTTCGTTTGTGCGTTGCATCGATATGATTTACTGCGATCAGTAATGAATAACGATTCATTGGTAACAAATGGGTGAATACCACGAGCATATTTGCTACAATTTGGAAAGAATGCATTGTCAGCAATTGTCACAGTAGCAAGAACTCGGCTCAACGATGTTTTGTTTTTTTCATCCATAGAAAAGTTGAATAAAATTGTTGTTAAGTTATCTAACAAGGTCAGAGTGAGTGTGTGACTATTGCTGAGATCGCATGCTCCATCATAGTACTGAAATGTTTCGTTGTTCAATGGAATTTTGGAAATATTTTTCTTCTACGAAAAGAAATAGATGTATTGTGAAATAGACAAGATCAATTGCGATAGTTTACTCCATCAATTTGCGTGTATTCAACATTGAGTACAAGATCAAATCGAGCAATCAAGCATAAATTACTTGAATTTTTAGGTAATGTATAATTACCCGGAAGTTCAACTGCCTAAAAAGAAATCAAATTTTATACATATTGTATGCGTCTTCTTCTTCTTCTTTCTTTTGTCTTACATTAGTTGATGAAATGAGAATAAGACAGACTAAAAGTAGAAGGAGCATGACAATTGATCACGTTGATCCAAAATGAGATCTTACCGAGCGAAAGAAGCGTTGAGTAAATATTCGACAACATAGTTTGATTGAAACTATCTAAAACAACGCAAGTATATTGATTTCAGTTTCTTTTTTCGGTTGCTTATCAATGATTACGCAGCCCCGAGTGTACGTCTGTCTATTTACTCATGTTGATAATAGAGAAGAAAGAAGAGAGGGAGAGTGGGAAAAGAAGAAAAGTACATTCCTCGCTATGATGCATTCGTCTTCAGTGCAGCGAACGAGAGTCAATGATTATATACACAGTCTTTGTAAACTGCTTTCGATAAAAGGGGAGAAGACGAGAAAGGAATGAGTCACAGTTTTACATGGCAAAATGTCTCTCTCCCTCTCTGACGTTTTATTTTTCTTTCGCTTTTAAAAGGACGCAAGCAAACAAGAGAAAATTTGCGTTCGCTCGCGGTGTTTGAGTGTGAAGCACAGTATCGAGGTTCAAATGAAAAGAAATAAAAAAAAAAAGGAATCGAATGGGGTTGAAATAAAAGAAATGAGGGCAAGAGAAGAACGCAATTGATGAAAATAGGAACAATTGCAAAATGAAATCGAAAGAAATCTATAAGAACGAGCTTTCTTCTATATAGATGGGCAATAGTACAAATGAAACTAAAACAATATCCTTTTCTAATGAGTAACTGTAAGATGCAAAGGAAAAAAACTGCTTATGGTCATCTCGAGATTATCTCGTTGGAGAGAAAACAAGCGATTACTAATCGAATAGGTATAGTTTAAATAGGCAATCGATTGCGAAAGAGATTTACGTTGTTTTTCCTTCAGTAAATGTCAGTTATATTAAAGTAAAATCAGTCCGTTTGGCAGCCTGCTGATCGTGATGACTCATGGATATATCAACCAATCAGAAGCTTTTGCGTTCTTTTATAAAATAAATTAATTTTTAACGAAATCATTCTGATGAATTATCACTTAAATTGCGTTAATAAGTCATAACTTTGCACGTTCATACGCAGAAAATAATGCTTTGGCAACCATCATGATATTGTCGCACTCTTTCGTGCCTCCACAAAATACAGTAGTAGGAATCTTTCGCTTCGCTGTACTCTATTTTTTTCTTCTCTTTTTCTTTCGTTAACCTCTCCTTCTAACGCTAATAATCCTTCCTCTTTTTCTGCACGTATGTGTTATATACGGCAAGAACACGTCGACGATGGGTATTCTCTAGCACAATATGCGTATCGTCGTGGTTGATTTTGGGTGGTGGAATCGATCACTCGTATTCCTCTTCCCTTTTCTGCATACAGTACAGAACACAAGGTCAATCGTTTCATTCTCATTTTTGCTTATAGATCATTCTACTGACTATCGAAGATGTTTCCTGGTTTTATTCAAGGGGCACTCGTAGCCGTCATTATTATTCTTGCTCAAACAACAAAACGTATCCATTCTGAAGATACAGTCGATGAAACTCATGTTCTTTCATTAACGAAAGATACATTCGATGACGCTGTTAAAAACAACAAACATCTACTTGTCAAATTCGTCGCACCATGGTGTGGTCATTGCAAAGCACTGGGTCCGGCCTATGCCGCTGCTGCCAAAAAACTGGTTGACTCCGGTAGTGATATCAAACTAGCCAGTGTTGATGCGACAATTGAACAAGACTTAGCACAGAAATATGATGTTAAGGGTTATCCCACAATCAAATTCTTCAGTGATGGAACGACATTCGAATATACAGGTGGACGTGCTGAAGATGATATTATTAATTGGTTAAAGAAGAAAACCGGACCAGCAGCTGCCGAATTGAAAACTGTTGATGATCTTAACAAATTAAAAGAAGCCAATGAAGTTGTTGTCATCGGTGCTTTTCAAGATACAGATGGTGATGTTGCTGCTTCATTTCTTCAAGTAGCGAAAACAGTTGATGGTATTCCGTTTGGTATAACATCAAACAAGGACGTTCTCAAAGAACTCGAAATCAAAAAAGATACAATTGTTCTCTTGAAAAAGGCAAGTAGTAACAAAATCCGTGGGCGATTGTTTTTCTATTTTCTTGAATTTCAGTTTGATGAAGGTCGTAACGATCTTACTTCCACCATTGATGAAGGTTCAATCCGTGAATTTATTCAAGCTAACCAACTTCCAACTGTTGTTGACTTCAATGCTGAAGTAAGTGTACTTGCACGTCAATCGAATAAACATCTTTGCCTAATTCATTTCAGACGGCACAAAAAATCTTCGGTGGTGATATCAAAGTCCATGTACTTTTATTTGCCAGCAAAAAAGGTAGCGATTACGAAAAACTTCGAGGCGAATTCCAGACTGCTGCTAAACAATACCGTGGCAAAGTAAAACTATCCGTGTGAAATGTTGTTTCAAACTAGTCTTTCTCTTTCGTCTAGACACTCTTCGTTTCTATTGACTCCGATGACGAAGAAAACGAACGTGTTTTGGAATTCTTTGGCCTCAAAACCACTGATGTTCCTGCCGTTCGTTTAATCACATTGAAAGATGAAATGAGCAAATTCAAACCAGAATCATCCGATATCACCTCAGCAGTGTTGACCACATTCGTTGATGCTTTCTTTGACGGTAAACTCAAGCCACATTTACTTACACAAGAACTTCCCGAAGATTGGGACAAAACGCCAGTGAAAACCTTAGTTGGCACAAACTTTCATGAAGTTGCTACAAATAAAAAGAAAACTGTGTTAGTTACGTTTATCGCCCCCTGGTAAGAAACAATTGACTTCTTTTTCGAGATATTTATCATAGAGAGAACGTTTGTTTTCCTAGGTGCGGTCATTGCAAACAATTGACACCTATCTATGAACAATTAGGTGAGAAATACAAAGACAATCAAGATGTTGTCATTGCTAAAATGGATGCTACTGCTAACGAACTCGAAGATATCAAAATTCAAAGCTTTCCAACAATCAAGTATGCTTAGATTTTGAATCTTATAGTTCTATATTTGGTCCTGCTTTAGATTGTTTCCAAAAGATTCCGATGAAGTAATTGATTATCAAGGTGAAAGAACACTCGAAGCTCTTTCGAAATTCATTGATTCGAATGGTCAAGAAGCAGGCAAAATCCCCGAAGAGGTACGTCTCACACAAACATCTCCACACATGATTGATTCAAATGTTTTTCTTTATTTCAGACGGCTGAACAAACCGAAGAAGCCGACGAAGAAGCTGACGCTGGCCATGAAGATTTATAAAAGCCAAGTATAGAAATGTTTGCGTCTTAATATCATCGAGAATCTTTACATATACTCATCTGTTTTTTTTTTCTTTGTCTTTTATTTATCTATTAAATTTTCCCTCTATTACTCTATTTATGTCCATCATTGATAACGAACGTGTAGAATGAAATCAAAAGCCTTCGTGACTGACATATCTAGTTTACCGAGTTGTTTACTCTTAGCGTGGTTTTTCTTTCTATTATTTCAAAATTAATCATCGTTGGAGAACAGAATCAGAAAGTCCATAGTTATTGCAATCATTTCTTAGCTCTTATATAATAGAATATCCGCGTGTTGATCATTCTCTCGTTTATTCACCGGTTGCTGTGTTGTTCTTGTTAACATTTCTTTTTTTTGTCTATGTTTGTTTTGTTTTTTGTTTCCTTTCGTCGATTGCTGTCACATGTGTGCATGTGATAGGGGTACTAAACGAGAATACATTAACATATGTTGAAAATCAATATAGCAAAATTCGTCTGTTCATTCTCATCAGTGATGACTTGATCTTATCTGGAAGATTGATTATGTGCTTTAGAATCGATCAGAAGATGTGAACAGAGTTTTAGATATATTGTTTGTTGAAAATCTTTTATTTCATCTAGCTTTAGTAGCTAGTAACAAAACAACGAACGGTTTAACACCAACGTTCAGGAAAAGTACGAATCTCTTTGATAATTCCTGTTCCTAATGATTTCCATTGGTCGATTATTTGAACATAATCGATATTAGGATGACCATTGCTTGTCGTTTTCGATGGTTTCCATAGTACACAAACCATGAGACCACCGAATTCATCATGAAAGAATTCCGCTTGTTCATTATAGGCGGCCTAGATGAAATGTATTTCAGAATCAAATCCGTTCTTTCCTTCTGCGCATCTTACTCGTAATTCGGTAACAAACAACTGTGCTGGATCATAATCAACAACAGATAACAATTTATTCTGTTGATTATTCACATCGGATCCTTTCGTGCGCGTTGTATATGTTACTTCTGTTGATACATGATCGATAGCTTGATAGGCACGTGGACATTGAAGTGGATCCAACATAATGATGACATCATACGAAGTGAGACTTGGTCGAAATAGAAACTAAACAAACTTCATTGATAGAGAGAATTGTTCGTCAGGAAGTCCAACGTACTTTAATCGATTCACTATTATTTGTTTCCAGATGATTCAATGCTTCCTTGGCTAGTTGTATGACACGTTTCATGACTGGAACGCTTGGTTTCGTACTCTCGTGAAATGCTACGGATGGCATTATGCACAGAGCCGGTAGAGATGATCGTTCCGTTTTGAATTGTGCTTGCATCTGAAACACTTGATCTTCTACAAAATCGTAAACGAGTTATGAGTAAAAATTCACTGTTTCTATCGTCATTACTTGTCAATTCGTGGTTAAAATTAATAATTAACGGTTCATTGATCCAATCAAAATCACGAAGTAGACGAAGAACACGACTAAAACCGGTTAGCATTGATCTAAATACGCGGAAGCATTGTAAATTTTTCCACCGAATTATTCCATACATACTTTGGTGGTTCGAACGGAGCTGAATGAAGAAAAACATAACAGCAAATTAAGTCGGCATTGATGCTTTCAAAATGGTGTAGAAGCAGTTGAGATGAAAGCCATCGTTTAAACAAACGTGATACTAATTGATAATGAGCAAATTGTTGACTAACACTAAACAGTTAACATTGTTAATTGAAAATATCGTCAAAGTCGCTCTCACCCATAGATAGCTGCATGAATCTTCGGTAAATATTCTGTATCAAATCTCAATTTCTTCGATAAATCCGTTTTCTTTATTGTTCGTGCCAGACCATCCTTTTTTCCCGCTGCACTTTCGATCAAATAGATCTCTTTATGGTACGATATAACTAATCGATAGATGTAATGATTTTTTTCAATATAAACACAATCGGTCGTTGCCCGACAGGTCAAATGAAATTGTTGCTGTAACAGTTTTGCTAGTTGAATGTAGTAGAGTATCTTCGAGTGTTTGATACGTTCCAAAGTTTCAAAATCGCGATCATTTGAACTGGTCTTTTCCAACTGACATAAAATAGCTAATGATGGACTGAACGGTGGTGCATACCGTGAGGTTGAACGAGGAATTAATGCCTGAGTAGTATGTTCAATCGAACGAATTTTATGCAAATCAGTTAGAAATACGGATGGTAAAGGTGGAAAGACATTTGTATAACGAAATGTTTCGTCAACACCAACGATATTATTGATTTTCAGAGGTAGTTCATTGTTTAACGTGCGAATTTGTTTGGATAGTTCAACGAATTCACGACAAAGATAGATATGTTGTTCATCACCTGTCCCATACGATGGAAAAAGACGAGCTGGAATTGACAGTAGACTTGATGGAAGTTGATCGTTGTAAACAAATTCAATATGAGTTGGAGATATACCAGCTTGTCTGAAAGAAGAATATATTAATTAAACGAAATCAGAAAATGAAAACGAAACTTACATTTCCAAAAGATAACGAGTTGCGTCCATCCAGATCAATCGTTTATCTTTCGCAGTTTCGACATTCCAAACAACAGACTCAAGGATTGAACCATCAGGAAAACGACGCAGTTCGGATCGTTCGGTCCATAGTTTTCGAAATGTTGCGGCCTGGAAAAGAAACGCAAATTCATTTGTTTCAAATTCGAACAGATCTTTAGTTATCCTTATCTAATCTTGCCGACTCAGATAACACGATATGTTGACTTTAAAGGTCTCTGACGTCGATACGACAATGATAACGATTGAAATCGAGTAATATCTTACCTCTTTCGTTTCATTCTCTGGTCCTTTGAGTACCGACAAATCGTATTGATCAGAGAAAATCACTCCGAACGTGATCGATGTTCTTGCCGGTACCGGTTCATTGATTGGCCACTAAAAAGAAAACAAATACACAATAATCTGTACTACAACTAGCAGGATAGGTTTTTTTTTGTCGACAACTAATCGAATTGATCATGAATCAAAGATTGACAAAAAATACGGTTCCGCGTATAAAATCAATAAGCGAGTATCTTTCAGTAGGCAAATATTCGTCGATGATGCTCTTGTTTGCACCATTGAGACTATATTCCCATTCTTGAAATCGGTTAAATCAATGACTTTCAAGCATTGAAGGTAACTGTTCAGGTAAAGAAACTTTTCTTTGTAAATCGATGGTTCTATTCGTATACAGTTGTCATTCAATCCTGATGCGGGATCCAAATAGAGTTGTAATTGTATATCCAATGTGTATCGATTGAAATTTCTTAGACAAATCTCTTCGTTTTTGTTCCTGTAAACCACTAGTAAATTGTTTTGATCACATGTGATATCCAGTAGAATTTCGTCTGAATTGAATAAATCAACCTTTCGATTAATTTTCAAATTCAACTTCTTTTCATCAAACAAATATTCGACAAGATCATGATCACCAACAATTCCATACATTATCGACTTGTAAAAAGCAATACGATTCAATGGTAAACTATCCGATACGCATCCTAAATCATTTACAGACAGTGTCTTTCGATCGAGCATGTACAAGTGATTGAAATCGTTTGTTGAAATGAAGTAATGATCAGTGTCCTGATTGTATGCTATATCGCATAGTTGCGTACTGAAATGCAATGGCCATTGAAGGTAGAGACGTTGAAGACAATGGTATTTGTTGTCTTCGTACTGAAGAAAAACAAGAATATTTAATTTGGAATTGTACAGAAGAACTTCATTAGATTTCGTCGAACTCGCTAGGCAATGATATTTCATTTCACATTGGCTGAACATGATTGTTGAATGGCCCATTTGACACGAGTTTTCATCTGATAATAACGACTTATACAAGCAAACTAATGTCTTATTATCATTCTTGCTCAACGATGGACTACGTAGGTATAAATCGGGAAGGAACAGAGAATCGATTTCGTATCCAGTTCGTTTTCCATCGAAATATCTAGTGATTAGAATGGAAAGATTTGATGCGTTCTCCAGAGAGTGATCATGAGATTGTATCGGAGTACTCGATATTGATTTGAGTGTGCATGGTTGCTTTGTTACTGGTTGAAAATTCACACCTTTTCGGGGTGGCAAACAAGCAGAGATGATGACTGGTAGTTTCTTTTGAATCATTTCTTTCCAAGGGTAAATCGCGGTTTTGCTTGTTAACTCTCGAAAGTGTGCGTAGTCTAATTTGATGTTTTCATTCAATTGGTTTGTTGTGAAAGAATTTATGCCCAAATGTAGACGTTTTTCAAATGAATTCAATTGCGAGTAAACGCGTAAATATTCCAGTTGTTCAGGAAAATCACCTGGCAGATTGGCCGTTTGCGTTTGTTCGCGTATTGTTAAATACTGTCTGTTGATTTCCATGTAATATTTTTGATAAAGTTCTCGAATTTCGTTCGACTTCTGTTGAATGAAGTTCTCGATTTGTTCGATAGTTTGTGTCTTCCATCGATGAAGTTGTTCATCGAGATATAGCATATACTTTTGATTACGCGCATGTATCGTCGATGTATGGAATTGTTCGTGATAGATTTTCGAAACTTTTTGGAATTGTATTAACAAATCCTCTTCCATTCGTCTAGTTCTCTTCTTCTTGTTCTTAGTCTCTCAGTTTACCGCACAAGTGTTCGTCTATGAAGAACAAATGAAAGATAAGAAACTTACGGTTTTTACTAGTGATGGTAAAGGGCAAAGTAAACTGATACGTTCTTTAAGACCATTTTCAAGGAGATGAAGAACTTGTTGGCAGAGAAGAAAATGCTTATTATTCAGATTATCCATTAATAGTTGATTTTTCGTTGATTTTCCTTCAAGAAGTTTATCATATTGATCAATAGAAGAGATCCTGTATGAGAAAGAAGAAAATGACCAAAGAATTTTACAGAGTTGGTGTACTTACTGAATAGTTGCGTCCATACTGTAGATTGGTTTCATCGATGTCATGAAAAGAGTTTGAAAATGATCGATGACTGGATCATTGAACGAGTTCAAGGATATTCGTGCTTCGTATTGTAACTAAAATTGAAGATGTGTATGGAACTTCCAATCAAGTCGTCTTGTTCTTACTCGTTTGTAATTTGCTCGCGTTAATGTATGAAAAACATTGAGCAATCCAGACTGATCGGTCAAGACACAGTCGTCGTTGTTAAAGATATTTTCAGCAGGTTTTTCGTTTGATAATGAACGATTATCAATTGGTAGAAAGTTGTTTTCCACTTGAATGGAGAGAAAGAGAGAGAGGAAATTGAGATTTTTGTAATCAAGTTTCGATCTCAGCTTACTTAATGCCACTAGAACAATACGAAAAACTTGATAACTATTCATTTGTCGAGTGAGTTTATTCGTTTGTAGTAAATAAGCGAGTAGAAATGCTGACATTCCACCTTCAAACGAGCCGAAGTCCTAAACAGACGAAGGAAATTTCATTTTGATCTTCTACAGATATGTTCACTTTTTTACATGGGATAATTGTCGTTGTTCAAGCCAGATTTTGAATAATTTCAATCCATTACATAATTCTTTCGACGAAGAAAAGATTTTCTTCAAATATTCCGATGTTTCTCGACAACGGCAATCGAACAGAATCGACGAATTGTAGTTCGGCGTCGGATAGAACGGTTCATTTTCTTCTTTTCCATCGCCAGCAAACCAATTCCAACGAAGATTACTCGATGTTGGTAAGAAGCGTTTTTCTTTGAAAGAGTTCTGCTCTGGTGCAAGTATTATTCGAATAGCAAATGTCGATGATTCTACACACGCATAGAAAACAAAATCAGAGTCTGGAAGAAGAGATTTCTTACCTTTCGGTTTGACTAATAGAACAGCGTGATTGTTTGTTGTATCATTCAAATGTGCGAATTCTAATGAGTGCTTGAGTTTTTTTGCTAAATAGCACAGATAGATAGCTCGTTTTCCTATGTATTCATTATTGAGATAATCTCTTTTATGAATACATATACGCGGAATTTCCACCAGAAGATCGATGATAGTCGAGAGTTTATTCGATGATTTGACTATGAAACCATCGTATGTATAAGAACCAATCGACTCGATGACTGTTGGTGGAAAGAATTGAAATGACTTTTCCATTTTCGCATAGGATAATGGTATCTTAATATTGAATTTGTCTAACCATTCCGACATCTTTGAGAACTAAATACGAAGATATGAGAAAGAAAAAGCGCACGAATACGTTCGAATTTACTTCTCGAACTTTGCCCTGAGGAATCGATTTGAGTTCATTTGAAACTTCGTCAATAAATTGATTGATTTCATGACGTTGACTTTCTTTTAATGTTACTTCATTCAGCAATGCACTGACCTTTAGTAAAAATTCAATGAAGAAACTTTTCCACGCCATCGATTTACATACTTTCATTTTAGTTACAGTTGAATGAAAAGTGATTTCGGATTCGAAATACGCCGTTTCAACATCTTGTTCTTCAGCATATTCAACTTTTTTCTTCTTCTTCTGTCCGTGTCCGTTGGTAAACGAAACACCATTGGATTTACGTTTTAGTACTTCCATCTAAGAACCAAACTTTTGTACAAATGCTCTCTCAAAGTCTGTTCAAAAGAACTCTGAGTGGATGAAAGAAACGAACGAATCATAGATAAGCCCGACCACTTCGACCGCAACTAGACGACCTCTACGGAATACCGGCGGTGCAAATGTACATCAATGGCTACAAACCTTGTCATTCAGAATGAAACTGTGTGTTTTAAATGAACCGATAGTAAAACTGTTTTCCATTGTCTTCTGTTGTGACACGGTGGTGATTTTTCACAAATAAAAACTCATTTCTATTGACAGACTCGACGAAAACAGAAAAATAGTTTTGTGTCAAAACAAACCGAAGGTCCATTTCGTGTTCGCATCGTATGAATAGCGTGACTGACTCGGAAAACTTAACCAATGAGTCAGTCGGGTCGATTCATTGTACTTTGAGATGTGCGTATTATCTGTTTGGAACGTGAACTTCGTGTACCGACGGTATACGTACTTATAGCGAACCTATCGACATGAAGAAAGATCAATCATCTCTGTGCATTCTTCTTTCAAAATGAATCATTTCTAGTATCATCATATGCATATCTTTTCTCTCTCTAAGTAAAAGAACAGAACAAAATCAAACAAAATGCATTTTGATGAAACAAGAAAGAAAAGGAAGAGAACACGAGAATTTATTTTTCTCTTTCCCCCTGTCTCTCTCTCTCCTTCATTCACTCCTTATATATCTCGACAAGGCAAAAATACACGCGTTCGTTCTATAGCAAACATATGCTTATATATGGTCCGATTCTGGGATGGTCATATCTCGCCATCATGTATGAGTCATCAGCTTTTTTTTGCTTGTTTAAAACTGCTGCCAATTTTCTGGTTGAAGGCAATGTACGTTTCGATTGTTCATTACAATAAGGGGTAATCATTACTTGAAGATCGTAGGTACACTTCGTTTCCCGTACCTAATATGGCAGAGAAAGAGTTTTCTTCCTTCTTTCTTTCTTTCTTTCTCTCGTTTTAACCTCTGTTTTTTTTATTATCATTCTTTTTATGATCTCTCCCATTCTATTTGCTCTCTTGTTCGAGCTTGATGACAAATATAGACTGCAAGAAAAGGAGGAATGACGTTGATTCTTGATTATAATTACCAACAATAACCTTTTGTGTTTTAGTATTTCTCTTTAGTACATCAAAATATTAAATTTCAATGACAGGCACCCTTTTCTCAAAGGTAAATAAGTGGAACATCGATTTGTTTACGACGAATGTCGATATATGCAATATGAATTGTTCATTTAGGCTGATAAAGACATAGAAATAAATAAGAATAATGATTGCAATGATCTTCAATGTGAGGAATTCGAAGAAACACCACTCTATGCCGCTGTGTTAACTTATCTTAGCTACGCTATACTTTGTTTATTCGGCTGGCTACGAGATTTTCTACGACAATCAAATATTGAGAAGAAACGTGGTGCTGTTGATCCTAATGCTTCATTGGTTTGTTAAATTAAATACCTATTCAATGAAACAATACACCTTTGCTTGTTTTGTAGGGCTTCGTTCCACTCTATCAAAGTTATGAGTCATTTTACACACGGAATATGTACACACGCGTTCGGGATATTTTTAATCGTCCTATCGCCAGTGTACCTGGCGCACAGTTTGAATTAACAGAGCGCATGTCTGACGATTATAATTGGACGTATAGGTATGTCCACATTGAACGAATTTCAATAAGTATAGAACAGTTTTTTTCGTATGAAGATACACAGGCAGAACAATTAGTGCTGTTAATTTCGGTTCATACAATTATTTGGGTTTTGCTGAACGCACGGGTCAATGTGCAACTGATGCTATTAATGGACTGAAATCCTATGCGGTTTCTAGTTGTAGTACACGGTCTGAAATAGGTAAGCGAATTGCTTATTGACTTAAGATAAGAACGTTAATAATATCAAAATAATATGCTTATTTTTCCTCGTGCTGTCGAGCCTCACATCAATGGCAGACCGCTTTTTATAATAGCTACTCAACGGTGATTTTGTAAAACAGATGGGAAATCATGAATATGAATAAATTACAATCTATTATTAGGTACTCAACGTTATCATGTTGAACTCGAACAACTACTAGCGAACTTTCTTGGTGTAGAAAGTAGCATCGTGTTTGGCATGGTTAGTGAATGTGATTTGCAATAAATTAGAAAGCCTATCTTCAATCTTCGTAGGGTTTCGCAACAAATGCATTGAATTTGCCAGCAATAGCATCGAAGGTATGAAGAAAAACTTCACTTTCAACCACTTTTCTACGAGAATCGTTTAGGGCGATTTAATTCTAAGCGATGAAATGAATCATGTATCACTCATCATAGGAATGCGTATTTCAGGTGCAAGCTATCAGACATTTGCGCACAACGGTAAGTTGTTTGTTGTACTCGATTATTTGCAAGTACATGCGAATATGAATAGATATGAATGATTTGGAAGCCAAATTACATGCCGCAATCGTTCACGGACATCCTCGAACGAATCGACCCTGGAAAAAAATCTTCATCGTTGTCGAAGGTGTATACAGGTTCGTGAAATTTGTCTACGAATCTCGTTAATATGTAATGAAGTTTATGTTCAGCATGGAAGGATCCATCTGCCGCTTGCCACAATTGATTGAGCTTAAAAAGAAATATAAAGCATATTTATACATGGATGAAGCACATTCAATTGGTGCTATGGGTAAAAATGGTCGAGGCATTGTCGATTATTTTAATGTAAATGTTAATGACGTGGACATACTAATGGGCACATTCACTAAAAGCTTTGGATCAGCAGGCGGTTATATTGCAGGAAGAAAAGTAAGATATGACTAATGATCTGAAATAAAGATTGTCATGTAAAGACATTATTTTTCATTCGTGTAGAACGTTTTGATTGAATATGCTGGGATTTCTTCTTTTTTTGTTTTAGTCTCTGATTGATCATATTCGTATACATTCTCATGCCAATACCTATGCGTCAAGTATGTCAGCGCCAATCGTCCAACAAATTATCTCTTCTCTTCGTCTTCTCAGTAGTCCAGAAGGTAAATCTGATATATCAGACTAATTTATAAATACACAGTTCGATATTTCTAGGTAAAAAACGTATTTGTCAACTGGCTGACAATGCACGTTATTTCCGACGAAAATTAGTCGACATGGGTTTTATTGTCTATGGAAATAAGAACTCACCGGTGGTACCCATGCTACTGTATTTACCTGCACGAGTAACGCATTTCAATCGTGAAATGTTACGTCGTGGTATAGCCGTTGTGACTGTTGGTTTTCCAGCGACGAAACTATTAGAAGCCCGTGTTCGTTTTTGTTTGTCTGCTGCTCATACACGACCTATGCTTGATGCAGTAAGTACACAAGTGCTTTCCTTTCATTTTTTTTCCATTTCGCTTTTGTAGGCATTAGCAGCAATAGACGAAATCGGTACAGATATATGTTTACGTTATTCATCTCGACATGTACATCGACGGTTGAAAGATTTGTAAATTTGCCAACCGATACTTGTTCAGATATTTGTCAATCTCCGATAAAAGATCATCTTTTCTGTCCACTAAGCACACAGCGAACAAGAATTGCATTATGAACTGATCTCAAGAAAAACAATACTTTTGTTTTGATCCTTCATTTCTTTTTATATCGATTCGAGCTTATGTTCAATTCGTATGTTCACTCATATACTGTCTGCGCGTTGTTCTCTGGCTGGCTTTTTCTCTTTTTCCTAGTTTCCTGTATGTTCCATATAATATGTAAATTTGCGGCTTTTCACTGAACGAACTAACCTATGTAGAGTAATAATTTCTACTCGTTTCATTTCTTTTTTGTTACATATATAAAAACTAACGATGACTAGCTGACTTCTTTTTCTTTATCTAAAACAATTATCCTTATGATATATCCATCTAGAATCTTCAAATCACTGGAGTGCATTGATGATACCATCTAGAGTACGAAAAAAAAACGTTTCGATTGTTTTCAGCAGATACACATTATTGTTTGACATCTGAATTAAGAACGCGAGAAGAAAAATATACGTGTAGATTTCAGAGAGGTGCTCGTAAATCCATCTGTTATCTTCTGAATCAGATTCGAATGCAAATTCAACGGAATGCTTTTACTCTTTTGTTAGACGTTCAATTAATTTCGTATAGATGTGAATACCATAAAGAAAGACTTCAACCGATAAATGTTCATCATGATCATGTAGAAGAACAGGCGTATTGATCATTGGAGAAAAGCCAATAACTGGATAACCAAAATGGCGGAGAAATCGACCATCAGTATTAGCTGGAAAGATCGTCCAATTGGTTTTGCAGTTTAGTTCTTCAAATGTGTGTTTTATACTTGTCAGCCACCACTATGGCTGATTGATATCGGTTACTCGATTAATTGCTCTGGTAGTTAGATATTCAACTTGAACTTCCTGGTCGTTTTCTTTTCGTATTCGTCGTATTAGATCAATTAAAAATTCTTCGAATTCACCTTCACCGCCAGGTCTGATCCGACAATCGAAAAATAGTCTATATTGATCAGGTACAACGTTAACTTGAACGCCACCAGACATTTTCGTTAAATTAACTGTGGTGATATTGCCTAATTGAAGTGGATGATCACTTGTTTGGCTCTGTTCGAATCGTTGTTGCTCTCGAGTACGATAGTCTAGCATTTCATTGATAACAAATTGAGCTTTTTCACCAGCTGTATTTTGAATTAGACGTGATCCATGGCCGGTGTTACCTTTTAAAACAAAATCTACACCAAGTGCACCTCGATTGCCATAGTAGACTTGATATACATCAGTCTCATTAGCTAAACCTGTTAGACAACAAAGACGATGAGTAAATTGTTTTCCTAGTTTACATAATACCTTCATCTAGAGCAAATCCAACATTCATCGCCTTGAATTGATCGAGTTGTACAAACTTTTTCATACCTTCTGCACCACCAATTTCTTCATCAGGAACAAATAGACAATGGATGGTTCGTTTTGGTTCATACTGAACTCGTTTCAAACGTCGAATCGCTTCTAAATATTGAATGCCAACACTAAAATATGATGCGATCGGATGTTTTACAGAGACCATTCTCCTTAAGGTAATGCTTTTCATTCTATTTACCATTTCATATCTTGTGTACCTCGTCCATAGATTTTTCCATCTCGAATCTCACCCGAAAATGGTGACACAGACCAGCATTCTTCAAAAACTGGAACAACATCAATATGCGAAAGCAGTAGAATTGATTCGGCATCTGATGACGATGACCACTAGATCATTATACGAATGGATTATAATTCTGAAAAAAGAATTTAACAAGATCGCCTACGGTCAACACAGCTGCCTGACGATCCTCACCCGTCGTAACGAGTGTGTATTCAAGATCGAGTTCTTCAGCGTAGTTTTTGAGAAACTCAAACGCACTCTGATAATCCGGTTTCGGTTGTACAGTTTTAATTTGAATGTATTGAACAAATCGTTCAATAGCCACTTGATTTTCCCTTTCCACATTCATATTCTAGAATTAATCTCTAAAATGATATGTTCGTTCTAGTATACTAACTACAATGAATCTTTATTATATATAAGAAATGCTAACACATCCAAAGACGTTTTATTCATCCTGGCAAAAGAATACCAATGAATTAAGAAAAGAGTTATTTCAACGCATCCGTTTTCATGAATGAAATCGAATCTAATTGGTCAACAGGAATATCACATCTCTTTCGAATAGTTTCCAATGAATATTCTTGTAGGAGTTTGCCATGTTCGAAAACAGTCACCAGTTGATCTTCAGCTTGCTCATATTCATCAGCATGTTGAATACTACTCAAAGTTCGATAAGTACCTTTGTCGTCTTTGACTAATTTCAAACGCCCAGGTTTATTGCGTTTGCCTGTATCAGTTATTGGATCTTTAGCAACAGCCAAACCACCAAGACCAGTTATTTCAACGTAGGAACATTTAATCGCAAATTTCATTGTGTCGCGATCGAATTTCTGTAAAAGACCACCTGAAAGAACATTGAAAAGTCTATCAGATCACATTAAATCAAATATGCATGCTTACCACCGCTGCCAAACACGAGATTGTCCGTAGAGAATCCAATCTTTTCAATTAGAGAAACGATCTCATGAATTGTTTTCAAACTAACTCCATCACCTTGAATAATTCGAACGTGTTTATCAAGAACTTTAAAACCTTTTTGATTCACATATCCACCGAATTTTTCATATAGAATATTCAATAAACGACTGAGTACTTCCAACGGATCGCCTGAATCAGGTCGAATGACTAACGTTCCATCTCGTGCCAAGACTTTGTCACGTAAGGAACCACCCCAAATATGTTCACAAGCGTTATAAATATCGTACGAATCTGATACACATGCAACTGTACCAGTTGGATACGTGTCTATATTCATAGAGAACCAAAGAAATGTTGTGAATGTAAATCTATTGCCTTACTCAATAGATTCTCATAAGCGTCTCGTTCTCGGTCACGCGTCCAACTAACCATCGTTGAATGTTCACTCGCTGGAATGGAATTTGCAGCTATTTCTTTTGCTAAGTAATAATTTCTTGCTAGAACACATCCAGAAATGGTATCCGTGCCATAGAACGATGTTAAATGAGCACATCCTCCGACTACAGAGAAAAAGAAGAACGAGCCTCAACTAAATCAACGATAAAAAAATCATTTACTAGCAGATGTTTCATAAGAAGATACACCTCGAAAGCCGAAGTCATGCATTTGTGTTTTAATCAATGATGGATCGCCTGTGCGCACCAATGCTCTCAACTAAATTCATACGATTACAATTTTTCTCCTCGTAGAATTCTTTACCAGCAATTTCTTGATTTCTCTTGAATTTGTTGCGATTGTTGTCGGATACCAAACTTGTAAGAGAATCGTTTCGAGAAAGCTTGCTAATGACGCACATCTTGGATCGGTATTTTCAATTGTCATCAAAACATTTCCCGTTGGAACGACTGTACCTTCCGGCACAGCTTTAATACGTACTGGCAAATGTCCATCGTATGTCTCTATGATATATTCCCACATGTCTTTGTCCACAATATCTTTTCCGAAATGTTCTTTCCAAAATTCCGTCGCTTCGACAAGTTTTTCCTTCGTTACAACTTGTCCAAGTAAATGTTTCTTGAGAACATATTGTAAACCAAAGAACACTTGTTCCGGATAGGGTCCGCCACGGCTTTCAAGGTAAGCATAGACAAGTGTTGTTTGCGGTGGATATTGTCGATGATGAGAGATTTTGTATGAATCAGCCTTTAACAGAATGTTGTCCTCCATTGTCTCAACGAATAAGAGTGTATTCAATGTATCCTAACGCGTTTATATACGTTGGAAAAGAACTTTTTCACGAATGTTTTAATGGCGACACAAGGAAGAAAAATAAAAATAAAAATAGAAAGAGGTGACGTTGACTGAAAACAATCTGGAGATTTTAAACGACATTTCTTGTCTACAAACGAATGAAGATAAAAGAAAAACAAAAAAAATTCTAACAGTAGTGGAGAACAACATAATCAAGTCGGCGCGTAGAATAGCAAACAGAAGAGAGAAAAAAATTCTTTTTGTGATTCAACCTATTCTTTCAAGTTAACAAAACGCAGATGTTGATTTTAAAGTCCTGTTCTTCGTTATGCTACAATTTTAATGGTCGTTTGATATTGACAGTATTTTTCGGCGAAAATACCTTTGGTGTTCGAGAAATTTGAGGTAGGGATGAAAATGATTTCAGTACTTGATGATGTTCGTGTGCCCATTCAAGCCAGTCGGGAAGATATCGTTTTAAGATAGCTAGAAGCATTGTACAATCATCTTCAGCTCGATGAGCTTGAAGCAACGTTGATCGGTTGAACTCTCGTTCATAGATCTGAACAAGTTTCATCGAGCATTTGGCTGCGGTCGATTCCGCTTTAATTGGAATTTCAACATATCCTACACGAGTTGTCGAGATCGCCGGAGGTGGTATTTCAACTATAGGAGTAATTGCAACGTTCTCCGCTTCGTTGAGTAATCTATAGATTTCTCGGAAGAAAACTAATGAATCAGCGCATGCGATATCTGTTATGAAGGAATATATTGGTTGATCAGAAACTACTTTTGCAAGCGCACATTGGATCTCATTGAATAATATCGGGAAATCAAATATATTGCCATTGTGTGCTAAATATTCAAAACGTTTTATATTCAAATTAAATATTTATGATAAATCTTGAGTTTCTCACCAACAAAACATAATGGTTGAGGGAAACTGCTGAGAAAACTTTCCATTGCGATGATAGTTGCATGACTGAACGGAGCACAGTTGTTTAACATATCATTATTAAGTTCTAAAATGAATTTTTGCTTGTTATGAAAGAATGTTGAGATATTTACCAGATAGTTCTGCTGCTTTGGAACGAATCGGTTTTTCTGGATTGAAATATGTCACAAATTTGTTCTAAGAAAAGGCAAATAAAGCTCCATACAACGACCTTTTCTCTTCATTCGATTTACCAAAACTCGAGGCAATTCATCATGAGTGTCCATTCGATCTAATGTTGATCTAGACAATATCGAATAGTTACGAAGACAACATACATGAAGCAAGTAGAAACGTACATCTGCACAGCAATCATTGCCAGTTCGGTTATTTTCGGTTCATCATAGACTAAACCAGTTGTTTCTAGATCGAGAATAACCAATGTTTTGAATTGAGATACTTTCGTCATTATCACGAACGTAGAAACTATCTAGAATGTACTGATCACATCACTTTCTCATTAGACGAGACATTATTGATTAAACTGTTTTCTTTATTGATTAGAATTTGATGAACACACAATAACACATCGAACATGTATAATCGCGCGTTTCGATATCTAATTAACTGGTACAAAACAATCTGATAAATGCAACGTTTTCCATTTTAAACACAATAACCGGAAGAGTAATTTACTACGCTGAAGTTCTTCGTCATCCTTAGTTTGTTCACAAAGATTTGTTAATTGTGAGTAAATGCCATCGAGTTGGCAACGTAATATCGTTATAATTTTCTTCAAAAACACTGGAAATGGAAAAGTGAAACTTTCCATTTCTACAAGCACAAATCAAATGTAGTAATTCACATAGCTAGCAAACGTACCATTTACAAGATCAGCGAATGTGAATAACAAACTTCTTGCTAGTAGCAATGAGTCAGGATCTGTTTCCTAAGACAACATGCTTAATGTTCACTCGTTCAATGAAAAACTTACTTGAACAGATCGAAAAAATTCGTTAATACGGTCGATTGAATGCAATTTGATTTCAAATCGTTTCCAAATGAGTTCATTGATGAGTAATAAACGAATATCAATCAATAAATTTTCATCGAGCACACACATTTTCAAACATGTTTGATTGTCTTGATATAATTCGGCTAAGAATCGAGCCATCTGAACGAAGAAAAAGAGCTCACTATTCCAAAGACTGATCTTTCATTTTTCAAACCAATACCTGCTTGGTCCGATAGTTTTGTTCATTAGCGAATAGTACACAAAGTTCCATAACATTGAAACAAAGAGAAAGTTTATGATTAGTGAAACTAAATGAAACGCTTTAGTAGAGTTTTGATCAATGCGCAGAATTTTCTTTACTTATCATTCTGACAAACAATGTGTCGAATTGAATCTTCTATCCATTGAAAGACTCGATTTTCTGTATGATGGAAGACAAATGGTTTCGTATTCGAACATTTTCTCCGATGGATTTCGATTAGTTCAATGAAATAGATAACTAGTTTAATACGAAAGAACGCATTGATGTTTCTCGTTTTTACGAATTTTTGCTTGACGAAATCATTGAAGTAATCGTCTTCGATCAATGACGAACGATATTTCATCTTGTTCACCATTCCACAGAGATCATATTCGATAAAATCAAATAATAAATCGAATAACTCGTGTAAAATTGAAACATATTCGTCACATTGATTACAATTTATGTCACCGGTATGATTGTAGGTAGGTAATTCATGCAATAGATAACGTAAATGCGATGTTAGACTAAATTGATAGAAGGAAAATTCTTGTTCGCTATGGTCAGAATATCTAATAATAAACATTTTTAGGAAGTTAAAGATTATCATTGAAACGAACGACGGATCGACCTGATAGGTTGATTGAATGCTTTGTTCATGGCAGATGAAAATATGTTCGAGAAGAAGTGATTCAAGATTCAGTAACCATTTTATACGTACGGAAGACGAATGAACTGAATGGTCGAGAAGTTTTTCACGCGCACGAATGTTATTGGGAATTGAAGGGTCGAATGTCAATAACGTCGATATATCATCATCTTCATCGATAATAATGCATTCGTCAGATTCGCTTTCCGAGTGATCCATCAGGTCCTTAGCGTTTGAAGCCGCACGAAGATTATCCTGATGAGTTGAAGAATTGTTTACGTGAAAATAATCTCGGATGGTTTTTCCCGTATGAACTAAAGGTGTCCTCTTCTTTCGTTTGTTTGAAAGAGACTTTCCGCTTCGTAGTGACAAAGGAATGTCGTCTGTGAACTAAAAGGAGAAACGGTTTTCAGTCGATTTAAAATGACTGATTACTGTCAATGGCTTAGTCGTCGTAGCTTTTTGTTCAGTAATGACAAAATTAAAACTTTCGAGGGTAATTTGTCGTAGACTGTCAGGTTTTCGTCGTGATCTTTTTACATTTTTACGGTTAATCACATTGCTCGTTACTCGTTTTTTATTTTGATTATTTAATTGCCTGTCGACTGAAGTACGATCAGACAAACTATCATTTTGACCGTCTAGTTGTGGAAAAATTACATCGATATCATCGGGTATCACAGGTTCGCTTTTCACCGGGCAACAACTATACGTCACAAATAAATCTTCAACATCGGTTGTCAATTTTTCTAGAAGAATGACTCATTTCTACAACTGGATTCTCAACAGAAAAGATACCTGCCGACAATGGATCCGTTTCCATAGTTCGTTCGACTTGTTCGTTCATCGCCTCATCATCGTCACTTTCATCTACTGGTTGATGATTATCCGATTTCCATTCCACAAGTTTGTTAAGAAAATCATCGTTATCATACGTGCACAATTTCGGTGACGAGGTCAATTCAATCTCCTCTTCGGATTCATCAGACGTGGCGTTTTGTTCATTACTCTCAATGATATCAAATGTAATCGGATAGAATTGTAGCGATGATGGGCAAATCTTGATATTATCTGACAGTTGCTCTGGAAGAAATGATTTAAAATCAAAACTTGTTCGAACAGAATTTGCTTGAAATCGACATCGGAAATAGTAAGATATTCGTTCTCTATGCCAACATACATTCGGTAGTAAACAACAGTCATCATCAAACTGTGACCGAGATGAATCTATTATAATACAAGGCTGATCATCAGAATATTTGCTCGTGCAAGAAGTGGAGGAACTCATTGAGATGTATGTGTTATCAGCGTATTCTATAATTACTCTGTCAAATTGACAAAAGCAGTGGTCATCTGCTGGACAAATAACAATCTATGTCTGTAGATGCCGCGCTTTAAGATCATCAACTGAACTTGATTGTTTTTTTCTGATTCTTTGAAAAGAATGGCTACCACCAAACGAGTACGTCTGTTATTGAAATTTTTTGTCTGAAAAACTTTATTTTTGATTCTTATTTAGAAATATAGCATCGTTGCACAAAGTGAACTTGATTATGAAAATCCGTTGTTAAATGGTAAAAAAATTCGTAAGTCCAACGGTAAAAATAAATTCAAACTTGATCTTCTATCCCGTTGGTCTGGCGATGTTTCGAATACCAATCAGTATCATCCAAGTAAAAACAAAATCAAAACGAAGTGTAAGATTCTTGATGTGAATCAATTCAATAGTTTTCTGTTTGTATTTTCATCAGCTCAATCGACTCTATCTGAATTGCCCGATGAAATTCTTCTGCTAATTTTAAGTTATTTGAATAAACCATCACTTGTTGCGTTTAGTCAAACTTGTCGACGACATCAAGCAGTCGGGTGAGTTCGAAATAGTCTCAGTTGCAACGGATGATTTCATTGATAATTGCAGGCATCATCCATCATTATGGCGACGGATTGATATGTCTTACAAACGTGTCGACTGCGAACAATTGAATAGACTTTTACAACGTGGAACAACAACGCTGAAAATGTACCAAACAACAGTACGAATTAAAGGTCTACAAATTCAGTATGAATCTCTGTTTCTGTTTCAGGTTAGCAATTTGAAATTGATTTCGATCGAACCATCGTTGTAAGTGTTAAGTTGTATTTTTCGTGAACAAAAGGAAATATTTGTTTCGCTTTTAGTTTACGTCATCTTGATTTATCATCAACAGTTGCATCCAACGAATTTCTCGTCAATATACTTCATTCATGCCGTTCCTTATGCAAACTGAGTTTAGAATCATTACAATTGACACCTAAAGTTATCGAGTAAACATCGACTCATTCTTTCCAAATACACAAAATGGAACTCCTTTATTTCTGAATAGAAAGATTGTTCTGAATGAACAACTTGAAACCTTGAACCTTGCCATGTGCACAGGTTTAACTTTGGAATCTATTCAATCGATAACAAACAAACTTACATTGTATGTTAAATTCAAAACGAATGCATTCGTTCGATTTTCTTTCATAGGTTACGTTGTTTGAATGTTGCTTGGACAAATCTAACTGCTGCAACTGTTCAGTATCTTTGTGAGAATATACCAAGGTGTATTGAACAATTGAATATCAGTGGACAACGGCATAATTTAACTGATGACTGTAAGAGGAAATTTGATTTGACGAGAGAAGAATTATTTTACAAATTCATCCTTGATCAGTTGAATTATTTCAGAAGCTTTTTCTCTGCTTCATTTGCTTTCGAGCTGATGTCAATATACTTTCTTCGTATTCTTAGTTATACAATCATTGGCTCGTCGCGCTCTTCGACTACGAGTTCTCGATATTAGTGATTCGATTTTACTAACTGATCAATCTATTATATCGCTTCGACTACACTCTCGTTTACTTACACATCTCTCAGCATCACGTTGTTACCTATTAACAGCACCAGGACTCGTGTAAATTCATTTTTTGTCCGACAAATATGCAGATCATCAATATTCGTCTGTTTTGTTTTAGCACGTTAAAGTTAATACCGACTTTTTCCACATTGGATATTTTTGGAACATTAGCACCGGGACCATTGCAACAATTATTGCAAGAATGCAGCACACGCATTCATTTAAACAAGTATCTTTTCTCGAATATAGCCCGGCCAACAACAGGCGTTCACCGTACATCGATTTGGGGCTTACGTACGCGATTGTAACTCAATGATGTCAGATATCTGTTCAAGATAGTAATGAGCGATTTGATATGTTTTTGTTTGTTTGTTTGTTATATGAACATGTATTGTTTTATAAAGACATTGTATTTCTTTCATTTGAAACTGATATAACTAGATATATACTCTCGAAGTGAACATTGAACTTTTATTGATGTTTAGATAAGCGAATAGAATGGAACCATCGAAAGTTAAAGAACGATATCAAGCATGGAAACATCAAGGACCAACACGTTCTTTAGCTCGATGTGATTCAACAGATCTCTTTCCACAAATGGTTCCACAGTAAGTTATCTGACTGATGTTTTCGTCTGACTCGAATGCTTTATGATTTAGAAATCAACTTAATATACACAGTCATATCTGTCCAAAAGCACCGGAAGTTTTGTTTGACGATCGAAGTACATATTTCAATGGTGTTGACGATGATCAATATCAACAGCCTATGTCGGCTCGAGCACCATCAGCCAGCTTATCTCGACAGTTGTCAAGTACGAGTTTAAATCAATCGATGAATAGAATATCGTCATCAGAGAATGGTCCTCTTCGTATTCGATTCCGTCCGCTCGATCTCTCAGTCATCGCACCAATGAAAGAAAATCGAGCAAGATCATACAATAGCATAACAAATATGAAACACAAAGGTTAGTTATCGAATAGTTATTCTGTGATATTCCATTCAGTTCTTTATAGATTATATCAATTTATTATCGGATGAACTGATCCTATCAATTTTCAAATATCTTCCGCGTGCATCGCTCGCAGCAATGTCTCAAACCTGCCGTCGTTTACGCTCGCTGACGTACGTTAATGTTTCTTTCTATGAGCAGACGTATTATTCCTTTTATTACCTTGTAGTCACGATCCAATTCTATGGTGCCGAGTAGATATGTCCCGAAAACATGTTGAAAGTTGCTATCTACGAGATGTTCTCCTGCGCGGTACAGTCGTTCTCAAGATGTATCAAACAACCGTTCGTAGAATGAAAAGAATTTCTTTTTTCTCTAAAATCTTGCCAACTAATTTCTATTCAGATTCATGGAAGTTCGATTTATTCACCTAATCGAAATACATGGTAAGTATGTGTGGTATCTTCGATACTTTTGCCTCAAGCTTGACATCTTTCAGGTTCACGAAGCTGCAGTTTCTCGATCTAACTCTGGCAACCATCTCACCGGAATGTTTATTAAGTCTGATGAGTGTCTGTCGATCATTGCGAAAACTCAGTTTGGAAACTCTGCCATTAAGTTTAGCCATATTCGAGTAAGTCATGGAATTCAAGCTGTTTGACGATGCATTTGATTTCTTTTAGAAAACTTGCCTCGAATGCACAATTGGATACGTTAAATCTAACGATGTGTACCGGAATTGATCTCGATTGCTGCTCGATCCTAACAGGACAAATGAAACAGTACGGAAAATACCTATGAGACTGTTTGATCAAGATTTGTTTTAGTTTACGATATTTGAATTTGGGTTGGACGCAGTTAAGTGATCAATGCGTGCATTTCATCTGTCGAACTATGCAGGCCAGCATCGAACAATTGACATTGAGTGGTTTTCGACAAGGAATGACAGACGAATGTAAGAGTTGCTTTTTCTCCTATCAGTTTTCATCGTAGATGACTCTGGATTTTGTTTGTAGGCGTGGAAAATTTAACACGTCGTGCTGTTCGTCTTCGTGTGCTCGATTTAAGTGATTCAAGTCTTCTTACTGATAAATCAGTTGCAAGCGTCCTTCGCAATTGTCTTCATTTAGAACACATCGCGTTCTCTCGTTGTTATGCAATTGCTCCCATTGCCTATGCGTATGTTTTTTAAATTTTACGGCAATCGGATTTCGTAATCATTGTTCTTTCTTAGATCATTGAAACAGTCACGACATTTGACATCGCTGGATATATTCGGCGTTGTGGATGATCGTGGATTGCAGAAATTACATTCCTTACTTGGTTCATCGATTGCTTTGAACCAACAACGATTTTCCTATGTAGCTCGGCCAACATATGGCCTTCGTCGCACGTCCATTTGGGGTCTAAGAACACGTCCATAGAAATGATAATGAATGATTTTTTTTGTTTTTAATAGTGCGCGTGTGTTTTCTAGTTGAGTTTTAATAATTAAATAAACTTTTTTGTAGATTATGTCGAATACTTCAGATGTTAAAGGAGAAATACCTGGTCAATGGCTGGTAAGAAATTCCGTATACGAAAAGATGTTACTCTGAACAATACTCTCTATAGATAAGGCCATGTGAAGAATATCATGAAGAATTAAGTCATTGCCGAGGTACGATAGCAATTTGGAGTCAGTTGATATCATCCTTGTCTGATTAGGTTGGCTTGGTCGACTGCAGCAACGATATATGTTCGGCGAAAAAGTAGATTGTGCGCCCATTGCTGAAGCACTTCATCATTGTATGTTTTGGTTACAGCGAAAAGACGTTGATTCATTGGTAAGAATAACTTACATATTAAATCGGTTTATTCTTTGAGGTTTATTTGATTGTTAGAAAAAGTTGATATCGTATGAAGAAGATCGTCTGATTCATCGAAAATTATCATTAGAAAATAACGATGTATGGCAAAAGAGAAGTAAACCGCCGAGTGATTGGAATGCTCCTCTTCCAGATTGGGCAAAAAAAAGAGCGGAGTCAGTTGGAAAACAACAAGAACAAAGACAATCATGAATTGAACTACTCTTTTTGTATTTGTAATTTCTCTATTTTGAAAAACATGATAAATTTAGACGGATTGATTATTGGACAAACTGACTTGAACATGAGTCAGTTGTATTTTCGTATTTTGGGATTCAAACGATACACTCTCGTGAGAAGAAATAGTTTGACTCGATATTTCGACAGTATTGATTGGGATTGAGAGAAAATCAGGTACATATTTGAACACTTGGTGAAGTTCTCTGTGAACGGATATAGGCAAGTCCTTCTTGTACTTCAATTGAAGGTGAGAGAAAAGTACAATGCAAAAATTGTTTCGATACGAAAATCACATAGCTATAGCAAGTATACGCTCTTTAGAGTTTTATCTCCTTTTTATGTGGAGTCTACTTTGCACATCTCTAGCGCAATACGATTTTCTTAATTAGAAGTACATTAACAACCGAAATTATGTTCTCAATATCGCTCTAAGAGGAAAAAAACACTACTAATCTATTCTCACAGAACGAATAAGTTTGTTTTTATTTCTCGATGGACTTTATATTCACGGGTGCGTCAATTTACATTCTTCTTTCTATTTATTTTTCAATGTGTAAACAGTGATCGGGGATTCGATCTAAATTCAGAATCTATATATAGTTTTCGAATGCATAATTAATACATTGAGGCAAGCATGAATCATATATGTCTATTTGTAGCAATTCTATTACGATGCAGGTGTCTCTTCTGTATTTGAACTTGTTCTCGAGGGAAGAGTACAATTCAACACTTCTTTACATTCGTTCATAGAGAACTTTATGAAATGTTCGAACACACAACCACTTTTCTATCAATGTCAATCAATAGTAGTCAAATATTGAAAATACCAAGTATAACTACTTCTTCCCAAGTGAATATATTGTAGTTTTGACGGTTTTGATACTAATGAAGAGAGCACGTACCCGCCTATAGTTCGTCACATATAAAAATGCTTGCTTATTTTTCAACAATAATATATCACAACTCTGAATCAAGTATAAATTTAAATAACGAGATATATACATGGACATCATCTCCTGTGAATTTAATGAAAAGAAATTCAGACTATGTAATCCGACGAAAAGATTTGTTGATACCGATAGATGGCACGTTTGGACGTTATTAAGTGTATTGTCTTGGATCTCTTTTAAAATGTCCTTTCACTTCTCGGTTTCTTAGTGTCCAGTCTTTACCTTCAGCTTCAATTCTCCCACTGTACGGTCTTTGCTTTGTCTCTCCTTCTCTCCTCGTGTTCCTATCAGGTACTTTCTTTTCTACTAAACCGAAAATCTCCCTTGTACCTTATCATGAACTCGTTTATGTTCTACTACAATGTCGTAAGTACGCACATATTCGAGTGAGATAACTTTGTGCAGAAACCAGAAAAAGAGTACCTCTATCAAATGTCAATGATCTGATCAATGATATTTGGTGTTATACATTCAAGAAACGAAGAATATCAAAGCGCAGAAGATGACGATGATTTTCATACGACGAAAGTTTGCATCTGAATTGGTATTCATAGCCGAATTCAATGTTGAACATGCATTCAGCGTAGACATAGTGCTTGATTACGAAATCAAGCTTAGAACTTCATTTATCTTATTGCTTATCGAGATGTACTTATAATGTGACAGCTGAATTTCCCTCTCATTAAGTGCGCAAATCTAATTTTACTCCAACATCTTTTCGTTTTTTCTATTGAGTGTAATTACATTGCTAGGCGGAGCATTCAGTACACATCAATTTTAGTATCGTCAAGGTACGCCAAACTCTTCCTGTTCAATCACCTGAAAAGACCCAACCTTAGTCATGTGTCACGAATAGTTTTATGTAGACCACGCTATTGTTTTTCTCGTAAATAGAACGAGTTCATTGTGTGACTCCATTCCCAAAGACAATCAAGTTTATCTTGTTAATATTTGAAGTGTGCGCGTATTGTTTATGTAGCTTATCGAATTTGTACACGCAATGACAACAATTATGATGTGCATAGTCTTCAACTTGTCTGATTAATAGAATAAGTAAGTGTTTATACCCAGAGGAATCATTTTGATAATTACATAATCAAAAGTGAGGGGAGGAGAAGAAGAAGAAAAGTACGGTGCTTTGAAGTGGACATACATAATTTTAATTGTCACATAGCCCCTACGGCGAAACGACGTGCGTTTAGGAATGCGATTTAAATATTTTCAAATAAAATACACGTTGATCAACCTTAATTAGATATATCCTGTTGATTTGACTAACGATGTTAACAAAATCATGAGGACTGTCTTTTATGGTAAGTCAAAAATCGCCTACATAACTAATAACATTAAGTTCGATAGGGCAGAAAATGTAGAACGGAGGGTTGAATCTATTCTCTCTCTCTCTCTTTATTTTTCGTAGATTTTACTGAAAAAGAGAGAAAAGGACAGAGAACAGAAACAGTATATAAATCATCTTAATCATTTTATGTAACACTCGTTATCTTATTCTTTGTTTCTATCGAACTGTTTTTCAAACAGCAATTGGACGTACGTAATATTCATTCATCGGAATTCGTATTTATAAATACAAATGTTCGATTCTGCATTTCAGATTTGAGCTTCATAGATAGATATACATATACTAACTTCGAATCAATCAGCATGGTTTCCAATTCGATCATGTATACGCTTCTCCTCACTATGGGTAAGTAAAGTTCATAAGTCATCCGAGAAAAACACCTCCGTAAAGACATTCGCGAAGAAGTGAATGATAAATGATTTACAATTAGTTCTGTTAATCATCTAAAACATTTTCTCCGTTTAGGTTTCCTTCTTTTTATGACTACCATACAAGCAACACCAATCCATAATGGTATATCATCTATTGAGAAAGTTTTCGATGAAGAATCCGAAGATTCAAGTTTATCCATGGACAAACGCACTTTTAGTAACAGTGATATTCCTGATGGTTACGTTGGCATCATGTTAGGCAAACGTGGAACCGACACACGAGCAGTTCGCCTTCCCGCCGAAGCTGTTCTTCTTGGCAAACGACGACTACCATACGAAGCCGTCCTTTTGGGCAAACGAGATTTGCCAAACGAAGCTGTTCTTTTAGGAAAACGCCGCATACCCCATGAAGCCGTACTTTTAGGTAAACGTGATTTACCAAACGAAGCGATTCTTTTAGGTAGACGTGATTTACCTAACGAAGCTATCCTTTTGGGAAAACGTGATTTACCAAACGAAGGTATTCTTCTTGGCAAATAACAAGCAAGAGCAAATCGCAATTTTTATTGACATTTTATGTTAAAACAGTACATATTCATAATACAGTGCGTTTCGTTTTGAATGTACTTTGAAAATCAAACAGAGATACTTGAAAATAAAACATCATACAAAACACTAGATATTCGTCTAAGTCCAAAATTCTTTTTGATTCATTGAGAAACGTGTGAATGAAGAACGTTCTCAAGTCATGCCTTTCTGATGACGCCCGAAAACTGAAAAAAAAACAACAAAATTGTTCTTACGAAATGTTCGCCCTTTCAAAAGCAAACGTACAATACTTTTACTTCAGTGTGTAAGTGTGACGTTGTAGCAAAAAGAAAGAAGCATAGAGTTTTCTTCTGCAAAAGACGATGGCGCTAGTCATCATTGTTCGCGTTTCGTGCAAGATGGCACTATTGTATAACACGAGAAAAGAAAAGATTACAACCTCTTTCGGTATGCACAGTTACCAGTTGAATAATGGCCATGCATAGAAGCATCTGTTACATATTTTTCTCATTAAATTGCACAAATCAAACATTCTCTTTTCTCTTTGCTCGCTTAATATTATTTCTGGCTATTTGTTTTACAAATAAAATAAGAACTCTCATTTTTTTTTCTTCTTCTTCTTACTTCTTTAGGTTACGTGTCTTTTCTGTAGGTGCCGACGTACCTGGGTATTTTATTAAAAGACTAATTAATTAAATTATCTCGACTATGAAAATTTGATTGCTAAGATCGTTTTGTCAAAGAACATGTGCGTTTCGTTCCGTCTGATACATTGATCAATTTGATTTCGGAACAATAAAAAAAAATCCGGTATGTGACATATTTACTTGTTGATTTATGAAGAATTGAGAGAATTATATATGACCTTGTCAGCAGAACAAAGTCTCGAAAATATGTTTTGTCATTTGACTATTATTAGTAGTATACATGTTCATCTTTCATCGAACGAAAAACAAAATCATCAGCGTATTATTGACTCAATCCGATGACGACTTTGAGATGTTAGTACACTAATCTTTGATTATTTTTTGTTTCTTTTTTTTTATCGTTCGCTGACGTTAGTTAACCGACCCCATGCGCGTTTATTGAATTGGCACGTTAAAATCGTTGAGTAAGCGATGATCGATGATGTCTCCACCATCACTCCTACTGTTGAGTTACGTCAACGTATCTGTTCATAGTGATGACGTCTTTCTTTCTTTCGTTTTGTTTAGTTACTAAAGGCTAAGGAAAAAAAAAATCAACGATTAGAACATATTGATCCTCAACGTTGAGAAACAAAGGAGGGAGAGCGAGTAAATGAAGGTAGGGAATAACAGACTGTATTTTGATAGAATCAAGTTCAATAATGTACTTTTCCTTTTGCTTAAGATATTTAGGGAAAAAAGAAGAAGAAAAGTGTTTTTCTTTTCTGTTTATTTTTGTTACTATACTTGAAAATAATCCTCTTCAGAATCCATACTTCATTTCTCGGAAGACATTTCAAAATAATGTTATTGATCAAAAATAATCGTATGATATAGATGCAGACATTCGCTGATGATTTATTCGCAATAGTTCCAGAAGGTCGCGGAAACTTTAAAATCGAGATAGTTTTTCTTTTTCTTTCGAAATAATAAGAAAATGTGTTTCGTCATCATCAACTTGAAGTAGAAACCGGACGATGGAAGACTTAGATGAGCATCGTCTATTGTTTGTGGGTGGTTTCTATTCATCGAACGGTTCTTTTTTCTTCATTTACTAAATTTGAAATCTGCGAAAAAGAGAAAGAGAAGAAGAAGAAGAAGAGAAGGCGATCCTGTTCTTTCATTCGTCGCGTTTGCTTATGTTTTTTAATCACATTTTGCACATACAATTCTCACCTCTGTCATACACTCGGGCGTCTTTTTCTATGTGAAAAGTTTTCGTAAATATGCATAGATTTTTCTTGCTCAATACACATGTAAACGAAAAGAAACACAGGCAGTAAAAGACAACAAAAGTAAATGATTGACCTTGCTTTAAATCTGACGCATTTTTCTGTTTGTTTTTATCAAAATTTAGCCGGTATTGAACAAGTATGTAAAAAAATAAGAAGAGAATCAACGAGAAGAAAAACTTTTCTCTACGTCGCAGAAAAGAAAGGAAGAAAAATTCTTTGATGCCCTTTTCATAGTCGTGAAATAAAAGAAAGAAAACACACTATAGAGTTTAGAAACACGTCGGCGAACGTTACTTGATGCGTCAGGAAAAGAATGCTAGAGAATTTATTTTCTGGTACGTTAAGCAAAAGAAAGAAACTAGAAGAGAAAAATCATGATGGAGTTTGCATTCTATCCTATTCTATTTCCATATGATGTATTTGAAAGTTTGTAAAATGACATTAGTGTTATTGATTGCATGACAGCAAACAATATGGAAGCACTTCCACGTGCTTCTTCATTTTCATCGGTAACAAATAGTCGACGAACAAGCGGTACGAGTAATTCCGGTAAACTATACTTCGCTATTGACGTTCTTTCTTTTTGCAATCTAATTCATGCCCAACAGGCAGTTTGCTAAGAGTGTCTAGGCAACAACTTCATAGTTCGTGATTTTGATGATAACAATAGTTGCGAATTAACAATTCCTTTCTCTATCTATTTCAGCCGTTGTTACTACTGCTAATATAACTGATAAACTTCGCACAACTGATCCAATGTATGATTATCAAGCACAGACCAGTCTCCCGCCTATTCGTGCTCGACAACAACGTCAAAATGGTGTTCAAGTGCAACAGCTATACGAAAGCAGTCCAGTTATTGCTGCTCTTTCGCATCACCCTTCGCAACAGTATACTTCGCATAAACTACCGTACAGTGATCCATCTGCGCTCGCCAATGGAAATTCGACGACAGTGACTTCGAATGGGACAAATGGATATCATAATCATTCACATCATCATCACAATGGGATAACTCAAGCGTCGACACAGCCGCAGATTTCTGATCAACCAATACGTCGAAGTCCGAGTGTTGACAGTGTTCTGAGCATTCACTCATCATCCCAACAACGTCGTTTGAATAATTCACTTGATCCGGACACAGCGATGAAAACTTACATGTCGAAATTGACTGCTTTCGAACGACATGAAATCTTTTCCTATCCGCAAATCTATTTCGTTGGACAAAATGCGCGCAAACGCCAAGGAGTCGGTGGCGGCCCAAACAATGGTATGATTCATTTCTGTTTCAAAAAATATCTACTTCTATCTGCGTCAGAACAAATTTTCTAGACAAATACTGATAAGGAAGAGGTCATTTTCGTTGGTAAATCTCTGACTTATGTGATATGACATATGCATGTAGGTTTGCAAGCGAGAATATCTATTCCGTGTAAATTTGTACTGAGCGTACTTTATAGCTATCGTTTCAGGCGATTAGTCTAACAAAAAGAGAAATATATTCGATTTCCGTTATAATTCTCTTAGCAAACAAGGTTTTGAGTACAATTCTGTTCATAATCGATGATCTACACAAAAAAAAAAAATATGAACATTATGTATCAATACATCAACACTTTATTTTAGGAAACTACGATGATGAAAACGCGTCATATATTGCTGTTCAACACGATCACATAGCCTACCGTATGCTTGACATATTCGCAGTAGATATTCGCGAAAACCGGTTTTGATCTATCTAGGTTTCGAAGTTTTGAAAATACTTGGTAAAGGTTCGTTTGGTCTTGTTGTTAAGTGTTACGATCACAAGACCGGCCAACAAGTGGCATTGAAAATTGTTCGTAATGAAAAACGCTTTCATCGTCAAGCTCAAGAAGAAATCCGAATACTTGAACATTTACGTAAGCAAGATCGTGATAATACATTTAATGTTATTCATCTAATCGAGTCGTTTCAATTTCGTAATCATATTTGCATTACATTTGAATTGCTTTCGATGAATCTATACGAGTAAATCACATATTCTCTTTCGGATTAATTAATGAATGAAGAATATTCTTCTCTTCAATAGATTAATTAAAAAGAATCGATTTCAAGGCTTCAGTTTACAACTCGTGAGAAAATTTGCGCATAGTATATTACAATGTCTCGATGCATTATATCGAAATAAGATTATACATTGCGGTAGGGTGATGAATATTTTTGTCGATCGATGTGAAAATGTTTCATTAGATCTCAAGCCAGAAAACATTCTTTTGAAACAACAAGGAAGAAGCGGTATTAAAGGTATGTCGTCGATGATCTTGTTGAAAACAAACGAATCGGATTATCTTACTTCCTTTTAGTGATCGATTTTGGCTCTAGTTGTTTTGAGCATCAAAGAGTTTATACTTATATCCAATCGAGATTTTATCGAGCGCCAGAAATCATTCTCGGTGCAAAATATGGTTCGATTAGATTTGTTTTCTCTCCAGCGGCGATCGATATATTTCGTTGTAGGTTTAGCAATTGATATGTGGAGTTTAGGATGCATATTGAGTGAACTGTTTACTGGAATGCCTCTATTTCCAGGCGAAGACGAAGCTGATCAGCTAAGTTGTATCATTGAAGTGATTGGAATGCCTAGTCAGAAAGTACTGGACGCGTCAAAACGAGCAAGAAATTTTATTAGCTCAAAAGGACATCCACGTTATTGTGCATTGACAACATTACCAGATGGAACGACTGTCCTTCAAGGCGGTAATGATCTACATTTGATTCTTTTGCCAAAGAAAAGGAGTCTACTACGTTCTTGTTCTTGTTTGTCAAGGTCGTTCGAAACGAGGCAAACATCGTGGACCACCGGGTAGCAAAGATCTGACTCAAGCATTGAAAAATTGTGATGATCCGTTATTCATTGATTTTCTGAAACATTGTTTTGAATGGGATCCACAAGCAAGAATAACACCTGCGCAAGCTTTAAGGTAAGAATATCTCGAGAGAAAATTTTCTTAATATCACATAGAAGAACTTTTTCATGATTTTATCTCTCTTCCTTTTCTGACATTCTCACAAATGAATCTTGAAGTTACTCAAATCAAAGTTAATTCAGCACTCGTCAAAGACAGTATAATTATATCTTCTAGGCATTCTTGGCTTCGTCGTCGCTTACCCAAACCTCCATCGGAAGCGCCACCACCCAATCGTCCGTCAGCAGTCCTTCGTCATCATCATCTACATCCTGTTCAACAAACGTCCAATGGTGATGCGAGTACAGCCGGTGGTCGAACAATCAGCAGCATGGGTGGTGCTAATGCAGTGTACTCTAATCATCATCATCAACAGCAACAACAATCACACGGTACGACTACTAATTTGCCACCGAAAACGTATGCTTCTACGAATGAGCTCAATAAACATCAAAAACTACCCCATATTGTTGGTATTCAATTGAATTCCATGTTTGATCAATGACATTCAGTTATTAATGATGATAAGAAGCTTTGTCATCTTCATTTTACTTTCTTACAGTGTGATGTGTGTGCGTGTGATGGATTTCTTTTTCTTTTCTTCTTTAATTGTTAATCTTTCTTTTCAAAACCCTTTCTTCATTTTCTATCATTGCACACTGATTGAAATTTTCTCTCTTTTTTTTTTCTCTTCTACTCCTTAGCCCACTGGAATTGTCAGATTTCATTTTTCTCCATCCGTCCATTGAGCTAGCACGAAGGAAAATGTTGCTCGTTTTTTTTTTAAACAAATATTAGTTACTTGAATGCTTGTCCCGCGTGAGAGATTCTTTCAAATTCTAGTGAGTAGGTTGTCTGTGAATCGAGAATGGATAATAATCTTGTTGCGTGTATGAGTGTTTATTTTGTTGATGGAATTTACATATAAATATTTATTTTTTTCCTTCTCCTTTTCTTTCTCTTGATTATTCCCCATCAAAAAAAAAGAAATCTATTTTAATTTTTCATAGAAATATTTTCTTTCTGTCTGTCTTGCACATTTCAATATTTCAATTTTTTGTTTTCTCTACCGAATTCAAATCACTTCACATATACGTATATATTCAACCTGAGCTTTCATATCAAATAAAGATATAAATTCAATTGAATGTTCGACGCTAATCATGCGTGTGATCAACAGAATAACAAGATTTTCTGTCAATACATGTATATATGTGCTATAATAGATACAAATATTATCATCGACATTTCAAAATATGCGTAAATGAAAAGCAAGAATGAAAACAGGAAAGTGAGGTTCTTAAATATGATTTTCCTTGTCAAGTTTTGCATGGGCACGCGACTTGTTCAGCTCAGCTGATTCAGGTGTTCGTTTCAAAACGCGTGTGTAAATCAAACCAGCAACAATCGAACCGGCTAGTGGGCCGAACCAATAAATCCAATGATTTTTCCATGAGCCCATAATTGCAGCTGGTCCGAATGATCGAGCTGGATTCATCGAAGCACCGGTATACGGACCACCGAATAAACAACCAACTGTAACGGCAAAGCCGACTGCTAAAGCTTTTGAACCGCCGACATCATCACGATGCTTATCACAAATAGCATGCACTGTGTAACACAAGATAAATGTTATAAAAAATTCCACAATAAATGCTTGTGTGAGTGAAACATCTTGGGTGATCATTGTCATACCTAAACTATTCTGCGCATGCATCGGTGTAATCGTTTTAACCAGAGCTGATGCTGACACAGCACCGAGCAGTTGCATGCCAATATATAATAAGGCGCGATAAAAATCGATTTCATTTGCGACAAGAAATGTAACTGTGACAGCTGGATTAATGTGCGCGCCACTGACATGGCCAAATCCAACGACAATAGTCGCCACAATCAGACCTGATGCAAGAGCACCGTGTACATCGGGTACGCCTGTTGAAGCGACAGGTAAACCAGTTGATGTTGCGACTAATACTAAGATCAATGTGGCTATATATTCACTAAGGAGTGCTTGATAGAATTCAACTCGTTTTACTTGACTCAATGGAAATAATCTGTCGAACAATGACGTTTGTTTAGGTTTTGGTGCAGGGGTTTGAAAGAAAGGTGGATCAGGTCTTGGATGTACATTTTTTGAAACGATTTTTGTGACAGTTGTTGACAAATTTGGTTGAGTTACATGATTACTATCTGAATCATTGGAATCTATTAGTGGTATTCCTACATCCATAGGTTGTGTATAACTATCAACCGAGGGTGAGGGTACAAATTGACTTGTCATGTTCAATGACTATTTCGTACAGAATCTGAAAGAAAACAAACGAGATAAGTTCTTTTATATATACACTCTTACTGCTTTCAATATCGAGTGGATAAGTATCGACAGGAAAACAAGTGGATGAGTATTTTATAATATCATACTCAATCTATTCTCACTCTTGCATTCTCTCTTTTCTTCATAAAAACTTTTCGCTAGCTGACAACATTCGATCAATGACTAGAAGTCAGATTTCTCTCCGTCTTCTTATCATCGAAATTGACATTTGAAAAAAAGAATGAGGCACGAAATAACATACATCTCACCTTCCTGATGCAATCCATTATATTTTGCCGACTCGGCTTTTTCAAGCTTTGTACGCGTATTCGCGAACTTTCTTTTCGAGGTAATAAAATGTTTGTCATTAAAATCTCAGTCCATCATCCAACAGCGATACTCATGAAAAGCAAATAAATATTCGATATGGTCAAATATCAACATCCACTTATTGGGTAATAAAATGCGCCAAGTGACTTACTGTACAGAAGCGAAAATGAGGTTATAGTCTCGAATTGTATGTGTCAGATGAAAAACTACAACATCATCAGCAATAAAAAGAAGTGTCGCGTCCTCCATTCTAATATCATTTTATCTTATCGAGTTACCGCATATGAGATGTCCTTCGTACTATAGATATATAAACCATACCTTTTATATGTTGTGTATTGTATTCTTTCGTGAGCTACTCATTTGATAACAAAGAGAAGCGAGAATATACCTTACTAGTATACAAATCCATGTGAGACAACGTCGAGTAAACAAATATGATACTATGAAATGTATGACTGTCTAATGAAATATTCAGTTGTTATGTGACGTGCGCATTGTTTCGATTTTTTATTTATAGCTAGGGTTAATTAGAAAAATCTATTGTTGGAGCAAGGTAAATGACAAAGTTTGCACTCTGTATGATATCTCACAGTATACAAATGACCAGATCTTCGAAAACAGTATTCTGTTGTTATTTCTTTGCATTTTCGAAGTACATCTAGTTATGCCAATGTAACATTTATATAAATAACAAATGTAATTTGAAGTCAATGTGCTACGAGAACAAACCTAGACGTGATCGATGGGCTCTTTTGGTTAAAAGATTAGATTATCTCTTACAAAGAAAGAAAACTAACAACAAAACGTCTTTATTTTCGATAATATATCTGTGACGCATCTTTTTGTTTTCTAACGTCTCAATAATAATCATCAGATCGGCTTGACGTAAACTAGCACAAAGAATGACACTAAATTAGGCCACATTATAACTAAAATCAATTCCATCAAGATCTTTCAGAAAAATTCAAAATATAATTGACTTTTACGAAAGAAATACCGCTTTTGAAGATACGTGACGTTTACATTTATCATTCCAACAACCACACAATCATTCCGTAAGAATACGAAAACGAAAATTTCGGAAATAACATCACGCTATTCCTTGATAAACCAATCTTTATAACCATACGCATCCATGTTTCCCCATGCATATTACCATCATGAATCGTTTCTTATTCATGACAATGATGGTGATTACATGGCTCTTCGCATATACCAGTGAGTATGTTTCATGTATGATCTGCTGTTAAACAATGCATAAATATAGATTCAACGTGCGAAAATTGTTCACCGTGTTGGAGCCTTTTCGATTATCATTATCAGCTGTGCTCTAAGAGAAACGAACCGACACAGATATCAACTTATGTACAATCGATATGCACGGACACATTGATTTTACTTGGTATACTTTTACTTGGTACAGTTATTTTCATACCAATTTCACTTTGTTTTCTGTATCTCTACATAAAACGATGTCGAAGTTCTGATTCTCAATATGTCATGAATGGATGGATAGTTTTGTGAAGGTTTACAATTTAAAAAAGTAATAAAACATCATCCCTAGGAGATACAGAACTATCTGATGATTCATGTGATACGTTGAAGATGTTGTTTATTCATTAAGGGATAAATAAGATAAGAGAGAAAGAAAAGGAAAAAAGGATTGAAATGATAGGGGTGGTGCGATTGTTCATTGTTCTAATCATTTATTCTTCTTCTTCTTCTTCCTCTTCTTCTTGAGGTGCTGCCTCTTCTTCGGCTGGTGCTTCTTCTTCAGCTGGCGCCTCTTCCTCAGCAGGTTGATCATGCTAGAAAACAGAGACAGAAGAGCGATTTTTCATTCCGACGAAAATATCAGTCTTGCTATCGTACCGATTCTTCCACATCGTGATGTCTTTCTTCTTTGGCGGCGCCCTTATTTTTACGTAATGGGTTTTCTTCAGGCGGTGGAGTATTGTGTTTTATCTTGGCCTTTGGACGTTCAGCAACGAATTCTGCTTGTTTCTTTTCGGTAGACCAAACATCACGACGATCTTTAAATGTGCGACGATCAGTAACTGAAAGGAAAACAGTGATTGCACCATTCTTCATAGGAAAGAACCGCTTACCTCGTTCGTATCGACTGAAAAGCGATACTTTTTGCTACGGAACAAGTCAGATTGTTTAAGAATGAAATGTAAATTTGTTCGATAACTTACTGGTGCTTTTGCTGCAACATCGTTATTGGTGCCGAGACTGAAACACAGAAGACAGTATATTGCAAGTCTGACGATATTAAGCACTTTTCGGTTACTTACATGCCACCACCAAGACCAGTATGAACAATGTTTGATTTACGTGTCTTAGCCTTTCTATAGATAAATAAGCAACATCTGGACTGCTTCGAACATAGGAAAATGAATATTACCCTTTCTCAATTTGACGAGCACGTTCAGTTAATTCGACCATCTAAATAAAACCAATTCATTCTCTGATGCAAATAATTTACATGAATTCGATAACTTACATCATATTTTTGTCGCTCGAAACGTTCGGTTAATTCATAGATTGAACCGTGTAATTGTTGGAGAAGGTTGTGCAACTGTTTAGCCTATTGGAGACGAAAAGGAAATATGAAGTTATGAAGAAAGATCTACCAAAATACCTTTTCAACAAGTTGATCTTTTGAGCTTCCATCGATTTGTAATTGGGGTACCCGTTGAGCGATGACGGATCGTTTTTCTTGTTCTAATTGTTCAGGAGATTTTTGTAAATCTTCCTTAGCTTTGAGAACATTGCTAAATGCTGAACCACTTGCCACTGAAGACAAAATCAAGACTTCTAGAAAAACATTCGATCTCTTTTGCGGCTACTTACTAGCGCCAAAGTTGTACTGTTGAGTCGAGAAAAAGAATGGGTGATATGCGCGTAGATAAATAAGTCTAAATGTAGTTGGCTCTGACGACGAGAAAGCAAGAGAGAGATAGAAGAGAAAAGATGCAACCAGATCTCTTTTTTCTCTTATTCGGGATAACCCGTATAGGATATACAGAAAAAATACCAACCGGAGTGTTTCCTTTACGCACAACAACCAACTAGAGTCTATGTATACAGATATCCTGGTAGAATAGCGCTGTTTCTATATCGGGCAATGAGTATGCCCGATGAAGCGAAGGTTATATGAGAAAGAAAAGAAAAATAACGATAGGAACTATTTATCAATCCAACCGATCTTTCTTTATGTAGGCGATGGAATTGCTCTCAATGGTCAGAATACTTCTTTTGTCTTTTCCTTTTTATTAGTCGTTGTGGTTATTCTCGTAATAGCATTAATACGAGACAATTATATTACAAATATTGGATAAATATAAAAAATAAAAGTTTATAGAAAACAAATAAATTCACAGATACATGTGTTGTAATTGTAAAGAAGTTGAGTCAGATGTATGTTGTATTCAAATAGATATCAGAAGTGTTGTGGTATACATATTTGGACGAATTATCGATGAAATTTGTGCATGATTATCACGATTTAAATCTTTTGTTGACAAACTTATATTTTTGGTTGCCTATAAATAGAACAAGCGATTTGATGTGCATGGGCTATTCCTTTTTACATACGAATTGACTGTAAGTCAACAATGACTTGCGACAAACTAGTCACTATTGTAGATGTTACCGGTGCGCAAGCCAGTGCAGTATTGAAAGCGTTCGGCCAAACTGGCAAATATAAAGCAAAATGGCCTCTATTGGTCTCTGTATGTCTCTATGTCAAATTCTGCTCTCTAACACACGATCCAACCAGTGAAAAGGCACAAGTAGCACAACGTCGTCTAGACGAAAATATCGAAATCTTATTGTGTGACATCAGAAAGAAGGATGACGTCGAAAGAGCATTTAAAGATTCGTATTCTTTCTTTGCTTTGACGGACTTTTGGACACAGCCGGATAAGCGTGACGTTGCAATTCATGAAGGGATTATTATGGCTGATGTAGCTGCTCTACTTGAAATACCTTATTATATTTTTAGTGCCCAAAAAGATGCAACTAAGATAAGCGATGGAAAGCCGTGAGTGTTTTGTTGTATTTTGAATAGCTTCAGTTAGATAATATTCTAGAATTATTCTACATCGTACGTAAAAAGCATCCTCAATTAAAAAGTAGAATAGTTGAGGGAGATTTCTAGACGCAAAATTGAACAGAGTTTACCAAAATTTCGAAACTAGGCGACGGCAAAGTCGTATTTTCGGTTCTAATGCATCAAAATGGTAAATTATTCACGGTCGATATCGACGACATGGGCTCGATCGTTTGTAAAATTTCACAAGAGCCTGAAAAGTTTTCAATGGAGTGACTGGCGTTCCAGCCATCTCGAAGTCGTCTGCAAGCTACCTAAAGCTGTACAAGATAATATATTTTATATGTATCAGTTGTTTGAAGAATACGGTCTTTAGAGTAAAGATATCGATTGAAAAAATGGACGGAGAGTCACGAAATTAGATACATTCGAAAGGTAGTTAAAGAAAACCGGATGGAAGGGTGACTGATCGGTCGTTATTCTCGTTAATTTTTTGACGACATGAATCTTTGAGAACAAAATATTGCGTTTGAATTAGTTTTTCGTCGCTATGATAATCACAGCATCATTTTCTAATTGAAATGACTTGTTTTCAAAGAAGTTTTTTCCATGCTCTTCAGTTAAGATTCGTTTGGCTTCACTTTCAGCCTTCAAATATAGATTTTCATCGTTGAACCATGGTGCAACCCGGGCAAAACTAAGAAATGTTCGAATATCCGGAAATGACATGGACAACTTGAAGTGCAGCCAGTCTCGTATTCGGAAGCCTTGTTGTTCGTACAGACTCCTCGTTAGTTCTTCATTTGCACATGAAAATGACGAATCATCGTCGAGGTTTCCTTCGACGCTTTCCTGATTGTTAGTCATAAATAGAATGACGCGTTTCAGTATACTAAGAAATGCGACTTGACTTGCTTTTGACCAATGACAAGTTATTAATAATCCACCGTTATTCAGATGTTGGTAAAATTCTTGTAGTAATTGATTTTTATTTGATATGTATGGTAACACAAGAGAGCTAACAATGAAAGCGTAAGTCTCTGAATTGGCGATGCTATCTGAATGATTTAAATCAATCTGGAAGTTCTTCAAACGTTGTTGCGCTAATGCAATCATTCCAGATGACAAATCCATTCCTTCGTATTGAATATTTTCGATTTGGTTGTCTTTCAATAGCTTCACAATCGTTAATAATGGTTCACCAGGCCCTTTGAACAGACAGATTTACTCTCATTTACAGAAATCCTTCATATGTTACCTGTTCCATAATCAAGAAGACGGAGCTTCTTTTCCTGAGGACTCGATGCTATGTGCTTGAGTATTAAGTTGGCAAGGAAGTTATACAGTGGTTGAAATCGTGGCAAAAGAACATCTTCGTAGGCGCCTGATAACACTGACCATTCGTCACTCATTTCTGTTTTGATTAAACGAGAGCGGATAGATATTTGCTTTAAATTTGAGAAACCAATGAAATACAAGAATGTTATCGGCGACCTCTTTTAGTTCTTTAACGAAATTTTTTTAGTGCATAATAAGAGTCATCGTTGTTGATTTTGAAATGATAACGAGTAAATCGAAGAACGTTAATTGAAAAGAGTTCTTGTTGTACTGCTATCAGTTTATTTTTCGCTTATAGTTAACTATAATGCTTGTCTAGGATGCGTATGATCGAAAAACAAAGGAAAAAGGAAGAGAAAAAGGGCGAGTTCATATTGATGTTGTTGTGTTGGCTGTTTTGAACAACCTCTATGTTTATCTTTGAAAAGGGTATCCAAAACCACCAAACTGTTGATAAGTATTGGGGAAGGTTTGACCAGCGAATGGATTTGTTGTAGGTGCATTCATATAATTATCAAAACGTATGCCGAATGGATCTATAAGAGAAGATGGCGGATGAATGATGCGTTTATTAGTGCAAAGATTCGAACTTACTATTCAATCCATTGGCAACACTTTGATTGAGCCAGTTGTTTGGTTGCATATCTTGTTGTTGGATGTTTCCATAAGGATGATAATTGTTTGACCACATGTTTATGTTGAACTTTTCGAAATGGGAATAGAATCGAATGAATACATATCGACAATTCGACGGACTATTTATTGGTCCCGGTTTCTACTGTCTCTAGACGAAGAAGGACACAGAGGAAAGAAACTGATCAAGCGTAACTTTAGTTAACTTGATGTTCATTTGATCAATTTTGATTATCGTTACAGATGAATAGTGATGAAATTTTATCGAATTCATGTACAAACGAAGTTACGTCTTACGGTTTGAGTGCCGTAGAAGGACACTGCGAAAGAGGAGAAACTGATCATGCATGACATCAGTTTAGTTCAACCTTGGCCAGGTCACCTTCTGAGCATAAATAATTTTCACGCTTGTATCCTTGTTCTTCCAAGTTTCTTCTCACGCTTTTATTTCTATCAAACTTACACTCATTTTCATTCATTAACCTTGATTTTAGCGGATGTTTACTCTTGTCCGAGCGGTTCGAGTGCATACATCCATTTGTTTTAGATTCTTTACTCAAATCCATTGATGTTTCTCCGGCAAAATAGACAAAAAGGGCATTCCAATGATATCAAACGTTCCACGATATTCGCTTGTACTTGTTGACTTTCCTAGTCCATTTCTTGACTAGGCGCATATTCACGAAGAACAATAACTAGTACATGGTTACACAATTTGCCGACACTGCAGCACTCACTTAAATAATCACAATGGCATTCAACGCTCGTCTTACATTATAGTTTATGCAGTGCATGATGCGCATTTAGTACAAATGTCGTACCTTGAACCCTTATCTGAATGTGAAATAGAAAGACTATTACTTTCAGTCTTTAATTACACTTTTAAGAAGGTTTTTTACCGCGCAAGAAATTGCTATAACGGTATATTTGCTCGGGTACCAAAAGACAATTATTTGTACATATCTTCGTCTGAATTACTTGTTAATATGAAAATCAAATAGGAAAATGTGTCAACAATAATAAATGCTAGATAAAATGTGATTCCAGCTGGAGAATGCCACAGACGATGTGGATTAGTCATAAACTAGAAATGTTTTCTTTCTTTTCGTTCTTGTATTTATATATATCTATAACCAGGTCTCTTTTTCTTCTCCGTAATCTTTATCCTATCGCAACGTACCTTTCAGTTTCTTCTAGATATTACGTCTTTCACCATGAAATGCGCACATTGTTGTTCTTTAGGGTCTTAGCTTACATAATACACATCGTCTATTGCTTACTGGAAAAGAAAGAAAAATACGAATCTTCTTTGTACTTTATTTTTATTACAATAACAAAAAAAACAACAATTTCAATTAATCTCCTTGTTACATCATTAGTGCCAATGACGTAGAAGATCGTATTCGAAAGAAATGAGCTCATCATTTCTTGTATTGAATTTTGTTTACTTCATTGTCAGACTTACTGATGCACACAGTGAGACACCAGCATTTCCTATCTGCTAATAATATTTGTACTCTCATAACTTTGATGTCTTTTTGTAATCATGCTTCTTTATGTTTAAACTGTAAAAGATATATTGTTTATGATTCATTGTTCTACCATGGACTCGTCAAGGTCAGTTGTTTAAACTTGTAAAGAAGAAAGGCGTTCGCGTAAAAGTCTTGTTCGTGAGAGTGTGTAAATCCTGTTGACATAATACGTCGATTAAATCGATAAATATCCTTGTTGTGATGAAAAGGGTATCAAGAGCGTTGTTATTGTGGTAACAAAGATGCAATCTAGCAAATAAAAGTTTCTACTGAATTTCTGTTTTAATACTTAGGTCACTGGGTTTAATTTTTCTGTTCTTCCATCGCGTTAACGCTGTCATCGATTGCCTCGTCGAATAATTTTCTTTCCTGACGCGTTTTTTCGACTGCAAGGTTAAAAGACAAGTTTTTCCTTTCTTTTTACACTACAAGATTTCACGCACGTACTAAGATCGAAGTTTCCTAATCTGTGTGTTCATACACACTATTCTATGCCATTCTTACTTAACACACATGGACAATGAAGAAAGTTCTTTGACTTGTTCGACGCCGCAAGCCAAACCAACCGGCAGTATATGTAAAATATGTGAATCACCAGCTAGTCATTCGTATTTTGGTGCTATCGCATGTTCGGCTTGTAAGATGTTTTTCCGGCGTAATGCAGAAAAGGATTTGGTTTGTTCATATTTGTCAATACGTAAACATTGTTTACAGAGTCTTTTGTTTGTTTCCACTAGGAACAATTTAAATGCGCGTACGACGGTAAATGCGAAGTGAACTTAAAAAATCGACATGTGTGTTCGGCTTGTCGACTAGCGAAATGTTTTGCCAGTGGAATGGAAGTCGAACGGATTCGCTGTTCCATGCCAATGAAGAAAATAATCAAAACACAGCATAGAACAACAACTGATCCGCCATCATCAGTAACAAACCTTTTGGTAAGAAGAAAAAAAAACAAAAGAAACATCCTTGCTATCTAATATGAATTCGCGTATAGTCAGATTATTCGACGTTATCAAGTAGTCAATGGAATCATATTTCAAAACTAATCTTTTATCACGATACCTACGGTCCGCTATCAGTCGTTCAACATTTTTTCTCCGAGCAAGTTGCTCTTCCAGCTAAACTTCGATATAAAGCCTTGGCTTTGAACGATTTCTTCACTTCAGTCTATCTGAAAGCTGAGCAAGTGTTGATCAATAACGAAGACTATCGTAGATTATCTTCTCAAGATCAATCAACATTAATCCACCAAACATTACGACATGCTGGAGCGTTCGCCGGGATCTTTGTTTCACATCAAACGAAATTACTCGACGATACATTATTCTACAAAGCCAATGAAAGTCTTTTCGGATCGAGCACAATGACAAGCTTGAAGTTCATCACGAATAGTCTTGACGATGATGTTGTATTTATTAAACTAATCGTCGCGATTTTGTTTTTCTCTCCTGCCAATTACACAAGTTTTACCGATCGTATTGCTCAAAGTTTCATTGATCCTCAAATGATATTGAGTATTCAAAATACTTACATCGAATTGGCCTGGAAATACATGACGTATAAACATAGTTTTCAATATGCTGTCTTATGTTTTGCTGAACTATTACGATCTCTCTTTCACTATTACCGTATTGCTGTTCAAGCCGATATCGTAGATACATTCACAACCATGATTCATTCAGTAATTAATCAAACGAAAGAAATTGTTCTTGTTTCTGATAATTAAGTTTGCTTTTGTAATATAGTTCTATTGAGATTGTCAGAAAGAAAGCTTAGTTTATTGAATAAAAACATCGTTCGGATGAAAAATAAATGAGAGTTCTTCTCTGTCATGCACTACAGTTTATTTAATCGTTAGTCAAGAATGTCGTCAGGTAAAATACGAAAGTTTCTTTTATTTTAGACGTTCAATAGACAAACAATACAGAAGAAGGAAAAAGAGACGGCCTTTTGTCTTGAGAACAACAAATGATGAAAACCACGGAAAGAGAATCGTAACAACGAAAAAAAAAGAGAGAAAAGAAAAGTACATGATAAATGTCTGTGTATGTATGGGTTCGAATTGTATACATGTCAACTCTACTAGAAAGCAAATAAATTGAGACAAAACAACTCGACAATATCAGAACAACGAAGAGAAAAAAGAGTTAAGTCGCCGCTTTTTAATTTTACAAAAAGAGAGAGAGAGAGAGAGAGAGAGAGAAGGAAAGAACTCATACACATACGTCCATATCATGAATAAGAGAATAAAAATTTTTGATATATATATTTATATATACTTATATACACGAAAAAAACACACACATCAATGATTTTCTAAATATATAATGCTAAACGTACAAAGGAGACGTTTTAACGAAAGTCTGTTTTTGTTCACTGTTTTAATGTTAAATGAAAATCAACAACAACGACCGGTTGGATTGAGCAAAAAATACTTAAAGAAAAAAAACAAAAATGAAGAAGAAGGAGAAAAATGTGATCACGAAGAAGTTTCAGGTTCTTCAGCTGACTTAGAAGGAGCCGCTTCGGTGACCATTTCAGTTTCAGACGCAATTGATTCTGGTTCAGTTTTGGGCGCATCACCAGTTGAAGTAGTAGGTGCTTCTTCAGTTGGTTGGATAACTGGTGAATTTCGTTGTTGTTCAAGTTCATATTCACTAATTAAACGTTTCTTTAATGAATGGGCACTACTGGAGGACGATGGAGTCGTTGGTGAGGTAGCTATTGGCGGAGTACTACTCGCTGCCGGTGCCATGGGCAATGGACTTTTTGATGTTGATGATTGATTATTATTTACTGATAGAAACGACTCTGGTTGACCATCACTGGAAACAGGAGAGCTCTAGATGAAAGTTCAGTTTGGCTCGTGTTCAATATGATCTAACTGAAGGTTAATACCTGATCAGCTTTGCGGGTGGACATCCCTTTCGATGATCGATCGGTTGGTGATGGTGAAGATTGTTGTTCATCTATAGAATATAGGTCAGTTCTTTGTGAACGAACCAATAGTGGCCTACTTTTATTAATGTATTGTGCGTAGCGTGGATTAATCAATTGATTATTTGCCGCTGACGAATGTTGTGATTGGTCAGTCGATGTACGTGATGATGGTGGCATTGGACTACCTTGGGTGATTGAACCGGTCGGACGGGATGACCGTGAAGCAAAAGGTGACGAATAGGGATTGTTTAGGAAGTACTGTTGTTGTTGCATATACGATTGCCAGTTTTTCTCGTTGGTTGAAGGCGATGATGTTGACTGATGGTGTTGACTTTTGGAGTGTGGTTGCAATGCGAATGGATCACGTGCGTTCATCGGCGGTTCAGGTGTTGAGTGTGTTGATGAATGGTGCGACTCTTCATTGTCTGGCGATGTTCTATTAAGGAAAAAAAGCATTCGTTTAGAAATTGCGTCTATAATTAACTTATCACATACCGTAAACGTTTAGATGAAGTTGGCTGAGAATGAGCAGATGATGATTTTTTAAATATACTTGGTATTTCTAAAATATGAAATCAACGACGATACTATTCTGAGTTGCTCAAGTGAAAATAGAATAACAAAAGAAGCATTCTTATGGTCATGCCAACAGTAACACAGTGACTTATTCGCGCATCTATTATTCATTGACATTGTCGGTTTATTTTCATCAAAATGACTCCATGAATGGCTGGTTGTTGCACGTCTGCTACTATTGTCGTTACATCTCGAAATAGCCCTGGATCTGCTCTCTTGTTTGTGAATAATATCGACAGACAAACGGAATGGGAAAACTTACCATCTTGTTTAACTAATGTTGGACATGGTCGGTCGAGTTCACCACGAATCAAATAATCGATCTTTTCACAGTTAGCATGTGGTGATGCTGGACGTTTATTCGATTGTTCTTCTATATGACAGAGAGGAAGACTTTCGAAATCAAATTCTTTTCGTTCTTACCATTAGTTGGCATGGGCTGAGCTTTACCATCAGCATAGATATCACTGGAACCCATTAGCATACGCATTGTTATTGAACCACGAGATCGTGTACCTAAAGATTGACCATTTCATTCAGGGAAAAACATTCCTATCCATAGTGTTCTTACGGGCATTGGTACTATTGGATCGTTCCATACTAGATGGATCATTGGCATTTGGATTTGCTTTTGACGTTCCAGTCGCACTATTCTGAACTTTTTGGTTGATTTCTTTGAAACAACATATATAAAGTTTTCAGTACGAAGAAGAAATCGAGAGATATTTCAATCCTTACCAACATATTCTTGTTTTTCTAATGGTTGATTCGAAAGGATTTTTTTTATTGAGCTGTCACGACGTCGTTCAGGCATGTCACCGTCAGAGTTCGCTTTATTCGATAGATCTGATTGATCTATTGGGTTGGAATCTTCATCACCATCGATTAAAATAAGCTGATTCGAATTCTAGAAGAAAGAATGCACGCCAGTGAGTAAACAAACATCATGAGAATTGTCATTCACTTACGCTGGCTTGATGATTACGTGGTATTGAATTATTTGCTGATTCATGTGTTTCCGAATCCCAAGCTGAAGCTTTGCTATCGTTATCTAAACGGACAACTTCTTGTAAAAATCGGAGCTACTTTTGTTATTCATACGAGAGTAAAATGAAAGGAAAAGGTCACTGTAACTCATAGGTTTCTCATTCTTTCTCTCTATGGAAAAGAATGAATAAATGACTATCCAATAGAAAACTAACGTCGGCGCTGACATCGTGTTTTTTTCTTCCTTCAGCAGAAAAAAATACCTTTTTTTTTCCATATCACACTGTCTCTTTATATAGTAAAATAAGAAAAAATAGTAAATAGAAAATAGAAAATAAAGCCGCCGTGAACAGGATGAAGTAAAACATGGATTCATGCATTCTAATAACTGTCAGTGGTGCGTATAACTGACATGGACCAATGCAGTCGTCAAAGTGTTCTTTTTCTGACTAAAGTACATAAAATTACAAGTCAGTTATAACTATGGGATTGAGCAGTCGTCTTCATGAGGATAAATACGATGAAGTTACTATACTCGAAGAAACATGTACAAAGTGTAAACGCTCGCTAGGACTTTCCGTTATAGAACGAAAAGCAGACATATTGATACATTTGTACAGTTGTATTTATGTATGATGACGGATTTGTATTGCCCAAGGCTATAAATTTCTGTGTCATTTAATATTTTAGAGTAGGACGTGTGCATCTCGGTTGGTGCATATCGAAGAAAAAAATAGTTGATTTCCTATATTTGTCTTATGTCGGTCACGATGACTTATAGGAAGAAAGAATATGTTAAGAACAGAAAAAACAACGAACGTTATCTTCATGATAATTATCCTACTTTTCGAGCTGACAAATTCGTTGACATTTTTGTTAATGAATTCTTGTATAGACATCGATTCTTTTGTAGTTTTGCTTGCTTCACTGTGATGATTTGTTCGTTGTTGTTGATGATGTTGTTGCTGTTGACTATAATGGGATTGGTGATGCTGATGAGGAGATTGTTGCTGCGATCGTTGAGATGTTGGCGTGTCAACCGGCAAATGATGATGACCATGCATCAAATAGGTAGCATGTTGCGGCGAGATTTGCGAATTCGGCATCGGTGGTGGTTGCAATGTTCGAGCATTTGAACTTGCACTATGGTGGTGTTGAGAATGGCGATGCGTGGCTTGGGGTTTATGAACGGTAGTCGCATGGCGCATGTAATTCGACGGATTTCCTTCATTTGAATGATCTGAGTAGAGCGGATTTGGATTGGATTTTTCATGAGAAGAATTCTATAAGAAATGATATAAATATAACTATTAGGTTTCATTTTCCTCAGCTTACGTGATGATTATGCGCATCGGTACGCTGAAAATGCATTGTTGCACTTTCAGTTCCTGTACGTGCTGAATTGAGACGATGATGATAATCATCTGGAGATCTATCAACAATCAATAAAGAATCATAAAAATGTTTTCGAAAATAGAAAAACTATTAAAGCGCTATTATTATTATCAACATACCGACTACTTCTATCAGGAACATGTGCTGGTGCATGTCGAGATAGATCAGCGTGTTTCAAAAGGGGATTTTCATTAGTGGCAGAACTATGTTTCATCTGAGAATGAACTTGCTGAGGATTTGTCATATTCTGCGTACGCCAAATTTGTGCCGGATAATCATTTCCAGGATAGCCTAAGTCATGCGAATGTCGTTTTGATGAATGAGGAGGATAGGATGCATCTGGAGGCGAATGAACAGGAACATTCGGCCCTTGATGATGATGATGATGACGACTGAAACGCATCGCAGCTTTGTGATGTTCTGCTAAAAAAGAAAGGTTAATTTGAGGAGTGTTCCGTCTAGATGTGATATCGAAAGAACCTTTCAATTGTTCGCTGTTATTCGCAGCTGCATATTCATGCATGAGACGTGGATCGAATAAGAACGGCGAAGTAGGCGGAAGTGAACCATAGTAAGATGTGTATGGAAGAAGACTATTGGTAAGAATATCTTGCGAATAGACACCGTTTGAAGCAAGAAATTGTGAAGCAGCAAGAATAGCTGCTTGTTGTTGAGAATGATGCGAATGTTGTAAAGACGAGACGGATGGACTACCAGTTGGAGGGCCAATTGTTGATGGTGGAGGAAGCAATGGTTGGTTCATTGCCGGCGATGGTTGAGAAGGAGAACGTTGATCAGGACCAGGACGGTGTTGACTATGATAAAAGATAATAAAAATAGTTAACTAATAAATAAATTGCTAAAAAAATATGTACCGTTCATGGCTCGGTGAATGAGTTGTTGCCAAATACTTTGATGTCAGGTAATCAGCTCTCAATGTTTCGAACGTGTCTGTACTTGGCGGTTCAATTTTTGCTGCAGACTTATGCTGCTGCTGCTGCTGTTGTTGCTGTAAATATGCTTGTTGCTGTTGCTGTTGCGGTTGTTGGGCATATTGGCGCATGTAGGCATGTTGCTGTTGCTGATGGATCAATTGTTGTTGCTCAGCATTTCGGTCGAGAATTTTGGGCGCCTTATGATGAGGATAGTCGGTTCTTGTATTATGGTAATGATGAGAATGTGGTGATGTTATGTCTGCAGCAATGGGTTTATTCGAGGGCGTTGATGATGATATGGGTGTTCCACGCATAATCGAACCTGTTGGTAAATAGGATTGTTGAGGGTGAGATGGATATGGATAGGCTGCTGCAGGCGATTGAGACTTCTTAATATTCACCAATGGCGGTGGCGGCTGAGCAGCAGTATGAGTCGGATTGTTGCTATTACCTATTTGTCGTTCAGGGGATGAAAACGTATTAGTATTACTAGCTGCTAAACGTTTTTCTGTTTCGTTCAATGTTTTGTAAATTTCTTTTTCTACGAGTGACGTGATCGTAGAGAAGTTTGTTGTTGTTGGCGCAGTTGATTTCGCTGGAACTTTCTCTTCAGTCGTCGATGTTTGTTCTTCACCTTCATCAATGACCATTCCTTGAGTTGAATCGTTACTATCTTCATTGATAGTCTTCAGTTCATTATCATCATTAACTTGTTTTGTTTGGCCCAACTCTGAGCCTGATATACTGCCATTATCATCATCATTGTTCTAAATATAGATTAAGAAACATAAGCATATTCTCATTCGTCAAAGGTTTCTTACAGGATCATCAATGGGTGATGTCGTTTTGCACTGTTTTAAATAGAATGCTCGACAGCTTTCTTCACTTCGATGAACATATTCGGCGATTTGTGTCCAATCGTGATTGAATTTATCCAATGCTTGTGTAAATGCTTCAGCTTCAGCTTCAGTCCATTTTTCTACAAACAAACAAGCAGAATATTCAAAACGAGCCTTTTCTCCTTTCGACTACCATCATCATGTTTAGAATTCTGATGTTCGGAAAGCGTGACTTCATCATCATCTTCGGCTGTTCGACTTGCATGCCGTTGCCGTACTTGAATAGTTAATTTATCATAACAACGCGGGCAACAGCGTTGAATCTCCGATGGAATTTCTAAACAAGAATAGAATAACCTTTCGATGTCAGCAAACTCGCCGAATCGACTTACGTAATAAACGACGGATCTCTTCTTGGTGTTCCTTCGATAATTCATTCCATTTCGGTGGAAAATCACGTAAACGAGTTTTCCGATATTTCTTCTTGCCACCTTTGTCAGTTGTACAAGATATAAATTGGCAACGACTATACCGAAATTTCAAATGATTATTTTGCATCAGAAAAACGCATAACTAACTTTTTGTTTAAACGTTTGTCATCACCAGTATCACCGGTATCTAGAAAATAAAATTATTAGAAGAAAAAGCAACCAGTCGTCTCTCGATATACTCATATCACGTCGATCGACATCGCTAAAGAAAAAGAAGAATTATGAAATCAATTCGACAAAAATCCATAGAAGAAAACTTACTTATCCATTCGATCAGCCGGACGTTCAGCATCCTAAAGGACGAACAAACGAAGATTTATATTCTATAAGAAAAATGACTGATCAAACAAACTTGTCCTGAGCCCAGTGTTTGTTGAGATGTTGACGAAACGATTGTATTCGATGTAACTCTTGTAACGAAAGTTGTTTTAATTGTTGTGGATGCTGTGACTGTTGTCGTCGTTGTTGTTGTGGGATTTTGTCTTGCGCGACGTTTATTCGCTTGACTCTGTTTACGCAATAGATTCTTGTAGTTTTCTGCTTTCTTTGTCATATAGTAAAACTGAACGCATTGCTCAGTTGTTTTATTTTCGAGAAATGCGGATATGTAGCCGAAATTTTTCGGCGATTGAGTAAATTTCTCAATGAAAATCTGTTTCTCTTCAGGTGTCCAATATGGCATTTTGGTTTGTTCTTTATAGAATGCAGCTGCATCGCCTTTGATCAAACCATTATTATTGAAATACTGATGTTTACGTTGCCAACGATCGTACATGATTGGTGGAATGACGGACGACTTGCGCATCTTTTCATCCTCTTGTTCATCGCTCTCTTGTTCCGTGGAATTCGTAGTCGATTGAACTGGTTGATCCGTCGACGATGACAACGGATCTGTTGAAGTCTGCGCCGATTGTTTTTTCTCTTTATCTTCGCGTGCTTTACGTATTTCTGAAAATGTCTTCTCAAATGTTTCACGATATGTGGAAATATCTTTGGCTAAGATCGATTTTTCATCTTTTTCGATCGATTTTTGCCATTCTTCGTATGCTTGGTCATATTTTTCACTTTCAAATTTCGTTTGACACATGTAACGTTCGCGACTTTTCTTGAATAGATTTATCAAACGATTTTTCATTACATTCATGTATCTAAATAGAGAAGAACTTAGCCATTAGATTTCCTAACGAGTAATATCTGCAAATCATCATACTGTGTGCGAATTTCGTCGATTGGTTCGAGATCACTTGGTTCATGGTACAATGGAATGGTTAAATCAATATTATTGTGCAATCGATTGAGAACCCTTTGACCATCTTCTGCTACTTTCTTTAAAATGTAAATACAACGAATGAGTCATCTTAGACAGAGAATTTCGTTATTGCTATTTAGTCCTACAGTCCGTTTTGTTACTATTCATATCTTTATCTATGTCTTACAAATTCTTATCTGTTGAAAAATAAACGCTGGGTCGAGTCAGGTATACACTTATCTCACTGTTACTTGATAAGATTACAAATCTTACTCGGTTATCATGTAGAATTTTCTCAATTAAAGTTTGTGAACCATTTGTTTTAAATAAATCATCTTGAGTATCGTTTTCATCTTCATCGGCTGCTGAACGATCTGCTTGACTCTTGATTTCACTCTACATATGATGGAATAAATATCCAAAATGAAGTTATTTCCTTGTTTACCTGACTCAATCTTGCTCGATGAAGCTTTTTTATTGCTATTTGAATATCAGAGTCTAATTTCGATATTGAATTACGTATAATTGTTGAATCTCGCATATTTGAATCATTTTTCGGTTCTTCGAGACTGGGTGATATTGCTTCTGTTTGTGGTTGATATAAAGCTTGTTCCTAAACAAGTAAACACATTTCTACACATTGATCCGCATTAATAGACATCGAGTCAAACCTTTTTCACATCAATCGATAGTGGTATTGTTGCTGAATATCGTGACCGTTTTGAATGTTCATCGGTATGTGTTCCCATTGAAGCCGGTCCTCCCAATGAGAAAGCATACGGCGTTAGAGAATTTCGATCTGGACTAGTGAAGTGATTGTGATAACTAGCAAGTAGAGATGGTCGACGATGATTTAATCCCATCGAGTTATCAACATTTGGATTGGTACTGTAACGAACATCACGCTAGAAAAATTACATCATGGCTATTCGAGTATGCAAGGAAAGTGTAGATGAAGTTTACTGGTTGAAAATTGTTTGGATAAGCATATTGAGCTGCTGACATATACGGTGATTGTCCAGACATGTTCAATTAATATTCATTATCATCTATTTGAGACTATTTTGAAACTAAGAATAACATTAACAGAATGGATGAAAAACGTAAATAAGAAGAGTGTGTATGTTAGAAGAGGAAAAACATGGAGAATGAATGATAAAATGAAGAAAAAAAATCAACGTTTGTTATATTTTTCAAATGATAAACAACATCATAATTACAATGATTCGTCACGCCTATGAATATACTCATGTATCTACGGTAATACAAACGAGTGGCGACACAATACCTCCAAAGAAAATAAAATCCAACAGCTTGATTAGTTAGGTCACAGAGGTTGATTTTCATTCGTTCGATACTTGAGACGAATTGTAATGAAGGAATAGAGGGCGCTGTGAAGCAAGGTATTCTTCAGGCAAAGATAAAAACTAGATGTGCATGTGTGTTCTATTTTCGCATTTGATAAATATTTGTTCGGAAAAAAGAAAACGAGATTTATCAGGTATTAATTTCAGTTTTATTGCGACTGTTGAAGTGTTTGTCGTATAGTTTGATATGATCAAAGTCAAAAATAGAAAGCATCTGTTTATCTGTTCATGACATTTTATCAAATGCAGAGATGACAGCATCTCTATATGAATGATTTCGGCAAATGAATTAAAATTTCTCGAAGGTGGATTCGTTCGTTTTAATGCTTAATGTCATGCCTTATTAACTATTAAAAATCAACGCCATTCTAACCACACTATATGCACTATTGGATAAGCGTGGTGTAGTTGATGTAGAATTCAAATACAGTTTTTCTTTTTGTATATAATACACGCTTGACAGCGCACTCTTCTCTTTTAACATGAGTCACAAGCTCCTTTCGAGTCAAACGCTGTATAGTAACTATTTATAGAATGCATACAATCTGACAATGAAACGCATCTGGTATGGAAGATTAAAGTATCTAAAAAAGAAACACAGGATTAACAAAACTTAGCTAACCGATTTCGGGTCATGAGTCCCCTTCTAAAGTCAACACAGAACATCGACGCATATTGTCTGGTAATCCCAACTATGGTTGAAGAGTTAAAATGTCGAAGGGTATAAATAGCAAAAAATTAGAATGTCGAAAACAGTGAAAAGTATGGCAATAATGATGCATGAGTAGGAGTGAAGGTGAAGATGATTTATTTTTTCAAACTATACTGTTCTCAGCATATCTAGCTTTGAAAGTTAGTATCATTTGTGCTTTCGATGTTTTGAATTTGCGACATTTTCTCTTTCGACCTTAGATGGGCGTATCGCATATCTCACTTATCTGAAAGTAGTTCTTTGTCGAAATCGTTTAGTGAACTATCAACTGGGTGCAATTTGGAAATGCTACGGAGAAGTCCAAAATCAAAATAATTCTTGTCAAGCACCGCTAATTAAAAATCAGCTGAAACAAAATCATGTAAGAAAAGTTTTGTAGTTTGTCAGTAAACTATTCTTTATAACCATAGTAAAAAAAGTTATCTAAAATAAGTTCTCTTCGTCATCCGGTTCTTTCGTATCACATGTGTTTAAATATAATCAAATAGTAAATTTCGTGCACGCAGTCTCTTATCATTTTGTACCCGTTCGATTTCTTTGTTTGTAAGCAGTACTTCTGGGTGAGTTTTGAACGTTCGACGATACGCGCGAATCAGCGTATGGATTGCAGTACCCAGCTCTTGCAATGCTTCTCTTCCTTTTTTGGGATTCGATGCCAAACAATGTGCCAGACCAATACGACCTTTACCTATATCTGGATGATTGTGCGGTAAACATTGATTTTGTATTGAGAGAACTTCTCGAAAAATCTTTTCTGCTTCACTGAAATTATCTTTAGCGAAATGAACATAGCCAATCGCGATCAGTGATTTAGCGACATCGGGATGAATCTCGGGTACGCTTCTGTGTAAAATATCACGTGCAGAAGTGAAATATTTCAATGCCTCTTCAGTCTTTTGAGTGACAATAAACTCAATGAATCCAAGAGCAATAGCTGCGCGAGCTCCGACGATATCATCGTTCGCGTCCGAATAGATTTTCGTTAGTAGAAGTTTCCCTTTGCCAATATTATCACTGGATGTTAGAAGATGAACATAAGCACGCAACAAATTGGCTGAATGAGAATCCTCCGGCAATTGTTGCAGATAGTCAGAGGCTTTTTGACAAAGATTTTGACGTAGGGTAACTTCAGCTAATTCTTCGTAATGGGTGGTATTTTCGAACCATTTTTCTGCTTGGGTATATAAACCTTTATAGATGAGGATTCTTCCAAATGCTCGATGAGTATCATCTAGATTCCTCAAAGACTGCGAATAGTTTTCGTAGAGATCCTGTGTTGCTTGATTTCGATTCAATGTTGGAGATAAACTCAGACCGACTAGCCAACACGAATCATTTCCGTCCATGAGTTCAACTTTAATTATTCGATGTCGTGACCCACACCAAAATAGAACGCGATCTTTGTCCAATTCACCGTAGGGAATAGTAAATTGAGTATCTTTGTCGATATTGATTTCGAAGATAACTCTGTGCTTCACATGATCATCGATTTTTACATCGACAAATTTGGCAGCGTCGTGCATATTTGTATAAGCTAGAAGAATTTCATTGCATATGATAAATTCACCTATACGTTGTTTGATCTTGTCAAGTTCACCTGTCCTCACCCATGTACCATAATAAACGGTCCGTGTGGATGAGTTTGCATTGAATTGGTTATGTTTAACAGTCAATTGTTCATAAAAAATTCGAATAAACCAACGTAATGCCCACAACTCAATCAAATGAGTTGCATTTAAATGAACATAGCATAGATCGGGTTTATACCAGTTTTCAAGCGGTATATCCACTTGAAAATGGTCATCTACCTCTCCAACGCTCGCAGTTGTTGCATGATTTTGACAGTACTTTTTAAAGTCGTCAACGCCATCGTCATCATTAGCTGGCTTTTTAACTAGTAGTTGAAGTGCAAGCTGATCGTGAAGGTTAGCGCCAGTTGTGAAGCGTTCTGTTAGTTTGGAAACAAATTCTTCTCGAGGTGGCTCTGGTTCTTGCTCTTGAGGTGACTCAACTTCCATCGTTGGATGTTCATGCTGAGGTTGATGGTGGGCTGGTTTTTCAGGCGGCTTCAAATCTTTCTGTATACACTCAAATATTTTACCAAAATCCGACTCGACGCACCGAACTTTATCACACAATTGTGCCCATTGATTATGTCTGACGGTGTCCATGCAATAGACATAAATAGATTTTATTTGATTCAATGGTTGGAGACGATTTGGCACATACATTTGTCCGTATTTCCCTGAAACGAGCATCGATATACATGCTGGTTCACCATCCGCCGATTCAACCAATTCCAGACATTCCAGAGGCTGGTTAAAGCACAAGACTTGTTTGAAAAGAGAAAGAAATATTCCCTTTGCGTCTGGATCTTGAAGAGCATTATCATCCAACCAAACGAGAGCTAGTCCGTTTTGGTTAGATGCTTGTTTGTCTGTTGTTTTATAGGTTGTTGACGCTTCTGCCATCTAATCCTGACGATTTTCCAACTTGGTTTAAAGTAAAGCGACAAAATATGACTTGACTGTTTTTTCTCTTCTTCCTTGTCGTAGCGTTGTTGTTGTTTTTCGTCGGATAGAAGGTATCGTCTTTTTTACTCCTTTTCTTTCTTTTCTTCATCTTATTTTTCACCATGAAACCTTTCTCCAGAAAAACAAACTCCACAAAAGAAAAAGGAATATGATTAGTTTTTTCAAGCAGCATATGTAAGAAAAACCTAGGCGATTTCGACCAAAAACGTTGATAAGACAATAGCTTCATTCGCTGTTCATTCACGCATAAATCTGACTAAATGCTTCATATCCGTCTCAGTCTATAATGAGAACGCTACTCACATAGGTCCTCTTCGAAAGAAACAGCACTGCTTTCATTGCTTGTCTATGTTTTGTCGTTCTGTACTAGTCACTGTTTATTGCAACATCATATTATATGATGTGCAGAAAGTGCGAAGACGAACGTTCGAGTATGTGAATACACGTGTACCTGTACGCATATATATGTGCACGTGTGCCTTTTAATAGATGACAATTTAGTATTTAATATTGTTTCAATTTCGTGTGATAGAAAAAAATGTTCTTAACATTCATTCTTATTTCGGTTGTCGTATGTTTGACTGTTCTGTATCTATGGACAACAAACAATGCTTACGATTATTTCAAACGTCATGGTATTCCGGGACCGCCACATCGGTTCTTCTTTGGACATTACAAAGAATTTTGGGGAACAAAATCGTTTTCAATCATGATTCAGCAGTGGACAAAGCAGTACGGGTCTGTTTATGGTTTATTCATGGGTACGAAGCCGATGTATGTTGTATCGGACGTCGATTTCATTCAGGAAGTTTACATTAAACAATTTTCATCGTTCCACACGCGACTCGTACCGAGTATTTTACGTGTACGCACCGACAGTAATATCCATCTATTTCGTGCTACTGGAGACTCATGGCGTCGTCAACGACATATTATTAATCCGACATTTTCATCTGGAAAATTGAAATTGATGTCCCCATTAGTAGATGGTTGCATCGATGCCCTGCTGACAAAGTTATCTGAAGAGGTAACGAATGAGCATACAGAAATAAATATTTATGAAATGTACAAGAGATTGACTATGGATGTAATTTGTAAGCATTGAAATTATTTATATCGACACAATAACTTTTATTTTCTTCGGATTAAGGTCGTTGTGCATTTGGCATTGATACAGATATGCAAAATGATCCAAACAATATGTATCTACAAAAATCAGCTGAGGTTTTCAAATCAGACGTCGAACAAATGGTACTTTTTAAGATATGTAGTGTGATGCCCATCTTCGCGAAGCCTATACATGATGTTATATTTGGCATTCAACGTATCCAGAAAGCATTTACCCATTCGATTCCGATTCTGAGCAATTTTGAACCACATCCAGCTCAATGGCTGCTCCAACGTCTAGACGAAGTACTTCAACTTCGCTATCAGTCTATGTCAAATCCACAAAAGCGCATTGACTTATTACAACTGATGATCGATGCAGCACGTGACACTAAGACTTTGGTATGTATATAGATCCATTTGACTATTATCTGACGTCAATTATACTTTTCCGAATATCGAAATAATATTTATCAATGGTACTCGCCTTCTTTTAGAATGAAACAGAAGGACATGGCGAATTAAAAGTGTTGAAACTCAGTGAAATCATTCCTAACATTTTCTTATTCATGATTGCTGGTTATGAAACAACATCGACTGCTCTGGCTTATTCGACCTATGTACTTGCTACACATCCTGACATTCAACGACAGCTTTTCAGTGAGATCGATCAGCATCGCATCGACCACAATGATCACGACGCTGTTTATGATACAGCAATGAATCTGACTTATCTCGATTTATTTGTCCGTGAAGTACTTCGTATGTATCCTATAACCAGTAAAGCGATGGCACGTGAATGTAACACAACCACTACAGTTTGCGGTCACACTATCGAAGAAGGTTCGTTTATTTTGAAACCTTTTCCCTGCCCTCACCCACCCTATCTGATCTATGCTTCGTCTTCTTTCAGGTAGTGTAATTCAGCCTGATGTTTTCACCATTCACTACAATTCTGAGCTGTGGGGCCCAGAAGATCCAAACATCTTCTATCCAGAAAGACATGCCGAGAAACGACATCCGGCTGCATGGATACCATTCGGTATTGGCCCGAGAATTTGTATTGGTATGCGATTTGCACTGATGGAACTGAAGATGTGTTTAATTCGACTATTGAGAGAATATGAGATCGTGGCCAGTGATCGAATCGAAGAAGGATTTCGACGAGAGGAAAGACTGGTCATTCAACCAGATGCGATATTTGTCAAATTACAAAAACGTTCTTCTTAAAATTTTTTAACTTAATGTATACTACGTTCTCATAAAAAAATAGTTTTGTTTTCGTCCATGCATACTGTTTCTATTCACTGCAATATATAATTACATTTCTAGATCACCCGTCGACATCATATATCATTTATCTTTCGATACTTTCATGAAAAGAAATTTCGATAGAAAATAATCCCTTGATATACTTATTTTCTTCGTTCGAAGGTGATAGTACTAAACATGCACTAAACGACCAGACGAAGTAATTCATTTGGACGTCCTTTTCACTTTTCCCATTTCTAGGTCAGACATTCTTTCATTTAAAACGAAGAAGAAGAAAATAGCGACTTCACGTGAATCCATCGCCTATACAAACCAAGAATTTATTCTACTTGTCGATCTTATCGGTAATTCGTTTACCATCGTTCTATATATTAAAATTCATGTCCTTCAAGTGCAGTGCAGTGCACTTTGTTGACTGATACGAAATTAGACGCTTGTGGTCCCCGGCAGTTATACCCATCCTAACTATTTCAGCATGTTATGTACTATTGTCCTCTTAACCTGCTTTCTGTGTTTAATTATTACATACCTCTGGATGACAAATCATTCCTATGGTTATTTCAAACGTCATGGCATTCCGACACCGCCACATCGTTTCTTCTTCGGACATTATAAAGACCTATGGGCAACGAAATCATTTTCAATTACACTGCAACAGTGGACGAAAAAGTACGGATCTATTTACGGTCTATTTCTGGGAACGAAGCCGATGTACGTTGTATCGAATGTTGATTTTCTTCAAGAGATTTATATCAAACAGTTTTCATCATTTCATTCACGACACCTGCCGATTATCCTACGACTTCAAACTGGCCATAAAGTTCATCTTTTCAGTGCTATCGGCGCAAGATGGCGACGACAACGACATGTGATTAATCCAACATTTACAGCTGGGAAAATGAAATTAATGTCTTCATTAGTATCTGAATGCATAGAAACAATGACGCAGAAGCTCTTTTCTGTCATTCAAAGTCAACCAATCGAATTGAATATCTATCAGTTGTACAAACGAATGACCATGGACGTCATATGTATGTGAGAATCCCTGATTGAAGTGTGACGAACTTCTTGTATTTAGGCCGCTGCGCATTTGGTATTGATACTGACATGCAAAATGATACGGAGAACATATATTTAAAGAAATCCGCTGGAGCATTTGAGTTAGACATCGAGCAATTGTTGATCGTGAAACTGACGAATTTATTGCCAATTTTTAGTCAGCCTTTCCGTTATTTTTATCTTTTTCAAATTGGTATTCGCCGTGTATTGATAAGATTGATTCCATTTTTGAAGGATTACATTGAAGAAACGCCAGGCTCATGGCTGACTAATCGTGTCAGAGATGTGGTTAACCTTCGAAAACAATCACCAACGAAACGTATCGATCTGTTACAATTGATGATTGATGCTTCCACCGATGGAGACGTCAAAGTAGGCCAAATCTACTTCATATGAGATACAGTTCGATATCTCGCATTCTTTCCTGTCTATAGGATAATGTTGATGAACAATTGATGCCAAAAGTTTTACATGCGGACGAAGTTATAAGCAACGTTTTTCTCTTTATGATTGCTGGCTATGAAACAACATCGACTGCTTTGGCCTACTCGACCTATGTCCTCGCAACAAAGCCGCTTATTCAACAACGACTACGTAAAGAGATCGATCAGATCGATTGGAAAGATGACAACAAAGAAGCTACCTATGATCTAGCTGTTAATCTTCCATATCTTGATTTATTTATACGTGAAGTACTTCGCATGTATCCCGTTGGAACTAAAGGACTGACGCGTGAATGTAACACAACCACTACAGTTTGCGATCACACTATCGAAGAAGGTTCGTTTATTTTGAAACCTTTTCCCTGCCCTCACCCACTCTATCTGATCTGTTCTTCGTCTTCTTTCAGGTAGTGTAATTCAGCCTGATGTTTTCACCATTCACTACGATCCTGAACTGTGGGGCCCAGAAGATCCAAACATCTTCTATCCAGAAAGACATGCCGAAAAACGACATCCGGCTGCATGGATGCCGTTTGGAATTGGTCCACGAAGTTGTATAGGAATACGGTTTGCACTGATGGAACTGAAGATGTGTTTAATTCGACTATTGAGAGAATATGAGATCTTGGCCAGTGATCGACTCGAAGAAGGATTTCGACGAGAGGAAAGACTGGTCATTCAACCAGATGCGATATACATTAAACTGAAAAAATGTTCTACTGCATGAAAATGAAATGAGTTATATGATTTAGAGTTTTTTTTTATAAGAAAATCCAATAAATTATTAATTCCTAACTATACCTTCATCTCTATCGCGAGCAGTTTATATTGGTCTTGTGTAATCGAACTGTTGTTTCAAGTTTGTAAAACATCAGGAGAATAAGTTATCGCTCCATAACGTTTATTTCAATCATATTCCCTATTCAATATAAATTCGCCTTGAAAAGATAACGTTAGCACCATAATTTCTTCTCTTTGAAAGTTGAAGAAAAATTTCACGCTATCTCATCCTTTTATTCTCGAGTGAAATCAAATCTATAATTCTTTTCCATTGTGCAGTCTTTTCAATGTGCCAAATGGTTACCTTGTCCCATCTGTTCCATCCTCAATGTCAGTGAACATTAAAAAAATTATTGCAAATTTCCTCATCAACTGAAATCAGCGTTCAATATATATATATATACGTGAAGACGACCTACCTATAGATTTATTTCTTTTCAATAAGATTCTCTTCAATATTTGATATTCTTCGATACATCCATGCATCTGTTCGGTCACATTCGTTCTTCCATTTGAAACGATGAACTCTTGACCAACATTTTTTTCTCTCTCCTTTCTCTCTTCATTCTTTTTTTTTCTTCTTTCTTCTTATTCTTACGTTCTTTTAACACAGACAATATTCTCTACCAGCTCGCATTCTTCAGTTTAACTTTCTTTTTCTTTTCCATAATTCTATACACAAGTGTAACAAAGCCGTATTGTCTTTTCTGATCACGCACAATGTTTCAAACAAATCTTCTCACTTTCATCTTTGTCTTTTTATTAACAAATTTCATTCATATTTATTCCATCGAAATGACGACGATGCAACCAGCACTCGTATGTACCTACTGTCAAACGACAGCATGCCATTGTCCTTCACAGCAATCGGTATTGAACTGTTCGCATTATTTACTCGATCTACCATTCATAGCCAATTGTGCTGAATCGATTGTATGGGAGACAATCGATTTTTCATCACGTAATTTACAATCATTCGATGGAACAAAACTTCTTTCATTACGTATGAAACGTTTATTATTGAATTCGAACTCAATCACCGATATTGCTAATGATGCATTCGACGCTGTTGCTGATATTCTTCGGGAACTTAATTTAGAAATGAATCAACTAACGAACGTTTCATCGACATGGTTAAATTCAAAGTTATTTTGTTTAGAAAGATTAAACTTGGCCGCAAATGAATTAACTTCATTCAACCATCTGCATCATGTTCAATTATTAAATTTGACACAATTAAATCTCTCTCGAAATCAAATCGAGTTCTTTCCGAATGGTATTCAACAATGGACTTCGTTGAAAGAACTTGATTTATCATTCAATAAACTTTCGAGTATACCAAGATTTGCTTTGACAGGTCTCAATAACTTAACATGGTTATCATTGGCCTCGAATAGAGATTTAAATTGTAAGTACGTCATCGTCAAATGACTCACTTCAATCTAGTATTCGACAGGATTATGAGCACATAATGAGAACACACTTCACTACTTGAATACAAAGAAATGTATTCTCTTGAGCTTGATTACTTTAAAACGTAACCTGTTTATATAAGAAGAAGAATATTATCTACTCGATTTCTGCATTTCACGACACTCGAAAACAAAAAATAATCATGCTTGCATAAGTTTTTCAATGAGAATCTCTAGGAATGTCTCTTTGAATCGGACATGAATTGAATAAAATTTCGTTGATTAGGTGTTATTCAAGATTCGTTTAAATATCTCAAATCGTTACAGTACCTGGATCTATCAAGTACCAATTTACTTGATTTCGACGCTTGTATATTCATTCAACTGACTGGCTTGCAAATCCTTCGGATCGAACACGTATCGTTCAATTGTACGTCGTGCTGGTTACCGATCGCGAGAAAGAAGGCTTTGGAACTTTCTGGTCATTGTTTAAACAATCAGACAATTCAGTCATTTGTTTCTTTAACTGACAAGCAATTTCCATACGCTTGTTCGAAATCATCCATTGACTGTTCGACGGATTATTGTGAACCTGGCTCGTTAAATTCAACGAAGGCAATGAGTAAATCTCGGTTATCATCGAAAACTTCTGATCGAGTGAAAACTCTTACCGCTGAAATCATTGTCGGAATTCTCTTTAGTATTATTACTCTTGTCATCATCATTCTATCAATTGTTCTAGTGACGCGATGGAAACAAGGTAGACCGATTTTCTGCTGCCATTTTTCACAAACATCGCCAACGATAGCCGAAGCGACACGTCGCCGTCGTCAACATCATAAGCAAATTATCGACAGTAATCCTGTCGTTATCGAATCTGTTGTTACACATGGAGCGAATATGAATGTTCCACCTTATCCGCATCACAATTATGCTTATTTCAATGATGAAACGTCGAACAATAAACGAAAACTCTATAATCCCATGTTCGCTGATTCTCCTGCATTGGATATTCGACATCAACAGCAGCAGTCAGTTATCGTTGTCGTCTCCGATGACAGCATCTCTCAAAACAGTCAGTTCTATTCTGAACATTTGTAACACCAATGAAAGAAACGAATGATTCTTATGTATAGAATGCACCACACATGTAGTTTCGTATTTATGTTTTAATAAATTTTATAGTTTATTGTTTCTTTCAGGACAGTATGTGTAAATTGATTTTCATGATGTGAAAATTCGTCAGTACCCGACTCTTTTTAAATGTAGATAGAATCAGTCATCATGTATTTGAACAAATGTGAGAATGTGCGTGACAATTGACGAAAAACTTACGTCATCATAACCCTGGCACGTACACTTTACTTTCTTCGAAGGACATGCATAATGCTTTGATTTCTAACGTTTTGTTTGAACTTTAATTGACTAGTCCACCACTAGAATTACCATGTACAGAAATGAATGAACGAAGAAGTCGTGCTTTGTAATTACTGACATCTATTGTTACTTTTCTCCGTTTCAGATTAGCCAATCAGATTGTGTCTTCCTTGTGACTTCAATAAGCGTACGATAGATTAATACTCGTACTTAATTTGTATCTTAACCCATTAATATGGGAAATAATAATAGTCTTGGCGGTGGTAATGCACTGCGAAAACATGTGGAGACAGCGACGAAAACCGGTGTACTGCAGTATGATAATCGAAAACTGAAAGAAGTAAGACGCATTGATCGAAAAAGTTCAAATTTTGACAAAAAAAACTATGGTTTAGGTCGATCCTAGCCTTTGTTTGCCTGGCTTACGTACACTATCGTTAAATGATAATGAACTTCAGACAATTCCGTCGCAAATCGGCTTGATGGTTAATCTAAAAAATCTAAGTCTTCGAAACAATCAACTAAGTAAACGACTATCGACGTCTTTGCTTATGTCATCTATCATTCGGATATTTAGATCAATTACCGGATTGTTTTAGTCAACTGAAAAAACTGGAAAATATTCAATTAGGTCAAAATCAACTCTGTACACTACCAACATCATTTGCGAATCTAAGCGGCTTACGACAATTGACTCTATGCAACAATAAGTTTACAACTATACCTGATTCATTACTGAAATTAAGCAATTTACAGCTGCTCGATCTTTCGGGAAATCAAATCACTGAAATACCTGATCAGATTCAAACGCTGCAAGTCGATGAACTCAATCTGAATGATAATCGAGTACGAATGATCATCTTCTTGTTCCCTTTCCCTTCACATATGTTTAGATCACAAAAATTTCTGATCATATACGTTTATGTCCTCGTCTGAAGACGTTACGTCTTGACAGAAATCATCTCCTGCTCGATATAATTCCAGTTGGTTTATTAACTGATTCCAATCTATCATTACTGTCATACGAAGGAAATCGATTTGATGAAAAAGCATTTCAAGGCAAGGAAGGATATGATCAAGTAATGATTGAACGTGTTCTCATTGACTAGTTTTGATTTTTGTCATTTTTATTTTAGTACATGCAGCGTTTCACCGCTAATCGTCGAAAACTTGAATAAAAAACTGTTCTTTTTTTCTCTTTTGGAAGATTTTCTTGTCAATTTAATTCTATAATATACAAATAGATATTTCTCGACATTTCTACTGAACGTTCTGATGATAAAAAACAAGACTCAAAGTTGCGCATGTACTATGTTGTGCTTTAATCAAATAAATTCCGCTCGTTTTACTTTCATTTAATCCTTTATTCCAGTGCCGGTGGAAAAGCGGCCGACTTCTCGTTGTAGAATTTTTCTAATCTTCTTACACGTTAGAAATATGATCACGTTCAGTGTACTTATTTCCAATGCTATTTTTATACGAAGATGTTCTCGTTTTCCATCTGGCGTGTAAAAAATAGCGCTTGATTCCATCGAGTGTAGGATGAAACCTTGTTTTTGTCAACAGATCAGTTCAGTTGATCTAAGATGAATGGCATTATCTAAATATAATACTCATTACCAGGTCGAACTGAACATCTGGCATATTGGTTTTCTAGTCTAAGCTGCATGTTTATCGAAAGAGAAGTGATGTGAATAATCGATTTTGTTCGTAAAGGTTTTCATTGAATTGGCTCGATAACATTTGCGCTTTTCTTTCCTCTCTTCCGAACTAGTTAAATATTAGTCACACTTTAATCTATTTCTTGTCAATGCCTTTTGCGTGTGTGCGAAGATTGATGGTTAATCAAAAAGAGAAAGGCAGATTTTGTTTTTCTGCTGAGAACATCACTATTCTCTCCATCGACTGTCACACCTTTTATCAACGAGCTTCGCCTACGACGTATATGTTGCTCATCATTATTTAGTTTTTTCAAGAGTAAGACAGGAACAGTAATTATGGCAATCGCCAGGCGAAGCTTAAGGGATTGACATGAATGGAAAATATAATTCGTTTACATATCTTTGTAACAAGACATTAATTTAGTTTAGTCGGTCTTTCTCCTAAATGATGAACATTTATTTTGTTAAATGATAAGAAGAAGGCAAAGAACAAAGAAAAGCGAGTTTATCCCTTCGGAATGTCTTTATCGATTCATAATTACAAAAGCAAAAAAAAGAACTTTTTCTTTCTTTTTTTGCTTCTCTCGTCTCTACTTTTCTTGTTTTTCCGGTTGATAAAAGGAAAGCATGGCTAACATCAAAATAATCGCCACTACAAGCACTACAGCATGTTCATCTAATCACACCATTTCATGAACATGGTCTTTCCTTCTTTCCTTGTTGTCTTCTTCCCTGTATCATCTCCAGTCGATCATCGTTTGGTCACTTTCCTATCCATTTTACTTTTGAACAACGCAATTTTTCTGCATGCTATACCAACAGAAATCATTCGTAATGATGTCAAATTGCAACGTCAAAAACGACATGTCAACTACAATCGCGATGACATATTGGTTGATGAAAACGTTGTTATACCTGACCAAGATCTCCTACTCGAAGGTTTACTAGGTTTGCCATCGACCAATTTCGCAAAAAAACCTCAAATTTCCACAATTTTTTTCTTGTACTAGGTTGCAAATACAATTCCGACATATGCAACCAGGACGAAGCTTGTTTTGATGGTAAGTTTCTCTTTCCTTCTTCTAAATTCTCATTATTTCACATACAAAGAAAGATTAAGTATCTGAAATTTTCAATTGATTTCCGTTTTCATCGTTACTGTTCTGCACATTTGAATACAAGAAAAGGGTGCGCACATTAGCGTCTTATTTGTTTAAGTGAAATGTTGTCTGAGTGTTTTCTCTAACATTGAACACATTCGAAGCTACGCGAGACCGGGAATGTTAATTTTTATACAAACAACCTATTAACAACTGTTTTACTATTCCATCGGCGAGAGGCGTCTCGGTTCTCTAAGGTTTACTTCGTTTACTTCATTCAGGAAATAGGAAACGTTAGATGTGTAAAATAAGGTATGGCGTTTATCTTAGATACACTCTTCGGACAATGTTGGAACGGAAAAGGATCAATTCGAAAAGCCTTTGCAGTGGAAAATGATCGGAATGGGCTGACAAGAAATAAACTAACGGCACTGGCATACACAATTGATTTTCTTAATCGTTATCATCTTGACTGGAAAGATTTCATGACTCAATGTATCCTCCTACATGTTTTATCAAACCATCATCATTTATATAAACATCACCTGGAGTATTTCCATCGAAACTGTCTGGAGAAAGAACAATTCTTGTATGATGGTAAACGATATCAAACCGAGAGTAATTCAATTCGATTAACTTGTCTTTGTATTCATTTAAAAGATTTTTATATTGATCCGTATACGCCAACACAAAAGTCAAAGAATTTCTTTCTTGCTTCTGATGCATCATCTATGCAAACCGGTGAACCATCTTTACCTAAAGAACAGTTTTATGCCAACGATAACGCCATTATATCAATAAAAAAATCAACCAAACCCCATGCAGATGAAACTCAAATGAATACACGTTAGTTTGCTTCAAAAAAAGAACTTCTTTCGTAAACCGCCATCTTTGTAGAACGACCAACAAAGCTATCCATGCAGATGAATGAAGGACATCCCGATTTAGTTGAAACATTACAACTCAATAACAACAAACAAGAGTTTTCAAAATTCGAAAGTTAGAACGGTTTACTTGTGTATAGCATTGTCTATCTCTTGTGATTCTAGAAAATAACACATCGAAAGACACTGATACAACAGCTCATTTCAATGAAGGAAGCCATCGAGGATATATCATTATCAGTCGAAGGTAAGTCAATATCTTGTCCAAACGTTTCCTTGAGTTGTGGTTGCTGTCTTTTCCAGTTTTAAAGATCAATTCGAAGCTGGAGACTTGTTGGGATTCATTACTCAAATCAACTCCTGGCCAGTTGCTTTGTTCACTGATTTGAAGTAAGCATCGAATTACCTGTATTTCAATACGTCACGTCTTTTTTTCCTCGTCAAATAATCTAGTGTTGATCGATTTACACTGACGTACCAAATTTTGGATAACCCGTATGGAATCAACGCAAGTTACGTTGCTGATTCCATTCGTAAGTTTCATTGACGTGAGAGGAAATATACTTAAACATGTCACATTTAAATATCTTGAGCATGAAAAATGATGCGTAATTAGACGTGAATTTGACTTTGATTGTACATGGGGATGTTTTCATTGTTAATTCTTTTTTATTCTTTAAAAGAAGAAAAATTTTTAGTTTTAAACATTGTTTTTATTCAGTCGACCATTGTCATTTCCTTTCATACATCTATTCATTTCCTTCGTTGACATCATTCTAGCTGTTTTATTATTAATTATTTCAAAAAATTATCCGCTCAATTTCACCGTTGTCTACATGGCTTTTGTCCTGTTCATCTTTGATGGATAGATAGCACATCCTTTTTGTCTCTCCTTGCCTTCCGTTAGTTTCTCTGACAAATTGCACACTTACATCAGTTCTCGAGAGACAACTGTAAACCATAGAATGACAATAACCAGCACAATCGTACGTTAAACATCCCGATTAAGTTCGATGCTTTTCTTTCTAGGTCACAGTGAAAAACTTATTGAACATCAAATGGACATTCATATCATCGAGTCTGGCGTTGGCAATCCAAGTCGAGTAAGAGATAAACATAAGAAATATTATCTGACTATTGTATAGTTTCATTCCTGGTGGCTAGTGATTGCAATTAGAAGATGCCTTGAGGGTTATTGTCGATACTTGACTCCTTCTTTTTGCTTGTCGAGCGAGATACATCAGGCATGTTGAATACACTATCAGAAAGAATACAATGACAGTATGAACCACTCAGACACACACAGCAAGATGATCTATAAATGATGGATGATGTTGAACAATACTATATAACAGTGAGCAGTAAGTGAGAAAGAAACGAAGGAGAGAGAGAGAAGAAAAAGAAAAGCTTTTTAGCATCTTCTTCATTTCTATTGTTTAAAGAAGAAGAAGGAGAAGCATAGTTTGTCTCCTGCTTTTTTCTCTCTCTCTCTCTCTCTCTCGATGAAAGGAGTAGAAGATAGAGACGTATCTTTTTTATTATTATGTATAGAGTAGATTAATTACCAGCCGACTATGTTAAACATTATATTTCCTATCTGCATCTAAATATTCCGCGTAAGTGAAAAAAATCTATGAAATCGCGAACAATCATATTGATTGCATTGTTATTCACTTCAGCTATCGAAACATTCTGTTTGTCTCTTCTTTCGCCACCGATATGAATAGATGAAAATTGCTATTGAATATTTTCTCTCTTTTATATGTATATGTGTCTGTCGGTGTGACTTTTCTATAGCTAGTTATACGAGTGAAGCACGCTAACAAAGATTGAGCATCTATTAGATTCACACGCAAATGCATGCATAATTGATAATTCAGTGCAGCTCGGCTTCGTGTTTTCTCTCTCTCTCTTTCCTAGACAACTTATTAATACAAAAGAAGAAAACGAAAGGAACAATTCTTTAATTTTTTCTTCTCTTTCTTGTGAAAGGTTCGCCAAATTATATGACACCTTTTGTATTGAGACTGTAAGTAAAAAAAAGAAGTATGAAATATTCAAAATGATAAGATTTCTCCAATGAAATGAAAGATAGAATGTGAATATGAACAAAGAAAGCGAGAAGAAGAAAGAAAAAAATTTATTCTTTTCTTTTCTTTAAGAGTGCTCAATTATCAGTTGAACGACCGAATGGTTCACGTCTGACAGCTACTATATTGGTTACCTGCGCCTCGGTTCTCCTCATTCTTGGATCATTTGCTTTATTTTGTTTCATCAGAAGAAATGAACGCATTCGAGAGAAATTTGCAGAAATTACTCGAATCAAAAGTCAATCAACAAACGATTACCGGGTAAGATAATTCACTTAGAAAATCTGTCGACTGATATCATCTTTATTCAAAGGACTTATGTCGGCAACGAATGCAAACAGATGGAAAAACAGTTCCAGTGCAACAGAAACCAACCGCTCGTACTCGTGTGAAACACGATAGTGAAGGTTCATCATCCGGAAATTCAACATCATCATGGGCAGAAGAGCCAATTACTCCCGTGAATATGGATATTATGACTGGACACTTGATTCTGGTTTGTGTGTACTTCTCGGAAAGCTCAAACTGTAACCTTTCATTTCTAGTCGTACATGGAAGATCATCTACGTGACCGACATCGACTTGAAAGCGACTGGCAGTCATTATGCACTGATGAAGGAGTTCTCGATGAAGATTCATGTTCGATTGCACTTTCGGAAACAAATCAAAAAAAGAACCGCTATATTGATTGTATACCATGTAAGTTAAACAAACTACATTGTCCTTGGCCTGACGAAAATAATGAAAGATATACATCAGTTGACATTTCATTCTTCTTGGGAATCATCCCACATATGCTTAACATCATTTTTGACAAAAGAAAGAACCTTGCATCACTTTGATAGAAATGTGAGCTAGACAAAAAAAAATAGCCAAAGTATAGAGAAGAAAGGTAAATGCTTGTTGCTCTACGCGTCTTTTCTTTTTTTCATCTTCATCTTTTTCTTCTTTACTGTTAATTAGAACTGATAATCGAAATTTGAGTACTATAACTCCTTCTCGTTTCCTTTTTCCATGCATGCATAAGAAAGGATGTCTTGTGCATGTACTTATGTATTATCTTAGGATTCAACTAGAGACATCCTCATCAAAAGAAAAGAATACCTCTCATTTTTTTCTTTCTCTCTTCATTGCAAGATGATCATACTCGCGTTCGACTGGAAAACAACGATGATGGTGATTATATAAATGCTAGTATAATTGTAAGTTTCCTACCAAGAATATCTCATCAGTGTATTATCATATAAATCCATGTATATGTAGTTTGATTCTAATCCAAAATGCAAATATATCGCCACACAAGGTCCCATGCCCAATACAACAAATGCATTCTGGCAAATGGTTTGGGAACAAGGATCATGTGTTATTGTCGCATTGACTCGACCAAGTATTACGAGCAATAATGCCTTTTTTTTTTTATCTCTCTCCATAACCCAAACCTGTGTCTATTTTTCTCCTATTTCTAGTTGAAAATGGTATCACGATGTGTCATCACTATTGGCCGGTGGAAGGTTCTGCACGATTCAACGATTTTGAAGTAAGAAGAGACACTTTCCGAAACTATGAAATGAGAGTCTACGGCATTTTGTTTACAGGTGAATCTCATCTCGGAACATGCTTGGTCAGAAGATTACGTTGTTCGTAGTTTATATCTGAGAAACGTTCAAACAATGGAAACACGCACTGTAACTCAATTCCATTTTTTAACTTGGGATGAATTATGTAATCCACCATCGGCTAAATCTATACTTGATTTTCGTCGGTATGTTCTTGTCATTGAATGAGTGTGTGCCCATACGTTGAGTTGCTATTCTTATTCATTTATCTCCAATTAGGCAAAATAAAAACGAGACTTAATTGATCGTCTTAGATGAGTAGAGATGCACGTGACTAATTTCTATATGTACTTCTTTAAGAAAAGGAAAAGTACACTTAAAAGAGAAGAAGGCTATTAGTAATCTGATGTCTTTTTCTCTTCTTTTTCTCAACTAACGAGCATTTACACGCAATAAAAGGAAAACTCTACTTCTCTTTGGGCAGCTTTTGAAAATTATGCAATTTGGATATTAATAGTTGCATAGTCACAAAAGCGACCTGATGAGAGTTTCACATGCGCATAGTATTTTCTAAGATACTACACGACATTGTTGATTTGATTTGATTTGACCGAATATTTTCTTTCATTTGCAGTAAAGTAAACAAATGCTTTCGTGGCCGAGCGTCACCGATTATCATCCATTGCAAGTATGTCTCAATGATTCTAATGAAAATAGATGTATCTATTCGTTTGTTGTATAGCGATGGCGTTGGTCGTACTGGCACGTATATAATGCTGGATATAGTTTTGAATCGTATATACAAAGGAGCACGCGAGATAAATATAGCTGCGACTCTTGAACATATTCGTGACCAACGAGCAAAAATGGTTAAGACAAAAGTAAGAGAGATGAACATGAAAAAAGCTTATGTGAAACGTTCGCTCTTCTTTTGCTTTCATTTAGGATCAATTTCAATTTGTATTTGTTGCAGTTGCCGAAGAAGTTACTTATTTATTGAAATGTTTACAAGAATAGAGAAGTTTTGAGGGGAGGAAAAGTTCATTTCATGACAACAATAATTTCCTAATGGTTCACGTTTTTTGTTGTCATAGAAACCGAATTTTATTGGCGGTGAATAAAAAAAATGAAAGAAATGAATTTATTGTGAAAACTTCTTTGTATAAAGATCTCTTCAATCGAAACTGGAGTGAATCAAAACTAAAGGAGCCGGAAACAAAACTAACTACTACAAGTGTTTCCTTTCTCAGCCACATTGTTCTTACACTTTACGAGCAAATGTACTGATAGTCACTTCGACTTTTAGCCAAACGTCTGCATTCAGTTTAAACATCAAAATAGTTCATCAGCAGTCTGTCGCTCTGTATACGTCAATCTCAAAATCCAATTCTCAAGCAAAAGAAGCTTGTCGCAGTTTGATATATTTTAGCCCACTAAATCGCACAAAACCTCTATCTATCGTCCTACTTTTCTATTGGTTTATATTTTCGACGTATGAAAACGCATACACATTTTAATGACGTCATAAGAGTATACAGCTGTCAGACAAATAAATTCCTCTAGTACTTAGAAAAATCGGCCTATCCAAAATCTATTTAGTAGGATTGAACGAAGCTCGCTGTCACAAGTTAGTTCAGTTGATTAATTTCTGTTGCAGAAACTTTTAGTTCAATGGTCGACCTTGATTTGTCTGTTTTTGTATAAAATAAATCTTTTGCTTGAAGTATGTTTGTCATCTTAAATTCGTTGAGCTTTTATGGACAACAAAAATTATATACAAATTCCAGCATTAGCATTACCACATAAGAATTCCACCATAAGTACAAAACCATCCGTCATATCCGTTGTGCATTGAACATCTTTAAGTTCAACGACGTCCCATTAGATCGTATACTCTAAAATAAGATCTATCTTAACACTACTGTTATAACCTAGCCAGTAAGCAAGTAGGGTGCAGGGTGTTTATTCGATCGCTATTCTCTTTTTGTATTTATTTAACTATTTAGCGAAAAGAGCAAACAAGAATCATTCGAAAATAATTCTCGTCAAGATACACGTTGATTACATCCTCAATCGAAAACGAAGATTACTCGGTCACAACTACCAGTAGGTAAATGATTTCGACATATCAGACCTAATATTACTTATGATTTTTCTCCTTAGTTACCACTGTTCACCTGAATCTACGTGAAACATTGAATGGTCTATCGATTATTCCAATGACGAATACAAGTAGTCATATTATGGCAACACTTAATCCTGCGCACATATCCGATGGTGCTGCATCTTATTTTGTATCAGGTATGTACACAATGAAACTACGAGATTTAGCGAATACGATATAATTCCTCGCAGGTTTAACTGATATGGCATCTAATTATAAAATGAATCCATCATCAAATACTGATATACCATCACCATCATCGTCATCGAATTCGTCTAATCCTCCATCATCAAGTCATCATCATCATCAGCAACAGCAGCATCACCTACATCATCAAATTCGAAGGCATGGAGAAGGCGGTGATCCATCACGAAAACGGGAAATGCGTTTACAAAAAAATCGGTACGATTCTTTGTGACCTTCATTGATAACTCTTATCATTTACGTTTAGTGAAGCCGCACGTGAATGTCGACGTAAGAAGAAAGAGTATATCAAGTGTCTCGAGGAACGTGTGGCTGGACTCGAAGCTCAAAACAAGGCCTTGATCGAAGAATTACGACAACTAAAAGAACTTTATTGTCAACGTGAAGAAACAAGTAATAAATCAAATTCAAAAACGGCAGCGTCAACACGTTAAAAGAAACAAAGGACAAGAACAGTATTATTTTTTCTCTTTCGTTCTCTTTACTAATCGTATTTATTCGTTGTGTAACAGTATTTGTGCGTACTTTGTGTTTGCTGTGGTTCATGTGATTTGTTGTATTTTCAAAAAACTTTCTATTTGTGACAATATAAACAAGACAGTGTGGCGTTGTTTTTTTTTTAATTTCTTCATGTAATATTTTCTCTCTTTTTTTTCTATCTGCTTTGTTTTAGACATGAGTATCGACATGATCTGAGAAATACAACGTAAGTCTTTTTAATTAACAATGACTCTTTTACTAGTAGACAAATAATCATACACCCTGGAGGAGAAAAAATGCATTTCATTAAAGGTTCCTATGATGTATTCAACTCAAATAAAGTGCTTTGGGCAGCCCCGAGTCTCTTACTACTTCTTTACAAATAAATTTAGTATTGATTATCTAATTACTAGAATAACCAGACTAACATCGAGATATGTGACATTGTACAAACGTAAATAAGTAAATTTTCTTATCACTCACTTTTCCTAGATAGTCATATGTGTTTTTGATAACAGAGCACCCCGCATCATTTGTCATTCTCTTCTCTTTTTACGTATTTCTTTTTTAAAACTAAACTTATGCATATGTTTGTTTTTAGCAACATGAATCTAGCTGTCCCGCTATCACCAACATCATCTAATTTCCATCGGTCGCATTCCGATCGTGATCTACTAGCAACTGAACGTCGTTTAACACGTGCTCATCTAAATAGTTCTTCATCATCGTCAAATCTTACCTCACAATCAACGCTTTCAGCAGTACCATCATCTCCTCCACCGACATCGACTATATCAAATCGTCTTCCATGGGATCGCTTACAAAAATGGCTATATGGTATCGCGGTTGTCACATTCGATCTGGAACTAGGCCAGTCCGTCGAACTTCTTCTGCCTAGTCATTGTAAATTGACCGATAAAGAAAAGTTAAATCTATCTTACTTAGCATTTCCTGATACCAATTCCACATCGCTCGGTGATTTCCAATACCATTTTCGTCTTAGTCATGAATCGTCATCAAATTTAACAACATATTACCAAAACTATAATTCTACCGTACCAGCACCGTTGCAAGTCGACAATAATGTTCTATTTGGTTATGTAAATTTTCGTCAAATACGCGATAAGTCAATCAAACGTGGTTTTTTTCAAAAATCTTTCGTTGTTTTATCGAAACTACCATTCATCCAGTTGTTTCTAACGATTGTCAGTCATCTTGCCAAGAACTTTTTTGACCATGGTCCAGCAAGTCTAGAGGCATGTTGCCATTTGATGGATCATCAATGGCCAGAGCTTGAGCCTGGCAAAACCTTACTATTACCTCTATTAGATATTGTACTTCAAGTACGCATTCCAACACACGGCGATAAACCATTCTCTTCATCAGATATCAATCAATTCCGTTCGATTGTTGATGGAACACAAGCAATAAACGCCAATCAAAATTCCACTAGTCATTCATGGAAATTTCCTATTGATGATGACACAGAATTGGATGGATCATCAAAGAATGATTCTGAACAAGAGGTAAACATTGTACTCCTGTTTCTTTCTCACATTGATTTACTTTAGATAACAAGTAGCAACAGTACCACTAGTGATTCATTGCCAAAATATGAACAACAATTACCTTGTCTTATTCCATATCTCTACGATGTGAATACATATCAAGCTTTGTCAGGCGTGCTAGAACACATTCAACTTCTTTGGGAATTGATTTTATTGAATGAACCAATTGCTATTCTGGGCAGTTTTCCAACAAAATGTTCTCAAACTGTACAAGCACTAGGTAAATGCCATTGTTTCTCTATCAATGAAAGTCAAACTTCTCTTTTAGTTCACATTATATGGCCATTGAGATATGCATCGGATTATCGTCCATTTTTTACGATACACAATAGTGAATTTCACCAAATAACGTTTAATTCATCAACAAAACCCTCATTACCGCCACCGAAGATTATCATAGGCGTCACGAATCCATTCTTTGCCAAACTTCTCCATCAATGGCCACATATCATTCGTATCGATGATGCGCACGAGAAAATCAAAGCTAAACACGAAAAATTTCTTCTTGTCGAACACGACGAAGATAATCTGTCTATGAATGAACTCGAAGAGAGCCTTGAATTGTCTTCTTCTCCTCAAGCACAACAAATCAAAACCAAGAAAAAGATTTCCACTACATCAAAACCATTCAAACCTACTCACACATTCCAAGCCAATTCTTCGCATTTAACTTTCGACATGAAAGTTGGCTTATACACAAAATATAAAACATACTTACAACGCGACAAAACTATCCTAAAAAAACTCCAGTCAACCAATTCTCAGCAACGTCCTGACACAGTGCAAAACGCTTTTCTACGTCGATTTTTCTTAGAATTAACTCAGAGTTTCATCATTCCACTTGAAAGTTATTTTACTAGTCTCTTACCATTGAAACGCTTCTATCAAGCAGGTCACGCACCACCATCTATAAAAGAATTCGACAACGAAGAATTTCTGAAAAGATTAGATCAATACGGTCCACAATTAACGTCAGGTTTAAAAGGCAATTGGAAGGATTTATATAAACATTTCCTTTCGACGCCAAACTTTCGACTTTGGTTAACGAATCGTCGACAAGAGGCAACAGCCATTATCTACTGTGAGCATATCAAAACTATTGCCAATTGTCGTTTGGAACAAGACTTGAATCTTTCACAAATGGATGAACTCAAACTGATTGATTTAGTGATTAAATTCAAAGACTTAATTCAACAGTTAGAAACGAAAAACGACGAACGCTTGATCACAATTGATTCTGGACTTCGAAGTGATTGTTTAGAAAAATTAAAGATGAAATTGAAGTTGATTATTGATGAAAACTTATCTGATGACATGAAAGTTCTGTTCAATATACCTCGTCGAATATCTTCGACTTGATCGTTTTCTTTTTTTCGTCTCTTCTGCAATAACTTTCGTGTTTTTTTCTTCTTTTTTGAATATCGAAATACTCATTAGTTTACACGTGTTTTCTTTTTATTGAAACATAAGAGAAAATATCTACTTGTAAAGTAACAACAAGCAATTGCTCAAAATATTATTTTTTAGATGTTCTTGGACAGATTCGGATTGATTTGATTGGCCAGTCGTAGTACGGTAAAAGGTCAGTATCTTATCAATAGAATAATCATGTTTTCTTTTTCAGATTGGCTGTAAAAAGTAGAAACGGACTTATTCGATAATCTCAAACGTAACTGCTGTGAAATGATTGATATAGTTTATTAAAGCAGCATTTTCTACAGCTAATAATAATGATTAGTTGTCAGATAAATCAATACAATAAGCACACGGAACTGAACTGTTCATTAGAATGTATAACACCCACCTGTAGTGAACTGAATTATGAAACCAGTCAAGTTAAATGTCCACATAAAGACAAAGATCAGTCGTCTGACAAATGTCAGAAATTATTCAAGAACATCATGGCACTCAATGTTCATTTACAAATGTATCACAAAGAAACAGGAATAACAACAGTGAGTGATTCGATTGTTTCTCACCAGGTTTCACGCCGATGCTTTCAGGCTTCTCATAAATATACATCACGTGTCGGTCGATACCATTGTCCAATCGAAGATTGCACATTCTATTGTCACTGTAACAAAAATCATGCCCAATCAATGTCATTTTCAAACTTCAATGCCGTACGATTAGTGAGTAGAGAGAAGAGAAGAGAAAAGATATTTTTCTTTACAAACGGTCATGATTCTCTAGCATTACTTACGGCAACATGGTTTGAAGAAAGAGCACTGTTTAAAATGTCTGAAATCGTTTGGTCTGCATCAAGATTTGATTGCCCATGAGAAAATGTTCGTACGAGTTGATTAAGAAATATATTTTTCTGACCGGTAATTTCTAGTTGTGGTATTCAATGTCCATTTGCTTGTTCAACGTGTGGCCAACAATTTCAAAACCGAACGAGTTTACGTCGACATCAATTGAAATATCATTTAGACATAGCTAATGAATCTCAAAACGATGGTTCTATGATAATAAAGTAAAGATAACTCATTGAAATCTTCATCACATCTTTCTTCATTGCAGTTCACTTCCTTCTTCAACTAAAACCAACGAACGTCGAAAGCGACCAAGTCGCCGTCGACCAATTCCTCCCGATCAAATAGAATTTTCGCGTCAGAACATTCCTTCTCATCATCCAGTTACTATCAATCCACTTGCTCTCGAATTACTCAAACATTTCAATACGGAAACGATTCCTAACTCTTCATCAACATCAACCATCCTTAATTCAGCAAACGTATGTGAATCCGATAGTGATAAGGCAACTCAAACATACACGCGCGTCTCCGTGGGCACTGAATGTTGTTCCCTAACAAGCACAGATCTGACTTTACCACGATTGATTCCTATCAAAACAATGGAGCAAAAATCTAGTCAAACGCAAAGTCGTATTCGAATGTATAAAAAACGTACACGAAATTCCACTAAGAAAACAACCACAATATCCACAACGACCGATGATGATCTGTCATCAAGGACATTTTACAATACGTCAACGAACGTCTTCAATGCATCAACAATGACACAATGGGATAATGTGCCTGTTAATGATATGGAAACTCAAATATCTTCTTCGACACATTCCGATATGTCAATCCAAACCGTTGGTCATATTTCCAATCTTCTCGATTATCCATCGGAAAACAACCATAGTGTCATCGTGCAAACCTTGCCGATCTCGATGACGTCAACGCAAATGCAAACCATAAGTGAACATCCAATTGAACAACCGACTAATCAATACGAAGGTTATCTTTTACCATATCAGGAATCTGTTGGTACATCTTGCTTCCTCGATGAATTCTTACTGGATGACCTGTCGAAAAATGATTCGTCGTCGTCTGTTTTATTCGATTTCGATGCCATGGATTTACTTGATCTAATCGATAATGGTACTCAGACGTATCCACTAATAACATCGCACGAAACACAAACAATGACCAACTGGGAAACGATGCTATTAAACGAAGATGAATGGATTCGATCAATGACAAATAATTGAATAGTTTCTCTTGTTTTCTTTGTGCTCAGATTTTGTATTGATTCTTTTCCCTCTAGTTTTTTTTTCTTTTTGGAAAAATATATCTCTCACACAAATATTCTCATCTAGATAAACAAAAAGAAATGTCCTCGGCTACCGTCGTTAAGTTGATTTCTGATGATTCAGAATATCCAAATTTACAAGTACAATCAACGGATTCGAAAACATTAATTGTCGGACGAAATGAATTGAGTAAAATAAAGTCAACACGATGTGCGAGACAGCAAGGTATTTCTAACTTGTCGAAGAACGCTAACATCGATTTGCTTTCTAGTTGCTCTTCATATCGAAGATGACAACCACGTCTACATCGAACAACTTGGCGCAAATACGTCATTTGTAAATGAAATACCGATAGATTCGAAGAAGCGACAGTTATTACATGATGGTGATAAACTTCAGTTGGTCGAAAATGAACATTGCTATACGATTCGAATTGATCCATACGTGACAGTTCAACCAACATTGAAAAGACAAAACACAGATGATAACGGAGCTCAGCAGACGTCTATGAAGAGACCAAAACCATCGGCGAATAGTCAAAATGTGGAAGATGATGATGACGATGATTCAGCGGAAGAAAATCGTTTAGCCTGGATTCAACAACAACTCAATGCTTTGCAAGAAAATGCCACTCAACCGTATTGAACTTATCACAAACATTATTTGTATTTCATCCCCATTCTCTTGTAGAACACAACCACCATCACAACTACCGTCAGTGACTACGGCAACATCGAAAGATCTGTGGGAAAAACCTTACAAGGGCCTTGAAGTATTCACTTCGAAAGGAGTGATCAGTAGCGAAAAAGTAGTTTTTTAAAGAATAATATTCTTTTATCATTGCTTTTGATGATAGATCGCTGCTTTTGACATGGACGGGACGATCATTCTCACGAAATCTGGTAAAGTACATCCAACCGATGAAAATGATTGGCGTATTGGATTTGATACATGTTTCAAAAAACTTAAACAATTACATACAGATCATTATAAAATTGTTGTCTTCACCAATCAGCGTGGTTTAATGAAAGCAGCATCGACAGACAATTTTCGAAAAAAAATTCAATTTATTCAACAGAAGTTAAACGTTCCTATGCAAGTAATTAAAAAAAAAGATTTGCTTTTTGTTCTGACAGAACATCGATGATATCCGTAGGTATTTGTTGCAATTCACCCCGGCCGTTACCGAAAGCCATGTATTGGTTCATGGTTACTTTTGCAATCCAAAGTAAAACGTCTTTTCAACTTACTCTCGCCTTCGACCGATTTATTCTAGTACAATGATGGTATTCAGATCGATAAAAGCAAATCATTCTATGTAGGCGGTAAGATTGGATGTAGATGGTATTTCCTGATCGTCTAGACCTATTTTTTGGTTGCAGATGCTGCCGGTCGTCCCGATAAATGGCGAGCGAAAGCGAAAAAAGATCATTCGTGTGCCGATCGTCTCGTAAGACACTGGAAGATTTGCATTCGCATCGTTGTCTCCTATTATTTAGTTTGCTATCAATGTTGGTTTAAAATTCTACACTCCAGAAGAATATTTCCTCGGATTAAACAAAGCTAATTACGAAATGCCAAAATTTGAGCCAGTATGTTTTCCATTTGCGAAAAGAAACTTAACAAACATTGACATATTCATGTAGAAAGCTCTTCGATCAATCTTATCACTTGTAGAACCAACCACTGGTTCCCTGACATCGGATAAAGTCGAACTTATTGTTATGTGTGGACTTCCAGCATGTACGTTTTTAGCCGTTCTTCGGCAGAAACATGATGTTTGTTTATTTAGCGGGTAAAAGTTGGTTTGTTAAAAAGCACATTGTATCGCATAAATACGAATATATTAATCGAGTAAGTCGGTCGTATGAGTACTGAGTATAAAATTTGATCTGTAGGACGAAGTTGGTACTTGGCAAAAATGCGTCAAAATGGCTGAAACAGCGCTGAGTAAACAACAAAGTGCGATCATTGACAACACTAATCTTGATAAAGAATCTCGACAAAGGTAGATAAACATTCCAATGTTTTAGTACATCCTTGATTTCCTGTAGATATGTCGAGGTGGCCAAGAAGTTCCAAGTTCCATGTCGATGTTTTATCATGAATGTATCACTTGAACATGCGAAACACAACAATCTCGTAAGTCACTGATTGTCAGAAAACTCGATTGTGAATTTGCTTTCTAGTTTCGACAAATGATCGGTGCAGATGATGCTCATAAAGATGTTAACGATATTGTGATCATGGGTGCCAACAAACGTTATGTTAAACCAACATTAGATGAAGGTTTTTCGGAAATTCTTACAATCAATATGCAACCTCTATTCGATGACCAAGAGTTAGAAGAGTTGTACTATCAATATATTCTCGACAAATAGTAATAATAAATAGCAAATCTTATTTTTCTTATTAACTACTGCAAAAAATACCATATTTATTAAATGTTTCTTAGTTTTTGTTTTCTATCTAAATCTTGACAACAAATATCGAAAGAGAGAACAGACCTTAAATGTACGAGAATTGCATGAAGATAAAAGAAAAGAGAGAACACTTTATGAAAGACTAAAATAAAACACACTGTAATGTTTCTGAGGGAAACGACGACAACAACAACAGCAACACCGAGATATTCTTAATTATTCTGATGATTCATCAACGAGCGTTTGACTTCCAATTGATTATTTTCTGTTTCGACGGCAGCGGAAATATCTAGAGTGGTTTTCGATGACATTCGAGGTAAGACGAGTGGACACTGTTCTTTTCCATTGGAGATTTGCGTCATTTTCCATAACAAATCATAAGCTATCTCTTCGCTCACAACTGAATCGTGTTTGTACGCTGGGTGATGCGTGACAAAGTGACGCATCCACGTCGCATTTGTCATTAATTTGCCTTGAACGAGAACAAGATTTCATTGGTTAATGCATAACTTTTACGGAACATACCAGAAGCACGTTTACTGATTAAAAGCAGATATTGATTGATCGTGCATCGTGTATCAGCATCGACTTCAATGTTAGACAAGTAATCTTGAATAATTTTCAAAAGGCCAACAAATTCATTCTATCGACGTGAAATTTACATGTATATTTAAAGTATTCAAAGGATGTGTATTTACCGATCCATTGATAATTTCATTAATTGTCATAAGACGATGTTCACATTCATTTTCTTGTGTGTATGGTTGTTGTACGGATGCCATACACGGCGTTTCAGGTGTTTGTTCTAAAACGAACACCGGCAATGAACTTCATCAATGTCAATGATCAATTCTTACTAGTTGACAGGCATTTTCTAAAATGAAATTTTTCAGTCCGCAATGCATCACGTCGTTGCGCTGATTGCATATTCTCATCAACCTACAAGTAGATCTATTTAGTGAACATGAATATGATTCCTATTCGAATGTACATTTGAAATCGGGATAAGTAGATTCAGATTGTATGTCATAATCGCTCGTGTTAGCAAGACAATGAAGGTAACCAATGCCGCATTCTCGAAATCAGTCATTTGTAACTAAGGAAGCAGAACAAAAGTAGTTGTGAAGAAGATCGAAATAGTCGAGGTTACCTCTGATGGACGAAATTCAACGCGCCAACCGATGTCACTATTCACTGGAGGTGGCTTAAATCGCATCGATTGCCAGTTTGTGGAATTGATATTCTAGATGACGAGCAAATGTGTATCTCTTTTTCTGTTATTGAAATCGTATAGTGTTACTTCGAAATGGTCAGTATCTTGTGTATCATCTAAGTAAATTTTTTCTTCGAATACAGTCAACGTATCACGAATGAACAAATGAGCTATGTGTTGAGCTAATATGGGATCGATACCTAAACAATATATGTGATGAAAACGAACGAGTAGACTTTGTTTTTTGCTACCGTTCTCAGTAAGTTTATGAAAGACATCTGCATCTTGCACCACTTCTTCATCGTTGTAAATCGCACTATCTGGTGAGATGTAGCAATCGACACTTGAGTAACGAGATTTCGGTATGCGAAATCGTTCATTCTTCAAAGGCTAGAAGAGACCGATATTGTTTATAAGAGAGAGAATAAAGTGGGTTAGTGTTTGTATTACTTCAAATCCACGTTCTTCGGCTGTTCGATCATCTACCATTGCGCAGAGAACATTCCAGCGACAGTCAATTTCAGTTAAATAACCACGCCAAATCGGTGAGGTAGCACTCAAAGCCAACTAGAAACAATTCACACAGTAGGAATACGATATGAAAACTTCAATTTACTATAATCGGAGTTAGTGGGGTTAGTTGATCATAAAGAAATCGTGCTTCATCAATGGATTGTGCTTGAAAAGTCACTTGAAGACAGCAGCAGCCCATACCTAAGCCCATCGCATCGAGATAGATATGATCTTCGACGGCCGCTGAGTCCGATGCCCCACCATCATCACCGTAGACTGATAGATCTTCGATGAATGGTCGAGGTGTGTTTTCATCAATAAAAACTACAATACACAAAGGTGATGGAAAGACGTTTGTCATGTAATTCTGAACATACTTGGAACATTGAGAGCAACTTTAGATTTACGTCGCATGCGAATGTTTCGTGTTAATGTTCTTCAATAGAAGAGAATTTATTTCGTTACTGAGAAAGAAGATGAAATTACTTGAAGCGTGGATGATCGGGAAAGATAACTTCATCCGGAAAGAAGAGGGAAGCAGATGAGGATGTACCTGGTGTTGGCTTATGCTGCGGCCAGGTAAAATTTGGACAGCCATTACTACAACAAAGACATATGTGGAATATTTTTAGTATCAACATTCTTACCGTGGAAAGTTCGAAGTACTAAGTACATATTCATCTTTTCCAAGTAATTCTTGACCTTGTTGCCGTCGTAGGCGCATGTTAGCTTCAACCATATTAAAATGGACAGGTAAATGCCCATATGGTTTACCTGGTGTACCCTCAATCATGTAATCCTAGGAGAAAAAGAAAATTAATGACACACATTGTATTCATGACTCACTGCATACTCTGGTCGCCATAATGTCGTGCAATCACTGAAATACAAACGTTTGTTCCTTTATGATTTCGATCTAAACTCATTGTTGAATACTCACTCTGGATTTTCATGTTCAGGTTCCATAAGTTTTGGCAAGATTTCATGAGCTCGAAGTACCAGTTGAGCTCTTTTGTTCTCATGATCGAAACGTACCATGAGAAATTCCACCTAAAATATTCGAAATATGTGCTTCTAAAAAAAAATAACTTCTTTTTCGAGTGTCATACTTCATCACCCCATTTCAAACAATCATTCCGGCGATCTTTAAGCTTCTTATAGATATGCAGGAATTGTTCGATACCATGGTCGCGGATATATTGAGCATATTTCTTCGTTTCTTCCCAATCTAACGGATGACCTTGGGTAAGTAGACCCATCTATAATCAATTAATTAAAAATCTGTCAGAGCATCACACCATGTTGAACCATTTATATTCATATTTCAAAAAATGCTTCGTCACCGTGATTGTATACTGTTGTCATCATATCTATAGATTTAATTTTCTCTTTTTCCGCTGTGAATAATCATTTGAAAAAGAACAGTAAAAATCATTTTCATTTCTTCTTCAAAACAACGTACTCATGAAAGAAAAATGAAAAAATGAATCGAGTGCTTTGTTATTAGTGAAAGCGAACTAAAGACAGCTGTATGACTCATGGCATTCTTGTGTTGTTGTCGAGCGAGTAGCGTAATTTAGTTTTCAGGTGGCGCCACCTTAAACATCCATTTCTATTGCCTAGTGGCAAAATCAATATATATTTTTATTTATTTTCTGTTCTGCTGAAAGCAAAATATACTGATATTGGTTTGAAATTCGGGAATTATAAGGATATGGATGAATGTCAACTTGGAACCAGTGAGATCAGAGTTGAAACGCATTCTGAATTCTGAACGAACAAATAAAATCGATCGCTGAGATATACTACGTAAACTGACAGCTTCTCTGCCAAACTGAATTCTCCGCGACATCCAATTCATTCTTGGAATAAATCTTCTATGGCTTCTTTCTTATTCGTTTTGTCTAAATAAATGCGAAACTCTTTCTTTCATTTGCTCCTTTGAAATATCACAACAACGAACATTATTTCTTCAATCTTTGAATTTTTACTTCGAACGACATCATTCAAACTTTTGCAGATCTTAATCGTCGATGTAATAAACTCATTTGAACTTATATCAAATCGATCGAACTGACAAGGAGATGGTTGGAAAATGAAACATCTTTACAATTGATTTCTTCGAAACTATGTATTGAGAACATCAAGGACTTAATTCCAGTCGTGGAACAAACACTAAATCGTCAACTTTTATGCGTTAACTTTGCTTCATACTCAAATAAGTTTATTTCATCAAGAAATAGTCAACATTTTCTTACGATTCTCGTCAATTTTTATAAGGGATTATATATTCGATCAACAAACGACTTTTATTCACGGCTAACATCTACCCTCTATGAAATGTGTTTAATTCATTAATAAGAATATCGAAGAACAATTTAGTAGGATGCATGCACATTTTCATTGAGATCAGCTTGAGGATGGGTCTGGAAAATGCGGGATAGGTGATGTCACCTCGTGCTTCACAGAAACCTTAGGGTGATGACCGTACTCAATAATCCACACGCTTTCAATTTCGCATCGATAGGAATGCATACAATCAAGAATTCTTATTGTTGATGAACGGACTTTCAGAAAAAAATGCCTAGGGAGTACCAATCAACTCAAACCTTTTCGTTATAAAGGTCACAGAAATGCATTGTCATTCTTTGTTTCAGATGTGTAGAAGTAGTCTACTATTCAATCGTCTGTCGCCCTCTGTGCTCTTCGATGGACTCTTTTCTATCAGTCTTGATTGGCTGGTGGAAACTCTCAGTAATTATTTAGGATTGTATTAGCGACCAGTCATGCTCTGTTCTTATCAATAGTCTCTTTTCACAGATCTTTTTTTGTATGTATTTAAAACAATTGACGAGAATCATGTCCACCGAAGTCAAACAAACATCATTATCGATCAATCTTCAAAGTGAAAACACTGATCTGAAACCGTTTCCGCATCCATTTAATGTAGGATCTTACGGTCAAGGATCAGAGCCAAAAACATTAGTCGAATTCGACCTTATGCGATTGAGTGCTGACATTCGATCGAAATTAAATTGGTATGAAAAAATGAAGAATGACACAATTCGCAATAAATGGAAGCAAGAAGCTTTGCAGCAAAGTCGTCTTACCGAGAAACAAATCGATTATGTTCTTGCCGAATTAGAATATTATGATTCAATACGAGATGGACCCATAGAAATGGCTACTGTTGACGGTGTATGGCAGAGTGACGACTTAGTACATGCTGATATGAAAAATTCGTTGATCGAATGCGTGAAAACTTTAGAAAACGTGCCGAAGAATGAACAAGATTGGCATCCTGGTACTAACAATCAAGTTTTAGATTTAGTTCATCCATCATTATTTTGTTTTGTTAATCAAGTGTCAAGAATTATCAACGATACCAATCTGACGATTAATGTGACTAATGCTCTGCAGAGCATTGGTAAGGGTACACCTATTGACATTAACTTAAAAAGTCTACTTCCAGCAGACAGACAAAAACAGAAATCCGCAGATTACACGCGATCAGAAACATACCAGTGGTTACCAACTGAATTTCATGTTTCAAGGGATGGTGAAGTCAAAATTGAATCATATATTAACAATTTACATCCGGTTAAACATAAAGGGCTGTACTTGTTTATCGAACAAATCTTTCAGCGTTTTATTCCCTTGTTTAACAAGGTGTTAACTGATTTAATTAATGATCAGGGTAAGCCCAACCGAATCAAAGTTGATCCTCATAGATGGTACGCTGATTCCGAACCAGCTGTAAATGATAACGATGATGATGATGATGATGATGACGATGTAGATACTAGATCAATTATAATACCGGATGTTAATGAGTTTCAAATACCGTCACCATTGACTTCAAAGATTGATTTACGAGGAAGAAAACTTCAAGTGATTGTTAAATTAGCAAATATTGTGTTAACACCAGATAATCCTACGTATCCGGGTGGTGTTTGGCATGTCGAAGGAATGGAGAATGAACATATTGTTGCTACAGGCATCTATTATTATTCCAGTTCAAATTTGACGCAATCCGATTTACAATTTCGAACTGTGATACGTGAACCCAACTATGAACAAGATGATAGACGAGGGGTGGAAACAGTATATGGTTTAGTTGATAATATACCCTTGAATCAACCGTTAGGTAGCGTAATTACGAAAGAAGATCGCTGTATTGCATTTCCTAACATATATCAACATCGTGTTGCACCATTTCAACTGAACGATCCAACTAAAATCGGCTATCGGAAAATTCTAGTATACTTCCTAGTCGATCCATCTCTTCGAATATTGTCGACTGCTCATGTTCCACCACAACAGTCTCACTGGTATACTGATCTCATCCGACCTATGCCTCCTTTCAAATACTTACCGTCGATAGTTGTCGATAAGATCATGAATTATGTTGATTTCCCTATGACAATGACTCAAGCAAAACAACATCGTGAGAAACTGATGAACGAAAGAAAATACTTCATTTCACAGAACAATGAACAATTCTTCGAAAGACCTTTTTCATTATGTGAACATTGATTTTTCTACACCGAAATAACTGTCCGTCAGCAACTAGATGTCAGAAATACACGATCAAGAATGAATAAATCAACATGTACTTTTTTATATTTGTACGGTTTCAGGATATCAAAGAAAAATATTTGCACAAGAGTTATATCACACCTCATAGTTTTTTCCGCAGTTGCCATATGTACTGAATCTTGTATTTTATCTTTCAAGATAGTAAAAAGGTTATAACATTCATCTGATTGCCATTGGTACTTCCTAGCTTGATTAGTAAACGATAAGGTAAATATGTACGGATGACTCAGTTCTCACGATAGAAAAAGGAGAAGAAAAAACGAAAATCAAACACAATCTTTTCTTCAAGGAGAACCAATCCGTAGATATGGCTCAAGTTCACGCACTCAACGGAGAGACTCGCACGGAAACTGATACATTCGGTTCAATTGGAGTTCCAGCTAAATATTACTATGGTGCTCAAACAGCACGTTCCATCATGAACTTCGACATCGGACTTCCTACAGGTAAATGTTCCCGATGAAAAAAACGATCGATCACAAGTCATTTTGTTTTCTTAGACCGAATGCCTCTACCGTTAATCGAAGCTTTTGGTTTATTGAAAAAAGCCTGTGCAATTGTCAACAAACAGTTTAAACTTGATACCCAATTAGCCGATGCTATATGTCAAGCGTGCGATGAAATCATCGCCGGAAAATGGAACGAACATTTCCCATTGAGTATTTGGCAAACAGGATCGGGCACACAGACCAATATGAATGTCAATGAAGTCATTTCTAATCGAGCAATCGAGATTCTCGGTGGAACTATGGGAAGTAAAACACCTGTTCATCCAAACGATCATGTGAACAAAAGTCAAAGTTCAAACGATACATTTCCCACAGCAATGCACATTGCTGCTGCACTGGAATTGACTCGTCGATTGTATCCGGCATTGAAACACTTGCACAGTAAATTGAAAAAGAAATCGGAAGAGTTCTCCTCGATTTACAAAATCGGACGAACACATCTGCAAGACGCAGTACCAATGACACTTGGCCAAGAGTTTTCAGGTTATACACATCAAGTCGCAATGAGCATTGAGCGATTACAAACATGCGAAACGCGCTTGTATCAATTAGCAATCGGCGGAACAGCAGTCGGAACGGGTATCAACACGCCGAAAGGTTTTGGAAAATTCGTTGCTCAAACACTGGCTGAACTTACTCAATTGCCATTTGTTGATGCACCGAACAAATTCGAAGCATTAGCTACGCATGATACAATGGTAGAACTTAGTGGTGCACTTAATACATTAGCTGTTAGTTTGAGTAAGAAAGATGATCTTCGTCTGTCTTGATCAATACATGTTTTGTATTTGAAGTGAAAATTGCCAATGACATCCGCATGTTGGGTTCGGGACCTCGATGTGGTATAGGCGAATTGAAATTACCGGAAAATGAGCCTGGCAGTTCGATCATGCCTGGTAAAATTAATCCGACACAATGTGAAGCAATGACCATGGTCGCTGCACAAGTTATGGGAAATCATGTTGCTGTAACCGTCGGTGGCTCAATGGGTCATTTCGAACTGAACGTGTTCAAACCATTGATTATCAAAAATGTCCTCCATTCAATACGAATCCTAGCTGATGTGTGCAACTCGTTTACTGACCATTGTGTTGTAGGAATTGAACCCAATACGGCAGTTTTGGAACGATATATACAAGAATCCTTGATGCTAGGTAAAGCACATATTTTACGAGAAGATTCTTGCAACAAAATAGGTTCGATTTCATTTAGTGACAGCATTAAATCCGCACATTGGTTACGATAAAGCTGCACAAATTGCTAAGAAAGCACATAAAGAAGGAACTACATTACGTGAATCCGCATTGGCGCTCGAATACTTAACCGGTGAAGAATTTGACAAATACGTCAATCCAAAGGATATGGTTTAAAGAAACTCGTGAAATTTGTTCAAGATGAAAAGAATAAACAAAATTTCGTACCATAGCAACATGTTCATCTTTTGTTTTCTTTTATCATTTTTTAATTGACGGAACTTTTTTCTCGGTATCACTGTCATTCTGTTTCAAAAGTTTCTTCCATGTCATCGTCCAGTGCTCGTCCATTTTTTCGTAGTAACAATCGTTCTCAGCATAGACTCTCAGCTCGAAAACCATTGCCAAACAATACACTTGTTCAGCAACCTATGAATGTCAGTTGTTGCGGAGGTGACGAAAAGAAAACAGCAATTAAGAATCAAGTTCAAGCGCCACCGCTAAAAGAACAAGAGCCCGTTGTTGAGCAGAAAAAACTCGTTGCTGATCCAATGGAAGCAAGTGATCATAAGATTCAGCATATACCTCAACAACAAGCAGTTAGAGTTGACGTCGACGACGATCTAAAAGATTTATTCGGTAAAAGAGAAGTAACAAAAGCAATGATAAACCAATTAGCACAACGTGCGCTAACTGGCTCAATGAGTTTGAACAATGATGATCCACCGCGTCTCTGTACAAAGAAACATGTGAGACATTCATTTCATGGAGCGAAGAAACAAAAGGCTTCTCTTTTCTGTCATGAAGTGTTCATTCGCTAATGAACCATTGACCATCAAACCTGTTACATGTGTACCCGGTATTGGTCCAAAACATGGACATCTGTGTGAAAAGCAAGGGTAATGAAAGCATCGGAGATCAATTCTAATTATTTCATTGTTTTATTATAAAGGATCATCATGGCTCATCAACTACTATCAAGATACATGATGAGTGCTAATGGCGAAGAGTTTGAAAAATCTCTGATTAATCAGCTAAACTTTACACCTAAATCGGCTGCAATGGCACGTGATGGGCTAAAAGAAATGAGACGACATCTAATTTAATTGGAAAAACAGAAAGAAAAAGAAGCACACTAAATATCACATAGTTTATTTATTTCTCTTGAATTTCGTCAGGTTTCGATTGCGATCGTTTTGACAAGTGCTGTTCTCTTCCAGGATCTAATACTGCTGGACCAATATCGGAGGGCGAGAGATTGTCATCTGCATTGATGGATGATGATCGCGGTAATGGAAGCGGCGGAAAGAGATTTGTTGCTGAACCACTGCTGGATTGATTTCGTTCATTTAGCTGTTCTTCTTTCGGAATGATTAAATATTTATAAAGAGTTGCTCGTGATGTACGCTCACATTTCTGGACCTCAAAAGCCCGAAATCGTCTTTCACAACAGATAACATACGACTTATGAATAATTTTCGTTGCAACGAAATCGCTAAACATAAAACGGAAATGGCTGACTACATTTGACTTGTTATCTCTCCTTCGATCGATTTACCTTGCATTTGTTCCGATAATTCGTAATATAAAATGTCCATCCGCTTCCAAATACTCGTAATTAAAAAACTGGAATATACTCCGTTTATGTTTGTAATAGCTACGCGGTACAATAAACATGCGTGATTGTTGATGAATTTTTCGGCCGTCGTTTAAAACGCGCACGTGGTCATCCGTTAATTCTGACTCATTACGATTTTGTACTAGAAAAGCAATATGTAGATTGAAAAGCAGTTTAAAAAAGCAATTTTAATCTTATTCTCGTTTACAAAGGAAATTAAACAACTTCTTCACATACATCACGTAATTCCGGTTGATAAAACACTTCGTCATTACGTAATCGAAAGATTACTTTGCACTATGTCATTCTTCATGATTACTAAATACCTGTCATCAAATGTTCATTTTCTGCCGCATTAATGTGGTCTATGCACGCATCTTTGTACGGCCACTTCTGTGCGATTTCCCAGTCGATAACTTTCAAACGTGATTCCAAATAAACTTCACGTCGAAAGAATAAACGATAAATCCAGATGCAGAGATCATAAATTGTCAAGATGATGACGATTACCAACCAGAACCAGAGAAATGTGAAGATTTGCTATAATGAGAAAGATCAAATGCGTTGTGAACGCACAACAATTTTGATTCAAATCAAACTTGATTGAAAAGATTGATCGGTAGAACACACATGACAGTGTAAGTATGTGCAATTGGCATTGAATTGGCTTCACGAATTTGAAAATCACTAACAAGAAATCAGAAAGCACATTGACAATTCCTGAAAACTTCGCCAAATTCTTTGTCTTACCATAAGGTTACTTTCGGAAAATATCGACTTTGATAATCCCAACCTCGTCCTTCGTATATAAATCGGAGAACAGTAAAACCTAATGACCAAAATGGTTGTCCTAGTAGAAATGATAGAAGTAACACTTGTCCGAAAATATTGGCGACGTAAATTATTTTAATAAAGATGAACAGATTTCTCAGGTAATCGCCCATGTAACGGCCAGACGAAGGAAAAAACATTAGAAAGCATTTTTTCCACCAGACAGTTTCACGATTATCCGATTGACGACGTGGATCATCGACGTACTGATCGATAATTGACACCATGAAGTTCATCAACTGTTCGCGTTGTTTCTCGTCGGTACTTTTCTTATAGTTTGCTGCAGCTTCCACAACATCTCGGATGTCAATACCTTTGGTGAAAAATTAACGTTAAGGACGAGAGCTGACATTAGACAGTTGTACTACCTGATCGTTGGCACAGTACTCTCCATAGAACATACGGAAGGAAAAAGAAAAAAGCTTGAAATAAAAGTATAAATGGTATCCATTGATAGTAACGTATTGAAGTTTCCTGTCGCGCATGCGGGGTCTCAGGTACATCGCTGTTATCATTAAGATAGTATGTATTCCGAACCCAGCATACCTACGAGGCCAGTGAAATAGGTAGGAGAATTTGATCGAAAATAGAAGTCCTACGTTATTAGTGTACTCTTCGTAATTTTCCGTGAAAAAAGCTGGAACCTGAAACGAAATTTACAAGATATCTGTTCTTTAATGTTTATTCAATGCAAGAGAATTGTTTACCCAGCATTGGATACGTTTCATTGTAAATTCTCGATTCGAGACGATCAATGTGAAGGCAATGAGAATTGCGCATGTATATCGATAGCTCAACCGGTCACCTGTCGAGTCATCACTTCGAGACGTTCCCAAAAACACCACAGTAAAATCATTGGCTGCTCGTAAAATGAACCCTGACATGTTGAGAATGAAGATCTAAACAAAGTAATATTCGTACGAGCCCATAAAAGCAGTATCTCTGAAGAGAATGCATTCGCAAGTACATATCAAAAGAGAAAAAAAAAGATGATCAATATTTGCATTTACCCTATAACGCGTACTTAGCGATCGCTTATAGGATAGTGATATAATCGAAGCTCTACAGTATAACTCGCCGTGTTTGAAAGAACATAATTTAGAAATTATGGTGATGGAACTATGTTTGACTCAGCCTTCATCACCAATCTTGACACGATTTCTAACATAATTATGGCTCTCTTTTCATTGATGACAAACCCGCTGTGTTACATTTTTCCTTTCTTTCTTCCTTTAATATACAATGAACGTGTCTCTGTATAATAGGCACAAAAAAAATCATTTTTCTCTTTTTTTTAGAAAAAAACCTAGCAATGATACGGTCGCGTCTCCATCTTTCCTATGTGCTAAGAGCGCATATAAAGTGAATGAAGAGGAAGAAAAGAAATGTCTTTTTTTCCTATTTCTTCTTTTCTACTGAATTGTATCAGAAATGAAGGAAAGAAATTTGTCAGCAAGCAAGCACATGAATAATATATACAAAAAGTCATGAATAGCACACGACAAATCCGTTGCTGCCCTTTCGAACTATTCTTCGTGCTTAATTCGAAAAACTTCACGGAATGCTGACGACAAAAACGAATATCTACTACGGTAACAGTTAAATGATAGAATGCGACCTCTAGTATTTGCTTAAACTGCGATCTTTAGAGAATCATCCAATCGAAAGACTTCACTAGGTTATTAGTTACAACGGCTTGGACACTCTCATGTTTGAAAATTATTAACGACACACATTGATGTGACCTCAAATGTTTGTGCGGTGTGTTTGTTCTTTTTGAACATTAAATAGTCAATGTCTTGCATGTCATGTAAGAAAAAACAAGGCAGATCACAGCTGTACTGAATTGATAACCGTTTCTATATATGAATTGATCAACCGAAACCAACTCTGGAGACAAGGACATATGATATATAAAAGTTGTTTGTTTTGATCGATAGTGTTTACATGATAAATGAACTCAATTATGACTTTATCATCTTTACTTCTAGATCGATGGATCCTCTAGAGAGTGAAAACGATCGACGCACGAAAGAACTTGCTGCTAAAATTTCTCAACTTAAGAATGTTCGTTACTATCTGTTGTAAATCATTAAACACTTTCATTACATTCAAGATTGCCATTGAAATCGACGATGACACCGCAGAACATAACCGTTTTCTTGAAACAATGGTCAGTAGAGTCGTTTTCGGAAACGAAATAAAAGTAAGTTTTTTAATCTTAGCGGTCAGATTTTGGCACGGCACGTGATTTTCTCGGCGGAAGTTCCCGTCGTTTGACTGACGCTCTCATCAGTGGAAAAAGCGATCGACGAACAATGTATTATGTTATTGGTGGTATCGTTTTCAGTTTTATCTTCTTGTATTATATCGTCAGCTCCTTTCGACGTAAGTAAAGAACTCTTCCACGAACTCGTGTTTTTGTCTATCTTATGTATAAAATAAATTTTCACTCAGTTTTATATTTTATCGGTATTTCAGATAGAATAGGAAACCATGAAGTTAATCACGCATAATCTACTAACGTCAAATATTCTCAAAGGAGTTACGAAAGGTTATCCGTTAAAAATTCACCCGATAATAGTTGAAAATACGACTGTTGATTTCAACCGAGATTTTATTCGACGTATTCTACAACGAATCGAATACAATACATTACGCGGAGCGGTGATTGACGTAAGTGAGAATTTCGAAGGACGATATCTCGCAATGCATTTCTGTATCATAGCTCGGCTTGCAAGAAGCATTACCAGCAGTGATGTCGGAGACGATGCAGCAAGATGAAAGATTTCTCAGGATAATACATAAAGTTCTACTCGAATACGAAGTAAAAGAAGGTGAACTGATTTGTCCAGAAACAGGACGGAAATTCCCTATATCCCGAGGCATTCCCAATATGTTATTATGAGAAAGCGAAATTTCATTAGGAATCTTTCTGTGTTGTTTCCTCTAGATTAGATTCTCAATGATATGGTTCGAAATCGGCTATATCGAGCAGCTGAACAGTCCTATAAATCGAAATCGAAATCCAAACAAATCCGATTGTATTCCTTCGATAAAGTTCCGAAGTATCTTCAATCGAATCCATTCATCCATACTGGCTATCGATATGGTTTAGGTATAAAAGATTGTTTAATAAGGTAAATATTATTTTTCTTTTCTAACTGAGGAAAAATTCCTTCTGATGTAGTTTACTTCATTTCAATAACGAGACAATAAATATTTGGTCACATTTAATTGGTGCTGTTATATTTCTTTACTTTCTTTTTCGTGATATTTACATGGGCACTGCTTTGCCACTACTGAGATCGACTTCGGATTATTATTTCGTCTTGTTTTACACCGTTTCTGTGATCGTAAGTGTCATATTCTCAAAAACAGATCACTGTTTGATAGTTTGGATTGTAGATCTGTATGATATGCTCGGTTCTATTCCATCTGTTTGGCTGCATATCATCACGAGCGTTCGCCGAGTTTCTGAAGTTAGATCTATGTGGTATCGGCTTTGGAATACTAGGCTGTTATTTATGTGGACTTCATCTGGCATTTGAATGTTACCGTGACTGGAGAATCAGATATGAAACATTGATTATTTCGATCATGTTCATTGCTGTAATATACTATATTCAAGGTGTTAAACGATACATAACACGAAATATTCACGTCACTCTATTCGTGATTATATCGTTACTGGGATTTTTACCAGGTTTTCATTGGTATTTATTACATGGTGGCTGGTCAAACGGATTTGTCCAGCATTTTTTCCCGAAATTATTCGTTCTCTACGGCATTCTGGGCATCGGAACGTTTGCTTATTTGACTAAGTTTCCTGAACGATGGTTTCCAGGTATTTAAGTTAACACCTCATTTGTCCCACGTGAATATGTTCTTTGTTTTCGAAGGCTCATTCGATTTTTTCTTTGCAAGTCATCAAATTTGGCATATTTGTGCACTGGGCGCATTTATCTGGTGGTATCAAAACGGTATTGAACTACTACAGTATCGTCTTACCAATCCGTGCAAAATTGCCGTCAACTGAATACGATATTTTTCATTTTCTACGTCAAGAAATTCATTTCATTAGTCGTGTTTGCTCAACTGTGATATCATATTAAGCATATGCTTTTGTACGCTTATTGTTGATGATTATGGAGAAGTTTAAGACTTTCAGCTATACCGTTGATTGAATAAAAATTGAACTGATAAATAATCGAAAGTTTGTTTCATTTCTGGATTGTTTTCCACAGAGATTCTAAGTTCATTCGAATTATCAAAAAAGTACATTCTCAAATTTTCATTGCGTTGATATACGAACATATTTTGCTGTGAAGTCTTCCTCCTTTTTTAATCTATCATTCAGATACATGCCATAGTTTTGAATAAAACATGAAACAACGATACATATGAATAAGATACGTCAAACCAAAGAAAAGTGCGCATAGGCGCATACAAATACGAAGAGAACATGATTACGTTAGTCGGGATTTCGCACTCGAAATTTTAGAATGTCGAGTCGCTATTGCCACGAAATGAATTGCCTCGATTGCCACGATACGATCCACGATCGCCACCTCCTCTGCCTAAAAATATCGATATTCTAAGGCTAACTATCGTAAACACGCGAGAACATACCACGGAAACCACCACCTCGACCGTTATTGAACCGATTATTGCCACCCGGACGAGAATTATTCCAGTTGTTTCGACCACCGCGAAAGCCTCGATTATTGAAACCACCACGGTTGTTATTATCATAATTGCGAATACGACGTTGAGCAAGTTGAACGCGGACAACGGAGTTTATAGAGCTAATATGCTGATCTAAATTGTTCACATTCTATAAGTCCTTCTATCGAAGAAAAATCTCCCGGATTACCATTGTATTCTGAAATAGCTTTATCAGCTGTTTCATCATCTTCGTAACTAACTGTTGCTCGACCATTACCTTCGCCAGTCATTCGATCTTTGTAGATCCAAATCTTCGGACCACCCGAGCGATCATCAATCTAACGAGAAAACAGTATTTGCCTTGTTTTTTTTGTCGATGTATTCATCTTTACTCTGATTGGTCCAACGGATGAAAAAGCTTCTTGAATATCATCGCGAGTGATATTTCTCGGTAAATTTTGAATGAATATCGTATCTTTAAGTATTTCCACTTGTTCTTCATCGTTATTATCATTCTGACGTCGAAATCCATATCCACCACCACCTCTTGCTAAAATAATTAGCCCAAAGCATGTTTTGTCAACAACGACCGCTAGCGTTATTCTTTTGACTTACCTGAATTATATCCTCGTGATGAACCACGGAACGATCCACTAAAGAGCATGGGTTTTTAGTACTCACACACATGCACATGATCATCAACCTTACCCTCCTCTTGCACCATCAGCGTCATTATCATCTGAATGAGCTGGACCTCCACGTGAACCTTAATGAAATGGTATCTTTTTATCTGTACAGGAAGTTCGACAGTTTACCACGAGAACCAGAACTCCACACATTTCCACCTTCTCTAGGAGTATTGCCGGTGTTAAATGACATTGTCAAATATGTTTAAGATAAGTCGTAGTTAAACGAATGGACGATGATGGAATTGTATACAGTGATCGTTCTCAGACTGAATTCGTCTTTCTGAATGGAGATGCTCGATAGATGATAATGTCGGAGGGACAATAGAGGTCGCTGGAAGATGATTTCAGTTGGGAAAATCGTTCTGCTTCGTTCAGAAAATTTAATTCTGCACAAAAGTTATAGTTCTAATAGTATGCTTAACGTTGTATTTATGAATATGCAAAAATAAGGGCAACCATTCGATCATACTTAGAATACTTCTGCTATGTGAAAATATTATTTATTCCGTTTGATGCCGAGTGTTTTTCTCTTGTATATAGTTTCGTGAGAATCTGCACAAATGGTAGGTCATTTTGCTACTGATTTAAACTCGATCATCGATCAAACGATCGGTATTTTCTTGTTTCGTTATCCTTCGTCAATATGTATTCTGAAGCAAGTAAGTACACACTCAATATTTATCTCCGCTAAACTTTCATTGATCTTCGAAAGGTCTCTGCTGCTTACTGGTCACTGTCCTCACCTTCCATACTAACAATGCTCGACTTATTCCATTCCAACATCTCGCTAATAAACCATTAGCTATTGATGCCATATCAATGAATAATCTTCCAATTCGATCTCCCGATGCCACCGTAGCTAAACGACAAACAACATCACCACCCAAAGCAAATACAACTATATGCTACCCATTAGTTGGCTGTTTCGATAATAACGATCCATTTAATAATGCTGGCTTGGAAGTTCCCCAATCTCCCGAATTGGTCGATACTGCTTTTCTCTTTTTCACACAAGACTCGCCAACGAATCCAGAATTTCTCTCGTACGAAGATGATAGTTCTATTCTCAAAGCTGATATTAATCCTTCTCGTTGGTTGAGAATCATCATTCACGGCTTCACAAACAATCGAGATAGTGTTTGGATGGCTAAACTGAAAAATGAACTGTTAAATTTGAAAAATGTAAACTCACACCTGCATTTCCAAGTGTTGTCTTATATATTGTTCGAAATATTTTCTAGGCCGAATTATCCGATGTCATTCTTGTTGATTGGGGTAATGGTGCGAAATTTCCTTTCTATGCTAATGCTGCTTCGAACACTCGTCTTGTTGGTAAACAAATTGGATTGCTCTTGGAAAAATTGCAACAATTAAAAGGAGTGTCACTTGATAAGGTTCATTGCATTGGTTCGTTCGTTTGAACATATGTCGAGAATAGTGTCAGCCGAATTTGTTTTTCGTTTAGGACATAGTCTTGGCGCACATACGTGTGGTCAAGCATCGAACGCTGTCAACAATCAATTAGCGCGTATATCCGGTCTTGATCCAGCTGGCCCATTGTTTTCGGGAAAGAAAACAGCCGTTCGTTTGGATAAAGATGATGCTAAATTTGTTGATGTTATCCATTCCAACACAGAAATCGCTCTTGGACTTGGTCTCGGATCAGCTGAAGAATCAGGACACATTGATTTCTATGCCAACGGTGGTCAGTCACAACCTGGCTGTCCTTCAGTGTAACAGAAATTTCCGAATCATATTTAAAACACTCTGCTTTCTTTTCTGATGATTTAGTGGTGCATTAATCGGAGGTGTTATCGGCGGTCAAAGTGAAGGTGAATAGATTTTGAAGTAACAAATATAAGTAAAATATTCGATCGTTGTAGCTGCTTATGAACAAGCTTCATGTTCACACAGTAAGTCTGAGAACTGAGAATGACAACACGAACAAAATTATGTATTGTTTACAGGTCGTTCACATGGATATTACATCGAATCAATTCAGTAAAACTGATGTGCTTTTTAGATTGATGAACATTGACTTTTGATCTTAATTTCAGTTCCGAATGTCCATACACAGCATTTCCATGCCACGATTTCGTAACAAAGAAAAATTCAAATCTTACTTAAATTGATTAGGATCTCTCTCTATTCTAGAATAGTTTCATGGACGGTAAATGTCTTGTCTGTCCTATCACCGGTTGCGCTCAAATGGGTAATTCATTGATATCGATCAGTTAAGATGCCATTCTGACATCACATTTTGTAGGTTTCTACTCGATCTATTCACTCGGCCGGGGTAAAATGTACTCCACCACGAAAAGTAGTTCACCGTTCTGTGGTATGACTCGCATCCTGATTTGACTTTCGTTCAGCAGTTTTTTTATTTTCCAGGTTATCATTACTTTGTTGAACTTGTTCTTGACCGTGACATGGCGAAAACTAGTGGTGAAGTTTTCGTCGCTATCTTTTCTGATTATGAAATGTTAGCTAATGTCAGTATGACAGGCAAGTATGTTGACTTCGAAAAGGCAAACTTCGACATGATTTCACCGTCGTTTATTTTCAAAAGATCAAATGCTGATATCAAAGCTGGTGATATTCTTCGACATGTGTTCAGTTATCAAAGTGATTTAGGCAAAGTTGATTACGCCGAAATATACTTCAACAAAGCTAAACAATGTTAGTCATATCCACCGATTGATGATTTAAAAGATGGAAGTTTTGTTTTCTAGTCTTCGGATGGGGTGGTCAAAAAGGAAATGAAATTGTCGTTTCACGTGCTCGTCTTCGTTCTCTTGAAGATACACTCGTGTACGTAAAAAGATCATCGATTCTATGTTTCTTTCACTACTCTAATTCTGTTTTACAGCTACAGCGGCCGATGTGATACAAGTACAACGATTTCAGCCTATACTTCACAAATAGTACTACTCAACCGTCTCGATTGTGAAGATTAGATCATCGACGAGAACTTCAACATGCAATAATATACGTTTTTCAAGATCTCTGCGCTTTATATATTATTGAATTTGAAATAAATTTTCATGAACACAACGATGTGTTTTCACCATAGAGTGCATTCAAGAAAACAAGAGCATCTTGCTTGTGTAACTGTTGACCTTCGAACTAATCGATGAAAACATGTCATCAAATGATGTTTCATGTCGATGAAGGTCTTTTTATGGTTAAATAGGATTATATGAAATGAGTAATTATTGCTAAATGAAGCTAACACATGGCGAGCTGGAACGTGACGCTCTAACATTCTTTCGATGTTTACCGAGTAAAAGAAACGTAGAAGGTCAAATTACACAGAAAAGAGAAAATCCATGGTTGTCCGCGAAGAATGTAACCATATAATATTGGATAATTTGCATGTCAAGTGTTTCTAATCATTCTAACTTCGGAATTGTTCATGCGACATCTGTGTGTTTGTATTCGGTATTCTTTTTCTCTGATTTGTATGAAAACATCAAGTGAGACAAATTCATTTTCTTTTGAAAAACTCTTTATCTTTCTGACACATTCAAATTACCAACGGAAATTTCATCGGTCGGACGTGGACAAGGTGAAAACGTTATTATTACTGTTAAAAAAAAATGTGAGACTTATTTACTTTCTCGCGTTTCTTCTTTCTTCGATATTGAACATAATACTATTTTTCTATGACGTATATCAGACGAACGAATCCAGTATTTATTATTCTATTCAATCGTGTATCGACAGGCAAATAAACGATTTTGTATGTTAAGATGACCTTGATTTTGACAGAGTTTATGCCTGTTACTGATCGTAAACTTGACCGTTATTTAGCTAGAATCCCTACTGACAAGGTTGATTCATGTCATCATGTCAATAGAATCCCACATTTGTCATTGATATACAAGTTTCTTCAAGTTAATCATCGTGTCACATTCGTATGTAATTTCTATCATTTTTTTCTTCATTTATTGCCTTTCTTTTCGATAGATAATTCCATTGAAAGGCAATTGTCGATATCTAGTAGTTATTACATGTACTGAAAATGATGAGTACGAAGATTAGCGTTTCTCTAGATGGTGATCGATTTTCTTATTAAATAGATCGGCTATTCTTGGTCTTAGTCTGGACACTAATCGGATTGCACTTGATTCAATAATACCCATCTCTATTGATTTCAATGTTTCATTGAATGGCAATGGGTAAGTTTCGTTCGATCACAAAGCTTATGTTAACGGAATTATGATCTTTTACAATTTCAAATCGATCAAAACTTGGTGTCGCATTTCACAGACTTTACTTTCTCATTCGGGAATATTAGTATCTATTGCACTACGCTAATGAATGATGATTGGATGAAAAAAAAGATTTCCCAATTGTTCTGTTTAGTGGTTTTAACATCATATCAAACGATCAATATCATACTTTTCAACCAATAAATCTTCATGCTCTTTGGTATGTTTTCACATTCTATCTTTTGAATTGATTGATTATGATCATTTTCACAGGATTACGTATCAGACTTTACAGAATCTATTCAGACAAACTCGTTGTTCTAATGACTTTGCACATCGTTGGCTGGAAGAGTATTATAATCAAAAGCTACAATCTAAACAAAAACCATCACGTCACATCATATCCAATGGAGATATCATTCATACACGAATTTATACCAAATTGAAAGAAATTATGCTAGAAGTTGATCTCGATGACGTCACAACAAAATTTGTAAGTTTTTGCATTTGTTTTCATCAGAAAATTAACTGTAAGGTCTGTTGATAGTTACACGAACGATTGGAAAATGCTTTTGGCATGTCTCTGTTTGCGCACAAACAATATATTGATACTATTATGCTCGAAATTCTTGCGCAAATGGACAAAGCCACGGAAATTCTACCGTATCTTTATCTTGGCTCGGAGTGGAATGCATCCAATTTCGAAGAATTGAAAGCTCGTGGTATCGGTTACGTTTTGAATGTTTCCTGTGAAATAGAGAATTTTTTCCCGGAACATTTTCAATACTTGAATATTCGTGTACGTGATCATGACAATGTGGATTTATTGAAAGAATGGGAGAGAACGTATCGATTCATGAAAGAAGCCAAGTTAGCATCGATTCGTGTTCCTGAATTCTTTTTCATTCACGTTATCGTTGTTTAGAACAAATCATCGAGGCTGTTTAGTCCATTGTAAGATGGGTATTAGTCGATCGGCTTCTACGGTAACAAATCAGTCGTCAGGAAAAATCCACTCTTTTCTTCTTGTAGGTGATAGCGTATCTTATGAAAGAATATAATCAGACTCTGACAACGGCTTTTGAACACGTCAAAACGCGTCGTTCGTGTGTTCAACCAAATGATGGATTTCGAAATCAATTAGTTGTTTATGAAGGAATCTTGGCGGCCAAGTAAGAACGACAAACAGGAAACAATGATGAAGCTATTGCGCTTTTTTTTCTAGAAGAACTTTTCCAAGTAAATGAAATTCGGACCATATCGTTTCACTTTGAACATAATAATTCGCGCAATTTTCTTTCTCTGTTTTACTGATCTATTTGGATTTGAATGCACAGAACGACGTCTGTCAGATATGATGAACGTTCTCGGTGTGATGAGAACTAATCGAATAAAAAACTTTGGTATACGCTGGATGACATTCCTCGAGTTGAATTATCGCGTAATTAGCGCAACGTTTCCCATGTGAACGATCGAATTTACATCGATAACAATACTAACAAAATAAGCACAGAGTAAAACGTCAGACTCGATTTATTGCTATTCATATATATATGTGTGTGAAAATAATCTTCAGGAAAGAAATCTACGTTAATCTAATAATTTATGAATGTTCAATGACAGAAATCAGAATGGAATTCTTTTATTGTTTCCATTGCTCTTGAGCAGTAGGCACAAGAAAAGATTTATCTTTGTTTGGAAAAAGATCTTTTTAAAACGTATACAATTGTTTGTTAATGTTTATTCGTGATCATTAACCATCAAATTACGACGCTTTCGTCCAACAAGATATGACGCACGTTTGCCAACTAAATATGTACCACGTTTGCCGACTAAATAAGATGCTCGTTTTGCTGCTGAGAGGTCGTCTTCTAAATAGAGAGAGAAGCAGCACACAAGTGTTCGACATTGTAACTGATATCGCGCGTCATATTACCCGCATCGGACAATGGTTCTTCATCGGATGAGACTACCAATCGTTTTCCTACCCAGTAACCATTTAAATGTTTACGTTTTTGTAGAAGGTCAGCAAACTGTTCGCGTTCTTTATTTGCTTGAGCCAGAACAACTGTCATGGCAAAGAAAATGACAATGATGTACGCGACTATTGAATTATAATGCATATTGTTGTAAAAGAAGAAGACGAAAAACAGATTATATAGAGGAGAGTGGATCTAAAATTTCAAGAAATATCAATGATCAGAACGAGAAAAAATAGTTCGAAATGAGGCGTGCAAATCTTCGATGCGTCCAACAGTTATAATTAACTGTTTGAAGCTTTTGACAACTAAGATGACAGTGATGTATGACAAATGAATTGAGTGTCGTCGATAGTGAAAAATCTCTGACGTCTTCGAACATTATTTATAAAATCTGCCTGAAAACGACGAACGTTTGTCTCCATTTGCGAATCCACATTAAAAAAGGATTCATAAATGTCACTCAAAACTCATTGGTGAAAAAGGAAAATTCTCAAGATTCTAAGTACTCTTTCCTTAAATGCAATGAAGGAAACAATCAAATCTCCTATGTTTACCTTTTTTTTTTCTATTCTAATTCTTCATCTCACTTTTGGAGATGTCCGTTTGTTGAACGGTTCGATTTATTAACAAATCATCAACATCTTCTAGTTTTCAACGTCTAGTCTCTTTTCACTATCAACACATTCACACATTTTATATACAAATAGCGTCCTTGATTAGAAATGAACGGGCAATTAACTACTCGGTCTCTGTATGTGCCTTTTCAACAGAGATTTTTCTTTAATCGACTTTTTCTTCTCTCTGTTTTCTTCCACTCCTACTCAATGTGATTGCCGTCGATAGAATGTATCTCGCGACGGTAGTGCGCGTAATGAAAAAGAGAAGAGAACGAAGCGTGTCGATCCTGAGCAAAATACAATGAATTGAAGTTTATTAATGATAAAACATATTAGCTAATCGAAGCTGAATTCGCCTTACTATTGATCGGTCGTTAGACTATAAGCTCTATTTTCCCATTCTTAAACCTGTTCTTCGTTGCTTTTTATCGCGACATCAAATGATGACGATGACGTAGAAGAAAATAACACAAATGACGTTCAATCAGTATGTTAATCAAACTGATTGTTTCGATTTGTCGTCGAGGGAATGACGATGGAAAACAAAAATGACATTAGAATTTCCATCGAATGTTCGACAAATCCAAGCAAGAACTTGTAAGAAACATCTGACGATCTGTTCAAGATTTCAAGATATCTGTCTTAGCTCATATGTCACAATTTATTAGGAAAATGGACAAGATCATTCTATTCGAAGAACTTTTTCACAAGTTTAGAAAGGAACGGATTGGCTGATTTTGCGGCTTGATTAATTTGTTTCTCTAGTAGATCAAATGTTTGTCTATATCGTGCCACAGGATTGATTGATAAGGTATCCATCGTCATAGCACGACGCTCCTTCAGACGTTGAGTGAACAATGAGAACGATTGCTTTGGACTATCATCAATACGTTCATAATCATCGAGAAATTTCAAAAAGATCATTCCTATAATAGACAATTACAAACAGAGCAACCAGTTCGATCGGTACACATACCGTGAATAAAATCGTTGAGAAATGTGACGTACGACGATGTCGGTTGTAGAATAAGGAATTCATCCGATCGAAAATCATACCCAAGTCGATTTTCTTCTTTCTTGTCACATTCATTCTTTACAAGCTGATGTTCGTTGTCGTTCAATTGCAGATCAACTCCACTAGCTTCATTTTGAAAGTAATTCGAGCAGATCGAAAAATGCTGTGTATCATTCGACGAGCCGGACGAACTACGATCGCGTTTAAAGAATTCAGGTAAGCGATATAGCAATTCTGTGAAGACATGTAAACATGCTTCACTCGCAGCAACATTAATCAGTGTAGTGTTTGGTTTACCGATACGAAATCGACTGGCATACTCTAATGATGCTTGTAACGTCTGGCGAAGATCAAGTGGTAGAACGGTACCATCCTCAACATCGATGTCAATTGTATTTGCATCTATATCAACGCGCAAAAAGTCTCCTTCGATCGATGATGGTAAAAGCTCTATGGATTGGTGTAAACAACCATAGATATATGGACAAGGAGAGCCGACTAGATCTTGTAGCCAAGGCGACGGCATCACAGAAACGAACGGATACGGCCACATGAAAGGATAGATTAGAAAGGAGAGAGCGAGGCAACATTTAGTCAATTTGGTCAAGGAATGTGAATAGCAGAGGATCTTCTTTGAGCGTAGCATCGATTCGAAAAGATAAACAATATGATTTGGTGCAAGAGATGAAAGTAATGTGTAAAAATAATCATGATTTAGACGAGTATCATATGGACAAACGTAATAAAATATACGATGATCATCCAATTTACAGATAATACTTGATGAAGCATTGAGAGAAGGAAGTGGCAAAGGTGTAGCATAGAGTTTTTGCATTAGTGCACTGCATTCATGTTCGTTGTCAGTATAAACTAGAATTCAGGCGAAAACTTCGACTGGAAATGAACTTGTTAGTTTATCTTACCTCGACTAAGTTCCGTAAGAATGGCATCATATAGTTTGAAATATGGATAAATGGCAACTAAAATTCGATGAGAACATTTGGTTTCTTTCGGAAAATATCATATTACCGATACAAATCACCACAGGAAAATATGTGATTTGTTTATCATTATAGTTGATGCGTCGACAGTACCCATATTCAACTTGTCCTTTGGAACTCGTTCGTGTAAAAACATAAGTAGTTGATTCTTCAACTAATTTTCCTCTATCTGCTTGTTTGGAATTTAATTCTGGAAAACAGAATTTTTTGTAATGATTGATTTCGTCAATAACGTGATTCTTATTGTTTTCACGCGGACAGAAATCTATCAAAAGCTCCTTATCCACATTCCATTCTGCTACTGTGAGTACAAATGAAAGTTTAAATAAGCGAGACTCGACATGTGCCGTTTTCGTTGGGGTTCGATGTGTATCAAGGAATCGATTGGCTTCTTTGGGTGTTTTACCAAAATCAAGTATATACGATGAGCTCGCTGGTTGAAATAAATTTTTATCGAACAAGGCACCATTGATAATCAATCCATTCGAATCGATAGTAACAGAATTCTGTCGTCGTTTAGTTGATGTTCGCCGTTGACTTGTTTGTGGTGATAGATAGTGTAGACCAGAACTTTGTTGAATGTTGAAGTTATCACAAGAGAGCGTGTCTCGATCATTCGGATCATTTTCAACTTTCGAATTGAGTGAATATGTTGTGTACAAGTGATGATCACTACGATTTGATCTCATTGAGTTTCTTCTAGTCAACTGAAAATAAATGAGTAAGCGTTAACGATTGAAATCAACGAAAGAAGAAAAGCATTGACCCATGACCAACCCACGAAAGACACGTGAGTAGTCAAAGAACGCTTCTTACTGTCTTCCTTTCTGTTTTGCTTGTTTTCCTATGTGCCTTTTTTTCTCTTTTATCCGATGCATATCAGTCAAATGAAGAAGAAAAATCATGCACCTGTTATTGTTATTATATGTGTTGTGTATGTCGAGTGTGGGAAGAGAGGCGTACTAATTCGGATTTGATGAAAGAACAATGGCATCGACATAATCGAATTCACTATTGTAAGCTTTCGTTTATTTTCTTAACTTGTGACTTGAATCGTAAAGAGCAGACGGTTTTTTTTCGTGACTGCATGTACACAGTAAAGACTCACAAGAAAAAATTCGTGAAGGACAACATCAGTGTCGTTTTTCACATAGTATTAATAGTATCCACAAGTAAATATCACCGTTCCGTACAGAACGAAAAAACGGTTTCTTTCTTTCATTCTGATTTAAAAAAAAAGAAAATAAACGATCTGTTGACTGAGACAAACACACTTATTTTCAGAACATTAATCCGCTAAAGATAAATTTAGCTTGTCGATCTAGCGAATCCCGATGGATATGAAGACAAACGTGCTACTGAATAATTGATAAACAAATCTTGCAAATCTTCATATCAAATATTGACAAATTGTAAGCAGACGTTTACTTGTGGAATCTAACTGCATATAACAGACATAATGAATATGTTTTCCACCATCACGATATTTGTCGTGCTTACATTCTCTCCTCTCAACTATATTCTTTCAGATACTTTTATGAGGTTACTCATATAAGATGTTACTCCGAGACAAAAGTATGCATGACTTCAAAAAGACTGTCGACAAGAGTGATTAATTGATTATTGTATTAATGTATCATCTCTCGTTTCTCTTTGAAGTCTCATCATCAGGCAATAATAATCATGCTTTCTATATTTTCAAATAAATACAATAATCGACAGGAAAAGTGAACACTTGTTTATCTGTAATGTGCTTGTACAGGATGTCCATAGCTTCTTGTACTGCGTATATTATAATTATTCGTGCCTAATAAAACGATATTGTTTGGAGGAGTTCGTCGTTGAAGGTTCGATTTTTGTGATAATAATTTGACTGGTGTTCGCTGATTTTTAGTCGAATAGAAAACAACTTGTTCAGTATTTTGTGTTGAACGTTTATACCAATTTGAGTAGATTTTATAACAAAAATAACGGCGGAACAGTTCGATTAATTCAATCCGAAAACGTGCACATGAGAAAAGAAAAACGAGAAAGTTGGATGCATGATGAAAATGCAGAAGAATATTTGTAAAGATATGAATAACATATTGATGATTGCCGAAATTCTTTGAAATCAACAGATAAATCGCATGAACTGTTGATGGTGTTGCTGTGACAACGAAGCAAAGTGAGGATGCGACAAGCATAGCTGTCAATTGTCGTTGTTTACTCGATAGATCCAATCTCGTTCGTGTATCTGGACTTAATGAACGCTCAATACGCGATGCCTGATGGAGACGTCTGATAATGATAATGTTACAAACGATGCACACTGGTACAATTAGCCAGTAAGTCAATGCTGATCGTATAGATTCCCAAGTCAATCGATGAAAATCTTTTTTAAACGCACAAAACGATCGACTAGGTTCCGTTTGATTTGCACCGCGAACATATTCAATCTGCATGTGATATGTGTAATGACTGAAAATAATCAATGACATGCAAAATAATAAAATGACAAGGAGACGTGATTTGATTTGACTAGTTAAACGTGGCATGCGACACGGATTGAAAACGAGAGAACAACGTTCGACATTGATAAAACATACGATCCATACCGATAGGAGACGGAAGACATCAATGAAATAGAAAACTATACAATCGTACGATGTCACCTGTGGACGAAGTTTGGCCACAATTTGTAAACTATGTAAACATAAGACACAACAATCGGCGATGCATAAACCGGAAATAAACGCTGCGGATGTTGTCCGTCGAAAAAATCGTTGATTAACAATGATTAATGTTAGAACATTGCCTGTACATCCGAAAACCGAGAGGCACAAGATGGCTATCGTTCGAATACGTTCTAAGATGAACATCTAAAATAAAGCAATAGAACAACCATCTATCATCAGTTTTTCTTGCTTAGATCAGCCAACTTGTGAAGAACGTGGAAAGAAGAATCGGATTAGATGATGATGTCTGTCCGTTGACTCTCGAGAGTATATAATGACAACTACTCGCTAAACAAGAAAAAACTGTCGAACTTTCGTTTATTAAACAGCTCCCACCGAGAACAAGTTCTCCTGGAAACATTAACTTACATGCGCGATCGTAAACACTTGGTAGTGCCCACGTTGCAGTCTCTTCTGATTCGATATTTCCTTGTTCCGAAAAAGTTATATCAGAGGAAAGTATACGTCGCGCAACGATTGGTAATTACTGCTTTTGTCTCTGAAAGATGTTGACATGACAAATAATAAAACAAAACAAAAAGAAGAAGAAAGGGAAACAACTGAAGTAATATATACTAGAGAAAAGACAAGATATGACATCTGTGGAGTTGATTTATACATCCATTCGAGTGAAATATAAATCAACGATAACATCGGTTTTTCAAATCGGATTCTTTTTTTTTTCGAGGAGAAATCTATATCGTTATCATGACGTCAATCAATCAAGTAGCTGAAGCAGAAGAGAAAACCGGTACAAATGTTATTCTTGTGACAATGAGAGCGCCGCTCTTGCCGAAATAGATTTCTTTCAAGATGCGTTTGTTCGGCGCTCTTTCTACCTCGATCAATGATGGACGAGTAGTCGATGTTTGTTCTTCGTCGTCTCGATAAATTCAAATCAATTTCCAATTGTAAACAAGGTTACAAGCTTCCTGCTAACCGTTGTTATCCATTGTGATGATTCTCGAGGAGAAAAAAATTTGTTTACGAAGATATCGAAAGAAAAACATTGTGTTGATCATGCATAAAATTGTCCTTTATAGTTTTGTTGATTTTATTATTAGTTAATTTAATCCCGAAATAGGAAGACATCTAACAGCATATTGCTTAATTAATTCTTAAGACGTCTGTAGTATCAAGAAAAACATTTGTCTTTTCTCATTTTTCATACATATGTCTATCTATTTCTGTCGTTGACCGAGTTTGTTCGATGTCAGAATGCATTTCTTCTTGCACCCTGAATGAAATCATGGTGCCACTTTGAGTTATATCCGATAAAGCCAAGTTGCCTTTGGAATTTCTTTTAACATTTCCATAATTAATGAAAATGTCTTGTCTAATTTGCAAATATGATAAATGCATTGATAGGAAAATACTAAACAATTGATAGATTTTCTTCTAACAAAGATCAATCTTACAGATTAGATCTAGGAGAAGAGAACAGATGTTTAATTATTTAAGACTCGAATCATATTTGATAAGTTCAATTCAAGAAGAAAATGTAGTGTATTATTGTAAATGTCTCATGAGATCAATAATATCTGGATTTTTCATTGTTATATTCTCTGTATTCGTAATTCGATTGATTACAAAGAGTAGCTGAACAAAATTACTTCAATGTAGACAATAATTGAATAAACAACCGAAATCGATTTGATTTACAAACATTCTTATCGAGAGGAAATCAGAAGTCACTATGGGTATTTATAGAATCTGTTGATTCAACGTTTTTGCGGGCAAATTCATTGATTCAGTTCTTATTTAGGCCATGTCATGATTTGCCTTCTCTTAAATTATAATTACTCTCGGTTTGCTTGAACGCTTTTCTTCATAATACAGCGGATATTCATTTCTATTCTCATGATATGGAGCAGTTTGACTTGACATCATCATCGTTCTCTTCGAACAGATTTGCTCGAGTATTAAGAACAGTTTGGTCACCATGGTTCGAACGAGAATAATTCTCTATTTGTGTATATTTGGTATACAAATTGAACAAAGAAGAAAAATAAAGAAAACAAAATACAAACGCGAAAGAAAAACAAGAAAGAAAATTTCAATTATTTTTCCCTTTTTTTTTAAAAATTTTGTCTGCGTCTATCATACAGGAGTAAGTGAAAATATTAGAGACAGGAAAAGAAATCCACGGATGCAGCCTACACACCCACTCAAACACACACGGAAGAGCATCGATAAGAAGAAAAAATAGAGAGAGAGAGAGAGAGAGAGAAAGAAAAAAGACATTGTGTGGTTGCAACAAAGTAACAATCCTCGACTCGTCATCTTTACTAAAACAGCAATCATTTCTCTTGTTGTTAACTACACAGATATGTAAGAAAAAAGGCCAAAAGAGGAAAAAGAACGAGACCTTCGTTGTTTGTTATTTAGCAGCTGTAAAAAAAACAGTTAATCGTTACAGTCAGCTAGAGAGAGAGAAAACCTTGAGCTGTATGAATACATACAGATACGCACAAAAAAAACAGAAGAAGAAGAAGAAGACGAGTCAGAAAAAAAGATCCAATACGAATGGGTAACAAGCATCATCATCATCGTCATCTTAACAATTGAATAAACCAAAGAGCAAGGGATAAATTCAGAAAAAATATGGCGATAAACACTCGATTTCGATAGAAGACATTCTAAACGAGAAATCAAAGAAACGATATGAACATATGTCTGACAAATAACCTTGAATGAGAGAAGCCATCAATAGATACCTGAATGCCATGATAATCATCATCCGTTTGTACAGAAATCTCTTGAGTGGTTACATGCAGATTGGCGGTGATAGTTGGATCAGCAGTAGAAATGTTCGACTGCAAAACATGCACATGCAAAATCTAATCTTAATCTCGTGAGATCGAAAAATTGATTAATTTTTTTTCTCATCATGAGCGCTTATTATTGATCGTACTGAAGGAATTTATCCAAGATTCTTCCTTTCTCAAGATCTAATATGTCTTTCTTGATATGCGCTAATATGCGTATGATCGATATTAATGATCAACAAAAGTTGACATCCATAAGAGTCAATGTATGGCAAACCGAAGATAGACACAAGAGGCAAAAGATCAGTAGACGGAAAACTAATGACTGATTTGCAATAATAGATAAGAATTGTCGTTTGTTTCACTCGATTAGAGGATAAAGATATAAATATATCTAGCTGCTTTCAGGCATGGGAGAACACCGTGCTAAAACCGATTTTTAATCATGCTAAGATACCTGTAGTAGAGCTTTCACACGGCCAATGGCAGTTGAATCGAAATCACGTTGACGTCGTAATTCTTCCCGTCTTTGAGAGCCAAGTTTAGTTGCTTCTTCTCTTGATATACCTGGAGAAAAATAAGCAGAAGAGATAGGATCGTTTGCTTTTCATATTTCATTAATTTTGAGAGAAAAAGAAACTTGACTTTACTTGGAGCTTCTTGTCGATGTCGGGCAATATTGACAACAGTCGGCATGCTGCCTCGTTTGTTTCCACCGGTATGATTTGTCGTTGATGATGGTTTGTCCAATTTAGTTACACTTTCGAGAATTACACGACGAGCAAGTATAGGAGAACCACTGCTACTTGTCATCACAGATGCTTGTGGTACAAGCGAACCACTCTCTGTATAGGCTGGTGCTTGTGCTGTAACACGTTTACGTATACCATTTTCGATAATAAACGTTTCTTTTTCTTTTAAATTATCACTTGACCGAGCTGTTTCATCAATTTTATAAGCACCAGGATTTGTTTTAACAATGCTGGGAAGAGACTTTCGTTTGGGAATAGGAACTGGCTGCGGAACTTCATATACATCAATAATAGGTGTATTTGATCGTACAGTATTCATAGGATTCGTTAGGTTATACATATGATGTTGTTCAGGATCGAAACTAGCACCACCAGAACTTAAACCGGAATCATGGCCACTTGAATTTCGAGAATCTAATGCACCATGAATAAGAGGAGGTCGGATGTTAAAATTATTTCCCGATCTAGGTGGTGGTGTTTTTGTCCGAGAACTTGATGTATGACGTATGGCTTGAGGAGCATGTAATTTTGACGACGAATGAATCGAATCGTGCTGTTGTTGTTGTTGTTGTTGCTGTAGATCATGAGTGAGATCTTCGTTAGATGCATCAACATGACGAGTTCTAATGAACGTCGATCGTTTTGGTACTGAACGGGGACCAATACCAACAGGATTTGGTACGAATTGCGCAGTAGACGGAGCGTGCGCTGACGAAGAGTCAAAGCTGGCGGACATTGTTGTTGCGCGGTCATCATCGAAACTGAAATTTCCTGGTGTTACTATACCACTACGGATCGGTTGGTTCGGTTGAGAGTATTGTCGTATCATGGAAGCATCTGAAATGGACGAATCCATGCATGAGGACCTTCTCATTATAAAAGACATACTTGTACGTGGATCAGGCATATTATTATAGGGTATTGGCGACATACTTGTATGATTTTGATGATAAAACTCCTGTTGCTGTTGTTGTTGTTGCTGCTGCTGCTGCATTGACAATGGTAGTCCATTCATCTAAATGAAGTTAATCGACATCAATTGCATTCGTTTGGACGAATAACTTTACTTTTATGTTTGAATTCACGTCATGCACTGGTTTAGCTGCTGTTGGTAGTTGACCTTGATAAACGCCACCATCAAGCGTGAAATTCGAAGATGTAATTGGATTGTTTTGATTTTGGTGAGAAACATGTGGCGGTAAGATCGGGGTTGTATGAGGTATAAAATTGGATGGTATCGGTATACGACCGTTAGGTAGACCGGTATCTACATGATTGATCGTAATTAATTTACCATCTGTTTGTCGGTCGATATCGAGCGGTATGAACACTTGTGGTTTATCTTCTCCTGAGTGATGAAAATAAAAAGGTAATTCATGAAATGACTTTGTTCCCTATCTCATTAAAATATTACCTGGCTGTCGGAAGTCGGGCGCAGCTGCTTTTGCTGCTACTCGAGCTTCTATGCTATCATTTCGAGCTTGCTTGGCATAGATTTCAGCTGAATGTGCTTTGGAGCGAGCATTATTTGCTCTAAACAACAAAGTATCAGCATGTGTTTCGAAAGCAAGTAAGAAGTTCTAATTCATTGTTTTCTTCTCTCTCCTTACCTTGCCATAGCTATTTCAGCTTTTTGTTGGGCATTCGTTGCTGATTTCATTGAATTATTAAGAGCTGCATCGATCTTATCACGAAATTTCGATGCACGTAATAGAAATAATTTACTTGGTTTACGTTTATCATTAATTAAAACATTGTTTCTATATTTGCCCTCCTCCTTGGTTCCATCACGAAACGTAGTTACTCCGTAACCGTTCTTCTTGTTATTAAACCACTCGCCTTCGTATTTGAGACCATCTGAGCGTTCAGCTATACCGAATCCAGTACGTTTATCCGCTTTCCATTCTCCCATGTACGTTTCCACCACATTATTATCGAGTATATCATCTTGTGAAATGAATGATTGATCACCATCGTCAAATGCACCAATTGAATTGGGTGTATTAGCATGAGAAGACATAATTGTTGATGTTTTAACTGAATGTTTCGAATCACCACTCGTTGAGCTTGCCGTTGAGCGAAACGAACTTTTCTTCTTAGTTAGATTCAGATCTTCAATGTCACTCGTTGACTTTTGTTTACGTAATTTAGCTAAAAGTGTTTTGCGCAATGAATGACGACGATCTGTACTATGCGATAGTGAACCACGATGCGGACCTTGACTAACACTACGTGCTGATGATGGATCATGCGGATCTGATTTCGAACGAAGAACAAATCCACCGCGATTTTCATCCATACGTCGATCACGTTCACCTATTAATAAGAAATTCCAAAATCAAAGAAAAACTGTGCATCGGTAAATTTATTTACGTTGAATTCGTTCTTCGTCATCTTCGGAACGAAGCGATGTCAGAGAATCTCGTATATCTTTTGATCGATAACGTGACGCTATGCCGTACGGCACACTCCGTCGTATACCAAAACCATGCCGAAGACCTTGTTGTATTTGACCATGATAGATACCACCATCTGCATACAGTTCAATACCATAACCATCTTGTAATCCATTTGCCCATGTTCCTTCATATCTAGCACCAGAAATCTCTGATACTCTCACACCGTAACGCCCTTTGAAACCTTGTGTCCATTCGCCTTTGTAGACCCATCTTCCTTTCTTTTCAACACCCAATCCATGTCGCTTTCCGCTCATCCATTGTCCTTCATATGAGTTTCCTGACGGCTAAAAAGATAGAAATATAAACATATACAATCATATGTATACATATAAGTTATCGCGCATCCTTAGCTGAACTATTTATTTACCCATAAGTAGATGCCAGAGAATTCATAACCATATTGCCATGCACCCGCATATTCACCTTGTCCTTTTGGACCTGTGCAAACACCGTGTCCGTGTGCTTTGCCATCATTCCACCCTCCGCAATAAGTGCCGCCGTCGTCAAAATCAAAACGGCCTCCATTCGCTCCGACGTTCATACGGGAGTCTATTCAGTTATAACCAACGGTAATACTAATAGCAGCAACATCGACAATAACGACAATGTCGATGATAGCAAAGAAGAATTATTGAAAAAAAAGAAGAAAAAAGAAGAAATAGCAGGAGATCAGACAAAAATGTTCTGTTAATAATAGTTGAATGTGCGTGTATATATGTAAATGACGATACTATTGATGATGCCGATGAAGGAGGAGAACAACGGTGCAACAAAGATGTTGTACTCAGCAATAATAGAAATGTAATTTTAATGTGTCATATTTATAAGTCAATCAAATCCGAGCAAACACGGCAATTACCATAATACTACCATGTACGCTTAGGCTGAAATAAAACGGATCAATTATACGAGGACGAATAGCAAGAAGGAACAAAACGGAAATCACACATAAAACGCACATAAACGACTACAAGTTGACTTTTTTGCCTGACAGAAATAGTCTTAATCAAATTCTCTTGTTATCGTCAAGTTCTTCTCTCTAATGATAATACACTTAATGCTGATCTTTTCCTCTCGTTTGCGAACATCACCCTCAACGTCACCGATGTGAGAACAAGCACAAATACTACATGATTTAACTTTTATATGCTCAATGTCAATCAAAAAAATCGTTTACGATAAATATCATGTAAGAGAAAAACAAATAGTAACTGTTAAAACGCTTTCTTATTCTGTTACTGTATGAGAACGCGATCTAGTAGAGATATTTCTTCTTTTTTTTCGCTAGTACTAAAAAAAAACGTATCTGTATATATCTATAGCTATACTTGAAATTACATCACACACGAGTGCATGTATTGGGAAGAGCTTGCTTAAAACGAAGATGGAGAGCCATTAGAAAGAAAGCGAATAAGAGGAGGAGAGACTTGCTGGTCCAAGGGTTTTGTGTCGTGCGTGCCTGTTTATTTATTTTTGCTCTGGGTTCTGTGTGTATGCGCATTAGACACGTTGGATGGTCTCTCTAGCTGTGTCTCTGTCTCTCTTTTATATACAAACAGGCAGATTTCAGGCAACAGCAGACAAAGAAAAAGAAGAAGAGAGCGCGCGCGCGCAAGAGGGAGAGAAAGAGAGCGAAAGAAGGAGATGCAGGAAGAAGAATACGGAAAGAGTTGTCGTCAGTTGATGGCATCGTCGTCCTCGTCGACTGATTACGACGAAGGCGTGCGATACTAGACTGAAGAACAGCATTCACGCGAAAGAGAAGAAAAAGAACAAAAAGAAAACGGAGAAATATTAAAAATAATAGTAAATACTCTATATCTAAGATGAGAACAAGAACGAACAACAAGAAGAAAAAGAGATCTTCGGAATGTATAGGCCTATATACAATGATTGTAGTAAGAAACTCAACAACAACATCAACAACAACAACGACGACGACAATAATAATAATCATAATAGCAACTACAGACAACGATGATGATGATGATGAAACTACTGTTGTCGATATAGCACCGTGATAGTAGCACGACGACATCGCACATTTCTAAAAGAGAACGAACGGATGGACTTCTTTCACGCTCTCTCATCGTTCTTCTGCTAGTAACAGCCGCATCATACATGTTGCAGGATGACAAAACAGATAACTTGGTATTCACAAGGCAAAAGAAACCCTTGTATCTCCTTCCAATCCATTTGTCTCCTTTTAACGTCCTTCATTCTTCCAGTTTGCATTCAGACACATACCACAACTCTTCCTAGATGTGGTTAACACATACGCAGGAAAAGCATGTCGTCTCTATTCGATGTACTACTTTAACACTCATCAATGCCATGGAGAGGAAAAAATACATCGATGAATCAATCATTAGTTCGTTCTTTCAATCGTACTGATAGAAAGAGTATGTTAACAACGAACAAATGGGAAGAAGATGATAGAAAACTCGTCGAATATTTTCTTCTTCTTTTTTGTTCCGTACGCCTTCAAGTCACCTGTGCGAACTTTCTTCTTGTGTTTGTGTCATCCTCATACTCATCATCATCATATTTCCATAAAAAGAAATCAAACAGACTTGTAGACAGTCTCTATCATTTCCGCTTTTGGTCGACAAGAAAAGTATAACATTGATATCGGCTATATATCCTCCTTTCTTCTTCTTTTTCTCAACACAATAAGATAAGGTTGGACATTTGTGCTGTATAGGAAATCTAAGAAGAAAGCAGAGGGAGAGAAAGAATCAAGAAAGGAGAACGAAGAGGATATGATAATTTGAGAAAGAACGATGTATGGATCATTGATAAATGCATACTTAGTAAATTTCATTAACGGTTATATCAACTGTTTTGAAAATCTAATAATAAAAGACGAAGTTGTCATGGTGAAAAAATGATGTTCGTTCTCTCTCGCTCAAGCCATTGGAATGTTCATTTGTAGCTGATATTTGTTTACAACATAGCAGGACATTCGATTGAACAACTATGTAACTTAATAAGGTACAAGGTAGAGCAAAGAACAATCTTTGAACAAACAAAATCAAAGAAAGATAAGATGTATGTTAATCTTACACTGAGAAGTTCACGATCATTATCACTTCCTTGTACAGTAGTAGTCTCATCATCTGCTTTCTTTTTTTTTCACGTCACACTCCCTATATATGTAATCGAGTTTCGTTCATATTGCAAACAACATAGTTTATTCATTGATTTTCACATGTCTACAACTTCTTGCTTTTCATTGTTCTTGTTGTTATTTATTATATTAATAAATATCACCTCTATTGTAAATCTTCATTGTCATGATGATTTACATGGATCTATTCGATTAATTGAAAATTGCCGCGCATGTGTTATTTATATTGATACGAATATTCGTCTAGCTATTTCTCCCCGAACAACGAGTTTATCTCAAACGTCATCAATAGAAGAATTAGCTTTCCTTAATGAAAGAAAGCGTTATCGTCGCCATGATCCTAATATAATTATCCGTCAGAGATGTGCCCGTGAACACGACGGTGCGTTATACGGGTATGATCAAACGCATTGTTACTGCAATTCCAATCGATGTAATTCCGATATACAACGATGTATTTATGAAATAGCATCGAAGCGTTATTTTTCATGTTATCATGGGTACGATTCCAGTGGAAATTTACCTGAAATCTCCAAGAAATGTCGCAGTTGTCGGATACGAATGGATACTAATCGGAAATACCATTACGAATGCTTAGAATTTGGCCAACAAGAACAAAGTAATCAAACGCATTGCACGTGCCAATATCCGATGTGTAATCAAAATCTTGGCATATGTCAACGTTTCCAACAAAAATCATCACCACCGCCGCGCATTCATCTGATTCGTTATGTGATTTCTAACGTTACGAGTACTAAATCAGCAGTAACCACAAAGACGACAACAACAACAACAACAACGCCAATGTCAAGTGTTACCGCGAAGTTATCAACATTTATAAGTACGCATCAAACTAATGAAGAGATTACAACTGAGAATGTTACTTTATCTCAAGTCATTTCATCATCCTCGAATGACACTAAATCTATTCAAACGATCATTATTGAGATAAAAAATCATGGAAATTATTTCTCAGCACGATGTTTTCTTTGTATTCTGAGTGTTTTCTGTCTTTTTGTCTCTCAGATGTGATCCGCTTCATTAGACAGTATATACCTATTCACAAATCAACACTTTTACTAGATTCATAAATGCCAATCTAACAAGTATAACTTTCAAATGATGTCGCTACACATACACGATTAAAAGAACATCATCTCTATTGACAACGTAGAGAATCGAACATGACTAATGGCTAACTGACTTGATTCATTCAGATTGCTAATCATATTTTAAGCATGTCCAAAGCCACAAAATTGGAAGATTATTGGCGCGATCAGCATCTCGAGAGTTTATTGAAAGAAATAACTCAACTTCTCACTCGGCGTATGCCATCTGATCCACCGTTGGCGATAGTTGAGTTTCTTCAAAAGAAATTTCCGAAATCTTTCAAATCCAGCACAGATAGTATTGGTATTGTTCCTAAACCACTGGCCGCCAGTTTACAATTGAAAACACTCACGTCCGTGCAATCGGATACTCATAATGAAAGTATGAACGATACGCAACTTGGAAGTCAATTAGCCAATCAAAGTTTCAACAATGGATTGGTTACTATGCCAACGATGGGTTCGGCTTTTACAGATTTATTGAAAAATGACGTAAGATTCAAGTTATTCCCTTCTTTTTCATCGTGAATAGTTCTTCTTCTATTCAGACTGGTAGCTTAAGTCAAGATCCACAGATAAGTATGAGAAATCTCATTCGAGCAGGCCGACTTGGTGAACAAGCGGTCAAATGGGGTAAAAACATCCGTTCAGATCACGATATTCTTGAGGAAGAAGTTTTGCGACCAACGAAAAACAAACCTACAGCCTCGAGAGAAGAATCAGGTGACCACTTTGCTTATGATCCCATGACAGAAAATATCCAAGAAGTTCAAACACATGAGCAACCAACCGTACGGCAAATTATCAAATATAAACAACATCTTCGTACGGAAAAGGATCGTCGATTACATCGAGAAGAACTAGCTAAATTAGCACAATCTCAACGTGAAAAGGAGGAATTCTATCGATCGGATCTTTCAGCTAAACCAGAAGACAATCAACAACAACAGCAAAATTTAGATGAAGACGATTCAGTCGTACCAGCTGCACCGACCGAGAAGAGTCAAACGAAAGCATCGGATAAGCCAGTGGTGAAATCGAAAGAAGAAGAAGAGATTTTAAATGATGAGAATATATTTCGACCAAGAATGCAACGAAATCGGCAACGACAAAGGAATAAACCATCGACCGCACGAACGAATGCAGCTGATTCGCAACGGCGGTTTACGCGGGATTTCCAACTGATAACGAAAAGAGAAGATGGAAATGTAATATGTAAAGTATGTGGCCATGTTATTAATGATGATGACGGTCAACTGGCCAATGATTTCAAGGTCAATTCGGGTAAGATGATTCACTTTCGAAAACAAATTAGCCAGAGTAACTATCGATCCTAGCTGCATCATCAGCGCGCCCTTATGAACCACAGCAATCCAGTCAATCTGTACAGTCATCTTCTGCCGCTGTCGATGATTGGTTTGAATCGTCAACAAGTGCATCGGTATCAATTTCACAATCAAACACTCCTCATGCGGCTGATGAGCAAAGCCAATTATTTCTTGGCTCGATGACTTTTCGACGAAATCTATTTCAACCGATTACAGATGATAACACGAACATGGATCGTCTGGCATCACCGCGTATCTCTGAATCAGGTATATTCGCTCGATCACCAGAGCCGAGAGCTCGTCGTCCATCATCATCGCAAAGTATTACATCACCTGCGACAAAGAAACATCAACCAGATACTGTGACAAGTCCTCAGACAACAAGAACACTCGTACAACCATCACCACCGCGCTCAAGACCACCTTCAGCTCCGACTACTAAGTAATCAATACTCGGCTGAATCATTCGAGCAAGAATACAGAACAGACAAACAGCTTTATTCTAGCAATAAAAGATCAAAATTGATGATTTCAGTTTCAGTTCATGCTTTTTTTTTTGTTTTTAATTAGTTTTCTTTGCTTTCATTCAAAATATCAGCCGATTGTACAAAAAAAATGATCAAATACTAAATATAGCCATCAAAAATAACACATCGGTTTAAATAATTTACATTATAGATAAATTTCCAAAGAAAACATGTACAGTAACAAAACTTCATAGAGAGGAGCACATGTCGTCACACTTTCGTTTCTGGTCCTGCATTAGTATGAGCAAATGAATTGCGAAGTTTCGTCATCGAACGAGTTAAAATCGAGCCATACGCTTTCGTGTACCATTCATGTGAACGTCCCATTAAGTCTACTCGATTGAGATGTATTACTTTTGATTTTCCACATCCTAGAAACGACAATCGTGATGATAATCGATGGAAAAGATGAGAAATGAATCACCTACCATATGATTGTATCAAATATCGTGATGCTAACGTCACTGCTCGGACTAAAAACAAACAAAACAATATGTTGAATATGTAACAAAGATGAGAGATGAACCTAAAGTCGGTGGGCAATGTGCTTTTGGATGTTCAATCGATGTGCAAACAAGCACACATGTCTCTTTCGATTGGTTATTTTGTGTTGAAATAAATGATGTAATTGCACTTGAAGATGCTGATAAAGACGAACCAACTGGAAAATTAGGATTTTGATATGTTCCATTGATATTCAATTGTATGTTGGTTCTCCAACTTCGCACTTCACAGAAGTATCGAGATGCCAATGGTGCCTATAAACAAACGAAGACATTCAATTGAATTTCTATTGACAAGCTTTCAAGCGGACGTACCATTGAATTGATTGTATATTGGTAGACATGCGTATTCGAATTTAATTGTTCAATTATTGCTCCCGATTGAAAATCTACAATAAAAAGACATTCAAATACCTATTAGAGAACATGGCAGACAAGGTCATGTACGAACCATCATCCCATAGATGTCTTTCATTCAATAATCGATTAAGGATTTCGGTTGGCGGTGCTTCGATCTCGACGGAACATTTCCAAAGAGTAAGTGGATGTCCGTCATCTAGCTTTTTCACTGCTAAGTCGATGTCATTCGTTTTGCCAAACGATGTCCATCCTTTTGATTTTGTTGAACATGCTTCACGCATGACTTCCACAATACAACGATTAATAAAAGTTTGATACGAAGTATTTGTTTTTGTTTTTATTGCCTTCAAATCATGACTGTTGTTGTTGTTGTTGTTGTTGTTTTTATTCATGCTGTGAAATATATTATCACATGACGATGAACCGACTGTATCGGATGCCAACATTTTACCAACTTCTTTTGCGCGTTGGTGAGCGGTGTGTTTGCCAGATGAATAACGACGTGTTTGCTTGATCATCGGAGCGGATACGGCTGGCTCTGAAACGCGCCGTGATAGTTCTTCCAGTGTGCACGGCTCGCCGATTTCAATGTAAGAAAAATGACAAGCCTGATGTAATTCCAACGGAACAATAAATAATAATCGAACGTAATCAATCATAAACGCGAGAATATCCATTCCTTTTCGTTGTTCTTCGATTTCTTTCAGATCTGGCATGCCGTTCGTAGATGTTTTTGTGTAGTTTGTAAATGAGAACAATGTTGGAGTGAAACAGGTAGCAAGATTCATTGAACTCATCTGATTCGTTTTCGCATGTTTGGAAACATCATTTAGAAACGATAAAAGTAAATGTAAAACAAGACGATTTTCATCCGGTAAGAGAAGAATTGCATATTGGAGTGCAAGTAATCGTCGTTCGTTGTTGACTTTGGAGGAGCTTTTCTTATCCATGGAAGAAAAATATTCGCTTATATGAAGAAACAATGGAGATAGTTTCGTTGTGAAAAGACATTCAGGTAACAAACGAAAATATTGCTTTAAAACATCCGAGACATCGTACGGGCTAAATTCATCAAAATGATGGTATTCAAGATCGGTTTCCATCAGTTCATGTAGGCGTTTGATTCGATGGGATACACCGCTAAAGTAACAAGGAAACTTTCGATTATTAGATATTACATCAAGATCGAAGAGTAATTTGCAGAGGCTATGCTATTATATCGATCAATACATTGAATTATAATCTTAAAATGATTCGATTTGATGAGTTTTAGATCCTGATGAAAAACGCATCGGATGTATTCGATTTTCTTGTAAATACAAACGCAATATGCAATTAACACTCTCCAAAGCATGACGAGGAGAATAAATGATATTTATATCATCTTTCCGTCATTCGATTCTGTCTTCTAGTTTTTTTTTCATATTTAACCACAACATCATTAGAATCAAGGTTGATAAATAGATAAGAAGATCAAGTATCTTCTCTTTGCTTGTCATATTTTACTTACGGTTTCCGAAAGATTCCAACACTGTCAATCGACGTGCGCCGCAAGTATTTCATAGCAGATAGAATTGTACTTGGAACAGGATGTCCCGTGCGTTGTGTCATAGCAAGTAATGAAATACCAAAAACTAATTTTTTCGTTTCCTGATGCGTGTCCTAAACAGAGAACAACAAGAGTAAATAATAAAGAGGGATTTATTCGAATGCACTTTTCGCTGTTGATGACGACGAATGATTAATTTCGGTACTGCAATAAATACTGTAGCAAACAATCGTTGTCGAGATACGACTGTTCGAGTCGTTAATGCAGGTGCATTCGATAAGAGAATTTTAGTTGTATCGAACAGCTCTTCTAAACGTACGAGAGCCGCACGACGTAATGCTAACAGTTGGCCAACAGACATTTGTCCTAGATGATATTTAATGGAATTGAAACTCGGTCGATGAGTTTTAGTGAATGAATGCCATTTCACGCGTATTTTTCGACTAGTAGGTGAACGTACTGAAGATGGACTTGTCATATTACTATTCAACGATAATGAGGAGGCTGAAGATGACGACAAAGATGAAGCTATCGATTGATTAACAATATTATTAGTTATGGCTATAGAATCAATTTGTCGTTCGACACTACTCGTACCAAGACCAGAATCTTGTCGATCGGTGGATGAACGCTTATCATCATTCGACGATGCCGATGTTGGCGATTGATCCTCAACAATTAATGGTTCACTTAAATATCCAAGCGGCGCGGGAACATTATCATAAAATGAAAGACGCGTCCAATCATAAATATGAAAATGACGACGTGCAAATAGCGTAGCTTGATAGGATGGAGAGCGAGTTGACTGGCGATGATTATCAGATGGAATTGATAGAGGAAATTGTTCAAGTTCTTCATCACAGATAGGTGGCAGATAACGATGATGATGACGGTTGTCTTTATCCACAGTCGTCGTTACCTGGAAATGAAAGAAATCGTAAATTAATCGATTTGCTCAAAATTGAATTCATACGGGAAGATTTTCATCAATAAATAATGAATTAGTATTTGACACAATGATTGGTATAGATGATGTCGATATTGTATAGTGTTCATGTTCAAGATCAATGGGTTTTCGCTCATGAATTCTTAATTTAACTTCGTTGGTGTGCTGCTCCGAAGTATGGGATTCTGGTTCTTTTGATGAATGATTGGACGGTTCAGGATAATGATGATGATAATAATGATGATGTGATTTTAATGTAGATGGAAGAAAATGTGGTTTAGTAATTATCAACTCCATTGAACCATTACTTGAAGTGATCATCTGAAACATACAAGTATATAATTTATCTGATGAGATAAAGTCGTTTTGTTCTTTTCCCCTGAGTAAGCAATGATACAAAATTAGTTCAACAATCTTCCGTTGTCTCACAATCGTTGTAAGTACGTGCTTGCATGTCAAGCACTTCTTATTATTCTTTATGATTATTCTCATTCTCTACCCTCACATGCGCGTTTGCACGCACAGACATACGCCCGCACGTTAAACGAGGTCAATATAATATTCCATCAATCTGATGATTATAACAACGATGATCATCGAGTATTTACATTTGGAAACTACGAATCTCTTCGACAACTCGTTTATCTTCCCTTTCTCTTTCTCAACTCACTAGGTACTATATGCCATTGAGAATAATGACAATGAATAAGACACATGTAATCAAGGACAACTCTCTTCACAAGTATACGCATCGAAGCTCATGTCACTCGGATCAATTTTCTTCTTTAATACGATAAGATGAGAACGATTACTACTGAGTTATGCTAAGTCGATTGTTAGGTGTGACGTACTCGTCATATCTTTCCAAAAGAACAATACAAAAGAGTCCAACTGAAATTCTCATTGATAGGAACTACTTTAGTAACAGCCGCTTTATGTCCTTCCCTCGAACCTCTATTAGAAGTAATAGAAAAGTTGTCGACAACGACAATATAACCCGACTAATAATACATAACGAAAAAAGAAAGAAATAATGAAGCGAAGTACTTGAGGCAACTTCTCCAGCTGCTATTTAACCGGTGCCAGTCAGTTTGCGTGTCTTTCATGATTACTCGAACAGAATTATACTCACCTATATTCTTCTACTCGATGCTGTCCAAGTTGATATTTACGCGTCTGTCTATCTAACAGAAGAGAAGGAGAAAAAAGGCCTAGATTAGAATATGAACATATATGGCGTAATATACAATTATTATTTATTGATACGCACACGCACACAGAGATCGGTTCACCGATGTCGACGACAACAAAATGATCAAGAATGAGGATTATATGAATACATATGTGCATGTATACACATAGTAAGAGAAGACAGAAAGAAGAAAAAGGAACATTTGAACGATTCGATCATATAATGTTGTGCAATCAACACTATTTGAATGCTTTACTGAGTATATACACGGAGAATCAATGACGATGTGTATACATGTATGCATTTTACACATCATATGTATATATATACATATATATGTTATTTATATCAGTTACGATGTAGTATTAATGATAGTTGATTGATCGGTTTAGTCTTCTCTAAAGATGATGTGTCTTACTCACCTACGGGAGCTTCTTTTTTTCTCTTTCGTAGATAGGTATACGTTTGATATGAGAGCACAAGTGTGCGCGTGTTGAATAATAACGACGAATCAATGTGAAAAAAAGAAGAGGAGAAAAATATTGTAACGATAAGAGACAAGAAGGAAAAAAACGTGCTTGAGGTGTAATATAACGATTACAAACAGAGCAGTAGCAATTGCTGATTCATGCGAAAAGAGGGAGAAGGAGAGAGAGAGAGACAGGAAAAAATGTAGTAGAAGACAAGCGGTATGTACGACAAAATATATAAACAGATAGAATCGAAAAATAAGTAAATCATTAATAATATTCTTGTGGAAATTAACTATCTAATATATCATTTGAGTCGACAATGTCAAGAACATTTTGTTCAAAGGTTTTACTTGCGTCCTTCTGACCTCTTTAATGAATAGTGGAATTGTTGAAAAGCAACTTTGCAATAGTATAAATAATAGAGCCGATAAGTTAACTAAGATTTTATGTTCGAATAATTGTCAATTTATTGCTCGACTTAATTAATGTTTACGCACGATGTCATTTCAAAAATGATGATTGCATGACGATTGACGTCATCAGTTGAATATAAGCAGATGAATGCACAAACAAATGGTTAATTAAAAATTTCTGTTTAGCTTTTTTTTTTGCATAGCCGAGCCAAAACGAAGTTTGTGTTTTGAAACTCAAGTCTTCTACGCATTCAATTAATCTGTTCTGAATAGGACAAAAATTACTTTGTCAGTTGCCCTTAGGAGAAAATAAATGACATTTCTTTCTTATATTTGTATCTCCTACACCCGAACAGCTGGTTGTAATGATTAGATCGTTCATCACAGTGAAATAGTATCACATACAAGGCTGATCGTCCAAGCATGAGTTATGTGAAATAAAAGTATGAAGAATAATTTGTTTACGAACTAAGGTCATTCTTGCTGTTATTATTATTATTATTATTATTATTATTGCAGTCAAATTTGTTGTTCCGATCGATTTTCCTTGCCGTTATTTATCTACACTTGTTAGGATAATATTAACTAAAATAATTATCTACGAAGAGATTGTTTTCTGCTTGATGATTAAAAATTTTTCTCGAATATTGTTTCTACAGGTATGAGAATGTATTCATCGTGTATCGTAGTCAACTGCAAAAGTCAATGATCTATTATAATAATCAGCTTACTTAGTATTCGACAGTTCTTTCTACACTCGTAGACAAGATAATAAATAGATATCATGTCAGGCAAAGACGCTTATCGTAGATGTCTTATAAATCATTTTCTATTTATTAGAATGTATATATCATAACTATAAACTTCGAAGATTGACTCTTTGTCATTGACGAGAGTAATGATGTAGGAGGATGAACTTTGATCAGCAGTCTCGAGTGGAAAATTAATAAGAACAATATGCTTTCTGACAACGACAGAGAAGATGAAATTAGATAGATGAGCAGATTATTAATCTATAATTTGCTTTTTTATTTGATTTACATCGATACATGAACGACTGGCAAACAATTTTCGTTGAGGAAATGTATGTATGTTTTCTAATTGAAGTCTATGTGTCGAACCGTCATTCGACGTTTAGTGGGATTAGTCGATTGCTTCTTGGAATGTTCATTGACTAATGTTTGTAATTGCCAGTGTTTCGCCACGAGCGTGGAATTATTTCGGTCGAAAGTTTTCTTCAAGAATTTATCGAATAATTCCCGAAAATTCATATGTTCGGATAAGGTTTGAAAATGCTTGAGAAGAAAATCGTATATCCAATGAGTATTCAATGTAAATAATGATGAATGTGAACCGTAATTCATTTGAAGGATAAGAGAGAGTTTTTCTCGAAGAAGCACTTCGAGATCTTTATTTGCACTCTTTAGGATGAAATCAACTAAATATTTTTCTTCGAATTTGGTTAACAGTGGCTGACCATTGGCTAAGAGTATGGCCATTGGATTTAATTCATCACGCGCCGTCGCTTCTGGCAAGGAATCGGATGATTGTGATTCGATTGGATCAATCGGCATTTGATTTTCCAGATCTTCATTGACAATTGGCTTGATGGGTGATGGTATTTCGGGTGAAATTTGACGCACATGCATTTTTCTTGCAGTTGCCTTACCAAGACGTCCTGGCATGGTGCTTTTTTGTGTTTCTTTTCAACGTATTAAGAAGACTTATCGATCGATCAGACTGTATTGTGTTTGATTTATTTATTGCTCTTTTGAATATTGATTCGTTGTGACGCATGGAATGTCTAAGCGGCCTATTTTCATTCTCTTCTCGTCGTCCTTTTTCTGTTCTTCTATTTAAAAACAATTCAATAGATGAATACCACGTGATCGGAAATAGCTCATTTTAAAAATACGACTAAATAACGATCCGACGTGCTTGAAGGGACGTTCATGATTAATCAAACGATCAAAGACTTATCGTACAGCTGAATTTTTCAGATATTAATTGTATATGTGAATGGTTGTGACTAAAAGTAAAAATCACGTTGCTAACGTAAAAGAGAAAGTGAGGAACAAACAGTATTGAAATGCTTCGTTTTGGTGCAGACGATATTACTTGTATGTAGATAGTATATTTACGCTTCATCGAATACTTGATGACGCACTTCCCTTTTCTTTGAGTATGTTTTTCTTCCTTGATATTTTCAACTTCATTTCGTCGCTATCATTCAAAGTAGCGGTGATGTCTGAATTCGGATCCGTTGTTGCGAATGAGACACGTCAACGAAATGATCATTTTATTATACAAGCAAGGACTCAATTCCGATATTTTCTAAAAAGACTGACAGCGCGTATCACCATAAGCGAAATACACGAGGTAATTAGTAGCCGAAGTCACTTGAAACCCGAATTGAGCAGAGTTCAATTGATTGGTATAGGTCTCGGTGCCATCATTGGTAAGTATGTACAAAATGGACTACCAGGTGACTTTGCGTCCTTCTTCTGCTTAGGTTCCGGGATATTCGTGCTGAGTGGTCAAGCAGCTGCGAAGTATGCAGGTCCCGCAGTGATTCTAGCTTTTATCATAACTGGCGTCGTAGCCCTTCTTGCTGCATTGTCATTTTCTGAACTAATGGCAATTATGCCTTTGGCTGGAGGAGCATACACATACACATATGTAGGTTAGTGTCTTGAATATTTAATTGTACAGATCCAATCAATCTCAGCTTCTCGTCTTCTAGCTCTAGGAGGTATACAAATGAAACCGCTCTAGAAGCAATCCTATGTCTTTAATTCCTCTTCGTAGAATATGCTGCATGGTTCATCGGATGGAACTATGCTCTTCTCAATGAATTAAGCGCTTTGGCAGTAGTTGTCAATTGGGGCGACTATGTCGTGGATTTGATCAATACTATATCGAATTACAATGCATCCGAGTGGGCTGTTAAAGCGCCAGTAGCTTGGAATGAAACTGGGGCAGAGTTCTACGTCACTGGTGGTGCAATTAACATTCCTGCCATAGCAATCACATTAGCTCTAACAGCTCTTCTCCTTACCGGTATTCGAATAACGGCTACTGTGAACATGATATTGGTAATAATCAAAATTCTCATTCTTCTGATATTCATATTTGCAACATGCAAATATGTCAATCGCGATAATTACGATCCGTTTATTCCAGCGAACCAAGGTACACAGCGTATAAAGATATCAAATCAGATGTCTTTTTTCTTTGACAGGATCATTCAGTCAGTTTGGCGTATCGGGCGTAATGGAGGCGTGTCATATAGTGTTTTTTGCTTACGTGGGCTTCGAGATAGTTGCCACAGTTGCTGAAGAATCGGAGAGACGTGTATTAGCCCTACCAGTGGCAACGATGGGATCACTGCTAATTTCAGCATTGATCTACATTGGAATATGCACAGTCATGGTTGGACTTGTTCCGTATCAATTATTAAATACAAATAGCCCACTTTCCGATGCAATGTGAGATGCTCATCACCTGATCACTGTCGAAGATCATATTCATCGAATTAATTATTTTTCTTATAGAAAAGCCACTCCATATGGTGTGTGGTTATATATCCTTATGGATTTAGGTGGTATTGCTGCTCTCACCACTGTAGCGTTGTCCGTGTTTCTGTCTCAAACTCGTATCTTTTACGCAATGGCTCATGATGGTTTATTGCCAAGTTTCTTGAGTAAAACATACAGAAGGACTGCTGTACCGTGGATATCCACAATTATCTGTGGTTCGTAGCACTCAAGAAAACTTTCTCGACATGACACAAATTTCTGCCATATTTTTCAGGAGCATTCTGCGCAATTATAGCAGCCTTTTGTCCAATCGATCTAGTTGGGGAAACGTCATCAATTACTGCTCTGGTGACATATATTTTTGTACACGTCGAAGTCATTATTGTAAGTACCATCTACAGATATCAAGCTTATGTTGTGTGGCATGTTTTCTATAGTTACGTTATACCGCTCGTGACATACCACGACCATTTCCCGTGCCATTTAATGGAAAGCTCATTCCAGTCGTAGGCTCTATACTTTGCATACTACTTATGATAAACATGCAGAAAGAAACTTGGTATCGATTTCTCATATGGACAGCCATAGGTCAGTTTGTATACTTTGCTTATGGCTTTTGGCATTCGAAGAAGCGACAACAGCTAATGCCACGTCCTCCATCACGGCATAATAGTGATCTGGAACTTGTTGCAGCACTGCAAAGGGCGGCAGTCAGCAGAGATGAATCTGTGGTAGCACCTATTAGAACCATTTCCGAGTATTTAGAAACTCAGTCTGAACCGAATCTTCACGAAAATATAGTTGAAAACAATGATTCAACTCATGCTTATTGGTCAGAGTCAGAAATCAGCAACACGAATGAAAACAATATGTGTGAAGAATTTTCTGAAACTACGAATGCAGAGCATTCAGCGGAAGTTTTCACAATCACATAATGGTACGATATGACCTATCGTCAACCGGTTACTATCAATGATATACGATACTTGAAATGCTGAACAAATGCGTAACAATTCTATAGAATAATCGTGAGTAATATTCATCAATAAAACGATTAGTTAACGATACAGTTGTCATTCTCTTTATAATATTCAATAATGTATTGTGAATCGAATGAATACTAGACATTTAAGTAAACTTTTCAAGACGAAAACCACCGTCAACAGAGATGTGAATCTAAAATTTTGTTTCATTGGATAAATCATAGTACGTAATCTTTATAAAAATCGCACTAAAAAATAAAACGAAAGGAAAACATTAAGAACTACAAATGATCATCAAACTATACACTGAAGTACAACATCAGGTAAGATACATTCAGTCTAGTTCGTTTGTAAATATAAGCAGAACAGTGTTAATGATGAACTCTTTCGATATCTTTTTAAACTGCAAATCAGTGTTGGGATATTAAGGGCGGCTTTTCTTTGATTTATAAACCACGAACAATTATATACTTAAATTATTATGATGATGAGCTTTTTCCGATATTTTTATACCAAATTTGAGCACCATTCAACGAACCCAATAATCTAAAACGCGAAATTCATCACGTCTCGTATCTTTCCAAAGAAAGTTTACTCAGAAACACTCGTGATAAATGCACCAACACAGTCACATTGCGAAAAACCGAGCCATGGGAGGTAACTAATAGTCAAACATTGGTTTCAACGTGATCTCTGCGTAGAACAAAGTAAATCTATCGAAAACAAATATATTTTCTGGGAAATAATTATTGTTTACCTCGTTATTCTACATCACATTTTGCTTTAACGTCTCTATGGTGATAGTAAAAGCACTGGCCTAGTTTCTGATTATCACCTAATCGCTTCAATTCTGGTTTTTTCGCATCTTGCTCAATTTTACGTCGTGCAACCATCATTAGAATAATACAGACAACCGATGCGCTGATAATTGTTGAATGAACCAGTTTGTTGAGTACGAAAGCATAATCCCAATTGACTGATTCAGAAAGAACATTAGAATCACTTGCAACTTACTCGAACGGAAACTTTGGATTGATTGTTAAGATTCGATGGAAAACACTGTGGAAGTTGAATACGAGCATTTTCCAACTTGTTTAAGCAGTTTATTTGAAAGTACTTCAAAATATTTCGTTTCTAATGACATTAATACTTGTGATGTGTCCATAACAATGTCTTGCCAAATGTTTAAATACGTTGTTAATAAATATTGCGGTTTTTCTGATTGGTTTCCTATGAAAAATGATTACCATCAGCAAATAAATGTAAAGATTCGATTTTACCAATGCGGAACCTAACGATGAATTATCACTTATATTAGATAATTCTGATTCAAGATCAGTATCATAATCCGCAGGAAACGCCGTCGTTCATCTGTTGTTTCTTTGATTGTGTATAACGCAAGTGTCAATTTATAACATCGATCTGATATTACCGTTTAAAAGAATAAATGTCTTCGATACGACATATGCTGTTGGAAACTCCGCTAAGATTGTTCTTGTTAATTCTGCCAACGTCGTTGCTTGCAGTTTGATACTATTCGATGAGTTAATGAACAATTTGGTGGTAAATATTATATTAGATATTCTTGAACAGTTACTTGTGTTTTAACTTCTTTATGGAATTCTGCTAACGCTGATTCGTTCAATGGCACTGAAGACAACATCATTAAAAGACAATTCGGCTTGTCAATGGTGTAATTGAAATACTAGCAGCTGGAATGCTGTCTAAAGATAAACATGTGGGGATATACTCGATAAAGCTTGGTCCAGATTTTTTCGGGTTAAACTTTTGTGAGAGTGATGTGAGTCACTTGTCCGGCAATATTTTGATATCTACTGGCGAGTATTTGCAAAAAGGGGTTTGTTGCCGTTGCATTCGATGTGCTTTGAAGGACACTGATGAAATCTGCAATTCCTTGGGTATTAGGTGTGCCGAAAGCAGATGACATATTTACTTCGGTAACAAAATCTAATGTCATTCTCATGAGTTTTTTACTGGATAACATCGTACGATAAAGGATGAAAAATCTGCCTGATTCCTCCTGTTAAACCAAATCATGCGAGAAGAAGTCATGTTTTTCTTTCGTAAACCTTTACGTATACGTCATAGTCCTACTTTCTGTGTTTACTAATCTAGTGGAGCAGAAACAATTCATGACTCTATTCGTTCGCATTGTATTCACTTCCTCTTACATTCTGCAGCACTCAAGTGCCTAAAAAAGTACAGAGCGCGTATTGCAGTTGCACACACATTCGAAAAATTAATTTGGTACAAGCATGCGCATATTTCCAACGAAATAAAATATTATCATGGCAGAGATAACTTCAATGATTCAAGGCAAATATCACGTGTGCCATAGAATAGTGAGTTCGTGTAAATCTGCTGGTGAACAACTTCTGGCACGTAAGCCGATGAGTGATATACAAATTGAAATCGAAACAGAAAATGATATGCGACGAACATTAGGATGGGTCCAGCTGACTGGTATAGGTCTCGGTTGTGTTATTGGTGAGCGATTTCGATACGAGTGATTTGATTGATACCAACATATCTTCTTGATAGGAATTGGAATTTTTACATTCAGTGGACAAGCCGCTGCCCGTTATGCAGGTCCAGCGGTGATCATTTCTTTTCTTCTCGCTGGTATTGTTGCCCTCCTTGCAGCTTTATCCTTCTCGGAAATGGCAGCGATGATGTCAAGTTCAGGTTCAGCATACACATATGCATATGCTGGTTAGTGACTTACTCGACATTGACTCTTTGCCTTCTTTGAACACTGTTCTTTTCTATTTGTAGCACTAGGAGGTATTCCATACATACATACATAGAACTGTGCTGCAAGTAATTGTTATCCGTCATGTTCTCTATGTTGTAGAATATTGGGCATGGATTGTGGCTTGTAATTTAGCAATAATGTATGAACTAGCCGCATCTACAGTTGTGATGGGCTGGAGTAAATATGTCGTTCATCTCGTCAACATCGCATTCAATCGCAATGTTTCGAGTGTAGTGTTTGATTCGACGTTGATGTGGACAAGTGGAACAGTTATAACTCTTACTGGTGCTGCACTCGATCTACCCGCTATTGCAATCACCGTTGTCATTACAATCATTCTCATTGTTGGAATTCGTCAAACAGCTACAATTAATTTAATTCTAGTGTTTATAAAAGTCATAATTTTATTGATATTCGTGTTCGTGTGCTGTAGATATATCAATGTCGAACATTATCAACCATTCTTTCCCGAAAATCAAGGTAAAGATTAATTAACTTGTAATATCTCTCTGGACTAAAGAACAAATATCTTCGAATGCAGGATCATTTGATTCGTTTGGAGTAAGTGGAGTATTGAAAGGAGCAACGTTCGTTTTTCTGGCGTACGTTGGATTTGAGTCGATCGGATCTATTGCTCAAGAAGCAAAAAAACCAACACGAACATTACCCGTCTCAATTATTGGTTGTACTGTTTTTTCAATGACAATTTATGTCATTGTCAGTAGCGTCATGGTTGGCCTAGTTCCTTACTCACTACTAGATTCGCAAAGTCCTCTATCGGTAGCAATGTAGGTTATTGGAAATTTACGTTTCGAAAGATCATATTTTTGTATAGCAACACCACACCTTATGGGCTGTGGTTATCGATCATTATGGATATAGGTGCTATCGTAAGCCTTGCTACAGTAGCGTTGACAATGCTGCTTGCGCAAACTCGGATTTTCTATGCTATGGCTCATGATCGTTTGTTACCACCAATTTTTGCTCGTATATACTCCAATACGAAGACACCATGGATCTCAATATTGATCAGCGGTATTTACTAGCATTTTTTTTGGCAAAAGTCGCTCATTTTCTTATCTTTAGGTACAATTTGTGCTCTCATATCTGGTGTATGTCCAATTGATATACTCGGTGAAACTACATCGATTAGTGCTCTCATCGTTTACTTCTTCGTACATATCAGTGTTATTGTCGTGAGTTTATACATATTCAGATTAACGTTCTCTTGTCCAATGTTGTTGTAGATGCGTTACACCCATAAGAATATGCCGCGCAGTTTTCGAGTTCCGTTCGGTGCATGGCCAATACCGACGATCGGTGCTGCGTTATGTGTCGCATTTTTAATCAATACAAGCAAGGGTGCTGCCATTCGACTTGCCATTTCAATCGGTATTGGTAATATAATTTATTTTTCGTACGCTTTCTGGCATTCCGACAGACGAAAGATACTCAAACGCGATGTATCAACAACAAGCATGAGTGAATTCATCTCCACAATCGAAATACATAGTGGTAGTTTTACGAATATCGATGCTGAAGGAAGTTCCGTCGATGAAACTGCAGTGTAATAACAGTTGTTATCGATTTATTTCTGAGCGGCATAAAAAATGATTCTCGTTTCTCAATAAATACATAGGCGATTCAATCGCGCTGCTTTATGTTCGAAGATTTTGTTCTCGTTCTCGTTCCTTTTCATTAACTATACAGAAATGAGCGTTGTCAGAAGACGCAATAATCAAAATGGCAGTCGAGATAAATGATACTATTTCAAATTCCAATTAATACAGTATTGGGAAAAGCATTTATAAAAGATAAAGAATGCTCTTCAACTAGAACTGTTTGGATCATAATTTTCTCTGACTATCTTTTCTCAAGAAATCTTCCAGTAGTATACTGAAAATACAATTGACAAGAACTTGAGAATCTATCTTCTCAAATAAAGAACTCGCTTTCTAATGAAAGACATATCAAATCCATAACTACCGTTAAAATTGAACTCAATAATACATTCAAAACTGAAAATAGGAATTCCAAGGTTGACCAGCGAAGGATGGTGTTACTTGGATTACATACATCATACTTTTGTATATGGCCATTTTGTTTTTTATTAAGAATCTAGGCATATCATTTGCCTTGTTTTAGTGTTCATAGCTCGAGATTAAAAATTCTATAATGCTCTGGTGAATAAGAATGCCTGTCACTGCCTGCATGCTATGAGTGTAATTGCTGATTGAAACTGTTTCGTTTTCATGTTCCAAGATCGGATTAATTATCCGTCAAATTGAAAGTTTTTTGTCGACTACTTCGGAAGTGGGCAACCTAATGCTACACTATCCGAGTATTGTACTAGAGGAGTTCGTTGAAAAACAAGTGAAACTCTTAACATTAATCTTTCGAATCTTTTGCGGTATAGCAGTGTTGTTAACTAGTACCCAACTATGTATGTATGGGATTTGAAATCCTGGTTTCAGATATTCGCGAACCTACTGTAACGATAAACTCGTTGAATAGCTAATCGCTTCTAACGATGTAGATGCCTATAAAGGTTACTCACATATTCAGAATGTCTTTCCTTTGTACTATCACAAAAGTATATTGGGAAGAGTCTTTGACGGATAAGTGATTCATCACTCTTGCTCTGGTAAAAATGCTTTTATGTGATAAGAGAATACTAATTCTAGAAGAATCAATACAATAGAATCGCGGGAAACTGACACCAAATTAGTGTTTCTCACTACCGATTAGCTTTGAGGGTAAGTTTTATGGAGAATTATCTATTTTACTCTGAACTTTCTGTATAACCAATCAGAGAGACGCGCACAGACAGTTTACGTTTAGTAGATCTTTCTCTACGAGAAAACGGTCCATTATTCGAGCTGTCAACTGTGGCAAAATAGATTTGAAAATAAATAGCAAATTTGCGGCTAAATGAAGCGCTACATAGGAATTGTATTACCTATGCGATATACAGCTGTATTGATGTTAACGATTTTGGCCATTTAAGCGATAAAGTCTTGATATCTTGCAATCTGTCGATGCACATTCAGCACATTTGATTTGTTGGAAAGTGAACAAAAGAAGTTGCTCTCAAACTTTTATTCTCGATTTACTTTTATCGACAGAAAAAGACAGAATAAAAAACTATTCTTGATTAACAAAAACACGTCAGTGGTACAGTCATGTTATTTTATACTTCAGGACTTTGCGCTCGTTTATGTTTCTTTTCATCAGATATAGAGAAAAAGTGTACTAATAGTAAAGAGTAACAAGCCAGAAGGTCTGAAATGCAGTTAGTATATTGCAATCTGGTGGCTACCGCATGATAATGCTCATTTGCTGCTTTACTTGCGTAGACAAATTCAAAGTTTTCACAAACAACACTTATTGTTGTTAGAATAATTAAATGCCAAAACGACAATCGAGATAAACGAGAATATTTTAAATCGTTATTCATATAGGATTCCGAAAAAACTTCATAAAGGATGAAAAATGCTATGAAATTAGTACTGCTCACATCGTATGACTAATATATTGGTATCATAATAAAGTTTTGAAGGTAATAGAACAAAATTAACACAGTTGAAAGCAGTTCAGCATAGTTAAGTTGTTCGTTACTCTTTGAATCGTAAGATGAGGTTGCATGTTTTGTGCCACAATATAACTACGACTTATTCATGAATTGATCTAGTCTAAATAGACACATTTAATATATCGCTTATATGTATTGTTTGTTTTCTTAAAGAGATTTATCTAAAAACTAACCTGTTGTGCTACTTGGTCGTTCAATGGAGTGCTTTTGTACTGGTTTCAAAGGTCATTGCAAGTCAACATCATTGTTATACAGAAAAGTTGAAAATTTCAACCATGTTTCTTCCAATATTCTTCAAATCGTCATTTTACTTAGCAGAGCTACTAAAGCTACTTCCGTTGAGTTTTATTCAATTTATCAACTAATGATAGTATTTATAGACAGACTTTTATTTACAAGATAAGGCGGTCTGAATACGCAATGTGGATATCAAATGAAAATGTAAGAAAACATGTAAAGAATTACAATATTTAAATAAGCTTGTTATTTATTTCGGGATCTTTTACGATATTCTTTCAGTTGTTGTTTAAACCATGCTTCTGCCTTGCTCGTTATTCCACGAGGAATATCTTTTGCATCGATATGTGCTACGTTCATGGTATCTTTTTCTTCTTTGATAATGTCTTCAACCAGCCACCGTAGAAAGGTACTGAAATCTTTCGTGTCGATCGTGAATTGAAGTTCTTCAAGAACAGCTTTAAACGCTTGCTGCATTCGATTTTTAGTACAAGCGTATTCAATGAATTCTTCTATACTACGGAATTTAGGAGGAGAAATCGATACTAATGATGGACTATTGATCACAGAATATTCTCGGCCTTTCACTTTGAATATTAAGTCGCCATGCGTCTGATCCCATTCGATCCATACAATCCCTTCGCCACATCCCTTCTGGTTAAAATAATTTCCAACAGGACACTGTTTCTCAATTTCATTAGTGATTTCGATTAACTTTTCTTGTGATAGTTCAGGAGCATTGAAATCAATATTGATTGAATACGTAGGAAAATCAAAAATATTGTAAACTGATTGCTCGTGCCATTTAATACTATTCCAATCGTGTGGAGGAAGCCAGAAGCCATGCCGTCTATGCTTGTACTTATCTTCACTATTCATTGATGATCTATTTGATATACTGGAGTGATCAATGATCTTTACTTTGAAGATAACGAACATTTTCCGTAATTGTCGAATAGCTATATTAGCTTCTCCTTGAATATTATTCCCACACCATTCACCATAGACAATAACGGTATTTCCTTGTTCATAATGCTTTCGAATGACTGGATGATGAGATAGTATATGTTCAGTAAGAAACGTTTCTCCGATTGGCCTCATATGTTCAGCAAAACCGAAATGATCATTACTTAGTGTAAGAATACGATTGCGCGATTGATACCAGTGACCGATATCTCGTTGATAGCCTACGGCTGCATTACATCCGTGCAATTTGATTGTTCCGATGAATTGAAGAGTAGGCATTTCTTTCCGACCATCGTCGGTCGTATAGCGCATATATCGAGTGACATAACTGACCACTTCTCGATATTGCAACGTCTCAGGGTAAGGTATCAGTTTAGCCATTCAAATATGCGTTTCACGTTATGTTTCAATACAGATGATAGCGTGATTTATTTTATATCGTTTGACAGAAGAATTATGCAATTACAAAGCATATAGAATTTATTGACAGTAGCTGTTATAAATGTAGAAATGACTCATCCATCGGTATGACACACATCTGTTGCAAGACGAAACTTTTGTATGAAATCAAAGTATTCACATAAGAAAGAAAGAGAGAATTTTATTGAGATAATCACAAAACAATATTTGTACAGATATTTAAAAAATAAGGAGATACGTGAATATTCTACTGAGCGAACATCGTTCACAGATCATATTTTACCTTGTTGTGTTTTTTTTCTGATTGCTACACTTATCTCACTTATTAAAATTCGACATTATACAGATGAAAACATAAAAACGCGTTGTAAATCAGTGTCTTTAACAAACAAAAAAAGAAAAAGCAAAAACAAATGAGAGAAAAAGCAGACCAACGAAAGACAAAAAGCACACTGTTTTGAGAAAGAACTGTTTGTGTATTCGTTCGTTTTTATTTTGTTCTATAAAATATAAAAGTGCATCATTCCATGGAATGGAATATCACCGGTGAGTATTCTTTAAAGACGTTTGGTTTGGCTAAGATTCTGTATACGTTTTGACTGCTGATTATTGGGAGCTTTAATTGATCCACGAGTATTTGTAGTCGAATCAGGTGTACGTTGAGTTACAGCACTTTTATCATAGCCAAGAGGCGATTCACGTTTAAGACGATCTGGTTGAAATACTGATGGGAGGATAGTTTCTACGTGGGAGTTCTTTGTACGTTCTTCGTGATTAGTTAGTTTTATCACTCGATTTGATGACACCCCATTGACATACACAGATGATTCAGGACGACTTCGGCTCATTTCAAGACTGTTAGTCTAAAAATAATCAAACACATCCATCTCGGTCAGTTCAAGGAAGGTTAAACTGCACGTACTTGTGCTAACTGATTGGTTTTCTTTTGTGTTTGTTGAACATAATTGATATTTGATGAAAATTGCCCGTTTTCTATTGGCAAAAGATCGTCATTGTCGTCCATATCACAGTTCTTTTGCACACGCTTTGTTCCTGGATTCGTTTTATTTGTGGAACTAACTGGTGTCAATGGCAAATGTCGTACTGAATTCTCCACTGTGTTGCGATTAGTATTGTTCACTGATGAATGATACCGTTGATAGGCTGACGGCTGTTGATGAGACGTTGAAGAAGATGACGATGAATAAGAATAGATTTCTTTATTTCGATCTGAATGAATATCTTTCGCTTTGTTTATGTCATTCTCATGCGCAGAAGATCTTTCATTCGACTGCTTGGACACTTTTTCAGGCCGGTATTCGTTCAAACATGTATCGATATAATTTTTTATCATATTATCACTCGTTTTTGGACGTTTCGGCTGAAAATTCGTTACAATAATTGTTAAGTAGTTTGTTCGACGATCGAGTAGCGGTGACGATGCTCGACGAATGTGATCATTTTCTGCGATCGCTGATGTGTCCGATGTGTCAGTGTTTGTGTGCTGTCGGTGTTGTTTTAACGAAGCTCGTTTGCTGGACGAAAACGGGTCGATAAATGTTCGACGAATGATTTTCGAAAACGAATTAAACGATGGTCGGGAAGCTTTTTTATTGATCACAGGGGTTGTTGTTGAATTGGTTTCATTGGTTGATATGGAGACATCTGGATTGCTAACTATTGACGGTGATTGATGATTCTCAATTGTAGCCGTAGACAATTCATCGGTAGTATTCGCAGGTTCATTGGATGGAGACACTAAAGCGCTAAGAAGACACATTTCTTTCGACAGGTTCAAATATTTCTCCAATGTTTCCATTCGACTTCCGCCATAATGAGTGTAAAGATGAATCGTGTCATCGGAAAGTTCTTCATTGACTGGCCACGCAAAATCAGGACCAGGATCAACAAAATAATGAATTGGGAGAAGATCGATTGCATCAATATCGATTAACGGAATTCTATAAGTCTCTGATAAACATCAACAATAATGCATCATATCTTGTCAACGAAACATCGAATAATTACCTTTTCCTGTTGGTTTATTATTTTGTTCCATAGGTACAAGAGCTGAAAAATGCGCCGCATCAAACGCTAGAAAAACCTAAAGGACATTGTACATATGTAAAACATCGGGAGAAGAATGTTAGGGTTTTCTCACTGGTTGCTTATGACATTTTTCAGGTGGAATTTCTAAATAAAAAAAAACAAAAGCATATCATCATTGAGTATTATTTTCAACTACCTAATGGTAGATAAATTCCTCCGAATTCAATAGGAGAAATTGCTTCACCATCATTTGTTCGCAAAATTGTATCTGAGTAAACAACAATGGGTCGACGAATATTATTAGCTAGGACGTAAACGTGAAATTCTTCTAAACTTTCGTAATACTGCCGAGTTGATTGTGATGAGGATTTTGTTGAACCGCCCGTATTAGTCACAGGTACTGTTTTACAACGATTTGTTCTGAATAAACGCAAATTCAAATGAGTATCAAAATAGTTTTTGTGAATCACATACTCATCAGCAGAAGAATTCACAGACGAGGAAGAATTTTCTTTTGTACTGGTTTGCGAGACGCGTGGTTCCGCAGACGACAATCTCAACAGTCCTTTCCATTCTTCATTCCATTCTTGTTCAGAAAAAACAAGACCATACTGGAGCAAAAATAGAAGTTTTTTTTGTTGGTTCCTTTGGTAATTATAATGACTTTTCTTACTTTTTTATTTTGTACATATTGAGTCCAACGCCAACGTCGATAAAGGGAATTATTTGGTTTTGATGTTATCATTGTTTCATTTAATGCTTTGCGCATTGATAGGGAATGATCATGAAAACCCCACATAGCTAAAGACATCAAAGGACATAACTAACAAAAAATAGATGCTCATTTTCTGTCAACCTTCGACTCTGATATAAAAGTGTGTCAATGACAAGTAACATCTTTGGTGAATATCTAGTTAATTTGATTCATTCGCTCATCAGGAACTAGAGTATGTAATCAATCTAATCAACAGGCATTGTTCTTTAGCTTCGATATACATTTGAAAACAATGCTATTGGAATGTCAAGCATCTCGTGCGAACTGCACATTTTGCTATTCGTGAAATTTTTAGATGAATACCTCACGAACCTTACTGCTCCTGTGAGCGTATCAAGAGCAGACTTTTAATTTACATACCTAACGATGTCGCATGCAGTAGGCAATTACCATCGCCGCTTGTGAGCAGAGGATATAATTTTGGGCACGGTAGTTTTTTGTTGACCCACCAATTCAGACGTTCTAGAAAAGCGATTGAAAAATGTCTCAAAAAGAAAGAAATCGTTGGTGATTCGTACTTGATTCTTCTAATGTTGTCATTGTTGGTGTGTCAACAAGACTGTCCATCACTCGTGTACGAATTTCATCTGGCAGCTCGTAGAGATTTGGTAGTAGAAATGATGCATCAGCATCTGTATGATCGATTGTCACAATTTCATCGTTCACTGATATACGACGAAAATTTCTCGCTAGTGCATTCCGTTGATTGCTCACAAGCGTCTGATTAGCAGAGACTGTTGATAAGGCTCGATGAATGATTGGATAGTTTGATGAATCTGCATCTTCGAAAAGCAAAAGACAGTGTATCGTAAAAAAGATGGATAGTGAGCTTACTTGTTCGTCGAAGTTTAATATCGGACGAGGAATGATTTAGTTGAGCATCAGTATCATCATCAAAAGCATCCTCATTGATGTTGTCATCATCGTAACGTGGAGATGAATTTGACATTCTCTGGTTGATCGTTCTTTTACATTATTTCAATAGACCACATTGACGACGGGTACAGGTTTTATCGAATGAGCATTGTTTCATCCAGATAAAAATAGAAAATGAGTATCTTCAAAAATTAATATAACTAATGCGATGTTTTGTTCTGATTACGCGACAGAGTTATATTTTGTTATTTGTTTTTATCTTTATCCTTTTTCACTATCCCTAATTGGTGTTTTCGAATCGAATAGTCACGAATCTTATCTTAAAAAATTCGAAAAGGATTTGTTTTGAACTTTTTCAATTAAAGACGAAATAGAAAATAAAATTTGAATGCTAAACGAATCGACTCGATAGATGTCACTTTATAACAATACACTTGCAAGAATAGTTTCTATCTTCTATACACCAAATGCGCATTCAGTGTAACTATATACATTATAGTGATAAAATTGTTTGATATATTTCATATCGGCAGTTCATTTGGTACATTTCTTGCAAGCACGTTTTCTTTGCATCAAATATCAAATAAATATAATTACATATTTCTCGATTTTTATAATCTGTTCAGACAAAGTGTGAACGAAGCAAACGTGTATGGTACCATGACTCGTACCTTTTCCTCTCATAATGTAAATATGTAACTGTAACTCTACCAATACAATGTTAGTAAAACGGTTCGTTACATAAATAGTTAAACAAAATGGATAAGTATTTCAGTAGTGAGTACTTTTCTCTAATCAATTGTCAGCCGTTTTTGTCGATCGATTCATTGATTGTTTTGTTTTCACGAATTCGAAAAATCTTATTAGGCACAGAAGTGGTTTGATAGCTCTACATTGTGATACTGCCGCAGACTGTAGTTGGAACTGGGGCAAACTTCATGTTCTCTATGATGAACGTGATTATGTTCAATTAAGAATAGAAGTCAAATCTTGTAACTTCAATCAAACTATGTTGTCCTTATTGTGCGACAAAACTATTTCTATGATTCGTTCTCACTATTCATTCTTTCACAACTATCTAATTGGTTTTCTCGAAGCGAATAATCGCGGATCAAAGTTGGAAATTTCTCAAATCATATATCTAAGAATTATTTCGAAAAATATAAAGTAGAAAGCGATTTGAAACAGCGAAAGAAAAGTCTCCAATAGATGTCGCTTAAAAAGATCGACTTGCATACAATCATTGGTTGCTGCTTTTATCATAGGATTTCGTTCAGAGGTATATCTGTGCTCTACTGAACTTTTTCTTTTCTCTCGTACGTGCTCATATGATTATTTATCAGCAACTATTGGCTTGAAAAAGCCAGCTGCTTGACCTTCTCTTTTTCGTTCTCCTACTTAGAACACATCTGTGCATTCTCGTTATTTTTAATCTTTTGTAGTCCTTCTTTTTTTTTCTTTCTCTATTTGCCCAACATCGTAAAACTCGAATATACATTTTCGTCTTTATCTTTCTTCGAATGAAAATATTCGCCACCGAAACTCACATGTATTTTGTTGTTCTCTTGTTTTGATCACCTGAGAAAAACAAATTATCGACTCAACAAAACTGCAACCAAGTGAAATGCACTTGTGAATTGCATCATATTTGTACGGTAGACGAGTATTGCTCAATTCTATATCACCATGCAAATATTTTCATTGCATATAAAAAGAATCTGACTGCTATGATTTTTTTCAGAATATAGCTCAAAAATACACGAAAAATGACTGAATAAAACGACGTATGGTTGTCTCAGTTTTCAATTGGTTTAAACGACACTTAAACCGTCTTGATACGCACGTTAATATCACCTGATTACAAATGATGATCGATCAATTATCCAAAACCAGCTATTCTACCGATCTTTTCGGAGAACAAGTAAGAAAGAAAAGCAACACAAATCTCTGCATTGAAAACATTCTTTGTATTCTAGACTCCAAAGAAGATCGCTCAAGAAACAATCATGTTTACCAATGAACTTTTTCAACGTGTTATAACCGCTGTTCTTTGCTCGTTCAATCCAACAACAACAAATCATGATAAACAATACGCATTGAAATTTCTCGAAGACCTCAAAGAAAATCATCCATTGATATGTCTCACTATTGGCTTTGAATTGCTCAAACAACAGAATCATAATGATTCACTGTTACATCATTACGGTATACATTTGATTGAGTCGATAGTAAAACATAAATGGAATCTGTTGAAAGTCGATGAGAAAAACTTAGTGAAAGAACAATTGTTTATTTTAATCAAAAGTTCATGTTTAAATCAAACATTTATGGATCCGATCTACATCCGCAATTCATTAGCACGATGTTTAGTGGAAATGATCAAACGTGATTGTTTTGAAAAAGTGAACACTACTCTAGAAGAAATCGTTCTTATGACGACAAGTTTCGGTCAAATCGAAGAGAATAATTCGACTCAATTAGAATTGATTTTACTCGTCTATCGATTTTTAAATGAAGAATTAACAATCTACTCTCAGTCGATTCAAATTCATCGTCGTCGACAAATCTTGAGTCAATTGCAAAAGCGTTTAAACGACATTTTACCATGTTTAATCCGTATATCTAACGATTTATATGTTCAAACCGAGCAACGCGAACGTCTAACACAAACATGTTTATTAGCTGTGAATAGTTTTCTACTTTGGGTAGAATACAATCATTTTGAACAGTATGAGAACTTCCTTTGTGAATTATTTTTAAAATTTTTTCAACTCGATTCGGTTAAACTACGACATGCTTCATTTGAATGTTTGCTCAGTCTTGTTAACAAACGTTTAGCGAAAAGGCAATTGCAGCAACAGCAGCAACAACGAAATAAACGCATTGCTTCGTCACCATCAGCAGCATTGAACTGTCAACAGGAAAAACTCTTTCTGAACTATTTATTGGGTGATACAACTTTAGAAATGTTCTATCGGCTATTGTTAAGCCCAACGGTAAGATACTTCTTTAATTCAGCCATTGCATCTCTGTCGCTCTTCGAATATTTCAGGATTCAATTGAACAACTGCGCACAATAGTAACCAACGATCATTTGAATTGCTTGAAAATGCTTGGTCAACTACTTGTTAAACTTGCTAATTATTTATTACAATTATTTCATCAATTGGCAACTCAAGTCATCCAGGACGATCAATTTGTAATATTCGCCAATGAACGAACACGTTCGTTTTTACAGTTTCTTCTCCTACTCAACCAGCATCCATTTCATCTGCTATCATTAAATTCTTATCAAGCATTAAATGCATTTATCACTCGTCAACCCACATTGTTATCCAACGAACAGTTCTGTTTGAAATTAGTCGAAAATCTCAAACAATCGCTGCATCGTGTGCACTTTTCTTCATCAGCTGTGCTTTCCGATACTGATAACGAGATCTTGAAGAAACAATATGCACACAACCAGCAATGCTTTGTCTATACACTGTTCGAATATGATAGTGAGGAACAATTCTTCTGGAAATTCTTCTCACAGTATCGAACCGAATTACAAAAACTAATCAAATCCTTCATTGGAATGTTCTTTCCGGAAACAACAGCAGGTAAAATTCGCTTCTGTCGAATTTAATTTCGTGCTCTACGGATTTTCTGTTTAGAATGTCCAGCCGTTGTTGTTGAAACAAATACATCTTGTTTAAAATCCATCCTCCAGAGTCTACTCGCTTGCCTTGAATCTCTCGTTCAACGTACACCGAATAAAACTGACAATCAAATATCAAATTCTTTATCATCTATTTATTTAATCATAGAATGGGAAGCATTCTATTTATTATTCGATCATGTTTTATTCATTGTACGGAAAGAACTGTTCTCCTCGTCAACATCTACGATTAAATCTCAACAGAAGATGGAGGAACTTCTTATGACATCAACAATGACTGAGCAGTTCCTTCGAACATTAAGATTTCTATTGCAATTTACACCCAATTTGAGTGAACATATACATGGACATGTATTGAACTTACTCTCTGTGATGTTTTTCGTAACACAGCATGATCCAACGTTAGCGATACAAATTATTCAACGTTTGCTAACGACATTTCAACATTATCAACAACAATCGATCGCCGGCATCGATGGCAATGAATGCGAAATCATGCAAACTCAATCCGCGAATGCTTTCCTATACTTATGTAAAAACTTCACGATTAAAATGCTCGATTATTATTCTGAATTGTTCCCATTTGTTGTTCAACTCTACAAAGACGAATTTCAAGTCACCAAAAGTTCGTTGTCAATCACGATTGACGAGTCCTCATGTCCAGCATTGAAACTGCTTGACGCAGCTCAAACCCTACTCTACCATAAACTAATCCACGATAATGACCAAGTCCAACTCGAAGCATTCTACGAACTTGTCAAACCCATCTATGAAACATTAGTTACATCGTTATCAGTGGACTCCTTAACACCATTTATCCAATATCTAGACTTATGTACAAATGGAGCCACTGATATGAATGTGATTCGATATCGACGACGAAATCTAATGCTTGCTTTACATTGCTTATGTTTGTTGATCCGTTATTCAAAACAACAGCAACAAAAATTGAATGTAATGTTACGTTCAAAAATAGCTGTTTGCCTTCGGCCTATCTTGTTCGATCATATACTCAAAGTGACACAATTCTGCAACCAATTGTATGATCGACAAATGAATCCGTTGTATGAAACATTGAAAAATTACTTGACGTATAGTGAAACGGAAAAACAACTGTATCTTGGAACGTACGAAAGCAACAATATGGCAAAAGCAACGATTACATCAACGTAAGTTGAACAATCTTCTGCTTCCAGAGAGATAATTTTGTATTTGTTTTATTTTAGAGCGATCCCGTCGAGTCTCCCGGTTAGTTTCGTTCGTTTTCAATCAAACTTAAGTAGTACAGTTATTGATGACCAACGTCTTCGTGACTATCTTCACCGTTTGTTTGATATATGTTATCAAATCAATGGAATGTTCTTTGCGCACGATCCCGAATTATACTATCTGAAAATGGTAGATGACACTTATTTCCTCACCACGTTCCTGCAAAAAGTTCTCTTTGAAAACTTAAACACTCTTCCATCATTTCGTCTTCGCATTGTTCTACGACATTTCTGCCGTTCATTTGTCGAACACTACTGTTCAATGGAGACAGTAGACAAAGAAAAAATCAATGAATTATTTCTGACGTTTTTGGATATCTTCTTCGCTTATATGCAGCAACGTCTAACAACAATGTGGAATAATCTATTAACAACCACAACATTCGTTAATTATCAACAAGGCGAATGTTCCGATGAAGTTATTGAAGAATGTGTTTGCGTGTTATTGACACGTGATTTCGTTGATATCATTCGATACTTCATTTACAAACCGACATTACTTACTCAAGCGAATTCCATCGGATGTGGAATTAACAAGAAGAAATCGAAAGCAATCAATGGCCACAATCACAGTGAAAGCATGTGTGAAGAAACAAATGGTATTAATGGAGAAACAGATCCTCTCGATGAATGGGATGAACAAACCACACATAACAGTATTTGTAATAAATTATTAAATGGCAACCAAGAGAAAATGGATTATAGTGACTTATTTAACTATATGATAAAATTAGCGAGACAAAGTAGGTTTCGAAATTGATGATTATGATTGAAATGTGCATTACTTTTGATTTATTTAGACTCACCAGTTGCTTTACGTTTGTTCTCATATATACTCAAAAGTTTATTCGAATGTTTAACATTTCCTGATGCATATTGTGTTAATCGTTTTCTGCCAGTTATTCTTCCATTAAGCAAACTTTATATGGATATTATTGATAAACTTGTGAATTCATCTTTGTTAATTGATATTAAGTTTCTTTTTCAATGTTTATTGAAAGGACTTGAACGACACAATGAGAATGAAGGAGTGAACACCAATATGATTTCATTGATTGGTCATATTTATGAATTATGGTATCATCAGTATCAACCACAGCTTGATCTTGTTTTACATCAAACTGTTCCTCAATTGAATGTTGAATTGTTGAATACGTATAAAACACGTTTAATGTCCAATAATAATGAAAACCAAAGAAAATCTCAACAAATAACCGAACGTGAACGACGTGATACGATAAAAAACTTGCTCAATCCGATTCTTTTGTCAGCGATGTCAAGTAACAAACAAGAAGGATCTAATGGTAAAAATCCTTTCAATCAGTCGACTATCATAACAACATTTTAAAGAAATGTCCGCGCGCGAAAGAGAGAGGGGCGCATGTAACAGTTATGTGTGTTATTTTTCTTTTGTTTTGGCTTACTTTTGTTCTTTCGTTTCTTTGATCTAGTCGTCTCAGGCAGCAGCAGTTACTTCTTCGTGTCCTTTTCTTGTTTGTTTATTCAAAAGAGAGAAAATTCCATATAGTTTGTATTCTGGCTAACGAGCCAATATCATTCTTGATTTCATTTGTTTATTTTTTTCCTCCTGTTCTTTCTCTTTTGTTTTTGTTTGTTGTTATCATTTCTGTTATCATTTCTTTGTTTTTCCCTATACCGTACACGCATATATTTACATGTTAAATAAAACTTTTGAAAGGTTGCAAGTTATTCGAAAAAAAAGATCTTATCATGAAGTCATACTAGGACATAGATGATATTCGAAGAAACTTTTATTAAATTTACTTCCATACAAATGATAAATGACTATCTGCAGCATGAGTGTCTGACTTGACTGACGGGTTTTGTTTAACTGAAAAGATTAACACTCGGTATTGATCATGTTGAACTTCAGCAAAATATTCATCTTCACCAATTGAACATCCGAACATTTCGTTTCCACCAACAATAATCTCAAAACATACTCCTCTGTATCGCTTTGTAAGTTCTTTACGTAGATATTCAATGAAGTCGGCATATGTGCCCATCATGGTTGGAAAGGTTTGACTCGTTTCAAATGCTATATTAACAAGACGTTCGCACTCGTTACCAAACGTAATGGCACTGGAAGAAGTAACGATTGCACGTTGATGTGATATAGACATTGTGGCTGGAGGATTCAATGAATGTGAACCTTTCCGAGTAGTCAAGTTGGTTTTGCGCGATTGAACGGCAGCGTCGATACTTAAACTAATAAGACCAACTATAGCATGGCCTAAAACTTCGCCAACTAGTCTGTCCATGGTTGCAATAAGGTAAATTAGGCAAAATATACGATCAATAGAAGTGTTTCTTTAGCTTTGGTGTTGCTTGTCTTATATAGAATTTGATGTGTATTATCTTTTTATCATTGACATGACACTCTTTCTCTGATAGCGACGTCATCTCATCTTTAGTAAATAACATTGAGTCATTTTTAAATAGACCATACTCTTCATATCAGAAGTATTTTTTTATTGTCAGTAAATACAGATCGCATAAAAGATTTGTCGTATAACAGAAGAAATCCAATGCTTTATAACTTTTATTTCCATTTGAAAGTCATCTGACTGTTGGCATCGTGTGTGTCCGATTTTGTTTGCGGATTTTTCTTTGTTGAAAAGATAATTATGCGATATTTATCCCAAGTGCTTTCCACACAATGTTCACCACTGTCCACAGAAAAACCGAAAGCATCATTTTCGCCAATGATTATATGAAAGCATTCACGAGGATAGGTTTTGCGCAGCTCTTTTCGTATGAACTCATCAATGTCAGCACAAGTTCCCATCATTGTCGGAAATGTTTGACTAGTTGTAAAAGCTATATTGATAGCACGTTCACAGTCACGTGCAAAACTGGCTGAACTGGCAGTGATGAGAACTGCTCGCGGAGACTGATTAGCTGATGCAGCCGCTGACGATCCCTTTTCTTTATCTTTGAGGCCGTCGTGCATCTCAAGAGCTAGATTGGCTCCCTGCAGAGACCAAAGTGCAACGTTGACGATTAGATCAGCTAAACCATGTGCCATTTTGAATTTTAAAACTGTAGATGCAAACAATTGATTGAATTTATGTACTAATGTGTGATTTGTGGGTGTAAGGCGTCCACTATATATAGTTTTAAATCTGCTATCTTTTCTATCAGTGTATGACACATGTTCGCAGATAAACGGCATGGGTATCAGTTCGCGAGTTGCGTCAAAAGGAATCATGCTATGAGTAATTTTGCTGTTTCTCCAGACTTAGTATGTATTTAATAGTAAAGGATATCTCGTCTATGAGTCGGTAAGCATGACTTCATCTGATGGATCATTATAAATAAAATATTGCAGTTTTTCATATACAACCGACATGTCCCAATTCGACTTTTAACAGTGAACGAACCAATCCATCTTCATCTTTATTTTCATCACTGTAAGGATTCTATCATCGATGGAGAGTTTACAAATTTAAGTCTGAACGCTCGCCATGTGATACCTTAATACATGCTGTGCTATTTTTACCAGTGTCGCTAGATGGCACAACTTGCTTGCGTATATTTATGCGAGCAACTGAAGACTTCTATATAACACCAATGGTAGTCTAGCCCAATCTTCGTCTTGAATCGTTTAAAGTACAGAATCAGAATTTGTTGTGTTTGTCCGAAATACTTTTCGCGTTTCTGCGTCATATGTAAACAGAAAAGATTTCTTAATTTTTCTCTGTAACACCTATGATCTATCAGTTTTACTCTATGTTAATTGTCCGTTTCATAATTGGCGAAGAGAAATATGAAAACGTATAGAAAAAACAACACACATTTTTATCTCTTGGAGAGCATGAGGGAAAGCAACTGGTCATCGATAGATATGACACATAGCCTGAGATCAGCTCTGATGACTGGCGTCTTTATCAACTCTATGATACCAAGTTGTGTATTTGTTGTTTTCTATGAGATGTCTTGTAAGTCCATAAGAGAATGTCTTTCTTGATAGAGGGTTTCTTTTTACTTCAGTAAAAAATTTTATCATTCCAAAACATGATTCGTTTATTTTGGACGGGTACTTTTCATTTTAATTGTATTCTACGTTCTAGTACACGATATAAGTATAGACCACTGGCAGCTAACCATAGATATCGAAGCACGAGAAAAATCAGATTGAGGTTCCAGTTCAATTCTTTGTTTGTACATCGATCATTGATCGAATGAAGTTTGCCGATGAAACGATAGAAACGCTTTTCCAACCAGTTCAATACTTGAGTATCCATCCTATGTTTAAATTCTATATAGAACACGTTTGGACACATACGAATCTGTATATAATAGGTTTGATTCATCCATCGAGCGAATAGATCCAATCCGAGAATGATTATTCCAATACTGATGAGCACAGCTAGATAGAATACTGACATATTTGTTAATATTATAGGCGCGAAGCAATTCTATTACCTTCGTTTCAGATATGGCCATGCAAATGTGTAATAGACGTGTCACTCAGGTGACTACGAATCTAGTTCGACAAATTGCTAAACCAATCCCAATGAAAGTCGAAGATGACCATCATGATGACGATCATACTCATATCGCTGTACCAAAAACACCAACGCCCAGAACGTTTTTTTCTATGAACAAACATTTATTACGTGGAAATGCTGCGATCACCACTGGTCTTAGCTGTATGCAGAATGATAACAGAAACGAAAAGCGATGCTTTCTACTTTCTTGAATTTTAGCTGCACTTAGCGTTCGTCATGCTCACACCGATATTCAAGTACCAAGTTTTGATTATTATCGACGAAAAGCACGTTTAGATGCATCAAAATCGCATCGAGACGACGGCGATACCACATCACCCTACTCCTACTTAACCCCACTTGGTAAGTTGATGTGTTGGTTGTAGTCTGCACATACATGTACAATCGGTTTACTCTTAGGTATGGCCGTTACGTCAGCTTACATGGCTAAATACATTGTTCGAGATATTGTTTCCTACGTTGGCCCAGCCAAGGATGTTATGTCACTTGCCAAAGTAGAAATCAGTCTTGATGCCGTGCCTGAAGGAAAGAATGCTGTTTTTGAATGGCGTAACAAACCAATCTTCGTTCGTCATCGTACAGCAGAAGAAATCGCCCGGGAAGAAGGTGTCAATGTCAGTCAACTGCGTCATCCACAAAACGATTCAGAACGTGTAAAAAAATCCGAATGGCTCATTGTAATCGGTATTTGCACCCATCTTGGTACGACTGCATGCTAAAATTCGTTGATTGTCAGACAAAATTGTTTCTCTTCAGGTTGCATTCCCATTGCAAATGCAGGAGACTATGGTGGTTATTATTGTCCATGTCATGGTTCGCATTATGATGCTTCTGGACGTATACGTAAAGGACCTGCACCATTGAATCTTGAAGTTCCTCAGTATACATTTAAAGATGAACAGACCGTTATCATTGGCTAGAACTAAACTTCAACAAAATCATCAACCCGTTCCTTCTTTGTCAAGTTTTTCTTTTTGATCTCTAGTTTAATATATTACAAAGAATCATGCTGCCATTTATGATTACGTCAGACGTTTTTCTTTTCTACATTCATACGATCACTACAACAACGATGTTTTGTCACATACAGGATGTCAAATGTATGTTAATCAGGAACATTTGCAAGATCATTTTCTATGCACTTTGTCTTGCTCTTGCCGATTAGCACAAAAACAGATGATTTATTTTCAAAAGGAGAGAACGCTGACAAATAAAAGGTATTTAACCATAGTACAGAATTCCGTTCAAATTTTGTTTGAGTACAAGAACCAGACCTTCTTGATTGGCATCATATTTCCAGAGAACGTATTCATTGTTTTTCCGCGCAATCTGAACGTAATGGTTGACCGCGCGATAGAGATCGTGAAGCTTTGGATCATGCGCAGCTTCAGCTACTTCTTTCAATTTCTGTAATTTTTCATTGGTAACTAAAGTGAAATTTCCGTTCGGTAACAATGTTTCATCTGATCGTTTGGAATGTTCATCTTCATCCATCACTGGTAAACCAAATAAATAATGAACATGAGCAGCCAATATCAAGGCAGTCAACAAAATAATAAATTTCTTCAAAAAAAAAGAGATTAAGCGAATGGAACATGGCATCCGTTTCACTAGACTTACATGCATGCTTTGTGTGTTCCAAATCGGCTCTATGCAGGAATATAAACTGAAAATCTGAAAGGATTCCTGATATACAAAGTTAGTTTTCAATATATATGTAAGAATTTGACTCCGATGAGCGTATTTTTATTACATGTGTGTTTAATGAGTTGTCGTTTCTATTTTTCCTTTTGAACGACGTCATCGGTGAAACTGGATATGACAACAACGTCTTTTAGTTATTCAAATCTCATTTTCTATTAACTAGAAAAAAAAATGTACCGATGTTGTCACTAACAGACTCTCATGCTCTGATCATCGTATGAAAATCCATGTCGTTCATTTTAAATAGTTCATTCGTTCGTGAAAGGCATTTTGTTTAGAATTCAACTAATCAAAGAGTTCCGTTCGGATATTTTTGGTCCTGATAAAAATAGCCGAAAGTCGTTCAATCCACTCCTCTGGGATTGTAACTCTACTCGATCGTATATGTTTACAATATCATAATCCGTCAAGATGATTCATTCTGATGAAATTCAAAGCCGAGTTCATCTCATGAATCATGAGTTTCCTTGGTAAGAATAAGCAATGTTGTCTGCTTTTCAAGTGACTTTATTTGAAATCCATAGATAATTGCTTCCTATTCACTCAGTGCTAACATCTATGTAAGAAATTTATTTCTTCTAACAAACGAAAAAAGATGAAATACGAATACAGAAAACACGAACAGCATACTTTGATATTAGGTGTCGACTAGTTAAACAAACGTCTTGTTTGTAAGTGCTCATTTTTTAACATTTGCTATCGTTGCCCATGAGGCATTATTGTTTGAGTAACTCGTCGCATTTGCTTCAAGTTTGACGTGTGGGTCGTTGAGTGATTTGAAGTTGTTGTCTTTTTTCCATTTCATTCGACTAATGGAGGAAAACATGGAATCGATTCCAGAGCAAAAGCAAGCATTCTTACCGATTTTGAAACCAGATCTAGAGAGAAAGGAGTGACAGTCAATTGGATGATAAAAATCAAATTTGCGTGCTAATTACTTTGATTTGCCGTTCTGTTAATGTTAAACTATGTGCAATTTCAATTCGCTTTCGTCGCGTTAAATATCTACGGACATTATTGAAGAAAAGAAATCTCTCTACAATTCAAACTCCTACTTAGAACAAAGAAATTCTTTTTCTAATTCAAGCGTTTGATGACGTGTATACGTTTGTCGAGTACGTTTATGTTCGAAACTAAACTCTATAATGAGACGAAAAAAAAAGAATGAGAATGTATGCTAAGTAATCATAAACAAACAATTTCATAGAACAGATGTAAATCATTTTTATGTGTTACATTTATGTCAAAACTTCCATACGTTGTCAATAAATCATCTTTCATTTAATATACCTGGTCTCATCAGTGGATGGGAATAATAAAGCATTGGATTCGTAACTGACATGGAAAATGTTGATGTCGGAATCATCTGATTAACTGAATAGAGATTAGGACTCGATGTTGGAAAGAGATAATCATTGTTGGCTGGTTGGTGTTGATCGAATTGAATGGAGGATTGAGGATGAGATGTTGATAAACCTGCTTGCATCATATGCAGATTGGAATACGATGGATCTTTAGTGGCGAATCGATAAGTTCCCCGCGAATAGTCCGTTTCATATTGTTGATCATTAGAAAGGTTTGTTGACGGTAAATTGAAATAGGGATTCATTTTGATTTGTCAATTCAGCGAGAACAGGTAGTACGATGAAAGTTAAATAATAATATTGCCCATAAAAAATTTCACACACACATTTGGATCAATAAAAAAACTCGAAATAGCTATATTAATAACAAATATCGATGTGTTTAAATGACAATTCAAATGATTGTTGTTGTTCGTAGTGAAAGAGGAGACGACTATCTCTCTTCTCGTTTTTAGCCATTGGCAAAGCAAGAAAAGAATATTTTCTTTTATAGCCAATCAGAATCTCTCTCTTCCGCGCACGCGCATTTATGTCCTGTCATCGTTAGCTGATGAGAAGACTTGTTCGATTGTCCTAATTCGAATGGTTGGCTGACAATGATTTGTAACCAAATCAAACGAATCGATTGCGAAATTTAGTTTTTCGAAGAAAGTCGTAAAGTTGATGAACACGGAGTCTTTCAAGTTGTTCCGATTTGACACCTAATCCTGTTTGATGGAAGCATGAAGAAGAAGAGTGACTATGCGTTTGTTCCTAATGACAATTTAATGTTCACGATGGAACCGACAAATATCTTTGGCAGATCACTGAAGTGTAGAAACCTGAATGTTTGCCTCTAACAAACGAAATTTGCTTGGTATGACTGTTCAATTCATTCTATCGCTCATCGCCTGCTGTTGTTCACTTAGTTTTATTTTTGTTTTTATAGTTTTCCTCACACATATGTACAATCGATTGGTCTCCATTCAATGTACTCGTTATCGGTCATATGTAGACGATTCGACACTTTTCAACTGCTGTTGCCGTTCAATAGGCCTATTAAACTTTTCTATATATGTCCGTTTGATCAATCAGATGATAGTACTCGATTTGTCCGTCTTTTTTTCTCCACAGGGAAGTACTCTTGTCCATTATTGACAATATGTTTTTTTGATAATATACATACGATGAATGGAAGAAGAGGAGCCGAATTATCTAAGTAACTTTCCTTTCTATCTATCGGAATGGATGCTATGTGCTGATGAGATACTATTGAGATAGTTATCCGATCTTCTTGTCTTCAGACAAAGTAATCCAGATGATTTTTATGAGTAGACGTTGCAGTAGTTGTTTTCGTGGTGGCGTCTAATTAACCATCGTTCATGTGTGTATGATGACCATAAAACTAGGTGAATAAAAACATATAACCAGAGAGTGAAAAGAACTGCACAATTCAATGGGAATGTATGAGGTGTGACACACAATTCAGTCTGTCGGGATACGCATCAATTGTTGTGAGTGAAAGACAAGAAGAAAAGCTCTCGTTTAATGAGCCCTACTAGCACATTAGATGACGTTTTAACGGCAGAATAGTTGCTTCATATGTATAGCAAGTATGAATCAACCGTTCAAATGAAATCGATTGATTGGCTGACGATATATGACAGTTTGATATGTTCTTATTCACGTATTCAAAACAAGTAAGACCAATAGATTCCTTTATTATCAAAGAAGCCTATGATTTACCGTTTTGAAAAGGAAAAACGAAGCACGCGAAGACAGTTAGGATGTTGGTGTAGCAATCAAAGCAATATTTTCCAATGTAATACTTTTCGATGCGTACACTTTGAGATGAGAATTGAATCCATTCGCATTTAAATATTGAATTCGGCCCCAATCGAGTAGTCGTTTTGCTTTTACACCAATTTGTTCTTGATGTTCAACAGAGAACAGCCGTTGCTTGGAGTAGTTCGATCGATCTTCAGGTGCCAGAAGCGACGGCGTTGGTTGGAATAACGTTCCATCTAAATCAATCCTATTCTTCGAGGAGAAAGAGAGGAGTTTAGAGTCTTACCATTGGTTGAACGTTTACCATCTTGTGGCATTCGATGACGATTGTCGCATGTGCCCCATGATGTCAGTGTTCTGATCAATGAAAAGTCCTTCGGTGTTAAATTAACATGTCGAAAGAATTCTTTGCCAATATAATCATTCCACAGCAAACGATGATGACAGCATAGAGCGATGATGATTGCTTGGACACGATGAGTATTTCTTTGAGCATCGACAGCAGAACGTAAAGCAAGATCAGTAGCACCTCCGCATAAGTGCTTACTGATGATTACAATATTCGTTTGAGGATTTTCAATGGACGGTAATTCCGAAAGATAAAGATCGCGAATATCTAAACGGTAGCGTTCAAAGGATGGACCTTGATGCTCACGACGGTGATGAGCATCGTAACGGTAACGTTGATGATCACGTTCGATCAATGCGAAATGAATAGTTGAGTCGTCTTTTAGACAAGCATGCAGTTCATGAGCTAACTGACCGCGACCAGCACCCATTTCTACGAAGCATGTGTTCGATTGTAAAAGATTTAATTGGACCAATTGAGCAATGATAGATCCGATTTGTTCCAAGTGTTTCCTAGAACGATTTCCAAGTTCTTCGAGATTTTTATCCGAGAGATGACATTCCGGTTGGTTTGAATTATTCTGAAGAGGTTCTTTAACGAGATTATCATGGATTGACTCCATACGAGCAACAAAATCACGTAGTTCATCATCGGTTATATCTTGAAGTATGCTTGGATAATCATCATGATTATCACATTCGAGCCCTGAATTGCATTGCGGTCGGTGGAATGGTCCAAGGATAATCAGTCGTTTGTTGCATTTCTTCAGGTGACGTTTTAGACCATGTGGTGATATCGAATGTAATGGATTCAACGGGCATGGAACACGCAGAGATTGCTTGGTCGTCTGGAAAAGCTTTTGATGACAACAAGTTTCCTGCAGATTGGGTTTACCTCGTCTAAATCTGGATCGTAAATTATATGTTCCATGCAATGTGTAGATAGAGGTGCAGAGGGTGCCATTTTACACTGTCGTTGTTTACGTGGACATAAGTATTGACATCGATTAGGATCGAGTTCGTCTGTCATGATCTAAAAGAATAAAAATGTAGCGGTTCGTCGTTCTATTCACTTTTTCGATTCATTAAAAGAAATATATCAAATGAGAGACAGATTTCATGTGCATCGTCAGAGATATTCAGACATTGAAAGATTCTAAAAGAAGAAGAAGAAGTCAATAATGTAGTTGTACTAAACGATGTTTTAATACGAACTCTGCTTGGAGATCATCCAAAATTGTACTATTTGGATTTTCCTTCAGAAAATATTGACAGCCAGACATTGATGCCATGTAACCTAACAATCGTCGAATTGACCATTGACATTTAATAGCAAGACTATCATCTCTATGGATGAAAGAAACTATCATATATCAACTCATTCTTATCCAATACTTGTACCTTGTGAAGTTAGTCGCTGAAAGTGGAATATGGAATTTTTCATCTCGATATCGACCGAAGTATACTTCTTGACTTTCTTTTTGAACGTATCCATTCAAAGTACGATGGTAGAACTGGGAAAGAAAAGAAATCATGGAAAATGATTGTTTACACTTCATGCAGTCAATTACATTTTGTAGAATTTGATTGAGCTTTTCGGAATATTGTCCATCAATATGAATAAATGCATAACCGAACAGCGCGAGAACACCGTTTGTCTTCAGAGTTCGTTGAACTTCTTTGTAAAAATGTGGTAGATCCAGCCAATGTGCTGCTTGACCGGATATAATCAAAGTTAACGAAGAATCTCTATGCGGAATATCGCCTTCGACGATTGTTCTATAGAACAAAAAACTCCATATGATTGACTATTAACCAAATCGAATACTTGTAGGATATGTTCGAGAATGCATTGTTTTCATTGGCTTTCCAAATCTGAGATTCGCTGATATCGTATCCTAGAAGTCAAGAGAATATGGCATTGAAATCTGTTGCAGCTTTCATACCAATAATTTGTTGAAAATAAGGTTGAAGTAGAATAGTACTTTGTCCCGTTCCACAACCAATATCAATAGCTATATCATCATCATTGATAGTATGCTATAGTAGATCGATATATCGAATACGATGAGTGATTGGTTAAAAGAAAATGATATGTACTTTAGCCGATAAATAGGTGAGAATATTTTTGATTAACTCAACCGGATAGGTTGGTCGACACTGAGCGTAGCAATCACTATGCGACGGAGTTTCGTAAAATCCTTTTGACATATCTAAAGTAGAGCGATTGGTTTTTGTCAAATGCTTTGTTCGAACGTTGTCGAAATTTGAAATTATGGATGTAATGTGAAAGTCAGGGTGAATATTTTTCTCGTGCATAACAAATTTTGTATTAAAAAAAGAACAAAATTTTAACAAAACAGAAGCTTTAACATGAATTACACAACAGAATCAACTCTTATCTTCATTGTCACTATCAGCGCCATTATTTTGTACGCGTATTTGACTCTAAATAGATATTCGATGGAATTTTAGTTCGCTAATCATCCGCTTCAGTCACTCACCGATAAAACATCTGCTAATTTATTGATATCACGCTCTCGAGATATGTCAGCGATATCTTTAGGCATAGCATATTGTGTGTAACTATTTGGTCGAATACCATTTTGTGCATTGATAAATCGAAAATCTGGTTTTTCAAGGTTGCTCTACATCGAAAGAATGAATGACACATTATTGAGTATATCATATCATTTACCTGTGTTGATAGAGTTAACAATTCTGGCCATTCAAATAGCAAGCTGTCCGTCATCGGACCCCATGGATTGAAATCAATAATGTATAGTTTATTCTAAATGAATAGGTTATTTCTCTCGATGAATAACGCAAGAATTTGTACGTACCGAATCTTTACGGTATATATCAACAACAAAGTCAGCGGATGGAAATTTATCTTTGATAGTCATGTTGAAAAATTCGGTGAGACCATTGAGAATTTCATCCGCAGCTTTGTCGATATAATCGTAATAATTTTCACTATCACGTTGACAAACACCTACAGGAGACAAAATTATGTTTCTTTACTTGATCATCTCGTTGAACGTACCAATAATTTGATTATTTTTGATAAAACAACGAAATTCTTTCGATGGCTGTAACGCAGACCATTTTCTTAGTACAAGTGCATATTGAATTGTCGACAGTAAATCTTCATTCTCATCGTGACAGTATTTGAAACTACGATATTAAAAAGAATGTATCGATTCAGATTAATCGTTTGACTGGACTCACGGTTCGCAAAGATCATGAGTAATAAAATCTGAACTCTTCAAAAGTAAGAATATATCAGCTAAATTTGTGCACTTCAATCGACTATCACCAATCATCCATCGAGCATCCTATATAAGAACTTCGTTTCAATCTATAGAACTCACTATAGACTACCTTTGGACTGCTCCAGTTGAGTTTTGGAAAAACGGCATCGTACTCTTCAAGTACATCTTTGATTTGTTGTTCGAGTTCTGGAAAAGAAATCTATAACATTCTTAAAATGGTTGTATTTATGAATTGTTCTAATCAAACCTGTTTTGTTTCATCCGCACCATCGTCGGACCACTGTACGAAAGAAAATAGATATAAAACGATGTATTTTATCGATAAGAAATACTCACATCATTGTCTTTATCATCGTCATCTGACGATGTCGTTTCCGCATTCTTATTGCGCATATCATCCATCGCTTTGTTGGCACTAAATTGTATTCATAAACGAGATCGTACAAGCCATCAAATAGACACTTACCTAGTGGGAAGATAGAACTCATCCGAACGAAGATACGCTAGAACATCATCAGTTAATTTAAGGATAACACTAAATCATAGATATTCGCTGACTCCGTAGTTAGATTGAAAACGAGTATGGAATTACCTTTTGAACGAATGCTTCTTGAATAGAGGATACCAAACGGTAAAGGAGCAATTTAAGACTTCTTGTACGCTGACAAGAGGAAGATCAGCCGTCATGTTGAATATCTAAAAATTCGAGAAGTACCTCAGAATAATAAGAGTGACCATATGGGATATTGCACGGTGTGTGATATGGAATTCTCCAATATATTCTCTTTCGTTCATTCTACTGACCTAGATGCGTGTTCCATGAATCTTTTTCTATGAGTCACGTATATATGTAATAGTACAGGCATTTTCCAGTATAACCATAATGGAAATATCCATTGGCCACATACATATATAATACAGACCGCATTTTCTAGCTCGTGTATGCGTGCCTCATTTACTAACTTACACTGGCTATTCGTTATTAGCAGTAAGTCTTTTTTACACCCTCACCCGAATGACGTCTAATGCAATATAATTACTGATTGACGAAAAGTTTCATTTCATCACGATCGGCTCGATTTTGCTGCTTAGTGTTTCGTCATACAAGTCTATTGGCTGATTTTCGGCCAATCCTAGGCGATCAATGAATTGACAAACGTTTTATTCGAGCTAAAAATAAGTAATCTATCAAATTTAGCAAGGAAAATTTCGAAAATTGAATCTAAAACTTTACCTACGACAAATCTAATAGGTGCAATCATTTGCGAACAGCAAGGCGCTGAATCATCATGTACGTGTTTACCATGTATCACCTCAAAGTTAATGATACGCTAGCATTTCTATTATTCATATTTTCTTTTGCACTCATCACATTTTTTAACCAATTAGTGTGTATTTATAGCTGAAGTTTTGTTTTTCAGCATTTATAAAATTGTCTAACATGAGTTTTCAATGGACATTTCTGGCGACATTTCTCTATTGTGAATTAGTCGTTGTCGTTATTCTACTTTTACCATTCATTTCACCAGTTGTGTAAGTGTACTATTGCTCGAATTGAACTACTTCTAAGTTTCATATCACTATTCAGATGGCAAAAATTCTTCAAATCAAGGATTGCGAAAGCGTTCACAGCTGGTGCAAAGTATTACTTCAATTTTATAATATGTATATTTACGCTGCTCTTTCTTGGTAAGTTAACCTTCGAGAAAATCAAAGCAATCACTGATGTTTTCCTCTGTGCAGACTCAATTCGAGAACTTCGTAAATATTCGGGCTTCGAAGTTAAAGATTTGTCTTTACCACATGCCGAAGCTCATGCGCATATGAAACAATTTCGTTCACAAAGAAATTTCTATATTGCCGGTTTTGCACTCTTTCTCTGGTTGTAAGTTATTTCATAATTTGTGACCATTCGTGTATAAGATATTGCTGTTAGTGTCATACATCGTTTGGTTAATCTTTTATCGTCATGTGCACGTGAAATGGCTGATTCAGCTGCTGCACGCAAACAAGCCGAAGGTGCTCATCGTCATGTAGAAGGACTTATGTCCAAAGATCCCAAGGTAAAAGAAAATCAAACGCCAGATATGAATAATTCTTGTATATTAGAAAATGGATCCAAAGGAACTTGCTGCTTCATCTGATGCTTCAGGAAGATTTATTAATCCAAAGGAGCACGATGCCGAAGTCAGTCAATTAAAGAAAGGTTTGCTAACCGGCAATCGAAAATTCTGATTTTCATCGTCTTTTCACTGTACGTTTCTTAGAGCTAGAAAAAGCACACGAAGATATGGACACATTACGAGAGCAATATGACAACTCGGTCAGAGAATTCGATAAATTAAACGATGAGCATCGTAAACTACAAGTATATACATAAACATTTTTCACAAACTTATTTTTATGGACATTCTATTTTCAGATCAAATTGGCTATCACATCTGGTGGTAATGAGGCATCCAAAGACAAATAGCTTCGACAGATGATCTGAATTTTTTTTCTTTATTTTGATTTGTGCGCAACTTATTTGACTATAACTCTTTAGTACTTATAATACGTGTCACTTATATGGACTAGTTTTACTTTCTGTCCGTACATCTCAGCCCATTTTCATTCTAACTTTCCTTTTTTCGTTGATTCTTTCTCTTCACTACAAAAATACATATATGATATTCTCGAACTCTAATCGACTGAAAATAATAATGAGAAAAAAAAGACTTGTTGGTTTGTTCAGTTCTTATTTCGTAGGAAAATGTTCTAACAAAGAGATTGCCGATTAAATGTGAATCAGTATTCAAATGCCTATCGTTCTATTACCGAAAAACAGACATTATAATAGGGCAATTGAGTACTTCGTCATTCGCTGTAGAATTACTAATTGTCTGGATAAACTCGATACTTTTTGATATCAGACAATGGAATTTAATCTGGCCTAGATGGTATTTGGTTACAGTTTGAGTTGAGCAAAACGTCTTTTTTCTAAAGATTTATTGCACGATCAAATGAAGTTTATTATATGAGCAAACTCTTATTCACAATAGCAAGTTCTGTCGAACAGAAACAGCTAGTATTTAAGGATCGGTGTCTTCTCGGACATTACTGTATAAAAACGTTGTCGCTTGGGTTTTGAACAGAATAGACAAGTCATCATTATCACAACTAATAGAAACACAACACTTCCGGCAATGCCAATAATCGCCCAGACATTCCAGTTAAATGATGGGTGTGAAGGTCGTTCGTTACATCCATTCCAACAAGCACAAGGACTAGTCAATCGCATATAATATTCTCCCACAGCTGTTTCACCAACGACTTGCAGATGATGATTTGCTGATGATGTTCGATCACAAATGAGTTCCACTTTCAGAAGCCGATTGCTTGTTGTTATTGGGTAGACAATCGTTGGATTTAAACCACTAGTAGCATTCATATTTAACCAATAGACGAAACTCTGGTATCCGATAGGATAACTGATCTGATTCATTTTATCGACTAAAGAGAGAATTAGTTTTTCTTAAAGTGAATATCGAGTTGGTCAATGCTTACTTTGACATCCAGCGACATTCTTACACTGATGTTCAGAAAATGAATAACATGGATTGTAAGACCAGACATAGTCATTTGGATACAGCGAGTTGACATCTTTGAAAACTGATCCGCCATTCGTATTACCAATTGTTGATAAATCAATAGTGCCATACCGAGAATCGTGGTACTGGCATGCGCTGTAATATATGGAAGGTCTTGTCGTTGTTGGTTTAGTTGTAACTCCTACAGTCAATCGAATAAATAGATTCATAGATACTAGTCACAACTAGAGTACGGAACATACTGGACGTCAACTTTGTTGTGAAAGGTGATGAACGACCGGCACATCCATTCCAGCAAGCACAGCGCGATCGCAATTGCATTGTATAATAATTCAAACGTGTTTCACCAAGCACTTCCAAGCTATCTTCATCAGCACTTGAACAAACCATTGTGATAAGAACTGTTTTCGATCCGGAGGTATAATTTAATGTCGGTCTGTACGATGTATCCAGTGACCAGGACGACGAAGTCTGACGAGCAAGTTCAAACGAATATCTTCGATCGGGTGATACTGAAAAAGGAGAATGCCATAATACTGACAGAAAACATTGGATTAAGCGTACTTTGGCAAACTGCTACGTTTTGACAAGTTTCCTCGGAGAATGAATAACACGGATTGAACGAATATAAATATTCTAGACCTGATGCGGGCGTTATACCTTGAAAACGTGCGCGTCCGTCTCGTAAACCAAGTGACGCTAGATCAATTACACCATACAGTGGATGATTGAATCTACACGAATCATCTGCTAATATCGCAGTAAAAAGGACGACGGTTAATAGAAGAGTAAGACGTTGCATATTGCTGAATTGATGAACTGAGAGTTACAAACAAGACTAGACTCGTTTAGTTTTTATACAACAATTTTATCTTGGTATTACTCAACGTTTAGCGATAGTGACATTGCACGGTTATTTTTTTTTCTATATGATAAGAAATTTTTGTGTCCTACAATAAAACAGGTATTACTAATATTTATCACTAGAGCAAGAAGAGCCTGTTGCGTCGATTTTGACTAATCATTATCTACTGATTGTTTAAACACAACCAAACCTCGACAGAAAAAAACAAGGCCTTTTCTATTTTTGCCAAATCATATCTCTTTGAGTTGGAATACTCTCTTCTTACAAAATTAGCTGAAAGACATAGGTTTTTTTTTAAAATTAAGTTTTGACTATTGACGTGGTCGAGAAAATAGTGTAGATAATATATTTGTAGAAGCAGAAGGGTTGCCCTGCTGTGTTCCGCTTGGTGGTGAAGCACCATAGGGTGGTGATGGTGCTGCTGCTGCCGACATTTGATTCCACATTGAGCCCATCGGTGCTTGCGGTGGGTAATATGATTGTTGTGGAGGAGGCCGTGGTCCTGCCGACATCTGATTCCACGCCGATCCAACAGATGGTTGTGGTGGATAGTATGATTGTGGTGGAGGAGGTCGTGGCCCTGCAGTCATCTGATTCCACATGGATCCAACAGATGATTGCGGTGGGTAATATGTTTGTTGTGGAGGAGGTCGTGGTCCTGCCGACATCTGATTCCACACGGACCCAACAGATGGTTGTGGTGGATAGTATGATTGTGGTGGAGGAGGTCGTGGCCCTGCAATCATATGATTCCACACGGATCCAACAGATGATTGCGGCGGCGGAGCTCCATACGGTGCAGGTGGAGGCGAACCACGTTGTGCTGCGTTAAATACATTTGCCACAGGCGAATTTGGTTGGTTTCCTCCACCAGAAAGATTAGTTGCGGCAGCAAAATTTTGTAATGCTGCATTGCCTTGCTGTTGTGGCGGTAAACTCGTATTTGTATTTCCCGATTTTAGTTTGTTGAAAAAGCTCGAGAGAAAATTAGGTTTGTTTTTAGTTGCAGTTGCAGCTTGATTCCAAACGTTCGCAACAGCATTTCGTTGATCTTGCGGTGGGGGTGGCGAGGGTGCATTTTGTTGTTGGGGCGAACTTCGTGTTGCATCTACCGCTGTAGTCCAGGCATTGTTTAGTAAATTGTGAACACGTGCAGGTGATTGATCGAATTTATTGCGTGAGGACTGACTTCGATGACGGTTGTGGCGTGATAATGAATCGGAGGAGGAGTCGTCTTCCGAGTCTGAAACTTCCCGACAAATCAATCGCCGACGGCGGCCTCGTGGAAATGACGCAGGTATATACGTCGTCGGTAACGATGTGCCTTCAAAGAGAAATATAATATGAGCATTTTCATCGTCTTTTACATCATTATAGCTATGACCTTACTTATAAAATGATCACCAGACGGAGAAGCTTGTTGTAAGGAATCAACATTTACACCCAATTGCCTCAAGAGTGTCTTGAGAGACATATTGTCTAAATGAATCTGCACGGTTACACGATCTTTTTCGTGTCATGAGCGCACGCTAACCTGGTATTTTGTAAACGATTACATCATTGCTCAGATTCTGAAATATTTGTCGAGAATCGGGTATATGATAGACCGAAGATTGATCACCAATAGAATTCTCTAATGACGAAGCGCGATACTAATAAATTGAAACATTCAAGTATCAGCCAGAAGACCAAAACAACAATACTTACCGGTGTTAACCCAGTTGGATTATAAGTTAAAAATGGAATTTCTGACGTGGGATACCCAGAATATGGAAACTCAAAAACTAGATTGGCCATGGATATTTTTAGCTTTTTACTTCAATATTCTATTGACAAGTAAACCTTTTCGATGAATGAAAACACAGAAAGAACGACTCAGTGTTATACACATGGCTACAAAAAAAACCTTGCTACGAAGGTTACTTCAAGCCAACCATGCAGCAAATACTTGTCTCACGTCGACCATATTTCGATTCGGTAAATAAATACGAAAAAATGAAATCAGAAGTATTCAGCATAAGCATGTGAGAGAAAAGCTTAACCGCAAAATCAAATTTCTCCTCCTCTCGTCGATAGACTTCGGTATTGTCGATATTTGTGTGTTCGAGCAGTTTCGCTCGATTAACTACCATGTGTTGGAATAAACGATGATTTGTATTAGTTTAATATACAATAAATCAAACTATACAGAACCACAAAAAAAACATATAGAGCATTAAAGAAAATAAATATGACTCATAACAACATAAAACCATAGGTTTGAGAACGGAAAGGAATGTAAATAATATGCATGATTTGCTCGAGATTATTAGTTAAAGAGATCGTCCAGTTCAGCAGCTGCTGTTTTCGAATTCAATGTTGGAGTAGTTTTAGCAATTGTTGAGCCCGATGGTGGTGGTGGCTGAAATAGCCCCATACCTCCATTCATTACCCCTGAATTGAACTGAGAGAAATTCATATTCGTATTCATAGAATTCAGTGGTACTGTTGTCTGCGGTCGAGAGCCAAGAGAATTAATATTATTCAAAAGACTAGATGTTAAATCTGTAGCATTCGATGATGGTCGTGGGTGCATAACAGATGTCGGATTTGCTATCGTCGGACGTAACAGTGAGGGCATTGTTTGAGATGTTGTCATAGTGTACATTGGTTGAGATGGTTTTTGTTCGAATAGATTATTGGTGAAATCTTTGAGAAATGCAGATGAAGAGCTTGTGGCTGGCGTCATTGGTGTCATTGACATTAATGGAACGTTGGTTGATGTTGATACTGGTGTCTTCACTTCACTTTGTTGCTTCATTCGTTGAGATTGATCACTTTCACGCATCATTCGTTCTTTTTCTTCTAACGTTAATGCCTAATACATATAGAAACGAGATGAACGCTGAAAAATGAATTTCTTAACTTGACTACCAGTTTACCTTTTTCCCTAAATGGTTGTCCGATGCTACCGCTTGATTTGGTGAGGCTTGCAACGATTTGTGAGTATCACTAGATGCAATACCGTCGAAAGTAGCTGCCATTGTCTTGTTTTGAGCTACTTCTGAATTAAAACCATGACCTAACATAAACTGATCGATCTAGAGACACAAGAACGCAAATGCAATGTGTCTGGAAAGTTCAAACATACGAACCATAGATGATTTTTGATCAAACTGTATATCAGTTGCCGTGGGGCCAATCGGTACAATCGGCGTGCTAAAATATAGATTCGTTTGTAAAAATATCTTTAGCAAGTGCAAGTGTTTACTTTGCTGCTTGTTGAGAAAGTTGTTCGAGTTTTTTTCGTTGTTCAATTTCCACTGTTTGTAACATATCTTTTATTGTGGCCATGTATGCATTAAACTAAGATTATCGATAAAGATAAGATTCCGTATCGAAGAATATCTTACTTGATTGAGATTCAGGCTTGTTTCGATTGAAATTGGAACTAGAAATGGAATAACTTTTGTTGCTAAGATTTCCCGCGGTAAACCGCCGGATTTCGATGATGACATCGCCACCTTGATGATGCCTAATATTGCCATAAGAACTGCTGGTTCACGCGATGGAATCGATTGAAGTAATGGGATGACTTCATCAATAATAATCCACTTATCCAACGATTCGACCAGTTTTCCCAGACAGATCAAACAATTCACACGGACCTGAATAGATGCCGACGTCAAAAACAGACGATAATTGTCAATCATCGACTTACACTCAATGTGATCGTTTCAAAACAGATCTTCTTTATACGTGGCAAAATACAATACTTCATAGCTTGTAAATCAATCAGATGTGCAAATGATGGAATGATGGCTAAACAAAGCTCCTACAACGAAAGACTTTCTCTTAGAAGAATGCTCTCATTTGTTTTTGAGTTCGAGAACACATACTTGAACTTGTGATGACTCAGCGTCCAGAGCATTGTAAACCACAGGTAAAATATGCTGTTTAATGTCTTCCGGTGGCGTTTTCGTTAACATTAAATTCATATTACGCATTAAGATTAAAAGTGTCTAAATAGAACTGTAATTGTAAACGGCAGTAGACGATACTCGAATCATTTTTACCTGCATAACACAGCCCGACGCACCCGTTCCCTGAAATCGACAAGAACAAAATTAACCAGCGAACGCCAAGTATTAATTCCTTACTTGAGGAGGTTTTTGAATTTTAAAAACTTGTTTTAGTTTAGGAAAAATATACCGTTGATATTCTTCGTTACTCGCCTTCTCCTAAAACGAAGCAGTTAGAAATAAGAACGAAACCTTCTTTGACTAGTTCGACATACAGCAATAAGAAACATATTTGGAAGAACGAATGGAATCATTTCCGGATTAATAAATTCTAATTCAAGTGCCGATGCGATTCGTTGTAAGTTCACACGCTAAATGAAAAAGAACTAGAAGTTGTATTTTCACATGAGCAAGGATTTTACCATTGGTAATTTGTCGACCACTTGCGGAAGACTTTTGTAGAACATTGAACGTTGAAGATTATCAACTTGAAACAAAGAATCGAGGTATTCTAATGTCTTTGTTCCAACGTCTTGGAAAAAGGGAACCTAAAATAGTAGAAACGCGTGTTGTTGATCTCTCCGAATTCGTCATTTTTACTTTTGAGAATTGTCCAGCATCAGGTCTCAGTTCTGGCTTGACACTGAGTAACATTTTGACATGATCACGCACTTCACCAGGTAGAATAGATAATTTCGTCATATTAATCGATTTTAAATCATCACACATCTTGAGAAACGTCGAGTAATTATCATGACATTCATAGAAAGTCTTCCCATGATTATACAATGCATAGATGATCATCCCCAATGAAAACATATCCGATTGAGTATCGTACGATTTTGTTGTATGATATTCGGGTGCCATGAAATCCAATGGCGGATTGATGATTGGAGGAATATTTCCATCATATTCTCGGAACGGATAGTTTGTCTAATCAAAATAGTTGTTAGGTGGATGAGGGCAAAGAAAAACAAACTTACTCCGTCAGCTGAACCTTGAACGCATAGTTCAAATCCTGACAGTTTCCATGCACCATTGGAGTTGATAATTATCGATTCAGGACACAGATTTCGATGGAATAATTTCACTTCATTATGAAGAAACGTTAAACCTTCACAAAGCTAATTATAAAACAAAGATTATTTAACGAAAGATTTCCGTTTGAAATAACTAACCTGAACAATTCCATAGCGAATTTCAACATCATACAATTTATAATCATCAAATTCTCTTGGGATTGGCTGTGCTATGTTATCATAACATCCAAGACAATTGGCCAAACTACCAAAACATGATTCAGTTGCGAACGCCAAACTATCCCTTGAAATAAGTCGACAATCATTCGTAATTTCTCACATTCGATATCCTTCACGACCTACCTGGATTCTTCTAATGGATGCTGAAGACTTAAAACCCGTGGATGTTTTATCTTAGCTAATTGTTGTACACCTACAATATAAAGTCTCTCTGATAAGAAGGCAGCTTTGATAAAACATGCAACGAGACCCTTTTTCATAGCGTCGAGAATTAAATCACGATCTTTTTTGACATATTTATCCAACAAACGTTTTTCCAAAACGAATACTGCCGCTTCCTACACGAGAAAAGAACACGTCCTCCAACGGAAAGTTCTTCATTTCCATCGTACTTGTTTAGTTGAACGTTTGATTGCCCCATAGATGCGCCACAGAAGTCCCGGTCCAGCAGAACCAAGTGGTTGAATTAGCTAACAACACAAATAAATCTTTGTTGATTGACTTTCATGAGAATCTTTTTTAAATTACAAACTTCATATTCTCGTGTAACTAAATTCCCCGGTAGAACATCCTTAAGCATCTTCTGACCGCCATGAGCAGTATCAACCATTGATTTAACAACGACATTTTTCACTTGATCTCCATAAACTTTCAGTTTCTCCAGATATTCCATGATCAATCCGAAAAAAACAATCAACAGATAGAAATGAGACAAGGAAAAAAGGAACAACTCAATGACTAATATTCTGATTGGATGGAATATAGTGTCATCTATTTCCATAAAAATGAATATTTCTTTTCGAATGGAATTTCTTCAATGTCTATCGAAATCCATCGAGTTTTTGAAAAAAAATTTTAGTAGAATATCAATTGAAATTGTTCAACCAGTTTGACTGTTCATTGGTTTATCCATTTTTCTAGACTAGATTCTTGAATCTCTCGTCACTCATCGATTATTTATTTGCTTGTTTATTACAATCACTTCAGTTAGTTAGTCAATGATCTGAGATTGAAGTCAATGTTGAACAGACTAAAGATTATCGCTTCATTTGAATAGTCTTTCGAACGATTTTCCAGGCGATGCCTGGAGCCATGGTTGCTTTGAGTCAATTTTTAGCAGTCTCACAACCTTCTCTTTCTCATTTTAGTCATGACTAATCCATTTTAGTCAAGAGAAAAAAAACGAACATAATCATGATTAATGAACGTAGTTCAACACAGTCCAATACATCATCATCGACTAATATGCCGTACGGATATCCGACAGGTAAGAGTACTCGACATAAGTCGTAGTATGACGCAGAATAGAGCGATTTATTACGTCATATTCGAAATATGTATACATCTGCATATTATCGCTTTGATCGGTCATATTGAATCTTTCTTTTCAATGTATGTTTTAGGTCCTTTCGATCTAATGAATATCCAGCCGATGCAAAATCCAAGTGATATTTATTCTTACTATCCTCCAAGTCTTTATCAACCATTCAGTGCATTTGATGAACATCAATGGGGGTCAACAGAAACGTCGACTGGCCTACCACCCAACGGTCCATTACAATTTCATCAGCCTATTTATACACCAACAGGACTGGACATTTCACGGAATCCATTTGATTATGCAGCTCCACCTCACGCTTATCCTCACTATCACCCTGGTTTTACACCTTCGAACTTTCCAACAGCACCATCAACAAGTACATCCAATTTCGATATCTCATGGAATCCTCACAATCTGTCCATACAACAACAAATGCCTCCGATTGGCGGCGGTAGTAGCAATAATAACGACATCAATTCAAATAAGAAATCATCGATTTACGATAATTATTCATCGAATTCGGATGGTGTAGGTGATATGCTTGCTCAACATATGAAATCAGTTCATCTTGGCAATAATGATTCACAGAATTATAACAATGGTACAAACGATCGTACACAAAATATTAATCTTCTGTCATCGAAAGAACAACAGCAACATTACACGTCGAATAACAACGATCTGTCCACAACACGTCCAACGCAACCATCGGGTCCGAAATCTTACGCATCTGTGGTATCGTCTGATGGTATGAACTCGAACAACAATAAGACAATAACACCGTCGAGTTCAAATTTTCCTCTTCGTACAACTAACGAACGTGCAGCGAATCCTTCGAATGACTCATTAAATACGCGTACAACTACTCAACAATCACGTCATAATAATACGCCTGGATTCAGTTCTCGTTATCAACAACAATCATCTGCCAATAGCGGTTTTCTTCAATGGACGAACAATAATTCGGATCGGTCAACAGCCAACAACAACAACCACAAACGACAAAATCTTTCTTCAACTCGGACAATGAATGGAAATCAAGAACCAGTCAGAAATGATCAACGATACAATCCTCAAGATTTCAATCTAAATTCAAAGGGCGCTCGTTTCTTTGTGATTAAATCCGTACGTTCTTCGAAATCAAACATCTTTCATTCTCTTCATGCTGCTCTTTTCATTTAGTATTCCGAAGATGATGTACATCGTTCTATTAAATATAACATTTGGTGTTCAACTGAACATGGAAATAAACGACTAGATAATGCATTTCGTGAGCGTGAAGGCAAAGGTCCAATTTATTTATTTTTCTCCGTTAACGCTTCTGGTCATTTTTGTGGAATGGCCGAAATGATGTCACCTGTCGATTACGAGCATCAAACCGATGTTTGGCACATGTCAAATAAATGGCAAGGCAAATTTGAAGTTAAATGGATCTATGTCAAAGATGTTCCCAATCAACAATTTCGAAATATTCGCTTAGAAAATAATGAAAATAAACCGGTGACCAATTCTCGAGACACACAAGAAATTCCCTATGAAAAAGGCAAATTGATGTTGAAAACTCTACACATGTACCGTCATAAAACATCTATTTTTGATGATTTTCAATACTACGAATCAAAACAAGCCGAAGAGACGGTAACAAAGCAACCTTCGAATAATGAAGTCAATCCTAGCCATCAACAAAGTAACCGACGAACTTTGTTATCCAATCGAACAGCTCAACGAGAACACCAAGAAAATGAACATAATAACGATGAATAATACACATACGCACACGCGCGCGCAGCAGATTCGTTGTTTTCTTCTCTCTCTATATATACGTATATGTTCGTGAGCTTTCTAGTAGACATTCATCATTCTGCCATACAACATATGTGTGCGTATCGTTAGGTCTAAGGTTCATTGCTTTCGTTCTTACAACAGCAGCCTGTTGTTCTTACTTTTCCTAATTATTGTTTTCAACATCTCATAGACATATTCTTTACTTGTTTAGATCTCTTCGTCCTAAACAGTTTCTTTTTCTTGCTGTTGTACTCATTCTACTTGCATGTGTGAACATTATCTTAAACGTTGTCATTCGATTGCATACATTTCGTTGTTTGTTGTTTTCTTCATCTTCTTCTTTTTTACATGAGATTTTTTCTTGTATGCTTGTTGTTGTGCATTGTTTGGATTTGCAAGAGTTGTTCAAGAAAAGCCAAAAGAAAAAAAAACATCACACGTATACGCCGTGAACTTCACTTGAATAGATTTTTTTAATGAATAATTGACAGAAAACCAAAAAGGGTTATACATAGATATTTGATTACACCGAACAAAAAAAAGAAAGAAAACATATGCTCAACCAAGTAGTACCTTTTTAAATTTACTACTCATATCATCGGAAGGATTTGTTCTCGCTTGACATGTGCTGCCAGATGTTGATGACGTACAAGCAGGCGAACAGAGAAATTGGAGTAATGGTAAATAGAATTTACCACAGAAGTCAACAAATTTGATGTTCTTGTGACAACTTTCGAAGTAGACGCCTATACAGAAAGAAAAAAAAACACAAAGTACATGGTTATGTAGCACAAGATAGTCTTCAGGTTACCTTGACATTTCGGATTTAAACATGATTTTGCTGAGTTCAAATATTCTATCAGACATTTGGGCATTGATTTGTTATCGTAATCTACTCGATGAAGTTTGATCGTTCGAGCAGTTAATTCTTTCAATGTGGGAACATTGTATGTCAAATCGCGAACAAATCGGACAACTAATGGATTATTTCTTAAACTTAATTCTTGTAGATCAAGTCGAATGATATCAGACGGTAGTGCACTAAACTGATTATTGTGCAATGAAAGTGATTTCAATCTAGTTAAATCTACGAACAAACATAGAAAATGATTTGCAAGCGTTTCTATCCGTTGATCTACTTACGAGAGATTGATGATGGCAATGTTCGCAAGCGATTATCACACAAATTCAAAACAACTAACGATCGCAGTGCTCCGATTGAATCGGGGATATTTGCGATTTGGTTCCCACCCAGATAGAGAATTTCAATTCTAAAGAATTCAAATAAAAACTTCTTCTTCAGAAACGGAAGTTTTCACTTCGTCAATGTCTGAAACAGATCAGGCAGATGAGTTATTCGGTTCGAACCGAGATAGAGTTCTTTCAAATTGCCCATTTGAAATAGTTGGTATGGAAATTGTTTGAAACGATTTCCACCGAGATTGAGAACTTCCAATTTTTGTAACCGATGAAATTCTTTGGGCAAAGAAAAGTCATCCAATGAGTTGTTTTTCAGGTACAAATTTTTCAGATTGGTCAGATAACTGATTTCATGCGGTAGTTGCACTAGTTGATTATCCGATAGTTCGAGGGTGAGCAGCGATTGGAACTTTTCAATATCACTCGATAAGGCGAATAGTAGATTCGAATTTAATTGAAAGATTTTCACGCGAGCTGGATTAGTTACACTTGCCAACAGTTTTCCGCTATCACTTTCAGGTAAATTCTGATGAGAGTAATCAAGAGTGTCTCTACAAATGAAATTAGTCGATAAAAATAAGTTGTTTTCATGGTGCGACACCTTACTCGAACTCATCATCATCATCGAATTCGAACTCATCTTCGCAAACTGATGCTGTGGCCATTTTGTAGTTTCTTTGTGTGTATCTGCAATAAAGAATATCATTTACCACGACACACATGTGACAAGGAGAAAAAAAGAGAAAAGGGCTTGACTAGTGGCAAAGACGCCAAGGACATCGATATGTCGCGAAGAAAAAACAACGATACGTTTTCGTTTTTTATATGAAAGTGTCCCTGATGACGCGAAGCTTCTTTTTTGTTCTTTCGAAGCGCAGAGAAAGAATAAAATCAGATATGTTGCACGTATAAATATACGCAAGTGCATTCGTTGATTATTTTGCAATAGAGATGGTGCTAGCAAAGAAAAAAAAATGCCGAGTCATATGCCATGGTGATAGGATAAGCGCTTCGTGCATTCGACCTTTCTTTTCTTTACAAATCACATGAGATATGAGTTTACCTAGGAAAGGAAAAAGCTATCAACACTTTGATCATACATTCGACGAATGAAATTCGATGATGACACAACGGGTTATGTCTTCTCGATAGAATATATAAGAATACGTTGGGTCAAAGTATAAAACAAGCTTTTCTTATAAGACGAAATGTGAAAGAAAAGAACAAAAAATGATGTATGCAAACATCTATGGATTCGTAACCGGTTTTTGTTCTTTTTATATCCAGTTTGTTGTATGGTTAATCGCGCGAGCATACGAATGATGCCAATCGTTTACTGTTTGATGAAATAAAAGAAGTCTTATTTTCTGGCAAATTCATCGTCAACTACCTGCTACTCGATGTACTGACGGAGTGAATAAAAAAAGAAAGTTACGATCGTAATTTCGTTCTCTTGCATCAGTTTTTATCCGCCTTTTGTTCTGTTAGAAATTCAACAACATCATATGTTCGATAATGGTTTTTATCGAGCATGCTCCGCCTTGAAATGACTAATGCATGTTCGGTACAAAAAAGAGAAAGTACGACGGTAAAATACGACTGCAGAACATAATACATTAATAACAGATTGTCTAATTTCACGGAAAAACGTTTTCCTTTCGCCATCTCGAGAAAAGATGAAAGTAGGTCTGTCTGCAGTTATTATGTTCCTTTGATCAACACATTAGTTAACGTCAGATTCGATTTGAATGTCTGATCTCCGTCGTTTTATTCATGTAAGGAGAAACAAAACGTTTGGTAGATCGTTGAGTTAAACAAATGATTCTTTATCAAATGCACGCCGGTTCAAAGCATCGAGGACGTCTTGAACGCTAGGATAATAGTACAATCGATTGGTTGCCGAGCTTTTTGCCAACTGATCGGCTGTTACCGAACGAGGTAATGTATAAGACCGAATAGTCGAATCGATTTCCATCGGTTTGATATTAATCGCCGAGTTGCGTTTTGTCGAACACCTCTTCGAACAATTATTATCAACTGGTGTCGGCTGTTGAATCGGATGCGAATTAGTTGTCGAAGTTTTCGAACTATGATCAATCGGTTCAAAATAGTAATTTTGATTTTCCAAAATCGGACTTGGATTTTCGTATATGATTCGATTATTGTTGTTTTTGGTATTCATCAGTTGGTAAATGCTCATAGTCTCTTCATAAGGAGATGAATTTGTTTCTAGAAAGAAAAAAAAAAGCCGAAAATAACTTCGATTGATGAAATATGCTCACAATCTTTTTAATCTATGATGAATACTGTTGATTCCCTTTTTTTCTCTCTCCCTTTTTCTCGCGCGCGCTCGGTTTTTATATCTCTCCAGAGGCATAACATGCCAAAAGGAAAATATATATAAAAAATTGAATCGCAGATGCCGAGAGCAAGGACTTTTTTGTTTCTCATCTTCTTCTTCTTCTCCTTCTTCTTCTCCTTCACTCTTTCTGCTAGCTTAATGATATAGGAAAGGAAAATACCTACCGGCATTAATAAACCTAGTTTTATTAGCATTCAGCATTGTGATGCCGAGGAGTATGCAATCTATTGAACGAAATGTTGTTTAACCTAGCAAAGAGAAAAGGACGTGTGAATGCTGTTCGACTGACGTGTTGATTTCTTTATCTGACAACAACAGTTCTCCTTCTAACTGATACGTCCTTCGTTGCTTCCTTATACGGAAAATATTCAATTATTTTCCATACGGACACCCTCGATAAGACTATTCGTTCCGTGAAACAATCAAGCGAACAACAATGATAATTTTTACTGATGGAAAAAAAAGATGTTTGTGATACTCTCGTCTTATTGTTTTCTAATAAATAAGACAGTTCTTTACTTCATTAGAGATCCGTATCATCGAAGCGAACATCCTATCTGTATAGAGAAGAATATTCCAAATGGTAAGGTAGTTAGACTCATCGAAATCATCATTTACACATTATTAATCCTCGTTTAAATCATACGTGATGATGAACGAGAAGAGAAACGATAGTTAAAAATAACTTACTAGAATCGATAGGATGTCTTCGTCTCTCTACATTATTATCAAATGATAAATATGCAAACTGTATCTGGATGAATCTAGGGGATAGAATTTTGCCGTTGGCTAGAAGCGGTCTCTATATCGTGCCATTGACATTTACACTATGTACCCTTCACCTCAGAATACATTTATTTGACAGATCTTGTTGATCAATTTCAAATGAAGAAAAACTGGTCGCGACAAGGAAGAGAACGGAGTTATTCTCATTTATTCTATATGCTTACATCATTTTTCAACACAGAATGAACATGCACTTGACAAAAAAAGAAAAACCATCTTTCATTATGTTCATTGTTTACTGAAAGAACACGAGAAAATGACTTTCGTTTTGTTTTTCGATATTCAACAACATTGATTCAATAGGGTGTTATTTGATGAATTAACTAATTTATTCGGATCGATACTTTCGACGATCATCGATAAACAATCCAGACTTGACACTGCCGATATGGACGATGAACGTTGCGCTAATACCATCTCAGTATAATCTAAAAATAGAATAGAAAGAAGGCACAAAGAAAATCAATGATTGACTCGCATGATAATCATAACAATCGTGTATATAGATGAGTAAGTCGAATGCTAATGATACTATCTTCGTCTTAATTCAATGAAAAAAGATGGATACATAGCATGTGTTGTTAAAACATCAAATAAATACATGTACACATTATCAATATGCTATTTAGCACATTTGATAAGAGAAAAAAAAGGGGAGAACTTCTCATTTACTTACTGTTGATACTTTCTATTGTTCCATAGGTTGTCGGCGTTGTTGAATTACTGTTGAAATCGGTTGTTGTTGTGTATTTTTCATTGTAATTCACGGTTGATGATCGTGCCGTTGATGACTAGAATAAATAGATGTTAGAGTGGAATGCAATTCCAAAGGAAGTTTACTTCAGTTGCATTTGCCTTTTGTTCATCTAATTCATGCCGAAATGCCTTGAAACTTATACCTGATGATCGGAGCAGATCTTCTAGGTTTTCTATGTAATCAATTGCATTACGTAAGATTTCCACTTTGGGTAATCGTTGGGTGGGATTTGAGCATGTTCGTCGTTTTAATATATCAAATGCTTCATTGACTTTTCGCAAACGCCGTCGTTCGCGTATTGTTGCTGCTTTTCGTCGATCAACAGTCACCGTTTTACGTTTACATGTCTTGCACGCCCATAACAGACAACGATGCGTCCCATCGCACGAGCCTGTGTCAGTGTAGGACCGTGTGTTCGAATCAGTTTTCGTCGTCATTGTTGTTAATGTCGAGTTTGTTTGTTCGTCACCTGAGTGAGTCGATGGTGATGGAGATTCATTGGGTGATGTCGATGCAAGAGTGTTTTGTAATGGTAGTGATGTATACATATGATTGAGAGACTTTTCCGGATTGAATTCAGCGTTCGTTGTTGGATAAGATGAATTGACTGGTTGAAGAGATGAGTAATGTGGTAAAAATGAAGAAGAATCGTATTCATAAGGCAGTGGAGGATAGAATTGTGATGAATACGTTGCTGGAAATTGAACATATTGATCATCTAATTGAAGCGGCGTATTATTCGGATGGTAATACGAGCCGTATGGTGCAACAACAGTAGGTATGGATGATGTTACTACTGAACTATCACAATACGCTTGTTGACAACTGCGAAAATCTGTCATCATGGTGAGTCTCTTCGTCTTTCAAATCTGTACTACAAGATAGTCTAGATGAAATGTAAGGTTATGATTGGATTTCATAATGATGTGATGCGCATGTACATTTGCAACTTACGTTTCTTCTTCTTCTTCTTCTCTCTTAGTATCGTTTACTTCTATCTGGTTGGTTGATTGAAGTCGTGCTTGATGAGAGGATCGAATAGCAATTAAGAATCATTTCTTTTCTTTCTCCTCTTCTCTCTATTTCTGTACTATTGATGATGTACAAGTAGACTGGTAACAGAAAAAGAAGCCGAGCAGAGATAACAGTTTAGATTGTAAACGACTTATCAAGTGAAAATATGTAATAACATCTTGCAGTCGTTTCTCTCATCGAAACGTCGAAATTGAAAAAGACCAATAATTTCAAAGCCAATCGATCAGGAAAGAACAGGTGCAAAAGTAATGATCACGTCTGACTACTGTTTGTAAGAGCCAAGAATGACATACGTATATCCAGATGTATAAACGACGTAAAGACAAGAAGAAAACGTACTTAAAGGCAATTAAATGTTTTCTGCTTTATTCCCATGATGAAGAATCTATCAATGATGCTCGTCTTTGTTAATTGATTTAAAGATAATATTCCACTGAGATTGATATTGATGTGTAAAAAGAACAAAGCAAATTAGCATCTTGCATGCAATCATAGTTAAAAGAATTCTTTTTTCGAAATGTTAAACAAACATCGGTACGTAAATAAGTTTCTATTGACAGTAAATCACTTAGGAGAATTGGGATTTGTGCAAGATTACGACCAAAACATCATTTCTGAATATACTCCTCTCATGATATAGATCGAGAAGGAATACGAATCAGCTCATTAGTTCTGCTAGTTGATATCAAATATCTTTTGTTTGAACTCACGGCGATATCAAGATTTCAATTTTACTGAGAATAAAAGTACGATATAAGAAAATGTCATAAATATAAGAATGTTTTGAACAGCAGTTATTCACTCATCAGAGGTTGATTTTCGGAAGCATCCGTATGATCGGGTGGCCGTTGAAATCCAGGATTTGAGACAAGATAGAGAACGAGAGCAGCAAAGATGAGTACACATATTCCAAACAAGTTCAAGATATTGCGTTGAGTACGCATGTTTTTATCGAAAGAGTAGTTTTTACTAAAAAACTCGAAGATCATACGAAAACACCAATACAATGACGTCACTTACAATATTCCTTCTTCAGCTGTGCCCATCAGAACTGATACGACTGCTAAAATGAAAATCAGCTTTCCCCACAATTTATGACTAAATATCAGTGATGAACAATGTTGAAATGTTACAATAAACATGTCATCTTACCTGGGCAGATAAGCAACACGAATTTTTTCACTCAATCTAGGAAAAAGAAAAGCAACAAAGCCGCACACCCATTGTAAACCAAAAAGAACAACAGTAGCAAGTCCAACCCATGAGTGAAGAGAGTCGAGATCCTCCTGTGGAGGTTTAGCCTTACTATGACTATCAAAAACGGCCTTCAAACCAATGGAGGATAAGATTAATGAAGCGGCTAATAGCACTGCGTGGAGAATTTTGATCCAAATCTTTGTCACATTAGGAAACACACGATAAACCAAAATAGCTTCGAGGAGAGATCGGTGGATTATTTAAATCGAAATTTCATCGATTAAACTCACCATCACCGTAGAAAAGAATCATGCCAAGGACCATAAGCAATGGATGATAATTGAATAATTTATCGAGGTTCGACTAAACCTCAAAGGAAGGATTTCAAGTATTAAAACCGATCGGACAAACTTACGCCCCAGCCGAAACCACCAGCATATTGTCCGAGCAGAACGCCAATCAAAATAACAGCAGTGACTCCAAAAATTTGTGCGCATATCGCAATAAAGTAATACCATCGGATTGATGCGCGGGTTGAGCCAATTTCATCAAAATTACCTTTACCCATTATTCAAAGAAATCGATCTAATTCACGAAACGATGATTTGAAAGGAAAATATATTTTATAACCCAATCGTTACAAACCACGTGACCAGAAAAAAGCGAAATGTAAATAAACGTTAAATGAAGCGGAACTATGTAGTGCAAGGTACTATTTGTATGAAAATATCTGCAGCAAAATATATTTTGTCACAGGTGAGGTGAGTTAACATTCTGTTCACTCATACGGTACTCGTCTCATTGTAATCCGAGACGATTGGTTCCGTGCCAATCAATATATATTCGTTTCTTGCAAACATGAACTAGAACGAATATCAGAAGAAACGATCGTACGGGTTTGAGCTAGCACGAGAATTAAAGGCATCTTTCTTATTTTTTAAATACAAATGTCAGCACGCCCAATATTACCGATGAAAAGACACCTGTCCTTCGTACTCGATATTCTCGGTGTCTATTGTATTGCTTTGATCAAATAAGGCGTTCTCTACACAAACAAGACGACTCTGCACTAACGCAAAAGATGATTTACTCCAGATTTAATCGCGGTAGAGAATTTCCAATGTACTGTTCTCAATGTTTCTGATGAATAACAGACGAGAGAAATGTTTATGCGTACACGCCTATAAAACTTGCCTGGGTCAGAAATGTTTTCAATGAAATTTCAAGCTAATAAGAAAAAATCAGCGCACGCAAACAGATGATAACTAATAGGGTGAAAAGCAAGTAGGAAGAAAAACATTTTTTTCTGCGAGAAAAGGCACTGATAGATGTGGCAGAACCGAGAAAAATGCGCACAATTCATTTACCTGCGTGTTTCAACATCGCAGTAACGACAGCAAATTTATGGCCACCACTCCATACAGGATTCTCGGAGCAGATTTAAACAGCAACTATTTTCAGTTACGCATCGCTTATCTTAAGCGAATTCACGAATTGAAAAGCGATCGAGAGAGGCCGACGAAACATCGTAGGATTACTCCTGAACACTTTCGATTGATTTGTCGTGCTTATGAAACGTTATCTGATCACGAGAAACGTCGCCGATTCGATGAGGATGAAGAATGGACTTACGATATAGATATATCAAATTATACACTTCAACAGTTAGCCGCTGAGCCAGACCTTGCAAATGAATTGAAAAATCGGCTACACAAAGCGAAATTAAGACAGATTAATGAACGTCATCCAGTGACAGGTCATACACCATTGTATTGTGCTGCACGTGCTTGTAATATTGATGCTGTTTATTATCTAATTGAACAGGGTGCCAATCCTGATATACGTCAACGAACGGGAAGCACGGCTTTGCATGCGGCTGCATTCTTCGGACATGCAGAAATGGTCCGATGCTTGTTAGAAAGTGGCGCCGATTATCGGATAGAAAATAAAAGTGGTAACTTACCTGAAAGAGAATCTCACAACGATGAAGTTCGAGAGACTTTTAAAGAATTAAAAGAAACACCATTTGTCAAAGCAGCTAATGATCAACTTGATTGGTTTAAAAATGTGGACAATGGTGTAAGTCATATCGACACACAGTATCATGCGCAACGACAAACGCTACTTCAATGTGCATGTAAAAAAGGTCATTTTGAACTTGCTATTTGGTTCATCGAAGAGCGAGGCGCCAATCTGGACATTGTGGATATTAATTTGAATTCTGCTTTACATCTTGCTGCGTACGGTGGTCACACTAAAATTGTTCGTCATCTTTTGTTCAGAGGTGCTAATCCGACACTCGTGAATAAATGGGGCATGACATCTGAGCAAGAAGGGTTTGCACATGGCACCGACATTACCAATCTGTTTCGAGATATTCGGGATCAGGACATGTTTCGAATGGCTAGAGATGGTACTACTTGGTGGTTTCAATATTACTTCGATGGTAAATCACCAAATGCTACCGATGAAAGAGGAACAAGTTTACTTTATATTGCTTGTCGTTTCGGCCAAATAGCTGTTGCCGAATGGCTTTTAGACAACGGTGCAAATATCAATGCTCAAACAAAGGATGCACGTAGTACGCCATTGCATGGCGCAGCATATTATAATCATTTGTCAACTGTGGAATTACTGCTCAGTCGAGGCGCAGATACTAGTATAAAAAACAAGTTCAACACCACTCCCTACGAGGAAGCAACAAATGCTGAAATAAAGAGACTCTTGGAACGGTATCGACAGGACTTAGCTGTCGAAAAAGTTATTCCGGTTCATTTATATGGCGATGGTAAGTCTTCGGGAGACAAACCAATAGCGACAGTGCAGTTGGAGTACAAAGCGACCATCAAAGATCTCATTGAAGCATTGCCCGATTCAATGAGTAAAGAGTATAGATGGTTTTCAGTTGCTCGTAGTCCTTTGAATCTCGTTAGCAATGATATTGGATTATTATCAGCTGTGTATCGATCTCGTCATGTTAATACTAAATTTATCGATCTGCCCTTGTGTCTCATAGCTTACACGTCTCCACGATATAAAAATAGCGGTTACACAGCACGAGATGAACTTTCTAGTTTCGACACACGTGATTTCGAGAAAAGTTTTAGTGCTCAATGTGAAATTGGTTCATTCAAGGTTGAAGCAGTATCAAACAAGAAACAGACGTTCAATGTCGGCAACATACAATTCGATTTTGAGTCTAATTGCACACATAGTGATGTTCCACTTAGCATCAGATACATCATCTCGCCTGATGCTGACGAATTCAGACTACCTGGTTGCATCTGTCTGTTCGAAATACGTTGCAAAGAACAACAACATCAACTCAAGGAACTACCAACTGCCACAATTCGAGGGGAATCTAATGCAAAATTGTATACATGGCTTCCTAATTCTGGATACTGGTTTTCTCATAGTAATTTACATCGACGCTTATCTCGTCTTCACGGTAAACACGCATTTATTCGTGAAGTGGAAGTTGTGCCCAAGCTATTTTCTCTACTACCCGACATGTTTATTCAAGTTGTTCCTGGAAAACTATTTCAGACACGCGAACATCCGATACATTGTGAATATTTGAAGATCTGCGAGCCTGATCTCAGTCGTTTTCCACATACTGCTTATCATGGCACATCGATTAAACTCATTCGATCGATACTCATGGACGGACTTGTTATGCCAAGCACGATTGTATCGAGTGGGTTGCGTGTGTGTCCACCGCCGAATCATATTGCACGTGGCTTGAAAGCCTTTGGCAAAGAAGACTTCGCTAATGCGATTTTCGTCAGTCCAAGTATTCACTATTGTTCAGATCCAGTCTACGCTGTTACATTTCCTTATAAAGATCAACAAATGATAGCTGTACTGGATTGTCGAATCCGCAAGGATTCGTTTGACGCTTTTCCGAGTACTGTCAAACATTATAAACCACATTCCGATGACGATGTGAATAGTCTTGAGTGGCGTCTTCAAAGTCCGTCAGCAATTCAAATCGTCGGTATTATATTCATACCAGTGATTACTTCACGAACGGCAGCAGTACGTCTGCGAGCAAATAAATTAGGAGTTAATCCTAATGATCTGGAATGATTTACTGATGTTCTCAAGTTTTTAGTTGACAAATAAAAAGATTTTTATGATTAAATAAACCCCAGCATATTAGTTTCTATATGTATAGATATATTAGATAAGTATAATATTATTATAAGATGAAACGATCTCTGCATAAACAGTATGACGAAGAAGCTGGAATATTGAATTAAGTCCTAATCGAAATCGCGCGTTGGTTTCACTACCAAACTTGACATTTATTCACTCGATGATTTCGCTGACCTGGCCGACACCCAAATACTCGATCAAATTCGTCAAAATTCGATGTCGGACCGAGTATTCTAGAAGAAGATTAGCTTGGATAAATAGGTTTCGTAAAAAAATAGTTTTACCTGAATTCAGCAGGTGAATGTACGTCTGATAGAATTTGGTTCTTCGCAGCTTGATCTGTTGATACTGAACACCACAAACGAGCAAAATTAACGAAGAGCATTTGTTCAGCTGAGTATTTCGATAAACCTGGTAACTTTTTATCAACATGTTGATTGGCTCTCGTCCATCTTTGATATGCCTGCAAATTTTTTGAATTTATATTAAGATGAAAGACTGTTTTCACTCACATAGAATGCTTCTTTGATTCCACCGTTGTCAGCAATGTTTTCGCCCTGTGTTTGCTCACCGTTGACCTAAGACAGAATTATCAAAAACGTGTGCATCCAAAAAATGAAAAAAGCAGCCGAGAGTGAACCTGTAGGCCAACTTGAGTTACTGTATAGTTATTGTATTGATCGACAATGCATTTCTTCTGCTCCTCAAATGCATCGATGGTCTTATTAGTCCACCAACGCACTCTATTACCATTTTTATCGAATTGTCGGCCTTCAGTATCAAACCCATGAGTAAGTTCATGTCCTATGACCATTCCAATTCCTAAATCGAATAACCCCACTTTCTCTGTCTTTCAACATTTAATGATAATAAGTACTGACCGCCGTAGTTAAGATATCTAGAATAAGACGAAATCTACTTTTCAGGTACAAATGATGTATCTTACTTTGGGGCATCTTTGTGAAACATAGGCGGTTGAAGAATAGCGGCCGTAAAAGCTACGACGAAATATCTCGACTAAAATCGTTCGTAAATACCACACTTACTCATGTGGTTCAGCGACGGAGAATAAGCTGCATTAACCTCAATCGGCAGTATAAAAGTCCAAGCATTTCGATCGATTGATTTTCGTAACCTTTGAAAATTGTTCCTTGCTTTTAAACGCAAGATTTTTAAAACATGGTGCATATGTGTCTCGTTAAATATATACTAAAGTCTCAGTTAAACGAAAGACGGTTGAGTAGATATGTATCCTACTTCAGCATATTTATTTTCTAGATCAGTTACATTGTTACTATCAAGACCATTCGGATAACCAATGCGTTGATTGAGTGCTTGAAGCTGATTTAATAATGAATTTCTACTCAGAAATTAATTTGTCAGTTGATCCTTACTTTTTCCATGGCTAGACCTTTAGACAAGGAATCCATCCATGTCGATTGATTCATCATTTGACCATATGTATATCGAATGTTATCAATCATTTCAAGTGCCTATGAGAGAATAGAAAGAGATAAAAGCATCGTTCATGTACACCTAACTTACTTCTTTACGAGAATCTTTATCGAAATACTTAGTAATATAGAGTCTTGACACGACTAAACCCATGCTTCGTGAAAGAAATTGAGTACATTGAACGGAACGTGGCTGTTCGGACAGAATCCCATGAAATTCTCTTGTAAATTCTTGTTTGATTGCTCGGAATCGTTTCGGCATATGATTCACTTGATTCATCATAAACCGCCAAACGAGATAATTCTGTAACGTTCGCGATGATTGTTGAGTGATGATAAGTGACATGTTTTGCAGAACGTCCAGTTCGTTGACCATGATCACATCTTCGTCGACAAGACTAACATTTCCCAGAAGGAAGGCACGTCGTAAATAATCCGTCCAATCAAACTATACAAGTCAAATAAAAAGAAAAGATTGTTGCTACAAAAAATTATACTCACCGACGTGTTCATTAGAGATGAAAGGTTACCATAAGTTGTGCGATTATAATCTGCCGCATACTGCTGTGCCGTTGTCCAGAAATACTAGATGGAAAAGATCCTTTAGAAGGTGTATGTACATGAAAACGATGTACCTCAGCAATTTTTCTTTCAAAATCGTACATATCGATGATATCATGCTCGATCATCGATGTCTCATTTGTTAATGCCGACGCTAGATTTTTCATATAATCTCGATAAGCCTGATTTATTTGAGTATCATTCATGTAATAACTTCGATCAACAAGTCCAAGACTGCTTTGACTGACCTAAAACGAAAAGATTTACCAGAACTTGAAAAACTCTTAACATCTACGAACATAAATACAATAATTGGAAGAATTTTGCTCATCGATAGCAACATCTATATCGAAGAAGAGAAAAGTATTGTATTGATTAAGTTTCAATAGTAAACGAGATAAATCAAATGTTGATGCATCCCAGTTAGAACCAAGTAAGATCGGCCAGCCACCGAGTTCAGTGTCAATGAAAGATAGAATGACACTAACGCCGTCTGTTTCTATCGATTGCTCATCAATACATGAAGCATACAATTGACGAGCATTGACTACCGAAGTCGGTTCTGTAGTTATATTCGATACCGGCGATGATAGAAGATCAATGATATCATCAACAACTTGTTTCTGCATTTCCTCAAATGTATCTTTGAAGTCAGCTACAATTCAAAGGAATAATTTGATTTCTAATGATTAGTTTAGAAATCGGATTACCATCAGAAGGTATTCTCGCCTTTTTCTTCCAATTTCCACAAGCAAATTCGTAGAAATCCTCACACGGATTTACCGTTTCGTCCATATGTTCAAGAAAATCGTGTGCTACAAAAGTATGTCGATAATAAGTCCATGTCGAAAGCAGTCCACTAACCTGCTCTGATACAGTATGGAGTTAAACATAGCTCGTCGGTGCTGTTGGAATGAATCTCAACTCGAATTCTTTCAGTACCGTAGAGAATAGCAAATACGATGGTCAAGATGAGGAGGAGAGCGGTGACAAGGGCAAAGAATATCGATAGAGGCCATGCCCATTGCTTGCGCTGAGATGATCTTTGAAATCAATGTGAAAAAAATCATGATTGATTGATTGATCAAGAACAAACATACTGATTCGATGTAATAACCTTCGGAAGATTCTTTGCGGAACTATCAAACATATTTCTCACCGTGCTTCCACACACGCGCGTGTCGATATTTTAAAAGCGAAAGATTTATATATGTAAGCATCGTTGTAATCGATAGCTTGTTTAATTTGTCTGTTACATTGTGTCATTTAGAAATCATTTTTGATTACATGACATTTTACTATCAAATAATAAGCTAGACGTATAGAAATTCAATATGAATGAAGTATTATTTTTATAAAGTAATCACATTTCGATATTCTTAGAAACAAACAATTGATCGATTTTATCCGTATTCCGCAAAGAAATCGGTTCGGTTTCATTGCAAACGCGAAAACAAACATGTAACAGTATGTATGTACGCAATAAGTAAGTCGAGCTCAATGGGAACTATCTTGTCTGACTACAATAGATAGAAAGCAATGGCGTGAAGATGTAAACGATTTTCTCGATGTGTCATCGTTTTTTTAATCATTATTGTTGAAGTACTGCTGCTGAAGCGCTTGTGATTAGAGCGTAGGATATTTTGTTTCACTTGTATTTTCTACTAGATTTTATTTTTTAATACTTAAAAAAACCGGGTTCGTCAATATCAAAAAGAAAAGAGAAAAGAAATGAAAGAGAAGAACGTCTTTTCAACTCACAACAATAACAAACAAATCCAGTTATTACTGATCACACGATTGATGATGGAAATTTCGTGTGCGCACACAAAAAAAGAATACTAACTAGATATTAATTAGTTAAACTACTATAAAAAAATTCACTGATCTTAGTTTTTTTTTGTTACTATTTTGTTGCAAAGTATTACAGAAAAAGAAACATTTGGTTATAAATAACTATCGGACCAACCATTCGTATACAGGGATGAAGGACTATCTAAATGACCAAAAAATGCCGAGATCGATGGTGTCATATTGTCATCATAGCCGAATGTTTGCATACGAAGCATTTTCTCGTATGGTGTTGGAACATGTCGATTGTTATCGTCACCAGTTGCTTGACAATATTTTATTGTGTGAGCTTCGAAGACAACGAGAAAGAGAGATGATCGTTCGGAAAAAAGAATTAGAAAAGAATTGTATACCTTGTGGACCTGTTGCTCCGCATATCGGACATTGATAAGCACGTAGAATTGGACATGTGACATTGCCCATGGAATCTTTCAATGAATGACTTGAGTAAATCAGTTCATTTTCTCCATTATTTCGACAAAAGACACAAACCTAAAAGAGAAACTTTCGGAAATATACGCCGACGTGAATATGCTCATGGTCTACTTCTTTTTTCATGCCACATTGTCGTTTCCAATCGGCTTCCTGAATTAGATGTTTGATAACTTCGATATCGATTTTTTCCGAACGTAACGGACGATTATTATTGCTTGTATTAGCAGCAAGAATTTGTTGTGCTGTTGAACTCAAGGAAATATTCGTATTCTGACGTAATATTGTTGACATTTCAGATAAAAACCATGGTTCCTGATATTGATAGGGAGGCGATGTTGAACTAGAGAAAAGCGGATTGCCCCGTTGAGGAGATTTCAGATGGAATTGAGCTGTATATGACGAATTATCCAAACGTGTCATTGGTTTATCATCATATGTTGACCATTGATTCGATGCTGCTGATGCACCCACCGTCAGCCCATCAACAGAGGTCATATAAGAGAACAGACGGCTCGTTTCTACACACGATAAACTAGATTTCTCTTTCATGAAATGAAAAGGACAAAGAACAAACCATTCTTCACTTCAGTATGTTGAGCAGAGAGCGGATGATGTCTGTTCGCTGTTGTACCAACTGCTAAACATCAAGCAAAACGCGCTAATGTAAGTTCGAGTTTTGAAGTCCAGTCTTACTCATTGTTGATTGGTAAATGGAATCCGTATGAGGACGATGTTCAAGAAGGTAACGGTCCATACTAGTCGGTGTTAGAAGGCTTGTTGTTTTGGTTGGCGTCTTGGGCGTTTGATCAGCAGCATATGGAAACAATGAATTCGTTGTTTTTGTTGATGATGACGACGATGAAGCAGTTAATGACCAGTTGGAATTGGTGAGATCAGTGTTTTTCGACGGTGCAATTGATACGTTCGTATTGAATGACAAGTTTTGAAAAGCTGTTGTTGTTGCATTGATCGGATCGAAAAAACGTCGTGGAACAAGCGGAGTAGGCGGTGGCGTTGCCTCAATAGACATCAATTTTAGTGGTAGTGAATTAAAACCACTCTCTACATGATGGGAGAAATCCAAATCAAATACATCTGTTCGAATTTGTTTTCACTTACTTGAATTTGTATCAGTCGCTTCATTGGCCGATGAAGATGCAAAAATTGTTTCATCGACTGGTTCAACATCTTCGGGATAGAACAAATCGTCATCTTGTTCTTCATCCTCATCGACAATGCTCGAAGGTGGTGAATAGAAATCTGTTAAACCAGATTCGTCATTGATTGAATAGCCACGACCAAGTGCTGTTTCCATATTGTTTGTATGATATGAACGATTATCGTATGAATTGGAGAGAAAATATTGTGATTACAAATGCACTCACACACACACGCACTATTTCTTTCTAAAATATACAATAAAATTAGGCGTGTTATCGACGAAGAAATATCAGTAAGGACGTATCTTCTTTCTCTCTCTGTCTATTCTCTTTCTTTTACTATATGGAAAAGAAAGCTATAGACTTCGTATATATGTGATCTCACTTTTTCTACGAAAAAGAAAATTCGAGAGAATATGTAGGAGACGAAAGACCAGAAGACAGAAAGAGCGTGTGTGTGTCCACCGTCCGAAAAAGATAAATGTGATTTTATCAGCTAACCAATAAATGAAATTGACCCTGGATGGAAGTTTGAGGAGTTTGTTGAAGACTGAATACCGAAAATTCGACTAATGGGAGGATTTGTTCATTTGAACTCGTGTCAGATGTTTTGGTTACGTTTTCTCGTGCAAATGTGTACAAATCCGATCGAAGTTCTTCTAGTTTTGACGAAAAAATATTTCAATGGTTTCTCGCGACATCTATTTATCAATTTCTTTTGTCTGAAATTTATCCATTCCGAAAAATATGTCAAGAGAAGAAAACTTTGCTCTTTTATCTTTCAGAAACTGATCATGGATGCCCTGAACCTTCGTCTTGCCGAAGAGAAAAACTTCCATAGTGAAATCCTCTTATTTTCATTCAATCCAGAGCACGATATCATTGTTGTTTGCTCTGCAAATGGTGATGTAAGTTCAACTAGACTACTTTGCCACTTGAAAAATTCATCGTTTCCCTCTAGGTCATCGCTTATCAAGCATATATTCGTAAAGTTTGGGCACTCGGTACTCGAAATCAACGTAAAAAACCAGTCGGTCTTGCCTGGAGACCCGATGGACAAGGTATGTCATCGTCCTGCTGTCTTCATCGAATCGAGTCTTTGTATTTAGTTCTCGCTGTGACATTTTCCAATCGTTCACTTGTATTAGCGTCAGTTCAAGATGGACATACTCTCTCATCGGAAACATTACCATTCGAAATCCGTGCTTGTAATTGGGTTGAACGTATAACAGGACAGAAGGATGAGAATGTTCATACGGAATTTGAAACAGCACCTATTGACGATTATCTTCCAGTTCTTGTTGATCTACCGTCGAGCAATCGAACAAGAAAACATGTTGTCGATCCACCCGATGATCTCTTCGCATTAGATAAACAAACTAAACTAAATATGTAAGACTACATGTCATTTTTCTCGGATTTTATCCTCAGCATTTCTTCCAGTTTAATTTTAGTTGGTTCAAATGATGTTCTACTTCGTGCGTTCGGTCTCTGGCCACTACTCATCATTAATCGAACGTCGCTACCAACTGATCAAACCATTCTCTCTGTAACGATGTCATCTTCACTCGATACTCTCTGTTTGTTAACAAAATCTGATACATCAATGAATTATTCTCTCTCGGAAAGTACATCATTCTTATCCGATTGTCATAACGATTACGTTCACTTAACGCGTTCACTGTGTCGAATAAAAAGTTTGATTCTGTTCAATGATAAAATCTTTACAACATTAACTGAATTGACAACGAAATGTTTCGCTGACTTTCAAACACGTGTCAACACATTCTGTCAAACAATGCGACAACAGGAAACCAAACAGTGGACATTCCAATGCGAGTTAATGTCATTACTGGCCACAGGAAATTGTTCGGAGCCAATGCAACAGAATTTCTTCGGCAATATTTTCGATTACGGCTATGCGAAGAAGTTAGTCGCAGCTTTCGAAGAGACAAGAGCCAAATCGAAAGAACTAATTATCATGTTCGGAAGGTAGTGAATAGTAAAAGAATATTCAGTGAACTTGACTTTCTTTTCGCAGAACGATCGAACACATTTTTGGATATTTATTGGAAACTAAAGGATTACAACAATGGTATGGAAAATTCGATCAACTCGAATTCGATCCAACGATTCTTCAGTGTAAGTTCTTGAAAATAGGTTTTTCGTGTTTTAGAGACTGTCTTAATTGCCATTTAGCTTGTCTATCCGATGCTGGAAGTCTTCTCTTGAAAATCAACGAATATACAGAGTGAGTTCTTCGACAAAATTAAACTTGAATTCATTTTGATCGTTGTAGTTTTATTCACGAAATGTCAGATATGTATTCTTTCTTTTTACGATGGCTTGGTTTCGGTATCTATTGGATTACTTTCTTAATTTCGAAAGTAAATTCGCTCTCGTTCTAGTTGCACATCAATTGCACACATCGAAGCATAACACAAGCACTCATCACGATGAACAAATTGAAGTTTGTAACTGTTGATTTGTTTTTACCTAAAATTTTCTCTGTTGATTATTGTTCTAGTGTACAGAAGCAGACTGGGATCACTTGATCGAATTTATCGATTCGTACTGTTCATTCGATGAACCTGTACTCGATATATTCTCGATGGTAGACGCTGAGTTCTTTCTAATTTCGTTCATTTTTTTCTGTTTCGTAGTACCTCAAATCGGAAAACTTACCGGAAACACTTATTCGTGATTCCACTTACAGGAAATTGCTCGATCATTCAAGTAGATATGACTCTACCGGTAATTCCATCCATGTTACAGTTTGTTTCCTCTTAGATAACAATAAGCAAACATTCTTTTCACCTAAATCTCAACGATCACTATTGGGTGCTTATCAAGATTTGAAACAATCGATGGCAAAAGCATTTGAAATTCGTTCGCAAAACTCTGCTTCTCAAACGAACAAATCATTACCATTACTTGCTTCAATGTAAGAAAATTTTTATCCCCGGAAAATCGATATTTATCTATCGGTTTAGACCACTTGATCAACAATCATCATCAGCTGTTGAATTCGATTACCGTCGAGGTCAACAAGCGATCAGCTACATTCTTCAGCAAAATCCTCTACAGTTCCATTTAATTATTTATACATCAACGTAAAATTCATTTGCATGAAGTACTTCTCTTCAGATCTATTCCATTTTCAGTCATAAACAATGCCTTGTCCGACTGATCGATCTTCAGAATATTCTTGGTCCCCATCGGTAAATTCAAAATTCTCGGAACATGACTTGCTATTCTTTGCTTTCTATGTTTAGCTCCATTGCTAGTTTCAAATTTTATGATGATGACAAACTAGCCGTTGTGTGTAGCAATACAGCTGATCTGAATAGTGCGAATACTACTGAAACAACTATCTTTAATAAAAACCACCAATCAAATTTTATGATCGTTAGCATAAAATCATCGATTGATAGTCAAACAATTGATTTTATCGGAAATAATACAAATATTATCCTCTCGTATCCGTTGAAAGATGTTCCATCAAAATTAACTGTCGATGGTAGACGCAATCTAATTGCCGTGGTATGTATCAGTTCATGTCACCTACAGGAACGGTTCACTTCCATATCGATATCAAATCATTTGTCGTTCGAGAACCTAATCTATTGATTAGGAATGATGTGAACTTTCTTTGAATGATAATTAACCTAGACATGCTCTTTTCCTCGTTCGAGTCGTAAAGTTTATTTTCTTTACAATTATTCTATATATATACAAAAGAATCTCTCCTCGGCCTAATTTAATAAATTCTCATCAATGTATACACATGTTATTTGTCTTCGAAAGGAGAGAAAGCGCTTTCTTCTAGAGTATTTGTTTGCTTTTTAGTGGTCAAAAAATCGCAAGCTAACTACGTTTATCTACACGCCATCAGATGATCTGAGTCAAGGTTCTTCGGTCTCGCAAATTCCTGTTCGAATGGACGATGAAAGTACACTGGTTCAGTCAGGCTCAATCACAACGATGATCTCATCTCAAGAAAGTCTACGATAGATCCGCGGACAATGATATTTTTATCTTGTAATAGTTCATTATTGAAATAAAATATATTATCACATTTAATTGATGCCGCTTGAAGAAGACAAAAAAACGTTTTTCGTGTTGATCGATGAAGACAAATCATCCAGATAGACGGCGGACTTTTTCTTCTTCTCTTTTTTTTTCAATAACGAACGAGCTGTTGACATCGTAATTAGTCTTCGCTATTAGTGAAAATGATAGCGACTCAGTGTAAATTATACTTATAAGACATACTCAAATAGATTTCTGTTCACAGACTATAAAATATCTCTTTTGTACATATGGACCAATCAGCGCACATATCGAATGCAGCGAGAGAGGAGAGAATGAGAGTACTATCATTAATCTTTCTCTTTATCGACAAGAGCAGACTACACTTTCTTCTCTATCTCTCTTCGACAATAACAGAGACTTTTATTCAATTTCTCAGATAACTGATTAATAAAATTAGAGCTATTCGCATTCGAAAAGCGACGCAGAAAGAACGAGAGTTCAAATCTATATTGAATTAACGCATATAATCATGATGCATCAACATGCAGGTATTTATTATTCTACTGAATAGCTAGAAGATAGTTAATTGAATTTGTTTTCTCATAGATTCAAATAAGAAACTATTGATTCGACATGGTAGTGGATCATTGTCGGATAATGATGACGATAGAAAACGAAAGAAAAGACGAAATCGGACGACGTTTACTTCGTATCAACTAGAAGAGATGGAACGAATTTTTCATAAAACACATTACCCAGATGTTTATATTCGAGAACAACTTGCCGTACGTTGTGACCTAACTGAAGCACGAGTACAAGTATGAAGTTTTCGGAGTTGGAAGGAGGTGAAACATTGTGCTGTGTTTTAAGGTTTGGTTTCAAAATCGACGAGCGAAATGGCGTAAACGCGAACGGTATGCTAATATGCCACAAATGCGTACTTTAACAATACCCACAGGAAATCCTTACGATATTTCATTATTATCAGTTAGTGGTAATCAATACCCATCGGTATAGATGCCAATAAATTCCCTTCATTATTACTCTTTTTTTCCCTATTAATTCTAGTTAGCAACGAGCAATAGCTGGTGTTCATCATCAGCAACTCCACTGAGTCATTTTCCACATTATCAAACGTCCGACCCGTCGTCTTCATCTATGCTAATGTCAAATGCATTGCCAAACTTCATGAATCTACCTTATGTTTTCCCATCATTACCTCAAACGAGTACCTCTACCAACAATTTCAATCCATCTTCATATTCTGGATATAATCTCGATTCAGATCATCGAAACAGTTCAATTGCAGCATTACGTCTCAAAGCTCGAGAACACAGTGTTACATTCAATGGCTTGTAGCCATCATTTTACTTGTTATTGAACATGAATTGAACAGCGGTGACTTGTGTTAATATATTTACTCAAAATACTTTTTAGCTTTTGTTGCCAAGAAAATTTTTCGTATAAACAAGAAAGTCCAAGTAACGCTAGCCGTGTACATTGGGTTTTAGAAGATATTGAATAATCAATTCTAATTGAAATTGTCGTAGACGGTATCATTAACAGATATGACATTATTCATGACCTTTAATTGTATTTGTTAGACAGAATCAATATGACAGTAGAATATGGATGAGAGTCTACTATCTTTATCAACAAAATCTCACCTAGTTGTTGGGAAATGTCGAAATTTTAACGTGAAATCAAAGGATAGAAGTATAATAATATCAATATGTTGCATTCGTGTTCCGGTAAATGAATAATCTTAAATAAAATGGAGTAAGACGCACTTGTTGTTGGATAAGAATTAAAAGTATGATTAGATATAAAGATGGGAGTACAGAGTGCAAATTTTGATTATCATAGGTAATAATAATCAAAATAGATGATGAGATGCATCTATAGACACTTCTTCATATCTTGATAAACTAAACTAACAGCATCGAAGTTCATACCAATGCCGTGTATCGATGCGTAAATTTGACATAAGTTGATACTGGAATGTTTATAATGTCGAAGATTTGCCGGCTGTGGTATTAAGTACTTTGCTCATTGGAACCGACCCCACGAACATGATCATGTTTTTCGTTTGTTGTATTTACTTTTGTACTCTGAAACATGCCGAAGACGACTGCACTGATAACAAACCATGAGATTGCCGGAGTATATATACTTATGTGCTATCATTATATCTAACACTTCAATTGCGAGCATCTTGTAGGTTAAAATGAGATTTTCACAAAAAGCTGCGTTATTGATCATAGGATTTATTATATCCTTAGTGGTAAATGTCACCTCTGATGATACTATTAGAAATGAAACAGCCAGAATCGAAATTATTCCGACTATGAAAGCATCAGAAGAACCCATGCCAAAATGGGCAGGTTTCGTCGGATGTATTATTGCCTCGGTTTTCTTCGGTTCAAATCTCTTACCCGTCAAGCAGTTCTCTGTTGGTGATGGGTTCTTCTTTCAATTTATATATTGCGTAGCAGTTTGGCTTGTAGGTCTAATACTTGATTTGATTTTAAACAATCAACGTTTCTATCCTCTTGTGCTTGTTGGTGGTAAGAAGAAAATCTTTCTTTCAAAAAATGTTGCATTGTGAATATCTGCGTAGGTGTACTATGGACGACCGGAAATCTTGCGACAGTATTTTGTATAAAAACGTGTGGTCTAGCTGTTGGTCTTTTGATTTGGGGCACAACAAGTTTGATAACTGGCTGGGCAGGTGGCCGCTTCGGATTATTTGATATGAAAGCACAAGTACCCACCACGGAAACAAAACTAATACTAAACTATGCGTCAGTGATCTTGGCAGCATCGAGTGCGATATTTTTTCTCTTCATTAAATCGACAACGAAGACTGCAGCTTTACCTAGAGAAGTCTCTTATCTTTCGTCATCTGATGGTGAATCCTCCATTCAATTGGGAAAAGTTGGAGAAACAGCTGATTACAGTCACCAAAATATTGATGACGATTTTCCATTTCTAAATCGATTAACTGATCGAGTACAGAAAATTCTCGGTTGTGCTTTCGCGGCACTGGCTGGAATGTTCTACGGATCAATGTTTATTCCTGATCAATACATTCGTGATCACGCGAGTAAATACACGTATCGCGGTGAACCACCACCGCTCAGTGGTCTCTACTACATCAATTCGCAATATTCGGGCATACTTCTTTCGTCGTTATTTTACTTTGTTATTTACGCCGCATTGAAACGTAATAAACCCGTCATGAATCCGACGGTGGTTCTACCAGCTTTGGCTAGTGGAGCGATGTGGGGCGTTGCTAATATTGGATTTATCGTTGCTATAAGTGCGTTAACCAGCGCAGTGGCTTATCCAATTGTGAGCGTCCTCCCAGGCATTGTCACATCACTATGGTCCTTATTTTTATTTCGTGAGATTCAAGGAAGAAACAATTACATTCTTCTCGGCCTTGGTATGCTCGTGCGCATACTTGCTGCTGTACTCAGTGGTCTTTCAGCATAATTAGTTATGTTTCATTTTTTGTTTTATAGCGAACGGTTGACAAATAAAAGACAACAAAAAAAAAGCGAACTAGAATGTTTTATATCACGAGCATTGGTTAATAGGGAATGATTTAGTTTGTCATTGTTGGTACTTCTTCACTTGCACTAGGCTCTTCGGCTGGTTTTGAATCATTGTTGGAAGCTTTCTCATTCGACTTAGCCATCTTAGCAAAGATATTCGCATACAACTGTTTTTCCTTTTGCTGGTAAGCTTTCATTTGATCTCGACATGTTTGTATGGATTGTTTTGCCGCACTATTTGATGGATTGAGTTTGATGACTTCTTGAAAATCTTTCAAAGCATCTTCAAAATTTGACATAGCTAACTGCGCTTGACCAAGACGGAATAGGCACTTTTCATTTTTTGAGTCCAATTCTAATGCTTTTTCACACGCACGCATACATTCGGCGTATTCATTTAATTTCAAATGGCATAAGGCGATGTTTGATTGAGCAGTCAGTTTGAAATCCGCAGCCTTCTTCTTATCTGCTTCTTCGGTATAATTTGGAGCCTCCAAATAACTTGCAATTGTCGAATATTTCTTGATTGCAGCTCGATAGTGACCATCCTACAACATCAAATAGAAATAGATGCATGAGAACAGGATTTTGCTCTTCCTTAGTTTTCAGCGTTATCTTCACTGTAGAGCGCATGAATAAATTCGAGTAATGCACTTCAATTTCCGCTGTTTCTTTTCTCAAGGTCGTTAGACTGTGATGTTTTCTTACTTTGAATAGTTCGGCAGCACGTTTTTTCAGAACATCGGCTTGTTCAAGTTTTTCAGCATCATTCATTGCCCACGATTCTTTTGCCTAGGAAATAAAACGAATATTGCACAGTTCTTCGACATGTTGATTGACAAACCTTTTCGAAATTAAGTAATGTAACTTCATATTCAACAGAAGAAGTTTGTGGAATGTTGAATTTTTCCAATCCATTTAGTCCCTTGCCTTTCAGTGCTAAACGCGAATGTTCATTCTTAGTCATTTTGGTTACAGCAAGTTCAACACTATGAAAATAAAGATTAGTATGGGAATAAAACGTTCACTTGATCGATACATACGCTTCAGGAATGTTTTGAATAAAACCTTCACCAACAATAAACGATACTGTTCGTTCGTCGAAGACTTTGCCATCGTGTGTACCCTTGAGTTTAACTTCGACGCTGGCATCGTCATTTGGTTTGGCCCAACCTTCGCCTTTCTTTAAAGTTCGTCGAACAATACTATGGTCTTTAGCTTCACTCAAATCTTCACCTGAAAGGACAGAACGGTCTCGTTGACTTTGTTTCACCAATAGAAAATCAGAATATTACCGACGAAGTCGAAGAGTTCTACTTCAAAGACTAACGTAGCATTCGGTCCGATCTTGTCACCAGAGCCTTTCTCGCCGTAAGCGTATTCAGGTTTACATATCAGTCGGCATACTTCGCCACGTTTCATTGTCGCCACACCAATATCCCAGGCTTTGATAACTTCACTTTTACCGAGGTTAAATTGGAATTTCTCATCACGGTCTCGGCTGCTGTCGAATTTAGTTCCATCAAGTAAGGTTCCAACGTAGTGTACAGTGACTCTGTCATTCACACCCGGGCAGTCATCGCCATGACCTTCTTTGATTATTTCTTTGAGAACACCTTTAACAAAAGAACGAGATCTTTGTGGGAAAAAATGAGAATAAGTTCTTCGAACGTACCTCCATCTTTTTCGGGTGAAATATCTTCGCCTTTCAAAGCAGTTTCTGTCGATGTCATGATTTGTATTGCGGTGTGGTGAAATGAATGGATGGAAGAAAAGGAAGTCAAGTGAATGAATTATATTATTAGTAAGTATGCATCCCTTTCGAGAAGATTCTATTCATTAGATGTCGTTTTATGCAAAGAAATTTTTCTTTGTCAAAACATTCATCGTGATTCCAATAAAACAGAATTTTTCAAGTTAGAAATCGTCGTTATTAATTAATGTTGTTGAACAGAAGAATTTTGTGATGGCGAATTTTGATTCGTCAATTATCCGTCGAACAAACTTTCCTTGGCCTGCCAATCCAATAATAATGACTCTATCTATCTTGGCTTCGGACTAGCTATGTGGTTTATGTTTATAGTTGATAATAGAAGAAAATCAGTCATGATTTTCGATTATCATTGATATGATAGAGTGACGAACTACAAAAATAGACGTTGACTAGTAAGCAAAATCAATTATTTCTTTGAATTCAAAAAGATTCTCCATCGGGAAAATGTTCATTCACATGTTCATTTCGCTCATTTTTGCTCATATTTTGTGGAAAGATCATGAAACATGCAGGACATTTGTTGCTTGCATCATCATCTTGTTCATTTGCTATTGTAGTATTGTCGCTGTTGCGTGGCGACCGGTCAGGTTCTGATGAGGTTGGAATCATTACTGTGTTCTGTCTTTGAAGAGAAAAGCAATAAAACTCAAAGAGTTAGCAGATGATTGAACTAACTTGATTTCTTTGTTGACTGCTGATGGTGAATTCCTGTCCATATCATTATCGTGAGTGCCATTCGTGGCTTGATTTTGTACTGATGATTGGTCAATTGATAGTCGCTTGGATTCAGTTGATCGTTCTTCGCTATCTGTTTCAGCGACGCTAATATATTCGACTTCATGTTTCTGGTGTTGAAGTTCGTTTAGTTTGAATTCTAAATTTTGCCACTCATCTCGTATTTGCCGTAGGGAATCCACAGCTTTCTTCTTTTCCTCTACAGCTGCTCTTTTCATGAATTTTTCGCATTGATCGCCAATTATCTGTTTTTTCTTTTTCAACTCTGCATCCAGATCGTTTCTCGCCTTGTCAGCATGTTTCCCAATGTCTCTAACGAGTTTTTCGCGCCACTCTTTGATCTCGATAGTCATTTGTTTGTGTTGTTGTATTACGTCTGCGAGCGACTTGTCGAAGAACTTTTTGATTTCATCTGATTGCTTCATCTTACAATCTAAAATACTAGGACCGCAATATCTGTTTAGTTTTGTTACCTAGAAGAAGAAAGAGGCCAGAACAACTGCTAAAACAGAATAAAAGTCAATTTTTGAAAATTAACTATGAAAAGTAAATATACAATAAAGAAGAAAAATGTTTATACAATGCTTTTCTTCCAACACTTCTGATAAAGCCGCACAAAAGTAATGGCTGAGTTAAATTTTTTTACTTGTCAAATGTGTTCTAATAGCAATGAAAGAACGATACGATCAATAGGAGGCTTTATATCGTAACTAGACGATCTGAAAGAAAAAAGCTAACTTTTGATACTTTATTTATAAAAAGCAGTTCTTCGAAATTAATATCGGTCAAAAAGTGCATCGATCTTTTTGATTTAATTATGTTGAAAGCCGTCATAATGTTCGTTTATGTGGTTTTCACGTTCCCTGTCTGACATTATCGTTGGAAATATCATGTAGCATGTTGGACATTTACCGTCCGACACAACCATATTCGTCGCATTATAGCTGGATAATCGATTAGGAGATCCTTCAGTGTGGCTCGTTGATTGTCGACTAAACAATAAGTTAAAAACTGAACAAATTATATTTTATGAAAGAACTGACTTTGATTCATCTCTAGATGTAGATGCTAAAGCCGAGGTCGTATTAGTTCGTGTTGTGTTAATCTCAGACCGATACCTTTGTGTTTCGTTCGTAGTAGTTTCTTGTGGATTAATCATTTTCTGTAAATCCACCTGCACAACATCAATAAATTGAATGTCGCGTGACTGATAGTTGAACTCGACTAACTTCACTTTCAGGTTTTGACATTTGTCGAACAATCGTTCAATTTCTGTAGCACTATCTTTCGCTAAATGTTCGAAACTTGCTAGAAATTGCTCATAAATAGAATCTAAAGACTTTTTCTGCTTTTCATATATTTCAAGTAAAACTTGTTTTTGTGAGTGCACATGATTGTCTATTTGTTGTATCAAACTGTTACGCCAATCGTGGATTTCTTTTTCAGCGTTCCAATAGGAATCTCGAATAGTATTTTGATGTCCAGTGAATATCCGTTGAATGTCATATTTCGATCTTGGATAATAAACGATTGGTGACGTGTACCTAGCATCTGGGTAGCTCATTATTTAAGCTTTGTCTAAAATTAATATAAAACAAAACAAAAGAAGGAAACATGACCGCAATACTCGACATTCACAATTTCCAAGAAAGGAAAAATCATTGCGCGTATCTTTGAGTAGTATGAAACATAGAAAAAGAATGAAGCAAAAATCTTTTTTTTTCTTCTGTTTTTATTCGTCGTCGAACAGCGCGACTCTATGCAGCAATGATTCATTACATTTACACAGTAGTTTGGCAAAACAAAAATTCAATTGCATTCAACTCATGTTCCACACGACAAATGCGGTGGGAAAATATCCTGTACGCAACTTTAGTCCCATGCAATTCTGTGTGACGAAAAATAAAATGATACAATCTTGCTGAATCACTCATAAAACATTTCTGTACAGAGAATCAAAAAATATTTAAATAGCGTAATATTTGAATTGGATTGACCTTGTCGCAGCTCTTCAACTGTCTCCAAAATGCTGATTTACATGTTGTGCCCGATCGGTAGTTGTCATCGATAACGAAAAGATCATAAAACACACAGGACATTTTTCATCTCTGATATCATCTGTAGTCATACAATTCGAAGCTCTTGTTTTCGTATGATGCACATTGCGATGATTCAATGTTAACAAATCTCGGTTCGACTGCTGTTTTGGTTGCATTTGAATGAAAGGAATCATTTGTTCGGGGTAGTCAAATGATGCTAATTGAAACTTTATAGTTCGACATCGTTCAAGCAATTGACGGACTTCGTGTCGATGTTTTTGCTCTTCATACTCTAATGTTGAATCAAGGTATGCTTGTTGTTTTCGACGGAGATAACTTGATTGTAATTGATATTCGTGTTCGACAAGATTTTTTTGTTTAACAAGATTTTGCTCAATTCGACGAATTAGATTATCGGCCCATTCATTGAGTTCATTGATCATCTTTCGTTTCTGATCAAGTAATGTTCTTGAATGCCGTTCGAAGATATTATTCAGTTCGGTTTCTGAGTAACACGTTCGACGTAATTTTGAGTAGCGGAGCCGATGGGTTGACATTGAAGAAAATAACTGAAATGTTATTATGTTTTATCGATAGTTTTTCGTTCGATATAATCAGACTTTCAAGGGAAAACGAAAGAAAAAAAAACGAATGAAGTCATTTATAGGCATATAAGCGAAAGAAGAGAACAGATTTTGACTATTTATTTCATCTAGACATGTTATAGAGAAAGTTTTCATGATCCTTCCTTGTCGTCGCTTTCAATCATCCTGATAGTGCTCATTGATATGAACATTTCGATCACCAATATTCATACTCTTCGGAAAGATCATGTAGCATAGTGGACATCTTTCGATGAGAACCTCCTGCACTGACGTATTACTATCGAAGTCGTGATGATCGATTCTCGACGAGCGTCTAAATACAAAATCATTCGGCATCGTTAAATCCACAAAATCGACAGAAACACTGACGTATCCTGTTCTGCATTGACTAATCCCAAATTTGTATTAGGATTTTCGGTTTGAGACTCTTTATCGGCAGTTTTTTGCTCGATACACGTCTGTAAGAGTTGTTCTTCTGTTACCAGTTGTATCGATGTTATTGGTCGTTCATTGTAGACTAGAAAAGCGATATCCGATTTCAATGCGTTGCATTGATTGATTAACTGCTGCATCTGTGCGGTATCATGTTGTTGTTCGAAAACGAGAGCGCGCTGTAGAAATTGATCGCGTATGGAATCGAAATAGGATACTTTTTGTTCATAAACTCGTTCGAGAAGTTTTCGTTGGTCATTCACGTGTTCTTGTATCTGATGAATCAATGTTTTACTCCAATCTGTGATTTGCTCGATGATCTTCCACTTTTGATTACATAATGTTGAGATTAAATGCTTGAAAAAATGACGAATTTCGATTTCCGACTGCGAGATTTCCACTGGGTGTTCGGTAACATAGCAGAAGGACATATCTCCGAGCAAATGACGAGAAGAAGTCGAAATACCTGTTTTCGAGGAGCAAATGTTTTTCTCTCCAGCAACTCAAACCTTGACTCATTTCTGTTGATATTGATTTGGCAGAAGAGAACAGAAAAAAAAGAAAAGAATGGCCATGAATTGATCGAAACAAAAAATCAAATCTACCAAATAACATATCGATGAGCGAACACTCTGGAGAACAGGAGTAACTCTTTCAACAGCGATAGTTCTTCTCCACATATCCAGGTATATGAATACCGAGAGACAATAGGTTTTTAATCGAGCTATTCGACGAACATGAACGAAGAATTATGATTTTGTTTGTGTTTTGCTCGACCTTTACGGTATAAGAAAAATAATTTCTTTGTCCTTAACAGAATCATTTAGAGAAAGAAAGGTATAGAAGTAAAGAGAAAATATACCCGAAGCACAAGGTCTGAATAAACACTGTGTAAGAGAAAAATACATGCAGTCAGTCATGGAAGAACTTCGCTCCGAAAATTAACTTTGCATTGGATCGGTTTGTCTATCATCTGTGTAATGACTTTGTACATGATCTATACGTGTTTGTATTGCCATATCGAATGGATATATCATAAAACAGACAGGACATTTTTTGAAGTCTGAGTCATCGTCATAGCTATCGCAAATTGTTGATTCAGCTGAGAAATGTCCAGTGCTATAAAGAAAAGGATCAATACTTTCGTAATAAACGAAGAGAATTGTGCAGTATATTACGGGCTTTCTTTTAATGGATCATTGATGTCTGATAAATTCTCTGCTGAAAATTTCGTTTGAGATTTGTATGGTTTGTTTACTTTCGAATTGATTATTTCGGAATCCTTTGAGACCAATTGAATGAAATCGATAGAGCACGGATGGTATTCAATCTGTGCTAATTCGAACTTTAACAAAGTGCATTGCCCGAGTAGCGAACGAACGGCTTGCTCATCTCCGATATTTTCGTGTTCATCTATCATACTAAGATAATTTTTTTTCGTTTCTTTAACTGATCGTATCTGCGTATCGTATTGTTGTTCTAGAAGAGTTTTTAGATTACTTGCATGCCGTTTTATATTGTCAACAGTCTTCTCTTCCCATTTAGAAATACGACCAATACTTTTTACTCTTTGATCATCCAGAGCTACTTGGTAGTATTCGAATAGCTCATTAAGCTTTCTCTCTGCTGCACTAGCACCAATTGAGAAACCAAGCACCGAGAAGAAAGACATGAAAACGATGTTTACTTCAAATGAAAATCTAAAATATATTTCAATAGACAGCCGAATAAAAGTCGATCTTTGTTTGCTCATAATACAAGTAGGAAATCATCAGAGGCATAAAACTGGTTTTCATCACGATACCTCCGTGATCGTCTCAAGATGTACATCTGAAAGCGAATGTATTTTTGTGATAAATATGATCAGTAAAAAAGATAAAGTTCAGAGAGTTCCATATAATACATATTTTCTTTGACGATTGACAAAAAAAAGCTTTGCTCAGTATTAAGTTCTCAAAAATATCATTCGAATATAAATGAATTGATGGAAACTAAATTTATATTGCAAAAAAGTAAATATTGCCGGCCAGTCATGTGCTTTCGAAATGTTCATTGACATGTCGATCACGTTCTGAATTAACCATCGATGGAGGAAATATCATAAAGCATGTTGGGCATTTATGTATGTTTGAATCATCATCGTTGATATCATGAAATCGCTCTCCATTCTTGTTGTTCATATTTGTTGTAACTGTTGGCGTTTCCCCTACATCTCGACTATAACAAAAGCGCTCAACGGATTTGAATCACAAGATACAAATGAGAGAACCTACTTATAGTGCTTTACATTGATAAGTGTTACTTGTGGAGAAGGTACAGTGTGATTTTGATTGACACAAATCTGTCCAGAAGGTGGCAAATTTACTCCAGTTTGATTAATGCTACTTTCGACTGAATTTGCTTTTGGTGATATAGACCGAATGAATGGAATATTTTTTTCAGGATATTCGAATGAAATTAATTCAAATTTCAAAGCCTGACATTCTTCTAATAGTTGTTGAATTCTATCCAAGTTTCCATTTCGTCCATGACAAACTAACGTTTCAAGAAATGCGTGACGTCTATTTTCGAGAGCACGTGACTGGCAGTCAAACTGGAATTGAGCCTGCTGCCTTTGTTTAGATGCATGTTCTTTAACCCGCCTAATAAGATTCACCTCCCAGTCATCAATTTCTTTCATTTTCATTGCTTTCTCAGCACCTAATTTCTGCCAGTGTTTGTTGAAATAATCTTCGATAGTTCTCTCTGCATTATATAGAGATTTGGATGTCATCTGAAACAGAACATTCACTTTAGAGTTTTTGCCTATCATTTCTTTACAAGTGACATATTATTCATTGAAATTGATTTTTCTTCGTGGCAGAAAAGAAAGAAAAACTGATCATCAATAATCGTAGGAGAAAAACCCTTCGAAAAGAAGATCATGTGACCTTCAACTAACGTGTTGGTAAGTAAATAGTTAAAAGAACAAAGAATAATTGCTTTTAAGACACTTTTTCTTCCTTTCTTTCCTTTTTTTTTCATTCAAACGCAAACAAACATGTTTAACAACAATCGTCGCACAAGTTCGTCTCCCAGTGACCGACTACGAACAAAAAGTCGTTCACCATCTCGAACACAGTTAAACATGAATACAAACGAAGAACGACCACGACGCGCGAAAACATCCTCTCATACATCCAAAAACAATAGCCGAGAAGCTACTTCAGTGAAACGCTCGGCTAGCTCGAAAGTGAATCGAACGACCAATGCAACGTCGGCCAAATTGAAAAAATCGGCATCAAATGCGAAAACTCCCATATCGATATCGCCAAAAGCAAAATCACCATCAAATCGCAAAGGTGGATCGAAAGCGAAGAAAAGCGTTCCTAATGAATCCGATAGCCAAGAAATAGTGGAGCCAAACAATGCAGAAAGACAAGATCTTACGTCGCATGGTCTTTCCATCGTACCATCGGAAATCTTTGATCGTATGTATTGACATGTTCACATCTTCTGATTTCTATATGCGATGCATTTTCTAGTTGTTACTCTTCGTCGATTGATCATATCGAATAATAATATTTCAAGTTTACCATCAACCATTCGTTCTTTGGTCAATCTTGAATATCTCGACATCTCACGTAATCCATTACGTGTGAAAAATGGTATTGACGATTATTCATGCATTCCCCGAGAATTTACCTCATTGAGAAACCTTCATACATTGATTATGGCTGAATGCACGTTGAAACATATTCCAATAGCCGTATGGAATACGCCAAATATTGAAATACTTGATATAAGTCGAAATAAAGTCGGATACATCGTTGGTGATATTGGTAATCTTGCAAATGTTCGACATCTTCGTCTATCTCAAATGGATCTGGATACACTACCACCGGAAATAGGATTCTGTGATAAACTTCTAACGATCGATTTAACTGGAAATCCAATTGATACGCTACCTGAAACGCTAGTCGAATGTCGACTATTGTATCAGTTTAACATCAACTACAAGACATTCTATCGTTTATTGGATAATTACATGTTGGAGTTAATCGACGAAGGTAAAATCCGTTCGGAACATATTCCACAAGTTATTTTCGAACTCGAAGGTTTACTAACATTAGATTTAAACTATACGAAATTAAACTCGGTTCCTAACGAACAAGCTTTATTGAGTCTGAACGAACTATATCTAGCACACAATTCATTTACAGACATACCTGAAGCAATCGCTTCAATGCATCAATTGAAATTGCTCGATATGTCACACAATCGTCTTCAGCAAATACCGGAACATTTCCTCAAAATAAAACGTTTAGAAACATTCATTCTTTCACATAACAATTTCACGCATTTACCGAGTAGCATCGCTCGTGTGTCAACATTAAAGAAGCTCGTTATGAATCATAATCAGATTGACAAGATCGAACATGGCCTATCCGAAAGTGAATCACTAACAGCATTGGATCTTTCGTATAATAAATTAACGTATCTTCCCGATGAAATTTGCTATCTGAAACAAATCGAAACACTTGATTTACGATATAATCAGTTGACCTCTCTTCCATTATCCATTCGTCGAATGATTCATATCAAATCGATGCATACATTCGACGATCGCTTTCAACGCATTGGTCTTCATTTATCTGGTAATGCCATCGATGACCCTCCGAGCGTCATATGGAAAACAACGGATGTTCGAACTCTGTTCAATTATATGGAAACAAAGGAGAAGCTTCTTTCAAACAATTTCTATCATATGAAACTGATTCTTCTCGGACCGAAAAATGTGGGTAAAACAACATTTACGATGAAACTCATCAACAATCATACAGTAGTTTCGACTACGCGAAAAACGCTCGATATGTACCTAACAAATTTACAAGACAAACAAATAGACCTTGTGGAGCAAAGTAGTCAACAACACTCGAGTGATCACGGTTCCACGATATTTCCTGTTCAACAAAATGAGAAGCGCATATCAACCAATAGCGAAAACTTTCTTACTAGAACGGAAAAGATCAAACGACTATATCCACCACCATTAGAAACTTATCGTTCGAAAGATTTCTTCGAAATCTATCTAAACAAGTCCACATTAATTACAAAAAACAATCTCCACTGCACAATATTCGATGTGACAAGTGAGCCGAGTTTCGAAATATTGAATCCATTACTGTATGACTCAAATGCTCTGTTTGTTATTCCCGTTAATTTAACTAATCTATTAAATATCATCGAGTCACTCGATGAGTATGTTGTTTTTCTTCATTTTCCGAAAATCCTATCTTCTGCATTTTAGAAACGAAAACAGCAATCCGATTATTGACTACGATGCTCTGTTAACAAACGAATGGTTATATATTCATATCTTTCGTTACATTGAATCGATATCTGATCATTGCTCGCAGGCAGCTATTGCTATTGTCGGTTTCCTCAAAGATTGTCAAAATCGATCGAGCACTGATCAACAACAACAACTTCTCGATGAAATTCACTCGAAGATCAATATGTTTCTAACTGATGAAGAAAATCAACGGACAAACGTTGCTTTATATTCCGAACTATTCCCGGAACCGATTCACTTGGATAACAATGATATATCCTATGTGATTGAAAGATTCGAAAGCATAGCTCAACAATGGAATATTGTACATCGCAAGGGAAAACAACAGGCGCTAAAACGTCGTTTAGGATTTCTTGGACAAGAATTGTCAACAATCGATTACGAGACAGGTTTGAAACGTTTTCAGAAAAGTTCGGGAAACTTCTCAGAGTCATCGGAATACGAATCAGAAGTTCAAGAAAGTACAAAAATCGAAGAAGAAAATGACAAAGAAAAGGATGAATTCATTGAAAGTGAAATCGATCAAATGACTTTCGACGAATGTCTGATTTATTTACAGACTACCGGTGACATCCTCTTCTTTACTCAAGGTACTCAAACGATTATACTAATAAAGCCTTATTATCTGTTGAACAAGATATTTGCGCGTACGATATTTCGTCCAGATCTTGAGCAATGGTTAGACTACGATGAAAACATGATATTTCACTTCGGTGGGTACTATTCAACAGAAGAGTCATTTCAACTAGACTGTCATCGTTTGCTAACACGCGGCGAATACACATGGAAAATTCTTCATGTTCTATTCAATGAACAAAACACTAATCCTGAGAGCTTAGTTGATCAGATAATCATTGACTACTGTCGTTTAATGGAATGTTTGCATCTTGGTTATGTTAGTGAATCGAATTTCAACTGTAAGAATCGAAAAAGGATGTGTTGCTTTTGACTCCTTGTTGTTCTCTGATTTTAGATCAGGAATTTTCCACATTCGGTTTTGTTTCTCCATGGCTAATGCGAGAGAAATCCGAAGATATCGATGGAAAAGAATATTTCAAACTACTCGAACAAAATCGAATCTACGAAAATCTTAAACGCGAACGAACACGCAAAATTAAACAGCAACAGTTATGGTTTGCAACTGACATTCGCCAAGCACACATTCCAAATATGAATTTAATTGAAGAAAGTTCGAAAAAGTCGCTTGACGAACAACAATATCAAATACAGATCGAAGATCTACCACTTATCGATGAAATTCAAATAGCTGAATCTCAAATTCTCAGTCCAGATCCTATTCAAAAACTGAAAATTTTCAATGGAAAATCGAATTTTCTACCTCTGGGTCTCTACGAAAGATTATTGATCTGTTTGCATGAGTTATTCTACGAACGACTGGACTATCAAAATGTCACGGTCGGTAGAACATCCAACAAGCATTTAATCAAAATCAATCGTTCTGATACTCAAACAGAAATTCAACTGACAATCAGTCAAAGTGTTCGCGAACAAATTCAAACTCTTCTTACTCAAAATCTCTTCCCAGCCTATCCGACTCTGAATCTCCGAATAGAAACATAACTTGTGTTCATTTCCTTTATTTATATATATATATATTTTTTAGTATGACAATAAAAAAATGTGAGAGGCAAAAAAAATATTCGTCATATGAGAGGAACAAACTACGCAGCAATATTACATACAAAGTGAAACGAAACCCATACGCGACAATCTAGAACCAATCTAGACATATATATATATAAATATACACATACACTGTTGGTCAAAAGTGTTTTTATGAGCAAAATTAAAACAAATGCATAATAGATGACTAGTCACTAGCTGAAGGTGGTGGTGGTGATGTTGTTGTTGTCGCTGTTATATTGTTCTTTTTATCTGTAGTCGAAGTTCCATCACCATTTTCATCGTTATCTTCATCTTCCATAATTTGCTGATCGATGTACTCGCGTACGCGTCGTTCATAATCGCGGCGATGGTTTTGGTACAGCATGGCTGCTTCAGAATTAGCTGGCGACGCAGGGTTTGGATCAGTTAATAGTGAACGAATCGAAACTAATAACGTCGAGACGTCTAAACTTGCACTCCAACGCTGCTGTAATATATCCAAACAGATCGATCCATCCATATCTAGATGAGGAAGAGATACTGAGAAGTTCTCAACGCCGTGAGGAGTCTTACAGATATTTGGATGGAAAACTTTTGTAACAAATTTTACATCAGGTGGATGATTAGGATAGTCTTGTGGAAACTTCAATGTCAAAACAAAGCTTGCATCTTCGAACAGACTATCGTCAGGTCCGTCAAGTATGGCATTCCATTGAAAAATGTTATCTGCACTGACTGGTGCGGCATTAATACCTTCAACAGGATTCTGTGTCAAGTCACGTAAATCACGCATCAAACGACGTTGAGCTGTGGTTGCTGTTGTTGTCGTAGGGTTCGATGATGAAGACATGATCAATCGTTCTAGTCGAAACTTATCTGAAGAAAATCAAGACGCATTTCATATGAAGGACAAATCAAGAATAGCAAACATCAAGCGTATGTGTATTTAGAGATACAAAACGAAAGAATGTATCTCCGTGGTATGACGGCGAAAACAAAGCTCTATCCATACATACGAGGCATGTTGATCACCTGATAAATATTATCATAAGACTACTTCGGATGTGTTATTCCGTACTAGTTGTAATAGTTGAATATAACTTTATTATGTAGGAAAAGAGAAAAAACAAGGTTGTAGGTGACCAATAGGAGATTGAAGATGGCGTTATAGCTTGTTTATTGAACGTGATTGGTTTGAGCTGAGTCTTCTCCAAAATAGAGTCGATACTATAGTTCGTATTTGTGATTGATATAATGCTTTGAATTTGAAACATTGATCAATTGAAAAGATCTCTTATATCTTACTGCACTACGAAAACTAATCTTCGAGATTTTGCTCGCCCTGATCACGTTAGATCATTCCATTGATTTTGACAAGCAAATACTAACAACGATTAGATCAGTGAATGACAACCGTTGCTTTGAAAGAACATCTAGAAAAATATTTTCGATGTTAATCGGTACGGTCGGTTCCTGGTGATTCTCGGAAGGAAAATTATCAAGATTATTGATTCCAGTATATACTTAAGTGCACTATTTTGGGGTTGATTGTTTACAAATACAAAGAGCAACAGTTGCGTACTAAACGTTCTTTCTGTCATTAGTGTAGTCAACGAAAAGACTAGTCGAAACAACTTGACGTGACTTTTCTTCGCTCTGAAAGTACAGTAAGTTCAATTCAACTGAGTTCGTTATTTATGAACAGAGTCGTCATCGACAGTAACATTTGAGTCTGCAGTTTTCGTCAGAGTAGTATCAAATCTGTAACACTATTTCAAATGTCCATTAGCATACCAAGTGCTTTCTTGAATGCTATGTATGCCGAGCAAGTACAGTTATTCTATTGACTTTGACAAGCATTGTGAATGCTCAGATTTCTTTACAGTGATTTAATTATAGAAAAAAAATAGACAAGCAACGTCTGGAATTAGTAGTGTGAGAATGTCACAGGTTGTTCATCTAGACTAGGCAGTATTGATGACATTATGACGAATTTTTGTTCAGTATCTTTGTTACCACATATATTATCGTCCTTGACGAAATTGTCCACCCTGTTGACCGCCACGACCACCCCCACGTGATCCTTGATGTCCACCACGATTACCACCGCCGCCACCTTTGCGATTATCTCCAGACCGACCGCCTGCATGTCCTATAATGAAGATAAAAATCCTAACAAGGTACGATCAAAACTTTACCTCCACGTCCGCCATCTCCGCGACCACGATATGGACGACGTGATGGTGGTCCAGAACGTGTTGGTCTTTCGTTGACATCCTCTTTGACTAGTCCAAGTACGTCTTCTGGCAATCGAAGGTATTTGATCGTATTACCACGAACATAACACTCAGGAATTTTCCAAAAGCGATCACCATCCTGTATGTTCAACATAAAATCAGAATCAAACTAGCAAATAATATGAACTCACTCGAGAAGTACAAATAACATCACGTAAGTGAATATTCATAAAATTGTCACAACTAATTAGGTTGCCGTTGTACGTCTCACCATTTTTGAGTTCAACCAACTATGGAGAGATCAAATATGAGATGAAATCATAGAATAAACCACTTACCATAGGATGAAACACAGCAGTTCGAAGAAGTGTCAATGGTAGCTAAGATAAAAAGAAATTTAAAAAAATCATGATTCTGAAAATCCATTTACATTGACTCACCATCTAAAATAGATGTAAAACAATATTATATGCAATCTGAATGCAAGTATTGAGAAATTTTTGTCATTCTAAAGTTAATTTTAACTGTTAACAAGAAATACATAGAAAACTGATCTCAATCCAATTTCACTACTGTACTCTCGAAAGCGGATTAACCCCATCAATCAAACGAATCATGATTTGAACAATAATCTTGCTTCATGTATCTACTGTCTTTCGAAATCCAACATAGAACAAAAATAAACCTCTCCTGTCTGTCTGTATAGACTTCTCTGTTTGCATTGGTTATTACCTTAAGACCATTGATAAAATTTTCTACTATAGAGATCGCTGTCGGCATAGATGTTAATAGATTTCTCCAAACATTGACAGGAATAATATTTGAAACGACAATTTCTCTCAATCTATCCGACTGAGACGATGAGATCGAATATTATACCGTATTGACCGATACAAAATGCAATGCATGTCTTTCTCTCATTATCATATATACTTTCTTATAACTTGTTGACGGTATAAAACGATACGATCTGACGTTCTTCTTAATCTGATTATGAAACATATCAAGAAAAACTATCCTTTGAACAGAAGTAAACGAACTCATTTTTGCTTCTTGAACGCAAACATCAGAGTTAACGTATAGTATTTCATGAACATACATGTACCGAATAGCTGTAATCATTTTGTCTCGGAAAATTCTACTGAAACTCACGAATAACTTTTGTCAGTTATACAATCTATTCTCTTTCTCACAGTGGTAAGATGGACCACCTTCTGGCTCCATCAACATTACATTTTATTTTACAATGGTCTACACGTTCGGCCAATAGCATCCTTATTTGTTCTTTCTTTCTTCCTTGATGTTTTTTGGTTAACCTGCACTGCACTTTGGCCTTTCAAGGTTTTCAGACATGGCGGCTGCAATCAAACCTTATCTTCATAAAGTTGAACTTAAAATTAAACCTTATTTGCAAGAAGGCCCATTATCCCCGTATTGGCAACTTCTTGAAAATAAAACGAAAGTCAAACGCGAGCACATAGCCTTAGGTATGCAATTCTTGTACGTTTAGTTATTATGGAGTTATTTATTTTCCCATTTCATCTAGGATTACTCGCTCTTTTGGCTATCTACTTAGCATTTGGTTGGGCCAATGACTTTCTTTGTAATCTGATCGGATTCCTCTATCCGGCCTATGCCTCGTAAGCGTTTGTTTGGCTTGTTCAATGAAGCTCAATGATAATTTCAATTTTTTTTATAGAGTCTTAGCTGTGGAGTCCAAAGGTACTCATGATGATACAGAATGGTTAATCTACTGGGTTGTCTATGCTGTATGCGGTATTATTGAGTACGTTGGACACAACTTCTTTCACTCATTACCATTCTACTGGCTTGGTAAATGTCTTTTTCTTATCTGGCTCATGGTCCCAGGACAAAAAGGTGGTTCTTACATATTATATCAACGACTTATTCGTCCTGTAGTTCAAAAGATTCATTCTACTGTTGAAAAACCAGCTCGTGAAAGTGAGCATTTGTCATGCAAAGCAACTTTATAGATACGAATGTTCATTTTGAATTTTTCCTTCTAGGTAATATCTATCCACGAGTACAGACAGTTGGTAGCAGCGATTAAATTGCTCTTTAACCCAACGATGAACTATCTAGAACATTTCTTTTGGTTTTTTTTTCTCCATTTATTTCAAGCGCGCTTCTCATAGATAGGACCAACGAAAGACTATACAAACTTTTGCTTTTATTCTATTTCATTCTTTTCAGTAAGTTTTCTGTCTGATCATATCATTATTGACTTCATACACTTTTTTGTAACTTACTATAAAACTAACGACTAATAAAACATGTTTGGTTATATAGAGGTGTAAGGAAACTAACCAACCAAGATAAGCTCCAGAAACTTTTCTTTACAATATATTTATGTCATCATTGCTCATTTTCCACAATCTATCATGGTTTTTCTCGTTCGTCAACTAATTAAAGATCATATTTTCATTACAACAATTAATGAACCGTAACGAAGAAGCATGTTTTCTCAGTCATACTTGCAATGACTGTATATTTTTGTTAGATGTAGAATGGTTCATAGGTTGCATCGAAATGGGATCTGTCTGGATATAAATCAGGCAGTTTGCACAGAAGTTCTCGATTGGCAAGGATGCTTGTCGTGACCAGTACGATCGTTTTTTAGCCCAACGCCTATCTGCGCACTTTAATTTCAACGATCAATCATTGTTTTCCAAGGTTAACTACAAATCATCGATTATGGCGGCTAAAGGCTAAAGGACAGAGAAATCAAGGAGCTATATGAATCATTATCGTAGAAATCCAACTTGTTGAAAAAAAATTACACAATCTTTTTAAATTATCTTTTATCAATTTCTATTATCTAAGTGTGAATATTGAGTGCACTATTAACGCAAGAATCACCACGTGTCGTTAACCGCTTCATAGCGACATCTGTATGAACGATGAAAATGCATGAATTTCCTCGTAGAATTTTAGAAATTTCCTCATATTTTCTCATCACTTCGATTGATTCTATCAGAAATATTTATTGTACTTGTCGTTTGTCAAACCTCTACCATATGTCTCAACAAAGAAACATAGTCATGGTGTTTTGAAACAATAAAATGTAAGCAGGTAGAGTAGAGCATACCAAACGCTTACGTACACATATTCTGCATTGATAGATCAAGCGCCACCTGCTACATAATCTTTGATGACATTTCAAAATTGATTTCTCAATTTTAGATTGTTGTATTTGTCTTCGCAAATCATCCCGAAGAATGACTGCTCGTGATCAAATGCGAGCTATGCTCGATCAATTGATGGGATCTGATAATGGTATGTCAATATAAAACCTCACGGATATTTCAGAGCGTTTTGCCAAAAAAAAAGAAGTTCATTCATTTCGGAGCATAAATTCTAAACTTTGAATTTTGTGTTCTTTATTAGTAGTGCCCTTATTTCTCTTCTTTTAAGGCACAGAGAGTCCATTTTTATTCATTGTTACTATCTGCCATATCTTACACTGGACGATCTCGTGAGTGTCATTTATTTTTCGTTTTCTCTTTGTCTATCGTGAATTGAACAATTCATCCCTCATAGACTCTCCGTAAACGCTACGTGTTTTAGCTAAAATCATGATGAATTTATCAAAAGGATGTAATTGCATCAGCAGCTACAAACTAAATATTGTGAGTATGTTTAAAAAACTAGGAACGAGGACATAATTTGAGCGGGTATGTATTGAAATTTGATGAGCACAGGTAAGTATATAAATGAGCGGATTCTGATTCAATTTAACGTGAAATTCGTCAGGAAAAATTCAAATAATATCATTGCATATTTCTAGGTGTATCAAAGTCAAGTATGTCATTCGAAGATCGTCGTGTATGTCGGCCATTTTTGTTAAACTGTTGTGCACATGAGATTCTGGCGGGAACGGTATGCTGTTTGGAAATATCTTGTCGAAATGTTCATTCGTATTTTGCGTAGAGAGTTGATTTAGGCGAATGTCCAAAAGTACACGAATACGCCTTGCGTGCGGATTATGAACGAGCAGCACTAACACGTAATTTACATTACGAACGCGACGTATGAAATCAATTTTGTATTTTGATGAGACGAAGATCGAAGATTCTCTGTTTGGATAATAGGCATTAGATGTGTTAACTCAATTTGTTGCTGATGCTGATCGAAAAACTGAACATGCAAAACGAAAACTTCGTGAAACACAAGAAGAACTCGGTGAAGAAGCTGCTCGAAAGGTAAATGTTTTCCAGATAATTAGATTTCAATAAACACTTCTTCTTCTTAGATGAACGCAATTCATGAATTAGGCGAACAAATCGGTACAAAGTTAGCTAGAGCAGAAGAACTAGGTGCTGAAGGGAATGTTGATGAATCGATGAAGTTATTAGACGAAGTTGAACAACTACGAAAAGAAAAAGTCGATTCGGAACAAGAATTTCGAGCAACAATGCCGGCGTCAACCTATCAGCAACAGAAACTGCGTGTGTGTGAAGTGTGCTCAGCATACTTAGGCATCCATGATAATGATCGTCGTCTAGCTGATCACTTCGGCGGTAAATTACATTTGGGTTTCATTCAAATACGTGAGAAACTGGCTGATTTACAAAAACGTGTCAGCGACTATAATGAAAAACGTGAATTGGAAAGAAAGTCACATCGAAAGTAATAGGAAAACACGACAGAGATAACGATTGATTCATTGTTTCTGTTGCTTATTCTTTTAGTTCGCCATCAGCTCCATCATCGTCTAGGAATGATCGTGATGGAGATGATTATTACAAACGAGATAAGCGAACGGCGCACCGTAGTCGAAGCCGAAGTCGACCAAAGAAAGTCTCCAGTCGAGACAAAGACCGACGACGATCCCGATCACGGTAAGATAAAATACATATTATATAAAGAACAAGAAGTTTCTTTTGTTCCAGCTCAGGAAATCGCTCCTCAAATTATTCACGTAACCATCGATCATCGCGTTCACGATCACGCGATAGACGTCGCCACAGACGATCACGGTAAATCAACACCTTCATTTCGTAAATAATCATCATTTTCTGTTGAATTCAGTTCGGGTTCAGCCCGTCGATACCGTCGTTCGCGAACTCCAACATCTTCATCGCGTCGACACCATCGCCATCGACATGATTCTCGATCACCTATTCCACATTCGAAAAGTAATGGCAGCAGCCACGACACAAACCGTCATGCCGATTCTGCAAATGCTCATGTCGACGACGATGAAGAAACAACACGAATCCTCGAAAGCATTCAGCGAAGTATGAAAGAACAAACCGATGTATCGATGCAATGATAATCAAGCAGAAAACACTTCAATCTTATCATCTGTAAAATTTTTGTTCCTTTTGTGTGGTAAATTCGTTCGACTCTTCTCTTTTTCTTCTTCGCTCTATTTGAAATAGAAAACTGATCAACTACGAAATCACTCGAAAAAACGCATATTCTTAATACATTCTATTGTCTTTTTCAGAGAAAGAAAAATCTTCAAAAATAGAGTTCGATTTCGAATTTCGTCTTACTTGCTACCTAATTATCTGGTTATTTATTGCTCTTCTCGCTATTTTTCTTGCTTGGTATCGATACGGACACAGTATTATTCAACAGCTGTCTAAAACACGTAAGTCGTTTTGATCGAACTGTCTAAATATACCAGGGGTAGGTTCGAGAACTGGCGATCGCACACTTTCATATTGAATTTGTGTGGTGTCTTTTGGTCTCGAAAATTAAAACCGAATTCCATTTTGAACTAATCGATTTATGAGGATTTCAAAAGTTTGATTCGTAACAAAAAAAAACACACCAATCAGCAGTGTTCTATTTTATGCTTAATACGTTCTCTCTTGTAGCTGCCAACCTCGAATCACACGGACGATCACGTTCACATAATTCATTGGATAAACTTATCCCAAATACAACAACTACAGCAACAACAACCGCTACTAACGCCGTCGCTTCTTCGAAGAAAGTTGATTAATAATGAGCTAAATTCTTTGCCATGGATAATTCTGTTTTTTTGGACGAAGATATTCCGTTCGTTGAATCAGGCGATTATGAAATCGATGAAGCAACTGGCGCAGGTAACGGAACAACGACGACACTCGCACATGGAAATATTGTATCGCTAAATCATCAATCACATCACTATCACGATGATTCAATATGGACGTCAACGAATCTACCAACAAAACGTGGCCGACGTCCTAAATCGGCAGCAGTTGTCATCACGACAACGGGACAAACGAACGAACCTAAACGACGTGGTCGGAAACCAAAACAAGACTCGCTATCACCAAAGAAATCTTTATCATCGACAGATACGAATAAATCGAATAATATTCTCTTAGAATCAACCGATGATGTGAATCAAAAACAACAACGCCGTTCAACGACTGGAATGAGATTGAATAAAAAAGCCAAACTTGATGAACAACAACAACAACAAATGACAGGTAAATCAAACGCTCCTTTCAATGTGATTTCTTTGACAAATGTGTTCATCTAGGAGATACGCGTAGTATGTTACATTCGAAACGTACTGGCAAAGTCACATCTCAGCAAGACCCTTCTCAGCTTACATCCAATATGCCGACAAAGATGAGTCTTGGGACGACTGGTAACATCGTTATCATGAGCGGTGATAATGGCGAGAATTCGCTGGTGAATAACAATGCAACAGCATCTTATGACCAAGCAGCTATTTTACAAGCACTGTGTCAAGCAGGCGTCAATCCACTCCACCATGATCCGACAGGTGACGATTCCGATTCTGATTCTGATGATGAAAGTGGTTCAGATGACGAATCGGTGGTCAGCGATGATGAAAACAATCGTTTATCAGATATGGATGATGACGATGTCACTCAACTGATAAATAAGGGCACCCGAGGGCGAGCACGGCGGCAGTCAACAAAGAATGCTAATCAAAAGAAACCGTCTTCAACACGTCGTTCAACCACGGCGGCGACAATTTCTCATCATAAAGTCAAACAAGATAAAAGTGATAGTGATGAAGATGATTCATCCGACGATGAAGACCTCGACGAGTTGGGCGTTGGCAATGACACAAACAACAATTTAAGTAATATTGGGAATCCACTCGATAACGACTCATCACTATTAGTTCCAGCAGACTTTTCCAATCCTGACTACGTTCAAAATCTTGTTAAACCACATCGTAAACGACGTACACATTTGCCTACGGATGATCAACCGAAAACTATACGTTGTCCGCAATCAGGTTGTACAAAAATGTTTCGTGACACAGCATCAATGAATAAACATTTACATACTCATGGACCACGTAAGAAATAAACTTCGCTAAAGACAACATTGATCAAAAAGAACTTCATTTCTCTAGGTGTACATGTTTGTCATGAATGTCAAAAATCGTTTGTTGAAAGTTCGAAATTGCGTCGTCATCAACTTGTTCATACTGGTGAAAAAGCCTTCCAATGTCCGTTCGAAGGATGTGGTAAACGATTTTCACTCGATTTTAACTTACGTACACATGTTCGAATACACACTGGTGATAAACCATACGTCTGTCCATTCGATGGCTGTAGTCGACGTTTTGCCCAATCGACAAATCTTAAGCAACATCTTCTCACTCATGCTAAAATTCGTTCACATCAACCATTCGCTATTCCAGCTGTTGCGGTTACGATTACAGAAATTCAACCTCAGTATTAATATATATATATATACATATATTAAATAGAACATACGTTATGTTTCTTGTCTTTTGTATATGAACTATATTAATCCTATCATTTGTGTATGTATGTTGTTTTGTATATAAATGTCACATGATCAGCCAGTCAGTCAACCAAATTAATGACGATATATTATTATTCTCTTATAGTTTATTATTTACTATTTTCTATGCNTTTCATCAATTTGTGATGTTGAACGAGAATCTTTTCGTCGGTTGGTAGAATGTTCAGCAGTAGTCGTTTGTGGACGTTTACGTACGAAGATACCTAAGTTTGATCCACGAAAGAGTGGAATCGATGTGCGGGAATGCCCATCGATAAGACGTTTTTCTAAGTGGAACTCTTCGTCCGACGATGCAGCCGATACTGGTTGTTGTTTGCTATGGACAACGAAAGAAACAAGCACCAAACCTAGAAAATCAAAGACTCTTTTCAATAGGTTAACAAACTGCGTCGAAATTACCACTGATGCATACGAGTTGCATGAGAGAAACCATTTTAACGATCGTTGAATGTGATGCTGAGATAATAATGCGAGTAAATGATAATTTGAAGAAATATATATATATATATGTGAGTGTGCTTCTATGACGTGCTTCTATCGCCTACTAAGTAAATCACTATTAGATTTAGTTTCTTCTATTTTCTCCCTTTCTTTTAATCTTCGAAATAGTGAACGACACGCAAAATATGAACGACAATGAGAAAGATTTGAGCAAATTATTGTATATAGTGAATCTTGACTGTCGACTGAGAATTCTTTTTTCGGTTTATAATGAGGATGAGAACGTTGCGTGAATAATGAAATTGAATACATCATGCGTAGTTTTAGGAATATTTGATCTCTACTTAAAAAGATCTGTCAATATGCTATAATGACATCGAGTAAAGTGAACGTTTAGTTTTGGAACAAAAATGTGCGCAGACGTAGTAAAACATCAAAAACTTTCTCGTTTTCATGATAATTACAATGGAGAGCGTATTTTTAGACTATATGTCCCGTAGATTCAATCTTTCTCGGAGAGATACGTCTTTATACTGATGTAGGTCAACTTGATATTCGGTCGTTTGTAATCATTTGAAAGATATTGTAGATTACATAATCATCTTATCCATTAGTATACACAAAATAGAAATGCGGAGGTGTAGATCTTCAGTTTTAGATGTCGTTTATACATCCTTTTCAATCTTTAGAAATCTATAAATAACGGAACTATATAGAATTCTATGCACGCTAGATACTCAATATTTATAGTATTTTGTATCATTATTGTTCATCAACGATCACACGTTGCAGAAATTCGATATGAGCACAGGGAGAATAAGTGATGTACTGAATCTTATTCGTAGTAGAATAACGTATTTTCGAAAAAAGATATTTTTATATTCTCCTATGCTGGTTGTCTTCTTTACAAAAAATGTCTCTTCTTCAGTTGCAATGTAATCAATCATCTAAACAACTATCTACTAGTAGAGTTTATTAATAAAAATTTCCGACCAAAGCTAAAACTTTAACCATGTTGCCAAAAACGATTCCAAAAGCCTGAACGTGGAGTTATGGGATGAGCTTCGAGTTCAATGATTTCGTCATTCGTCAAACGCCATCCAAGTGCCCCTGCATTCTGTTCTGCTTGCTTACCATCTCGAGCACCACCGAGTGGAATAACGCCTGAATGACACAAGTATAAGATTTACATAAGTATGCTATTTGTATTCATTGAAATCACTTGTACCTTTGCATATAACATAATTCAAAGCAACTGATGACACACTAACATGGTGTTTATCGGCGATGCGCCGCATTGTTTCTAAGAGTGGTTCAAGTTCATCCATGTTCACATCGGAAAACATACGACCAGAGGGTACCGGATTCGATTTGGAATATTTTCCTGTTAGACGACCCATAGCCTAGTTAAAATCTTCTTAGAGGTAACCATAAACATGCGTATCGATACGTACCAAAGGAGAATATCCAAGTACTGCAATACCTCGTTTATGACATTCAGCAATATGTCCAGATGTTTCGGGTAATCGTCGAAGAAGCGAATATTCTACTTGATTCGAAGCTAACTGAATACCATGCTTTTGTAAACAATCGTACATTTTAATCATCTCATCGGTTGAATAATTCGATACACCGACAGTTTTTGTTAATCCAAGTTTAACTGCTTCAGCTAATGCATCAGCAAGAACTTGAATCGAACGCAGATGAATAGGGCCATGAATTTGATACAGATCAACACATTGAACCTATCATACAGTGTTCAACTGAATTCTATGTTCAGAATACACATACTTGCAATCTCTCTAAACTGGCACGAAGCGCATTGAGAAGTGAACTTGGGTATGCTAATCTGTATGGATAAGGAAGAAATTTCGTAGCAATAACAATATCTTCCGCATTCTCAGTCGATTTATATCGAGCGATACAGCGTTCACTAAAACAAACATAGATTCGTGCTATTCGGTCTATTAAGACTTTTATTCACCTTTCTCCGTGACCATATATTTCAGCAGTATCGAAAGTGTTAATTCCCTTCGACATCGACACGTCGAAAGCTTCTTTTGCCTTCCCATTAAGTTCTTCATTCCAATTCCATACTCTTGTATCGCCCCAAGCCCAAGTACCCAACACTATATGATCAGTTATCGAATATGTTTTATATTCGTTATCTTCTCTGCCTCACCTAACGGCGAAACTAAAATACGATCTGCTAGCTTGATTTTAGTTTCCGCCGTTGGAATCACATCTGTCGGTAGATGAACGTTATAACTCGTGAAGGAACTAGACGCCATGGCTTATCAAGTGAGTTTAACATTTACCTATCTATTTGTTTATGTTAGTTTAAATGGACAATTGAAAAGTCCATTGAAACGAATACTTTGATAGGCGGCGCTATTTTCACACTCGGATGAGAACCACATGAGCTATCATTGGAAAAACATATTTTTGTACAAAGTTTAACAGTATTGTAAGAAAATATTAGCTGATCAGAATTATCAATAAAGCACAAACGAATAGCAAAAAGAAAAATAAATCAGAAAGATTTCTATGTACAGTATACAAGTCTTTGATTAACACTCGAGACTATCTGACCGCACTGTCGAGACATTCGTTTGAATTGTTTGCTCTTGACTCATTTCTGCTTTTCTACGGTGGAATTGTCGAATCACTGGTATCAAGAATGTGACAAAACCCGATACACCCATGAATATACCAGCAATGATCAGTGAGGTTTTATATCCATGACGCTCAGCAATCCAGCCTGCGAAAGACAAAATAACAATCAAAACTTAAGCATTACCGTACAATCTAATTTTCGACATATTGTTTTGCCTAGAACATTCTTAAATCGTGCATTGTGATGCTTCACTACTTCGTACTACGTATCGAGCAAATATAAATATCTGATAATATTTATTTGTCCTCTCAGTACTTTTCATCCTTTACCTCAGGAGTTAAATTTTGTTAGCTCATCTTGACCCTATTTTTTTCTATATTTATCGCATCTTTTTTCGTACGCAAAAGAAAAATTTTGCTAAATCGATCAAAACAATGCCGACTTTTTTTTCTTACTTCCAACAACTGGTCCCGATAAGGACGATACACCTTGGCCAAGTAAAACTAGACCATACGCTGATGTTAGTGATTCTAGACCACACATGTTTGCCAGAATAATTGATGTCAATGCATAATTAGCTGATACTGAAAGTCCGAAGAGTAATATAATCATCATCAACGTCATATATGAATGTGCAATGAATGGAATGAGAAAACTAGCGAGTCCACAGAGAATTGCGCCGATATTGTAGAATATCATTGCATCAATTTTCGAATAATTTGCTAAAAGTCCATAGAACAGTTGGCCGAAAAATTGCCCAAAGCCAAGGATTGTCACTAGCATAGTCATTTGCTTTTTCGAATAGCCAATAACTTTTTCACCATAGTCGACTAGAATAGAAAGAAGAAGATATGTGAAATCGAATGTAGAGAAGACGTTTTCATCGATTCGAACTGACCAGGAAAAATATAGATTAAATCATAGAATAAATAGAACAAAAATTGTGAAGCAAAAAAGATCACATATCGATAATCGTGAAATAATTGTAAACCTAACATTCGACGTAGTGTATGGCAAAAGGATAGTCCTTTGCGAAAGAATACTTGTCGACGATGCTGGCTATGATTGGAGTCCGTATCACCATCGGATATTGTTGTAACTGACTCTTCGAACACATATGATTGAATTAAATTCGGACAACTCACTTGAGTGAGAGGAGATGATTTAAGTGGAACATCACCACGATAGAAGATATCTTTTTGACTAATTGGTTGGTAATAAACTTCTAATAGTTGTTTATCTTGTTCTTCGGGAGGAAGTGAATAGAAGCGAGAGAGACGATTTGTTGAAGAACTAGTTCTGGTCGTAGATTTGTCGCCAGTTGTTTGACTTCTTACTAGATTTCGAAATTTTGATAATGGTACTGTAACTTGAAAATTTTCATCAAATTCATCTTCAAGTTCCGGTATATCATCGGCCGAGTACGAATCATACAGTTCGCCATCGGGGGCTTCATAATTTGACGTTGATATACTAACTGATTGATGTGCTTGACGTAATGCACATTGTTTATCCATCTCGACAATGAAGCGTTGTAATTTTTCGATCGATGTCATACAAGATGGTGGCAAACGATGATCATTGATCTTCTTTTCACTGTTCGGGTGAGAGTGTTCGAATGAAAATTCTACCGGACGAAAAAGTGCACCGAAACCAACAATTGTAAACAGTACACCTGATAATAACAAAGTCGTCTCTCGCCAGTCGCTATAATAATCATTGATAATATGAATGAATTGTGCAACAACTGCATTTCCCAAGCCTGCAAAGCATTACATTGAAATTTTAACGTAGGAGTCTTCGACAGGTTCCTTACCCGTTCCGCCAACAGCGATGGCCGTAGCAATGGCGCGATTCTCATCAAAGTAATGTGCAACAATAACGACAGCTGGCACATAAACAAATGACAAACCCGTTCCTATACCGACACATATTTCACTCAAAATCTCAAAAACATTTATTTCACAAATTCGTTCTTACCACAAACGAAGCCAATACCAATTAAAGCTCCGACAAAATTTCCCAGCAGTGAAGCCATAAGCAAGCCTAGTGAACATAAAAGTCCACCTAACATAGTCACACATCGACATCCAATTCGATTCACTAGCGCGCTAGATATTGGTGCTAGAAATAACGGTAGACTAACAAACAACGAAGCAATGATTCCAACTGTATGTAATTCAACTTTGAGATCTTCCTTGATCATATGCATGAGAATACCAAACGAAAACAGAACACCATCAGCAACGAAATGTGCGCCGAATGAGCCAAAAACGACCACCCATCGCCATGATGTATGCCGAATAATAGTTTCATTCGACGATGTTTCACCAGTGCCTGCTAAATAATCTTTCCCGTTAGTTTCACTTACTATTAATAGTGGCTCGGATACTGTCGATGCTCGTTTCGATTGTAGAGTTGACTTTCGAGGTGTGAACGAAACATCCGCAAGCATATTTCTAGATTTGAATGTTAACAATAGAACTTTTCTTCGGGTTGTTATTTAAAAGAAATATTTTCTGTCATTTCTTTCATTGACGAGAAAATTATAGGGGCAGATATTGTTAATGGAAAAAGAAAGAAATAAAAGAAAAATATCGAGTGTAATTTGATTGCAAGCATGCTTATTTTCTCTCAAATGTCGAAGCACAGACAAGTGCATCAACCTGTCAAGTCAAATGAAAAGAAAGGGAAAAAGAATTCTATCGAGTATATAAATAATTGTTGTTTATTTAAAACAACTCACTGATATATCACCTGACAAAAGACAAAAAACAAAAAGTAAGCAAATCGAAATCGATCGACCTTGACTTTCTTTTTCGTTTTTACCACTTGATTCATAAAACCTGCGACGTATAAATTAACAAAAACAAATTTAACTACGAATTAGATTCCCCTAAATGGTCAAAGGCGGTTTCGAATACCAAACTCGTGTGTTAATGACGTACACAATGACTAAGTACTGCTCGATACAATAGATCGATACTCAAATAATACGATTCAGTGATTAATGGGGTTTCTTCCCATTATGAGAGTCGCTTAGACTCATTCTTGGACAAAATTTGCTCTTCTCTCGATTAATCGGCTGGTGGTTACCATTCTGTAAGAACAAGATTTTCATAAAATTTTATTTCTCATAAACTGACAAAAACATTCATTTAAAGTATACTCTAGAACATCATAACCAAGATATAACGCGTTTGAATAGTTATCTGACAAATATATGCACAGAACACATTGAAAACAAGCCAAATTCATTTCATATATACACCGGTGTAGAAAAATAAGCAAATAGATGTTATCGTTGTATCAACCATGATAAATTCATTGTTTTCGATGACGAAAGACAATAAGTAACACTAATAAAGAAGAAAAGTACAAACCAATAAATCAAGTAACGGATGGTTTCTGCCCAATTATTGATTGTTGCTCGTGCGTCCGAAAAACATTTGGGGAAACAATATTCGTTAGGAATAGCAATCTTCACATTCTCTTCAAAGTAGGAAAAAAACGGAAACCAAAAACGCATTCGTCGAATATCTCGTTGCAGAAATATTCGATTGTTCGCAAGACTAAATCAAAGTGACAAACCGTGAAATTTTTCCTTTCATATTCTCCCTCTTCTTACGTATGATAGTAAATAAACAGCCGAGAACTTAATACCCAAGCTATAAGGATATCGATTGAATAGTGTTGATGACCGGCCAAGATGAAGAACATGCCAGTGAAAGCAGTGATCCAACTGAGAAAATGAAGCAGATGGTATGAACGTGGAGTATCTGAATAGAAGGTATCAAATTAGTCTCTGACATCCAATAGTTCACTCTCGAAACTATTGCAAAACATTCAGATTACTCAAAGAACTGCAGATTGGACTTAGTGCATTAGAAAACTCGCGAAAACGATATGATACGTACATTCATTGATAAAATGGGCAGCTAATATGAGAGTACATGTATGTCCACTGTATAAATAATCTCCACAGGTTTTCACGCCGAATGAGGACATACCTTGGCCGATAAAAATGAACATGGCTTTATTTAATCGTGCTGTAAAACTCTCCAATCGCTGGAAAGAAAAGGTAACGAGATTATAACGAATATTTCGATTTCTTCACATTTTTCAAACCTTAGGCTGACAATCTGTCACTCGAGTAGCGACGGGTAACGATGTAAAAAGCATTGTACAACTTCGAAGAAAATAAAGAGCTGCGACAATTGAAAACAATCGACGAATAATAATAATCCTAGAAGAAAAATCTCGTCTTTTAACAAACGACAAAATAAAATTCGTTTAACACATTACCGATGTCGATGTAACACAATAACGATGATAAGTGTCAGTATTTCTAAAACAATAAGTTTTTCTGTTACAGCAAATGCCCACGGTATTTCTTCGATATTTTCTAAGATAAGATCAGGTAATGGCGGAAATGTTTTCGGATCAGGTAAACGTTCATCAACGACAGTAATCACAAATGATGAGAAAAATATTGTAATTAAAAGCATGAAAAAGGCTAATAAAGTTTTCTTCCTATCCGACCGAATAGACGTTATCAAACAGCAATTCGTTGGTAGATAATCTTCGATTTGATCATAAGATGTATAAGAATTCAGAACATTAGGTTCGAGTTGAAGCGTAGTTGAGTTTTGAAGCGTTTTGATTTGTAACCATAGGTCACTGTTCTTTGTTAAAGATAGTATATCATTTTCGTTTAAGTTTATCAAATGTTTGCCATCGATTTGATTTTTATGACAGAGAATATCAATGCAATCATTAAATTGATTTTGTCCCAGCCATTCTTCAACTTGATGAGTGGTCCATGTTGAAGGGTTCGATCGCCATATCGAAGGACTTGGAAGGGTAGGTTTGCTCATTCTTATATCGGGTAGTCTTTCTAAATGAGAAAGAAATCACAAAGGTTCGATTGGATAAAGATATAGGTTAGAGTAAAAATGTCAAAAAGACTGGCTAGGAGAGTGGATTCTTTAAAGGTCTACTTGTGTTTGGTGTTTTATGGATGAATTATTATCACGAAAGGAAATGTAATCTTTGTTCAACAAGAGAAATGACGTCTGTTAGCTGTACGTGCTTCCATAATGCACCAGGAGAGGAGTGTAATTTTTATTTTTATGCAACCTAATGCATCGTCATCGCACAGCTCTTATCGAATATGATTCATTTAATCGCAAAAATGCAAGATAACTCGTTTATGTCTAATCGTATGTGAATATCAGGTCTTCAGTGAAAGTAAATATCTCTTACTCATCTCGAACTCGATTCATTTCGAATAGAAAAGTGGTATTAACGACTAGTCGATATACGTAAATTAATCTTTGTAAAGTTTCTCTTGTTCTCTTACTTCAAAAATAATATTGATCTACTATCAACATTTATTCTTTTCCTTGGCATCTGTCACTCGATATGAAAATTTGCGTGGATACTAGAGCTACTTACATTCTCTCGTTTTCTTCTTTCTTCTTCGTCTTCCCATTCAAAATTCAACCCATGCTCGGGCGAGTTAAAGAAATGTCGCCGTGTGGCGATTATCTGAAAATAAATTAATATATTGTTCATGTTAGGAGGACAAAAAATGTCGCGCTAAACAAAATGTGTAAATTTAGAAAAAAAAAACGACAACACGAAAATACTATCACATTCAATTATTGTTTTTTCCGGTGCATACACTTCTCATTATCACAATTAATTAGCGAAGTTTTATCTTTTTTGTTCTCTTCATCGTCTTCGGGACTATAGATCAATGTCAATGGCCATGGGACGCGTAAAACATTCGGCACCATACATTGAATGTTTCTCTCGAAATAAGAAAACATTGGAAACCAAATGGATAAGCGGTTATCTGATATTGAATGCAAAACAGCATTGTTAGCTAATGAATGGTAGTAGAGAAATAACCGACTGGTTAAGAAGAATGCGATCAAAACATCAATCGTATAGTGTTCATGCGCAGCCAAGATCAAAATCATACCGAGGATGTTGCAAAGCCAAGAGAGAAGATGAATAACATAGAAATCGGAAGTTGTGTCTGAATGAAAAGGAGACTCGTTGTGTTTATTATAAGGAAAATATTGAATTTTACATTCGGTTATACAATGATTTAACAGTGTTAACATCACCGTATGGCCTGAAAACATGTAATCACCACAGGAACGGATACCATGGATGGATAAACCTTGAAAAAGAAAAATTTGAAGCCAACGAGTAAAAATTTCTCGAGTTGTGCCATATTGCTAAACGATTCACATCAGTTAAGTAAACAAAAGCAAGAGTATTACTTACTAATGGTGTACATTCAAGATGTGGACCGGGAACCTATGAGAACAAGATTGTATTAAAATCGAGGATGAAGCTTCAGATAAATCAAACAATATTTCTATCCGATAAGTGTAAAACAACAGAGCCAGGTGTTTATGATCTACATATGTATATCCACGTAGAAACTAGTTTTACGATTTAGATCAAAATACTTGATATAATCTAATAAATACGTTTTCCTGCTTTTCCCCGATATCACTGCAACAATCGAGTGAAATGTATGACGAAACATTTTCAAAAATAAATAAGTACAAACAGGAAAGTTGAACGCTTTTTTCGACACACAATGATGATTGTTTCTCGAAAAAAGTCATTGTGACCTGTGAAATCGATTCGTCATACTTGAATAAATCACCCTTTCCTACTCACCTAATCGAAAGGTTGCTGTTTTTTTGTAAACAAAATGAATTCCTCAATTCGATCAATTAATGATACACATCCACAGACAGTACTCGTCTGCTAAGTAATTCTTTCTGCTGAGTTTTTCTCTTCGAATAACAGCTATATTCCGAACACCCACGCTCACTTATTCTTAATCTACTCATCTGTCGACATTATTTTCTCCATCCTTCGTGATGAATTGCTTTTCTTATTCTAGTCAATACGCAAGTACTCTCAGTCTATTTCGGTAATCTGACATCCTACGATTCGAGATATGCTGGAATCATACGAAAGAACTAAATTAACGCTCGCACGAGTCGTATATATAAAGCGAAAGAGAAAGTAATCTACAATACGCTCGATTTAATTAGAAATTGCGATAAGCCAGTAAGAAGATCTTACACTCAGTGATGTCACCAACATTGTAATTGATCGAAGAAGGAAGATGGTACCACCGAGAGCGAAAAATCGCCGTAATATGATACTCCTAGTGAAGGATACTGATTGAAGATTAAAGTTGTTAATCCTACTTTCTTTCACTCACCAATATTTGTGAAACATTAAAATCAGTAAGAATGTGATACCCATGACAACAATCAAGAACTCACTAACTGTAAATGCCCAATCTGTGAAAAGAAAAGGAGAGACCCATCACCTATATTGTCTTTTATTTCTAAAGAAGAGGAAACTCTTACGAATCAGTGGAATATTGTCGAGAAAAAGATCAGGTAACGGTGGGTACCTTCAATAGAAGAAAAGAACGATTCGATGTAATGGAAACACAACAGAACTTTTCCCGTTTTACTTTTGTACATTCGGTACTCGATTGTGTACAACTACCATTATGAACGATGTCCATATGCCACTAATCAATGCATAGATAAAACTCACTAGAGTCTTACGTTTCTCTCCATTCAACGTCTTGAAAATCGGCTTTGATTTCGTGTGTATTGAACATGAATCTTCGCTTGTTCCTAATAAATGAGAAGGTGATAATGACGAATGATTATGTTTTGTCGAGCGGTCGTCCAATGAAGAGTAGAAATCATTTTGTTGACACTGAAGCAAACGAATGTGATACCAAAGCTTTTTAATATCACGCAAACGTTCAATGGATAACGGTGGCTGCTTTAGATCGTCCTCTTTCATCATAAGCAATGTTAACCCATCGATGCCATTCTCCGTGCATAGTCGATGGATGAAATTCGACAGATTCAAAGATTCGAGCCAGTTCGTAACATCTGTCGTTGTCCATGAAACAACTGGCAAATGTGTTTGTTCCTAAAAATTCAATGTACGAAAAGATGGTTAGATAGAACGTTTATTTACAAGATTGGATTTGGTTTCGTTGTTATGGTGTACGGAAGGGTTGCTGATAGAAGACTTGTTCATAATTCAAAACTAACCATCGACAATCTGAAAGTAAACAATATTATTTTTTTAGGTGAGAAAAAAAGTGGGAAATATTGTAGTGTTAATGCCAACAGATTCTTTTACATATGGTCGTATTCGTTAGCAATGATTCGTTCGTACCAACGGGGAATTTTCGATAGATGTCATTTACTAACAATCACACTTTAGTAGAGTAAACACACAGCTTGATCTTCAGAAATGAAAACAGCGAGAAAAACTGTTTTGAATATCAAAGACTGACAAGAAGAAAAAAGAATCGCTTGTTCGTCATTGCGATTAAAACGTCGTTTTGTAGGAAAAAAAAGTTGATATCTGCATGAGTGAATATTAGCTTCGTTAAATTTCTTTAGAAAACTTTTTCTTCATAATAATTTCCTTCCGACGTAGTATAAGTAGTTTATAAAAAGTTTATGACCTATTCTTAACTTAAACTAACCATGAAATGACTTTTTTATGATGATGATAGAGTGCTTCTAACGCTTTGTGTATGTAAAACAAAACATTCAGAGACATCATTTATTGACTGTAAATCTTATATCAACACAGAAAAGGCGATAAAGTCAGACAGGCATAGATTTCGGCGTGGAGGTGAAATTTGCATTGAAGAAGATGCCACAAGTTGAATATGCATCAATTTGTTTCCATGGAGGAATATCTGTCAATTGATCGTATGAACCTGGACCAGGTACACTGAATAACTTCTGCCGAAATCGGTCCGTTCCACTTCGAAACGACGATGTTATCGTTGGACCTTTCGTATCGACTACCTTTGTTCGAGGTTCGTATTCACCAGGAGCTGGGCCAGCTTGCTGTAAAATGAACTTCAGTAAACAGTGGACTAGAACGGTTTTCAACTTACCGGTGGAAAGAGTTTTCGCTTACTTTTCGATTTGAAGAAACTATGTCTAGAACATTTCCATCATGAATGATATGAGATATCAATCATTTTACTGACTTCACTGATTCGATGGGAACATCGATCCGATGATATTTCTGTGTTTCGTATAAGCCCGGTGCAACATCGATATCCTACGAAAATAGAGTACATTCTATTTGTATTTGATTACTTACGATTTGAAAGTACGATGAGCTGAATTAATTATTCTATATTTGCTTTACCTTGTCATGATTAGCCAAAACAGTTTTTTTCAATGATTCTTCTCTTGCAGGGCTTTTGAAACCATATGAAAGTCGACGACGGAACATTCTAGAAGAGTTTTATCAATCAAAATCAAAGTACATGAATCTGACAGTAACGTACTCATCAAGAGAATTTTCAACAGAATATGCACCAGGCAATAGTTCTTTACCTTTCGGTTCTAATGGTTGAGGATCACGTCGTCGCCCATCACTTTTGAAACCATAAGTCATCGGACGAGCAATTGTTTCTTTAATAAACGTATTCAAATGTGTATCATAAGTACCCGGAATTGGTGTGTCCTATACTTATCGATATTCACATTTCGAAGTATTCGTATTGATAAAATCTCACTCTGATTGTCACGCGCCACCAGCTCTCTCGATCAGACATAGATGGTTCATATTTAGACAATTTCTGTTGACGACGTTTTACTTTTGCATCGGTTTCTCCTTCTGTTGGAATTGCCAGTGATTGCGAGCGCACTCGTTGTTGATTCGAACGTTTTCGCTGTAATTCGTAGTCTAATCTTCCATTTCGATTTCTTTCTTCGAATAATGATACTAATAAATCCGAATCTTGCATTTCTTTTTCGATTAAGATCAATCCGATGAAAAATTTCAGTTTTGCTACTGTCACTTCACCCGAACGTGATTGAGATTGTTTTTCCTCTTAACAACATCGTAGTCATTGCATACTTCATCATTATGTGTACTTATTACATGTGCACATATATTAAAATTCTTCGACGTAGAACAAAAAGAAAGAAAGCAAAACAGAAAAAAAAGTGCACGATCGTTGACAATCCATGTTGAACAACATGAGAAAACAGGTTAGATCAAGAAGGAAGACAAATTTACAAGTCACGTCACACTTGAAAATCGAATTTTCTTTTTCTCGACAACAAACTGTCAAGTAAGTGACGAAACAAATTGAAGTACATCATTTGAATCAATGATGAGCACGCACGCATTTTTTCGCATGCCACATTTCTGTATTAAAGATAGAAACATGAATTTTATTAATTAACAATCAAATAGTTAGACGAGCCATTGTTGTTACTGTTCGATATTTTGATTACATAGCCTATTCACGTTCTCAAGTCTTCAGAGAACATCGATTCAATTGTCTTGAGTAATGAAATTTTCAATCAACAATGGTATGCAAAGCTGCATGAATATTTAAATGAAACAAAACGGCCATTTCTTAGATACACATTGTGAATTGCTAGTAGGATGTGCGATACCTGGATGAGAATAAAATCCACGAACGGTATCTAAGACAGACGGCGGCATATTGTTAAAAGAAGATAGAATAACAACAAGATTGTTCTCTTATTGATGACGACAATTTTCTTGGAGAAAACAGGGAGGGGGTCCAGCTCTTCTTTTGAACATCACAAGTATGTCATGATGTAGACAACGGGCTCTTAAATTAACTTTTAAACATAGACAAGAGAAACATAATGTTGCATACTGTGACGAAAGCAATCGGATAGTTTCAATATCAGCTATTGAGTAGTCATCATCAAAACCAATGGAAATCACTTGACGGAAAACAATCGATTGAATTGTTGATTTTTCAAGAATGAAAAAAAACACAGAACGAACGTTGTATTGATATGATCGAATCTGCGAAACATGATGCAATGGATATGTGTCTGTTTTGATTGAAATCTTTCACACATACACTTGTTATATCTTCTTACATTTACAGTCGAATAGATTTCAAAATTTCTTCAAGTAAACTTGATCTAATTAACGAAGAATTCGTTTCAAGCATGTCTAATCTTTGACAACATTCACTGATCTTCCTCTGATCAAGAATACACGAAACGTGTCATCGTTTGACTTTGCGACGTTTTCTCATCAAGACACTCCACCTGTTCGCAAGTTTGGCTCCATTGAAGAAAAGAGAAATAAAAAAGAGGCAATTATCATTAATATCAACGATTCACTTGTCCTTTACAGATACGATAAGACACAGCAAAAGCATATGCGATAGGAATATTTGAACATTAATCGAACTCTCTTTTGTATATGACTCTAAGGAGTCGTAAAATGATCATTTTCCATCTAATATCTATGTCATGAATGATAATCAGTTGAAGAAGATGGCTTTTCTCTTTTTCTGATAAGCGTTTACAAAAAAAACTCATCCGACACCCTCGACTCTTTTTTATCATATATCTGTTGATTTGTTCTATTACATACACGCACATATTAATGTGTTTTGTCGATTTGGAGTATTCCTTCTATAACTCTCTCTTTCTGTGTCTTCCCTTTCAACAATAATGTTTTTTTTTCGTTGTAGTAAGACACAGAGAGGAAGAATTCCCTAGTCTCGTTGATTTCTCCAAAGATATGAAAAAAAAGAGAGCAAAAGACGCTATGGAACGGCGCCTGATTGAGTGGAACAACGATCACACATCGTCTTCACTCGTTCTCGACTTATATCATCATATATAAAAGATGATGAAACGAACAAAAAGTCAGCCTTTGTAAGTATTATTGATGAAAAATGGGTTGGTACGAAGAAAGATGTTGATCATGATCATTTTTCTTGTCACTAATCAGGGATTGGCTCATGATCCATCGCTTTTTCTCATTGGTTATTAGCGTGTAGCGCAAAANCGTTTGTGGACGTTTACGTACGAAGATACCTAAGTTTGATCCACGAAAGAGTGGAATCGATGTGCGGGAATGCCCATCGATAAGACGTTTTTCTAAGTGGAACTCTTCGTCCGACGATGCACCCGATACTGGTTGTTGTTTGCTATGGACAACAAAGGAAACAAGCACCAAACCTAGAAAATCAAAGACTTTATTCAATACGTTAACAAACTGCGTCGAAATTACCACTGATGCATACAAGTTGCATGAGAGAAACCATTTTAATGATCGTTGAATGCGATGCTGAGATATTAATGCGAGCAAATGATAATTTGAAGTATATATATATGTGTGCTTCTATGACGTGCTTCTATCGCCTACTAAGCAAATCACTATTAGATTTAGTTTCTTCTATTTTTTCTCTTTCTTTTAATCTTCGAAATAGTGAACGACACGCAAAATGTGAACGACAATGAGAAAGATTTGAGCAAATTATCGTATATACTGAATCTTGACTGTCGACTGAGAATTCTTTTTTCGGTCTATAATGAGGATGAGAACGTTGCGTGAATAATGAAATTGGATACGTCATGCGTAGTTTTAGGAATATTTGATCTCTACTTAAAAAGATCTGTCAATATGCTATAATGACATCGAATAAAGTGAACGTTTAGTTTTGGAACAAAAACTTGCGCAGACATAGTAAAACATCAAAAACTCTCTCGTTTTCATGATAATTACACTGGAGTGCGTATTTTTAGACTATATGTCCTGTAGATTTAACCTTTCTCGGAGAGATACGTATTCATATTAATGTTGGTCAACTCGATATTCGATCGTCTTCAATCATTTGAAAGATATTATAGATTAGATAATCATTTTATCCATCAGTATACCCAAAATAGAAATGCGGAGGTGTAGATCTTCGGTTTTAGATGTCGTTCATACATCCTTTTCAATCTTTAGAAATCTATAAATAAAGGAACTATATAGAATTCTATGCACGCTAGATACTCAATATTTATAGTATTTTGTATCATTATTGTTCATCGGCGATCACATGTTGCAGAAATTTGATATGATCCAAGGGAGAATAAGCGATATACTGAATTTTATTCGTAGTAGAACAACGTATTTTCGAAAAAAGATACTTCTGCGGATGTGAGAACATGATACTTTTATATTCTTCTATGCTGGTTGCCTCCTTTAGAACAAAAATGCCTCTTTCCCAGTTGCAATGTAATCAATCATCTAAATAGCTATCTACTAGTAGGATTTATTAATAAAAGTTTCCGACCAATGCTAAAACTTTAACCATGTTGCCAAAAACGATTCCAAAAGCCTGAACGCGGAGTTATGGGATGAGCTTCGAGTTCAGTGATTTCGTCATTTGTCAAACGCCATCCAAGTGCACCAGCATTCTGTTCTGCTTGCTTACCATCTCGAGCACCACCGAGTGGAATGACGCCTGAATGATACAAGTAAAAGATTTACATAATTATGACATTTGTATTCATCGAATTCACTTATACCTTTGCATATAACATAATTCAAAGCCACTGACGACACACTAACATGGTGTTTATCGGCAATGCGCCGCATTGTTTCTAAGAGTGGTTCGAGTTCATCCATGTTCACATCGGAAAACATACGACCGGAGGGTACCGGATTCGATTTGGAATATTTTCCTGTTAGACGGCCCATAGCCTAGTTGAAATCTTCTTAGAGATAACCATAGACATGCGTATCGATACGTACCAGAGGAGAATATCCAAGTACTGCAATACCTCGTTTATGACATTCAGCAATATGTCCAGATGTTTCGGGTAATCGTCGAAGAAGCGAATATTCTATTTGATTCGAAGCTAACTGAATACCATGCTTTTGTAAACAATCGTACATTTTAATCATCTCATCGGTTGAATAATTCGACACGCCGACAGTTTTTGTCAAACCAAGTTTAACTGCTTCCGCTAATGCATCAGCAAGAACTTGAATCGAACGAAGATGAATAGGACCATGAATTTGATACAGATCAACGCATTGAACCTATCATACAGTGTTCGACCGAATTCTATGTTTAGAATACACATACTTGTAATCTCTCTAAACTGGCACGAAGCGCATTGAGAAGTGAACTTGGATATGCTAGTCTGTATGGATAAGGAAGAAATTTCGTAGCAATAACAATATCTTCCGCATTCTCAGTCGATTTATATCGAGCGATGCAACGTTCACTAAAACAAACATAGATTCGTGCTATTCGGACTATTGTGACTTTTATTCACCTTTCTCCGTGACCATATATTTCAGCCGTATCAAAAGTGTTAATTCCCTTCGATATCGACACGTCGAAAGCTTCTTTTGCCTTCCCATTAAGTTCTTCATTCCAACTCCATACTCTTGTGTCGCCCCAGGCCCAAGTACCCAACACTATACACGACGAGTTATCGAATATGTTTTGTAATCGTTATCCTCTTTGCCTCACCTAACGGTGAAACTAAAATACGATCTGCTAGCTTGATTTTAGTTTCCGCCGTTGGAATTACATCTGTCGGTAGACGAACATTATAACTCGTGGATGAACTAGACGCCATGGCTTATCAAGTGAATTTAACATTTACCTATTTGTTTGTGTAAGTTTAAATGGACAACTGAAAAGTCCATTGAAACGAGTACTTTGATAGGAGGCGCTATTTTCACACTCGGATGAGAATCACATGAGGTTTCATTGGAAAAATATATTATGTACAAAGTTCAACAGTATTGTAAGAAAATATTAGTCGATTAGAATTATCAATAATGCACAAACGAATAGCAAAAAGAAAAAATTCAGAGAGATTTCTATGTACACTATTCCATAGTCTTTGATTAACACTCGAGACTATCTGACCGCGCTGTCGAGACATTCGTTTGAATTGTTTGCTCTCGACTCATTTCTGCTTTTCTATGGTGGAATCGTCGAATCAATGGTATCAAGAATGTGACAAAGCCTGATGCACCCATGAATATACCAGCAATGATCAGTGAAGTTTTATATCCATAACGCTCAGCAATCCAACCTACAAAAGTCAAAATAACAATCACAACTTAAGCATTGCTGTCCATTATAATTTTCGACATGTTATTTAGCCTAGAACATTCTGAAATCATGCATTGTGATGCTTCATTACTTCGTATTACATATCGAACAAATATAAGTATTCGATAATATTTATTCGTTCTCTCAGTACTTTTCATCCATTACTCAATGATTTAAATTTTGTTTTTTTCGCCTTGACCCTACTTTTTTTTCTATATTTATCGCGTCTTTTTTCGTACGCAAAAGCAAATATTTGTTAGATCGATCAAAACAATGCTGATTCTTTTTTCTTACTTCCAACAACTGGTCCCGATAAGGACGATACACCTTGGCCAAGTAAAATTAGACCGTACGCTGATGTTAGTAATTCTAGACCACACATATTGGCCAGAATAATTGATGTCAATGCATAGTTAGCCGATATTGAAAGTCCAAAGAGTAATATAATCATCATCAACGTTACATATGAATGTGCAATGAATGGAATAAGAAAACTAGCGAGTCCACAGAGCATCGCGCCGATATTGTAGAGTATCATTGCATCAATTTTCGAATAATTTGCTAAAAGCCCATAGAATAGTTGGCCGAAAAACTGTCCAAAGCCAAGGATTGTCACTAACATAGTCATCTGCTTTTTCGAATAGCCAATAACTTTTTCACCATAGTCGACTAGAATGGAAAGAAGAAGATACGTTGAATCGAATGTAGAGAAGAAGTTTTCATCGATTTGAACTGACCAGGGAAAATATAGATTAAATCATAGAATAAATAGAACAAAAATTGTGAAGCGAAAAAGATCACATAACGATAATCGTGAAATAATTGTAAACCTAACATTCGACGTAGTGTATGGCAAAAGGATAGTCCTTTGCGAAAAAGTACTTTTCGATGATGCTGGCTATGATTGGAGTTCGTATCACCGTCGGATATTGTTGTAACTGACTCTTCGAACACATATGATTGAATTAAATTCGGACAGCTTACTTGAGCGAGAGAAGATGATTTAAGTGGAACATCTCCACGGTAGAATATATCTTTTTGACTAATTGGTTGATAATAAACTTCTAGTAGTTGTTTATCTTGTTCTTCAGGAGGAAGTGAATAGAAGCGAGAGAGACGATTTGTTGAAGAACTGATTCCGGTAGTGGGCTTATCTCCAGTCGTTTGACTTCTTACTAGATTTCGAAATTTTGATAATGGTACTGTCACTTGAAAATTTTCATCAAATTCATCTTCAAGTTCCTGTATATCATCGGCCGAGTACGAATCATACAGTTCGCCATTGGGGGCTTCATAATTTGACGTTGATATACTAACTGATTGATGTGCTTGACGTGATGCACATTGTTTATCCATTTCGACAATGAAACGTTGTAATTTTTCGATCGATGTCATACATGATGGTGGCAAACGATGATCATTGATCTTCTTTTCATAACTCGGAGTGTTCGTGTGTTCAAATGAAAATTCTACCGGACGAAAAAGTGCACCGAAACCTACAATCGTGAACAGTACACCTGATAATAACAATGTCGTCTCTCGCCAGTCGCTATAGTAATCATTGATGATATGAATAAATTGTGCAACAACCGCATTTCCTAAGCCTGCAAAGCAATATATTGAAATTCTCACATAGGAGTATTCAAGAGGTTCCTTACCCGTTCCGCCAACAGCAATGGCCGTAGCAATAGCGCGATTCTCATCAAAGTAATGTGCAACAATAACGACAGCTGGCACATAAACAAATGACAAACCCGTTCCTATACCAACACATGTTTCAGTCAAAAACTCAAAACATTTATCACACAAATTCGTTCTTACCACAAACGAAGCCAATACCAATTAAAGCCCCGACATAGTTTCCCAGCAGTGAAGCAATAAGCAAACCTAGTGAGCATAAAAATCCACCCAACATAGTTACACATCGACAACCCATTCGATTCACTAGCGCGCTAGATATTGGTGCTAGAAATAACGGTAGACTAACAAATAACGAAGCAATGATGCCAACTGTATGTAATTCAATTTTGAGATCTTCCTTGATCATATGCATGAGAATACCGAACGAAAACAGAACACCATCAGCAACGAAATGTGCGCCAAATGAGCCAAAAACGACCATCCATCGCCATGATGTATACCGAATAATAGTTTCATTCGACGACGTTTCACCAGTGCCTGGTGAATAATCTTTCCCGTAAGTTTCACCTGCTACTAATAGTGGTTCGGATACTGTCGATGCTCGTTTCGATTGTAGAGTTGACTTTCGGGCTGTTGATGGAACGTCCACAAGCATATTTCTAGATTTCAATGTTAACAATAGAACTTCTCTTCTTGTTGTTATTTAAAATAAATATTTTCTGTCATTTCTTTCATTGACGAGAAAATTATAGGGGCAGATATTGTTAATGGAAAAAGAAAGAAATAGAAGAAAACTATCGAATATAATTTGCTTACAAGCGTGCTTATTTTCTCCTAAATGTCGAAAGGACACACCAGTGCATCGAGCTGTCAAGTCAAATGAAAAGAAAGGAAGAAAGAATTCTATCGAGTATATAAATAATTGTTGTTTATTTAAAACAGCTCACTGGTATGTCACCTGACAAAAGACGAAAACAAAGGTAAGCAATTCGAAATCGATCAACCCTGACTTTCTTTTTTGTTTTTTACCACTTGATTCATAAAACCTACGACGTATAATTGACAAAAACAAGTTTAACTACAATTTAGATTCCCCTAATTAATCAAAGACGATTGCGAATATCGAATTAGTGCGTTAATGGCGTACACGACGATGAAATACTCCAATAATACGATTCAGTGATTAATGTTGTTTCTTCACATTGTGAAAATCGCGTGGACTCATTGATGAACAAAATTTGCTCTTCTCTCGATTAATCGACTGGTGTTTATCATTGTGTAAGAACAAGATTTTCATAAAATTTTATTTTTCATAAGCTGACAAAAACAAAAACAATCATTTAAAGTATACTTTAGAGCAAAATAACCAAGATATAACGCGTTTGAATAGTTATCTGACAAATATATGCACAAAACACATTGAAAACAAGCCAAATTCATTTCATATATACACCGGTGTAGAAAAATAAGCATATAGATGTTATCGTTGTATCAACCATGACAAATTCATTTTTTTCGACGACGAAAGACAATAAGTAACAGTAATAAAGAAGAAGAGTATAAACCAATAAATCAGGTAACGGATGGTTTCTGCCCAATTACTGATTGTTGCTCGTACGTCCGAAAAACATTTGGGAAAACAGTATTCGTTAGGAATAGCTATCTTCACATTCTCTTCAAAGTAGGAAAAAAATGGAAACCATAAACGCATTCGTCGGATATCTCGTTGCAGAAATATTCGATTGTTCGCAAGACTAAATCAAAGTGACAAATCGTGAATTTTCCCATTCATAATCTCCCTCTCTTCTTACGTATGATAGTAAATAAATAGCCGAGAACTTAACACCCAAGCTATGAGGATATCAATTGAATAGTGTTGATGACCAGCCAAGATGAAGAACATGCCAGTGAAAGCAGTGATCCAGCTGAGAAAATGAAGCAGATGGTATGAACGTGGAGTATCTGAAGAGAAGATACCAACTTAGTCTCTGACATCCAATAGTTCACTCTCGAAGCTATTGCAGAACATTCAGATCACTCAAACAACTGTAGATCGGGCTTAGTGCAATAGTAAAACTCGCAAAAACGGTATGATACGTACATTCGTTGATAAAATGGGCAGCTAATATGAGAGTACATGTATGTCCACTGTATAGATAATCTCCACAGGTTTTCACGCCGAACGAGGACATTCCTTGGCCGATAAAAATGAACATGGCTTTATTTAATCGTGCTGTAAAAGTCTCCAATCGCTAGAAGGAAGAGACGACGAAATTATAACGAACATTTCGATCTCTTCACATTTTCTCAAACCTTGGGTTGGCAATCTGTCACTCGAGTAGCGACGGGTAACGATGTAAGAAGCATTGTACAACTTCGAAGAAAATAAAGAACTGAGACAATTGAAAACAATCGACGAATAATAATAATCCTACAAGGAAAATCTCTTCTTTTAACAAACGACAAAATGTAATTCGTTTAACTCATTACCGATGTCGATGTAACACAATAACGGTGATAAGTGTCAGTATCTCTAAAACGATAAGTTTTTCTGTTACAGCAAATGCCCACGGTATCTCTTCGATATTTTCCAAGATAAGATCAGGTAACGGCGGAAATGTTTTCGGATCAGGTAAACGTTCATCAACGACAGTAATCACAAATGATGAGAAAAATATTGTAATTAAAAGCATGAAAAAGGCTAATAAAGTTTTCTTCCTATCCGACCGAATAGAAGTTATCAAACAGCAATTCGTTGATAGATAGTCTTCGATTTGATCATAAGATGTATCAGAATTCAGAACATTAGGTTCGAGTTGAAGCGTAGTTGAGTTTTGAAGCGTTTTGATTTGTAACCATAGGTCACTGTTTTTTGTTAAAGATAAAATATCATTTTCGCTTAAATTTATTAAATGTTTGCCATCGATTTGATTTCTATGACAGAGAATATCAATACAATCATTAAAATGATTTTGCCCCAGCCATTCTTCAACTTGATCAGTGGTCCATGTTGAAGGGTTCGATCGCCATATCGAAGGACTTGGAAGGGTAAATTTGCTCATTCTTATATTGGGTAGTCTTTCTAAATGAGAAAAAAAAGCACAAAGGTTTGATTGAATAAAAAATATAGGTTAGAGTAAAAATGCCAAAAAAGACGGGCTAGGAGAGTGGATTCTTTAAAGGTCTACTTGCGTTTGGTGTTTTATGGATGAATTATTATCACGAAAGGAAATGTAATCTTTGTTCAACAAGGGAGGTGACGTCTGTTGGCTTTACGTGCTTCTATAATGTACCAGGAGAGGAGTGTAATTTTATTTTTATGCAACCTAGTGCTTCGTCATCGCATAGTTCTTATCGAATGTAATTCATTTAATCGCAAAAATGCAAGATAACTCGTTTATGTCTACTTGTATACGAATATCAGCTCTTTAATAAAAGTAAATATCTCTGACTCATTTCGAATTCGATTCACTTCGAATAGAAAAGTGGTATTAACAACTAGTCGACATACGTAAATTAATCTTTGTAAAGTTTCTCTTGTTCTCTTACTTCAAAAATAATATTGATCTACTATCAACATTTTTCTTTGCCTTGGCATCTGTCATTTGATATGAAAATTTGTGTGAATACCAGAGCTACTTACATTCTCTCGTTTTTTTTCTTTCTTCTTCGTCTTCCCATTCAAAATTCAACCCATCCTTGGACAAGTTGAAGAAATGTCGCCGCCTGGCGATTATCTGAAAATAAATTAATGTATTGTTCATGTTAGGAGGACAAAAAAATGCCGTGCTAAACAAAATGTGTAAATTTAGAAAAAGAAAACGACAACACGAAACTACTATCACATTTAATTATTGTTTTTTCCGGTGCATACACCTCTCATTATCACAATTAATTAGCGGAGTTTTATCGTTTTTGTTCTCTTCATCGTCCTCGTGGCTATAGATCAATGCCAATGGCCATGGCACACGTAAAACATTCGGCACCATACACTGAATGTTTCTCTCGAAATAAGAAAACATTGGAAACCAAATGGATAAACGGTTATCTGATATTGAATGCAGAACAGCATTGTTAGCTAATGAATGGTAATAGAGAAATAACCGACTGGTTAAGAAGAATGCAATCAAAACATCAATGGTATAGTGTTCATGCGCAGCCAAGATCAAAATCATACCGAGGATGTTGCAAAGCCAAGAGAGAAGATGAACAACATAGAAATCGGAAGTTGTGTCTGAATGAAAAGAAAACTCGTTGTGTTTATTATAAGGAAAATATTGAATTTTACATTCGGTTATACAATGATTTAACAGTGTTAACATCACCGTATGGCCTGAAAACATGTAATCACCACAGGAACGAATACCATGGATGGATAAACCTTGAAAAAGGAAAATTTGAAGCCAACGAGTAAAAATTTCTCGAGTTGTGCCATATTGCTACACGATTCATATAATTGAAGTAAACAAAAACAAGGGGATAACTTACTAACGGTGTACATTCAAGATGTTGACCGGGAACCTATGAGAACAAGATTGTATTAAAATCGAAGGTAAAACTTCAGATAAATAAAACAATATTTCTGTCCGATAAGTGTAAAACAGCAGAACCAGGTGTTTATGATCTACATATACATATCCACGTCGAAAATAGTTTTACGATTTAGATAAAGATACTTGATGTAGTCTAATAAATCCGTCTTACTTCCTTTCCCCGATATCACTGCAACAATCGAGTGTAATGTATGACGAAACATTTTCAAAAGTGAATAAGTACAAACAGGCAAGTTGAACGCTTTTCTCGACACATAACGATGATTGTTTCTCGACAAAAGTCATTGTGACCTGTGAAATCGATTCGTCATACTAGAATAAATCACCCTTTCCCACTCACTTAATCGAAGAGCAGCCTTTTTTGTAAACAAAATGAACTCCTCAATTCGATCGATTAATGCTACACATCCACAGACAGCACTCGTCTGTTAAGTAATTCTTTCTTCTGAGTTCTTCTCTTCGAAGAACAGCTATATCCCGAACACCCACGCTCACTTATTCTTAATCTACTCATCTGTCGACATTATTTTCGCCATTCTTCGTGATGAATTGCTTTTCTTATTCTAGTCAATACGCAAGTACTCTCAGTCTATTTCGATAATCTGACATCCTACGGTTCGAGATATACTGGAATCATGCGAAAGAACTAAATTAACGCTCGCACGACTCATATATATATATATAAAGAGAAAGTAATCTGCAATACGCTCGATTCAATTAGAAATTACGATAAGCCAGTAAGAAGATCTTACACTCAGTGATGTCACCAACATTGTAATTGATCGAAGAAAGAAGATGGTACCACCGAGAGCGAAAAATCGCCGTAATATGATACTCCTAGTGAAGGATACCGATTGAAGATTAAAGTTTGTTAATCTTACTTTCTTTCACTCACCAATATTTATGAAAAATCAAAATCAGTAAGAATGTGATACCCATGACAACAATCAAAAACTCACTGACTGTAAATGCCCAATCTGTGAAAAGAAAAGGAGAGGCCCATCAGCTACTATTTCTTGTTTCTAAAGAAGAGAAAACCCTTACGAATCAGTGGAATATTGTCGAGAAAAAGATCAGGCAATGGCGGATACCTTCAATAGAAGAAAAGAACGATTCGATGTAATGGAAACGCAGCAGAAGTTTTCTCGTTTTACTTTTGCACATTCGGTACTCGATTGTGTACAACTACCATTATGAACGAGGTCCATATGCCACTAATCAATGCATAGATAAAACTCACTAGAGTTTTACGTTTCTCTCCATTCAACGTCTTGAAAATCGGCTTTGTTTTCGCGTGTATTGAACATGAATCTTCGTTTGTTCCTAGTAAATGAGAAGGTGATAATGACGAATGATTATGCTTTGTCAAGCGGTCGTCCAGTGAAGAGTAGAAATCATTTTGTTGACACTGAAGCAAACGAATGTGATACCAAAGCTTTTTAATATCACGCAAACGTTCGATGGACAACGGTGGCTGCTTTAGATCGTCCTCCTTCATCATAAGCAATGTTAACCCGTCGACGCCATTCTCTGTGCATAGCCGATGGATGAAATTCGACAGATTCAAAGATTCGAGCCAGTTCGTAACATCTGTTGTTGTCCATGAAATAACTGGCGAATGTGTTTGTTCCTAAAAATTGAACGTACGGAGAGATGATTAGATAGAACGTTTATTTACAAGATTGGATTTGGTTTCGTTGTTATGGTCTACGGAAGGGTTGCTGATAGAAGACCTGTTCATAATTCAAAACTAATCATCGACAATCTGAAAGTAAACAACGTTTCCTTTTTACGAGAGAGAAAAGCTATGAAATATTGTAGCGTTAATGCCAACAGATTCTTTTACATATGATTGTATTCGTTAGCAATGATTCGTTCGTGCCAACGAGTAATTTTCGATAGATGTCATTTACTAACAATCGCACTTTAGTAGAGTAAACACACAGCTTGATGTTCATCAGTGAAAACAGTGAGAAAAACTGTTTTGAATATCAAAGACTAGTAAGAACAAAGAATAATCGCTTGTTCGTCATAGATATTAAACCGTTGTTCTTTAGAAAAAGAACTGATGTCTGCATGAGTGAATATTAGCTTCGTTAAATTTCTTTAGAAAAAAAATTTTTTCTTAATAATTTCCTTCCGACGTAGTGTAAGTAGTTTATAAAAAAAGTTTATGACCCGTTCTTAACTTAAACTAACCATGAAATGACTTTCATATGCTCGTGATAGAGTGCTTCTAACGCTTTGTGTATGTAAAACGAAACATTCACAGACATCATTTATTAATTGTAAATCTTATATCAACACGGGAAAGACGATGAAGTCAGGCAGAAGTGGATTTCGGCGTAGGAGCGAAATTTGCATTGAAGAAAATGCCACACGTTGAATATGCATCAATTTGTTTCCATGGAGGAATATCTGTCAGTCGATCGTATGAACCTGGACCAGGTACACTGAATGACTTCTGCCGAAACCGCTCCGTTCCACTTCGAAACGACGATGTTATCGTTGGACCTTTCGTATCGACTATCTTTGTTTGAGGTTCGTATTCACCAGGAGCTGGGCCAGCTTGCTGTAAAACGAACTTCAATAAACAATAGGCTAGAACGGTTTCAACTTACCGGTGGAAAGAGCTTTCGTTTACTTTTCGATTTGAAGAAACTATGTCTAGAATATTTTTATTGTGAATGAGATCAAATATCAATCGTTTTACCAACCTCACTGATTCGATGGGAACATCGATGCGATGATATTTCTGTGTTTCGTATAAGCCCGGTGCAACATCGATATCCTACGAAAATAGAATACATTCTATTTGTATTCGATTGCTTACGATTTGAAAGTACGATGAGCTGAATTAATTATTCCATATTTGCTTTACCTTATCATGATTGGCCAAAACAGTTCTTTTCAATGATTCTTCTCTCGCAGGGCTTTTGAAACCATATGAAAGTCGACGACGGAACATTCTAGAAGAGTTGTATCAATCAAAATCAAAGTACATGAACCTGACAGGAACGTACTCATCAAGAGAATTTTCAACAGAATACGCACCAGGCAATAATTCTTTTCCTTTCGGTTCTAACGGTTGAGGATCACGTCGTCGACCATCACTTTTGAAACCATAAGTCATCGGACGAGCAATTGATTCTTTAATAAATGTGTTCAAATGTGTATCATAAGTACCTGGGATTGGTGTGTCCTATACTTATCGATATTTACATTTCGAAGTATTCGTATTGATAAAATCTCACTCTGATTGTCACGCGCCACCAGCTCTCTCGGTCAGACATAGATGGTTCATATTTAGACGATTTCTGTTGGCGATGTTTGACTTTTGCATCGGTTTCTCCTTGTGCTGAAATTGCCAGTGATTGCGAGTGCACTCGTTGTTGATTAGAACGTTTTCGCTGTAATTCGTAGTCTAATCTTCCATTTCGATTTCTTTCTTCGAATAACGATACTAATAAATCCGAGTCTTGCATTTCTTTTTCGATCAAGATCGATCGGATGAAAAATTTCAGCTTTACTACTGTCACTTCACCCGAACGCGATTGAAATTGTTTTTCCTCTTAACGGCATCGTAGTCATCGCAGACTTCATCATTATGTGTACTTATTACATGTGCACATATATTAAAATTCTTCGACGTAGGACAAAAAAAAACAGAAAGCAAAACAGAAAAAAGTGCACGATGGTTGACAATCCATGTTGAACAACATGAGAAAACAGGTTAGATCAAGAAAGAAGACAAATTTACAAGTCACGTCACACTTGAAAATCGAATTTTCTTTTTCTCGACAACAAACTGTCAAGTAAGTGACGAAACAAATTGAAGTACATCATTTGAATCAATGATGAGCACGCACGCATTTTTTCGCATGCCACATTTCTGTATTAAAGATAGAAACATGAATTTTATTAATTAACAATCAAATAGTTAGACGAGCCATTGTTGTTACTGTTCGATATTTTGATTACATAGCCTATTCACGTTCTCAAGTCTTCAGAGAACATCGATTCAATTGTCTTGAGTAATGAAATTTTCAATCAACAATGGTATGCAAAGCTGCATGAATATTTAAATGAAACAAAACGACCATTTCTTAGATACACATTGCGAATAGCCAGTACGATGTGCGATACCTGGATGAGAATAAAATCCACGAACGGTATCTTAGACAGACGGCGGCATATCATTGAAAGAAGATAGAATAACAACAAGATTGTTCTCTTATTGATGACGACAATTTTGTTGGAGGAAACAGGGAGGGGGTCCAGCTCTTCTTTTGAACATCACAAGTATGTCATGATGTAGGCAACGGGCTCTTAAATTAACTTTTAAACATAGACAAGAGGAACATAATGTTGCATACTGTGACGAAAGCAATCGGATAGTTTCAATATCAGCTATTGAGTAGTCATCATCAAAACCAATGGAAATCACTTGACGGAAAACAATCGATTGAATTGTTGATTTTTCAAGAATGCAAAAAAAACAGAACGAACGTTGTATTGATATGATCGAATCTGTGAAACATGATGCAATGGATATGTGTCTGTTTTGATTGAAATCTTTCACACATTCACTTGTTATATCTTCTTACGTTTACAGTCGAACAGATTTCGAAATTTCTTCAAGTAAACTTGATCTAATTAACGAAGAATTCGTTTCAAGCATGTCTAATCGTTGACAACATTCACTGATCTTCCTCTGATCAAGAATACACGAAACGTGTCATGGTTTGACTTTGCGACGTTTTCTCATCAAGACACTCCACCTGTTCGCAAGTTTGACTCCGTTGAAGAAAAGAGAAATAAAAAGAAACAATTATCATTAATATCAACGATTCACTTGTCCTTTACAGATACGATAAGACACAGCGAAAGCATATGCGATAGGAATATTTGAATATTAATGGAACTCTCTTTTGTATATGACTCTAAGGAGTCGTAAAATGATCATTTTCCATCTAATATCTATGTCATGAATGATAATCAGTTGAAGAAAATGGCTTTTCTCTTTTTCTGATAAGCGTTTACAAAAAAAAACTCATCCGACACCCTCGACTCTTTTTTATCATATATCTGTTGATTTGTTCTATTACATACACGCACATATTAATGTGTTTTGTCGATTTGGAGTATTTCTTCTATAACTCTCTCTTTCTGTGTCTTCCCTTTCAACAATAATGTTTTTTTTTCGTTGTAGTAAGACACATAGAGGAAGAATTCCCTAGTCTCGTTGATTTCTCCAAAGATATGAAAAAAAAAGAGAGCAAAAGACGCTGTGGAACGGCGCCTGATTGAGTGGAACAACGATCACACATCGTCTTCACTCGTTCGCTACTTATATCATCATATATAAAAGATGATGAAACGAACAAAAGTCAGCCTTTGTAAGTATTATTGATGAAAAATGGGTTGGTACGAAGAAAGATGTTGATCATGATCATTTTTCTTGTCACTAATCAGGGATTGGCTCATGATCCATCGCTTTTTCTCATTGGTTATTAGCGTGTAGCGCAAAAAGATAGAGAAGGACGAGAGGAAAAAAAAGAGCCAAGAGGAAAAACACAATTTGCTTCGATGCAGCAAAGAAGAAGAACAACATTTTTTTCTCCCTCATTTTGACCTTTTCACGCTCTTTTTCTCTCTTGCTCTCTTCTTCTTCCTTTTTTTTGTCTCTCTTTCGCTCTCTTCGAAGAAAAACAGATTAATCGTTTCATTTACAAATTCCCTCATCTTTCTTTTTTTTTCTTTGGTGGAGTGCGCGAGGTCTCGTAGGAGAGCTCGCATATATATATATCTGCTCTTGCAACTTAATGTTTCCCATTGGTACCCATAATCTCCTGATAGGAATAAAAAAACGTAGAGAAATGACAATACATGTCACACCCGTCGACTTTTGAAAAAAGGAACTTCTCACATCTTGTTAAATATTCTATCCAGGTATTAGTTTTGCTTCGAGAGTTGCTTTAGGTCAAATTCGAAAAGTGAACTCACTCTCTCGGACTCGTTTCTGGCATATTTCTTTTTTATTTCTCATTTCGATTGGTTGATTTTCGACTGAGATAGATTTTATTGGATACGTGCACTTGTAGATCATCGAGAGAATTTCGTGTTTTTTCTTACGGTGGCGCGTCGTGACATAAATAACCGTCAAAGACGTATCGGTGCTTCAACTGGAATTGACTTTTGTTCTCAACCATCAAATCCATACGGTATGTCATTTGTCGCATTGAAAATCATGAAGAAAATTTATATTATATATTTACATGCTGTTCTCTCTCTCTCTTGTGAGACATTTACCTGAGAATAGTTTCTCTCTATCTTTCTCGTTAGACGCTATAAAATAATGAAAAGAAATGTAACATTCTCTGGAGATAAAAACCTGTACTTTTGTTTATTCATAGATTCATTTATGCAACCTCGTGGGGCTCAACCATCAACTTTCGGAGGTCTTAAAGAAGAACCATTGCGAGCATCGTGGCCAGCCATGTTGGTAGATCCCAGTTGGTAAGTTCAATTTACTTAATTTGTTGATCCAATCTTTGCTTTCCTTTCCGCTATAGTTACCTTTATCCAAGTATTGGTGTTGCTTCTGCACATTTTGAAAAACAACCACCGAATAACTTACGGAAAAGCAACTTTTTTCATTTTACCGTTGCACTATATGATCGAAGTGGCAAACCAATTGAAATCGAGCGTACAGCGTTCGTTGGTTTCATTGAAAAAGAAATGGTAAGTAAAAAAAGAAGAATGATCATGATTAACACTTCACATTAAACAGATAGAAATACGAATCACGCGATCGGTTTCGATGATAACATAGATCATTCAACATGATAGAACTATAAAGAAACCTTTGAACATATGTCACTTCTTTTTATTTTTTCTTCGTAGGAACCTGATGGACTTCGAACTAATAACGGAATTCATTATCGATTGAGCCTTTATTATCCAGCAAGTAAGTCTTCACAAAGAACTAAGAATAAAGAGTAACGAGTTTTCTATGAGTAGTTAATTATCGACATGAGCAAGATATCTACGTGCGTATGATTGATTCGGGCACAAAACAAGTAGGTTATTTTTGCTTCTATTGAAATACGAAACAAAGTGGAATGTTGTTTTTCTGTTTTAGCCGATTGTTTATGAAGGTCAAGATAAAAATCCCGAAATGTGCCGTGTTCTGCTAACTCATGAAGTAATGTGTAGTCGTTGTTGTGACAAGAAATCATGTGGTAATCGAAATGAAACACCATCTGATCCTGTCGTTGTTGAACGGTAATAGACAATGATAAGTTTCTCTTTTTCTAATTACTTTCTTATCAGTCAATATAAATATTTAGAAGAGAAATGGGAGGAGTGAAACATTCGAGATAACATGACTTTCGCTTGATTGTATTCTGATAATTAAGTATATCTTTTCTATGAAAACAATAATAGGAACGTATGGTGTATATTTCGTCTTGTTTCTAATTGCAAATGACAATAAACGCTAGTATGTCCCATGAGTATGTGTCTATGAAAATTAATTTCTTTTTGTTATTTCGAGGGAGTTGATTTCTCTGGTGTGATATTGATAAGTTTTCAATGTTATTTTTTTTTGGTGTAGGTTTTTCTTGAAATTCTTTCTTAAATGCAATCAGAACTGTTTGAAAAATGCTGGCAATCCACGCGACATGCGACGATTTCAAGTATAACTTGAATACATCAAGGGAATGATTCATTTCTTTTTCTTTCCATTTGATTAGGTTGTCTTATCAACAACAGTTGGTCTCGAACCACCTCTATTGGCAGTTTCCGAAACAATGTTTGTTCATAATAATTCAAAACATGGTCGACGAACAAAACGCCATGACCCTATTGACGGAGGTACGTCCTTCTCCGATTCGTTTCCAATCAAACATGCTTCCATCTTTTAGAATCACTTATCCCGACACCAGTCATCAAACATATTCAACCCAACGAAGGTTGGATTGTCGGCGGACAAGTCGTCCTCATCTTAGGAGAGAACTTTTTTGATGGTCTTCAAGTAATGTTCAATACAATGGTTGTTTACAGTGAAGTACGTTGTGAAAAACATCTGAGTTCGATTAGCAAAACAAATACGATTTGCGCGCTTATGCTAGATTCTTACACCTGGAGCTATTCGAGTGCATACACCATCACGTCACGGTCCAGGAATTGTTGATGTCACACTTTCATACAAAGGAAAACAGTTCTGTCGAGAATGTCCTGGCCGTTTTACATATATCAGTAAGTGATGAACATTCAGGATAGAAGAAATGACGAAGTCGGATGTGGTTGTAGCTATGCAAGATCCAACGATTGACTACTCATTGCAACGTTTGTCTAAACTGATACCGAAACATGCAGATGATCCCGATCGCTTGTCAAAAGTGAGTACTGACTAATTCTATACTTTTGTAATTTCATTGATTCGAAACTTAGGAAGTCATTCTTAAACGAACAGCTGATCTGCTCGAACAATGCTACACAATGTCAGGCAATCCACATCATTTTGCTTTGCCAACTCCACCAAGTGATCACGAGAATGATTCGAGTAAGATTCGTCTTCAAAGAAATATATTTTTATGCTCTTATCGATCTTCTTTCAGCATATTACATATCATCATTAGAAGGTATAAGAGCGAAAACTCTAAGAGATTATCCTATTGCTTGTAATGTGATCTATTTTTGAACGTGCGCATACAATTGAAAATTTTCTGCATGCGAGTCTTGTCCATTATTTAAAGAGATTCTTTACTTTCGAAAAATTAGAAAGAAACAACATCAGATTGAACTGATCTTCCTCTTAATCCACTTCGTTTTCTTTTAGGTTACTCACGAAATCAAACTGCGCCTATGTCGCCACGAAGCTACAACGCTTACAGCAACGCTTATGGACCATCCGCATCATCCTATGCTGTTCCATCACCTGGCTTTTTAAACGGTTCGTATCTGAGATCAATGTGCATGTTTGTGTTGTTTCTATGTCCGTCTGTGTATGTGTAGTGAACCGTCCAAATGGTGTACCGTTTGTATGTCAGCAGCAGCATGGAAGTGCTTTCAAATTACCTTCGTCACTGAGTCCTATTCATCAAAATTGGAATACTGTTTTCACTAATTCCAATTCATCATCATCGACTTGTTCGTCAATGTATTAGCATTTTGCTTTTTCCTTCTTCCGTTTTATTCATTGAATTTATCAATTTGTTTTCTTCGTTCTAGGAATGACTAATCTAATGTCATCAGCATTCAGTAGTATTGGCTCATTTGGCCCACTAAGTTCAGCATCATCAGCACTTGGTTCATCTCAAACAGTTACACCTTATGGACAAGTTCCAGTTAATAAATAAAACATATCTAACCTCTATTCAATTTGTTTTCTTCATCTATATATATTTATTTTGTCGTATTTGCGTGCATCTGACTTTGTGTGTGTGTGGCTTTAATTATCTAAATGCAATTTTTTTTCTTTCTGTTCACTTTTTTAAAAAGTATTGTACAAAACAACCAAAAACGCATGGATCATAGTTGTCGTGTATGGGATAATATAACATGGATAATAATCAAGACTGTTTCTTTCTCTTAATGAGAAAATCGTTGAACAGCCGGTACAATATCTTCTGATAATTAGCTTTTCTATAGACAGATGAATTGTTGTCACCCCCTACAGCTATGGATGGATCTTTTCTTCTCTCCTCTCTCTCTCTCTTTTTAATCAAGCCTATTTGACTCTTTTTATATGTCAGAAAAGAAGAATGATCCATATGACGATGATACGATTTCCATAAATAAAAAAAGAGAAAGCTAACTAAATTTCTGTTCTATACATGTGTTCGCGCATGCTTTGAACTAGTTTGATTATGAGCAAACGACCAATGGGAGTGTTAATGCAGGCAGACGGAGACATGCGATCATTTTGGTCAGTGTCCGTCGATCTCATTTCATATTTATAACATTAATTCATGAACAGCCATTTGAAACTCTCCTGAGAAATAAAGAGAATCAAACAAAAAATGCGAACGACTACCGATCGTCTATCTATATCGTTGACAGATGGATGTTGTCATGTTAGAATGGATATGGAAAAAAAACAGTTACCTCAATCGACCGATACGTGTGCATATAGGCGCGACCAGACAGCCGGAAGCGATTGAGTAGTGGGCGGCGTTTAATAGATTAAGTTTCCACTTAAGCGATGTGTTATGTATATACATATGAAACAAGTGGCACATTTGTTTCGGATGTCGTTTTTATGGATGAATGAAGCCATTGTAAGAGGGAAATTGAATTTGTACGAAGCTTGAAATAAGTGAAAATCAAATTTTTCTTGACCGAATTAAAATACAATAAACAATAGAATCACTTATGCTTATCAATTGATTTTTTTCTGCGATAATCACAGAGAAAACTGATATTGTCAAAGATAAGCATGCTTTTTCTTTCGTCGACATATGAGTCATATATTTAACTAAAAATTCGTCACAGTAGAGTATCACAGAAAAAATAATATTCTAGAAAAACTTTTGCAGATCTTTAAGAATTAATGTATCATTGTAAGAAGAAAACTTCCATTGTTGTGTTTTCTTCTCTACTTCACATTCGTCCATAAAGATCATCTTGCTGCTCACATCGCAATCCAAACAGAAACTGGTAGCAACGTGTAGAATATGGAAGTTGTTAGGATTGTAAACGAAATGTTGATTACCACGCATACCTTCGAACGTGAGCATGAAATTCAAACGAAAATAGATGTAGACGATAGATTTTTACCATGACAATTAAAGAGTACCACTGGTGTACGTTTGCCCCGACTGGGGACGTCAAAGCAAACTTCACGACCTTTGGGTCGAATATCTTGTCGCCAACTCAATTCAAAGTTCTGCAAGAATACGAACAAATACTTCTTCTATTAGGGATGGCGACGAATAATTACCTGTTCACCACTTCTTCCTTGCTGATCTTTTACACAATCATCGAGACCGAATGTTCCACGTTCTCCAGCGTGTTTTGTGTCTATACACAGATCTGCAGCCGTACTACGAATCTAAATAGATTTTCATCGTAAAATTAAAGAGACAACGTAACTGATCTATGCCCTACTTCTCCTTCAGCGTATGCTGGAAGTGGAACAGGTGGATAATATTGAGGAAGATCGAATGCAACATTTTCCATAAACCTACTCTAGTAAGAGTCCCACTTTTCTATTGATAAACGAAGACATACCATTTAAAAGATTTACACTGTAGCTTTTCTCTTAATGCCACTTGTTTTTTAATATCGCCCGGGTCTACATGGCTACAAACGAAAACTCGTAGACTATGTCAATACCACCAAATCGAAAGATAGCATCCTACCGTATTCGACTATTTCGTTTATATATATATTCAGCATATTCGTCCATCCAAACGACAGCTACTCTTTTATGGTTCTACATCATGACGAGAACAGTTGACAGTTTAACAAAGTATTCTATTCACTCACTCGTGATAGGTAATCTCCAAAATCGAGACCACCATGTGGATTAAATTGTCGATAGATATGTCCCACTCTTGAACAAGGCGCATCGACAAGACGTCCTCCGCATTGCCAGATTTTAAATGACATTTCATACTGTTCACCACCCCAAACATCCAAACCCTCATCATAACCACCCAATTCCCAAAACCATATTTTACTAATTGCAAAAAGACCGCCGGCCATCACTGGGTCACTATGCAACGAAGACTTTCACTTGAAACATAACTGCGAAATCTTACTCAAATGGTTCAGTTGGCTTTTCAGCAGTACCGGGTAACAACGGTAACCGTTTGTAATACATCTGCCAATCGAATGCACCTCGAGCACCTTCATCCTGTGTAACGTAGGCAAAGGTTTCCCATTTAATCACATCAATCAGCGGACAAACGCTTGTTTTATAATCCAAAGCAATCGGTTCAATCAATGGCGGAAGCCAATTAATATTAACTTCGATGTGTGAATCAAAAAATATGAGTACATCACCTTTAGCCTCACGAGCACCAGCTAATCGCGTACGGATGAGTCCTTCACGTTTCTGAAGGCGAATAATGCGAACTTTGGTTAGATTAGCGATATGATTATCGAGCGGCGATTTTAAATTAGCTTGAAAAGAAAACAACAGCTTCGCAAGTAGTCATGCTATTATCGATGTATTTCGTATGAGACTTTTACCTTTCACACTGGCATCATCAACAAGAATGATTTCCGTCAGAAGTTTTGGTGGTGTTCGATTTAATATGCTATAAATCGATCGTAGTAATGTAGTCAGATGTTCATTCCGAACAGGAATGATAATGCTAACCTAGAGAGAAAATAAATGTTACTATATTGATTCAAATAAGATAAAAGGCTTACGGAGGGCAGTTCGGCTAAATAGAGTTTCTTTTTACAGCTAAAGAAAAACAAGTCAAAATTATATGATGCATCAAACGTATTGATATACTCAGGATGTCGGATATCTTTTATTGATCGATGGACGGAGATATTTTCAGATATAAAAGCGTGAAAGCCATTTTCTCGATAGAGTTGTTGAAATGCACCACTATTTCGTTCTTGCGTACTCGGTTCAACACCTGCACCACCCTCACCCAGACCTAGTCGATAAAAACAGATGAATCGATTGATAGGTAGTCAAAGTCTAGTATTACCTGTTCGAGCATTATCACGAGCTATGGCCGCATAATCATGCCAATCGATTTTTTGAGCTTTTCTCCCAAGGATCTCGACGAGTTTTCCGTGTATTGGTGGCGTAGATGATGATACATGTTTCTCCTCTCGACGTATTACCTCATTATCATTAGTGTCTACTGAGTATTCGATCTGTTGATTTATCAAGTAAATTATCGAAAGAAAGAGGAAAAAGACGAAAAATATACGTTTTCTTCGAAATCTCAATGGCATTCTACATCTGATAGTTTCATTCCACCATGAACATCTACTTCAAACAGTACAACTCAGCTGAATGACTCATAAAATTTTATTTTTTTAAAACTGTTGACTGACGAATCGTTACCTTCATTCTGAGTAGATGTGAAGCATAGCGACATCAGTCAATAGCATCTCATCATGGAGATGATAGTTTCGAAACAGTTTTACACACTTTCGATATCAAAATTGCAAAAAAAGTACGCACTATATAACCCATGCGGTTCCATCTGGTATTGTATATGCTTCATCGAATCGCTCGACGATCGTTCATTCAATCGAGTAGCGTAATATTCGTTCAATAATTTACATTCCTTGAAGAGCTATCATCAATGTCAGAAATTCATTCGAGAGAAGTGACAAATTGAATTAATAAATACTTTTTGATCCGAGATGTTTTATCGTAACAGGTCATAAACATCTGAAATCGATCTACTCAATCAATGGCTAATAACGGATATAAACAAAGAAATGTACTCTATTTAACTTGTAATTTCCTCTGAGAATACACGCTCAATGCTAACAGTTACTGCGCACCTTACGTAAGAGAACACAATGGGATTGACCGAACAAATCACGAAAATATGTTCATTAAAAACGAATCATTGACAAATTTGCATTTAATTGATTATTGAAGAAAACGACCGGAGAGATGGGAGGAGTGCTGACACACTGGATTCGTTCTCTCGTGAAATTGGTTCTGTTTTTCAATAACGGTTCAAGACTCATATTAATGCTAATCAACTATACACAGATGAGACGATGTTTATTTGCACAGACAAATATCCTTGATAAAACCTATTCAATGTCATACGCGTAAACTTCAGATTCATTTTACAGACAGATAGACTGACTGACTGTCGTTCTGATTAAACAAAACTCCATGTGATAGATCGCAAACAAGCTTTTGATCAACTCCGTCATCATATAGCTATTAATCCATTAAACCTCGCATAGGAGTGACGAGAAACGAGTTATATTTAGTGTTTTTCTCTCCCACTGTTGAACTGCTATGACGCGCAAGTAAGTCAGATGATTAAAAGAAAGTTACGACCAACATCCGATTGTAAGTAAGAATATTTTCCCTTCCGGATCTTTTGTTTTGCATTAATGACGTCCATCCGATTTAATCATATGATGAACGCGCCACACCTTGCTTGACTATCTTGATTTTACATCTGCGTGTCTATCATTTTGAAAAGTTTTGTAGGCAAAAGTCAACGATAACGATGATGTAATGATTTCTCTTTTTTTTTTCTTCTTTCAATCGAATTTACATAAAAGTAAACGCGAATGGCCCGATCGATGTAGTTCGCTATTCATGCATAGACACAGACATGTAAGTTCATAGAATGTATATATGTAAACATTGTATAACCATGATCGTCATCAATAAACGTCTGATTAACCAAATGGTTGATATTGACGTGATCTTTGCAAGTCATTCGAGACCAGCAGATTCGATATGTAACAACAATTCAATTCCTTGAATGCCATTAACCAATACACAAGGTTTCTCTCTCTCTCGTGTGTGTATATGTGACATCATCGCATCATGTATAAATATCTAATGATCAAACCTTATCTCAAAGGAGTGTATTGAGGCAATGATCGTATGTTAGATACACAACTGAAAGCAGTTAAGTATCTGAAGCAAATAGTAAGCGACGAGACGTTGATCGAATGGCATTTTTTTTAATATTTGAAGATAGATGACTTTTAGAATCGAGAGTAGAATATGAAACGTAATTGAGGCGTGTTGACAGATGCTTTTAAAAAGGAGGAGAGTACAAAGGACAGGCCGAAACGCCTTCAATACAAAAATATAAAGAAATATTCATATGAATGTCATTAGAACATCTCGAGGTCAAGTCATGTGTTGTCAGTCGTCTAGAATAGTGAAAAGAAGAAATGACTTCATTCTGTTACTTTTCTTCCTTGTTCTCGTTTCTATCGATGAACACAAAATCAGATATGTCATAATGTCTCATTTTCTTTTAGAATATCAATCAAAGGAAATTTCTCTCATTGTTATCAGTTTCCTTTGCAAACGCGTACCTCATGCACATTTCATGCTGCTAAACACTTTTTTCTTCTTCTTTCTCGTTGAATATCAATGAGCAGGTGCTGCATATACTCTCGTTCTCATTTGTGATATGAGAGCAGGAATGAAGGAAGGACAACAAGTGTTTATACTTCAAACCAGAATCCCTTCTAGCAATTTCTAACTTGTATTAAGTATGTATTTTTAGCCGTTTATTTAGATTTCATTGACGTAACAATCATTTGTATGATACAAGAAAGACACTGTAGGCAGTTTTTCGATCACAAGAGTTTTTTTTTGTTCATAACATGCATTCGAAACGATTGTAAGAGTTCCCTTTACATAAACATTAGTAAATTAGCTTATGCAGTGCAGTAGCTTTTAACGAGTAATGATCTCGGAATAAAAAAAGACAGCGTTAGTCTTTCTTTTGCACAAAGCTTATTAAATTAATACTACTCAATCGCATCTTCTCTGATGTTTATATGACGTTTCGGTGACAAATAAAAGGGCCCAAGATAAAAGAGAAAGTTCATTTCTATGAGCCACAATTCTCTTCTCTCTACTAGTTCAATATATTCAGCTCATAAACAATAACAATAAGTAGTACACTGATAGGTAAAGAGGATGAAGAACAATGACCAAACATACACTATACTTTTGTTAGTTCAAATAAAGGAGAAAGAGAAAGAAAAAAAGACCATAATTTTCATACATGTACATATGAACACGACACACTTGAAAGCTTAAAACATATCGATTTGAATCTTTCATACAGCTTCCAATATTGATTAGTGAAAGATATTCATTTGCGTGTATTTTTCTTCTCTCTTTAATTTCAGTCCGACAAAAGCGACAAATACAATGGGTAATTGTATTGGTAAAAAGTCTGATGCCAAAAACAAACGTCGAACATATGTTCCATCGCCACCGACTATTCACAAACGTTTTGGTAAAAAACGAAGTCTATCATTATCATCGCCATCGGCAGCAAAACGACCCAGTGTTCTTGTTTCACATCTACCTGATGTCAAAGAATCTGATTATCTAATTCAGAAAAATGAAGAATGTGAAGAACAAATTGCACGTTGTTCCGTATATTCGGTAGGAACAACTGTTAGTAATGATCCATTTATATTGATACACTCACCGTCAACGTCGTTATCGATCCAATTACCAATTGAATGCGATAATGTCGAATCGAATCATACGATTATCGATTTAGCACATCCAGTACTTGTAATTACAAATGAACAAGATTCAACTATGGGACAATATTTTAGTAGAGAAACAGAAATCAATGATGATCAACGCGTTCCCAGCTTTACTGATGAAATCCTGCTTGGTAATTGATCTACATAAGCAAATCTCCTGTCGAAACGACAAAATCGATTTTTATTTCAGATTCTTTGGATTCATCGCCTTCGCTATCCCGTTCTACGACTTCATTATCTTCCCTCTCTTGTAACACAACACCATTTTCGTCCCAAGATAAATTAATTCTTTCTTCTTCATCCTCTTCCGCTGATACAAATCCGATCCTTTCCTCTTTACCTTACACCGAACAAATCTATCTCGATCGTTGTTCACCATCCAACGAAACTTTCTCGCCCAATCTTCCAGTTTCCTTTCCTCGTTCACACAATAATCTCTTTCTTAATGAATTTCACCAAAATATCCTTGTCCACTCATGTCGAACGCTTAGTTCACTTATTGATAACGTTTCTCAACAACAATTTATTCGAATACATCGCCGAACAAAACCTCTCCTAATTGAACACAAACAATTTCAATGTGTACAATTACAGTAAGTTCATTCTCCTATTAATCATCTTTTATCTTCTCATCATAGACATTTTCAAAACTCTCCAACACCGCCATTCATTTTCGATCATGAACAAAAGTTTGTATATATGACCAAATATGCACGTTGGAACACATTTCACTCGATAACATCCGCAACGAAAGATACACGACGCATCTTTTCTTCCTGTGATCATTGTTTATCTCTACTCTCAGGTTCACAATTGAACAAATACATACGTCCGTTTTTATATGCAAATGCCACTCATCACTTAGCACAAATGTATTTTAATGATATCGATAACAATAACAACACGATGTTCGGCTATGTTTCACAAAAGAATCCTCATTCAATCGAGCAGATTCTGATTAACAATTCGAAACTAACTTATTCCTATGATCTGGACGTGGATCAAACATCGATTTACTTTGTTATACGCATACAATCATGGCCGGAGGAAATGCGCGTCAATTTCGAAGAGCGACCACGTTTATGGTCATTGAATGTTGAAAAGTTATTCGATAATACTTGTTTCATTCGACATAATGATACTGAATATGAAATCTCAACAAATGATAAATGTCATGCTTGTGACAAACTACTTACATCATGTTCATCGAACACCACATGGTCGTATACGTATGCCGCCATTGAGAGTCAACTTGTTCAATTGATGTCTGAAAATCAAATACGTTTTGCGTCGATTGTGTGGAATTATATACATGGTAGAACTCAAGGACAGATTTCGTTCAAGATTTTTAAGCATACACTCTTCTATTTCTTCGAACAATATTCGTCCGATGCATTTCTATTGAGTGATTTACTGAATTCGATTCGTCTGTTTCTGGATTTTCTTTCCGATTGTGTGCAAAGGAGATCTATTCGACATTATTTCAATTCGGATCACAATCTGTACAACGATGATGCAGCAATGAATTTTCTTTCATCGAAAATAACCTATTTAGATTTGAAGAATTTCTCCGTGTATCTTCTACCAAAGTCTTCGTTATATCTTTACCAGTTGATGTATTTAATCGAATTTCAAACGAGCTTTTTGAATTATTTCTACTCAGCAAAGACCAATCTCATGCAAACAATCATCGAAACACATGAATTCGTTGTTGAACAGCTTTCATTAGGTGTCAAAACCTATCGGCGACAACTCGATTCAACATCAGCAATGAAATCGTATCGGCCATTAACGCTCGATCGTTTGTATCGTTATCAGGAAGACAATGTTCAACTCATACTCGATTATTTACCATTTCTACGCGAGAAAGAACCGTCATTATTGATTCATTCGTTATGGTCGATATTTATCCAGTATTTGAATTCTTTGTTTGATGATCTTTTTATTTCGTAAACAATAACAACGACAAATGATGTGTGTATAGTTTAAGTTAATTCATCTTCATCGAAGTCTGAATCATCATCAACGTAATTTTCATCATCATCATCATCATCATCGTTCTCGCCATTGAATTGTTTAGTAGATGAATCGTTTACTTTGGCTAACGCTTCTTCACCTGACATCCCTTGTTTCATCAAACGATAGAATTTACCTGTAAATAAAAGAAAAACATCAATAAAATCATGTTTTAAGATGAATTTTATCTTACGTCTTTGTCTTTCGCGAAGTAATTTTATATCGTTTTCAAATTCGACTTGTTCACGTTCTTCTTCAACAGCAGGAACAGGTCGTCTAGAGAGAAAATACATTTCAATCGATGTTTCGTCGATCATTGATGAATCTCACTCGATAGGTGCATCTTGACTTTGTCCACATTTACAACAAAGATTATCTTTAGCACCGCAATCGTCACAAACGATATAATAAGCTCGAAGGATATTTTTCTGAAGACATCGAACACTAAAAAAAGTTCGTTAGTTGACCTTCGTTTACCCACTCATAATTAATTTCTATGAATAGTTCGAAGGATGTGAACTTGAACAAAGTTCATGTCTTTCCTTTTCTTGATTAGTTCACAAAATAGATGCCATTCTTGACATCACGTTAGTCATGGTCTATGAACAAGTATCATGTCACGGTCGGTCAGAGAGTGCGATCTGACAATGAGAAACAAAGCACTGCACACTGAGACAAGACTATGCGCTCGGGAATCTATATTTCTCATTCGATAGTAGTGAATTGACTTACCATTTCTTGGGTTGTGTCAATGGTTTATATTTTCTGAAATGTACTCTCCATTCAAGTACTTGTTGACAATGTTCACATAAACCTTTGTGTTCGAGTGCATTGATTTCTTTTGTCATTTTGCTTGTATCGTATAGATTATTTTTGAAGGATGTTGCATTCTGATACTTTTGTCTTCTTGTTCGATTATTATTACCTCTACTACAAGACATCTAGAAAAAAAAAGAAGACGGACAACAAGCGAATTAACTAATTAAAAACACAGAAAAACAAACGAAAAATTAATCATCACTCTTATCGTCATCTACAATATGATCCTTAGTTGTTGTTGTGATAGACGTATGAGATGGATTGGATGAATGTGGAGTTGTCGATGATGAGCCTTCGTCAATATAAATCGATTGAATGTGTTGACCAGGTATCAGAGCAAGGCCGAGTGCACGAAATTCTTCTTGTTCACTTGGTGAACCGATATATTCGTTACAATTCCCTAAGATAAGATTTTGATCACGATCAGTGCAGAGTAAAACACCAATAAGTACACGTCCGTCAACGATTGAAACACGCATGGGTTTGTTTAGCCATTGGTTGATTTTCTGTCGAGTTCGTTCACTTTGTGCATCAGTTTCGTTCGAGATGAGTTTATCCTCGTTGCTATCAGTCATCTAGAAAAAAAAAACCAAAATCACAGATTGATAAAGTATTTCTTATCACATTTTCAAAATCAACGGATAGAAAAGGAATTATTAAATATCACAATGAACTTGAGCGTATTGCACACATGCTTTTTACAAAAAAGATTACTGAGGGTTACCAGTATGTTGATCAACTTTTGCATTTAGTAGATGACAGCAATGTTTAAGACCTACAATAGAAGATATAGTATTGCAAAGTGTGAACAAGATAATTACCCGAACAATACAGGACGGTTAAAGCCGCTGAAAACAAACAAAACAAAAATTAGAATGTGATCATTTTTTGGTGAATGTAAGATGCATACCAAGTGCTTGAACTTTCTCATCAACATTGATAATTTTCTTTTGAATTCTGCTCTTGGCGTTTTCATCGGTTAGATTGTTATTCATTTCGATAATTAATTCGTCACGAATTTCATCCTGTAGAGCAATGTCTTGTCGAAATCGACTGATCTAAATAAGAGACTTTCTCATTCGCTTGAACTCCCTTCCAAACAAGGTGTTCACGAACTTGATCTTCGAGCTTTTGTTTTCGTTCTTCGAGATCTAAATCTTTGAATAACTCCACTCCGAATGTATTTGCTTCAGCGTAGAGTGCTGCATGATCAACAGCTTTTTCTCGAAATAGGTTCTCTAGACTTTCCATATCGACACTGTTATTGGTTAAACATTTCTAAACGGAAAATCTCAAATTTTTCAAATCAAACATCATTCGTTAATATACACTGAATATGACTTGAAGATCGTTTTCAGACACATTTTCACTCGCTATGAAGAAGTTACGAACATGAGATATTGAATAGAGAAACGATTGGAAGATTTACCCGATGACGATCGTGGTTTTCGAAGATCCAAATTTGAAGTAGTATGAGAACGTTTCGTCCGAAATTCGCGTAGTTTATTATAAGCGGATGAAGCAACACCGGCTAACTTTGACGATGAGTGGATTGATTGATTCCCGAAAGGTCGTTTTTCAGCATTGATATGTTCGAATTGTTCATTTTTATTCGTAGCTTTAGGAATTGTTCGCCGTATATTTGTCTGATCAACGTTCGCTATGGAGTCATTCTCAAAAGTAGATGATCTCGAACGCATATTTTCATGTGTGCAAAAGTTAGTCAGCACAAAGTTCTCTTCACATGCTCGATGGACGGTGACAGAACAGTCCCGACATTGTCGGCCTGCTTTCATCCATACTCTCTTTTGACATAAAGCACAATTGACACCAACACTGAATGTTTGGTCTTCGAAAATATGACGAGGTGATCTAGAAAATGTCATTTAGAATTACGATCATTTTAGCATGTCATATCTTTACTTTGGGATGGGTTGCTCGGCGAAGGATAATTGCTCACTGTCGACTATGATCGTTTCAAAAGAAAAGGAACGTTGCCGTTTTGCTTCTTGTTTTCTTCTGTTCTCAATTTCAGGTTCATGTCTAATTCTGATCGTGACAAATCCATGCGCCATGTGATCATCATACTTTTTGTGCGTAGTTAATTCGGCTAGTTTTTGCCTATAAGAGAATATCCTATCGACGAATGTATGAATAGAATTTCAAAACATACCGCTTTGGATCTTTCCGATAAGCTTCACTAGACGAAGAGGATAACATTTATAAGTACTAATTGGAATTCGGAATAAAGCTTACATATTAGACTTGGGTGAAATTGGCGATCGAAAATTAAGTGTCATTTGAGTCTCACGTTTGAAGCTCATATGAGCATTGAGAACAATCTCCGCGAGAGGAACTGTTGCCTACATGAAAATACCGAACAAAACTTAGATTCAGTTGATCCAATAGATAATTTTTCTTTCTTAATCATCATTGGAAAGTCTCTCAAATCATAAACAATTAATGTGTTTTTAAACGCACATTTATTTTCCACTTAGTCACTTCGTAACAATAACCTAAATGAATCACTTACATAGCCAAGTAATATATGTTTTCGTTCAATATTAGGTACATTGCAATCGACTGGTGGTTTACACCATAAACAAATGTTCAGATATTCTTCGTCCGATCCGACTGAAAACTCGCTGTCGTAGTTAAATTTGACATACTAGAGCAACAGAATATGGGAGTCTATACATTTTTTATATTCTGAAACATACTGCACTAGGTTTCTGCGTAAGAGTTGGTCGAGCTTGAAATGAGTCGAGCAATTCACTATTTGCCATCATCAAGTGAACCGTGTCCGGTGGTGAATTTGTCTACAAAAGTCGAACAAGGGGTTCGAAAGTTAACTTTTGACACCTTACTAGTTTAGTACCCGTCCATTCTTGAATGGTATCTGTTTTAACTGAAAAGAAAACAAATACAATATTCTCAGAAACGTTGGAAAATTGCACATCGTACCAGAGAATCGTCGTCGCAATGTTTCTGTGAATTCTGGTCCCTATACAATCAAATTTCGGCAAGTAAATTTGAGAGAAAAGGGATCTCACTGTCTCTACGGCTCGTGGTATTCGAACACTTTGGAGAACTGGTATAGCAACTACAAGTTGTACTTTTTGATCGTGTTTTAATAAACGAGTCACTTGTTCCAACTGATCAACACGTTTGCCTTGAATTTCAAGTAGAAAGACATTTTTATCCTTCAAAGCTTCTCCAAAGATCGTCTGATCTTTAAATTCATCTGGAATCGGATCCAATTGTTCAATCAACAATTCCACATTATCCATATATAAAACTTCTTTCACACGAATATTGTTACATTGCGGATAAAACTCGCACTGATATCTTTTCCATTGATCACGATTCAGACATAAATAATCTTCGCACGTGTATTTATTGACATTGATTGTAAGAAAAATGAATAATGCTAATTCTGTCTGTTGATTGTAGATTTCGTATGGAATCGAAAGACGGTCGCATGATTTGATTTTAATATGAAATTTGCCAGGTATAAGGTCAGGATTGATTACTTCTAAACACTCCTTCGGGGACGAACGGTGTGACGTGGGAAAAAACGGCTGATAACGAATTTTGTAATTTGGCCAGATTTGTTTACGTCGTATAGCGCGATGTATTTGTTGTTTGATTATTTGTGCTAATTGAGCTGTCTCACGATTGGATAGATAAGATTTCACATCTAAATCAATCAATGGTTCTCCTTGAAAGACTAGCAACCAATGAGAAAATGGTTCACGACGGAGTTCTAATCGTACATCACCCCGAATTCGTGTGATCTTTATGTATAACTGACACGTCTGTTCAAATGCAAGTGTTATGTCAAGTGTGACAGAAAAACCATCTTGATAGTCGGCATGAAATGTCGCTTGGCATTCCTGTGTAGAAAAATCAATAATCAGCCTAGGAAATTCCGTAGATTTACTTTGATCAAATTCTGTTCGTCATGTTCATGCCGTTCGAATCGTATATCACTGAGTATTGGACATTCTTTTCCCAAAGAAAAGCTATGTATCTATGAAGAGCACAGACGGATGACAAAAAACTCGAAGTATATGAAATCCTACGACAATATCCCGAACGAACAGCTTTCCCAAGCGAGTATTTCTTAAATCATTGAATTCAACATTTAATTTTTTAACGATATAACGCCTGATTCGAGAAGAATCCTTTAATTCTTGAAAGACAAATTGGAAGATACAATTGACAGTGTCAACAGTGGAATTTTTCGATCGAAAATTCTAAGATAAACATACATCAATACGAAAGCCATCTCAAATGCCGACGAAACTTACTTCAGGTAGCGGCTGAAATGTTTGGTATTGATTTTGTTCGGCAATTGGTTCGGGCTGACTGAATCCATGTCGCATATACAAATAGACTACGAGAGCAACCGTTGTTGCACATCCAAGAGCATAACTAAGAAAGACAATCGCTATGAACATATTTACATGAAATACATCTTCAAGAAGAGAAAATTCATATATTGTTTTAGTGAATTATTCTTTATTATTATTATTATAGTTGTTGTTCGTTTGCTTGTATTCCAATACTTCTCGTTTTATACACACGGACATTTCGAAAGCGGCATACAAAACTATACAAACATATGAGTGAAAGATAAACGAAGAGAAAAAGAACGAAGATGATGATAATGAAATCATAAAAACACACACAGAAAAAAAAGTTGGTTTTTCTTCACTCAACTGCAAGATTTCAGGTCCTATTCTTTTCCAGAATTCTAAATGATATATGTACACACACACACTCGAAGACGCGCGTAAGCATTGTTTGCTTTTTTTTTCTATACGGAAGAACATGGTTGTTTTTTTTCTCAAAGAGTAGAACTTAATTATTTACAAAGTCATCGCCGTGTTCTTTTATTTTAGAAAACGAAAAACAAAAGATCACTGCGAGAATACAACGCTATAGAAAGAACAATAAATTAAAAGAAACAAACATGAAGATTGAATAAGATGTGTGTGTGTATGTGTGCGCGCGGGCATATATATGTATATATGGTCGTTAAACCATCAAGTCAAACTAGGGTTTTGTATGAGCAAAGAATTATCGTCGACAGTTGATGTTAAATGATGATTAAAACTAGGTGGAACATAGGCAAATAGTGGTGGAAATGCTGTTTCGGACGGTGATTGATGAGGCTTTTGAGTTGGATAGAAGCTGTTCGTTGATTGAAATTGATGTGAGGCAGCAAGATCAATGGACTCATTGGGATAGATTGTAGTTGCCGGATATGGTCTTTGAATACCCGACATGAACGTATCTGTTGGTTGCCAAAGATTCGGTGGTTGCACTGTTTCAATTAAATGTCGATAACGTAAACCTAGAACAAAGATATAGACAATTCCGAATTCGAATCGATCAAAATCATCTTTCGTAATATTAATGTTAGGCTATGAAAAAAGCATTATAGACTCTAATAGCGAGCAAATGAAGCATTGGATTGGATATGTTTTGGTTTTAGAAATATGTACGTATGTATATCTCTACTTTTTTTTTATTTCTATATATAGAAGAAGAAGAAGAAAAGAAAAAAATTGAAAAAGACAAGTTGCTCATTTATGACCATTTAAAAACGCATGATTAGTGATATTCATAGATTTTCGTCCAGGATTCTTTACTTGCTGATGGTCTATAAACAAAGATCAACTCATTAGCCTTTTCTGTGCAAAGTGATATACGATAAAGATGATTCGGTTTCAATCAACAAAGTTTGTCAAGAAAAATTCGAACGTACTTGCATCAAGATTAGGTGAACTTGTGGAATTGAGATTCAACAATGTATTATTATTATTATTATTGTTATTATTATTATTATTATTAGAATTCGACGGCATTGTATGATTCACATTTGATGTATCATCATAAGTTCGTTTGAAAAACGGCGATTGTAAGGCATTAAATGGTAAAATACGTCGTTTAGGATCATATTCCAACATTTGTTGAACAAGTTCTTTGAATTTTATATAATCTGATACGGAATGATTTGCTTCGCCAGTACGTCGACCGCCCGGTCCGCCGGCATCAACGCCAAGTATANGATCATGATTAACACTTCACATTAAACAGATAGAAATACGAATCACGCGATCGGTTTCGATGATAACATAGATCATTCAACATGATAGAACTATAAAGAAACCTTTGAACATATGTCACTTTTTTTTTGTTTTTTTTCTTCGTAGGAACCTGACGGACTTCGAACTAATAACGGAATTCATTATCGATTGAGCCTTTATTATCCAGCAAGTAAGTCTTCATAAAGAACTATGAATAAAGACTAACGAGTTTTCTATGAGTAGTTAACTATCGACATGAGCAAGATATCTACGTGCGTATGATTGATTCAGGCACAAAACAAGTAGGTTATTTTTGCTTCTACTGGAATAGGAAACCAAGTGGGATTATGTTTCTTTGTTTCAGCCGATTGTTTATGAAGGTCAAGATAAAAATCCCGAAATGTGCCGTGTTCTACTAACTCATGAAGTAATGTGTAGTCGTTGTTGTGACAAGAAATCATGTGGTAATCGAAATGAAACACCATCTGATCCTGTCGTTGTTGAACGGTAATATACAGTGATAAGTTTCCCCTTTTCTAATTACTTTCTTATCAGTCAATATAAATATTTAGAAGAGAAATGGGAGGAGTGAAACATTCGAGATAACATGACTTTCGCTTGATTGTATTCTGATAATTAAGTATATCTTTTCTATGAAAACAATAATAGGAACGTATGGTGTATATTTCGTCTTGTTTCTAATTGCAAATGACAATAAACGCTAGTATGTCCCATGAGTATGTGTCTATGAAAATTAATTTCTTTTTGTTATTTCGAGGGAGTTGATTTCTCTGGTGTGATATTGATAAGTTTTCAATGTTACTTTTTTTTGTTTAGGTTTTTCTTGAAATTTTTTCTTAAATGCAATCAGAACTGTTTGAAAAATGCTGGTAATCCGCGCGACATGCGACGATTTCAGGTATGACTTGAACGAATCAAGGGAATGATTCACTTCTTTTTCTTTCCGTTCGATTAGGTTGTCTTATCAACAACAGTTGGTCTCGAACCACCTCTATTGGCAATTTCCGAAACAATGTTTGTTCATAATAATTCAAAACATGGCCGACGAACAAAACGTCATGATCCTATTGACGGAGGTACGTCCTTCTCCGATTCGTTTCCAATCAGTTCCTAATCAAACATGCTTCTATCTTTTAGAATCACTTATTCCGACCCCAGTCATCAAACACATTCAACCCAACGAAGGTTGGATTGTCGGCGGACAAGTCGTTCTTATCTTAGGAGAGAACTTTTTCGACGGTCTTCAAGTAATGTTCAATACAATGGTTGTTTACAGTGAAGTACGTTGTGAAAATCATCGGAGTTCGATTAGCAAAACAAATATGATTTGCGCGCTTATGTTAGATTCTTACACCTGGAGCTATTCGAGTACATACACCATCACGTCATGGTCCAGGAATTGTTGATGTCACACTTTCATACAAAGGAAAACAGTTCTGTCGAGAATGTCCTGGTCGTTTTACATATATCAGTAAGTAATGAACATTTACGATGGAAGAAATGACGATGTCGGGTGTGGTTGTAGCTATGCAAGATCCAACAATTGACTATTCATTGCAACGCTTGTCTAAACTGATACCAAAACATGCAGATGATCCCGATCGCTTGTCAAAAGTGAGTACTGATTAATTGTATACTTTTGCAATTTCGTTAATTTGAAATTAAGGAAGTTATTCTTAAACGAACAGCTGATCTGCTCGAACAATGTTACACAATGTCAGGCAATCCACATCACTTTGCTTTGCCAACTCCACCAAGTGATCACGAGAATGATTCGAGTAAGATTTGTCTTCAAAGAAATGTATTTTTATGCTCTTATCGATCTTCTTTCAGCATATTACATATCATCATTAGAAGGTATAAGAGCGAAAACTCTAAGAGATTATCCTATTGCTTGTAATGTGATCTATTTTTGAACGTGCGCATACAATTGAAAATTTTCTGCATGCGAGTCTTGTCCATTATTTAAAGAGATTCTTTATTTTCGAAAAACTAGAAAGAAACAATATCAGACTGAACTGATCTTCATCTTAATTTGCTTCGTTTTCTTTTAGGTTACTCACGAAATCAAACTGCGCCTATGTCGCCACGAAGCTACAACGCTTACAGCAACGCTTATGGGCCATCCGCATCATCCTATGCTGTTCCATCACCTGGCTTTTTAAACGGTTCGTATCTGAGATCAATGTGCATGTTTGTGTTGTTTCTATGTTCGTCTGTGTATGTGTAGTGAACCGTCCAAATGGTGTACCGTTTGTATGTCAGCAGCAGCATGGAAGTGCTTTCAAATTACCTTCGTCACTGAGTCCTATTCATCAAAATTGGAATACTGTCTTCACTAATTCCAATTCATCATCATCGACTTGTTCGTCAATGTATTAGCATTTTGCTTTTTCCTTCTTCCGTTTCATTCATTGAATTTATCAATTTGTTTTCTTCCTTCTAGGAATGACTAATCTAATGTCATCAGCATTCAGTAGTATTGGCTCATTTGGCCCACTAAGTTCAGCATCATCAGCACTTGGTTCATCTCAAACAGTTACACCTTATGGACAAGTTCAAGTTAACAAATAAAACATATCTAACCTCTATTCAATTTGTTTTCTTCATCTATATATATATTTATTTTGTCGTATTTGCGTGCATCTGACTTCGTGTGTGTGTGTGTGTGGCTTTAATTATCTAAATGCAATTTTTTTTTCTTTCTGTTCACTTTTTTAAAAAGTATTGTACAAAACAACCAAAAACGCATGGATCATAGTTGTCGTGTATGGGATAATATAACATTGATAATAATCAAGACTGTTTCTTTCTCTTAATGAGAAAATCGTTGAACAGCCGGTACAATATCTTCTGATAATTAGCTTTTCTATAGACAGATGAATTGTTGTCACCCCCTGCAGCTATGGATGGATCTTTTCTTCTCTCTCCCCTCTCTCTCTCTCTCTCTTTTAATCAAGCCTATTTGACTCTTTTTATATGTCAGAAAAGAAGAATGATCCATATGACGATGATACGATTTCCATAAATAAAAAAAGAGAAAGCTAACTAAATTTCTGTTCTATACATGTGTTCGCGCATGCTTTGAACTAGTTTGATTATGAGCAAACGACCAATGGGAGTGTTAATGCAGGCAGACGGAGACATGCGATCATTTTGGTCAGTGTCCGTCGATCTCATTTCATATTTATAACATTAATTCATGAACAGCCATTTGAAACTCTCCTGAGAAATAAAGAGAATCAAACAAAAAATGCGAACGACTACCGATCGTCTATCTATATCGTTGACAGATGGATGTTGTCATGTTAGAATGGATATGGAAAAAAAACAGTTACCTCAATCGACCGATACGTGTGCATACAGGCGCGACCAGACAGCCGGAAGCGATTGAGTAGTGGGCGGCGTTTAATAGATTAAGTTTCCACTTAAGCGATGTGTTATGTATATACATATGAAACAAGTGGCACATTTGTTTCGGATGTCGTTTTTATGGATGAATGAAGCCATTGTAAGAGAGAAATTGAATTTGTACGAAGCTTGAAATAAGTGAAAATCAAATTTTTCTTGACCGAATTAAAATACAATAAACAATAGAATCACTTATGCTTATCAATTGATTTTTTTCCTATGATAATCACCGAGAAAACTGATATTGTCAAAGATAAGCACGCTCCTTTTCTCTTCGATATATGATTCATATATTTAACTAAAAATTCATCACAATGGAGTATCACAGAAAAACAATATTCTAGAAAAACTTTTGCAGATCCTTAAGAATTAATGTATCATTGTAAGAAGAAAACTTCCATTGTTGCGTTTTCTTCTCTACTTCACATTCATCCATAAAGATCATCTTGCTATCCACATCACAATCCAAACAGAAATTAGTAGCAACATGTAGAATATGGAAGTTGTTAGGATTGTAAACGAAATGTTGATTACCACGCATACCTTCGAACGTAAACATGAAATTCAAACGAAAATAGATGTAAACGATAGATTTTTACCATGACAATTAAAGAGCACCACTGGTGTACGTTTGCCCCGACTGGGAACGTCGAAACAAATTTCGCGACTTTTGGGTCGAATATCTTGTCGCCAACTCAATTCAAAGTTCTCCAAGAATACGAACAAATACTTCTTCTATTAGTGATGACGATGAATGATTACCTGTTCGCCACTTCTTCCTTGCTGATCTTTCACACAATCATCAAGACCGAATGTTCCACGTTCTCCAGCATGTTTTGTGTCTATACATAGATCTGCAGCTGTACTACGAATCTATACAGATTTCCATCATAAAATTAAAGAGACGACGTAACTGATCTACGCATTACTTCTCCTTCAGCGTATGCTGGAAGTGGAACAGGTGGATAATATTGAGGAAGATCGAATGCAACGTTTTCCATAAACCTACTCTAGTCAGATTCCTGTTTTTCTACCGATGAAGAAAGACATACCATTTAAAAGATTTACATCGTAGCTTTTCTCTCAAAGCCACTTGTTTTTTAATATTGCCTGCATCTACATGCCTACAAACGAAAACTCGTAGACTATTTCAATACTACCAAATCGAAAGATAGTATCCTACCGTATTCGACTATTTCGTTTATATATGTATTCAGCATATTCATCCATCCAAACGACGGCTACTCTTTTATGGTTCTGCATCATGACGAGAACAATTGACAGTTTAACAAAGTATTCTATTAACTCACTCGTGATAGGTAGTCTCCAAAATCGAAACCACCATGTGGATTAAATTGTCGATAGATATGTCCCACTCTCGAACAAGGCGCATCGACAAGACGTCCTCCGCATTGCCAGATTTTAAATGACATTTCATACTGTTCACCACCCCAAACATCCAAACCTTCATCATAACCACCCAATTCCCAAAACCATATTTTACTAATTGCAAAAAGTCCGCCGGCCATCACTGGGTCACTACGCAACGAAGACTTTCACTTGAAACACAACTGCGAAAACTTACTCAAACGGTTCAGTTGGCTTTTCAACAGTACCGGGTAACAACGGTAACCGTTTGTAATACATCTGCCAATCGAATGCACCTCGAGCACCTTCATCCTGTGCAACGTAGGCAAAGGTTTCCCATTTAATCACATCAATGAGCGGACAAACACTTGTTTTATAATCCATAGCAATCGGTTCAATTAATGGAGGAAGCCAATTAATATTAACTTCGATGTGTGAATCAAAAAATATCAGTACATCACCTTTAGTCTCACGAGCACCAGCTAATCGCGTACGGATGAGTCCTTCACGATTCTGAAGACGAATAATGCGAACTTTGGTTAGATTAGCGATATGATTATCGAGCGGCGATTTCAAATTAGCTTGAAAAGAAAACGACAGCTTCGCAGGTAGTCATGTCATTATCGATATACTTCCTATGAGACTTTTACCTTTCACACTGGCATCATCAACAAGAATGATTTCCGTCAGAAGTTTTGGTGGTGTTCGATTTAATATGCTATAAATCGATCGTAGTAACGTAGTCAGATGTTCATTACGAACGGGGATGATAATGCTAACCTAGAGAGAATATAAATGTTACTATATTGATTCAGATAAGATTAAACGGCTTACGGAGGGTAATTCAGCCAGATAGAGTTTCTTTTTACAGCTAAAGAAAAGCAAGTGAAAATTATATGATGCATCAAACATATTGGTATACTCTGGATGTCGGATATCTTTTATTGACCGATGAACGAAGATATTTTCAGATATAAAAGCGTTAAAGCCATTTTCTCGATAGAGTTGTTGAAACACAGCACTATTTCGTTCTTGTGTACTTGGTTCAACACCTGCACCACCCTCACCCAAACCTAGTCAACAAAAATATACGAATCGATAGACAGATAGTCAAAGCCTAGTATTACCTGTTCGAGCAGTATCACGAGCTATGGCCGCATAATCATGCCAATCGATTTTCTGAACTTTTCTTCCTAGGATATCGACGAGTTTTCCGTGTATTCGTGGCGTAGATGATGATACATGTTTCTCCTCTCGATGTATTACCTCATTAGTGTCTACTGAGTATTCGATCTGTTGATTTATCAAGTAAATTATTGAAAGAAAGAGGAAAAAGACGAAAAATATACGTTTTCTTCGAAATCTCAATGGCATTCTACATCTATTAGTTTCATTCCACCATGAACATCTATTTCAAACAGTACAACTCAACCGAATGACTCATAAAATTTTATTTATTCAAAACTGTTGACTGACGAATCGTTACCTTCAGTCTGAGTAGATGTGAGACATAGCGACATCAGTCAATAGCACCTCATCATGAAGATAACTGTTTCGAAACAGTTTTGAACACTTTCGATATCAAAATTGCAGAAAAAGTACGTACTATACAACCCATGCGGCTTCATCTATTATTATATATGCTTCATTGAATCGCTCTACGATCGTTCATTCAATCGAGTAGCGTAATATTCGTTTAATAATTTACATTCCTGGAAGAATTATCATCAATGTCAGAAATTCATTCGAGAGAAGTGCCAAATTGAATTAATAAATACTTTTTGATCCGAGATGTTTTATCGTAACAGGTCATAAACATCTGAAATCGATCTACTCAATCAATGGTTAATAACGGATATAAACAAAGAAATGTGCTCTATTTAACTTGTAATTTCCTCTGAGAATACACATTCAATGCTAAAAGTTATTGCGCACCTTACGTAAGAGAGCACAATGAGATTGGCCGAGCAAATCACGAAAATATGTTCATCAAAAACGAATCGTTGACAAATTTGCATTTAATTGATTGTTGAAGAAAACGACTGAAGAGATGGGAGGAGTGCTGACACACTGGATTCGTTCTCTCGTGAAATTGGTTCTGTTTTTCAATAACGGTTCAAGACTCATATTAATGCTAATCAATTATACACAGATGAGACGATGTTTATTTGCACAGACAAATATCCTTGATAAAACCTATTCAATGTCATACGTGTAAACTTCAGATTCATTTTACAGACAGATAGACTGACTGACTATCGTTCTGATTAAACAAAACTCCATGTGATAGATCGCAAACAAGCTTTTGATCAACTCCGTCATCATATCGCTATTAATCCATTAAATCTCGCATAGGAGTGACGAGAAACGAGTTATATTTGGTGTTTTTCTCTCACACTGTTTAACTGTTATGACGCGTAAGTAAGTCAGAGGATTAAAAGACAGTTACGACCAACGTCCGATTGTAAGCAGGAATGTTTTCCCTTCCAGATCTATTGTTTTGCATTAATGACGTCCATCCGATATAATCATATGATGAACGCGCCACACCTTGCTTGACTATCTTGATTTTACATCTGTCTGTCTATCATTTTGAAAAGTTTTGTAGGTAAAAGTCAACGATAATGATGATGTAATGATTTCTCTTTTTTTTCCTCTTCTTTCAATCGAATTTACATAAAAGTAAACGCGAATGGCCCGACCGATGTAGTTCGCTATTCATGCATAGACACAGACATGTAAGTTCATAGAATGTATATATGTAAACATTGTATAACCATGATCGTCATCAACAAACGTCTGATTAACCAAATGGTTGATATTGACGTGATCTTTGCAAGTCATTCGAGACCAACAGATTCGATATGTAACAACAATTCAATTCCTTGAATGCCATTAACCAATACACAAGGTTTCTCTCTCTCTCTCTCTCTCTCTCTCTCGTGTGTATATGTGACATCATCGCATCATGTATAAATATCTAATGATCAAACCTTATCTCTAAGGAGTGTATTGAGGCAATGATCGTATGTTAGATATACAACTGAAAGCAGTTAAGTATCTGAAGCAAACAGTAAGTGACGAGACATTGATCGAATGGCATTTTTTTAATATTTGAAGATAGATGATTGTTAGAATCGAGAGTAGAATATGAAACGTAATTGAGGCGTGTTGACAGATGCTTTTAAAAAAAGAGGAGAATACAAAGGACAGGGCGAAACGCCTTCAATACAAAAATATAAAGAAATATTCATATGAATGTCATTAGAACATCTCGAGGTCAAGTCATATGTTGTCAGTCGTCTAGAATAGTGAGAAGAAAAAAAAAAGAAATGACTTCATTCTGTTACTTTTCTTCCTTGTTCTCGTTTCTATCGATGAACACAAAATCAGATATGTCATAATGTCTCATTTTCTTTTAGAATATCAATCAAAGGAAATTTCTCTCATTGTTATCAGTTTCCTTTGCAAACGCGTACCTCATGCACATTTCATGCTGCTAAACACTTTTTTCTTCTTCTTTCTCGTTGAATATCAATGAGCAGGTGCTGCATATACTCTCGTTCTCATTTGTGATATGAGAGCAGGAATGAAGGAAGGACAACAAGTGTTTATACTTCAAACCAGAATCCCTTCTAGCAATTTCTAACTTGTATTAAGTATGTATTTTTAGTCGTTTATTTAGATTTCATTGACGTAACAATCATTTGTATGATACAAAAAAGACACTGTAGGCAGTTTTTCGATCAGGAGAGTTTTTTTTTGTTCATAACATGCATTCGAAACGATTGTAAGAGTTCCCTTTACATAAACATTAGTAAATTAGCTTACGCGATGCAGTAGCTTTTAACGAGTAATGATCTCGAAGTAAAAATGATAGCGTTAGTCTTTCTTTTGCACAAAGCTTATTAAATTAATACTACTCAATCGCATCTTCTCTGATGTTTATATGACGTTTCGGTGACAAATAAAAGGGCTCAAGATAAAAGAGAAAGTTCATTTCTATGAGCCACAATTCTCTTCTCTCTACTTGTTCAATATATTCAGCTCATAAACAATAACAATAAGTAGTACACTGATAGGTAAAGAGGATGAAGAACAATGACCAAACATACACTATACTTTTGTTAGTTCAAATAAAGGAGAAAGAGAAAGAAAAAAGACCATAATTTTCATACATGTACATATGAACACGACACACTTGAAAGCTTAAAACATATCGATATGAATCTTTCATACAGCTTCCAATATTGATTAGTGAAAGATATTCATTTGGGTGTATTTTTCTTCTCTCTTTAATTTCAGTCCGACAAAAGCGACAAATACAATGGGTAATTGTATTGGGAAAAAGTCTGATGCCAAAAACAAACGTCGAACATATGTTCCATCGCCACCGACAATTCACAAACGTTTTCGTAAAAAACGAGGTCTATCATTATCATCGTCATCGACAGCAAAACAACCCAGTGTTCTTGTTTCACATCTACCTGATGTCAAAGAATCTGATTCTCTAGTTCAGAAAAATGAAGAATGTGAAGAACAAATTGCACGTTGTTCCGTATATTCGGTAGGAACAACGGTTAGTAATGATCCATTTATACTGATACACTCACCGTCAACATCGTTATCGATCCAATTACCAATTGAATGCGATAATGTCGAATCGAATCATACGATTATCGATTTAGCACATCCAGTACTTGTAATTACAAATGAACAAGATTCAACAATGGGACAATTTTTTAGTAGAGAAACAGAACTCAATGATGATCAACGAGTACCCAGCTTTACTGATGAAATTCTTCTTGGTAATTGTTTTACATAAGCAAAACTCCTTTTGAAACGACAAAATCGACTTTTATTTCAGATTCTTTGGATTCATCGCCTTCGTTATCCCATTCTGCGACTTCATTATCTTCCCTCTCTTGTAATACAACACCATTTTCGTCACAAGATAAATTAATTCTCTCCTCTTCATCATCTTCCGCTGATACAAATCCGATCCTTTCCTCTTTGCCTTACACCGAACAAATCTATCTCGATCATTGTTCACCATCCAACGAAACTTTCTCGCCCAATCTTCCAGTTTCCTTTCCTCGTTCACACAATAATCCCTTTCTTAATGAATTTCACCAAAATATTCTTCTTCACTCATGTCGAACGCTTAGTTCACTTATTGATAACGTTTCTCAACAACAATTTATTCGAATACATCGCCGAACAAAACCTCTCCTAATTGAACACAAACAATTTCATTGTGTACAATTACAGTAAGTTCATTCTCCTATTAATCATCTCTCTCATCTTTTCATCATAGACATTTTCAAAACTCTCCAACACCGCCATTCATTTTCGATCATGATCAAAAATTCGTATACATGACCAAATATGCACGTTGGAACACATTTCAGTCGATAACATCCGCAACGAAAGATACTCGACGCATCTTTTCTTCCTGTGATCATTGTTTATCTTTACTCTCAGGTTCACAATTAAACAAATACATACGTCCGTTTTTATATGCAAATGCCACCCATCACTTAGCACAAATGTATTTTAATGATATCGATAACAATAACAACACGACGTTCGGTTATGTTTCACAAAAGGATCCTCATTCAATCGAGCAGATTCTCATTAACAATTCGAAACTAGCTTATTCCTATGATCTGGATGTGGATCAAACATCGATTTACTTTGTTATACGCATACAATCATGGCCGGAGGAAATGCGCGTCAATTTCGAAGAGCGACCACGTTTATGGTCATTGAATGTTGAAAAGTTATTCGATAATACTTGTTTTATTCGATATAATGATACTGAATATGAAATCTCAACAAATGATAAATGTCATGCTTGTGACAAACTACTTACACCATGTTCATCGAACACCACATGGTCGTATACGTATGCGGCCATCGAGAGTCAACTTGTTCAATTGATGTCTGAAAATCAAATACGTTTTGCGTCGATTGTATGGAATTATATACATGGTAGAACTCAAGGACAGATTTCGTTCAAGATTTTTAAGCATACACTCTTCTATTTCTTCGAACAATATTCGTCCGATGCATTGCTATTGAGTGATTTACTGAATTCGATTCGTCTGTTTCTGGATTTTCTTTCCGATTGCGTGCAAAGAAAATCTATTCGACATTATTTCAATTCAGATTATAATCTGTACAACGATGATGTGGCAATGAATTTTCTTTCATCGAAAATAACCTATTTAGATTTGAAGAATTTCTCCGTGTATCTTCTGCCAAAGTCTTCGTTATATCTTTATCATTTGATGTATTTAATCGAATTTCAAACGAGCTTTTTGAATTATTTCTACTCAGCAAAGACCAATCTCATGCAAACAATCATCGAAACACATGAATTCGTTATTAAACAGCTTTCATTAGGTGTCAAAACCTATCGGCGACAATTCGATTCAGCATCAGCAATGAAATCGTATCGACCATTAGCACTCGATCATTTGTATCGTTATCAGGAAGACAATGTTCAACTCATACTCGATTATTTACCATTTCTACGCGAGAAAGAACCGTCACTGTTGATTCATTCGTTATGGTCGATATTTATCCAGTATTTGAATTCTTTGTTTGATGATCTTTTTATTTCGTAAACAATAACAACGAAAAATGATGTGTGTATAGTTTAATTTAATTCATCTTCATCGAAGTCTGAATCATCATCAACGTAATTTTCATCATCATCATCATCATCATCGTTCTCGCCATTGAATTGTTTAGTAGATGAATCGTTTNGTGGTACCCATGTATTATCAGGGAGATGTTCAAAGAAGCGTTTCGTTTTTGTTCCCTGTTCGAGAATGTTCGTAGGTGGCATACCAAGTACTTCGACAATTTTCATCATTTGATCAAACTAGAACAATCATTTCGAAATTCGAAAAACAAACTCGATCGTCACGACATACTTCATTAGTTCCACTGAATAATGGTTCGCCTGTGTGCATTTCAACAAGGATACATCCGAGACTCCACATATCGATGGCCATGTCATATGGAATTCCAAGTAATACTTCTGGTGAACGATAGAATCGACTTTGAATGTATTGATAGAGCTACAGATAGGTTTGACGTCATTTTGAACAATGCGAAATAATGTTCACATACTCGTTGCCCAATTTGACAAGAACTACCAAAATCGACAATTTTAATCGCAGATCGTTTCGGATTGACCAAAAGAATGTTTTCGGGTTTCAGATCTAATAATGTCATTCATCAAGTACGAACACTACTTTCGTTTCATATCAACTTACCGCAATGAAGTATACTCAATTCTGGTTGTGAAAGGAATAATAATGCGGATAAAAGTTGTAAAGCGAACTTTCGTGTGAGGTTAAGTGATACACCACGGAAATTTGTATTTCGTAATAGATCATATAAATTATAGGATAATAATTCAAATACAAGACATAGATGATTACGAAATGTGAAATTTCGTTTTAGTCTCACTAGAAGAAAACGAAAAGGTACAGTTGTAGTTCTTTGTCTTCTGTACGGTACATACCAATATAACCACTATTATCATTATCTTGCTGATTCATTAATTCGAGAAGACGAACTTCAATTTGTGCTTGGGAGAGGAATGGACGTTTGTTTTTGATTATTTTTATCGCTACATATTCACCATCAATATGATCGAAGGCTTTGACAACCTAAAAATCATAGATTTCAATCGAATTTGCTTCCTTTCAAAATATCAACGGCGAGAACGTAACGCTTTAAAAAAAACTTGATCAGTTATCGTTCGTAATGAGCTTGACACATGTACCATATCAGATCTCGAGCACAGTTGACATGACCGAAATTCAAAGTTCTCAGATACTTCGTCGTTTAGTCTTTCGCGTATTATCATTCGAACGTAAGAGCGCCATTTTTATGACCTCGATTTTCGAAAAGAAAAATAAGTTGTTTCGTCCTCTTATAACAAGGCCAATCGATCGAATTAATTAATATACAGGCGACATCGAAGCTACGTAGGAAAATCAGTGAGAAAAGTTCGTTATTATTACCTGGCCAAAACTGCCTTTGCCAATAAGACAATCAATGGTATATCGTTCGAGCCAAACTTCGCCTGGCCGTACAATATAATCATGATTATCATCATCATATCCATCATTTAAATTTCTTTTCTCCTTCTTGTTCAAACCGTTTTCTTCGATGACTTGATTATTACTGCGTTTCTTCTTTTTTGCGTAATATACCTAAATCAAATAGAAAACATATATTCTAAAACAATCACAAAGTGATACTTCATAAGCAGACTGATANGTGGTACCCATGTATTATCAGGGAGATGTTCAAAGAAGCGTTTCGTTTTTGTTCCCTGTTCGAGAATGTTCGTAGGTGGCATACCAAGTACTTCGACAATTTTCATCATTTGATCAAACTACAACAACAATGTCGAAATTCGAAAGACAAACTCGATCATCACGACATACTTCATTAGTTCCACTGAATAATGGTTCGCCTGTGTGCATTTCTACAAGAATACATCCGAGACTCCACATATCGATGGCCATGTCATATGGAATTCCAAGTAATACTTCTGGTGAACGATAGAATCGACTTTGGATGTATTGATAAAGCTACAGAAACGTTTGACGTCATTTAGAACAATGCAAAATAGAATTCACATACTCGTTGTCCAATTTGACAAGAACTACCAAAATCGACAATTTTAATCGCAGATCGTTTCGGATTGACCAAAAGAATGTTTTCGGGTTTCAGATCTAATAATGTCATCCATCAAACACGAACACTTCTTTCGTTTCATATCAACTTACCGCAATGAAGTATACTCAATTCTGGTTGTGAAAGGAATAATAATGCGGATAAAAGTTGTAAAGCGAACTTTCGTGTGAGGTTAAGCGATACACCACGGAAATTTGTATTTCGTAATAGATCATATAAATTATAGGATAATAATTCAAATACAAGACATAAATGATTACGAAATGTGAAATTTCGTTTTAGTCTCACTAGAAGAAAACGAAAAGATACAGTTGTAGTTCTTTGTCGTCTATACGATACATACCAATATAACCACTATTATCATTATCTTGCTGATTCATTAATTCAAGAAGACGAACTTCAATTTGTGCTTGGGAGAGGAATGGACGTTTGTTTTTGATTATTTTTATCGCTACATATTCACCATCAATATGATCGAAGGCTTTGACAACCTAAAAATCATAGATTTCAATCGAATTTGCTTCCTTTCCAAATATCAACGGCGAGAACATAACTCTTTAAGAAAAACTTGATCAGTTATCGTTCATAATGAGCTTGACGCATGTCCCATATCAGATCTCGAGCACAGTTGACATGATCGAAATTCAAAGTACTCATTTGACTAGATCGTTGATACTTCCTCGTTTAGTCTTTCCCGTATTATCATCCAAACGTAAGAGCGTCATTTTTATGACCTCGATTTTCGAAAAGAAAAAACAAGCTGTTTCGTCCTCTTATAACAAGGCCAATCGATCGAATTAATTAATATGCAGACGACATCGAAGCTACGTAGGAAAATCAGTGAGAAAAGTTCGTTATTGTTACCTGGCCAAAACTGCCTTTGCCAATAAGACAATCAATAGTATATCGTTCGAGCCAAACTTCGCCTGGCCGTACAATATAATCATGATTATCATCATCATATCCATCATTTAAATTTCTTTTCTCCTTCTTGTTCAAACCGTTTTCTTCGATGACTTGATTATTACTGCGTTTCTTCTTTTTTGCGTAATATACCTAAATCAAATAGAAAACATATATTCTAAAACAATCACAAAGTGATACTTCATAAGCAGACTGATATTTTTCAGGTGTCGTTCGTCCTGTAACTGATCGTATGATGTCAGATTGATAGTTAGTCGAATTACTATATGCAGAACTACCATCTGTCAGACTACTCGCATTGGATGAAAGCAGATGATGATGACGCCGATACACTGGATCATAACTGAATGACTTAGCCCATTCACTGTACGGTACTTGTACATATTGCATGATGTTACTAAGTTTTTTTTATCTCAAAATGCCCTTGTATTAAAAGCAGAAAATAGAAAACGAAAGCGAGAGGCACGAAGAAAAAAGGGAATGTTATAAAAGAAAAAGCCTCTATCATAATCGTCGTTAGAATAGACAGAGCATGTCGTTGACGACGATCAACAACAAACCTCGAAAACCAAGGTTAATGTTAATGAATTAAATGAGAAAGAATAGAATATATACTTTAGTCATTTTGCAACCGGCAAATTATTGCATCATACGCATACAAGTGTATCTTCTCCCTTTTTTTTTCTCTTTCTAATGTCTATGCCGATGACTTGAACGATACATTCAATGATTACTAACATAAAGAAAGAGAAGGAGAGACAGAGCAAATGAAGGCGTGTATGCTACGAGATATTATCATTATTGTCTTGTATTCCCTTTTTTTTGCGCATTTATACACCATCAAGCAGAACGAGAAAAAAACTAATGAATAGTATATTGAATTTTGATATGTATATGTGATATGGCTGTCTATATGATTGAATAATAATAATAGGAAAAAAAGACCGAAAAAAAGATGAGTGAATGACAGAAGTATCATACCTCATTGATATGTTTGTACGTTTTAATAAGATCCACACTTAGTTTGCGAAGTGGAGCTTCGGCTGGATCACGATAAGCATTCATTGCTGGCATCATCATGTCTTTAATTAGTTTTCCTATAATAATTACGATTTAAATATTGATAATATTTGATAATTATATGACAATTTCATTATGATATGAGAGTACATATCACACCTAAAAGCAAATAAACGACAGATGATTTAGTTGACAGAAATATCACGTGTGTTAGCGTGGATATACATGGAAAATACGGTGTTGTTGTGTTTCTTTTTCTTGCTTTTTACGACGAAGAAGGTACGACGAAAAACAAGTGATGATAATGAAGAAAAATTGATTGACGAATGTGGAGATAACAGTAAATATTGTCAAAATATGATGATGTAAATAACAAGTCCAATTGATACAATCTGAAACATGATCAATACATGTAATTGATGTTTATGACCATTCGAGTTTGAGTCATTCATTGACGTACACGATTGATTCACGAGATCTTAGGACCGAAAGAAGAAAGAGGGAAGAAAAAAGTCATGAAAGGAAGGAAAGAAAGTGGTAATGGGAATAAACAAAGAACTTCATTTTGACTGGATCATATTTTCTCCTTATGATCGCCATTTAACTGTACTATTTGAGAACCTCAACGATGTTGTAAACAAATGTCCGGAAAAAATATGACCATACAAATCAACCAATTGCTTGACAAATTCATTTTTAAAAGAAACTTTCTTGTTTTTTTATGAAGAAATAAATTTGATGTACATTTTGTAATATTTATATCATATCATACTACAGCGACATCTTTTGACATCACGATCAACGAAGAAAAATAGGAATACCATCACTATTCTTGATGCATTTCTCGTTGATTGTATTTACACTGTTATGGGAAGTTTTTTTTTTAATTGAAATATCTTCACATCGATGGACATAGAACCGCATACAAAAAACGATTCACACGCGGAAGAATGTAGTTATTTTCCTGATGTTTCGGCTATACGAACAATCAATGGAAGAAGAGATTACAAAAGACACGAATTAAAATTGATACATTTCGATGTAAACTAATCTACAGATGAGGAAGCACGGAGAATATCATATTGCTATGCATTGTTTTCTTTGACAGTTGTTAGAGCAGACGGTACTATTAATGAATTCATGATATCGATCTTTTTTATCTGACTAGTATTGGAAATCTATTAGAAATATAACAAAAACGAGATTTTATGACGATTAGCTACGATGTTTGACTCACCTGAGATGTTTTGCCATTTCGGAAGATATCAGCGTACAGATTATTTTGTTCGTTGCAAAGTTTCTTCCGTTGCTCTTGAACAACCGGATTGACTAAGCTAATGGATGAATGTGCGTTCGTTGTTGTCGGTTCGACTGGTGTTTTCTTTCGTTTGGCCACGATTGGAAATGTTCTAACACATAAAATATCAGTCAGATTTCCGTCCTTTTTATCAAGTTTTTCTGTATAATTTGTGAAACGTCCGTTGGGCCATGGCTTCGTTGAATGTTTAAAGCGATATTTATACAGCTGTGATGATAATGGATTGGTAGAATGATCCATAAAACTTTCGGCTAAATCATAATGAATTGTGCGTTTGCGTAAGAATACCAATGGATTCCAGGAACGATTGCCCACGTTTCTACCACCACCACCGCGCCGTGCATGATGTGCTACTGGTCTACTGAGCTAAATTAGAGAAACTCTTATGTAAAGAACATCTACTATGAATGCCTACTGTTTCAAAAAGATTGTCACATTCCTCGTGTACAGTTGTGGGGTCAAGCGATGGACAGTGATGTTTATCTGATGAATTAACTGGATGTTGCAATCGTTTTAAATGATTGGACTGGTAACTCATCTAAGAAAAAAATCTTGGATATGACTCAAACGTCTTTGGCGCACTAATTAATCGCATTAAATCATTTGATCCGTTGAAAATACCCGAAAAAAAAGTCATTTGTCCATTCATATGAGTAGATGAACGAACCAATGAAGGTCAGAATTCATCTCTCATAAGCGGGAGACATCTGCTGAAAGCGCATCGAAGCATGTCAATAGTTTGTTTTACATCAACAAGTTCCTTTATTTTTCGTCTATTTCCTGATCAATAAATAGATAAGAAAAAAGTTATTTTCATTTCAATGTTTTTGACTTTCTTCATTTCAATTAGTAAGTATAATTCTCCTTGAATAAATGTATATATATGTATTACCAATAATTATTTTTGTACTTCTAGCTAAGTCAAGGTTCTGAGCATCGTTCTAATGGGTTCGCTATTCAGTTCATCACACAATCGAGGAATTGCACCAAACAATAATCCATTGATAAATCAAGCTTATAACGTGGAATTTGGCTATGCACCTGTCGGTCCGGTAGGACCGGTCCCGTCTGTTCCGAAACGGAATATGTTTGGTCAGGCGCCAACTCATCATCATCGTCGGCGAAGACGATATTGACATCTGTGATAAAATGAGAAAGAAACGATATTTTTAAAAAAATGTAATGCACCTTTATTTTTTATCTGTGATGATCAAGACGAATAAACTTTCTTATTTTAATTAAATTATGGAAGAAAATCCACCGTGAAAAGGCCTTACATCTCTAATCGATAGATATAATTCAGGGTTGTCTCGAAATGTTATCGATTTAATCAACTGATTTAGTCAATCGTTTTTCGCGTACGTACGAACAAATGTCCTTCCTGATCGAATATGCACCTCATTCTTCTGTCCAGTGACGAGTGAAAAAGATCGACGGTTGTTTTAAATAGACCAATGAAATATTTAGATAATATGCTATACAAACAGGCAAAAACATACCTATTGTTATCTGTTGTTTAAACATACATGGACACTGAAGACGCAATGAACAACAAAAACTAACAACGAAATACAAGAGAAAATTTAGGCAAGAAAATTGATCTAGCACCAGAGAAGAGTAGAGTAAACGAAGTTGGTGACACAAAAGGAAAACAACATACAAGAAAAATGACAAAAAAAAGATGTGAGATCGACAAATATACGCACACACACACATATATATATATATATGAGTATTGAGAAAAACAATGAAGATGGCTCATTTGCTGATCTATCCTTATATCAATTCCTCTTCTTTTTTCACAAACATATAAATGCAATAAATAAAATTGGAAGAAAAACAAACGCTGATTATCATTCATTATCTATCAGAAGAAAGCAAATAATCTTGCTAGTTATTTACAGATGAAGAGGAAGACTCAGGTGACAGCTCAGTTTTTATTGATTCAATCAATGAATTTAATGCATCACTTGTAGTATAATGCAGAATGTTCTTAGCCTAGAAAATCAAATATTTCAATGAAAACAACGAAGAGCCAAACGAGTGAAAACACTTACTTGTAATATATCAGCATGATTAGTATGCGTTTCAGATAAATTTCGAAATTCGTTCGTTGTAATTAAGCAGCGATCGAGGTTTTCGGGTGATACGAAATCCTCGGCTATTTTGATACACGAATGTAGATTTTTCACCTAGAAATTCCGAATAGATTGCAAATCGATATGTAGAACAATCGTTCTTACTTGATGAGGTGCTCCACTTGGGATAAAAACAGCATCGCCTAAAAACTGAAGAATTGGATAGGATTCGACTTTACTCCATTCTCGTAATTTTTCTAAATCTTCTTTTTCGAGATAAGCTGTTTGATCGTGTATAGTATCAGAACCAGGTGCTTTTCGATGCGCCTACGAAAGAAAAAGAACGATTGATATTTGCTTACAAGATTAAGCAATCACATACTCGTCCAATGTATTCACGAATCTTTTTCGCATCATCAGAACGAAATAAATGCCAGAGTGCACCTGGTCGTTCCCCATTTCTCAATCGTTGTAACTGGGCTTCATCAATATTTGAATCCAATATTTCGGCTTCAACTTCTACAAGAAGACAAACGCATGCCTACTCTACATAATTTTCCTTCTGATCAACTTACGTCGAATTTCTTCTTCTTTATCGGCTCCATCATCACCTTGACCACCTATGCCAACGTAGACAAGTACATTGACAGCATCTGACACATCGATATGAAGGTTAGTTGTTCCGGCTTTCTTTGTGGCTTGACTTGTAAGCTGACCTAGAAAGAAATTCGAGCGTTTTGCCTTATTGCTGCGAGAAAATCTCAGAAACGTACTGTAAGCAATATACAATTTTGGTCCGAGATCGGGTTTAAGCAAACATGATGGTAATCGTTCGACTATATTCAATGCTCCACCATGATATGTAACACCGTTATGTACATATGATCGTTTCGTATATTCGCCTAAAGTTATTAGCAGAAATTTTCTGGAAGGATCGAGATGTGAACTTACTAAATGGAATATTGTTCATCAGATCGTGGAGAAGTACAGGAAAAACAGAAGCAAAATCTTTTTTCGTCGGCCAATCTTTTAATTTCAAGATTCTTGGCCGACCGTTATGTTGTTCATCTCGTAATCGAACTAAAAGATTCATTGATGAAATTGAATTTCTCTTTACAAAATGACCACTTACTATTCAAACGTTCAAATCCATCCCAAAAGTTAGTTAAAATGGTCTCATCAGTTAAGATCGGTATTAATGTTTCGCAATCCCATAAAGCTGGTGTTTCACGATGATCGATCATATGTTCTTTAAATGCTTCGGGCTGCCATAACGTTTTCGATAAATTCTTGTGCACTTGTTTCACAAGTACAGGACAACTCGTCGACCAAACTTTTCGAAAAAACTGTCAAACGAACAACAACATGCATTAAGATCAAGATATTCATCGCATTCTACATACTTGTTTTGCATTCTCACTAATCCATTCATTAAAGACCGGCAAGCGACCATTACAATAAAACTCAATATTTGAATCATTGTTACAATCACTCGACGACCACTTCTTTTGTACATCGCGAGCATCATGTGATCGTTTCATTTTCAAACTCTTCAGAAATGCCGAAAGGTGTTCGCTCTTAGCTGAATTGTATAATTTTAGTGTATAATCAAGTTTTAATCGACTTAAATAGTCAACAACACCATTACGTAACTTGAGCATAACTAAACGAGAAAATCCAGATTCTATTCACATGCACTCGCGAAGTTCCATACCTGACCATGGAATAAATTCTGACAGAGAAAATGGATCATCATGAGTGCAAGCACGTTTTAATTCTAAACAAACACATCAATCAATGCGAAAAAATGTTTAGCTCAAATTTGTCGTACTTTTTCGTTTCTCGATGGTTAATTGAGACAATTGGTTATAGCATTCAATACATGTCATATATCCACATTCTTTACACATGTAGTGATGATTAAACAATGTTGTATAACATTCATCACACACTTCTCTCCAGCCTGCCACGTACTTTTTCCAGATAATGTTTTCTATTCAAACAAAACAGTTATTTCAAGAGAATCCAAAATACAACATTTTCAAATTACTTTCATTGTGTGCCGATCGTTCGTTTTGTTCGTGATGAAACATTAAACAGAATACTTTTGCTATACGCATGAAAATATAATTAGCATCAGGGAGATTCAGAGCTGGTTGACCACCTGCAATGAGAGAGCACTTAAAAACTTTGACTCCGAAATGAGATCTTTCTCATACTAGTATTCGGTGTGCATAGAGATTCAATATCTTGTGGTGTAGCATTCGCTGCTGTTGTAAATCCTTCGATCTCATAGATGTTGTCGCCAGAATATTTTAATCTAGATCGAAAGAATGCCAATTTTTAAACGCGAAGGATTTTCGAATGCTTACGTTCGACAATACTGGAATCGACAACCAGCTAGATGTGACGATAGATCATCGGGGTTAGCTGTTTGACAATCAACACATCGAGGAACCGTCTGTGGATATGAGATGCAGTAGTTTTGTTGAACTTTGGTTACTACAAACGAAAATAATGGTGAAATCAAGATAGGATGGACATTGTCTTTACTTGGTATTGACTTATTCTGTCGACGTTTGACTAAAGCTTGTTCAGATATTGCGGATGTATCTAAAGATCGTTTTTGATTGTTCGTTGGAGAGGTATCTGCATGGATGTTGTTATCAGTTGACATTCCATTTGTATCTAATGAAAGCAATGCCGTCGGTTTTGTTTCCGAATCATATTGACAAATAGCATTGTTAGTTTTATTTTTGCATTTGATTTTATCAGGAAAACGTCGAGCGAAGACCGGTGAACGGCATGACTGTTGCAACGATTTAGAATTCCTTGACAAAAGAGAAATCATAAAAAGTGAGAGATGATCTGAGGCATACTTTTTGAAAGTATCCATGGATGGAAATACTGGTTTGACTTGCCTTTCCTCTGCGTAGTGTGGTGAATATCTTGGTTGATATTGCGGACTTTTGTTGTTCACGGTATGGTTCATAGGTTCAGAAGTACTTTGTACAACAGATGTTTCGTTGGCCTTGGCTGGAGACGTTAAGAGACGATGAAGAATCGGTGATGCATAAGAGTGATTCGTTAGAATCATTGACATAGATTTATTATCGATTGGTGTAATCAAAGTATCAGTTGAAATCGGTTCGGTTTTAACGGTAGTATCTAGTACAGAGAAGAAGGAAAAAAGATTAAGTTTTCACTTCAGTTGTCATTCTTACTGAATGATTCGCCATTGAAATGATTTTCCGTACTTTCACGTTTTCCATTTGTGAACGCCAATGGTGAATCTTTTATACAATTTGCATCGAGTGATAAGTTGTCTTGAAAAACGTTTTTGACTCTTGGACTGGAGCAAGGTGTCGTTGCACAAGAAGAGACATTTGGAGTACAATCACCTGCAGAGCTGATCGGTGATGATGTAGATTCATGAAGTGTTGTCGATTTGGTACTTGAACCACTTGTTTCAGGTGAATAATCCGTTTGAGTCATTGACGGTATACAAAAATAAAGATTTTGTGAAGTCAGAAGTGGTTTATAAATTAAATTGTTCGATGTGGAACTATTTTCAAAAATTTCGTGTAAGCGAAACGCACGCTGGTCAATTAAACTTGGATTATGTTGTAACAATGCAGAAGTACTCGGTGATGGAGGTTTCATTGGCTCATTTTTTAATTCGAGGAACGGTCCACTTGGGCCTGGATGTAAATATGTATATCTTGCTAACTTCTGAGATCCCATATATTGATCCATCTAGGCATTAGAAAAAAAAATTTCCAATAAGTTAATTTATTCACTTCGCATACTTTCTATGGATATTTATTGCATTTTAATTAACTTTACATAAAGTTACCGTTAATTACTAATGATGTTATGCACACAGAAGAAAGAGAGCTCCCTCTAGATTTTTCTTTTCTTACAAAATCAATCAATCGATACTTTCACATGAGTTCTACCACCAATCATTAAAGTTGCCATTCCAGCGCCATCTATTTTTATGAGGGTTCAATGAGAAATTCGGATAGGACAGAGCATTCCGCAAGTTATATAAACTTGCTTGATTTCGATTAGAATATGATTTTCGATCATCAGTATTTTGAATCTAAGGTAAGAAACGGTAGTCTATCAGATGATATTCGGTATGTATATTGTAAGGGAGTTCAGTTTTGAAGATAGATCGTTATTCTTTTCTCTAGGCATTGCTTATCTCCTCTCGATACTCTTAATTCACTCTTCAACAGCAATTGCACAAGTACAAAAACATGATCCCGACTGTGACTATAATATTACTCAAGTCATTCAAACTAAAGGCTATCCGTGTGAAGAACACAAAGTGATCACAGACGATGGTTATATCTTAGGTATTTTTCGTATTCCACATGGTCGCAATAGTTCCTCCATAGGGCGACCTGTTCTTTTACAGCATGGTCTTCTCGATGCTGCTGTAACATGGGTGATGAACTTTCCGGATCAAAGCCTTGCTTTTATTCTTGCCGATGCTGGCTACGATGTTTGGCTTGGAAATATGCGTGGCAACTACTATTCTCGAGCTCATACGAAATACAATCCTGATCATGATAAACAATTCTGGGATTTCAGTTGGGACGATATGGCAAGAGATGATCTTCCGTCGATGATCAACTATATTCTAAATAGAACTGAGCAGACGGAGATCGGATATGTTGGTCATTCACAAGGAACGATGATTGCTTTTGCTGAATTCGGTAATGAAAAGAGTGTCGTGCGAGATAATGTAAAGTTTTTCGCAGCTTTGGCTCCCGTCGCTCATTTAGGCCACATTAAATCACCGATTCGATTTCTATCATCAGCATCAAAAGAATTAGAACGTTATTGGCATTTATTATTTGGACGAAATGAATTTCTTCCATCAAGTTATATCACAAAATGGCTAGGAACATTCGCTTGTGGTGAAGTTATTCTTGATGAAGTATTATGTCAGAACATATTATTTATACTATGTGGGCCTGAAAAGAAAAATATGAATAATACCCGACTACCAGTCTATCTGTCGCACGAACCCGATGGCACATCAGTGAAAAACATGATTCACTTTGCACAAGGCGTACAAAGTAATATCTTTAGAGCATACGATTATGGTTCACCACAAAAAAACGTACTACATTACAATCAAACCACACCACCGGAATACAATCTCTCTGGATCTCACATTCCAACAGCAATCTTCTGGTCGGGCAAGGATTGGCTGGCTGATCCTACTGATGTTAACTACATTCTGAATAATCTACAGAATCTAGTCTACGATAAATATATTCCAGAATACAATCATCTGGATTTCGTTTGGGCTTTGTCTGCCAACAAAGTTGTTTATAGTGACTTGTTAAATGTGATGATAAAATATCATCCGCCCTATTGACTTGTATCTTTTTTGTTTTATTTTTTCGATATTTTGTAAAAAAAGGATCTGATCTTTTTTCCAATCTAGCAATATCTCAATAAAAATTGTTTTCAAGTTGCTACAAATTTTCAATTTAAATTTTGAGACGAATTTAATGGATAGTTGCAGTAGAAACGAGCTCCCTTTTATTTTTAAAAATCATGCGAATACTTCGATGATAATTCAAAAGAATCGCTCCTACGGAAAAATAGCAGAGCGGATCTTGAAACAAGCACTACTTGTTTAATGAGTATTAGACATGGCATTTCAATGCGACTATCTTTAATTGAAACGACAAACAGATTATATAGGCACACATTTGGTTTGGTCATTTTTATTGAATTCACATATTACTCAATTCGATAGATAACATGATTATACGACACACTGTTTTTATATATTTTCTTTGATAGAATACCTAGAGCATATTGAGGATGAACACACATTTGAATGGTTAGAAATTTCAAACGCGAACGCTCTTCTTCGAAATGTCGTTAAATATGTGTTTTCCGATATGTATCATACCATTCGATAAGAAGCACAGACGACGACAGCTGTTTCTTCGTAGTCGAGATAATAATGTCTATGTTTCCCGACTTATACGAAAGCATCAGTCAATTCGAAGCTGCTGGCAGCCATGCCCGACGTCGTATTGTAAGAGTTTAATTTGTTTATTGAGAATAGTCGTGTCTGATCCGTCGAGTCATCATAAGGATGCTATATAAAGGAGGAGGTTACTGTAACGATAATGATATCGTTCATCTCTTTCTGTTCTTTATCCTCTCACCTCTATATCATACTATCTCCGGGTCATATCTCTCTTTCCTCTTCTCTATATAAGCGCGTGTCTTAGTGTGAAAGAGATACATTCTGGTCATGTAGAGTAGTCAATAAACATCTATACCGTGAGAAGCGGTCAGCTACTCAACCAGTTTGTCATTACATGGCGACCCTGGCTAGTGAATCTTCGCAAATCCACTAGAAGTAGATTCTCTAGTAAACACAAACAACGATGAAGATCAATCAATGGATAAATCGAAATTTAATGGGCAATCGGTGACTGCAATGTATGCAAAATAACAAGGATGAATTTTGAATTAATGTGATGAGGAACCTCCTCAACGGCATGAACGGCATCAGAATCGGGTGGGCAAGCGTTGGCAGGAATATTAATCCAGAAAGAATTATTTGAAATGAAGAAATGGAAGAATTTTATTTGTCTGTAGCTGCGAGAACGACCCAACGACTGAACAGCCGAGTTATCCGGGAGAAGAATGACATGGAAGGGTTCCACTTCTACTGCGTGGCGATTCATTTTATTGGCACAAGATTCGTTCAAGTAAAGCTGCATACAGAAGAGTGCACCAATTGACTCATTATATTTTTGCTGTGTTTGATACATCAAGCTAATCGGTTTAAGTAAGAAGATGAGAAAAAGTTGTATGGAATATCTCGTATTAATGTGCGTGTGTTTGTCATTATGTTAATTTTTTGTATGAAACGTCGTAGTCGTTGGATCGAAATTTTTTTTAACTACTTCGTTATGTGTAAACGCTTATAAATCGCATTTTGTGTTGAGATATCTCTAGTGCATTCGATGAGTTTATATTGTTCTTATTCGTATGACCTTTCTCGTGATCATTATCTACTCATCTTTTTTTTTTCTCGCCTTCGACTTAATATTGTAAAGACGCTCAGGAGCGCGTCTAAGCTGAGTGGGAGGGTGTAACGATAATGATATCGTTCATCTCTTTCTGTTCTTTATCCTCTCACCTCTATATCATACTATCTCCGGGTCATCTCTCTCTTTCCTCTTCTCTATATAAGCGCGTGTCTTAGTGTGAAAGAGATACATTCTGGTCATGTAGAGTAGTCAATAAACATCTATACCGTGAGAAGCGGTCAGCTACTCAACCAGTTTGTCATTACAGTTACTGCATACACTCATTGAAATTATCGTGATACTGTAAAGAATGGCTATTGATCCGTGCATTGAAGTCGTATGTTGTTTCTCTTTTGAGCTAGAATTAGAGTGCAGTCCATCATTGCTATATCAAAGCGAGAACACGTGGAGCGATAAGTGAAGATTATTCCTCCTGATCAGACAAAAAGAGATTATGTTCAGATTGTTGGTAAAGGAATATCATACAGCATTATAGAGTTTAAAAGTCCATGCGCTCTTTCAGATGCAATAAAAGTTTCTTTCTATTTTGTCAGTTGCTACGTGTTAAAGATCTATATGACGAACAGAAAAAGCATCGCGACGATTGTCGACTGCTTTTAATGAATTGCGCCAATATCCCAGGTCGATCATTCCGGTGACTGGATCCGTTGAAATCTGAGTCGGTTCTGGTACAGCTCTTCTCGATTCCAACAAGTTCCTTGCCGCCGGATTCTGGCCGGAATTGCAGAGGAAATATCCGATCAGTTCCTGACCGTTTCCAGCTCGAAGTTTGCAGGAAACGGTCGGGAAATGACTGGAACCTACGTTTGAACTTCTAGCCGGAATCAAGCGGCAAGGAAATGGTCGGAAAACGAACCTAACCGGCCGGAACCGACCGTGCCATAATAACCTGGGATGCAATCATCGGAATGGTCGTTTTTACTCGAAAATTTGACAACAGCTACTTTTAAACTAGGCGAAATCGTGAATGAACTAAAAAGATTAGAATGTAAGCTCCTTTTTTCTTTCTTTGAAGAAATGTTTTATTATCTTCTTCGTAGACACTCATATCAAGAATGGTGGTCAATTACCCTACGAAAATCTGACAATCGATGGCAACTGATCGTTTATTTTCACGGACACTGTTCACTATTACACATTGAGTCAGGAAACAAATGTTAAATAGACAATGGATAACGTATACTTTATTTCATTGTATCTTTTCTCTATTCAAAATTCTTTTCAATTCCAATAAAAGAGTGAAACAAAACTGAACGAGTTGGAGTTCCATTTGTATTACTATTTTCATTTTCGAGAATTTGTCTCAGTCTTAAAACAAGGAGGTGTGAGGATGGGTAATCCAACTAAGAGTCTCGTTCGATTTCAAAATAGTTTGCGTAACTGAGTAGTTATCATATTTATCTTTTCGATCACACCATACGACACTAAGATAAAATACGCATGTGTATATATAATACGGTGACTAACGTCTCTGTTTTTATAACAACATTGAGGAAGAAAAAATGTCGTTTCATAAGTGCTGGAAAAATGTTCGCGGGGTAGATATTTTCAGTATTCTTCTTGTATTAGCATTTTCGACTGTGGTATCATCGTCACCAGCAAAACAACATGATCCAGATTGTGATTTGAATATTACTCAACTCATTCAAAGTAAAGGCTACCCGTGTGAAGAACATAAAGTTATCACTGATGATGGCTACATTTTGGGTGTGTTTCGTCTTCCGCATGGTCGCAACAGTTCCTTCATAGGTCCACCTGTTTTTTTACAGCACGGCCTTCTCGATGCTGCTGTAACATGGGTGATGAACTTTCCGGATCAAAGCCTTGCGTTTATGCTTGCCGATGCTGGCTACGATGTTTGGTTGGGCAATGTTCGTGGTAATTACTACTCACGTGCACATGTCAAATACAATCCGGATCGCGATATAGAATTCTGGGATTTCAGTTGGGCCGATATGGCAAGAGATGATCTTCCGTCGATGATCAACTATATTCTAAGTAGAACTCAGCAGACCAAGATTGGCTATGTTGGTCACTCCCAAGGCACTCTAATAGCTTTCGCACAGTTCGGAGATATCAACAGCAACCTTCAGCAAAACGTTAGTTTCTTTGCTGGTCTAGCTCCTGTAGCACATTTAGGACATATAAAATCTCCATTGAAATACTTAGCAGAGCTTTCGAAAGATCCCGAGCGTATGCTTCATTTGTTATTCGGCTATAGAGAATTTCTTCCCTCGTCAAATATCATCAAATGGTTAGCAACGCATGCCTGTGGAAGTGTGATATTAGATCCATTAGTTTGCGAAAATATTCTATTTATTATCTGTGGACCAGATAAGAAAAATATGAACAACACTCGAATGGAAGTGTACATATCTCATGAGCCGGATGGTACATCAGTAAAGAATATCATTCATTTTGTACAAATGTACGATTCTAATCTATTTCAAGCGTACGATTATGGGTCACCCGACAAAAATCGTCAGCATTATAATCAAACAACTCCACCCGTATATACAATTCGTCCAATGAAAATTCCCACAGCAATATTTTGGTCACCGGATGACTGGTTAGCAGATCCCGTAGATATGGGTTTTATTTTTGATAATGTCCAAAACTTAGTCTATGAAAAATATCTTCCCGGTTACAATCATTTAGACTTCGTCTGGGCAATGACAGCAAACAAAATGATTTATGTAGACTTGATCGAGCAAATGCAAAAATATCATCCAGCAAGATGATCATGTTCGTCATTTCACCCTTTTTTATAAATAAAAGATTAAATAACAAACTATGTCAAAGGAAAAGAATGAAAATAGAACAATTTGAAGAACTCGTTCAAAAAGTTCTTTATCTGTAATATAGAGTAAAGAACATTGATAAGGCAAGTATACATGTTATCTTTGTTGTTAGCTTTCTCTGTTATCTATAAATCAACTAAAACTAAGAATTAAAACTCAGTCGGTGTTTGCCGGGCCTGGTGATAATCATGTTGAATAGATACATTCTAACTTTACTCATTGTATGCTCATTACGTCATGCTAAACCTCTATCGGGAATTCAACAGTTTGATCCAGATTGTGACTACAATATAACTCAAATGATTCAAAGTAAAGGCTATCCATGCGAAGAACATAAAGTGATCACAAAGGATGGTTACATTCTGGGTGTTTTTCGCATTCCACATGGTAGAAAGTCGACAACGTCTGGTCGGCCAGTTCTTTTACAGCACGGTCTTCTTGATTCAGCAACAACATGGGTGATGAACTTTCCTGATCAAAGTCTTGGCTATATTCTTGCCGATGCTGGCTACGATGTTTGGCTTGGCAACATGCGTGGCAATTACTATTCTCGGGCTCATACGAAATACAATCCTGATCACGACGAAGAATTCTGGGATTTTAGTTGGGATGAGATGGCAGGAATTGACCTTCCGTCCATGATCTATTACATTCTCAATGTCACTAAACACACGCAAATCGGTTATGTTGGCCATTCGCAAGGAACAATGATTGCTTTTGCTGAATTCGGCAATCCAAATAGTGTTGTACAGAATAACGTCAGTTTCTGGGGAGCATTGGCTCCTGTCGCACACGTTGGTCATATTGAATCGCCGATTCGATATTTATCATCAGCAACGATAATGAAAGATGTTGAACTTTATTGGCATTTATTATTTGGTCGAAATGAATTTCTTCCATCGAGTTATATAATAAAATGGCTCGGAAAATTTGCCTGCGACAAATTTATCATCGATCGCGTGGTATGTGACAATATTTTTTTTGTTCTCTTTGGACCCGAAAAGAAAAATTTGAATGAAACACGTATGCCTGTTTATGTATCACATGTGCCTGATGGTACATCTGTGAAAAACATGATTCACTTTGCACAGGGTGTACAAAGTAATACATTTCAAGCATACGATTATGGCTCTCCTGATAAAAATCGACAACACTATAATCAAACTATACCACCAGCATATTCGATTCGTTCAATGAAAGTTCCAACAGCTATATTTTCCGGTGGCGAAGATTGGTTGGCTGATCCAACCGATGTCAATTATATTCTTGACAATGTTCAAAACATCGTCTATAAAAAGTACATTGCAAATTACAATCACATCGATTTTGTATGGGCTCTGACAGCAAACAAACTTGTCTATGCTGATTTACTTAGCGCCATGCAAAAATATCATCCACCCAATTAACTGTATAGTGTTTGTTTTATCAAACAACATTCATTAATAAATTATTGTCACATTTTTCTGTCTTAGATTATATACCGGTAGCAATATTTTGATACCCTTATCCATACCCTCAGGAAAATGATCTGAGCGGGGGTCTAAAAAAAGAAAAATACACGGTTTCTTTATCTTTTGCAATAGATACAGAACTTCAATTGTAAATAAAGATATCACATATGCTTATCATTTTTTATTATCCGGCTCTATTTCAAGTGAAACACAAAAGCAGGCACTTAGTTGCCCGACATGAGTTTACGTATGTATTACTAGCTTTTTAAAATTTTATCCAAAACTGATTGATGGCATAGGTATTTTTCATGTGGTCATCCTCTCCTTGTACTTTACTGCAAATGCAGCTGCTCCACAACCGTATAAGGCTGATCCAGATTGCGATTACAACATTACGCAACTGATTCAAAGCAAAGGATATGCTTGTGAAGAACACAAAGTCACTACAAACGATGGGTATATTCTGGGTGTTTTTCGTATTCCACACGGCCGAAATACTTCATCCATAGGCCGACCTATTCTTTTACAGCACGGTCTTCTCGACGCTGCTACAACATGGGTATTGAATTTTCCCGATCAAAGTCTTGCATTTATTCTTGCCGATCTGGGCTATGATGTTTGGCTCGGTAATATACGTGGAAATCGTTATTCTCGTGCACATGTCAAATACGATCCGAACCATGATGAAGCTTTTTGGGATTTCAGCTGGGATGATATGGCGAGAGACGACCTGCCATCCATGATTTATTATATTCTCAATGTCACCAAACATACGCAAATTGCCTATGTGGGTCATTCGCAAGGCACACTGATTGCCTTTGCTGAATTCGGAAATCCGAACAATAATCTTCAGCAAAATATTAGCTTCTATGCATCTTTAGCGCCTATCGCTCAAATTGGACATCAGAAGACGCCATTAAAGTATTTAGATACTGATAGTAAAGAACTCGAACGCTATTGGCACAAATTATTTGGTCGTAATGAATTCCTTCCTGCATCTAATATTCTGAAGTGGCTTGGAAAGTATGCGTGTGGTGAATTCTTTATTGATCGAATAATGTGTGAAAATATGCTGTTTATCGTTGGTGGACCTGATCGAAAGAATTTGAATGCTTCACGTATTCCTGTCTATACGTCCCACGGGCCCTCAGGTACATCGGTGAAGAATATGATTCATTTCATGCAGTGCGGTCGATCAAATATGTTTCAAGCATATAAATATCATACTCCTGAAGAAAATCAATTACATTATAATCAATCGATTGCACCGCTATATTCCATACGTTCGATGAAAGTACCAACAGCGGTTATTTGGGCTGGCGAAGATTGGCTTGCTGATCCAACCGATGTTACTTATGTATTTGATAATATTCAAAGTTTAGTTTACGAAAAATATATTCCAAATTATAATCACTTCGATTTTGTTTGGGCAGTCAATGCCAATAAAGTTATTTACAAAGATTTGATCGATGTTATGCAAAAATACCATCCAATGAAATAGTCGACTTTCTCTCCCAGTAAACTTTTCCGTACCATAAAATACATTTGTGTTGTTTATTTATTCCACAATTTTATGATACGTACGAATTATACAGTATTATCAACTAAAATAAAACACATGTCAACATCGAGTTCTTATTTCAAATCGATCGTATCTCTATCTTGTTCCGTAACTGAGTCATTTTGAGATTGTTCAAACTTTTCATCTTCTTCTTTTTCAATCATTCGTAGAGCGTGTTTTAGTACGTAACCAACAATTTCTGCTGAGAGATCTTGGTAAACGAGTTCTTCGCTATCACTAAGCGAGATCCGACGAGGTTTGAACATTCGACGAAATTGTTGATCGAAGTCCGTCTCACAGTCATTTTTATTTGTCTGATTCGCGGGTTCATCCGTGCTTCCTTCGCCTTCCTTCACAAATTGATTACAGCCAGCAAATGACACACTTTTGTGATGAGATAATGACGGCTTATCCAGTAATGAATGTTGAGCATTATTTAACGTCACATCAGTCGAACAATCACCGGAAATCTTGCGTTCAACTGGTATTGAAACGGTGCTTTTGATTTTATCTAGAATGCTTCTAACTGGATTACTTGTTTCGAAATCAATAATCTCAAGTGGTGATGATGATAATAATGTTTCTTGACGGGTCACAAATGTAGTATCTTGGGAGGATGAACCTGAATCATGGTCGGACGACGTACGCGTTTTCGATGATGATCGTTCAAGATCACGTTTCAATGCAATCAGTGGACGAGCTAAATAATACAATCTAATCGTTTCATGAGAGAAATGATAGTATCAGCTTACCGATGCGTTGCTCAAATGCACCTTGAACACCAGTGCTGAACGTTTTCAATTGTCCAAAAAGACTCGTTTTGAAACTGTCAACAGGCGAAGCCATCGAGCTCGATTTCGTAGAAATTCAACAAACTAGAGTGAACGTCAAGCAAGAAAGGAGAGGGAGAGAAGTCGAGAAACGACTTGTGAAAGAAAGAAGGAAATTCATGCCACAATGATTTCTTTTTTTTCTGCCTCTCGTTCATTCTCTGTTGTGTTGAGCTTTTCTTGATTTTAGCATCAACATCCTTTCGTATGAGTTTCTTGTTCTTGTATTGTTTTTTCCTATTCACGAGTCGTTATCTCTCATATTTTCATTTCTCTTGGCAAGGCCACAGGGACGTGGTACTATTCACAATCAAAAATGAACGTCACTATTAAGCGTTTTCTTACCAAGGCAACCTTTTAATATAACTAACTTCATTTGTTTAGCTTTCTCTTTTTCTACTTCTTTTCTTCTTCGCGACGGGAAATATTAATGATTTGTTCTCCCGTACGTCAGATGATTAATGAAATATTTCAGGAGATTAAATCAACAATAATACGATATGTGTGTTTGAGAGGAACAAACCTGAATAGAATTATTTTGCTAAAATTTTCTCTTAATACTCTGTTTACTGCAAAGAAAGCAGCGAACTGCTCGATGTGTAAGTAGGCCACAAATCGAACGTCGTCTTCTTTATTTGGTTGGAGACAGAGACTGTAAAAGGCGATAATAGAACACTCATTCTCATCCGCCATTCATAAGACATTTCAAGGAAGAAAGAATGAATTCAATCATTTCCACTAGCATCATTGCTACTTGCATATTTCATCGAAGATTTGCCTATAGCTATGCATATGCAGAGAAGAGTTCATAAAGAAACTTTGGATTGGTTTTCTAGTATCGATAGATAGATCATCTTCAATCGTTATATTTAAATCAGATATCATCATTTGAAAAAAGTTTTCATGAAGAAAATGATTAACTGATCACTCGTCGAAAACGTAGTTCACCAGCCATTTGAATTGCTGTACAACATGGACAACATTGTGAAGCAAGAAAGTCAGAGAAATAAGTGCCCTAAAGAGAAATCTTTTCATTGATTATTTCATGTCAACTTTCATCTTACATGGATTCGAAACGCTGTGCGCATTTTTGTTCGTAGAACAGCAAGATGTCCGGGTAGGAAGAATGTTATCCAACACGATTCATTCATACGCCAAGCCAGATGACAGACAAAACAAGGAAAACACCATATGCCATAGCACGATTCATCACAATTGTCTGTACAACTACAAAGTCCATGTGCCCATGGATTTTCGAAATCCCATGGGTTATATTGATAACCATCAGTGGGTTGCTGATAGTTCTTCGAATAGCCTGAATTATAGTCGAGCTCTGATGAGTATCGGGAGTCGGCGCGTGAGGCCATGTTGAATAACAAACAGTAGGAGAGAAAAAAAAACGAAACAAATGCGAATGTTTAACTTGAAATTGTTGTGCTTTTCGTCAACAGAAAAATCTTGTTCTCGTCGCTTTTCTTTTCTGTTTACACATGGTAAAAGGTGCGTTTGTCATGATTCTAAATCTCTTTCAATGTTTGTTTTGTTGGACAAGAAGTAATCATTTCTTTTCTTCTAGTCATTACCATCGAAACGGATTGAAATCTAGAATAATCCGATCGAGAAAAAGCTTTGATCTTCATCGAATGAAATCATCTGAACAAAAAACTAATCTCATGTATTATTGATTGATATGATCCAGAATGTTGCTTCGCCAAATGAACGAACAAACACGAACTATTCTTAGATCTGTCGTATGATTGTTGTTCAAGAGGATAATTGAATTTGTCGACGAACTAAGGAAATGACAGATCTAGCCTTGAAGAACATCCCAACAACAAGAAATGCACTCGTTTAGAAACTGATAAATAAGAGTAGATCATGACATATCTTCGGCCAGCAAAGTTTATTAAAAACAAGAGAAGAAGAAGAAGAAGAGAAAAATGCTGAAAACATAATGTCTGTTTATACTTATTTACAACAATATTATGGGAATGTGAAGTGGAGAAGTAAAACAACGAAAAGACTATTTCTAACGTATAAACACAAGAAAATAGTATTGCTCTTGGAGTTACTGTTCACAATGAAGAATGAATTAATTAGACGAGGATTCACAGATGAATACAAAAGAGAAAATTCACACGGTTTAAAAAAGAAACATTAGTCTGTTTAGTTTCTCAAGCAATCGTACAACATGCTCGATGTTTGCTTCTTGAATGCTTGTTTTTTCTTTCTCTCGAGTTCGATGCATCTTCAACAAGCGTTTTTCGTTGTTGTTGATGTTTAATGAGCGAACATTTCAATGTTGACAGAACTGAATGTTGTGAAGATGATGATGAGTCATGGGCGTGACCGACATTCACACGTTCGATAGTCGGAGCAATTATATTCGATTTGGTTACGCCGCTACTGATCTTTTTGATAATAGGAGATTTCGAATTTCGATTCGATTTCGTCGATGCTATTGGCGATGATGGTGATGTGATATCTTCTTCAATGATAACAGGTGTTTGTTGATTTTCTTGATTTAACGAGATCGAACGTGAACGTTGATGCTCAATGATGGTTTTGATGGCATCATTCGAATCCTGATGATGACTTTGTTGTAGTAAACGTACAATCATTGGCGCATCGGTTTTTGTAAATACGGTTGACTCACGTGGCGTAGAATATCGTATCGATATTCGTGAAGCAATGGAAAATTGAGAATGATTAGTAAGTCGATGATCGACAGATAAGCTGCGCGATCGATCATTCGTGACAATAGAACTACTTGTCGCTAAAGTATCTGAATTATTGTCATCATTTGCATTAACTAATAACAAACGATTTGTCGATAACGTTGAACTTGCACGCGAGAAACTTTTGCGTTTCAGATAATCATTACTATTCGTCGAAATGATCTGTTGTTGAGTATTAGATGAAGGAATGTCGTTTAGGACGTGTTCGATATTGCTCATTGATCTTCCACGGGAATTTGTTGCCGATTCGATTTCTTGAAATGAACCTGGCGAACGTGTTTGTTTCCGATTTGGTGCGCGACTTATTTCGTAGAGGCTACTATTATCTTCGCTATCAGAACTGGAATGACTTCGACTAAAATTTCGTCGACGTGTTTCGATAACAGATCGTAGATCTTTCGAACGAAGAATTCCACTGGTTGTTGTCGGATTCTCGACACGAACTGTTGTGGTCGATATAGAAGATTGATTGTCTTCGTCTCCTTCAAAGAGATTTGGAATAAGTCGAAAGTAAGGCATGCAAATCGTACTTACCACTTTCGACAATCTTTCGTAATTTCGGTATATTGGTTATTTGGTGCTTTGTCATGTCGGATTTACTGTAAATAAGAACTTTCGTTATATCTGTGATTTGATATTCTCGAACATCTTACTCGGTCGGTGATGGTTCAGGATTTTCATCTTCTTCTAATATCATTCTCATCGTTTGTGCTGGCGTTGTCGGTATGTTTGCACTTGGTGTACGTTGTTGCACTGTAGGTCGTTCTTCGTCATCTTCAATCAATGCTATACATACAAAACAACAAATCAATACATCGAATTAGTCGAAAGATTTTTATCAATTAACTCATAATGATATGCGTATTGACATAGAAGCAGTCAAAATGATGTCAGATCGATAAAGAAGCATCTTACAGCTAATTAGTAACATCAATGCGTATCATTCTCGGGATGTATTGGAGAATAGCATTGAACCACTGAGAAGGAAATGAGCGTAGGGAAACGAACGGTTGAGGTTGATTACCTGAGAACGGAAGATCATTTGTCGAATCGATCGAATGTCTCGGAGTTATCACCAATGGCGCTGTATTTTCTTTTCCAGTGCTAAAAAGAGCAAATGTTAAAATTTAACTTTAAAAAATACAAAGAGATTCCGATTTCGTTAGGTAAAGCATTAATGTATCTGTTTATAATTCTAAGCGTCGTATCATACATATCGTCATCATTCTCATCAAGTGAATTTCGTCTTGTTCGTGGTAGGGAAACATCATCAAATTTAAAACTAAAATAATTTATCGATTTGTATCCTTGCTTTATCGAACTGTGTGTTTCAAGAGATGAGACCATGTTAAACATACTTGGAAGATGGAGATATGTAAACACCGATCTGTTCATTAGTTAAAACATTTATTGGTTGACATGTTCGTCGCTGTCGCTTGACATTTCGCTCCCGATTGACGATTTTATATTGTGCAAGGTTTTCTGCAAGGAGATAGTATGTTGCTGTTATGTAGTTATATCGTCCTTCGTTTAAAGCTTGTAGTATAGTGTCTTTGTCTGCGATATTTCCAGTGATCATTTGTTGAAGAATCGATTGATGTTCATCTTCCGATATGAACCGCGATGATTCAATTTCATTCTGTTCATCATCATCTTCATCGTCGCCATCTTCGTCGGATGTATGTAGATGAAGCCAGAGGTCCGACATGACTTCATCGAGTGTCGCACGTTTCTCTGATTCGCGTACAATCATTCGATGAATTAAACTAGAAAAACATACAAATTAGAGAAAGCCATGAAATCAGATCGAAAATGACTCACTGCTGACATTCGGTTGAAACAGTAGAGGGAAGTTTGTAGGAGCAATCAAGAATCATCATCACTGTTTCGGAATCATTAGCTTCTTGGAATGGCGCCCGGCCAGTCACAAGCATGAATAAAATCACACCCAAACTCCAGATATCTGAACGAAACAAATCTGTGCTAACACATCCAACCATGGATGTTAAACTCACCAACGGCTGCTGCATCATACGGATCACCGAGTAAGATTTCCGGTGCTGAATATGCTAAAGATCCGCAACTAGTCAGAAGTTTTTTACCGGGTGTAAATTGATTGGAGAAACCTGGAAATAGAATGAGTAATCGATATTTCTATGCATATCTTTCAAGGTCGATGCTTACCGAAGTCGGTCAATTTCACAACGCCTTGTTTCTCGAAGAAAACTAAATTTTCCGGCTAAAATGAACAGACGGACATTGATCAGACCTATTCTTCAATCATTCCTTCTATTATAACATTCCTGCTAGAAACAATCGTGCTACTCAAATGTACTTTTCAGTTTCAAGTCTCGGTACGGTTCAACTAAATATATCCAACTATCATATCACTTCAAACATTTAGATGTTCTTTATGACGAGAAGATAAACTTCTAGAACACTTTGGCATCCAATAAGATACTTTTTTTCGTACTTAACAACTTGAATCTGAATTGCAATGAATAAGTGACAGATGAATAGAAGATAATAGATATTTTTCAAGTATCCTGTCAGAAACAGCCGTCATTATTTTTAACATACAAATTCCTCTTGCTGATGAGTCGAACAGATCACAAGACAACTAATCATCGCACTTACTTTCAAATCACGATGACAAACTTGCATTTCATGACAGTATTTCAACGCTCGACATATTTGCCAAAAATATCGGCGTGCTAACGATTCATTAAGACCATTAACATGTTTGGTAATGTAGTCATACATATCACCTCCATCGCCCAGTTCCAAAATCAGATACAGTTTGCTAGGTGTATCGATAACTTCGTATAGACGAACAACATTGGGATGTTGAACTAATTTCATACACATAACTTCTTGAAATAAATGCGCCTTTGATATATCATCTAGTTTATGTTTATCAATAACTTTCACTGCCACTTCCTTTTGGGTGAAGACATGTCGAGCAAGTTTGACGACAGCAAAATGGCCAGTTCCAATTGTTTTTCCTAGGAAAAAAGTTAACGGGAAAGATAAAAATTTCTGGTAAAGTTCGGTGATTTACCAAGAGTATAGAGACCATTGACGGAATGACAAGTATCCGACAACATAATTGTATTCATCTAATAATCACATCGTCTGTCGATTAGTTGTGTCTTACGGAAGAAATGAGATTCCATTGATTGGTTCGACAAAAAATACGCAAAAATGTTTTCTATGCGTTTCTTCTTTTTCTAAAAGAAAATATTTTTGTTTTTTTCTTTTTCTTTACTCATACATTCTCTCCATCGATCTAACCTGTGTGTATACAAAGACAATCGACAAAGATAAGAAATAACTAACAGTAATTGACCTTGATTTTCTCTCCTTCTATTTGACATGCATGTATGCACATGCAATACATACTTTCAACTGAGATAATGGAGGTTATAGACATGGTATTCATGGTGCGTTGCAGAAGAAGGAGAAGTGTCTGTCTAGAACTTGCGACATGTAAATCAAGGAGTAATTAATAGGAAAAGGAAGCTATTTCGCTGTCTATTAGAACTGCAGAGGCCATGAGGGCGTCATCACTCACAATCTAACTAGTGATTATCATCATTATTTTCAGTAATAGTGATGAATATACTCTATCTCAACAAATCAGCGTTAAATGCACCGAACGAACGAAGTAGATTATGCTCGAGCTGATCATTATAACTTCTGACATACTACATTGATCTTGTCAGTTAAAAATCTGCCAAAGAGTATTTTCTCTCATCAAGAGAACCGTAGTGTCAGCATAAAATCTAATAGAAAATGACGCTATACGGCTGCTAGTGAAATTCAGTATAAAAGACTCGTGAAAGCAAAACACACGTGGGTGTTAATGAAAGAAAAACAACATTTTACATCGATATTCAGCGCAACGAACAGCATAAAATGAAGTAACAAGCAAACGAATGCGACTACATATATTTCACTTCAGACAGTTACGTTTTACTTACTTATGAGTAAGACTTAGAGAGCAATCATATGAAATTCTAAAATAAAATTCAAATGATTAGGGACATCGAAACTATCTGTTTGTTTCTATCAGCTCAGACAGCCAAGACACTCAACAATGAGGAAAATTTCAGTTATTTTTAGCGAAACCGTGTCTTGTTCTTTCATCACTGCTGATAGAAACTGTCGACGGAAAAGATGCGTTTTCACATGTATATTGAATATCTGATCTGTTCTGTATTTCTTATATGAATGAAATGAAAAAAAAACCGAATATCTTTTTTCTCTATGTCACAACAAATAAACGAAGAAAAGGAAGAGAAAAAACTAAGATCCACAAAATGTCCGGGACACACCGGTAAGAGACGTTATATAAAAAAATGTGTTATCTGGTAGTCGATTGATTGCGTTTTTTTTATGGACATCTTAAGTCTCATTCAGTAGTTAGAGGAGAAAGATAAAATAAAACAAATGAGTTAAAATATCAGTAGAGAGAGAGAAAGAGAAAGAGAAAGGATAATCAAAATAAACATCGATTTGAATACACAAGTTTCACAGATAAGAGAACAAAAGGAAGACTCTATAAGAAGCAATTTCAATTCGCCCTTTCTTGCTGAAGTTGTTGAAGACGTTTAAATTCTTTTAATACAGGTAAATTAAGCATTGTTTCATTATCAATATCATTCCAGTTAATTGCTTTTGGACATGGAAATTTATTTTGTGTATAAATTATACGTTGTGGCGTGATAACAACATTAACCGGTCTAGAATACAATTAGAAAATCAACGAAAATGAAAAATATATTTCAATGTTCATATCACATACAAATCATGTTCAGTCATAACTGATGATGGAAGGTCATCGAGTAATTGACTTTCATGTACAGTTGTGACAACAAGTGTTGAATCATCGCATGCACCCAATTGCCGCATCATTGCATATTCAATATCGCCATAACCTTTGCCTTTACCTGCAACAGAATATATATATGCGATTAACGAAATGTTTTCCCTGTAAGAAAGTCAGTGATGTGAACAGCAGTTTCTCTTTGAACTTTTCATGATCATACGAAGAAGAAAACTAATTAGACTTAACGAGGATTAATTAAAGCATGTCACGCACTAGCTAGTAAAAGAGTCAGTCTATTTTAGGAATTTGTTGTGATAAGTCCATCCGATGTCTGTTGATGATCATCATCGAATATGAATCTTCATATGTAGTTCACTTACCTAAACGAGCACCAGTAATTGGATTGACAACAACAGATGCGACGACAACAATATCAACATGAAGATTTCCTACAGCTGTTAAGTTCACGATTGTACCGAGAGCAGCAGTACCTACGAATTGATAATTTATGAGTAGTAGAAGGGAGAAGTTTACTGTGAAAACCTACCTGATTTTGTTGCTGCACGCGATAAATCATGAACATGTAAGAATTTTGGATCGAGTTTATAGAAGAGTGCATTGTCAATAGATGGTGCTGGTGTGAGAAGTACTTTGCCTAGAAGAAAAGAGAAAATGAGTCTGAATGACCGAAGAATTGGCCTTTATTTTCCGTTGTTTTACCTTCAGCTAATGCAAACAAACGTAAATGTTCTTGAGCAAGACTAGGACAGATTTCAATGACACGTGCACGTTGGAATTCTTCCAATTGAGCCAAATTTGTTGAACAATCGGGATTATTTCGAAAATTGGGAATACGACCGTGAACTAAACGATCACATTTCATTACAAAAATCCCTGAAATAAATTTGAATCATCAAACCTGGATGAGGATATAAAATTTCATTTTTCATTTCCATTACATCCCAAACGAGTGTGCGTGCACGTGCTTTAATCATTCGTTTCGCAGCATCGCTCTCTGTTTGAATTGATGTTTCATCGATTGTGTCCTTGTACGAAGTCACCCAACTTTCCACATGAGTCAATTTAGATAAAATGCCTGGTTGTTTAAGTACACGATCAATATGTACTAATTTATGACGAATATCACGTATCGAAATCCATAAATGAACAAGATCGCGCTGAACAAACGCTGTTGCTGGTAAATGTTCACCGCCTGGATTGCCATAGGCCAACGCCATTTCTTTCATAGATGGATCCGACGGCGAACGAAGATAACTTAATTTGGAATGTTGTCGTGAAAGTGGCGGATCAGGCTGATTTATGTAATTCAATTCAAGTGATGATATATGTGGAATGTATAAAGCACAAATACAGATATCCGTTTCGGGACCAAAGGCAATAAATCGACAATGACCTTTGAAATCAATCTGTACATATACGAAGAAATCATTCGAATCGAAGTAAGATGTTAACTGAATAGGTTTACTTTGTTTTCAAGATTTTCTTCGTCTTCCTTTTTCACATCGAATAGTTGTCGAAGAACAGGCGAACCTTTGATGATTTCGCATACAGTATGAATGGAACCTGATGGAAGAATTGGTGAACAATAAGGTGTTAAATAGAATTCTTGTGAACGAATATTTGACTTTTGATTTGTACCACTAGTCAATGGTGTCGAAGGATTCACAGTTGGCGATGCTGGCGTTTGTGGCATAACCCGAAAGTCATATTTAAGAAGAACATGTGGGTATGATTCGAGTAAACAGACAGGTAAAACCACAACACGCATTTTGAAAGTTTAATGAATAAAGTGAAGATATTGACTTGTTCTAGAAGTAGATAAGAGAGAAATGACAAAAGAGAAACTTTTCATTTTCATAGCGTCAAAGAAAATAAATTATTGTTTATATTCGACTGTCTAACTTTTCTTTTCTCATCTTGTTCGTTAATTTTAAAAGAAAAATCTCTTTCTCTCTCTCTCCTCCGTTTAGTTCATCTTTAACCAAAAAGTGAATTCATCGAAGATAATTATTGAAATTATGAATATTTAGAAAGAGAACACCTCATCATACTTTATTTTTCTTCCTCACCCTCAAAGTGCATAGATGTGCTAATTTCGCGCAATGTAAAACGATTGATTGATTATCTATATAGTACATATTTATTATTTATTCTTTTTTTTGTGACATCATGCGATAGTAGCTGTAATTGATGTTTAACACTTTTCTAGATAGTAGTCTTATCAGAAAACGGCATATTAAACTTAATTTATTTAATATCTAACAATTGTACATCCATTAAACAGGACTTTGTTAAGAGAGAGATATGACACTCGAACTCATTCCGAATGGTGATCTTATTTTTAAAGGTCCATTCACTGCGGTTTCGACAACAACGTTAAAACTATCTAACAGTGGAAATGAACGACTAGCTTATAAGATAAAAACAACTGCTCCGAAACGGTATTGTGTCAAACCGAATAGCGGTTTTCTCGATGCCAATGCAACTGCTAACATTCAAGGTAGAAAAAAAAGAGATGATCTTTTTTCGATAGGCCATATGTCTCTCGTTGTTTTAGTTATGTTACAACCACAAATACCAGGTCAATCTGATGATCGTTCAAAGCATAAATTCATGGTACAGTGGGTTGCAGTTCCAAATAGTTATGGCGACGACGTGGAGAATTTCGTATGGGAGAACTCGACTGGAGATAGGATAGAAAAAATCTGTTTTTTTTTGGTTTTCTAGTGGAAACAGGATTTAAAGAGCTTGAATGTTCAGGATTCGAAGTTAAAATGTGTCTTTGCCGAAGATCAATCAGCCGCAGTCGTACCTAACGATTCAACTGATCATCGTGGCTCAGAGACAGTAAGTTATGAAAAGAATTCGTCAGCTAGATTAAATATCAATCATATAAATACGATATGGTCACAAAAAACAAGCTGATAAGACGGATATAATTAGTTTTTCTTTCCTTTCTGCTCTATCATTGGAAATATTAGCCTGTGCAGTTTATTCGACTGGTTTCTTTTCTCCGCTTATGATGATATGCATTTGTCTATACGATAATGAGGGAAAAAAATGACATGAGGGTTTCCTCGAGGACGCATCAATTAACGACTGATTGATTGTCGAAAATCTAATCGATATGATTTCTTTTGTCTGTTTAGAACACCACACGCACTGTAAGTAGTTTCAGTGACGTTTTTCGTTTTTGTTTGCTGTTTGTTTTTTCGTGATCGATCGCGAACAAAACTGCTTGATATTTTTTTCATAATTGCTTGCTTGACTAACCCTGCGAGTTTAGACTGATTCAGCGCATGTTGCCGACAGCCGCACCCAACAATCCGCTCCATCAGCATCGATTTCCAATCAACGTTCATCTCCAATAACCTCACGTGCAATCAACTCTATTCAATCACAAAGTCAAGATCGACAACAGGTTCTCTTCTATACACATGCAGACGCGTCACATTTATGTCATACACACTTGCTCAAACTTTTGTCTATACGATATGAGTTTCGACATAACTTTACATTTGAATCTGTGCTTTAGGACACAAGTGATGATTTGAATAAATCACGTCCTCGACAACAAGATATCGAACGGTTGAAGAGTGAAAATGATTCATTAAAAGTACGCAGTGCGTTCTGGTTTGTTCTTCACGGAATCTCATCGAATGTTTAGGAAAAGCTCAAACAAGCCGAAGGTGGCCTACGACAAAGAACAACAGGCGGCAATTCCGCAGTCGACCGATCGAAATCCAGTCAACAGCAAAATGGTCTCGTTCTGTTCGGCATTGCTTTAACTGAGCAACTCGTTCTCGTTGCTTTTGTTATCGCATTATTATTTGGCTTTTCACTCGGTTATTTTTTCTTTTCATGTAGCAATTAAAATAAACAATATATATTAACACAAAAAAAAAACGAACACTCATAATCTTCTACATACGCACACGCAAAGTAACCTTTCTTACTAATATTTTCTTTTTTGAAACGCACATGTATGAATTCTAACCTTTCTAAATAGGAAAAATAAATGTTAGACTTTTCTCGTCGTTTTCCGGTGTTGTGCTACATGGCAAGAACTACATTTCTACGAAAAATAATGTGCGCGATGTCAACCTTCTATCTTTAATGTTCAACTGTTCGTTTCTTTCTCTTTGTCCAATGTAATCAATATCTTGTGCGTCTTTCTGTGTAAGTCAAATGAGAATAAGTCATGCAAAAGCAAATACCAACAGCAACAGACATGTTATAAAATCATATGTGAACAAGTTTCTCTTCTGTATTTCGCAACTCCTTCCTGATTGATAATTCTTTTTTTTTGTTCTTTGTATCTTCGTACTTATCTTAGAAAGAAAGTTCTTTATATCGTTTGCAAACCAAAAAATCGAATGAATCTATAGAAGGTTTCTCTAATCTCTCTATTTAAGCATTGTTGTGTTGTTTACTTCGCGTTCTCTTCTTCTTTTCTTTTCGTTTTTCTGGAAATAAGTTAACAAACTAACATACTAAACATTTTGCAGTTATTACTTTTGTTGTCTTTTGTTTGAAGATTTTGATTTCGTTTTGAAAGAGAAAAAACTCGAAAAAAGAAAGACTCATGCCTAGTGAAATCATCACATTACAATTGGGACAATGCGGCAATCAAAGTAAGCCGAACACTGTACAAAAATCAACCTTCACTAAACGTAGTCAACACACTCTAGAATAATCTTCGTAGAATTTTCATTCTCCTTCTCGAACTAAATCGTAATGTTTGCATGCGATTCTCAAGTAGAACTAAAATGACTTCGAATAGGCATGAACAGTCCTTTGAAGTTATTTTCTAGTTTTATATGAAAATATTGTAATTTTTAGTTGGTATGGAATTCTGGAAGCAATTATGTGCCGAACATGGAATAAGTCCAGAAGGCAAATTGGAACCGTTTGCCAAGGAGGGTTCTGATCGTAAAGATGTGTTCTTTTATCAAGTTAGTTTTCGAATGGTATCCTAAATACGAATGCATGTTGATGTATATCGTAGGCGGATGACCAACATTACATTCCACGTTCTGTTCTGCTCGATCTCGAACCTCGGGTTATCGATGGAATCCTAAAATCACCGTATAAACATTTGTATAATCCGGAGAATGTTTATATTTCAAAAGATGGTGGTGGTGCTGGTATGTTGTCGATTCGAAACGAGGAATTGCATTGTGGAATTTGTTTTGCATAGGTAATAATTGGGCTCAGGGTTATCATCAAGGTGACAAATTAACCGAAGATATATTCGATATTATCGATCGTGAAGCTGAAAACGGTGATTCTCTTGAAGTTAGTCTAAATCACTTGTCAAAATTGAATGATTTTGAATGTAATTTTTCATAACTAGGGTTTTGTGCTTTGCCATTCGATTGCTGGAGGTACAGGATCAGGCATGGGTAGCAATATCCTTGAAAAACTCAATGATCGGTAAGAAGAACTTTTGTTCCGAAACAGGTTTACATCTCTGTTGTTTCACGTTCTAGTTTTCCGAAGAAATTAATCCAAACCTACTCCGTTTTTCCGATGACTAATGAAGTGGTAAGATCAAGTGCGACTAATCTCTATTCAATTCACTTCTACTAATGACATTTTGCAATCCAATTTCTTTAACACAATCGTTGTCAGTTCTGTTGATGATGCATCAGATAGAATTCTTTGACTAAAAAGTACTAGTAGACAAGGGGTCGTATCCGACATTATCTCGTAATTACAAACTGGCATAACAAATGTCGTATCGATTATCATCTGGAGTCGATCGAGACTGACAAATAACGACATTTTTAGTTTAATTGCTCTTGATTGATTGATTGAGCTTTGTTTTCACTTAGGCGGACGTCGTTGTTCAACCATACAATTCCGTTTTAACTCTCAAACGATTAACTGAAAATGCCGATTGCACTGTAAGTCAAATATCAACGAAGAGAACTAGTAAAGAATTCTCTTTGTGAAACAAAGGTTGTTTTGGATAACACGGCACTCAATCGCATCGCTACTGAACGTTTGAAAAAGGCAACGCCGACATTGGCTGAACTCAATCAACTGGTAATATCTTTACAAATATATTCCATTATACTGTATAAATTGTAGGTGTCGACGATCATGTCGGGCAGTACATCAACACTTCGTTATCCAGGTTATATGAATAATGACTTAATAAGTCTTATATCGTCATTGATTCCAACACCGCGTTTGCATTTTCTTATATCCGCTTATACTCCATTGACATCGGATAATACAGTAAGACGAAATTCTTCAGTGAGCAGAGTGTATCATTTTTCGTCACAAATAAAATAGGAGTCGGAAGTACGTAAAACGACTGTGCTTGATGTTATGCGTCGTTTATTACAACCCAAGAATGTTATGGTGACAACTGCATCTCGTGATAAGAACATCACTCATTGTTATGTTTCGATTTTGAATATAATTCAAGGCGAAGTCGATCCGTCCGAAGTAACTTCATTTTCTTATTCTCATTACTAGCAATCACGAATTTGACGTAGGTTCACAAAAGTTTAATGCGTATTCGTGAACGTAAGTTGGCTGAATTCATACCATGGGGCCCAGCATCCATTCAAGTGGCTTTATCGAAAAAATCGCCATATGTCACCACACAGCACCGTGTCAGTGGGTTAATGCTCGCTAATCATACTGGTATATCATCAGTATGTAGTTCCTACTTTCTTTAAATAAGTGAAATCAATCTTGTTTGAGTAGTTATTCGATCGAATGTGTGATCACTATGATAAACTTATCAAACGAGAAGCTTTTGTCGAAAACTTCCGACGTCTACCGATGTTTAAAGATAATCTTGATGAATTCAATGATTCACGTGAAGTAAGAAGATCCTTTGTCTAGAGTGTAAGATAAAATATTTGAATATGTAGGTTGTACAACAACTTATGGATGAATATCGAGCGGCAACGCGAAAAGATTACATCAACTTCGGTAATACTCAAACTGCTCAGGTACGAAAATGGATTTTAACATGAAATTTGTTTCTATAAAGTCTATTGTCTATTTCAGGGTGAATAGATAGCAATCGCTTCGGTGCTAATTAAAGTTGTTTTAAATTTTGTGGCTTGTTTCTAGCGACAATTTGTGTTAATTAATGAATCAAAATAATGTTTTAATCCGTTTCAAATAATAAAGAAAACGTACGCTTTACATGTCTATTTTGTGCGAAAATGTTATAACTATCTGAGAGAATATCCGATAACAGACGTATACTTCCAACTAGTTGTAAATATAACTAATAAGGAGAGTATTTGATTATAACAAATTCGAATAGGAAAACGGAATAAAAAAGAAATAGCTGCCAATATTCATATAATTTAGTACTCTGTAGATAACGAGTACCGGTAAATCCACTGGTGATTAGTACAGATCCAGTTTTCAATACAGATGACACATGCTGCTAGTAATTGATCAGGTTGAAGCGAACGGATCATAGAGCTCAATACAATTTGGCATAGTATCACTGATCCTTTCCACAATGATTAAAACTTTTCCATTTGTCAGCAGAGACGTTGTATGCGCCTATCTTCCAGAAGATGTGTTACCAGTAGATGACCATGTTCCCGTCGACAGTTTATAACATTAAGCAGTATTTAGTTCATCACCGATACCAAGACCACCAGCAAGTAGCCCTTTTCCACCCTTTAGTATCAGTACAGCTACAACATGTGATTGTCGACTCGAGTGATCCTTCCAAATGCACTAGAACGATAAAAACTCATCCGTGGCGCTCCTTAGCTGTTATACTTATGTCTAATGTTGTACTAGCTCATATTGTCGTATGCATGATTCTGTTTGGTCGTACCAATCCCATCAAAGTAACTCCACTAGTTAACAACACTGCTCAATTTTTGACCTCGCGCATATAGTCAACAGCATGAACTTCATTGACAACAAAAATAACAGCCAAACCTGTAACACCAGGTACAGCAACAACTATCACTACCTCACTTCCGAGAGCTCCTTTTCGTAAATCACTCAAATTGAGGATTGAAGCCATCTTACGCTAAGAATCGATCTGCATCACTAGTTTGTTTCTGATTCATGAAAGACTAAATGATGTCGAGTTGAATAGGAAAACATCGAAATTGGGTTATTAATAATAAATTTGAGTCTGAATACAGTCGATGAATTATTATAAAATCGAATTTGATGATGTTGATCGTCCATCTCTCATTTTGCTTCGACAGATAACAGAATAAGGAAAGAAAACTTCTTATGATGGCTAACAGACAAGTAGATTGGTTTTTTTTACAACCCATGACGATATGGTCATTATTCCTACGTACAAGTATCCTTTTCCTCGACTTTTATTTCTATTATGAGTCTGTAGATTTATTTTCTCAACATCTCAGGTTCGTAACATAACTCGAATGTCGATGGATTTGTCGTTACGATGTTTCGTATACAGAGAACATTTACTGAGTGTGAGGACAACAAAGGAAGAATCAAGGTAACCAGCTAAGTGTTTGATGAAGATTATTCGACAACGATGATAAGACGAAAGGCACAGAACATAAAAATTTGTATTTTTCAAACATATTGCTATCGGCATGAATTTATTACCATTGAATATCGAATATCAGAAATTTTGAGTACGATAGTTAATAATATTTTATTTTGCTATGGCAAATATATGATTATATTGATAAGTGGAAAGTCAAATTTCACAAATTGGAGTAATAAGATTGATGGAGAAGAAGAGGAAGACTAATGCACATGATAGAAGAAGAAGAAGAAATTTAAAGTCTACATTTTCACAAAAAAAAAACGTGGAAGTCAAATGACAAAAAATTCTCATAAGATAAGTGGAAGAAAATGATTGAATATATATACAAGTTTCCATGAAGATCAGACATCTTAATTTTGAAATTGGCTCAGAACGTGTAAAGGTTCGAGTCGTTTTTTGGTAGCACCTTTTCTTACTCGCACATCAGAATCATTCGGGCGATCAGTTAACACCAATGGTTTCTTTTCTGGCAAACGCATTTTCCATTGAACAATTGGCTAAACAGATCCAATATGTGAGATAAACCATCAGTCTGATCATCATTAATATTACCTCTTTGTTTCCTGATTTGTTACGATATTTGGTGGAAGCTATATAGGATGCTTTGACAGTGAGTACAACTGCACCCATTAAGTTTTTCGCTGCTGTAATCAACGAAGTAGCGCTGTCAAGCTAAAGAAAGGAGAAAGAGAATGAAGAATATCGAGATTTAGATGACTTACTCCGCTAACGATAAGTTCGCCACTTATATTTTGAACATCAGCTTTCACTTTACTCGTAATATCCAATTGGTGACAATAGAGAGTGATACCTAGAAGTAAAATTAGATATTAAACAAGATAAACAAGAATTTTCTCCAATTACGATCAACATAAGCAGCAAGGTCAGATTTTGATTGGGATTCGACACACTGAAAAGCGAAAAGCAAGGTTGATTTTCGTATGAAATGTCATTTTACTTGTGCAGCAATATCTTTCGCTAATTTATTCAATTTAGATCCACATTCTGAGATCATTTTTGCGGCATGGATCACATCCATTGTTGTACGTAATGGTCCACGACCCCTGAACGACAAACAAAGCGAAGTATTACTTTTTCGAGAAAAACCCAAAGAGTTTTACCGGGTAAAGTCCGTCATTTCCATCATAATCATGCACATTTTTTTCGCAAGAACAATGATATCATTGCCACGATCATCCCATTTAAGAACTTCACGTTCGAAATCGCGTTTTGTTCGTTTGAAGCCTTCAACTTGAAGTTCGATTTGCTCTCGTTCTTCTTTAGGTAATCGTCTCATCATGTCCTAATTAAAGTACGCATTGATGAAACAACACAAATGAAAAGACGTTGCGTGTCATACTCGACTTGGATTGTCATTATTGCCTGGATGCATTTCCATATCAGTTTGTTGACTATCCACCGATGGTCCGTGACTTGATGCTTGAGATGGAGCATAGATTTCATCATTGAATCCTTCTTCATCGTCACTTGGCCATTCAAGATCCTACTCAATCATGAAATTTCATGTACAGATTTTGCATTTCTCGTTTATGTGACTCACTGGATTCATTAAGATACTATTTCGAATATCTCTTATACCATGATAGACATTGCTGGATGCTTCAATTAATTCTTGTTCATTTATTTCGTACTAGAATGAGAAAATATTTTCGATGAAGAAGCAAATGAATGATTTACCTTGCGATCATCCTGTGTCGATTTCATTCGAAGAGTGTCAATTGATATTTTGATTCTTTCAGCAAAACTCGGCATGACTAAAATGAGATATACTGTTCGAACCAACGGAAAATCGAAGAGCTCATCTTTACTTTGGTCTCGAAGAACGCGAACACTTTCCAGAACAGTTTCGGTATATTCTCCAGGTTCGTATTTGTCCATTTCAGCAGCAACCACATCAATAACACGATCGGCTCGTCCACGAATCGCACCCGCAGTTCGATCAACACCTGAAATCACGAACAGATCTTCCTTAAATTCCCTCTCTATTCAAACTCGTTTCACATACGATCTGGATTTTGTTCGACCATGGCTTGAATGCATGAGTTAATATCTTCGAGTATATGATTCTCCGAAATAGCAAGAAAATCTTCAATGGTAGTTATTTCATCAACAGCTTCTGTAAGCAATCGCACGTGTTTTTCCCATGTTTCACGAAAAACATCCAGATTTTCTTGAGCAACTTTTGAGGTCGAACGAGCAGCAAGAATTCGTGCAGCACTCACCACCTACAATAGGCATTTCCCTGACGATTTCTTTTCTCCGATGATTTAACGAAAAACTTACTTGTGGAGAAAGATGTTCAATATGTTTTGCAGCTAGACGAACTAATTTGATGCCTTCAACCGAATCTGACATTGAACAAACGATATTTGCAACCTACGAGGATGAGTTTCATATCCAAACTGACATCTATATTTTAAACATACTTCAACCAATTTAGTTGCATGTTCCATGAAGATCTGTGCTGTTTGTTCGACGAGTTGAATATTCCCACGTCGTGCTGCATCGATAAGAGCTACAAGTGGAACGTTTGTCGCGACAAACGTATCACTAACATGATCGACAGCAGCTTTACGAAGCTAAACAAAAGAATAAAGAAAATTTTAAAAAAAAAGTCGAAAACTTCGACTACCGGCAAATCTTTCACGCCTGTGGGTGTCAAAAATGAACATTCAATTGATTCTAACGATGATGGTGACGAGGATAACTCTCGATACATTCGAATACTCGTACTTTTTTGCGTTGGACTCGGAAAAGTATCACACAGATAGACATACATTTTGACTCGTTTTATGTGTATAAACTGATGAGAAAGACGCGTAATGAATTATTCAATCTTTGTCTATCATTGACGCATGATGATTATGATGATGATAACGATAATGACAATACGCATATTGACATTTTAGTCTGTCTCTCCATTAACAATCAAAACGTATTGACAGATGAATCGACTACTTTCATAGCGTTTTACCTTTTTCGTTCATTCTCTCTTACTCGCCGCAAAGATTCATTCAACAGGGTAGTTGTATATAATTGAATATCGAACATGAAAGAATAACAGTCGGTTCATACAAATAGATTTCATTTCTTTCCTAACTTTCTCGAGGGTGTGAACATATGGGATTGATGATGACAAAGAGAGAAAAAAAACATGTTTCATTTACCTGTTTTCGTAGATCACGAGTTTTCGTTTGCATTATCTGAATCTTTTCATTGACATTGTCTTCTGAACTCTTCTTTTTCGACTAAAACAGATGAATCAACAATTCTAGTGAAGATACCCCCTAAGATTTGAACAAGTTACTTACATATCGGATGTATTCATCCAATAATTCTTGCAATGCTTGTCGAACTGCGTTACATTCTTGAACAATTCGATCACGACGTTCTTCTCGTGTCGAGAGAGAGTCTGCTAATAGAGCAGCGCCTGAGATGATACTTTCCAGATGTTCTTCGAGCTGTGGTCGAACAACTTGTTCATTGAATTTCTGTGGTTTCATCATGACTACCCGCTAGAGGAAGGAAAAAAAGATAATTTTCTTTTTAATAAATTTGTACGAATTACATCGAATTCATTCAATGCTCGAGTGAGATCTCCGACAGTATTCAATGCTGCATCTTGTTTTATCGTTTCTGTGTGCCCTTGAGTAATTGAAGAAATTACGTGGACCGCCTCGCGTAATTGATTGTAGACAAAATCACGATTTTCACGTGATGATGGTATCTCCGGATGACGTAAATAAGTTTTTGCTGCAGTCAATAACATCATGGATGATCGTTTGATTGTAGCGCGTGCTGCTGCTAAGCTTTCCTGTTCATCTCGATCCACTAAATCCTGAACGAGAGATAAATATATTTTCAAACCTAAAATCGCACCGGTTTTTTCGATACGTTACTTGCTGTCTTCGTTGAGCATGATAACCCAAATTGCTAACATCTTTTCCATATTGTTTATAGAACTGGATCAATTCATCCTGATTCGCTGCATCATGAATTTGTTGTAAATCATTTTCCACCTAAATCAATTCGTCAGAATCTATTTGATTGCTCATAAAATCTTCTTACCAAACGAATAGAATTCAAAATAATTTGCACATCCACATAATCAGCTAACATCAGTAGACGAGTAACCGATGAAAGTAAACCTCGAGCGGCGACAATCATCTGCTCGCGTTTAGATTTTGAACATGGATCATCAGCAAAGCCCTTTGATAGAACAGCCATTTCGTCGCCTAAATCATTTCAAAACGACGCCTTTAAATCGCGTGAATCATCTCTTCACTTACCTGCTCGTTTCACTTCATTCATACTCTCGATTAATTCATTTCTCATACCAGGATTTTCATGAACGATCTCGTCGGCCTTGTGGATGAAATTTTCCGTTGCTTGAATAACATTTGCGACTAGAAGATGGGCGCGCTTTGAACGACCTTTCTTCATAGCTGATGGTTGTTCCGATACCAACGAACTGACCTAAAGTCAATGGCAAAAAATCATGAACTTTATCTCGAAAGTTGACATTCGCATTGGAAATGCTGGCTAGACCTTTCGTATTAGAGCAAAAGCGAAGCATTTGACATTAATAGAATCGTCATTCAATGAGAGTCTCAGTGAATTTCAAAGCAAACCATTCATTGGTCATTTATATTTCAAGTACCTCGAGGCCTTTCAATTGCGGCGTTTGTTTCCTTCGAAAACTTATTCAAGCATGCATAATAACGTCACTTTTATATGAACTCAGAAACGATGTTGATCAATTAACTAATGAATTGTCCAACGCGTCATTGTTTAAATGAAGAAAACAAACAAACCTCTGCTATTAATGGATCCAACGTTCGTTGTACCGACCATGTTTTAATTTGCATTTTGCTTGGATTAAATTTCGTATACATGATTTATTTATTCAGAATTTAGAAATGAGCATTCGAAGCACTCGTTTTCTTTATGCCAAAAAATGCCAACTTTGACAAATAGACAGAACATGCATGCACATAAACTTTTTTCTCTTTCTGGACCAATAAAATTCCTCTTTCTCAATTTCACTTCCAATTGGTTCATACATTTAACCTGTAGATATCCCTGATGATCTCACTCATTCATTCATATTCATCTATCGATAGTATGTTTCTCTTTCTCCTCTTCTTCCACCATTGCGTTGTCGAGTGAACGTGTACACTGAGTTTTTTCCTCTTCGCTCCTGTTTAGTTACTTTCGTCATAAAAAGAGAGAAAGTCTTTCTTTCTGCTGCTTTTTTCTTCTTCTTCTTCTTCTATTCAAGTATGTCGACGTCCTTCAAACACTCAAGTCAATATTTTTTTGTTTCGTCATTTAATTTCTCTTTGAATTTAAATTAGAAAATTAATTATCTCCTTTATCGTTCTCGTTTTTAGATGAATGGTTATCGAGAACGTCTTGGTCTCAGTCGACGATTCGAACCATCGAACACATCGATGGGTAGGTTCTTTTCGAATCGTCTTCGAGATTCATTACACGTTGGTGGTGCTCTAACAACAACTGTACGAGGAAACTTCGACCAAACTCTACCAGATAAGGAAGCAACACCTGAGCCACCGATGAGTATATACGATGTCAATCGTTCGATTATCGCACCGATTCCGGCAACAAACGAGTCGTACTTTACTCAAACGACGCCTGATATACAGAAGTTTTCTTGTCGAGTTGAACTATCATCAGGCTACAACATTCTCAAGAATCGAACTAGTTCACAACCAACACGTTTACCGCCAGAATTGCAAGGACGTACTCCTCTTGCTCAATTGAATCCGTTACCAACGACGACAACAACAACATTGACACCAAATAATCCTGGTGATTACCGTCAACGACGTCTTTCTTTCACTGATCATCATCGTACACAACAATTAGCTTATCATCAACATATCTCACAACAGTTCAACACTGATGGTACTCGACGTCCGTTTTCATCCGACAGTCCAATACCACCAGCACAACCATCAACGGGTTTAACCTCGCATTACATATCATCTGCACCGCCTTTACACAATCGTACAACATACGAACCAATTGAGCCGTTAAAACTCGTAACGGAACAAGAGGATAATTCAATGGCTGCATTATCACGCGAATTACGTGCTGCTGCTTATCCGACCACACATAAATCATCGAATCATTCGCCAACACGCGAAACATCGCCAACAACAACACGCTACACCAGTCGATTGAGTTCGAAACGAGCACCACCGCGCGCATTACCAAAGATTCAAACCAATGATCAACAATCATCTCTTTCGACTGCCAAAGTTGTACATCATTTTCATCATTCACATCACCATGAATCAAAAAAACATTCGGCAAACAATGAAGATCGTTCACAGAATTCCTCGTCGACAACAATTTTACTCGATCAATTTTTCCATGTAGAACAAACATCACCAAACAAAGAATCAATGGTACAAACACATGAAACCGTTCCTGTTAACAGCGAAAAACTAAGTAAATCAGAAGAGTTTATCAAATAGTCTTCTTAACGTCATTGTTTTGTTCTAGTTCGTGAGCAATCATCCATTGTACTACTCAAAACTCCTCCGCCATTACCGGAAGATGCGACAATATCATTTGTTTCGAAGTTCGCTCGTCTAGCACCCATCATTACTAATCATCCAACAAATGGGACTACGACAGCCGTATCTGCTGATGAAAATAACAATAGTGTCAATCGTCCGATTCATTTCGATATCAATCTACATGAACAAACATTCGATACACTCCACGACATATCTGGATTCCACACAGCGAGTGCAACAATTACAGATGATTTACTTCCGATACTCGATATGACTCAAGATGATGATGCAATCGAACAAGCAGATGAAAGTTACTCATATGTGCCATTAAAAGAGCAACGAACAGCAGTAGATGACGTTCCATTGCTCGAATTGGATGAATTGGAAACGAACAGTGATATTAGTGAATCGCAATTAGTTCCGATTATTTATGCGAAAGAATTGGCAAATGAAATCGAGTTGTTACAAAGAGCACATTCGTTGAAACAACAACAACGATCCATGTCCACAAACCATGAGAATGATCGACTGAACGATAACAATTCTGTTCCACCACCAGCGAACATGGAATTATTAAATTTCGAAGCATTAGACGAAGAATTCTCGACTGTACATCACTGTGATGAAGATTTACCTTTATCTTCAGCAAGAATTGCTTCAGCAACTATGGATATTTCGTCATCACCAAAACCCACACCGAATGAAATCGCAACTCCGAGTATGACTGTCATTCAGCATAGTATTCTTGTACATAATCGTCTTTCACCTTGGTTTAAATTACCAACTGAACTGTGGTTCAAAATTCTACCATTCTTAACGACAACTGAGCTACATAACTTTTCCTATGTTTGCAAACGATTTTATTTACTTGCGCAAGATCAAGCGTGTCAACATCGGATTGTGTTCAATCATCGAAAGCCACTCGAGCAACTTTGGTTTGATACTATTGCTCGACGCAAACCTCGTGCGTTGACATTCATTGAACACCGGCAACAGAGCGCGGACAGTAGTCAACAACCAATCGAACACGAGTAGGTCATTTCGAGCAAAAAATACTTGATTTGATTTCTTGACAAAAAACCTATTTTAGTACAAATCAGATCAAATGGAATGAATTTTTTCACGCCATTGGTTCGAATCTTCTTGAATTCACTATGTCTGGATTTTATCATGAACCTCTCACGCCTAACACACTTCTTCCATTCATCGTTCAAACTTGTTCAAATCTTGTTTCGTTGAATCTTCGTTGGAGTCGCATGACTGCATCCACATTGAATCATCTCGTTGATTATCCGCAATTTATTCATTTGCAAACACTGGATCTTACCGGTTGTCAAACATTGGATGACACATTATTAATCAACATGTTTATTCGTTCAGAAACACAATTTCAGTTGAAAAAACTCATTCTTGAGGGATGTATGAATATCAGTTGGATCGGCCTTGACACCGTCGCCATCTGCATTCCCGATTTACTTCGACTAAATATCAGTCGATGTATCGGTTTGAAAAATCTGTCATCCAATTCGACTTCGACCTGTTTTCATCATTGGCCCAAACTTCAGTCGATTGATGTTGGTCATCTCGTAACACTCACCGATCAAGATCTTGCAGTTATATTTGACCATTGTAAATATTTGAATGCTTTAGTATTCGATGGTTGTCTTAGCATAACTGATCAAATATTTCATCATTTAACATCGAATTTTCGAGTGCTTAGTTTAAATGGTTGCACAAACATAAGTACGAATGTCTTATTGAATCTTAACGAACAATGTCCACAAATTGAAGTTCTTCATTTGAATTCCATACTGAACTTCAACGATTCCTGTTTGTTGAAATGGTCCGAGCAACCGTTGATGAAACTACGACACTTAACGATCGATAATTGCAAACAATGCTCATTAAATAGTATCGACAAGTTTCTTAGTAAACATGTCAATCTAAGAGAATTATCATTAACGGGTGATATGGTAACAAATTTAATCGAACGAAAGATTTTAGAAGAGAAATTTTCCCATATTCAATTTGTCTTTCAATCGTGATATTTAACGTTTTGTAGCATTTGTATTCTCGGCAAAACAAAGAAGAGCACCGTGTGTATAGAAATGTTCACAATTCTTTGCATGTTAATATATTTTTTGTTTTCTTGTTTTGTATGTTAACTGATAAATTGAATATTTATATTGATCACAAAAGCAAATCAACAGTATAAATCGTCTCTTTTTTAGATTACCATCATCAGAGTCTCTCAGCTCGCTTAGGAGCAGAAAAAGCGTTGTCATGTCTATGTCGAGTTATAAAAATGTGGACTTCGATCATATTTGGCCTTCCGTTCTTGGAACTATTCACTCAGTGATCAATCGAAGTCGATATGGATCGACAGATATACCAACGTGGCAGACAAGATTCTTCGGTTTGGTTTACTAAAGGAGAAATCAATGTCGTCTTTAATGATATCTTCTTTATATAGATATTTACAATCTATGCAGTGCTACGCCCTATCCATTCGCAGAGAGATTATACGCTCAAACGAAAGCAGCTCTGGAGAAGCATTGTATATCAATGGATGAGGTGAATATTTCTATGTAATTGAGGATTAAATATTGAAAATTTGCTTTTTGGTTTAGGAAATCAACAAATCAGAACAAAATACATTGAGTGTTTACTTCAAATATTGGAAAGAATACAGTATGGGTGCAAGTTATTTGAATAATCTCTATTCGTAAGGAAGGAGATGAGCATAAAACTGAAGAAATTTGTTTCTAATGATTAGATTTTTGAATAATCAACTTGTAAAGAAACGACCGATGGTGGACCTGGAAAACTATGAAATGGCAGAATTTCTTTCCGAACTTGATGAACGATTTTTTATTGAAATCGGGGAAGTAAGTTGAAGTGGATTTTTTTGTATTTAGAGCGAAGTTATTTTCTTTTAGTTGGCACTCGAATCTTGGATAAAACTTATCATAGAACCGTTGAAGGATCGACTTGTCAGATTACTACTCGAACAAATACATCTGTTTGTATTATAATGAGATTTTTGTTGACAATAATCATCCTTATTTCGGTTTTAGGGATCGTGTCGGAGAGGGTGTCAACCAAACAACGATCAAAGGTGTAATTATGTCATTTATTGAAGCGTGTCAATATCGAAGGCATAATACATTAGGAGTAAGACGACACATTCGAAATGAAAATTGAGTAAAGTTGATTTTCGTTTAGCTGTATGAAGAATCTTTTGAAAATCTGTTCCTACAAGAAACTGGTGAATATTATCAGAAAGAAGGAGATCGTTTAATAGAGAAACTCGATCGTGTGGAATATATGAAAAAAGTAAGTAGCTTGTCTGATCTCCTTGTCTGATTTATTCAAATGATTTTGTATAGGTTATAAATCTAATCGATGACGAAGAATTTCGCAGTCGGAAATATCTAAATCCAACATCTTATCCCAAAGTCTATCACGAATGTCTTCAACGTCTTGTTTGTAACCATTTAACCTTCATAACAGATGGATGCGATGAGTTTATTCTCCAAGAAAATCTCGATGGTATGAAGAAACCGCTCTACATCTGCGATCTTATTTTTACTGAATATTTCTTTCAGCTCTGAGAAATATGTATAAGTTATTAAAACCGACACAGGCTGGTTTAGACCATATGGTGAAAAGATTTCAAGTGAATATGACCAATATTGGACATGAACGAATGCGGTGTGTCAAAGGAGAAAATGTTAGTCTGTTTGACGAAATTGTATTGAGTTGAAAGAAATATTGTTGTTTGTTGTAGTTATCAGCATTGTTTACTCAAGTATTATTGGAAATTCATGCGAAATATCTGAATATCGTACGTGATATTTTCTCTAATCATGCTGATTTTATCTCAGCATTTGATAAAGCTTGTGCAAGCATTGTGAATACGAAATATGAAAATCGATCGTTAGCTAAAGCATCTGAACTAGTAAGTGTGATCGCATGAAATTTGATCGTAAACACGTGTGCATTGATTTAGCTTGCTCATTACTGTGATAGTATTTTACGCAAATCATCGAAAACAACCTGTGAGAGTGAAGTAGAAGAGAAATTGTTGAATGCGATAACAATATTCAATTACCTGGATGATAAAGATTATTTTCAACGTGTAAGGTTCAATGAAAAGTCGTTGAAAGTATAGTAAATCGAGGTATGAATTTCAGTTCTATCAAAAGATGCTCGCGCGTCGGTTGATCAATCAACAATCGACTTCGATAGATGCAGAAGAATTTATGGTTACAAGATTGAAGGTAAATCATTTTACTAGGAAACGTTCAGATCGAAATGAGGGTGTTTGTGAATAGGAAATGTGCGGTTACGAATTTACTAATAAACTAGCACGCATGTTTCAAGATATTAAAGTGAGCGAGGATCTATGTATGAAATTTTTCGAATCGCTCAAATCGCAATCGAATTCGACCATCAAAAATCAAACAATGACACATCTTCTCGGTTTGGATTTCAATATTTATATTTTACAAGTAACGATTATCCTATTTTCCAGCGTAAATTTCATTTTTTTTCCCTTTTATTACATAGGCAAACTCATGGCCTGTTTCTCAAACTCAAAATAACACCTTCTCCATCCCACCACTATTAGAAAAATCAATTCGCTCAGTAAGCTAGTTCTTCATTTTCCATTCTAGTTCATACAGACATCCATATTTTCTAGTTCGAACTATTCTATAATGAACAATACAGCGGGAGAAAACTATCCTGGCTTCACAATCTATCGACCGGTATGTTCGATGAAATTCAGCCGTCTAAGAACTGGTTTTTTTTTAAACTTGTAGTCGATGTGCGAATGTTTTACTTTGATCGTCCGTACTTTGTTACTATGGGTACATATCAGATGGCGGTACTAATACTGTTTAATGATCATCAGAAGCTGTCATTGAAAGAACTTGAAGAATCAACGAGGCTCTCGACAAAAGAACTCGAAAAACAACTCTCGATTCTAATTGAAAATAAATTATTATTGCGCGATGACGTATGATGAATATTTGCCTTTGTTCATACACATCTACTTTCGATTCTTGTAGACGGAATTCCAACCTCAGACAATTATTTCGTTAAATACAGATTTTAAAAATAAACGAACAAAATTCAAAATATCTACAACAACTTCCAAAGAAGTTCACCATGTATGTATTCAAATGAACTATCATTTCGACAAAACAATCTTTCCATTCCAGGACATCGAAACTGCTGAGCAAGCCGCAGATGAAGATCGAAAATTTTATCTTCAAGCTATCATCGTACGAATCATGAAAGCGCGGAATGTCGTGAAGCACAATCAGTTAATTGAAGAAGTGTGTAAACAGTCAAAACAACATTTCATTCCATCGATCTCTCTCATTAAAAAATGCACTGAGATGCTTATCGATAGACAATATATAGAGCGAAACTCACCGGATGAGTATAGTTATATAGCGTAAGAGTATCTATTTTTTGTAAGGATGATTTTGACCAATACAACGAATTTTTGTGATATGCGAACTTCATAACAGAAAGAACGCCTGGCCAATGTTCAATGCTGGTTTCTTAGTTTTTTATTTTTTCTACGTGCATTTGCGAAAAATGATGCAAAACTATCATCTCTATTATACTTCTTACAAATGTTGTGATTTAACTCTTGTCTTCCTAATTTTCCTATTTTTATAAAATAAATTTATACAGGAAAGTGACAACTAAACTTGATATGATAACGTCTGTTTAACATACACTATCTATAAGCAAGGATCATAGTTCGAGTGCACAATGAGTAAAGCTGTCTTTTCTTTCACTATTTCAAGGTAACTTCAAAATTGTACCATAAATCACTGCAGATACTTATGCTTTTAGTGGTTTATAATCGATGCATGTTATGTGACGTTGTCTTTTCTCTTGATTCATTCTATTCTCATTCTGCAATAGTTGCTTGATCAATTCCTCTATTCTGAGTACTTGCCTTATGTCGGCAAGTTTACTATTTTCTGATTGGTTGAAAGATCTGTCAAATGATCTTTATCGAAACTAAAAAAACACAACACACGCACACACTCGATGATCATCATGATCAATATTGGTGTTTTGTTTTGTTTTCCTGTGCGACAAAGGACGTTTTTCGTTCTAAACTTTTCATTTTATTTTAGATGGCTAACAGCATTGGACATGAGAATGCTGTTCCACCATCTGTTGTCAATCATCACGATATCAAACAGTGGCAACACTGTTCACTATTCAATTTGGATCTTTTCACCGATGATAATAATTCATTAAATTTGACAAAAGATATCGATAATAAGATCGTTGATGGTTGTTGTTGTTCATCATCAACACCGAACGTCGATGATTCTTGTCAAAAAAATCATTTGAATCATTCATGTTCATTTGTTGTCCTACAAAAGAATTACACAACACAACTTGAACATGTTGCCGAGACTTTGTTAGCAGACGGGAATAAAACACCAAATAATTGTTGTTATTGTTGCAATCATGAAGCAAACGATTCGAAAACACAATCATTGAATCGAAAAATTCTCCTCGGCTCAACAGCGATTCTCGATAGTTTACTACGTAATAATTTAAAGTCCTTATCAGCATCGTCGCAACCCGCAACAGCAACTACCACGTTCAATCATAGTTCAAAAACAAATATGAAATCGACCGGAAATCAACGACGATGGCATTCGGAACGTGGTAGTCGCCATCCGAATGTTCGTGCTAACTTACCTTTAACACCCGCCCAACGCCAAGTTCTCGAACGTTATATGAACTATCCGTTAATAAAGCCGCCGACAAATATTCGCTCGACACGTCGTTTACATCATCATCAACCGTTAACAGGTAAAGCAAGCGATGCCACTGGCACTGCTCTCTCAGCGCTTGTTGAACAACCGACGACAATGTCCACTGCTGTTAACAATCTTCGTAAAAACAGTGCCCCACCTAATCATACTCGACCATTATCATCAACTTCATCATCAGCATCCGCCATCTCCCATCATAGTGCATTAAATAGACGATTTCTACCAGATACGATTAGATCTCGCGAAGTTTCTGACGAAGAGGAGAACGATGACGACAATGATGATGATAATGATGACGACGATGACTCAATTTCGTCTGAACTCGGTCAGACTAGTGACGAAGAAACTAGTGACACAAATCCAACCACAATAATCTCCAACCATCCTATGACAACATCGGAAACTCTCTCCGAATGTGCGATTTGTTGCGAAATGAAACGTCTTCAAAAACGATCCTGTTGCAATTTCTACGTCTGTTCAACTTGTTTAAATATTTATGTTGAACAACAAGTTAAACAAGGTATAGTACGAATACAATGCCCCAATCAACAATGTCATACTTATATGCATCGAGATGAAATTAACAAACGGTGTATATCGCCTGAATTGCGACAGAAACTGACGAAATTTTTAGTCGATGCTAACCGTTCGATTAATATCAAAACATGTCCACGATGTTCAAATATTCACGAAATTGGTAAGGAAAGAGTGTTTTTCACTGAGTAGTCATCACAATGATTTTTCCATAGATCTCGAAGTGTATCGTTCGATGCGTCGTGCGCCGACTAAAGTTCAATGTGTTGAGTGTAACTTGATTTGGTGCTTTCAATGCCATTCACCGTGGCACGATGGAATACAATGTAAAGAATTTCGTCGCGGTGATCGGATGTTAAAAAAATGGGCACGAGAAGTTCATTATGGACAGCATAATGCACAGCAATGTCCTTCTTGCAAAGTAATACTGATTTGAGTTCGAGTATGACAAATATATTCTATTCGTTTATCGCAGGTATATATTCAACGAACGAAAGGATGTGATCATATCGTTTGTCTGCGTTGTAAAACAGAATTTTGTTATAAATGTGGCGGTCGCTTTCGAGATATTAAATTTATCGGTAAGATTCTGTTTGTTGAGGAAAGTTTATCTCAATATTGCACGATTTCATTCACTTGTAGGCGATCATTACAGTGAATTGAGTGTTCTCGGTTGCAAATATCGTTTCTATCCAGATCGACCATTCAAACGACGACTCATACGAGGTTCCATTCTTTGCGGGAAGATTTTAGCCGCACCTGTTATTCTCTGTTTGGCTATGGTAGCCGGCGCTGTTTGTGCTGGAATTGGATTGCCTGCTTATTGTTGTTTCATGCTTGTTCGACATATTAAGGTATGAAAGAGAAAACGAAACGCGATGAAGAGAATAGATTTGTAATTTCCTTTCTTTAGACGAAACGACGCAGACGTCATTCGAAATTGAAAGAACCTGTTTTGATGAGTTGTAAGTCATTTACTTGTCTATTCGAAATGCGAGTTACATTCGTGTACGTAGATAAAACATTGAATGACATGGTTCCTCAATTGATTCCACGTGATCCTGTGAACAGTGATGGTGTTAAATCAGGTTTTCATTCAATTCGATCGAATATTCCATTGAACGAAACAGTCAACATAGATATAGATCCAACTAATAATGCTCCTATTGCTGTTTTTGATGGTAAGAAAAATAAGCATACCTTCTTCAGTCTTTTCCATTCTTCTAATCATTCTAGAATGTGATATTCATATTCCGACAAATCAAACAGGTACAGACTATCCGTTCAAAAGCTAAAAATACTCACTTTTTTCAATTCTTTTCTTCAGAAGAAGCAATATCTATTCCGATCTCTTCTCTCTCATCAACTTATATTCCGACAACATCACCTAACTTCCCTCGGTTGACGCCGTACACTACAACACGAAATTTGTTATCATCGAGACCTAATGTGTAAAAAAAAACAAACCTTCTCTCTTTCTCATTAACTGCAATGATACTCGAATGATTGTTGCAGATACCAGATAGTGTGTATATTTAAAATATCTTCTTCTTCTCATAACAAATTAGTTGACCCTAGTCACAAATCATTGCGCTTTGTTTGATTTTCCTCAATGAATTGTACACACACACATATATACGTAAACGTTTTTTCTCTTTCTCTCTCTCTCTCCTATTGTAGTTTGATTTTACGCAATCTGATTTTTCTCTTTCTTCTTTTCAAAAAAATCATCAATAACAGTATGTCAGCTTTTGCTGTTGTATCTTTGTTTTTTCTTCTATATTTTAAACAAATTTTATTATATCTATATAAATTTAAAAAACCACAAATACAGTTGACCGAATGAAATCGATTCGTTTGCCATTGTTTGGAGTAATATAGAAGAAATATGTTATTCGAATCGCATTGCATCGAAAGAAAAACAACTAATGAGTTTTGTTAATATCGATATTTCAGTAGATGGTCAAGCGAGTCACTTTCGACGAGAGTTAGTTGTTTTATTTAACTACAGAACGGATTAATTAGCATAAGAATAATTTGTTGGGAGGAAATGTTAGAAAGACGAAAGAAACCCTGATTAAGCTGAGAGAAAAGTACGAAACGATTAGAAAAATCTAAGTGCACAAATGAAAACAAAAAAACATCACTATTTCACAGATAACTGTCATCACGATCGTGCGGCTTTGAAGTTGTTCGCGTTGGTGCTGGTTGATTTATATAAGTTTGAGAAGGAGTTGTACTAGTATTCGTTTTTCCTGAGTTTGCAGTAGGCGTTAAATATGAGTCGCGCGGATAATACGTATCGGATGTCGTCGTCGTCGGACGGAATGTAACATCATCGGCATGATTAGCATTCCGTGCACTATCGCCGTCAAATGATGGAAGAACATCCACACCCTGCACCTCACCAAAACGTTCGACATTTTCACTCGTTGCATTTGCTTCTTGATAACGATCGTATTCCAACCGGTAGTACTACAAAGAACGAATGTCGATATGAATTGAACGAGAAGGAATTTTTACGTTAAAAATTTCTTCAGATAGCATTCTCGAGTGACATAGTAGAGCACGTATTTGTGTCATTTCTGGCCGACGATGTTCTTCAACAAGACAGTCACGAATAATTGCATAACTAAACAAAACGAATTCGATGTGAAGAAAAACGAGTACGTATGCGTTAGTGTTACATGTTTCGAGGAATTTCCGGTTGATAATCGATATATTGAAGAACACGACCTTCGTTGATAACTAGAGCAAGTCGATGGAAGAATGTTTTACCATCGGGTTGCTGTGCCATTTCTTGCAATAGCTTTTCAAAAGGACGAACTCGACCTAAACAAAAAGAAATTTCATCTAGAATGACTATTGGACATGCTTATCCATACATTTGAGAAATAATGTCCATAAAAAGATTCCAAATGACCATCTAAACATTGACATAGACAAAACAAAGATCGATGGTATCAACGGACTTACACATCGGACTTAATCGATGATTTATTTAACGCTAAATGTTCTCCTGTACTCGATGCACGTAGATATATCGTCGCAAGTTCTGGCGTTAAATTGTGTGTAGCTAGTTCATTCTAATCTCAAAGAATCTAGATTCAAACGATTTAATTCAACATTACATACACTTTTCTTTTCAAGTTGAACACTTTCATGTTGTGCCAATTGTTCGCGATAATCTTTATATGTTGTCCATGTTGCCAGACTAAATTATGGAAATTTTCCAATCGAACTTCTCATTTCTGAACTTCGCTTACCCAAAATCACATATTTTCATGATGAATCTCGATGTTACCAAGACATTTCTCGATGCCAGATCACAATGAGCTATTTGTCTTCGATTTAAATAATCAATGCCACAAGCAACTTGATAAGCAATTAATTTCAAATCATCATCTGTTAATTGACATTGTTCATACGCTTCATCAACAGTCATTTCTTTATTATTTTGTTTGGACAATGTTTGATATAAAGACGATTTGTTATGATTTGCTCGATCTGATGGTGATCGATTGAAGTACTTTAACATGGATTCTAGAGAACCGTTTGAACACAATTCCATTAGATAAAACGAATCTTCATCTCGCATCGGCCCACCAACGAAAAGAAACTTAAATCTTGTCTCTGGATAAGCAACTTTCTTTAAAGCAACAATGTTGATATGCTTGCCTGCTTTATGCATAATTTTGATCTCTTCAATCAACATTTCTGCCGCTTTCTTCTTTTGATTTTCGTGTTCGTTTAACATTTTTTCGTTCTCTTCAAGATCATGACTTTTCTTTCGTTCATCGCGACGGTGTTCTATTTTTCGTATCGTTTCCGGAAGACTCTTAGCAGCAACGAGTCCAACTTCAGGTAAATTCACTTGATACACAACACCAAACTGACCGTGACCCAACTGTTTAAAATCTTCTTTTGTTGCAGGTGAAATATCTCCATTGAGATAACCGAGAAATGTGCGAATTTGAGGTGTAGTGGCGAAGTCATCGGGCAACGGAGTTTCTTTCAATTCATGAAAGATACTTTCATGAACTCGATGCTTCATTCGAAAGTACTTGATAACGAAGATTATCAATAAAATAATGATCAGGAGAAGAAGTATAACTGATATGATCACTATCATTGCAGTGAAACGGCCATATTTCAAATATGGATTAGTACCTATTCAATACGATGGGGGAAAATGTTCTGGAAAAACTAACATTTACCTTTGACTCGCAAATCAAAGCTTCGTTCAAGCGGTTGATCGCGTCCGTTGTTCAATTGACATGTATAGTAACCCGTATCCGTAGGTTGGACACGAGTGATGGATATACTACATAGAATGAGAAATATTCGCATTTGTCTACAAAATCTATTCGCAGGAGTTATGTAGATACCTTCCGTTATTTTCACTGAATTGCAATGTTGAATCATCGTTTTTCAATGGCATCTTTCCTTTTAACCAGACTAGTTTCGGTTTAGGTCGTCCATCGAATTTGCAATCGAATTCAACATTCTCTCCACTTTTTCGATCTAGCCGTAAAACCGTTGGCAAATTTGTTTTAAATTGTAATTGTTCAGGATCTACAAGTAGAAACTCTTTCTTGAAGCAGAACAATCAATTTTGTCTGTCAGTTTACCATCAACATCGATGAGGTATGTTCCATTGGCATTCGGAATAATATCTGATCGTTTTGATAGTCCAATACATTGAAAATATCCATTATTACCTATCACTCTCAACACTGGCGTTTTAACTTCGATGATTGTACTATGAATATTTTCACTAAAGTCAAAAACAACGCAATTAAACTGAAAACCAAACAATCCTAGTGGGATTTATTACTTCACAGGTATATTCCAATCGACATCGACCTGTTTGAATTGATTTGTGTCTTTGAGACGCCATCCTTGATCGAAGCGATTTCTTTCATAGGTGAATAATTTGTCATTGTAGATCATTTTTAAATCATCATAAACTAAATCGTGAGCTTCGCAGCGGTAAGTCAAAACATCGCCTGTTACTAGACTGAACTCGGGCTTGTCAACATGAAACATGTGACGATTGTGCGCGAGAATTGTTATTCCTTTCGCAATGTTCACCAATCCGTTCTGTTCATAACAACAGAGGTACTGATGGCCAATCGATGGATCATGAAGTGCATGAGAAGCACTGCTAATAAATTGTGTTTCATAATCAGTGATACGATTCGATGCTGTGCTGATTAGTTGTTGATCTGACGAAGTTTGACAAGTCTTTCGAATGAGATTTGCCAAGCACGCGTCAAGTGAACATTGAGAATAATGAAGAGAAACTCTCAATGGTCGATTGATATCGGCACGATGACGGATTGTACAAGCAACACGATAAGATTCTTGTTGGGAAACACCATAAGGATATATGTTGATTTTATCTTTATGATTTTCATCACGCCATGGAATAGATCCAGTCTTTTGTTCAGGAACAAATGCGAATTGACCAACCGGATCACCTGAAGTTCATCGAAACGATACATTCTAAAATATCTCGAATTTGTCTGACCTACCGATAATATTTGGTTTGATTACTACTGTCTTGGCTAATGCGGATGATTTCGCTGAAATCTTCAAATCTTTTTCATCCTCGAACGTGATATTGTAAATCGTTAAAGAATATTCCAAGAATTGATTTTCTTGGTTTGTTCTAAATTCAAATCATCCAACTTCGTGTTATTTCACATGTCAACAAACTCACATTGGTGTCAATTGGAAACGTTTATCGTTGTACAATGAAATGCCATTCCGTGATAATTCGAGGATGACTGTCGAGCGTGGAATTGTGAAAATACTTATATCGTAAACAACATCTGATCCATAGGAAATCTTGTCATTCGATTCTGGTCCGCTTGGATTTACTTCGAGATCGAGTGATGGCTCTAGGAAAATATTCAGAGATATTTGATTTTCACGAAGTTTTCTTTTTCAGTCGTACTATCAACACAAGTGATATCGATCGAACGAGAATAAAGGCCTTGTTCAGAGACCCGTACACAATAGAATCGATAAACATTATTCGGTTTAAAACCACGTAATGTTATCGAAGTGTTTCGACTGTAAATTTGACTCTGAAGATTAAAAACGGGTTTATCTGTTTGGTTCGAAATTAAATTCAACTAAAGAAACAAAACAAACACTAATTCACGTCTTATGACACTACGAAAGAACTACTTTATAAATATCTTCGAACCAGAATAGTACAGGTGATTTACGATCCACTTTTGTACCATATTGAATTTCACATGTTAATCGTATTGTTTCATCACTTATTATACTTAAACTTGGTTGATGGATTTGTACGTATTCAGCTACAGAACAAGAAAATCGTATATTGATTTAACATTTGATAATGCTTTTATTTTCACGTACGGTCAGATGGATCATACGGCACACGAGACTGTTGACTCGGTGTATAGTTGCTCTTACAAGTAAATTGATTCAAGGAATTCGCGATGGTGGGATTTTCTAACGCAAAGCCAATCTGCGGATCAAAGAATACTTTCTAAAATAATCAATAAGATTCGATTTTTATCCTTCATCTCACATCGAAAAGCAATTTTACTTCGGGTTTTAAATTATCCGGTGTAAAATAAACTGGTATACATAAATCTTGACCAATACAAACAGGTATGTTGCATTTAAGTTCATCGACTCGTTGTTCACGATCATTACATTGACGTGATTGGCATTGGTTTGAATTTGGACACGAGATTCGTGAATACCAGTTCGTACTTTGGCATGGAATATTAAAGAAATGAATACCTGTTTGTTTGTAGATTGTCGGATATACGTTTTGTGTGAAAACAGATTTTCCATCTACAAGAAACATTTGTGTGAACATTTTTAACAGCGGAATGTTACCTTGGACATAAACATGAACTATTTTCTCATGTTTTTTATCTTTGACTGTTTCCGTGCATATATAACGTCCAATTAAGTCAGATGTCAATTGATTTCGCCGTAATTTAGCAGTGATTGTGTTCGTATTATAATTAGTATCGAGGGATAGATGCTAGAATAACTTCGTAGAGATGGAATTTAATTGAAAATACTTACTTTTGTTGCTGAGTCGGGAACTGTAAATTGAATTGATTTTGTCGAACCTTTACATTGTAAAAAGTAGGGTAGATTGTCTTTAACTGCATTTGTATGAAATTGAATTTCATGGGGAACAAGATAATGACGAAGAATTGAATCCAATGAATCAATATCTTTTCGAACACGTTCTTCAATGAATTCATTACTTGGATATTCGATTTTAACACCTAAAAATATTTTATGTTGACAATAATTCGATTGTGTGAGTGAAAAAACATCGATTTACTTTGGTGAAGGGTCAAAATACCCAAAAGAAGTATAAATCGAAACATTCTTCAAAATAAGGCAAGAGTTTAGTCAACCATTGAATGCGAAAAAGAAAAAGAAAAAGAACGATTGAAACTTTCGTTCTGTTTTCGTTTACGAGTGTTATGATACATTTTATGTACATTCATCATACCTGACATCTAGGGATCATGCTTAGCATTCGCTCATTCGGTCGAACGACAAAAAATTATTCATGCTGGGCTGATATGAATAGCAACGTCAATTGTTGCTAATCGCAAAACATAATATGTTGTAAATAGTTTGGATTATGAATGAAACGATCATAGTGCCGCTGACTGTTGATAATGAACTATATCCAGCTTTGATTCAATGTTTCTTCATTATCTGCTGTGGCTACATAGCCGGTCAACTGAATCTGTTAACAACTGCTCATTCCATTGGTTTATCAAGGTATATAAGTAACTTTGCATTACCAGCGGTTATATTCAAGAATCTCGTCGATGTCCAATTTCAAAGTGTTTCATGGCAATTTCTTACATCTGTTCTGATTAGTAAATCAATCTTGTTTTTAATGACAATTCTTCTGACGTATATTGTTGAACGTCCGAAAAATCTCGCTAGCATGGGTCATTATGCGATCATGACTACTCAAAGTAATGATTTTGCATTGATTCTACCTATTATTCAAGCAGTTTATAAGCAATCTCATCCGGAATATAGTCGATACATTTACTTAATTGCACCTATCTCACTTGTCTTACTCAATCCGATCGGATTTATCTTGATTGAGACACAGACACGTTTGGATGATCAACGGCGACATCGCGGAAGTACTTGGTCGTACTTTCAACTGATATCGACTATTGTTGGAAACATCGCTCGAAATCCCGTCGTGATATGTACGTTACTCGGAGTGATATTCAATCAAATATTCCATCAGCATGTGCCAAGTTTAATCGACGGCGTTCTTACACCGTTAGCTCAATCATTTACAGCCACCGCGCTCTTCTATCTCGGTCTAACAATGGTCGGAAGACTCAATCGATTGCATGCACGCCTTGTTCTAACAGTATTTCTACTCAGTATGATGAAATTAGTCATCTTCCCGTTGATTTTACGTCAAGCTGTTTTCTTTCTCGTCAAACCACTGAACGGGAACCTGAGCTATACTTTGGAATATTCGAATTTTGGATTTTTATATGGAACGTCACCAACAGCACCGTCTGTGATGTTTTATGTTCCTGAATCAATGTTATCCCTACAAGCAATAGCATCGACAGAACTGGTCGTTTCAACTCTACTATCGGGACCTATTATTCTTGTTTCAGCAAAAATGATCAATTTACGCACATTGAGTACGAAAGTGACTGAATGCTATGACATGTTATTAGCAACAACAGCTTATGATGTTAGTATTCTATCGTTATTCTGTACAATTATTGTGTTAATCGGATTCTGTTTACGGCATCGATGGTTTAAAACATCATTTATACATAAATACACATTTATTTTTGTTAGTTTACAAATGATTTTATCGATATGGACAATAATTATGCACCATATTAAAGTATTTGCATCGCTTACTATGTCACCTATATTTGATTTAGGTAAAACAATAAGAATTCAAGTTTTCATTTTGTTCTCTTTCTTTTTTTTTTAGGCACTATATTCTTAGCATTGGCTACGCGAACATGGGCAACAAGTATATCCATCGCGTTAATGTTTATCATCTGTCATTCGAATGAATTAGCTCGTCGATGTTCCTGGATGTATCATATATTTGGTTGGATTGTACCCGCATTAGTATCTCTGATCATCTATTTTTGCTCATTAATCTATCAACCAGAGGAAAATCCGGAATTAATAGGCGCAGGAAAGCTTGGAAAACTCCAAATAATTCTCTCGATTTTATTACTCAATGTATGTGTGTTGATCAACACGATTAGTCTTCTTCGTATCGCACGGCGGACGTATCAGTTAAGACACGATCTAGCCGATCATCGACCAGAAACTTCTAATGATTCGAACTCAATAATGAGTGAAGCTCAAACATTGATCGATGATAATGATGAAGAAATGGACACGCCATTCATTTCTAGAGGTATCTTTTTCTGTTTATCTCATCGGATTTTCTTACATATTGTCTTTGAAGAGCCCGAAGAAGTGAAATTTGTTGAAGGTGATGCACAATTATTTCGTCACGGCATCCTTATTGCCTTACTGACAATCGATGCTGTCATTGTAAGTGTATTCGATTGAAAAGATGAGATTGTTATTAAATTTTATTGACATAGTGTGTAGCGGTGCTATTGTGGTTAATCATATCGCGTGATCGTGATGGTATTTATTATGAATTACAGTTCTTAGACACAGTTTTACTTTACGGACAAGTAAATAGTTTGAGTTCGTGTTTTTGCTAGATGAAAGTCTAATGTTTGTAGGGTATTATTTCTTTTCTTGTCTTTGCATTGGATGCTGACTTGCTTGTGCCGATCTCGCGAAAGTAAAATAGAAAATGAAGAGTAAAGAAACGAATAGTGACGGTGTGTCGTTTGTATTTAGATTAATGAAAATGTTTTATTGTTGCGGATTCAGTCGAAATTATACACGAAATCAAAACAGAACGGATGCAACATTAGACTTTGAATTTCACATTCGACCAGAATTCATCCGTCATTCCAGGTAAGTGAAACTATTTTCAAAACTTTTACAAACATAATCTTTAAAGAACTAATATCGAATAACATGAATATGTATGTATTTCTATTCTGATTATTGTCCTTTGCTGTTCGATTGATTTTCTATAAATAGTCTCTTGTATTCAATTGAATAATCATTCGAATTTCTATTTAGTATGAAGCAATCGTCGGAACCAGTGTTTTGTGGAAATGAATTTTGTCAGTGGCTGATAGAACATGATTACATGGCTAATGAATCAATGGCTCGAGCTTATATACAGCAGATAGAAACAAATCAACAAATTGTTTGTCTCAATCGAAATCAAAACTCTGACGATGTTTACGATCTTTTAACGAATTGGTATGCTTTTTCGAAATAGAAGAAACGGCTAAGCAGTCTTTCTTGTTTTATTTAACCAGTGAATGTTTTTTTAATCTTTTTTTCCATGTTAAGAATAAAATTTTGCGGGAAGAGAAAATTGTCATTGTTTTTCGTTTGTGATGAACTGTCAATGTCCGTCGATATGTATGCCTATCTGCTATGATGAACCGATCTTACAGGTAGATTTCTACTGGGCCGACGAATGATGGGAAACTTCTTCTTAGGCTCATGTGAAAAAAACGGATTTGAAACCGATCGAGTGTCTTTCGAATAAATGTGATGGTTGTTTGAATGAATATCTCAGCAAAGCTCTCCGACGTAGTCATTATCAGATCTTTCATAGTCACCAAGATACATTGGACATGGGTAGGCCAACAGCTGTTGTTTCTTCACCATCGGTTACAATTAGTGACGAAGAAATGAGTAAGATGCAAGATGAAGCTATTGAGAAACTAGATGAAATCCGTAAACGATACGCACTGATGCAAATGAACGACAAAGTTTTTATTTTGGGTGGTTACGCCATCGATAGTAAAACTGGAAGAAAGAGAATACCAAAACATGATTATTTGTAAGTAAGTGGAGATGATAAAATGCACGTAACAATCACGAACATGTAGTTACGATCATGATAAGAAAGAATTGATTCCTATTCCTGCATTGCCTGGTCATGGTCGAATGGGTTTCGGAATAGCCGCAACTGACGACGACAAGATCATTGTTGCTGGTGGACACAATTTCGATTTTGAATCAATTTCCAATGTTACTATGCTTGATACAAAAGCGGAAGTATTCCAGTGGCAAGATTTACCAAACATGCCCAGTAAATTTACTAATTTGAGAGGATTGAGAAATAAAAGTTTGATCACCTTTTGAGATGGTACTATTGGTTCTGGTACAGGCATTATTTATAATGTTCTTTACATTATCGGTGGATTTGATTTTGTCGGATACGATATAGTCTGTCATGGTGATGTACTTGCGTTGGATTTGGATAAGAAACAATGGAAAATATTAACAAATATTGATCCACCTCGAGCTCGACCGTTAGTTAGCGTCAATGATCATGTTGATCCACCGTATGTTTTCCATCCAACAAAATGCTCAGTTACTAATTTCTCATTCACAGCACATTATATATTGCCGGTGGCTATAGTTTTACTGAAAAAGGCCAAGTTGTTCCATGTAAATGACGAATATTTGAGTATGTTTAACTTATAAATGTCATTTATTGTCTAGGTGGTAGAATTGAAGAATATCACGAAGAAAAGAAGACGTGGCAAGTGATTGCTGATATACCGCATTTCAAGACAACAAACGGATTGGCGACGAAAAACAACAAACTGTAAAAATATCTATAAAGACAAGTATTCTCGGCATCTCCTCTTTTGCATAGATTCCTGATGAATGTCGTGCCCGAGACTGGCGAGAATCGTGTTATTAAAGAATATAACCTCGAAACGCATCAATGGAAGAGCTTGCATGATCTGAAACGATCATCCTCTCATCATCTTAAAAAAGAATCATCGCGAATCAAACTCGCTGACGAACAGACTGGAGAAAAGGTTGACGAGTAAAACTCTGCTTGTTCATATTGTTTTCAATCATTACCATGCTCCTCTTTTTCGTTCTTCTCCTTTTTCTTAGCCTCGATTGTATCGAACGAAAGAAAAAACACGGTCGAGTGTTACATTTACACTTTCGAAATAGTCACACATGTTATCAATAAAAGTTATCACATCATTTCTTTCTCTCGCAACACACCAAGCGTGCTCTTTGAAGTCAATGTCGATTAAACGGGATATAAACTATGTGAATGTCGCATGTTAAGATCTCGTAAACACCTGCTATTATTTTTATACTACACTTTCCGTTAGCATACCAAAGTGTATGATAATCAAGCGTTTCTGCCAACTTAACAGAACACAGTAGACTTGTTTGCCTTTGACAGAGAAACGCATATGCGTAGTAAATCTCCACGTGATTACAGCTCAGTTGCGTCGTGTAAGGCTTGATGAAACTATTTAATTATAATAAGTTTCATTTAAATATGAGTATGCGTCACTTCCTGAGAAGGAAAATTTTCAATTTCTACACGCTGCTTCGTACGTCAAGTGTTATACGAGCATACATAGCTATTCTTTGTCGTCACAGTGTTCTCTCTCCCCTCCCTCCTCTTCGATTTTATTTATCATATCTAAGGTCTAAACATGCATATGTTGTCGTTTCACCATTAATATTTTCTTTGAGTAATCACTGCATTTTTTTCTCTCTCTAGTCATTCTTCCCATCTTTTTGACGACTTTCCGTTCTGTTAAAATAATAAGTGAGAAAAACATGATTGATGTCAAGAAAAATGTGTGTTAAACAGAAAGAAATACTCTTGTCACTTCAGATTGTGTGGGAGTACTAATTGGAAGTGCACTGAGCAGGAAGAATTAATCAATGGGCTCGAAAGTAAGTCGTCATCATTTCAAAAATGGTGAGCAATTGAGTAAGAAAATGATCGATGAACTCTGCGAAGAGACAGGGTTTAGTGAAGAAGAACTACTCAACTGGCATACGTAAGTGCAAATTTGAAGTTATCTTGTGTAATAATGAGTCATGTTGCTTTATTTTAGAAACTTCTACAAGGATTGTCCAGACGGGCGTTTAACTTTGAAACAATTCGAACATGAATATTCAAAAATCATGGGTCGACCGACGCAGAAAACAACTGATTATGTCAAACACATGTTCAACGTTTATGATCAAGATAAAAATCAATTTATCGATTTTAAGTAAGATGTTCATTGCTGGCAAGCGAAACGAACTCTTCTTTTGTTATTAAGAGAATTTGTCACGGCATTATCAGCTGCGTCAGTGATGAATCGTTTGCGTTTAGTTGAGACGATGTTCAGTATGTTCGATTTAGACCACGATGGACGAATAACCAAAGACGAAATGACCAAAATGTTACATACCCTCGTCGACGTGACAAACTCGAACAAAAAGCGTCAGCAGAATCACTCCAATAACGACAATACCAATCAACAGGCAAATCTACAAAAGCGTATTGATGACGCATTCAACGAATTAAACGCCAACGCTGATGATCACATAACAAAAGATGAATTTATCGAATGGTACATGAAAACAGGTTTATTATCTGACGCCAAAGTCACCGGTATAAATATTCGTGATGCAAGTCGTGTTCAAGAACTCGACAAGAAATCGCGGAAAATCAGAAAGCAACAAGTTGATCCAAGAGATCGTGTCGATGAGTACCAGTCGTCGCAAGAAAAACGACATATAACACGTATGACCGAACAAAGACCACCAACGAAGTCAACAACGGATGAAAGTGACGATGATGATGATGATGATGTCGTGATGGGAGATGATGACAGTTTACGTCAACAGACTTCGTCGGATGATACCGATTCTCATTATTCGAAAGAAAACGAACGTTGGCAACACTTGTTTAATTCCGTTCTTGGACAGATTCGCGCGCAACGTGAATACAATCAAGAACAAGAACAAAAAGTCGAATTGAACGGACAAAATCGCATCAGTCATTTCAATTCATGGAAAAAATATGGTGAAGAACAAATGAAAATCGAATACTTTCGACAGAGATCGACCGAAGGTGTCACATCACCGTCGGATGTCGTTACAATTCGATTTTGAGACGTTTTCTCTTACTACTGTCTTCCAAAGATTGTTCATTTACTTTTTCTGATAAATAAATCGGGTGAACTTCGGATAATTCAGAGAAATACATAAGCGAAGAAACAATCTACTGATTTATTAGTGAAATAGCTCATCGAAGCAAAGAAAAAGAAAGTGAGCTAATTAGATTCGAGCGAGAAATTCGCCATTTTTCAGAAAAAAGCAAATATTATCATTAGATAAGAGTTTTTCATCTGAACAAATATCGTCGATCCATTGATGTAAGATAGATTGCGAATTTGAGCGTGGAAATGATACGGATCGAGACTTGCCGGATGGTTGTGAACGATGCTTTTCGTGCGATGGCGCATGAACAGAATGACTACGTGACGACGTTCGCGGCGTTTTCGGAGGTGTTGCTGCCAGATCATCGCGAGAATGGTAAGCGATGCGAAGCTTTTTTATGTAAAAATCTGTATCCGGATTGGTATGAACGATAATTTCTGAGCGAAATTGACCTGGCTTGGTTGTATCATTGACTGTAAAACGAATTGGCTTTGTTTGGCCATTGATTTTGACTGGAATTGTATGGATAAAATGTCGTTGCTCGGCTTGACATTCTATACGGATAGGTTGTGGTGCAGGGAGTCGAGAAGACGCTTTCCGCTCTCCATTCGTCTGTGGAGTCGGTGAAATAAGTAATTCTTCGTCGGGAACAGTCATCTGTTGATCTATAAAGCAAATAAAAACATTCGTTTTTTATTCGATATGAAAACCATTCTATATATAATACTTTGTAATCATACCACTATCGATTCTAATACTTCGAAAAAGTAAATACCATTCGTTTTCTCACTTATCAGCTATTGACACTATTGACAGACATATATTTATGATCTTATCCTTCCTCTTCGCTCGCCTTTTTTTTTCAACATCAATCACCTGTATACAAGCATAATATGTTTAAAAGATTTGTCTATAATGATGTTTAACGGGTTCTGTTTCTTTTTTTGCTTATCGAATACTACCTGGTACGGACAAAATAACAACATCTATACGATAGTGGTACCAAAAAAGAAAACGAGAAAATGAAAGTCTAGCTTGTGCCATTAGAACATCCTTTTCGTTGATTTTCGTTTACGATTGCCAATCAATCTTCCTCGCCAATTTCTTCCTCTCCCTCTCGTTTCTTTCATGGTTCGACTAAGGAAGAGAGAAAGAACAAAAACAACCCACCTTTTTTAAAACGAAGAACGAATAGAGAAACTTGAAAGAGACAGTTGGCCTTGGTGCGAGAATTGATGCCCTTTTATTTGTTGATTACACGTCTAATATCATCTTCTCTATTACAAATCGACAAAGACTACACATTCTATTTTCATTAATATTAAGACAACATTTATAATAAAATAGAAGACTAGAGACAATATACGTATATATATATGCGTGTGAGAAGGAATAAAGAGTTTTCCTATGAGCCAAATACATCGAAGAGATCAGTAAATGCCTGTGTGCCAGGTTGTGGTGGAGCTTGACGGGTCGGTTCCCATGGCATTGCAGATTGCGGTCGATTGACTGCTGGTGCCGCCATTTGACTAAAATCACTTCCACCGAACATATTTGCACCAGGAGTTTTCGAACGGTTAGCCATAGATTTTTTTATTAGTTCATGTGCCGCATTGAAATCCACCGGTCGGAATGGATCCGATTCGTCTAATTTCTGATTACCACCACCAGTTGATGCTGCCGAAGCCGAAAAGAATGGATCATCCGCTCGACTAACTCCGAACGGATCGGCTGTCGTTGGAAATGCATTGAATGTATTATTCGCATTAGCAGGCAAACCAAATGGATCAGCAGACGTGCTCGTCGGTGATGTGACTTGTGATTGTTGTTTTGGAGTAACAACTTTATTAGCTGTAGTTGGTGAAACTGCTGTTTTAACTGGACTATCAGCCAACTAAGGAAAACAATGGATAATCAATGATGAATGGAGAACAAAATGTGATCCTACCTGTTTGAATTTTGATGTCAATTCATTGATTGCTGAAAGTGAATCTTTTTGTTCACTCTTCATATATTCTTCAATGAGTGCACGTTGACCTTCGACAACATTCTGATATCGCTCGAGATCAAGTTTAACTTGATTGAATTGCTGTTGTTTGTTTAAAAGTCGACTTTCAATGGTATTTTTTTCATCACGGATTCTATTTAATGTTTGACGAACTTCTTGCTGAGCATCGGTTTCAACGGATAGTTCATTGATCTTTTCTCGTGCCAACTCAATTAAGCGATTTTCCTCTTTGATTTGCTGTTCGATATCATGAATATCTTTGATTGCCTTTTCCTTACGGTTTTGTATATCGCTCAGTTCGCTCTGCTTTTCGGTCATACGTTGTTGACGCTCAACTAGCGTTGCATTGACTGTCCCGCATCGAAGTTCAAGGGATGCGAGTTCAGCACGTTTATCTTTGACCGCTTGTTGTTTTTCATTGAATTGGATTTCGCATAGACTTTTCTCGCTGGTTAACGCATTGACTTCGCTCAATAATCGTTGCAATTCAGCGTTGTCACTGTCATTAACTGAGAATGTCTTCGGCCGAAGCGATGGTGGAATCATATCATGTGAAAGTTCCATAGGAATTTGGTAGTTCGGTGCTGAAAATGATCAAGAAAAAGAAGTTATTTTCGTATAAGAAAGAAACGAACCTTGCAATTTCAGTTGAATGAAGTGCGATGCTAATGCAAACTGTTCAGGATTGAGTTTACCCGTTTGACCGATATCGCACAGATTCCATATATGCGACAGTACAAAATTAGGTAGGCCACTTGTTAAAAATGTTTGAAAAACATCATTGCCTGACAGGAATCCATCTTTATCTAAGTCAAGTTGATGAAATAGCACATCGAATTTTTGCTTGTCTTCGAAACTAACAATCCATTGATCGTCCGTTCGTTTCGATGGTGAGATTTGCGAGGGTGCTAACGATGCTAATGCACCTCCTGTTGACATGATATTCGGTAGACTAATATTGATGTCAACACCCGATACTCGACGCATGCGTATCGGCATTAGATTTGTTGGTAATCGGTCGGGTAATTCGCGAATAGTTGCAGTTTTTACACCATGAATAAGAAACATTGCAATTGCGAATTCATTTCGATCTAATGCGCCATCTTCATCAATGTCACTTAAGTCCCAAATCTTATGCAATTGATCAGCTGATAGACCAGACTTGAGAAATATGGGCTTGACAGATGTACCTGGAAGTTTACTCATTGTTCCACTTAGTTTCTCGAATGCGACATCAAATGTACAACGAGCTGTAGGTCCAATGGTCCACATATCTGCCACGGCAAGACTTATGCTTTGTGGAATGTCACCACCTAAGTTCGGCGGGACAATATCTTTCGTTATATTTGAGTAATCATTGAAATCGAGGTTATTTTGTGCGAGAGCAATAAGTTTCAATCCAATATAAAATCCTCGCCGATCCAAATAACCTCGACCGTGCGGATCAGCTAAATTCCAAATAATTTTCAAATGTTCAGGTTTTAAATGTGCCCGTTGAAAGTAATTATTCGCTTCGATGGAACTCACGATACCATGATCGTGAGGGTCGGACTGTGCGAAATGATATTCATACAAAGCATATTGCGATTTGCCGACTACGGTATCTAAATCGATCGTGTCAAATTCAGACATCTGAAAAAAAGAAACAACATAAAAGTGAATGTTTTTTTTTCTTTTTTCTTTTAAACACCACCAAAGAAATGTCAGTGTAGGAGGAAATGTAATAGTATATACAGAGACAGAAAGAAAAACACTAGATAACCATGCACATCACGAAAGAAAATTTGACGAAACTAATTGTCTAATTCGAAAATAAGAGGATTAGTAAATTGAACAGCTGATTTAGTTGTTGAGGCATTTCCATCTTCACTCTTCGACGATGCGATCCCGCTGGCTTGCCGAGCGATAACATCTTGAAATTCCACGGGATTTTTATATTCATTCGATTGATTGGCTGACTTGTTTTTCTCCGATGTCGAATCATCTGGATCACTCGACTGAGAGTTGAGAGAGTCTTGCCGTTTACGCTTTTTCAATTTACGTTGTTGATGCGACGATAATTTTCTCATACCTGAAACAGGTCCACCTGGCTTAAATGTTTTTCTTGATACTTGATTGTTGAATGTCACATGTTTGACATTCAGCGACGAACTTGGTGTTGTACATAAACTACTACTACCACCGCTATCTGGCGATGTTACAATACTATTATTTTCATTACTACTAGTCAAATCATCAACAGTTGAACATGCTTCGAAAACAGGTTCTTCGTGTTGATTATCATTGTTCGAATTATCAAAATGTTCACTGAATGATGCTGAGTACGAACGATATTTTGTTGAATTTTTCAGTATACCCTAGAAAAACGAAGGAAACTTAGTCGAAATGACTGAAAAGATATACTTTTAGTTTGAATTCTCCGTTTGATGTTATTCCCAGCTCAACTTGAGATTCTGACATATGGCGACGATAGACTGTTGGACGCGTAATACTTTTAGGCATTTCAGGAAGTTTGTCTTCCTCCTTTTCTTCATCGGTATTTGATTGAAGTGATATAGACGAAATTTCATTCGATAATTTATCGTTACTATCCGTTTTAGTTAACGAATTCTTTCGTTTTTGCTTGGCTATCTTTTTCGCTTGTTTCTTTGTTAATTGCTTCTGCTGGTCGCCATTCAACGAAGTAGACGAGTCCGATCTGGACATGAGAAAGTCGTCCTTGGTCATTGCTTGAGTAGATGAAGTGTTGGCTTTGTCAGGAGCGGGTGTATTCGATACAGTTGAATAATGCGTCTAAAACATGAAAAAAATATTTATCGATAATGAAAACAAATACCGTGCACAGCTGGTAATGTTAGACATGATTCAATATTTGCATGCATGACTTATGAGGGGTGTTTATTTACCTTCATATCGTCGCGATTAACACTGCTTTGAAAATGATCGATTTGTTTATTGTTGGAAGTCTTTTTCAAAACAACTAAAACATTGTCATTATTGAATGTTATGCTCGAAGAACTTTCGGCTGTGTCGAAGGTCATTGGTTCGTCGAAATCAAGACAAAGTTGATGTTGAAGTGGATAAAACCCAGAACCTAACGAGGATAACTGAATGATAACGTGTTGACCATCATTGTCTAGTTTGAAACTTGATTCATCAACATTTTTCACGTAAATAACAATTGCTAGATGTCCGGAACCTTGTTTGTATTCAAATGGAATTGATGTATAAACTACATTCGCAGGTTTCTCAATCGCTGCTGCAGGTTCTGCCGTTGGAATAGGTGAGTTGACTTCAGCAGTCTCTTCATTCGTCTCTTCTGGAGGAGTATTTGTTTGCATTTCAATGATCGTCGAAATTTCTTTGATAACAGCTAATACAACGAGTAACTTCCGCTGTTTTTTGTCAAAACGTGCATGACTATCACTCTCGCGAACTGGATAAGATAATGGCAAATCAAGTGAATATTTTGGTGAATCACAGTGAAGTTTAAGTGAACGTTCACATACATCTAGATCGACATTACTCGATGATGCGCATAATGGTAGATCGATTTCCACGAGTAATTCTTTCGGACGCATTGAATGTACTTGTGGAACGAGAGAATTTGTGCAATCTTGCATGTCGAACTCACCGCGATGAACTATACGATATGTCGGAATCGTAAAACCATTTTCATCTGTACGAGGTGTGTTCGTCTCAGGCGGAGTGATACTGGCTGATGGAGGAGAACTGTTATTTGTTGAACGATTATGACTCGAAAGGATAACTTTATGGTTTTGAGCAGAAGATAGTGCCTTGTCGATGATTTCATCGCTAGAAAATGTTATTAATCGATGAAATGAGATAGCAAATAGTTGCAAACACTTACGTTTTATCTTTTAATTGTTTTTCTGTTTCTTCCACAAAATTCTCTTGCTTTTTCCTAAGAATTGTTGCTTTTGGTATCCCTTTGAACTTCATTTTCAACCGTTTCACATTCTTTCGATCCAATTTACAATTGTAATTCTTTTCGACTGAGTCTAATGCTGATTCGTCGATCATATTCATGAATTTCTCGTTTGTTTCACCCATTCGATAGGTATCCGGAGAGAAAATCACATCGTAAACAGTACATGATTTCGATTCATGATCGAGATCTTCGTGTGGACCAGCTAGACAATGTGGTAAACTCCACTGTGCACCTTTTTTTCCATTCGACCCATCGGTTTTTGCATAGGAAGGTTTATCTACATGTTCATTCATTGCAATGTTAATAAAACATTTGGTCTTATCACCAATTGTTGTTTTTAGTACATGACCTGCGTTCGGATGTATGAATGTCACATCCGAGCCACGTTGTTGCTCGGCAGCGCGAATTTCTTGCTCGTATAGCTCGCGATTCTTTGGATCATTGAGTTCTTCGGCGTATTGAATGAACAATTTGCGAAATTCTGCGTTTTGAAAAGCGTCCGAAAAGCGTTTCATTTCATCACCAGTTAAATTTAAATCTTTTAATTTATCTTGAAAGGTACTTGCAGTCATAATTGTTATCTGAAACAATGAAAATGTACAATTTATCATATTGCTAACACAAAGACATAATCAAATAGGAAATAATAACTCCGTTCCATATCGCCTTCACATAAATATGGTACACGCGTTAATTTTTCTAGATGAAAACCTGATGGCTGAATGACGTTCAGCAGAAAACTGTTAATTTGCTCCTCGGGTAGTTCACCTTCAATTTGTAATGATTCATTCGGCCGGTGATGACTGTTATATTCAAAATAGGGTTTGAACGGAAGAACAAGACTAAGAATTACACGACCGATCTGAGGATTTAGATGATCGCGAATCTGCTTGAGTAATTGCACAGGATTTTCACAACGATCAAGGACATTTAAACAAGTAATAACATCAAAGATATGATCTCCCCAATGGTTCGTATCGAGCACTGTGTAACCATAAGTTGATAAACGCCAACGCATAGTTGGAGATAGTTCAGTAACGTAGACTTTGTTAAAACTATTCGCCATGCGTTCAGTTATTGATCCATCGCCCGCACCGATGTCGAGTAAGGTGGCGAATGGTGATTTTCCATCTGATTCGATATCGAGTAAAGTTTTAAACTGCGCACTTGAGTAAACAAACATACGACCACGGCCGAGTAGACCATTTGCTAAGAATAAATACCATAAACTTTTATCAGTTCGACGAAAAACGAAAACTTACCTGATGTTCGTGTCATAAACAATGTTAACAAAGACGCAAATAGGGTATGAATCATTTGTAAGAACACATTTTCAGATTTCTCTTCACTTTGTTTGAGAAAGAATTGGGTGTCTTCATCTTCATTCAATTGATAGAAACGTTCGCGATATTCATCATGCAATAAATCACTTCGGGATAAGCGATACCATTTCGTTCGATCAATGCTTTTTAAACATCGATCATTTTCAATCTTGATCAACGCAGCTCTTGCCCATGACGAACGCACCAATGGATATGATGATTGGTGACAATTGGTACAGTATTCATTCATCGTTCTATCTAAAATTTATTGTTTGTATACGTAATTTTTTCGTAAGAAAACGAATGATTAGAGAAACGAAATCACAGCGAGGAGTCGAGAGAATTTGTTATTCAATTATTACGAATTTCTTTTAATGCATCTCGTAAATTTGTCATTTCTTCACTTAGCTTCCAGAGACGTTCAGCTGATTGTCTATCTTGCGATGTTTTCGATGATGGACATTCTTTACATTCCCTGTAGATATTCAAATCTCGATGGAACAATATTTCAATAGAATAGCTAATACTCACGAAAAATATTTGCCAGTCACATGATCTAATTGCCGATCCGTTGCAAGATAGATCGATGTCTGAGCGCCTTGTTCGGGAGTTTTCGTTAAACAGTACCATATAGGTGTAATCAACAGAATAATACCATCTAAAATACTTTGATAATTCCCCAGGATACTTCGTGTGACTTCCGTTCGAACAACGCCTATGAATAATTGATGAAATAAACTCAATCAGTAAGGATTTATTAATACCTGGGTGGAGGCTATTGGCTGTGATATTCGTATCTGAAATTGAATTTTTGATGAGCTGAGAATTCATTCGATGACAAAATGTACCTTGTAACCGCCGCGCTAGTTCATTGGTAAATAAAACATTGGCTAATTTACTATGAGAATAGGCATTCATTCTCCAATATGGTTTTGTGAAGTTGATGTCATCCCAATTGATTTGGAGTCCCCAAACTGAATTTCACGAGAGAAAATGAATGTTTTCCTCGTGGGAAAGAAGAAATGATTTACAAGCATGATTGATTGATGAGACATTGATAATCCGAGCTGATGGTGCTTTTTTCATCAAGTCCAAAAGAAGATTGGTTAGGAGAAAGTGACCGAGATGATTAACAGCAAAATGAATCTCATAACCGTCAACTGATTTTCCTGATGCCATCATAACACCTAAAGAAGCGCTCTGTTTTATCCCGAAATCATTTCGATGGTCTACTCACCGGCATTGTTGATTAAAACATCTAATTTTGTTAATCTGTCGCGTAACCGTTTAGCACACTCTCGAACTGACTGTAAGGAAGCAAGATCCAGCATTTCCATTTCAACTTTCTCACTCCCGGACAGTCGACGTATGTCTCTTAATGCTTCTTCCGTTCGTTTCCGATCCCGACACGCTAATATCACATGTGCACCTATTCCACAATAAAGACAACCATTCGACAATCTAACTTCAATGATAAAAGTCTCTCACCTCGTCTAGCTAATTCAACTGCAGCATATTTTCCAATGCCTGTATTACTTCCCGTAATCACAACCGTTTTTCCATCCATTCGATCTGACGATGGACACCGTGTACCAGAGACATAGTAGATATTCACCAAATAAAGTAAAACTATAATAAACGAGGAAAAACAACAAATGAGAACTTTCAAGCGACTGATATCTCGTCGTACACAATAAGAGCAGCTTCACGTACACATGACAATACTAGCGAGGAAAATCCACATGAGCCAAGTCATCGTGAAGAATTTATCTGAAATAAACAGAGAAGAGTTAGTTAGTCTCATCTACTGATTGATGCTGCGTTGGTATCCATCGTTGAATTTCGACTGTTTTTATCTTGACATTCTCGAGAAACTCTCCGATATTATTCGAATTTGTATCTACGTTTTCAACATGAACTAGAAGCAATACTTTCGCCGCATTCAGACATGCTCGATTTAGACCGGAGAGAAATGACCATGTCGAACTGTTGATCTGCCAAAAATTCTCAATCGAAACGCAATAAACAGCGTGATTGAGGCTTGGACCAAATTTATAGAGCACTACAAACGCGAAACAAACAATGTTCAATGAATACAAAAGCAGTTAACTCACTGTAGTCGCAACCAAATTTCAATCCACACTTGACTATCCATCCGCTACTACGAAAATAATAATAAACAGCATATTTCAATGGAAAATTATGATCTTTCAGAGTGAATCGGTGCCATAAATCATCTGGAGATAAAATCTACCATGAATTACCATAATGACATGTAATTTTTAGAGTTAACTTACTTGATTAGTTTCATCTTTGACACTCAAACAGCCAAGACCATGTTGTAAAAAGATTGTCTATCAAAAATCGAAGGTCATTTCGGAGCAGAGATAAAACAATCCTACTTCTTCAGGTAAAAGATATACACGCTCGTAAAGGACTAACTTTGCCGATGAAATCTCCATATTGTTATCTGAAATCGATTGGAATTCGAGCGGAAATGTCGACGAATAGATTCGTCTTTCTTCCAGAATATTCTGGCATGCTTGACGATTCTCTTCGCGAACTTGGTCGACAGATGACGCCAACATTTTTTGATTCAACTCTTGAAGAAATTCTTTTTCGAAGTCGGACATCGTTTCACTAAAAGTAAATTCGATCAAATCCGTTAAGAGCAGAAATTCTGAACGGCAAACTTTATTTCAGTTGATTCGACAGTTCGTAAACGATACGGTTTCTCATATCTTTTCCTGCTATTCGGAATTGTTTCTAAGAGTAACGATGGCGATGCTTGAGTAGTTGTCCGTACAAATTCACATTTACCAAAACTTCCCTGAAACCAAAGTAATGACACTTCCCGAAGAAATAGATGATTCTGTGCTTACATATCTGAAAAGTTTATCACCTTGTTCAACATCGGGTATCATAACAAGATCGTCAACAATCTTAGCTTCGTAACATGGCCAATGCTCGTCATTTTCTTCGACCTTTACTCACAAGAACGAATATCGTATGACAATCCCATCGATTCTTCTTACTCGATCAATATCATAGATAAACAATGGAAATAGTTTCAAATATTTGATTCTGTTCGCTCGAACTTTACTAAAATGGGCCGTTCGTTTCATTGAAATCTACAACAAACAAGAAAAAAGATTCGAACTCACCCATCTCCGATATCCTAAAGGGAAAAATTAAAGCGTTTAGATCAATCACTAACATACTCGCCGATTAATTTAATGCTTGAAATCGTTCTACATAAAGCAATGATGCGTAATTTCGTTTTTCGATTTGTGGTTTATCTAACTACGTCATTGACATAACTACGTCATGGTCGGAGGCAAGCTTGTATTCAAATCCGAACTGTATTTGCTTTTCAATGTTTAAACTTGTTTGATCAATGATCAATTCTGTGTTCGAGAAACAATTCATGAGTCACTTCACTATATGCAGATGATCGAACGAGCAACCAGTTAGTTGCTTAGATGTACCACACGAATGAGAACAGAAGAATACATGACTGGCACACAGCGACCTCTTAGTATGTATAGACAGTAACATAATGAACCAGCGTGGAATGCTCTATCTTGGAATTAGTTTCGAAATAACATCGATTCCAGGATTTCATGAGTATGTAATCATGCTGATCTGCAAAATTTCCGTGTAAAGGTCTCTGGGAACAATTTTTAGGTTGATTGATAAAAAGAGCATAAAATATCGATTAATGTTGTTGATTTATCTAAGATTTCTTTTCTAGGTGAAAAATAATCAATTGTTCATGTTCCTTTGAGAGATAACGCAATGAAAGGCGAGATGTGATTTTTGTTTTTCAAAAAAACGAACATCAACAAGGGATTGGATTAATCAATATGAAGAAGTTTTGTCGAGAAAATTTCTTTCGATCGACTATCTTTAACTTGTCAGGAATGTCAAAATATCCGTCGACGTCTATTTAGTTTTTTGTGTAAATAAATAAAGAACAAAAAGAATAGCCAATATACTATTAAGAAGGATAACGTTGAGAATATCGAAATGAGATTTGTTTTCCTTACACTGTTATGTTATTAGGAGAGATATATATGTCAACGCGAAGTCTTAATGAAAATTCTGTTTGTTACATTAGAAGAGCCAAAGGAATTATTCTATTTGTCTTTCTTCTCTTTTCCTACGAGTAGTGCCAGCGACTGCTGTTGTAAACAGCTAATTAACGCTGAATTACTGTTAACAAATCTGTAACGAGATGAGAAATGTATTCAATGAATTAACGAGTGGATGTTTGCTTGTCGGATATGGCGACAAGAAACGGTATAGGTACGAGAGTGTTCTCTTTGCTGTTTGCATTCGCTGAGGGAAATTAAACAATTCGTGAGTTCCTCGATTCATTCGATAGTCGAAGCGGTGAAAGTTGATCATGAGAGAGAAAATAAACATCATTCAGATATCGTTTATTTACATCAAATGAGACAAATATAATAAACAAATAGTTTCGTCCGAGATACAATCTGCTAGAGTTGACGTACAAGATTCGATTATGATAAGGTCATGTGCAAAGTTGAAGATAGAGAGAAAGATGATCTGCATTTTTTGCATATAAATCGAAAACGTGATCATCGGGACTAACACGTAAGTTTTGTAGAATTTAGAAATCGATCTATTTGTTTCGCTGAATGCATTTTGAAAACTCACGGCGAGGAAGAAAAGATATCGGTTTCTGTTCTAGATGCATACAAATCATTTATTATTTAGATGAAATATTTTTCTTTGTATACAATAACAAAAGGTGGTTCTCTCGATTCTCATGATAATATCAGCATAGAAATAAAACATTCTGCATCTTTTATTCTTCTATAGGATATTGATTCGATACTCAATGGCGTTGAGTGGAAATACAAACCTTATATGTAAGTTATACTCGTTGATTCTGATGGGAGTTTTTTTCGTCTTCTTCTTCTTCTTCTTCATGATAAATCTCAAGGATGAATTCTTTTCCTCTTTTCATATCCAACTAATTCTGTATCACAATGAACCTAAAATTGGCTAAAGAGTCCGAACGAGAAGGCTTTTCTTATTTGATTCTAGTGGGAGCTGCGCATTATCATAACCCTCAGCCTCATTCAACGTTTCATCATCAAACGTCCATACCTGAAACACCTAATCTTCACGCAATCAATCGTCTAGCCGTGTCCGATCAGTCATTTGATGATACACTTTCTTTAACGTCTCCATGTACATCATCATCGTATCCGTATCTCGATCAGTTCGCCTTACGCAATGCCTCAGTTTTCGCGATTTCAACATCGGATTATAAAGATCAAAAACTGTTCACTAGTTTGAGTCGATTGAATATGATTTCTTCAAATCCAAATGTACGCTCATCCAAAATTCAAACACCCGACGATACAAACAATAAGTCATCAGATGAAAATACCAGATCTACGTACGTCTCCAATATGACAACCATGATTCCAACGGATATTACACAAAAACAACTTCCAATCGAAATTCGTGCTCGCTGTATTTTCCTACGCGTGGGTGAAATCGATACACTCAATGAGCGATTCACCAGTGAGATCTTCTTCGAAGCCTCGTGGTATACGCGAGATCACAAACATGGATCTAAATCTGACTCTCATCCAGGTCATTTCAATCCACAATTAGTTGTCCTCAATCATATGGGAGATTCATTGAGACACGAAGTGAGTTGAGCTCTGTTTTCTTTTGTGTTGTTCAAAGATGTAGAAATGATTTTGAAAACTAGAAATGGTATTCAACTAATGCGACAGCAGAAAACGGCCTGTTAGAAGTGACTGAACATCACAAATTCAAAGGTGTTTTTTGGGAGCGAATGGAATTAAATCATTTTCCATACGATGTCCAAGAATTGTCAATATCGTTAACAACACCGTTGACTGTAAATGATATCTACTTTGTCGAGAATAAACAAAAACCTTCCGGTGTGAATCGAACTGTATTCAGTGATCAACAATCGTGGCATTTGTACGAACATGTCGAGTTCCAATTCGAACAATACCGAGAAGAATATTCTTTGAATTACGATCAAATACATCCAGTTCTTGTTTGCACCTGCCATGTTGGAAGAAAATGTGGTTATTATATTTGGTAAAGTGAACCATTGTTTTCTGAGCTGAATCATTCTCGAACGTTTTGTCTAGGAATGCATATTTTCTCATATTTCTTATTACATCCGCGGCCCTCTCAACATTTGCTATTCCACCATCAAACTCACACGGACGCTTACAGATTACTTGTACTCTTCTTCTCACATCTGTTACTTTTCGCTGGGTTGTCAACAAATCTCTGCCGTAAGTTTCGCAAAGTCACTGTCGAATTGCTTAATCAACTCGTTTTTTTCTCTCAACTAGAACAATATCCTATCTCACAGCATTAGACGGTAAGGAAAAGCAATTGCTTTACTCTTTCCAGACCTTTTCTCCTTGTTTAGTTTACGCAATCGCGTCAATCGTAGCTTTGTGTATAATCAATGTATTTCATGGCGTTGTTAGTTATATCTATTATAATCAAATTTATGTAGCCGCTTATTTAACACCCGCTGCAACCAATGCACTTCATCTGTCTCTTTATCCGGAATACTCTCTTTGTCGTTTAGATCGAATCGGTTTTTATGTCTTGTCAGGTGCATTCTGTCTGTATCAAATTTTTATCTTATTATGGACTTTTTGGAAGCCATATAAACGGCGTCGAGCAATGAAACGAAAAGACGAGAAAAATCGAGAAGATTTTTTGAATAAACTCGGTAATGGCGAATCATCCAGTGGCAAATGACGGCAGTCAGCGGAATGCTTTATTCGACTTTTCTTTTGTCAATGTCAAGGCAACTCCACATTGTACTTGTATATCAATAAATATCTGTATCGATATGAGAGACACGATGACACCTTGTCACGGGGGGCAAAGCAATCGGTTGATTGGATTAAGTGCATTCACAACTCATTCTTGTTTTGCGAAAGAATGATCGTCAAAATCAATTATATTTTCATTCATTCAAGAATAATAATAAAAAAAAAGAGAGAGAGAGAGAGAGAAAGAGAGACAAAAAAACTTTCAATAGATACATAAGAATAGTTGTAAAGATATTTAATAATACATCGATCATGTATCACATTCAAGAAAAAGAGAGGCAATATACTGTTCGATGATGATCATTACATTGAAGAAGAAGAAAAACACGAAGAGGGAAAACGAAACAACATCATTGTATGGTATTCGTTGATAGATTTGAACAAGAAAAAAAGAGACAACTGCACTGTTGCTTTTCCTTCTTAATTGTGTGTCACTGTCAATTATTTTAAAATATATTCAACATGCATATTGAGATACACCATCCTAGAACATGAGAAAGCAAATTGTCTTGACAGATGAATTGATTTCGAAAGCACACAGTTCTTACCAGTAGATAATATTAAATACAATGAAGGCAACAGGAAACAGAACTGCTGAAACAAGATCGACCTTAATTAAACAAGCAAGTGAAAGGATGAAAATATGATTTTTCACTCACAAATTGTGCACTGTCACGAACAGGTTTAGCAGCTTTTGCTAACTGTGCTGGTTGTGACAAGACAACCTGTGGTGTTTGTGAAGGTGCACTAGTATTTGACATCGTAGAATAATGAGTGTGTGAAGTGGTGGTGGTGGTAGTTCCACCACCTAGATTTCTCTCAGCACCACTTGTTTTATGAACAAGTGTTTCCATTGTTTCAGCGTTACTATGATGTGCATCATCTTTCTTGTAGAAATGCACTTGAGCAAGACGATTGCCAATAACCTTGAAGACGAATATGAATAAAAAATGAAAATTCGAAAAGGACAACAACTAGTATGAGCTAATATAGATGTAGAATGATAATGATAATGATAATATTGTGAAAATAATATATATGTACGTATATATATATATATGAATGTGTACGTGTATATGTGAGAAAAATATAAGAAGAAGCTTTAGGGAAAATAGTCTAGTGACCACTACGTAAGAAAAAAAAATTCAATTGATTTACTCTCTCAGCAGCAAAAGATGAACCATTCTGTAGTTTTTGTATCAGAGTGACTTTTGGTGGTCTGTCTGGATTTTTCCTCTATAACATATTGTCGAAATATTTGTATCATACATATAGGCTAGATGGTCAAAGCAATGACATGGCAAGATGAAGAACTTACTTCTTTGGAGAATCGAACTTGTTGTTTGAGTTCGCCTTTCCGAGCAATAACATTAACAAGTGCATATTCAAGCAGGCCAGCAAAAACGAAAACAAGACATGCTGACATCCAGACATCGATGGCTTTTATATATGACACACGTGGCAATTGTGATCGAATACCTAAACATGAGAAAAACTTGGTTACATCGAGTTCGCCTTTTGGCTTTCGACGCGGGGCGATGAGGGTCAAAGTAATAAGCAAGGTCTTTAGGCAGCAAGGTGTGTTCATATTCGGAGAGGAAATAAAACATGTCTTTCTGCCTGAAACCCATAAAAATAAGCAATGAAGCATTGTAGCTGTGTATTTGATGAACAGAAGAAGAAAGGAAGCAGTGAGCACGGTGTGAACAGGTGTAAAATGAATAGAAACGATTTGTTTTCATGACGAGTATTTGAATTTTGTGTTTTTTTTTAATAAGTTTTTCGTTACCTGAGCTTTGAGTAGTAACTGTAAGTACAGTTAAAAGACCGACTGAAATTCTCGCTGGAACCTGAATATAGTGAGTAGAAATACAAGTGTGCTAGTCGACTTGGATTGTGGGACCTTACCGACTTATGATCGATCCAGAATGAAACAAAAGAAAGAATCACAATAAGCATTGATGGAATATAAACTTGAACTATAGAAATGTACCTTGCTCGAATGCATACTCGCACAAAACAAAGTTCACTAAACTCACCAAGATAATAACCAAATAAACGTTTCAAATGAAGAACAACGAGAAGGCATGTGAAACTGCCTAGAACATCGATCGTTTAAGTGAATAAACGAGTATGAGATTTGAAAAAACTTTCTTCATTTGTGTATACTTTGCTGCTAACTCAGTCTAGGCAATAATTGAAGTGCATGGGAAGTAGTTGTGTGGTGAATTTCTCGAAAGGAAAAGTACAAACAAACGGACAAAGAGTGCAAGCAGAAAATGCGCGCGCGTGTGTGTTGATGAGCTTGGACTACTCAAGATAAAGGTTCAAGGAAGAGAGAGAGAGAGATAGTTAAAAAACAATAAGAAAGAGAAGTTTTTTTTGTACCTTCAGCCTTTGTTGTTACAGTAACAATGCTGAGTAGACTCAATAATGTTCGTGCAGGATGAGATTTATAGTCGATCCAGAATGCGATAAATGATAGAGCAACAATTAACGTTGATGGTAAATAAAGCTGTTGTAAATATAAGTTGATGTTGCGTTGGAGAGCGAGATGTACTTCGATACAAGCGAATTTTCCTACGAGTCAGTCGAGGAGAAAAGCAAACTTATTACATAAGAAAAGACATATCATGAAAAGTAACTCAAATGAAGAAAGTTTTTTTTTTCTTTTGCCTTTGTAAATCAAATTGACAAACAAAGAAATAGAAGCAAACCTGTTGCTGTCGTTCGATTACAGTATCTTGCTTCATGATTACTCAAAACAAAATCGGGCATTTCAAGATCTTCGTTGACTCGAATAGCACTGACATTTTGAGCTTCTTCCCAGAAAAAAGCCAAATCATTTGTAGCAAAGCCATCTAGAGATAAACAAATTATTTGTCAAGTACTATTAACATTCGCTTTTTAGTACGTACAACTGCCTATGTTAACTACACATGTCTGGTTATCAAGTGGGAACTTTTGTAATTTCATTTGACAATCAAGTTTAAGTAGAAGTCTACGAGAACGAATCAAGAAGCAATCGATTGATAATTGAAACATGAAAAGACAACCAACCTTTGACTATAGAGGACTTTGCCATCGCGATGAATACGAATCAACCGATTGGGCACCGTTATGTCGCTTCGTTTACCTTCTTTGGCATTCCGAAAGAATGAATCCGGTACCCAAATACGGTCAATCAGCGAATAATGTAAAGTGATTTGTGGTGATTTGGTCGCCCAATCTGTTCCAGTGTAATTCAACCTTGGATCGTACCACGACTGGCGAAAAATGAGATCTGTATTATAATCCTGCAAGTTAATCATGAAGAAATTTCGTTGACATTGTTATGCTAACCTTACCATATTAACTTCATTAATCGCTGATATGGTGTTAATATGGATCGTCATTGTTACATTACATGCTTCTATAAAGAATAAGACAAAGTAATGAATGTAGAGATCGTTTGTAAGAAAGGATTTACTTTGTTGATCGAAGAACGGTCGAATACGTCGATCGTAACGACTTGAATTGATCAGTGTGTCAAGAAATTCTTCGACTGTATTTATAGTTGCATCATGCCGTAAATAATTTGTACTAGAAACAAGCGTAAAAAGGGTTATCAAGCACTGTAAATCCAAATAGGAATGCATGTCTAGTTGACGATAAACGCGAGATGATGGCTGATGGATCGACTTTTAATAATGATGCGTAGCATCAACCAACAGAAAATGAATAATGTAAATAACTGGCAAACACGAAGAATCTTAACCAAAAATGCAAGAAGAACAGCAACATCGTCTTGTCTCATACATAGATGATGTCCGATGTTCTTGATACGTGAATATTAATACCGATGACATTTTCAACGAAGAGAATATAAATAAATAGTTGACAAACGTATGGTTGTGAAATTTAATCTATTTTTCTAGATGTTTTTTTGATGAAAAGAAACAGACAGAAGTTTTCGACGCTGTTTATCAGAGACATCAATACGCAACCTCGAAGAGAGACGACATCATCGAACAAGCTGGAGCCAACAGTAGTAGTGGGCACAAACAACTGACAAGTGGTGAAATAAAAGAGAGAGAGAGAGAGACGAAGAAAAGCGGAAGAGAAGGAACAGTCGGCGAAGAAACGACGTCTTCTATTTGTCGTCGGACAAGAACGCTAATAGTAGAAGATCTGTCTAGGGTACTTGGCTTTGATGAAATATTAAAAAAAAAGTAATTGAACAACAAATTAACTCTCGATTTGACATGTAAAGCAATGCTCTCCTAGTGTCTTTGAATAAAGCAAATTTTTATTCTACTCAATCAATCTATCTTATACATTATGTTTCCGATTCAACTCAAGGCCAATGAACAGGCAGCAGCATCAGTAGTGCTTCACATACTCTCATACACTTCCTATTGAAACAAGTTCTTTTTAATCGAATATGGACTTGAACCATATTAATTAAATGTAGACACGGCAGGAAAAGAAAAGAATGCTTTATGGAAAATTGAACAGGAATTTTTCAAATGTAATGCGCTCAGTCAGTAGGAAATTGCTTACATGAAACTTTCTCTCCTGATACGAACTAATCGATCCACTGACGAGAAGCAAAGGAGCAATCAATTTCACTACCACCCACATCTTTGTCGATCTTTCCATAGATTTCTTTATTATTTATGAAGTATGTTCATGCAAACAACTAATATTAACTCTCTTCCTATTTGTATATACGGGCAATTCGTATTCATTCTGGTTGTTACTTATTAGTTCCACTTATCAATGCACTATTACTATCTTGGTATCTAGAGAGATAGACAATGAAGTTTGATAATCTCATCTTCGCCGAAAAATCATTTAACTGTCATACTATCTCTTCTCTATATTAGTTTAGAAAAAAACATTATAAAGTAGAAAGACAATGACAGGAAAATCCCTCCGGCAAGGTGTTTTTTTTTCTATGTAGATCAATTTACTCTCGACTGATGAGGGACGACAACAAAGCGTCTATACATGTATGATCTGAATAGGGGAAAGCGCCCATCAGATACGTATTGACAAATTTGAAAGCAGTTAATTAGCAAGTTTTCCACTGTTGTTACTATGATATACACTCGAAAAGCACACAAACAAGATTTTATGCCTTAAAACGATTTTCTCTTATGCACTCGACATTTCCGCTTTTCGCTCTATTCTCGGGAGCTTGTTATTTACAAAATTTGAACTAGAAAAATTCAAAGGTAGAAGGCAAATTAGTGAGACCCACCTTTCCACGGGCTCTTCGTGGGTTTTGCTCGCCCACATCTCTTGAGATGCGACTGGTTGATATAATAGACAAGTGTTCAAGACAAGTAAAATCAAAATGTTGAGAAGAATCATTGTTGTCGATGATTAACATTGCCACTCCGAAGCTTATGTTAAGACATTCTCTAACTATTCATTACTGTTGCTGCACTGCTGCTAACAACATTATTTCTTCTATATTTCTCTCTCTACCCTTCATTCCCTTGTTTCTCCCTTTCTCGTTTCTCTATTCATAGCCACCGTAGCAAGTTTCTTTCTTTTAGTATCACTTCTATAATATGGAAAAAAAAGGATTTTTAGACGTGCGTGTCGATCAGAGCTTTGTTTTTGCTCTCCTCCATCGTTTTCTCTTCGTCTTAAATAGCTTTTCCTCTCTCTCTATCTCCCCCCTTCTCTCTCGTTTTCTTTTCTTTTTGTAACTTTCTTCTTTTTATTATACTGGAACATCAAGCTCCAAGTCAATGTACATCCACACACATTCTCTTCAGCAGTTTATAAACAAACAAAAAACTTTAAATAACGATTCCGTCGTTCTCATACAACGTTCACTTTCTTTACCGTCTTAATAAAGATTAACATTAACAATTTCTTCTGTTTAAACAAGGAAAACGATCCAGAGAGAGAGCAGACTTTGGACTCGACATTTGGGCTCTTTAACAAATGGGAAGAAGATGACGTCGACGAGAGAGAACGTAAATGAATGTAATAATCGCCTGTAGAGGAGATTGAGCGACTCATAAACAACATCTTCTATATGATTTTCCTATTCCCTCAAGGCAAATCTATTTTATACGCCTGTGCTTTCACCGTGATTAGAAAAAAAAGATAATGAGTTTCACAATATTCGATTTCTTCGACAACATGTATATGCACACAGAATAATCATTGTTGTTGTTAAACAAACGAAAGCATTTTGAAAGATAAATGAAATTTTCTTTGATCTTCATTGCTCATTCAGATTCTATTCCATAATCGAATTTCGAGTTATTGATGTTGTTCTTGCAATCACTAACCGGATGTGGAAGCTTTCTGTTTATACATTCTTGGTGTAAGATATGGCGCCCTTTTTCTTTCTTATTTTTAGTACTTTGATTAGCATAAAAATGTGTATAAAGACGTATTGAAGACTCACAATTGGTTCAATGTTAAAAAGAAAGAATGAGAAGGATGGATGTCAAGGATATATTGTGAATCTCTTGTGCATTTCTTCAGATTATCAATAGAAAGAGTATATTGGAGAGAAAACTTTTCACAAACAGATCTCTTTTGTCCGAAGATCATCGAGAAAAGGAGGTAAAGGCGGGAAGAGGAAGAAAGGATCAATGCAAACTATTCACGCTCCCATGCACACATTGACTGAATTTCTCATATAATTGTAATGAAATGTAAGTCTCATGTTAAGGTGTACTTCTTTTTATAATAATAATAAAAAAAAAAGTCGAATGATAATAGTGCATCCAGTTGCAATTGCATGTATGCTAAATGAATAAAGCTAACCAGTTAGACTTAATTGCTAGTTTGTCTAATGAGGAAGGATGGATTGCCGCTATTAGATTTCATGTTCGAATATCTTTCACTCTCTTATTAAGGATTAGTTTAAAAGAAAAAACGACAAGATAGTGTGTGTGTGTGTGTTCAATGGCGTTAAAATATCCTGTTTGCATGCATGTCATCGGCCAAGCAACAATCGTATGAAAGGAAGAAGTTTCTTTTCTCACTTTATTCTTTGTATTATGATTATTATGATTACTTTAATTTGACATCCTACCTAACACTTCAGCTAATTCTGGCAAGCAATTGTAGTTCTACTACACAGTATATCTATCGTGTAATTAGACATATAGAGAGAGAGGAAGAAGCCGATCTCGTGTTGAATTTTAATATTAACAATCATAATGATATAAGAACAAGATTAGACGAAGTGTTGCTATTATTCTCTCATTTGACTTGCGAACGAGTTATTTATGACAAGTTTCTGACATAACTTGCCGATAAAATTATCGACAGTATCAACCTTGTAAAACATTTTCTTCTTCTTCTTTTTTTTTATTCCTATTAGTTTAACTAAGCCCGCATGCCTTAGGCACACAAGAATATTTGTAAATTAGATCAAGATTTTAACCTACCGATCAGATGAAGGAGACCGGCTCGGATCGACCATTTTCCTCCAAAGTTGGTGATTTGGATGACCGTCTTCTAGATCAGGTGTGTCCGTTGCGGTCGCTCCTACCATCGTTGTTGTTGCCTTAGCAGCAGCATGTGAACAAAAAACGAAGAATTGATTGTGAATCCAGAGTGTTAACGTAAGAATCAATTGTATGAAACGCATGGCACATTACAACAGTAATAATGACTGACGATTCGTCAGCCTGGAGATGGATCATCCATCCATGTCATTGATAATGTTCGTCCATCTAATGAGTGTTTAAAGGAATTTATGTTTATATATACCGTGTAAGGAGTCGTAAAGCTAGTAGATGTGAATAAAGAGAAGGGAAGAGAGAGAGAGAGGGAGGGAGACGCATACACAGAGAGAATGAGAGAAAGAAAAATGAGAAGGAAAAACTGAGAGAGATCAGAAGAAAAAGGAAAAGAACAGAGACGAGCCGTAACGATATATCACGCATTACGTGGTAGATTTGTTATTTTTTATTTTCAGCTTTTTGTTCATTTCCACATTTCTATTCTCTCGGTTTTCTCTAGCACTCTCTTTCTCCTGTCTACATTTTTCTCCCTAGATATGTCGCGACTCATGTAGTAGAAAAGAAATAATCTTCCTTCTTCTGCTTCTTCATCTTCATCATCTTCCCCTTTTTTCTGTTGCGCCTTCTGCTATCAACGCTGTTAATGATAATAGGCGGATGGTGGTGATCCGTCTTTCTTATATAAATATAAACGTCTAGTGTCATCAAAGTATATCTTGTCTTTCTTTCTTCGTTATCGCATCGATGAGTTCATATTCTTTTACTTATTATTAATTATTCGGACAAAATATTCCATCACACGTTGGCTTTTTTATGCTCTGCCTCTCTCTCTCTCTCTTCCTTCATCCTTATCTTATTCATCATCTTAGCAAATGAATACATGAGAGATTATATTTACCATTTAATTTCCTCTCTTAATCTCGACGTAATCAATAACACAAGGGAAATTTGTCCTATTCACCAAAGTATAACAAACAAAAACCTATTGAAATAATATTCGAAAAAGAAAGATCATGACTGTCCCTCGAAAGTCAATGTAAACATTACTATGATTAATTGAAGGAGATATATCTCTTTCGGAAGGAAAAAGACAAAAAGCCGATTGTAGAGATGAATAACAAAAGGTTTTACTCTTCGATAAGCGATTGATAACTTTGGCATGTTGCCGTGGTGTTTTTCATGAAAAGATAATTAATCATCGTCGTAATGCTAAGAAAAACGAAAAACGACAAATTTATGACACTAATTCATATTGAATATGACAGAAAATGTGTTAAAGTAAGAAAAAGAAATCATTCCTAAGTCTTTGATCAAAGGACTGACGAAGAGTGTTGTGCAGCATTGCTCTGCGGGGAACGCGTCAGATAATTTCATTGCGAGAACAACGTGTGAAAAAAAGAAATCGCTTTCATTTCATTGCCGCATCATATCTCAACGATCGAAGTCAATCGTTTGTTCCGTTTCGCTGTTGCTCGTGCCTGTTGAGTTCAACGGAAATCAATAGTCGTTGCAACAGATTGAGAAGAAGCAGAGAGTTCGGATTGTTGCAATTGAAATGATAAGACGTTTTCTTCTTCTTTACAGTCAATGACAATTATATCTCGTCGAACTATGCCGTTCCAAGAAAACTTTTTTTTTTTTCATTTACCATGTTAATCATTCAGTTGAGTTGTAATTTACTAGTCGATCCCTTAGGGACTACAAACATCAAACATAGTTCGAGTGGACGATTAACATATGATTATCTCCATTCGAATGAATGTTCTAAGTATGTAATAGACAATCTTGATGTAAAGAGAAAGTCTTGTCGAGATGTTCACAAATAACTTTCACAATCATTCTAATCGAGTAGAAATTTCTATCGAAATATAACGACCTTCGCGAAACGATCATCAACCATTCTTTCTTCTCCGAACAATTTGTTGTGTCGTTCGTATGCAATCAATTGGAAGACACATCTGGTTAGTTTCAATTTCAAAGACAAACTACTGGCCAAGCTGTTTCATCTAACTTTCTCGGGTATTGACATTGAAAAGCAAGTTATATCCGGTGCTGATAATAATATTGTACTACGTTCATGTAAATAGAACAAGACTAATCTTATCCGATGTAATCTTTCATCTCCGAACTAATGTAATCCCATATTCAAATGATATCCTGTCGATAGTATCTTTAACGAAGGAGAATTCGAAGTTTCCAGATGTGAACATATTGAATCAGTTGTTTGTTTTAGGAATATTTAGCTAAGCATTTTTCAGTCAAGTTAAAAGAGAGTAGCATTCGAATTGAATATACAATATCACAAAAAGAAAAGAAAACGAGATCAGTTAGTTTTGATGTTGTTGCTCGGAGGAGTCAGTAGAGGTGGCAGTCGCATCATTATGTGTCGGTGCATGAACAGTTTGTTTTTTTATCTGCATTCGGTAGACATACGTATCCTCAGTGGATTCAACTTGACCAGAATTTAGATCGAATGATCGACCTTTTGTTGCTAATGGCGATGCAGATGGTGCAGGACTCCACCATGACATAAGGTCTAGATAAAAAAAAAATTAACTAGATGAAAGGATTCTAATCGATGAAATCTTACTTGACACTAATGGCAACTGGCGTAGAAGGCCATCCTGAGCAAGTAGTTGCAGGTTTTCATCCTCGAGATCTTTTTGAGCTTTGACAATACCTTCTTTGATTTTTTCGGCCATATCTTCGATGTATTTCAAGGAGGTTTCAATTTCCTTTCCAGCATGGGCGATTTTCTGTAACAAAATCTCCAGATCTTCACGTTTGCGGATCATACCTAAACGCAAGTAGAGCATTGAATCCAATTCATCTGAGCCGCCGCCTAGTGAAAATGCCGAATCATTGCTTTGTAATTGCCGTGCTAGTTCCGATTGAATACGATTGACTTCATACATCGATGTTTCATTCATATCAGCCCGGTTGATTGTACTTGGAATATATCGAACAGCGCCAATACCTGCCCAATTTGGTATGGGAATGGCGACCAAGTTTTCATGTTTTGCAATCGATGTTGATAGATTGACACGTGCTGCGATGGTTGCGAGAAGAATGTCAGTGAAGCGTTGAAGATCGTCGAGAAATGTTAGCATGTCATCCTGATCAATATTATCAACAAGATGTTCTAATGGTGCGAAGCGAAGTACATGGGCGGGAAGTTGATTCTTTGATTTGACACTTTGAAAATGAATACTTTTAAGTAATTCTAAATTCATCTTCGAATATTGTTGAGAGAGTTTATCGAAAAGCCAGAGAGTTAAAAGGTCGAGGTAACCAATGAAATCGTCATTGTTTTCACACTAAAAATACATAACCGAGATAATATTGTGCTCATTGTTTTCTCTTTCAAATCGATAAATAGGAAACAACTGTCTCGTGAAAATGAGTTCTAATTGAGTAATTCTATTGTCATTCATTGCACTTCAACATCGTTTCGGAATGGAAAGAATAGAACAAAAATGAGTGTCTAATTTAACAGAAACATACACAAGGCTATTGCCATTCCGAAACGACATTGGACTGTTATTTCCTCAAATCAGTGGCAAGGTCTTACTTCGCCGAATAAACCATCGGGTTGAAAACGAAAAACAACGACCGATCGCGGTAAACCATTGTCTAGCGCGTCGTCTGAGCAAATACGTGAATATGTATTGTATTCTTTTTCACATTCATCATTCAGTATTCGTATATGTTTTGTTTGTTTCAAACGCGTTAACAATAAGTCTGCCAGTTCGAATGATAACTTCATATGATGGAGAAGATTTTCATTTGAACAACGTTGACTAATCGACCAAACGCTAAGAAAACTGATCGATGGACTATGGAGAATAAATTCATCGAGTGGATGGACTTTATTTGACGAATCATTGTCTTCGGCTTGTTTTTCATTGTTCAATGGTCGAAGAAAACATGTTAAATAAGGGAGATTTTGTATACCTAACAATTTCATTATATCTATTGTTAAACTATCACACATGATGCTAACGTTGTCTTTCAATACTGGTAGTAATGCTAATGATCCTAGAAGATCGCCGATAACATGCACCCAAACGTCATATTGTTCGCAAAGAGCTTTGATCTTCTTCAGATCATCGCATCGACCTAAGAATGGTGATCCTGAAAGTAGAAGACAGCATACCGATCAAATGTGTTCTCCTGCAAATGAAATTTACCTGCATTGGCGATGACCATGAAAGGATAAGATAAAGTATCATTTGCATCGCGTTTGATCAGTTCTTCTAATTGTTGAAGGTCGATCATATCATCATGTGAATTTCGGTTTTGGACATGTTCGAATTTGATATTGGATATCGACGATGTTAAATCGAATTTCAAATTCGGCTCGAAATCCGTTGCGATATAAATAATCGCTTTTTTATATTGATCAGTTTTCAATGCATAGCGAATGACGCGCTGAAATGCTTCGGAATAATACGTTGAACAAAGAATGGTCTGACTATGAATATGAAAGAACTTTTCGCACCATTGAAGAATTTCGTTCTGATATTTTGGTAAAACCGATGTTTTGACATGATACGGAAGTGTGTCGAAGAAAGCGGCTAACTGAAATAAGACGAAGCAAATGCGTGAAAAAGATTTGTTTATGTTTTGTTTCTAGTTACCACTGCGACATCGCCAACACATTCTAAATATCGATTCCAAACAAGATGGACACATTGCCGAGCTTCTTCATCTTCATGGAGATAAGATAAACAATGGGACATAAAGTCAGTTTTCAGTCGATTGTTCAATTCAACGATTTGTTCTTCATTATCAACTGACAAAGTTTTATTTTCCATCTCGGCTTGTTCGGATGTCATCTGAAACGACGGCCTTCTATTACTTTTTGCTTTTTATTGAATGAGTGTACACATGCACCCATTTAGTTGTTCTCTTTTCTCGTGTTAGAGGTAGAGAGAGAGAGAAAATGAGGACGTGGCAACTGAGAGAAGAGCAAAGGTGACAAATACATGTGTCTCCATTGGAAGAAAAAAAAAACCTATCGTTCATACAGAGTAGACAGTCTTCTCCTACAATTTGTTATATATACGCACCAACCGTAAGAAAGAACGAATAAAAAACAATGAGTAACCTATAGAAAAGTCTATTTTACTGTTGTTCTCCTGAGCTAGAATTGAAAGAAAACAATTTAATTTATTAAGGGAAGATTTTCGAGCACATATCGGCCATTCTTAAATAATATCAATTTGATTTGATGATATTGTCGAAGACTATCCCGATGGCCAATACTGATGAGAGTCAAGTTTTTTTCGATCAAATAATTGTACATTTTCGTTTCCATCTGTGCATCAAGTGACGAGGTGATTTCATCAAGAAAAATAAGACTAAGGTTCGATGAATCAGCCGAAAGACGAAGAATCAATCGTAAAAAAGATAGACGTTGTAATTCACCGGGCGATAAGATATCTTGCCAAGGATATTTTGGACACACAAATACACTGCATTCTACACTATCGAGAATATGAGAAAGATTCCAGTCATGAAGGAGTTGTTCAATTTCTGTCTGACGCGCGATCAGTGGGACGTTCTCCACATTCGGATATTCAAGTTCATCGTGAATGGATTGATTGGTGAAATACGGACGTTGTGGAAGTAAAAAGGCACGAGATGGGTTGTAAGAAAAATCACCATGGATGTTTACCGGCCATATGGAGTGGAGAATACGGAAAAGGGAGGTTTTTCCAACTCCACTATCACCTTAAACGAGACTTTAACGTTTGAAATCAATTCTCTTCAAGTTCATACCTGTGATGAGCAATCGTTGGCCTTGATATAGAATTAAATTCAAATTTTTCATAAGAACATGTTTAGGTTTGTTTGGAATCGAATACGAAAGGTTTTTTATCGAAAGAATCTCATTCTGTTGATTGATCGGATTGATGGATTTCTCTGCCCATGTTGTATCGATATTTTTCATAAACTCAACAAATGTTTGCACACGATGTGTATTCGCAGCGATGACTGTGACGCGATCAGTTAAATCATTCAGTTGACTAAAACGGTATATCAAATACATAATCATAAACGACGTTTTACTAATCTTATCCACTAAAGCCGCCGGGGACAAATTATCGTAAAAATGAAAGACAAAGATCACTAATGCTAATAGAAGATAACTTAAAATACTTCCGATATAATCGAATAGATTCATGGATAAATTAAGGGAAAGTTCTTGGAAATTTCGGCGGTAAAGAATTGGTGTAAGACTTTGTAGAAAATAATTATCGAATCGTTTGTGTTCAAATGCTCCGCCATTGTAAAATGCAATCGATTCATTATATGTTCGCACTTGAGTGTGAAGAAAACGGAAAGTACCTTCGAAAATATTTTGAGAGAAGATTGTTCGAGACACGGCTGATAAAAAGATTTTGTTGATCGCTGTCCAAATCACAAAGTAGAGCACGATAACTAATGGACCATAGTAACCTGTTACTTCCCATGTGCGATATGTGTAGTAGACAATAGTAAATGGAGAGATAAGAACGATTGGAAGAATAACAGATAGAGATCGGCATAGAGCATCAGCATCTTGAGTTATACGTTGATCGGGATTATCAATCAATGGCTTCGTTGTGGATAATAGACGAGGAGTAGTCGGAGAAATACCATCAACAGATTCGTCATCATTGTCATCGATATCAGTACTGAAAAGAAAAGAAATAGTTCGATTGGAGATTTCATATTCAGTATAGACACATCTTTGTTTTCGATCGGTGGAATTCTTACGTTTGTACTGTCTGATTTTCATAGACGCTTGCTTGATCATGATCCGATCGATTGTGGTTCTGTTGTGTTGTATTCAATAAATGATAATATCGTTGTTTAGTGAAATAAATGGAATGTAGATAAAGAACAAGTCTCATTCGCCATTTGACATAGAGTACCGATGAGAGAAACGTTGACAAAGATTTGAAAAATGCATTTAAAATAACTAGACCGAATGCTCGAATAACTAACCAACGAAACAGAGAAAAGTTTCGTTGGTCAGGTGCTTTGATCAATTCAACATAGAATTGCGATGGAAGTAAGCCGACGAAATAGATCACAAACTGGAGACCGATCTCGTTGGCTAATAGTAGAAAAATAAGTACCAATGGATGTGCATAGATACCCTCCTTATAAGAATTTAATGAAAGACGAGAGAGTGGTAAGAAAATATGAAGAAGATGAGCAATACGTTTTGCAAATAGGTAATTAAAACTGTTTCTACCGCTCATGGTGATCTAAAACAAGCAGATGGGATGAAGAAACTGGAACATACATGCATATGTGCGTGTAATTATGTCAGGTATTCTATTAAATATATGTAAGAGAATAAAGTGCGAACTTTTAGCCGAAAAGATATGAAGAATCTGTTATTTTCTTTACTTATCTTTGTCCTTTGAATATAAAACAATAAACATTTAAAAAGACTTATGAAGATTTCATTTAGTATGATGAGACGAAAAGTTTGACATGAATAGCGATTCGGTACATCGGTAATATACCAATCAATTCTCTAGCTGAGTTGACCTCTCAGCAGATGTCATTATTGGTAAGTTACGAATCAGACCTTTTCTTCTTTCTCGCGAAAGAAACAGGACTCGTGTTTAGTTCTCATAGATTATCTGATGCTTCGTACTATTCTGACATACGACAATAACATTGAAGGTGCTGGAAATCTAAAGCGGACATGAGTGAATGTGTATATCGAGTACAAAGCCTTGAAATCTTGACTATCAACAGAAATTTATCAAGAAGATTTGTATCGTATGATGATCATGAAGTTATCTGCATACTCGTCACAGAATGTGCGTGACGGTCAAATTGTTATCATTGTACGAGTCTAAAATTAGTACGGTGTCATGGCTTGGCGTTGCTATTCGAGATAAAGTTTCAATTCTAAGACGAGCAGCAAATAGACATTAAAATCTGCCTTGTTATTATTTAAAATAAAAGTGAAGTTGAAAAAAATGTTATATTGGAAATAAACTCAAAAGAATAAGCGAAATGATTCAGAGAAAGAGAAAGAAAATGAAAAGAAGGTGACAAAAAATAATTCATTCACATCCATTGTTAGCTTTGTTGAATATAAGTACAACAAAAAAACGCTAATGGAAAGGATATTCTAATGTTTTTTGTTTTCATTGTAAATATGTCTACGAAATCTCTTTTAAACATATTTCGAGTAAGCTGCCGATTGGCTTCCATTGTTACCACCTCGACCACTTTGATTTGTGTAAGATGCACGATAGGTTGTTGTATAGGCACCTAAAAGACAAATATTTACATGTTGATCTTCTCGGATATATGTGAAAAGCAACAACACACTAACCTGGGTAATTGTAAGTTGTTGTACGATATTGTTGTGGTGGTTCAGTTTGACTTAACTGTTGTTGAGGTGCTTGTTGGTATTGATCGTAAATATTTCCGGTTGATGATGACAAGCGTGGTTGACCTGTTTGAGGACGGCGGTTGTTCAAATACTTGGAATAGTTCACGGGTAAATCGGTGATCTTGTCAACAATACGCACTTCACTGGAAAGTCAAGCGAAGAGTAGGGAAATTTGAGAAATTCGGAAAAAAAGATTTTACCCAATGGTACTTGTTGCATTGTGTGACTGAGGATCGGCACGGAATACACCTTCATCAATGATAACTTGTTCATGATGAGCTCTGGGTTGTTCGTATTCGATGATTAAATTCTTTGGTGCTCGAATTCTAAATGGTTATTCAGGAAATTCAGTCTAAATCACTCGAACTCTCCGTATACATACACTTCAGCTGGTGGTGCTCGTTCGACAATCACTGGTCGTTCTTTGGTTTCTTGATAAGGTAACCATTTTTCATAGATTACATTACGGGGCTTTGGTGGCGCAGGTGGAAGACGTTCGACGATGACCTGACGAGGTGGAGCTGGTGGTGCTGGTAAGATTTTTTCGATAATTTGTGGTTGTTGTTGAACTGGTGGTGTTGGTGGGCGTTCGCCTAATAGTATTTTAATTGAAGAGATGTTTAGAATTCCACGTCTCAATGTTTATTCTTACGGATGATAAGTGGAGGTGGTGTTGGTGGAGTTGGCGGGCGTTGTCGAATGACTACGGGTGGTTGCGGGGGTGGAGCTGGTGCTTGACGTTCCTGGAATATTTCGTATATGAAACGACGGATAAAATCAGCGGTGAAAACGTACCTTGATGATGATTGGCGCTGGTTCAGGTCCTGGTGGTGGTTCCAAGAAGCGAACATTCACTTGTTGTTTGTAGTGAATGTTTTGATCTGTTGGTTTAACAACACGAATCGGATCACTGTCCGATTGGATATGTAAATTTTCCAAGCGAGCATCAGGTGCAATAACTGAACAGCAAAGAAAACGAATAGTCGTTAAAGAATTACTTCGAAATCTTTTATACCTTCGTGAGTACGATATTCCGGACGTTGGTATTGATGACTTGGACCAGCACGAGCAAGAATTTCGTTGCCGAAACGTTCATCATGAATTACGTTTCCCGTGGCACGTAATGTTGTTGTATCAACATTACCATTACCGCTTTGCCATTGTTGTGATGTCGATACATAATTGTTACGTTGTTGGTTACTAATTAACAGGATAGAATGTTATTCATTATTCATGCTTATCGATTTTTAATAGACAAGAGTATCTACTAATTTCAAGAGCAGGAAAGCGAGAGAGGTTTGGTCTTGAATCTCTTTTTTTACCTGTTAGATGTATTACACTGACTACAACTAAATTAAAAACAGTTTGGGGATTAAAACATGACTTCTACGGTTAAGCACTGTGAGATTAGAGGATGAGCATTACTACGACTTACTTTGGATCATAAGTTGCGTCGCTATACAAAGTAAAAAGGAATTTCGTTTTCTCAGTTTAACTAATAAAAACACGCGTGCGAAGCGATTGTCCTTGAGAAACTTAGACAATACGTATGTGTGCCGATCGACTATGTTATCAACCTCTCTACTTTATTTCACCTGTCTTATCGTGATCATATCTTACCCGCCGCGTGAATTTCCATCGGTTCGGTATTTTTCAAGGAATGAATTACCATAACCATTGTGTCCCCGATTAGCAGATGTAGCCATTGGTGATAGATTTCAACAACAGTAGCCTTCTATCTGAAAGAGTACGTTTGCCTTTGAATAATGTTATATCCAAATGATTTTATAAAAAGTCGCGAATACAACCAATGTTGGTAAAAGTGTTGTGGGGACTGCAATTGGTTGCTATTCAACGAAAGCATCGTTTGGAGTTTATACGGTTACTAGGCGCCGGCCTCTATTAATTTTTCAACTTTGCTACACTTTATGTCGGATTTCTTTCGTTACTAGGCAATGAAGAGGCGAGTAGCGTTTCTCTTGGTTTCCTTTTCTTTTTTCACAATTTAATTTTCAATCGAATTTTTCTTTCTCATGTGCAACCATACAGAAAGGAGAGAAGAGATCATAATTACCTTTTCTTTTTCTTGTCAAACGACGATTAAAAACGTCTCTGGCGATAGTGACAGCAAGGAAACTACAAGAGAAAGAAGAAATGTTGCTGAGCAACATCGCATACCTACTACTGTGCTGTAACTAGATACAAAATGTGAACTTGAACATATTCTCTTACGACAAATATAGAGAGAACAAAAAAAGTGCAGCGACAGAGAAAAACAATGAAATGGTTTTATTAAAACTGAATGGCGAAACTACTATTTTTAACTTCAATGACTTTATTACACTCGATGATCTTGTGATGTCTTCTTTATATGACATTAGTTGAGAAAATTATAGTAATTTCAAACAATTTATAATTTATTTATTGTTTCTAAGTAAAGTAAATGGTACAAGCAAAAAAATACTATATAAATATAAGCATACTTTGTTCACCGAAGAATATTATTTACTTTATATTTGACCAACAAGAATAGCCAAAGTCAATGCTAATCCCAATGCTACTAAGATATGAATAACGAGTAGGATAATCTTGATACGATCTCTTGTTGGATTATTTTCGATTTCTTTTGTTTCATCCGGCGGGACCGCGTGTCCATTTGTATTGCTTAAATCATAGGAATTTGTAGCTTTTTGCCTTGATTCTTGCCGTTTAAAGTAGAATTCTACAAATTGAAATGAACTAAATATCACTGGTAGCCAGAGTGTCCATGCTAATACAATGCCCCATCGTTTATTGCCATCAGGATTAATTGCGGATAGAAACATTCCAATAAATATTGCCACAACTGAAAGAGTGAATGCCAGAAAACCAACAGCTGCATGGACATAGTTAAAAATAAAACGATATTGTGCGTCCGGCGCACAACGAAATAGTGCCATGATGGGTTGAACAATAGCGAAACAAATAACAAGTATCCCAACGATTGAATGAGCAAATTCTCGTGTTTCATTTCGCGGTATCCATTGTCCGCTTTCAAAAACAAGAATAAGAACGAAAGCAATTATTGTCAAGATCGCCACACTAATCATAACAGCACGATGGATCGCGAACCACACGGCTTTACCACATATTTTTCTTTCTGGCCATACTGTTTTGAAATAGCGAGCGATAAGGACACCTGTTGAAACAAATAGTATCCAAGTAAAGATCATAATGATGCCATGTGCTTTCATTAGGGAAGTATTGCTGGAATCATCACTGTCAGCATTGTAACTAAACGATGCTGCTTGATTCAGTTGAACAGTTTGCGAAAGTGGTGTACGCGATGTGTGTTGGATCAAATTATCTATAAATAAGTAGATCGAATGCTTTATTTTTCGACTTTATTCATCGACTTACTCGAACTATCTAAATTTCCGATGGCTATCAATGGATAGTAAGATGTTGTTTGAGAAAGTGAAGCTATTGCACATCGGCGACGTTTGGAAGATGTAAAACCCGAAAGAGTAAATTCACAAGAAACCACACCATTCTCAACCTTCTGTGTTGTACTATTAAACACACCACCTGTGCCTCCCAAAACGGGTGGAGAGTAACCACCTGAGTTTATACGACGTTCTACTACCACATTGTATGTCGACAAATATTTACAAACAAAAACATGATCTTCACCCTATACAAAATCGAAATTGGCATTCATGGAATTTCTTTCTATTCTTTTTCTTTTACCATATCTTGATCAAGTGACAGACCGAATGCACACCACTGTGATGCTTGTAAATTAGTAATTTGCATTTTCACTGAAGTTACGCCAGATGTGTACGTCCAATTGACAGCAACCTGGACGCCAACAATCTGTTGGACAGTAGTTGTAGTAATAGTAGTTGAGGTAACAGTAGTTGAAGCACCAGCAGTCGTGGAACTTGCTGCTACCTATGACATAGCAAAATAGTTGTATATTAGAATGATGAAAAAAGAAACAGTTATACGAACAGTTGTTGCATTTGTAGATGTATTCGCCTAAAAAAGTATTCGAATCAAAATTCTTATTTCAAGCAAAATTCAATTCGCTCTCGTACTTGCTTGGCAGTTAATGTCACATTAAAGCAATTGACAAAAAACGTTGTATATACATTAACAATCGTTGCTCTAGAGTCGTTGTTAAACGTCTGATTGTTTAGAGTAACTCACAAGAAAAAATTCGCTTTACTTTATCACTGTTGTCGTCTCAGTGATAGTCGATGGTGGAGTCCAGATAGCTTGTACCGACGTTTTATCAGTTTTAGAATTATGAGTTATAGCTGAATTTGTAACACTATTACAAGTCAGTGCTTGAGTTGTTGAACTGACGACTGTCCAAGTTCCGATAATTTGATTACCATTTAGTGTTCTCGCTTGCAATAAAATTCCTCGAAATGTATTACTGCCTGTTGCACCGCTCACAGTAACTAGACGACAAGGTGCACTGCAATAATACCGATATTTTCTAATAAAGCAATCACTTACTAAGTACAGTATCAGTTGGGTAATATTGCGTTTTATCCGTTTGAATTGTGTAGATCGCTGAACATGATTGTGCAGTATTAGGTGTGTGACCGGGTGTCATTGTTGAACAAGCATCCGTGGGCGCTCCAGTTGAATGATTGTTCCCATATTTAGTACAAATTAAAATGAAAACAAGTAGTTGATAAGTAAATAATTCCATCTGAAAATACGTAAAAAAGACTCTTAGGCTTTTTCACTCAGCACGACGAAAAGAAATTTCCTAATCGATTCGATTCATTGCCACTAGCTCCATTTAAAAGGAAATTTGTTTTTATTACTCATCCGAGCACTTAGCTTTCTATGACATGTTTGGTAAAAAGTACATTTCACCATAGCTTGATAAAAAACAGCATCTCTCAATGATGTTCGTTTACTTGACAGTCAAGTAATATGCGTCGTCATACACAGACTTTCCCTCTATTCATTGTGCACAATACACTCCGTCATTCATGATCCATTAATATATCTTTTTCTTTTCTACAAGTTTTTACCTTGAAAAGTTGTTTTTTGTTCGTAGTATTCCTGTGTTTGTCCCTTATGATGATTGAATATTCATTTATAACGCTATTCCTATGACTCATAACGTTAAGCAACATTGAGTAATCATACCAGGCGTTTTTGAGCTGCAGAAATAAAGAAAATGTCACGGTTGTTTACCTTGAAACACTGGGATTCGATCGCATCCTGCAGTGAGGTAACTAGTTACGTGGGTTTTGATTTGGGTTTATACGATCTGATTACCAGGCCTCCTTATATGAAGAAAAGTTTTCATATGCTTTTTTTTTCTTTTATTTTTCTTGCCTCACGAAGCGAAACTAACCTGAAAAAGTTAAAAAGCAACCAATGAGAAAAATACCTGTTTTCAATAGTAACTGGCAAGCGTATGTCAATCTTCCCTTTAGTGTGATACTTCTCACAAAAATTTCTTCTAAAAACTTAATTATCTAAAGAATAAAAGTTTTTAAGAAAAGGTAGCTTCTGTTCTTTATAAAATATTCTCCTGAATGTTATCATCACGTTCAAAAACGCGTGTGTGTTAAGCGTTGCTATCTTTTTAAAATTCAATTCTTGTAATGTATCCATTGCAATGAGTATTTCAAGTCGTTAACGCAATCATGAAAATAAGCAAAACAGGAGATATGTTTTGTGTTGACATGTACTATAAGAGCTGACTCTTTCGAAAAGATGTCAAATGAAAAATGATTAACGACAAGAATGACGAGAGAAAACATAAAATTGTGTTTACATACCTCAGGTGAAAAAATATCAAATAGAATTTTATGTTAATTTCTTGCACTGACACCAACCGGTTTATTTGAATACTTAAATGAAAGTCATAATGGAATAGCAGCAAGTTGAGCTTCCCTTATTGACATCACAATTCTTTGTAACGAAGGATATTGGAGAAATGTTCACAAGTCCAGTTAGTCAATGGTCGAAAGCCGAATATTTTCGCACGCTCTCCAGTCTTCGTTCCGCGCGCTTCTCTGCACCGCATGCTCAGATTCCCAGCTGCTCTAATCTGACATCTCCTTCAATTTCCGCTAATAAAAATGTCATCACAGAGACAAATCATTCTTCATTACATCCATCGCTGGAGAAATCGTATGATGCAGCAATACGCTCAACTGATGGCGATAATAAACAAAAGCTGACCTTGGAAATCTGGTTGCCCAACACACAGCCTCACAAAGACGATGAAAATGTTCATCAAACAACAACAACGAAAGTTGATGTTGTCGAAACTCTACCAATTCTCACTAATCCTGTACAGTCGACACCACTGGTTGCATCGCATCAGGAACGAACTAGTTGTTATCCAACAATATCATCATATTACAATGAAGAGACTCATACTTTCAAGATTGTAGAAAAATTGATGCCTTCAAACCCTTCTCCAGTCGTTACACCGAGCTTGAACAATTCAAAACCGATTAGTTCTTTTCTACGAAAATACTCTTCGAAGAGAAAGGCTGATCCTCCTCCCATGATGAGTATATATCTGCAAATTATTACTTGAAGTCGAGAGAATGCATGTCTACTCCTTTTCTTAGATATTTCAAAACAAATTCAATTACCAATCCTGCCTGACAAAGCGCCAATACACGTTTCGCGACCATCATCAGTGATTCGTCAAGCGAACACAAGCACAACATTTCTTGCACGCTGTCCCTCATCTATTAACTCATCTCACACGGATCTTCAGCCTCAACTACGTGTATTTTCTCTGACAAATCAACAACCTTCATCTATTTTCCTAACGAGTCTGTCTAACAAAAAAACTAATGAAACATTTCACCCACTAAGACGTAGTCGAACGTTTGAAACACTCTTCGATTACACCACCTCTGTTCGCGTACCATCATTTAATGAAACCTTGGAGCCAATCCTTTCTCTTACATCGAAACGAATGTCGTTTACCTTTCGTGCGAAACAATAATCACTTTTATTCGTTTACGTCTACAATTTATATGGTTTATTCGTTTTGGTTCCTTTCTTTTCTTTTCTTTTCTTTTCACAACATCTACACAGACACAGACATAGAAACAAGTAGAATCGAAGACACATATACACAAACCAAGTAAAAAAACCTGTACACAACATATTTTGTTTATCCGAAACTGAGAAAATAAGTGAATTTAGTTGAGAGAAAACCCTGAGAGTTAGCACGAACAAAAAAAAAACGTCCACACATCTAATTGAGAATATCGATCATATCGAGTAAAGTTGGTACATCAACAAGAGTACACACAGGTGATTGACAGCGAATTGTATTCTCCAAACCACCATAATAAGAAAACATATTCACACCATTCGTTTGTTTCATAATCATATGTTCAATACGTTCGTCCATTGGAATAAGATCATCAAATGTATCTTGATTTGAATGATTCACATGTGGAAGATCATCTTCCGGATGAGAAGGTGCCGTTTTCGAGATTGGCTCTTCTTGTTTAGTATTCACATTCTTTAGTGCATTCATTCGGGTGAAATCATCACTTGAGACAACGCGAGATATATGATTACTATTGTGATTGACTAAACCTAAAGCGCGACGACGTTGAGTTGAAACAGGTGTATCAAATTTGCTCTTATTAAAACGAATTGGTGTCGTTGTGGATTCTGAACACATTTGTAGATCATTCATACTTGTTGCATTAACAAATTTCAAGTGTTTATTGGGATTATTATTGGAATAAGAGGCTAAGTCGTTCAATGTTGCCGAGGATAACATACCATTACGTACTGAAAGTTAATTCGTTTGATTTGATTTACTAACTTCTTTCCGAGATGTGACTTACTTGGTGTTCGTAATGGATTACGAAGTGGTGTTTTGAATAAAGAAAAATCGCAACCATTCTCTTTTGTTCTTGCCGCTGCTGTCGTCGTCATTCTGTGTTTTCAACTATTATCTAAATAACGCTCAATCTAAAACAATAAAATCGTCTCGATCAACATCCAAGTTCATACTCATATTCAAACGAGCATAGAGAAAAAAATCTAGTTAGTTTCGAAATGATTTACAGTTCTTCTTAGTATGAAATTTAGATTAATAGAAAATAACTGTTTGTCTAACGAAATTTACAAGCATAATATGTTCAATCTCGTTTCTTTAATGAAAAATACAATAGTTGGGTATTACAAGTAATCCTTAGACATAGATACACACACACACTCTCTCAAGAAATCTTTTTAGTTATTTCATCGGTAATTCCCGTTGATCTAGTGATTCATGGGATCTGGCTGCGGCGAAGGGCCGGTGGCATCGGAATTTTGTGTTGTTGGAACTGTTCCTGCTTGTGCTTCGATGGCTTCTGGAGCGTTGATGCCTTCACCAGGTGGGTCGTATGAAATGTGAAATAATTCTCGAACTTCAGTTGATGATTTTCCACGAACCATATTGGCAATTGTTTTACAACCAACAGCTAACAATGTTTTGATACCTAAGTAGTTAGCCGCCTATACGAAAAACAAAGATGAACTCGTTATTGCAGAGCAAACTTCAAGTTTGAACGTACCATGATAACATCGAATAGTGTACCTTCGGAGACGGTGAATTGTTTGATAAAGTTTTGGTCCCATTCGCTGATGTCGTCGGAACTAAGAAGAAAACCAATGTTCACATATGTCCTAGGTAAGGTCGAAATTTAGTACCGTTTTGGTTCATAGATATCTTTGTTTGGGTCGTCATCCTCCTCTTCTTCAGCTGATTCTGGCGTTTGATCGTTTTTGTGATGGTTGCAATATTCAACGATCTAAAGCACGATTGAAACGAGCATTGACACGAAAATCAATTGAGAAATCAATACGAACTGGGCCCAGGATGGATGCTTTCACGTTAGGTAGAGGAATAGGTACATCGCCAACATCCACCACTGAAACAGTCAATCATTGAAATTAACACTTCCTTGGAAAAAAAGAAATATTTACTAACATTCAGCCAACGTTTTTATAGTTGATGACTGCTCGACTACGCCTTGATCGATTTCGAAAATTTGGTCGTCATTTGACTTGATTTTGATTATTCTCGACGGTGCATTTTCCGCAGCATTTGTGGCATTAGTCGATGCATTAACGTCAGTAGTCGTTGCCATATCTTCTATTTAGTCTACAATAGAATAGTGAAAGAATACGAGACGTGACGCTTCTTTTATAAGCATTTGGCTTTTTCCGCTGAGTCAAATTAAAAGAAGGTGACGAAGAAAACGGACTCATACGTCGAAAGAAAAGACAAAGACATGGACATACTTACTCGTTATTGATGAAATTACAAAAGGAAGAAGCCCGTTTAGCGAAAAAAGGTAATGACTCAAAAACAAATAGGACTGATGAAAGAAACCGTGCAACGCAGTGTACATTTAAATATAATAAGCATTCATAGTCGAAACAAAGCGTATACCGTGGCCCTGTGAAATAGACGAATGATATTGTCGTATAGTATGATTTATTTCTTTATCTCTTCTTTAACCAAATATAGCAACATAATCGACGAGAAAAGTCACATAAAAGCAAGGCAAACATTGGAAGAATTGCGAGCCGTGGCTTTATAAAAATACTTAACAGAGAAAAACAACTATATATTTTTGCGCAATAGATGGCGCTAGACAGCATCATGACCTTCAACAGATGCTATATCAAGGAGACCGTCGGAAGGAAAGTCAGTCGGAGACACCCTTCAGGAGTTCAAACCGAAAGAGTCTTCTAGAGAAACGAAGCATGAACGAGAGGCCGTATGTCTTTGAGTGAACGTCGCCCGATCGAATATCCGTCGTGTTTACTTTTCGTATCCATAAATAAAATGTACACGTTATTTTAATCGGTGACAGAAGAAAACAATAGACATACAAGAAAAGATTCATTCACTGTCTTACAAATATGAGGCGAAACAATAAATCGTTATTTTTATTCTTTCGCTTAGTTCCATCGAGAGAAAAGACAAGTAGAAGGAATAAAACGAGACTATTTTACAAAAAAATAAAATAAAATCCAAAACGAATAAAAAGTTTGTTATGTTGAAATAAATCGTTAAGGAATGTATTTATATATGTAGATGCGAAAGAGTTTGGATCGAGCGAATCTGTCATGAAACATCAGCGTTGAATCGTCGTTGAATGGATACGGGAGTTTTGGGTACGCCGAAATTGATCGACAGACCGAGTAAATCGTCTTGAGGATTACGAATTAAACATGGCTCTGATTGTGAACGTTGTGTACGTGGAAATATGAATTCAAATTTTGATAAAACATCATCAATCTAAGATAAAAAGCACAAGTTTTATCTGCACAAATATTTTATATGAAAGTGTACTTCAGGTGCAAAATCCGGCCGTTGTTCTCGGTCAAATTCTGTGCATTGACGTATTAAATCTGTTATTGCTTCCGGTGTATCATCACGACATTGATCAACTTTGATTTTCAATTTACCTTTGCCAACAAGCCACATTATCTAAAGACGAAAATGATCTCAAGGTCGTTTCTCGGTACAACTAACCTGTTCTTTGTTATTGATTGGTGCGTGCGGTAGTTTTCCGCTAAACATTTCAAATAAAACACATCCGTACGCATATACATCCGAGCTAGTTGAGTAACAATTGGGATCTTTCTGTTGAATAACTTCAGGCGCCTACGAAACAAAGCAGTTAAAGTAAAAAAACTATCTCGAAGAACAAAATAGAATTTACCATCCATAAAACTGAACCCGTAGGTTGAAATTGTTGATTAACACCTTCGGCAAGAACGGTTTTAACAGCTGCCAAGCCAAAATCACCAATCTTAACACGCCAACAAACACCCGCATCGTCAGGTTCAGCACACATATCAAGAAAGACGTTGCTCGACTTCAGATCTCGATGGATAATGCCGCGATCATGTAGATATCTATGGAAAACATTGTCCGGTTCTGTCTATAATGAACTTGCTTCATAGTACTTACGACATTCCTTGACAAATTTGTCGAGCAATATCAATGAGTTGATTGATTTTCCAATGCCGATCGAGAATGTGAATATGTTTGTACAATGTTGAGCCCTTGCCAATGAAAAGTCATCAAACAAACGTGAGAAGAAAAGGCTTCATCTCAATCTTACATCACACCATTGTGTTACAATGGCGAAACGAGGTGAAACGATATATCCATAGAAGTTCAATGTATTCTGATGTGTAATTTTTCTAAATAATACCCGTATGTAATGTCGAATATGTGTCAGCGAAACGGAGATACAAACTTTAATGCAAAAACTTCATTACGAAATGCTTGAAATTGACTCGGAGTCGGTGACACGAAATTCAATTCTTTCAAGGCCACATCACCTATTTCGAAAAACATTCAATGATGATCAGACATCTCCCTCCAATTTAGTATCACTTCCTACCATGTAATCTCACTTGAGCTTTATATACAGTTCCATAAGTACCTTTACCAACCATTCGGCCATGGTCAAGTAAATCTTCCGGTCGAATTTTCCATTCACTGACATATTTCTAGCGAACGAATGAACATGAATATTGTTGTTTCTGTTAAGCAAAAAATAGGAAAATCACACTTACAGGCGAGGCTTTCTTTGCGTCCGCGAGAATGTCACTATTTGGCTTGATCAAACTCGGTCGAAGCTTCTCCGGATTAGTTACAATCGATCCATTGACTACTACAATGAATAAGAAAAGAAATGGTTAAAAATTTGTTTTACGGATGTAAATTGTAAGTGACAATGAAAACAAGAAGAAGACGAAGAAGAAGAAGAAAGAAAATCATAAAGAAGGTGATGATCGATGTCAATCAGTGTAGCTAATCAAATCACGTTCGGAAGTCTTACTCAGTAATAACTGAGGAATGTGAAGTATGGGTGATTCGGTTGATGGCAATGATAATGACAGAAGTGTTGTAGACGGTTGAAAAAGTGTGTTCGATGATGGTGATGACGATATGTTGATCGTCGACAGAGTAGTAGTTGGACAGGTGCCAACATTTGATGCTGTTGTTGTTGGGAGTGAATCTTGACTAATGTCCTTTTGTGGACCTGTCAAGGTACAAATGGGTTTATTGTAGGAGGGAAAAACGGGAGGGAAAGCATGTGAAAGAAAACAAAATAGAAACCATGAGAAATCGAATGCACTTCTTTTCATCGAAATAAAGCCAAAACTGCATAGATCTACCTACGCCGCATATGCAGCTATATCTGCAAAGACGGCCAAATATGGAATATGGATGGATAGAGAGAGAGAGAAACGAAATCAAAGTCACAAAGAATCGAATGCATCGTACATACCGACTACTTGGTTTGTTGCAATGCCTTGTCTCTATAAGAAGACGAAGAATAAAAGTTTCCAATGTATTTTTCACGGTTATTTCTTACGGGTAGTGGAATTCGTGGCAAGCTACGTGATTGTTCCTTATTTCGTGCTTGAACATTTGGTCGATCGGCGTTAAAACGATCAGGACCAAGATGTTTAATATGTCTACGATAAAGATCAATTTAAAAGAACATCGAAACCATCAATAGATTGACAACATACTGAAGAATCGGATGAGAACAAACAGGTGCTTTGATACAACACTGATTATGATAAGTATTTCCACATGAAACACAACGTTTATACATTTCACGAATACGATGATGACAAAACACACAACGTACACCCATAAATGCGCGAAAACGGGGTGTTGGAAGCGTTTCCTAGATGAACACATAGACGAAAAGCTGGACGACACATAGACAAGATATATCCGAAAGCAGACAACAAATTAAATACCGATAGAAATCTCGTCTAACAATGGTACATATATGTAATTTATGTATACATCGAGTGTGTATACGAGAGCCACACACAAGACATCGAAGTCCTTGCAAGAGGATTTTATGACAACTGTCACAATAGGTTAGAGTAAAAAATCTTTTTCGTATCTACAGAAACGAAAAGAGATTTTGTCGATACAAATCTTTTCGATGCATTTTCCACACTCAGAATAGAGTACTTACGAATGAATGATCAAAATTTGGTTTTTCTTCGAGTTCGATTTCCGTTTCTTGCAGACGATCGAGAGTGATATCCCAAGGGCATGGTTGTCTATGCACATATGTTGATTTTAGTCCGAAAAAACGAGTAAGTTTTATGAAATACCTGGATATCATATAGACTGGCGTATATGCACGTATATTAGTCACCGAATGTCTTGAAGCGCGTAATTGAAGTGCCGTTTCAAGTGTTTCATCAGTACGTGGCGCAAGCTAGAAAATTCAAAGTGATGGAAATAAATATAGAAACTAATTGATTTACCGCAGTTGTGTGTTTATTAGGAAAATGAACACGGATAAAGTTGTTTGACATCATAGTTGGACTACGCGGTCGTTGAGTTGAGTGATGCTCGTTGGCTGTTGAATGTTCATTGTGAGAATTATCTTTTGAGTTCGAATATGTTGAAGAAATGGATGATGTATGCTGATGATGAGATTTTTCCGATGGAGACGAACGGGGAGAGTGGGACATGGTGGGAGAATATTGTAATTGTTGTTGAAATTGACTATGCATTGTCGAAACATCATTAAATGATGACGAATGAGGGAGATTTGTATCGATTGTTTGACCTTGAAGTTCACGAAGATATTCCGTTAGTGTATCTCGCGCTTTTGTTAATGTATCAATTCGATCAGTTAATCTTTGAAATTCCTGAAAGGAGCAATATTAAACGTGCGAAGTTTTCATCAGTTAAATCGAGTTACCTGCATATAGAATGAGGGTCGTGTTTCACGAAACGCTAGGTTGTAATTATTCACATCTGTTGTCAAATGTTTGAGCAGTTTGAGAAAATCATCAAGTATCTGTTGACTTTTTTCAACATTTCGACATTGTTTGGCTTCTTCGATCTTATCAAATATCTTGCGATGGAAACTATCTTCTTGATTGTTTGATTCATGCAGCTGATTATAAGAATCCATAGGAACCGTGCTGCTGTTGCCGCTTGTTGCACGATTCGCTTGAAGAACCATAGCCATCCAAACAATGCTCCTCTACGGTCTGGTCACCTGAATCCACGCAAACAAAAGCAGAAATAACTCTTTAGTTTTCTAAAAATAAAAAAATCCTACCGTTTGAAGCAAACTATCATTTATATGTGTATCTAAAATAGAACAACAGTATCGCGTAACATATGGCAGGAACAACAGATCAAGCATTGAACGATAAAATAATAGAATATTCTTCTTCTACCAGTTCTCTCTCCTGTCGCAGTGCAAGTTCATGACAGGCAAAAGTACATGAGACTGACGTTCACAGAAATTACAAAAGTAAACGACATAAATATGTTCCTGATACTTTGCAAACGAAGAAAACAAAACAATGTCTGACGTCGTAATCGAACTATCAATAAAGTCTACTTACTTGAATTTCCTTACTCCTCTGTGTGAACAAGTGTAATAAGTGCCTGAAGTTGTCGACAAAGTTGTTTTTTTTTCTCTACTCTAATGTAAGCCTGTCAGTTTTTTCTCTTCTTGAAAAGGATGAGAATACGTAAGTAACAATTGCTAATTAATAATTCATTATTATATTGAAGAAAAAAACAACATTCATGCATACATTTGTCTTTCTCTAACGAAGAAAGTCTAAATACTTGAGAAAATAACATCGAATCTTTGTGAAAACATCTCGTAAGAAGATCAATGGAAGGCCGTCGTTAAAAAAAAAGATTCATCCAAATTTGCTTGTCATGAAATATACAAGCGGTTATTTCTTTTCTTTTTCAGCACGCTCTACTCTCTTTTTCTCATCAAACAACTACTAATAGCGTACTGATGTTTTTTCGTTCTTTTCGAAAATATAAACGACAATTTTTCTTTCCTCCATACTCTATATTTTCTCCTATGATAATTGTACAACATACTCGGCAATATCGGACTGACACGTGACTGACGAACATTTAGTTACTGAAAGGTTGGAGTAATGACCTGTCAGCCATCCAGGGGTACTCAAAAGATGTTATTGTTCTATCCTTTCGAATGAATCATAGACGTACGGAGCCAACACAGTGTCTCGGCAAAGTTGTTTTATGTCTTGAAAACTGATTTATATTTTAACTAATTAAAAATAAAGGAAACTTTCTAAGGCGATTTGAGCTCATTTCCGATAAGTTAATAACATGTTATTCAACGATTAGAAATCAAACTATCTCCCGCAAGAAGAGCAATATCCAGTGAAAACTTACGGTTGATTAGACATTTACAATAAGAAAAACGAAAAAGGAAAGTAGGGATCTAGTCATGATTTTCTCAACTGGTGCTTCAGTTAATTAATTATAAGCTCACGGATGAGGAAAAAATAATAATAACAACAACAACAACAACATAGACAGCATAACAACACTATTCTTCAATGATTGATTAGTTTAAAAAGAGACACCAATCGGAATGGAAAGAGTCTAGAGGTCGTGAGTGAATCAAACGAAGGAGAGTCGAGGAACCAGTCTTTTCGGTGAAAGTGACTTACATAAATTGTTGCGAGCAGCAGTTGTTTGAAAGTCGACACTGGTAGAAACGGTTACAAAGTAATCGATAGCTATATCTCAGCACAAGATAGTATTTAATTTGCTCGCTTTTTTCTAATCTGTTTTAATCGAATGGTTAGTTTCTTTTTTTTCTATATGATAAGGATTAGACGGGAAGCCAGTGAAAAAAAACTGATATTTCTTTCTGAGAATATATATGTTGTTTTCGAACGATATGCGATAAGAGAAGAAATAGTAGATCAGATCGTTAATTTATTTTTATGAAATGATGATTCAGGATTATGGAAATAACCATTTGATAGCTGTAGGAAATTCACGTCTCCAAAACCATTCTTGGTGTTGACCGTCAGCAGCAACGACAAGTTTTAACTTAGTTGGATTTTGTTTATACTCAACGGTTGTATTTTGCAAAACGTTGATCATTCGTTGCATATTACTAACCATTGTTGAACTCTCCAATTGACCTCCGACAAAATAAAGTCGTGGCGGAGAATTTCGGAACGTATGCTTTGCAACATAAGTGTAAATATCATCAGAAAACCAGAATGATGGACTGAATATACCAATCAATCCAAAGATATCTTCATGTCGAATACCGGCATAGAAACTACACAGACCACCAAGTGAACTACCTAGGATAGCAGTATTCTCACGTTCGGGTTTCGTTCGAAAGTGGCTGTTGATATACGGACGAAGTTTGTCTACAATGAAATCCAAATAAAGATTTGCTTGGCCGCCACCGTAGTTTGCATTTGAGTATGGTGTTAATTCATTCAAACGTTCGGAGCCTCCATTGTCAATACCGACAACGATCATTTCTTGGGAGAGATTATCTAAACTTTCGTCTACACCCCATTCACCTGAAAATGATGTGCTGGCATCGAACAAGTTTTGAGCATCATGCGCGTAAACCACTGGATAGCGTCGATTGAGATCAGTGGAATAACTTCGAGGAAGATAAATCCAGATACGACGTGTGCGTGGAAGATGATTCCACATGGAAAAGTTCGAATCTAAGATGTAAACTTGATTCGTAGCAGTGTGAACACGGCCAGCTGTATCCGACCATTGTTCAATAGAAACATCAATTGACTGAGGATTGTTTGACTAAACATGAAATAGAAAATCCTATCAATGGTTATTCGATATCAAAATAAAAATATTTGAAAAATGATTAGAACTAGATGACCTCGATCGGGGCACATTTTCACATACTGTAGTTAACTTTCGATTCGCTCGTGCTGTTCCATCTCCCCAGGTTTCAGCTGTCGACCAACTTCCTCTTGTTATCTTGAATTCCACTGTAGTCGATTGCGGCAGATCAATTGTTAACGATTTCGTAATACTATTGAATTCATATCGTTGATCATTCGGTATCCATTGATTAAATGATCCAGCTAAGAAAATCTTATCATTTAATGGCGTAAAGAATCTCGGTAGCTGTTTCAAATTGAATCGAACAGTTACACAGTGAAGAGAGTTGAAAACTAAAGTATTGGAGACATTCTACTGCAAAGCTATCGAACGATGACTTACGTGCGCATAGGACAATGATGATTCGAAACATTCTCCGTTGATATTTCGTATCAAAATAGAACTAATCCTTGGTTTTACATGCAATATATATACTTTTTTATTTTTGTTATTCATTTGATAATGGAAGAGAGAAAGGAAACAGAAGAACAGAAAACACGAGTTGATCATCTGTTAAGGATTCGTTTTCTATTGTTTAGGATAACAGATTAGACATTGTTTGTGTTTGATAAATAGAAAGAAAGGAAAAGGAGAAGAAGAAAAAAAAAGCAGAAGTCTAATTGATTAGATATGCTATTCAATAGAGAATTGATCTCGATATACTAGAGAAATGAATAAAGTAGGTAAAGAGATAAACATACACCTGAGTAACATTGTTGGCTCTTTGATTTTACAAATACAAGAATATATACACATGAACTCGATAGATAGCCGTCGGCGTGTGTGCGAGCGCGAGAGATAGATGAGTTCGTTTTTAAAGGATCTCTTCACTTGAATCCATCGGTTGAATATCTTGAAGTGAACTTTGAGATTGCATTTGACTATTATCATCTTCAGTTACTGACGAAGCGATGTCTTCCATGCCTAGCAGAAGATCTTCATCTTTCGAATAGAGTTTATCGGCATTTTCTTTCAACTGATTGTTAGCACCTAGGAAAAATAAACAGGACTATCGTATGAAACTGGTCGATGACAGACAACTTTGTTTTACCTTTAGGGTCAAGATCCATACTCCATGACATGTACATATATGAGTAATGGAAGTTCTTCAAATGTCGATGAACCTGAACGAATTAGCATGAATGAAAACCTTTTGAATCAAAACTTCGCTTACTTTACTAAGTAAATAGTAAACAAGTGACTCTTTCGGCGCAATTTGCCGCAATTCTTCAAGTTCACTCAATGCTTCGTGATACCGCTCGAGGTGTAATAGAAGGCCAGCTCTAAAAAACAAAAAAAATCCTCGAATAAATCATTCTTTCCTAGAAAGTATTTTACTCACTTGTGAAATTTACACAGCGCATTTTTCGAATCAATTTTCAATGCATCATTCAATAATGCTAGTGCATCAGCGGATTGATTACATTTATGTTGTGCCTAAACGAATGTTTCTCATCAGAGAAAATATACGAAACAAATAAAAAGTATTCTTACCACTGCTAAATGACAAATTAGATCTGGATTGGTACGATATATACTCGTAGCTTTCGTGAAATGAAATGCAGCTGATTGAAATTTTTCTTGTTTCAAATAAATCATCGCTACACCATTCCTATTCGAACAGAAGCAACAATTGACCAACAAAATCATGTCAGTAGACTCACCAAGCTTTGTAACTGCGTGGATTCAATTGTATAGCTTTGCGAAAGCATGCCATTGCTCGCTCAAGTTCATCAATGAGAGAATATTCATTGCCTAACAGTGTGTATGCATAATCAGATTCAGGTGCTAGTTGAATGGCACGTTTAAATGCTTGAATTGCTTTATCATATTCATGATTCAAACTTAGACAATTGCCCGACGCACACCAACTCTAAAGTTAGGAAAACGAAACGTCACAGATATCCTATCACAGATTTCCTGAGAGTGACTTACAGCTGGATGCTTTCGATCAGTTTCAGTTAATTCGTGTGCTAACGTTGCTAGAGCAATATCGTCTTTCAAATGCCATAGGACAGTACTATAATATTCTAGTCCATCGATGTGATATGGATACTTTGTACGCAATTCTCGATAGATCAAAGAAGATTTCTGATAATCATGTAAATGATAATAGCAATTGGCTAATCGTAATAGAGCCCAGGGTGTATTAAGATGCTTTAGAGATATCGACTCGAATAATTCAATTGCCTGTCGACATTCAAATTGGGATAAGTATTGAAGGCCTTGGCCAAGGAGTTTAAACACGTTGATTATATTTTCGATAATTTCTGCAAAAGATAAAAACGAAACGATCAATATTTTCAATTGATGACTAAGGAAAAACGAACCAGATATGCGTGGAGTTGATTGTGATTTCTTTTGTCGCTCACGTTTATTACTAATATCTGTTTCCATCGAGGAATTCAAACTGGTATTACTTGACCGAACTTGCGATCGTGTTGTCATTTTATTTGGAGACTCGGACGATGATATAGGAGTGATACTCATATCAGCACAGGGTGGACGCGGCTTTGTGATGCGTGTCGTACGTTTCGTTGGAGCACGAATGGATTTGTTCTCCTTCAATTCCAGAACAATCGTTCGAGCATATCAAATTTGAGCGAACAACAACCTACCTTTCGTGTACTCGCTGTTTTCTTCGCCTCACTAATGGAAGTCGATGCCATATCATGCTTATGTATAAGCGTAGCTGTTGAGATAGGTGTACTCGTATCATCAAATCCATACTGTTGCCTAGAAAAACAAACAAACTGATAGTTATTCAAACTGATGTTCATGATGAATTCATACAGCATTCGCGTATTTTGTCGTTTGGGTGCTAAGGGTGGATTACGTAATGTGGGAATATTATCAGGTGGCTTGATAGTGGGTGGAGTGTATTTATCACCATCTTGCAGTTGTTCAGAAAGTAAGCCAATAGGCGTTGATGTAATACTTGCTGAAATGTTCGCTGAATCAACATTTAAAATCGAATCTGTTAATTTCATAACATATGCCGGTGCTGGGAATAGACGTTGTTGAGGTCGTTCTTTGATAGGAAGACTAGTACTTGTATTTATCGACTAAAACAAGAAGAAAGATCAACGATTGTTTCAGATGAATTTCAAATCGAAACGAACATTTTCTATAGTTTGATTTTCACTTTGGATATCTTTTATAGACTCTGCATAGGGAGTGATACATATGGGTGATTCTGATATAGATCGAGCGGATTTGATCGTAGATGAGCAGAATATACTTGTATCAACACGTTCGCCTAGAAAAAAAAAGTGAAAATTAAACCTGTGTTTTGAATAAACAAACATTTGTTACCTAATCGACAGAGAGCTTCGAAGGACGACCAGAGAAATGGATTGATTTTCAATGATTTCCGATAGCATTCACTCGCCTTTTGATGACGATCTGATTTTCTACAATTAATTCAATGAAATATTCAAATCTATCCATCAATCGTTGACTTACTCGCAAATTTTAGCTAGTAATTGTAATGCAAATGCTGCTTGATCTCCATGATCAGTGGTAAAATCATCAAGTACAACTGTACTAATTGACGAACAATTTCCCAGTAGCACTGATTCTGCTTCATGCAATCTTCGAAAGCGACAACGAGCGTTTTGTTATTTCGTCGTTTTCGAAAATTCTCTCAACTTACTTGTCTATATCAAAACAACATTTTGCTAAAAGAAGTTTAGCAGTGGGTACATGTTCAATCGATGAATGTCGCAATAACCAATAAGATTTGTTAATATCACCGCTGAGATAATAAGTTCGAGCTAATAAATAAGTTGATTCATCATTTTTGACTAAAAGAAAGAAGATTGCTTTTGGAATTATTCTTCGGTGTGCTGTACCTTCGGCATAGAGACGTTCAGCAAGAAAGATCGCATCGACATAATCGAAATTTTGGATAAATTGATTGATATAAACTCGAACAGAATCGACTGTGACCGACATTCAAAGAAGATTTTATCTAATTAAGACATTAAGAAGACTTCTAAAAACCAAAACAAACAAATATGCGTTATTATTCACTGAATTATCGCGAAAATAAAACTATCCATCACCAAAATTTAAAAAAAAGAAAGAACAAAATGATTACTGTTATGAAAGATCACGGCACAACGTTAAGAAAAAAAAAACAAAACAAAGATCTGTCTGAGAGAACAGAAAACGGAAGAATCAATTGGAATGATCTATGGATTTTCACGTTTTTGCGTATTGATCGCTTGTCGATGTCGGCGTCCCTGAGATAAACGATCGCATGCTTGTTGAATATTCATGAATGTTGCTTCGGCTTTTTGTTTTTCGTTGGGATCCTAAAGAGTAAGCAATTGATGAAACGAACGCGAAATGGTTGTTCGATTTTCTTACGCGATATCGATCTGGGTGCCATTTACGTGATAATGTTTTGCATTGAAGTTCGATATCTTTCTGTGAAGCATCTGATTTCAAGTTCAATGCCTGCAAAACAGAATATGTTTAACTAAATGTTTAGATTTCATACGAGAAATTTACTTCAAACGCTTTCTTATCACTTTCGGAACTCAATTCTGCCCAGATTTGCGTCCAGATTCCTTTAAAACCATAAAGTTGATAGAAGGCATACAATTCTTTCATAACATGTGATAGTTGCTGATAAAGTTGAATGAATTCTTGCGATTTGAAGAAATCTGCAATGACATCTTTGACTTTTACACGTTCACCATGAAGATCAACTTGTAAATTTTGATACACCGCTGATGTAATCAACAATCCAAATAGAATAGCACCACATCCAAGTATTAAACAACGTTTTACTATATGACGTCGTGGTTTTGATTTCGTTTTTGATTCATCGGACACATACTCCGGATCCCAATCGATTTTCCATTCAAATATCCAACAGGAGATGAGAGCGGCTATGTTAAATGACGGCGCTTTTTCACCATTTGTCAGAAGAAAAGGTATTCCAAGCAAAGCACCTACCAATGGCCACACGAATGAGCACTGTCGAGGACCAAGTGTACCCGCTAATTGCGTACCTAGAAAAACATTTCTAGTAGATTAGATGAAATTTTTCAGAAAAGATTCTTACCAAACGCGATGGCAACTGCAGAAGAAACGACCACAATGAGTGATAGAAATCTACTCTCGAGCCATGTATCAGGAAAGGCATAATATGCAATAAAACCATAAAACATGGCGACAACATATTGTCCTTAAATAAAGAGAATGTTGTCTTTGTCATATACCAGGTTTTTTAGGTTACCACAAAAACGAATCAGTTCAAATGCTGGTGACTTTTGTTCTCGCATTTTCTTTTCGTAATGATCATGAACTGAATGATCATTATTTGCTTCCTGAACATATTTTTTGATTGAAAATATCAATTCATAGAGCAGTCCAACGCCGAAACCGCCCAATGTTGTGAACCATAGCAAGGCCTGTTGAGTGCGACCCAAATACAAATGGTGTAAACCAAAAAAACCTCCAATAATTGCAAAAAAATAAGCAGTTGCTGTTTTCTTCATCGATCTGTTATCTAAAAATGTTCATAAATCTGATTTCACACGACTAATTTCGTTTCTTTCCAATTGAATAGTTAAGGTCAAAAATCAGAACGAATAAGGTGAGAATAATAATATATCTCGAGGATGATTTTGTTTCTCTTTCGAGTATCGTTGGACTAATTGAACAATTGTCGCTAGAGTTTTACTTGTTATTGACATTGAAGGTAGCGATTAATCTGTCCTTAACGATTTCTTCCTCTCGATCACAAACGACATCTAACTGAATCGCTGTACAATAGAACAAATGTGAATACTAGACAAAACAACAGCAGTCGAATTGATTGTTTCAACCGAAGATACAATTCTTCGATTTTTTTCCAAGAATCTAGTTAACCTTTACAAGATAATTTCGAGCCTAATCGGTTTTGGTTACAATTCTAAGGTCAGCATTTACAAGATAAACTTCGATGACATTTTGTTTTTAAATTTATTTCAGATTATCCATCAACAGAAACGAGCATTTGGACACGCTGCTGTACATGGGAAGCGTTTCTCTTAATCACGTCCGATAGAAACTCAAGGTTTTCGTGTATGACGCAAAGAATAGGTCATTCGATGTATACAAAGTGCCAATTCCAATAATTCATGAGAGGATAAGCGGAGCGATGCTAGTCAAAATCGATTTGTTGTAATTTTGTCTGTATAATATCCCGAGAAAAAAAAATCTTATCGACATTAATCTTTTTATATTGAAGTTGTAATGAAATACGGATTCATTGAAAGCAAAATGTCGCGATTTTGTTTGTCTAGTTATTTATTTAATGAAGTAGACAGTATGAGCACAAGAGAAGTCATATAAACAAATACAATAACATCGAATCCCAGCAAAGAATGGCTAAAATATCGTCAGAGCAATGTGTCTGTTCGACGATTTTTATCAATGAACAGATGACGAAGTACAATTACGTCGTCTATTATTTAACCATAACAGATTCCTATCTAAACGTTGAAATAATTAACTTTTCTTGTTTGTTTATATAAATAGCAAGTGTAAATGGCTTTCTCTCATTCATTTCATCGAACCATGTTATATGCTGTGTATAGTATCAACATACATGGCGATATATGAGCATATGCATTCGGAGAGGAGAGTATCTTTGTGTGTATGATGTATATATACATCTATACAGTTGAAGGCGTTTGTTCACGTTTAATTTCAGATTATCATTACAGTATATATGATTGAGTGGGAGATTGGACATTTATTTATGTTATTGTCGTTAAGGAGAGGGAGGGAAAGAAAAGGTTCGTTTATACAAAAAAAAAGCAACGAAGGCGATTATAATGTAACTCGTAAGTATATTTTGAAATATGTATCAGTACATGAACGACAAGCCGATATGAATCTGTTCGATGCACACGAAAAATCTGAAGGTATGTTGATTGCATAGAGGAATTGCTCTATAGGATACTTTTCCTCTCATGTTCATCTACAGAAAGAAGAAGTTGGAGAGAGAGAGAGAGAGAGAGAGAGAATTTCGTTATCATTAAGTATTGTCAAACAGAAGAAAAATTTGAACTTCTTTGTCGCGTCGTTAATGTTATTAATGCTATCAAGATTGTAATCTATACTTAAATATATACTGGACGTGTGCGAAATGACAATATCTTTCAAATGAACAAAATGTAACTATCGATTAGTTCGCATATGTCATGTTAAAATTTCTCCTTGAATAAATCTTTCATTCGAAGCCATATGTATCGAAGAAAATTTTTAATCCAACTTCTACCTTTTGTATACCTATAAATCTTAGTCCCGCCTTCTTTACTTTCGATATCATAAGGTTTCACTTCAATATATATTATATATACATACATATTTATATCTGCACAATGCTTTTATTAACACTTGACAATTTTTAAGTGAACATTCTAGGTTTCAGTTAAGTCAAGTATTCATTCAACTTAGCAAATCGAGACAAAATAGACGAACAGACCTTCTGAGAAATTGTTTTCTTTCCATCAACAAATCAACACATAATGAATGAATTGCTTTCGAATTGTATATGCAATAGGAACGAAGAAGAGAGCACAAGAGAGAGAGACAGAGAGAAAATGTGATTCTCTTCTTTCTTTTTCCTTCAGTAGGCGGCGTCATCACATATACAGTTTTGTTGCTCTGACATTTACAAAAAAAATATCATACAACTCATTTGAAAGAAGACCATCGGATCCTCTTAAAGCTAAAAGTTATTTTACTTATACCCCTGTTTTTGTTACAGATTTCAATCATTTTGCTCTATGCTCTGATAACCAACAGCCATGACCGCCCATATAACGACCACATCTGATCAGCAACAGCAACGGCATATGATTTACAATAATCGAACGTATGTCCGTACAATGTACACTTCGACAACAAATCAGTTCTTTCATCCATCGTCGAAATCTTTGCCCATGTCATCAGTGAATGTTTGTGACTATCTCCTATACGAAACGAAATTAGCTGAAGACGTTGGCTCAGCTACATCATCATCGTGTATTCGTAATAATGAACTTTATGATAACGCTTATTCACATACATATGATAATCCCATCGAATGTCTTGAAAGTGTAAGTGTATACGTGATATGACGAGAAAAACAACAAGAAGTGTTTCTCTTACGCTCGCTCGTACCTTCTATTTGTTTTTTTGTTTTAGTACAATGTAAAACAAAGTTTAATCAACTTGCCTCAAGGTAATAGAAGTCTGAGTGATAACATCAAGGATGAAAACATAACTAATGATGATGAGGACAAATATGGTTCATCAAATTCACCTCATAGTACTTCACCGATATTATTCTATCTGGAAAATCGACGTTTAGCATTATATGCCTGTTTAATATCATTTCTTCTCTTATTTCTTCTCGGTATTGGAATATTTCTACTATATCGCTTACTTCGTCCGGTTGTAATCACTACGACTGTGAATAATCACTATGCGATGATGAATGCGTCTACGATATCTCCTACTCTGCTTCGAATATTAACACAATCAACGACACAGAAATCAAGTACTAGTGTACCATTTTCATATTCGATGTGTCCACCAGATCGCTGGGGGATGTATTGTAAGAATATTTGTAAGCCCTGTGGACTTGGTGTGTGTCATACAATAACAGGCCAATGTATTTGTCCAGATGATATCTACGGCGAATTCTGTGATTTAACCAAAGGTAAATAAACGAGCGGAGATCGACCTGCTAATGTATCTTTTGTTTTCTAGTCAACGATAAACCCAAACGTGGCGACATGATGAGTTAATTCTTCTTCATTGATCGTGTACATATATTTTCCAAAAGATGATGTCATTTCGTGTTTTTTTTTATGTCGATAGAAGAACGAAAATCGAAACTAATAAATAAAACGGATAAAATAGTCGGTCTAGTTACTACTTACATTGGTTAAATACTCAATCAGTTGACCTTAATCAATCGATTATGTGAAAAATACTTCTTAGTTGGTTCGTAAAACCAACTTATTTACATCACGGGCGCATTTACAAATGATATGGATCAGTGTCTATTAGATAGGAGATGAACTTGAGTATGTCTATGACAAGAAATCGATGTGTTATGATGAATAATATGATATATCTAATAAGAACATGGCCTTGAGAAACTAAAAGACAATTATTCGGTAATTTGAATAATTTCAGTATTATTTTGTTTAATTTTCAAATAATGATTTGCAAATTTGTGCTAAACACAAAAAGAGAATGATGTTAAAGAGAATATTAAATTAACCTTGCTATGCTTGATTGATGTGACAGGATGAAAAGAGTGGGCACAGGAGGAAAAGAAAAAAAAATGGAAAAAAACGAAACGTTTAGAAATGATATGGATAGTTGCACTCATTCTGACAACGTCTCATTTTTCAACCTTCCTTTACATTCGTTGATGTATAAGCAACCTTGCGACCTGAAGGTTTCATATACATTTTTCTCTTTCTAGTATTCATTTGTTCGAAACGTGTGTACGTCTGCGTTAATAGCCATGTTTTGCATCAACATAACAGGCAAATAGAGATTGCAACGAAATAGTTTCGCTCCATGGCAGGTCGACGCATATCTGTTCGTGGTACAACTTATCGGCTTGAAAACCAGATTGGTCATGGTCTTCACAGTCTCGTTTATGCTAGTCGAGATCCACGTACTGGCCGACCAGTAGCTATAAAGATAATTAATTTCCTTCATGGATCATATTCCGTGAAAGCTGATACGGAATCTCGACGACAATCGTACTGGAAAGAACTTCAAATGCTTTTATACTTACAGCCTTTGAATCCTTACATAATTCGAGTTTTGAATCACGATCACAACGATCGGCAAGGTATCATTGTCATGGAACGTGGTGAAACATTGCGTGACACACTTATCGAGCACGTTCTTGGTGGCAAACCATTACCCGGCGCAACTGTACATCTCTTTTGGACACAAATGGTTGAAGCTATCTACTACATGCATCAACTTGCCATTGTCCACGGCGATGTTAAACCAGAAAATTTCATTCAAGTTGGTGCGGATGGATCAGCACTGAGATTAATTGATATGGGTATTAGTTTTCGATTGCCACCGAATGTGACTAGCCGTCTGAAGACAGCGGCTGGTACACCAGGTAAGTTTGTTCAATGTAATGTCCATTCGATACTCACTGTTGCTCGTTTTCAATAGATTATGTCTCGCCAGAAATGGTCAATTCTCGTGTTGGTCTCAGCTCCAAGTCGAAATGCGGCTATAAGGCGGATATCTGGGCTCTCGGTGTGATTCTCTTCGAAATGGCGTTCGGTTATCGTCCGTTGCAATCTCTACGTAGTAACGAAGCAAAATTGAACTTTCTGGGCAAACTACGTCGCGATATATCAATACCACCACATCCTGATAAACAGTTACGTGATATTTTGAAACGTTGTTTACGTTCCAATCCTCGTCGTCGCCCGAATGCTGAAGAAGTCTTTAATCATCCGTATGTAAGCGGTAGACGTAAATAAGACAAAAGAAAGATTTTCTTTTGTTGTTCACTTATCGCGCTTTTATATTTTTGCCCTTTTTCTTGATAATTTGTTTTGAAAAATTCATATTTAACATCGTTCGAATGACGAATATTTTCCAGTTTAACTAATTGAATGATCACAGGTGAGATAAGTAGCGCATGTTTTCTTCGTATTTTTATTTTAGTCACTAGGCTTCTTCCTCTGATTTTTCGAGCTTGTTTATCATAATTATTCGAGCAGTGTATGAATAATTTTCTGGTGTCAACTTGTTGATATGAAGGATATATGATGATCGTTCGCGATAAGACCTTGAAAAGAAAATTAACTATTCCGAAAGAACAAGAGGAAGATTCATTAATGAGTTCGGAATGAGTAAGTCTGTTCTTAGTAGCAAAGATGCGTTCGTAGACAAGAAAATATGAATGATCAGATAAAATATTGATTTTGTTTTAAATAAGAAGAAGAAAAGAAAAATACAAGAGCATCATTGAGAATAAAAAAAAAGACGAAAACGTTCGCGCACACCATATTTTGAATAATAAGTGAAACAATTTACAAAGTAAAATAGAATATGGTTAAAAATTTCATTCACACAAAACAAAATAAATAGATTCATTTCTTTTTCTTTTTTCATTCATTCCAGATGAGATTAGTCTAGATGATGATAATCGACTAGAGTCAATCGACAGCATCAATGAGTAAGAGATGTAGAAATCTTATCACAACAAGAAAGCGAATCAGCTGATATTTTCATACACCGCTTGTAAAACTTATGTAATTCTCAGGGATCAGACCAGTTCGACCGTTGATGGTACCGATTAACTAAAGAAATAGGAAGGAAAGTGAAGTCATTTCGTATAGAAAAAGAACATTTACCCATCCTGGCTCACGCGAGGTCCGAACTAAACATATAGAAGTAGTTGGGATAAAATTATTGTGGAAGTTCATGGAGAGCTTACCATCGGTAACGATTTCATTGGGATTGAAAGAGAGTTCTGTTTCGTTATCAGCCACACACGGATACAATGTTATCGCTCGTGTTGGCCTATATATAAAGATATAGGAAATAAAGATTTCTGCTGAAATAGTTTTTGTTAGTTACGAACACTTTGGGTGTTGGATGGGTGATGGGTGTTGATCGTATAGAGGACGATGATGGACTTATAGGTTCGATGTTTGACGATGTTGATAGACTTGTCGATAATCGACTTTGACTTTCAGGTAGCGATAATTGCTTTGTAAACGAAAATGACGAAATTGAGCGCAAATGGCTACTGATACCACTGAATGGATTGGAACCTTGACGAATACATCGCCAATCAGATACTGTAAGACTGATAATAGTCTAAACTTACTGTGCACCGATTGAGTGTTGGCAGTCGAGACATTACTTAAAGATTCTAAACTACTGCTTGAACTAGCTATAAGAGCAAACGAATAAATTGGAATAGTTTGAAAGTGAATATGTTTTGATAGTTACATTCTTTTCTTAAATTGTCTTCGGACATCGGCGGGAAAAGATGCTTGTTAGTTTCGGTGATGTAATAATCTGGATTGTATAAACCTCGTCGTCTTGCATCGGCAGTAGTTTCGAGCATTTCACTTGTTGGCGGTGGTGCTCGTCTTGTAATTGACTTGAAGAAAGAAAAGGGAGGAGAACATTGATGGTGCAGGAAGGAAAGAAATTTTCTTACAGTCAATGATGATAGTGAATTACTCAAATTCACAACGGCAGATTGATCATTTTCACTTGAACCAACCATTTCATCGATATCTTGCTGTTCAAGTGTCGCTTGAAACATTTTATCATAATGTTCAATCAGTAGTTCGACAATTGCATTACGAAATTTGATATCATAAATCGATGAAACAGTTTCAAATTCAGGTCGAAGTAGTGACGGACCGAAACAAACACCTAAATTAACCGGTGTCATGAGATTCTTGTCTTTATGTTCTGAAACACTGCAAAAACAAAAATAACAGTCAATTTATGTGACTAAAATATATTCAATCAACAAACTTATATAAATGTCGCATTAGAATATGCAACAAATCATAGTTTTCTTTTGGCAATTCTTTCATTAGACTATGAATCGTTCGTATACGTTCGGCTTTGTCATCCATCACTAAAAACAATCGAGTTTTAAGAGAATGGGATATTCATGAGAACGAATTATCATACTCGCAGCTTCGATAAATCGATTATGAAGTTTAAATGTAAAAACTGGTTCAGTTAACGTACGTAAGTAAAGTTTAAGTGCTGAACAAATTGTTTTTAGTTCCATATCTTCTTCAACAGGTGTTGCTAATCGTTGAGCAAGTGTTTTGTGAGCATCTGACAAGATGATAACAAAGAATGCTTTGTTCTTTTGGATTCGAAACGGGAAGAAAATTACCGAAATGACCAGCAACGAGAGAATTGACCTTCGATTGCATGCCAACGATACGATAGAGACCTTGCTCATCAAGACCTCGTCGTTCGATAACTTGAATGCATTTTTTAACGAAATCGATACCCGAATCATCCAATTCGTCTATACAGAAAGCAAATTTTGCTATGATTGTTTCATTTTCAAGTTCACTTTACTTTGTAGTTCTGTCTTCGATGACGACTGTGGTTTCGAAACATGAATCTGTCCGCCACAGATCGCTACCCATCCTTCGAAGTCTTCCTCGGTCGTTGCTTGAAAGGTAAACAGGATCATTTTATCTGTTGAACCACCTTTCTCAATCGCATGCGCATCGAACATAAAACGTTTATCTAATTTTTCATCTGCTGGATGAACAAAGCAATGCCGGACAAATACATCATACGGAATTAGCTAAAATTCGAAATGAGCAATGTAGAAACATATATGTTTGTCAATGCTGAACAAAACATTGTCATTAGGCAAATCGATTCGACATCATCTGTACCCTGAAGACTAAAACTAAGTAGAAGATCGATAACTCGACAGCAGAAGGTCGCACATCCGACCGACTCGAGGGCATTCGATAACTGAATAAGATTTATCATTTACATAGATACTCAGTCCTGAAACGACGAAGACATTTCGAGGTTTGCCTCTTCATATACCTGTTTTGTACTTGTCTGCGTAAAACTAGTCATTCGGAGTAAACCGATATCTTTTCGATATTGACAGTAATGTTTTGTTGTTGCCGTTGTGCCAATGAGTTTGTCTAAGAGAAGAAAAAAACACATTTTCATACTAAATAGACTTGTTTTCGTTTCGGTATACTTCGTTCAATAAGAAACAGGTAACCTTCACGGTCAAATTCTTGATTTTTTAATAGATGGTCTTCTGGTCTCTGAAGGAGTAAAGAAAAATATGTAATTATGTTTTGATAATGTCTGTTTTGCATCTCACCATTAACATTTTCCATTTCAATTCCTCCCCTTCGCGTTGAAAACAATCGAAATTCTCACGACACTAAAATCACGGAGGAAGATGCGTGAAAAAATCAAGTTTTGTCGTTACTTTCAGAACACGATGATGTAAAAATCGAATGAAATAATCGAATTCTTTGTAAATTTCTTGTCCTAAACAAAACCCAAATCATTGTGAACTGGGTTTTTTTAATTCGTCACGCATTACCTGCATGATAAAATGACAAGAAATTGAGCATCAATGCCAAAAGCTAAATAAGTCAATTGTTTAACAAAGAATTCAGTCAAAGTGAATGATTTTACTGTTTCAACAAAATCAAATTTTTTTCTTTCTTGCACTTGTTGCAATAAGAAGACATATTCGAGTGTTTCTTCACGGAATTTTTTCGTTTGCATTTGAAGATTTGCATCTGCCTATGGAAAAACTCGAAATTCATTACGACAAATAGATTATCACCAACAATTTTCTACCTCTTGAAATAAATCGGATCGCTTTGTCGGTATCTTAGCATTATTTTCAATCATGGCACAATAACGTTGAGTAGTCTTGTCGAATTCTTTCTTCTTATTCTAAATTAACATGATTATCAATTGAAATCGTTGACGTAAGCGACTAACTTTCGCTTTGCCAATGGTTGTTTTACGGAATTCATCCAATTTTTTCAAATATGTTTCCGATGATGCATTCTAATCGAAGAAGAGAAAATCAACGAGAAATTTATTGATTACAACGTACAAGTGCATCTCGTGCTTCTTCGATTCGATGTAAAACCTCACCCATGTATGAAAGCGATGATTCTAAAGTCACGATGTAATGTTTAATGAGATTTTTATGATAGATAACGAACCGATGTCTCGTTCTTCTTCGGTTTGTTTGCTGCCAACAATAAAAAATTTGAAACTTTTCAATGTTTCAGCAACACTTCTCGATGCTTTCGACAAAGCTACAAAGAAAATGCGACTTTGCTCGATTATTTTTGTATGGAAAAAAAAAGTGTAACGTACTCTTATTGGCTACCATGACTTCATTAAGTTTTTTAATTAAGGTTTTGATCGCATTTGATGTATTCTCGAGTTCATTCTCGTGTTGCCGTAATTTTTCACGAAATTCAGGCGAATCTGTTAGAGCTTCAGTGAATTCGAGTGGCGGTAATTTAAGTACCATATTTGTTCGTGTTCACAGATAAAATCTGGTATTAATTAAAGAATCTTGAATGATAAATATAAGATATCAATAATATCGAAGAAACAGAAAAGGATAACGAGTAATCAATTAATTCGTCATGCTCTCCTTTTTCTTCTCTCTCACGTTTCTTTATTCAATACTAACATCCCGAAACAAAATAAGCTTCGTACAGTATGCGAACAACTATTATTGATGCAAAAAGAGGAAAGAAGAGTAACAAGTTGGAAGGAAGGAGAAGGAATTGCGCACTCTCTCTCTCTCTTCGTGCTTATTTCTATGCGTATAACCCTACAACTCGTCATTGTCTCGCAACGACTGCTTGTATTCGCGTTATCAGAGAGCCCGCTTACAAAACGAGAAGCGAACAAATGGCACAGTAGTGTTCCTCTGTGCGTACAGCAATTATGGACAACACAAGTCGTTTGTTGCCGACCTACCACGATCACCTCTTTTTTTGCTTAAGTTTGCCTCTTGATAAAAGCAAATCTATATACACATATCCACTAGTATTATTCTATGTCAAACTGTGTCGAGCTGATAGTATCTCCTCGAAATTCTACTTGTCTTGGTCTTACTTTAATCGACATGTCATGTTGATCTCACGCATACATCCGAAATGATTATTAGGCGACGATGGTATTATCGAACGGCAAGAAAAAGATTTCCACAAGTTTGACTCCCACTACTGTTGCTGACGTCATCCATGGCCTCGAAATATAAGTTAGATGCATACGATCTGTCTTCTACTCCTTTCTATCTAGTATAGCAAGGCCATTGAAACTATTAGATATATATATATATATATTCTCTTGAGTTGTATAAATCAAGATGAGGAAGACTTTTGCAGGAGATTTGTTTTCGACATTAACAACATCTTATATGATCTGTGTTATCAGCTAATCAAATCGTTTACTTTTCTCGATCAAAAGCATTGAATTGCATGAGAGATAAACAAACAAATTTGAACCTCGTTTTATTTAGAAATAATAAAGCTATTAAGAAAGAAAGAAAAGAATCGACAATGCTAACTCGTTCTAATTTAGATAAGCAAACTTCGTATTATCCACCTAAAACAATGTATTTCTATAGGACAACTAACCGGGTAATTGGCATGTAGTACAGCATCTGAAACGTGATGATAGAATTGCGCAGAACACTTTTCGAATTTATGCAAAATATTCTCTTGATAATCATCAACTTACTGAGAATATCGGTAAGAATGGAGAACAGGAATATAGATGCGTTAACACGCTGATACATTCAATCAATTCCAACAATAAACCTTTTACAAAAAAACAGAGTTCAAATAATGAAAAGTTCAATAGTCTTGTTTTCGTTTGACACTTTCACATAATTGTTCATGAAAAACCACCATCGAATAGAGTAACCACTATACTCAATGATAATATCCGTGTTTTTGTTTATTTGATAGATAGCGATTATGATTTTATGAATGGTCGACTTGATAAGTAAACATTTTTTCAGCATTTAACGTAGTCGGTTGCGGTCAAATCAAGTTCTCAGAAGGTACTTCATAAAATGATTAACAATGATTATATTTTTCACTTGCACATATTTCTATATTTATTAGTTTTGATCAATTAACTACCTCTATTTCTTTGTTCATTGAAACACATAGGTACAATCTAGTATGATGGATTTCAAATCAATTTCCATAAGTCAATGCAAAGAAAATATTATGTCTATGTACAATTCACATAAATCTCTAGAAAATTCGTATAGAATCCTAGTGGAAACGATAGATCACTGTGATCGATGTATTAGCTAAAAACTTTTTTACTAAATAAATCTCGTCTCGGAAAATTATACCATTCGACTCACGGGACAAACTTTGGGAAAATGTTTACCTATATCTTTGTTTCTTTCCTATAGGTCTATTTACGATCCAAATAAAATTTTTTCAAAGTTCGTTTCGTGAGTAGAAACATCGTCATTCGATAACAGTTCGACACTTTTCGCTTGGTTCAAATCAGACGTGATTGTTTGGCAATTCATTTCGAATTTCATTCAGACAAATCATAATGATCGCTTTGAATAGACTCAATAGCTTCGAGACTAATTGATTTCGAAAGTATAAATGAAGATTGTAGCAGAAGTGTTTTGCCAAACAAACGAATAAATAAATATCGAAACGATCGGTGTAATTAACTCTGCTTTAACGTTTTCATCAACTTCATTGGTCAATTCAGTTTTATCTCATTCTGTCTATTTGAGCTCGAAGCGTGATATAGATGATTCACCCATTGAAACAACCAACCAATACGAGAATTATTTTAGTTTAGATACAAAATAATCCATTAAAGAGAATTCTTTCAATTATATTCATTGATTTAAATTTTTCCAAAAGAATTCCCAAAAATATTTATTATATTGAGACACATGTTCGTATAACACTCACATCTGATTGGAGGATTATTATACCTTCCAAACTGTATATATGTAAACATCATCAGATCCATTCTTTAGTTGTTTTCTTTTTCTTTTTGATGATTAAAATTGAATTGTTCAGAAGAGAAACCAATGCAACATGTTATCTTTATCTTTTAGAGAATTGAAATTCAATCATGTCGACGCCATCGGCCAAGACTGCAACATCAGGTGGTAAATCAACAACCAAAACGACAACTACAGTTGTTAAAACAACAACCACCACCGTAACAAAAAAACAACCGCAACAACTTTCACTAACACCCCGTAGTGTTAGTTCAAAAACGAAAAGACCAAAAACAAGACCAAATGGAAAGAAAGCTATTAGTTCACACACAAATCGTGAATTAAATGCTGGTGGTCTGATGCGCTTTTCACGTGGTCGTATGTTCCAGCGACGTGCATTACACCGTATAAATAAATGGAAAGGCGCTCAAGCTAAATTACAAGGAGATAAAACAAAGAAAACTGCTGGTAGCATTCAGAAGAAGAAACAACGCAAACCAGCATCGGTTAAGAAGCCTGTTGGTGGTGAACGTAATGGCAAACAACGTACCGTATTGGCAAAACGATTTGTATGACCATTAGAGCCCGTACTGATTGATATATGATGTTATATATTTTTTCTAGCCTCGTTATTATCCAACAGAAGAACGACCAAAGAAGTTCAGTGCTAAACGTAAGACATTCGGCAGTCATGCACGTCGTTTTCGATCAACACTTGCGCCCGGTACTGTTGTTATTCTTCTCGCTGGCAAACATGCCGGAAAAGTAAGAGATCATCCGAATTCGTTCATATTTACAAAGATGGATTTTCTAGCGCGCTGTGGTTGTTAAACATTTGGCATCTGGACTTTTATTGATCACTGGTAAGGATTTGATATTGATGATTCTTTCATTAGAACTTTATTCAGGTCCACACAAATTGAACGGTGTACCCTTACGTCGTATTAATCAAATTTACGTCATTGGCACAAGCACCAAACTCGATTTATCAACAGCTAAATTCGATAATTTAGATGATAAATACTTCAAACGTGTTCGCCCAGCTAAGAAAAATGCCGAGAAAGATATTTTTGATTCAAAGAAAGAGGTAAAGTTGCTTTTCTTTTCTCATACGATTGCACAGAACATCGATCTCGAATGACGAGAAGTCAATGTCAGAACATGACGTATATTTTCATGTGCTACCGAATCGCTTTTGTTGTTTTCGAAGCATAACAACGGATATTTTCTTTTCTTTTTCAGAAAACACCACTTAGTGATAAACGTCGTGAAGTTCAACGTAGCACAGATGCCGTGGTTCTTAATGCCATCAAAGCAAGCGCTGACCGACGTCTCCTTCGTCAATACCTTAAGAGCCGTTTTCAACTTTGGAATGGTGTTTTACCACACAAATTGAAATTCTAAGAGAAAAATCGCTGAAACAAAAGAAAAGTAAAAAACAAAGAAAACAACAATTCTTAACCATCTGTAATAGAATCATCGTTTTGTTGTTTGTTTGTTTCGATTTCATAGGAAAACTATGAAAAAAACATAAAATAAAACTATGGAAAAAAAAACTTGAAATATCATTTCGTTTCATCTTTTGGACAATTATTTCTTCTCTTCATCGTTTATTTTCTTAGAGACATTAGTCAGTGCTGAATGAAGTAAACACTTTTTTACTCCGGCTGATTTCTTTTTTTTTCTCCTTTCATTTTCTCTCGTTTCTCTTTCTTTCTCCCTTTTTATTCCATAGTCAGAATAGAGTATTTAAGTGAATTTCGAAGGTTAGAAACATCAACACAGACAGGTTACTTTTCTTTCAATTCAACTATGGATGAAATTTGCCCTTTTATATCTCTATCAAAAACTTCTTCGCTTCGTTCACATCCAACCTCTAGCGCTGTTCTTACATCATCGAGTAAAACTAAATCTGAACGAGGTCTTCTGCAACGTTCACTTCTTTACTGTCTTGGAAAGGGGTATTTTTGTTTGATTCGTCACTTACTACAATCCGGTATAGCCGATGCTCGAGAACGTGACTCTGAAGGACGCACCGGCCTGATCTACTGCTGTTTTATCGATGACGACTGTTGGGCAAAAACGACAGCTATGACCTTACTTGAAAAGGGGGCTCAAATTGCTGATCAAGATCACCGCGGTCTCAATGCTCTGCACTACGCGATTATCACACAACGACTAGTTCTCATTCGTCTCTATTTGGATTCGATTGACTTCGATTTTAATCATTCAGTTGACATTCATGGAAATACATGTTTACATTATGCATGTGCGACAGGAGATGCCAATATTGTCCGAGCACTTCTCAATGCAATGAAGAGATATTCGGTTGATTTAACGCTGCAAAATCAAGCTGGTCTAACTGCTTTTGATATCACATGTCAATTCAATTTTGAACGTTGTCAGAATCTTCTACGAAATGAAATGGCATTGCAGCAACATACAAATTCACTCAAAGGATTAACGAAACTGAGAACTCTCCAACGGTGCTCGTCCACGTCCGGCCGACTTCAATCGTTAACTTCGCCTGCGGATTTAGGTGAATCAATTCTATCGCTTCCTTATTTCGTTCCAAGTTCAATGAGTCAACGTCAACGTTGTAAAAGTACAACAACAACAACACCTAAAACTGAGCTTCGCCGTTGTCAATCGGCCAAATTGATCGACCTAACAGAATCACGTACAATGCTCTTTAAACGTAATCCACATTTGGATCAAGTACTTGTTAAGCAAGCAAAGAATCGGGCGGATTTCACTCCATCAATATTTGCTAGTTCAAGTGAAATATTTAATTCTACATCAACATTGAATAGCCCAACTGATGCTTTTCATTCGGCGTCGACGACATGCTGGCGCGAAAACGTTCCGAAACTCTTCGATCAAGTACAAATCTTACGTTCACGCTCGTATCGAAAAACTATTCGTCCGCCATTGAGTACAGAACTATCGCGTGAATTTCTCGAACGTTTAGCTAATGAACATGAAAATGAAAGAAATAGATCGCGAGCATTATCAGCACACCCAAGTGATTCTGTACAAAAACTTGTACGCAAACACAAAGCGAGCATGAATAGTGTCAGAATGTTTCATAAAATGAAAAAATAAAATGATTTCGTTTCACTTCTTCTTGATTCTCTTTGTTTACTGAGTACAAGAACTCTTGTGTTTTAGATAAACTTACGACAGAAAGATGTCTACAGAGACGAAATCGATCTGGGATCATGTTCAACCAATATCGATTGATGCACTCATCAAAACATCCGGTTATCTTCTCAGTTATCTTGTTTGTCTTTTCCTTGCATCAAGATTTCTTCCGAGTATCGAAGCCAAAAGTCCGAAGAAAACCTATCAACTAACTGGTCTTCTCATTTACTTATTATTAACAGTTTTAATACCAATTGGTTACTACACGAAGAAGCTCTCTCTCTTAGTCATCGTTGAAAACTATGTGTCATTTTTCATTGTGATAAATATCTTTGCAATTTTGTTCAGTTTTTATTTATTCAAGCGATCAGCAGCTGTTCGAGCTGCTCCGAATGCCAATCGTCCAATCGATTATTGGCACGGTCGAGAAAAAGATCCCATGCTCTTCGGAGTCGACCTAAAAGTGTTCTTTTATCAACCAAGTCTCCTAGGATTAGCATTGATCAATTTAGCTTTGGCCGAAGCGCAAATCACATATCATGGCGGCTTAACTCCAGGCATGATTTGCTATCAATTATTTTGGTATTTCTATCTGTTAACACATTACATCCGGGAAGATTTTATGCTATGGACGTTTGACATTATCGAAGATCATTTCGGATTTATGCTTGTTTGGGGTGATATGATTTATGTTCCGTTTCTTTACAGTATCGCCGGATGGTTTGTCGCTGACAATTATCGTGAACCCCTGTCAATCCCGTGGGTGATTGGTACATTACTGCTACACTTTACTGGTCATTACATATTTCGCGAATCGAATTGGCAAAAGTTTGATGTGCGAAAATATGGTTCGCAAGTGACTATCTGGGGCAAAAAAGCAGAACTCCTCGAAGGAAAACTTCTCATCTCAGGCTTTTGGGGCATTGGCCGACATTTAAACTACACTGGTGAAATACTTCTCTATTTATCAATTGCATTATGTTCTGGTACATTATCATTTGTGCCTTATATCTTACCATTTTCACTTTTGATTCTTCTCTCGCAACGTGCTAGTCGCGATGATCAACGCTGTCGAAAGAAATACGGTGATAAAACATGGAATCGTTACTGTAGCATCGCTAAATTTCGTATGATACCATTTATTTACTAAATGAAATACTAAAAACATAAACTTTCATTTTTTTTTTTACAAAACTAATCCAGTGATTTTTGCGATTGATTTTCCTTTTTTTTTCTTATACAAAATAAGCTCCACTGTTGGGCCGTAACAAAGTAATTATAGATAATGAACGAAAAATAAAAATATAGATAATCGGATCGATGAGAAATGTTATCAACTGTGTATACAAAACAGTCGTTCGAATTTGTACCTGTGTGCTTGGTATATGAAAGCATATGGTCAATACAATAAGAAAGAACGACCAAATAAGTAGGACATATGATGTGCATTGAAAACGTAGTTTTTCACGTGTAAGATTGGGATCATCGATGGTTAATAAGGCTTTCGCCAAACGACAATGAATTTCTTTCATATGACGACGGTGCGATATGAGCAGGAGAATAAATGGAATTAAACAAGTCAATGTGAGCACAAAAAATGTGTAGGAATAATTGAATGCGTAATTGACAAGACAAATTTGCAAAACTTTATCGAAAACAACCGATGCCCATTCGTTGCTCATGCTTGGGAGAGTAAATAAACATAAACATATGAAAACAAATATAAGTAGATATGAAATTCGTCGATAGGTGAGTGTCTGCCAAGATTTTTCAAATATAAAACAGAAATGCCAGAATAGTCGTAAGCCGATTGTCAAATGTAAATGAAATAATGTAAAAACATGGAGGAAAAAACTTTGTATCGTGCAGTATTTTGCTGACGCACTTGGATAAAACTTTGGAAGGAAATAAATCAGTATTAAACATAGCCAATTTGTTAGAAATGAACATGTACATAAAAGCACACTGAACGAGCGAATCGTATGATTTAGAGTCAACTTCGTTTCCAGACTATCTTCGGATGTTAACGAAGAGCACGATGAATGTGTCTCATCTAAAATATGAATTTTCTATATACATGGAGAAGTATCGATATCTTCTTACCTAAAGTCACTGGTTTTTCATCCGTTTGCTTAAACCAACGAGTGAGTAAGTTTCGTTTCGAGTTGACGAAGATGGTTGTGAAAAACATGATGTGAAGTAGAAGATTGACAATCAGATACGATAAACCAATCGTTATGATTAATCCATCGTCGTCCATCTTGCCTGCATACATCCTAATGTTGACGATAAGTTCCTATCTAAAAGAGATATGAAGAAAAGAAAACATCTCGATTTTGACCTAATACCAAGTGTTCCCATATGAGACAAGATATAGCGATTTCTTATGTGGGCTGTATATCATTCGCACGCCTTGATCACAATCGATCGGAAAAAAGAGAGAAAAAGCAAATTCACTCGACGTGATGTCCTATTATTTATGACGTGCTATTGTTTAGAATCAATACGCACACATACACACATATCGATCGTTATTGTCAAATGAAACGTTTCCCTTTTATTTATAATTATTACCAATTGACGGAGACGAATGAAATTTGTAGGAAATTTCACGCACGACGAAATGTTGCACACTCCTATGCCTTTCGTTCTTTTTTTTTGTACATTTTGCATCTAAAGAAAAGAACCAGGGTGTAAAAGTTAAGGATGAAAAGATTTGTTTATCTCGGCTGGTATTTTTTTTTACCAGTAGACCTCGATTGCAAAAAAAGATGTACTGCCTGTAGAAAGAAGGCAAACCAATCAATAAATACTAAGGGAATTACACCTTTATTATTAATTTATCGATAGATCCTCGGAAATGCTCAGAAGAGGATGAAAACGAGAAACGGTTAAGTCGCGGAGTGCATCTTTCTGTCGGTCGTAGTGACTCATCACTGCATGTAGAGATGGAATACCTGCGAGAAGAATAAGGTTATATGATAGATTTATTCTTAATGTCATTAGGACGAGAGCATCTATAAATAACCTTTTATTGCCTATTCGATGCATGATAGTGAGCTCGAGAGAAATGAAATTTATGTGAAATAATAAAAAAGAAAATCATTTACTTCCATGTGTGTATATATGGGCATGTTAATGTATGTATTTTTTCCTTCTATTTGGTCCAGATGACAAGAAAAATCAATTGAAAGAGAAAGAAACTAAAGTAGACCTTCGGGACACTTGATGAACCTTGAACTGCGAGGAAGAAAAATGTTGCACGACTTCGATTCTATGCTATATCATTACCCTCTTCCATCATCATTAGCACGCCCTAGAAATGATACATATTGTTCAACACTTATACATTAATTGAAGATGTGCGTACAAGAACAAGGAAACGTTTAAGTTGATCGATGATGTAATCGCAGAGAAGAAGATTTCTTCTAGTAAGCAAGAACGACAGCGGATTTTGTAATGACATATATAAATGGAAGAAAAATATGACGCGAAAAACACACTTTTTTCAACTTCTCATTTGGACGAAGGAAACATTGCAAATGTTCGAATTTAACCTAGTCATAGTGGTTGTTGCAACTACCGATTGCCTTCTCTCTTTCTCTGTTTCGTTGCCAGTCGTGTAAACAGCTGCTTAATTAAAATGTAACATTCTTTCCCATTAAAACAACATCACTCTACGTGTTTATAAGTTAATAATCTCAAGAGTTTTGTTTCATAAATAAAATTCGATCGTTTGTACCCATACTTCAACATGTTTTTATTGCTCATCGAATGTCTTGGGTACTTCTTCGTGTGACATGGCTGTTGGAAGGTTTCATCTGAGTTCATACCGATGATTTATCGTTCTTTCGTTTTGCCACAGATCCTATTCAAATAAATTTGTTTATCGTCATTGTCGTGACGACATTTTACAAGTATTCTTTCTATCCATATGTCATTTTGTACTACTGAATGTCATGTGAATGTACTTACATTTTCTTCCTACTATCATTTAGCAGATTCTTCGTCTGACTATGAAGTTCTAGTGAGCTCTTTTCGTTTCTACTCACGCAAATCATATGCTTAGCATTTAATAATACATAAACTTGATCTATACCACTTCCGTTTACTGATCTGCATAATTATAATCTAGCGGCAAGCTTAAAACACTTTATGCTCACATAGACTGATATTTAGTATTTGTATGTCTTTAGATGTAGAGCAAAGCAAATATCTTCGCTATTTTCGTCAATAATACTTACCAATCGTGAAAAATATGTCACATGTAAGGTAAAATAGAACGTCAAATTTTCACCCTCAAGTGTTATATTTCAACGTGTTTTCGAAAGAGAGTATAATGATGGATTTTCTTTTTTAATTCTTTGTTAGTCGAACGTGAGCAAAGCATATTCACATGCGATTCTCATCAGAAATAGAAAACGACAATAACACAACGGAATCAAATAACTTCAAGGTGATTCAATCAAACAAGAGATAATTTTTCAATTGATAAGATCTATTATCTCGATGCAGACCGAAAACTACATAGAAAATATCAAGAGAGACCCGTGACGTTTTTCCTACAATCTAAATATCTCGCATATCACCAACCATTTTGAAGTGTGCGAGCTGCAGCAGATGGAATAAACATAACTTTAATTCGCTGGTATGGATTCACAAGTTTTTAACGATTTCAAATGCTTGAATTTTAACAGAAAGTAAAACGACTATGTATGACATCTAGGCAATCTCTATTCAACAATTGGCTCCAATGCTGCGTTACATATTTGCATTTTTACTCTATCCTATCCTATCGTTGCCAAGGGGAATTTCAATGTAATTGCTTATCACATCTGCATTTTTGCTTATGGAAACATATTGATATCTTCCACTGCGTACTCGATTATAAAAAAGCCAAAAAAAAACAGTCGGTTTCTACATTCAGTATTTCTGTATCCGTTTGTTTTTCAGATCATAATAACTCATAACCAGTTGTCAAAACGGGTTCCATAAAATCAAAATCGAAATCTCAACCGATGGCAAAGTCTACATCTAGCGATGAACAGTCGCCCACATGGATCTTAGGTTCAGCATTGAATTTCATGGAAGATTATCTACGCAAATCATCCAAAGCGACTGACGATGAATTAACTTATCTGAAATCGATCTTAGATCTTCGAATCAAGAAACGTCAATCAACCGAAATCGGTCGAGCATCGTACGGGTTTCCGTCGGTAGTCATTGATAACTTTCTTTATCATGGCGATTTAGGCCATGCATCCAACATCGGTTTACTAAATCAACTCGGTATTCAACACATTATCAACATATGTGACTGCAAACTAGATCAAATCATTGTTGATAAATACAATGTCCTATGGATAAACTTATACGATGAATTACAAGCTGACATCAAGAAGTATTTCGATCGCACGAATGAATTTCTGTATAACTGTAAACAGAAGAATGAAAAAGTGCTGGTTCACTGTCAAATGGGAATCTCTCGCTCATCATCCATCATTCTTGCATATTTAATGAAGTAAGAAAAGAAGTATTGCTGATTGGATCCAATTTCCTTGTCTTTTCCCATTCTTATGTAGATACCATCATGATTCATTGTATAAAGCATACGATTATCTATTGGAGCGACGTCGAATTGCTGCTCCGAATCTTTCGTTTTTTCTGCAATTGATTCGTTACGAGAACGAACTACGTAAGACGAAAGAAATCGATGAGACGAAAGACCAAGACGACAAACAAAATCCCATCGAGAAACTCAATTCATCTATCTGACTTGTGCAATTTTTGAATTTTTATGTTTTGTAAAATGTGCGAATATGTCTGGTGCTAGACATACAATCTCTCGATGTTTTTGATTTATTTTTGTTCACAATTCTGTCTACGCGTACATCTATTTCAGATGAGCGACGAACAAATCGTTCTACTTTCCACAGAAGTCGACGCCTTCGCTGAAGCTTTAGAAGCAGTTGAACTCGAAGATATCGGCAAAACAAGGTAGAGAGATATGTTCTTTCGTATTTTTCATACTATTGGTTATTCTGGCAGATGGCAAACACAACATGAGTACGTCAATAAATTGAATATGCAGGCAATTCTTGAAGCCAGTCGAAATATACATGAATATGTACGTGAAGCGATAGTCAATAACGATAAAGTAAGTAGTGACTGTGTGTTGAAGTGAGAGAATAAATCGATTTACTTTCAGCTTCCAATTCTTGTTTCTCATCTGATCACAACGGAGATTTGGCGAGAGAAGATCTTTCGTGAATTAATTGCAATGAAGTTCGAACCACGTGTGACGTTTTCTATTTACATAATCGTAGGAGAAGATGAGTCGTATTGTTTTGATCAACCGAGTTCATTCTAGTTTTATCATGAAGCATCGCTGGTTAATCTATTGGAAACGTTGATGTATCATGAAGATGTTTGTACAGCATTTGATGATCAAATACTCGATCTAGTCGATTATTGTTATCGATTATTGACAGAGGTGATCCGGAAAATCAAGCATGAGTAAGAATACGAAGATAATTATAAATTTTTATCAACGACGACTCGATCTATTTAGAGAACAGCGAGCGCGTCAGAAAAAATCTGATGGAGATGGGAATTCGACGAATGATCTTTCTGAGAATATCAAAGTAACATATTTGAAAAGATACAATTCTCTTGTTTCATCTAACTAGTCTCGTCTAGGAACTATTAACTCAAGAAGAAACTCTTCGGTTTGACATGGCAATGAAAATGTTAAGTATCATTCGGTACATCGCTGATTGTTTACATAAGTACGAATGGATTGTCTTCTTTATCATCTGTTTCAGCTTGTTTTCTTTTGTTAGACTACCGATTAGTGTAACAACACGTTTACTGGATAATTTCGATTTCATCTTATTACTTGTTGATTATATCGAAATGAAGCCATGGGAAAAGATGCTCGATGATGGTAGGAGATCTCAATTATCTACTCGAACAACTACAGAATGTCTTTCTAATAGGAACGTTCATGCGACATATCGATGGGAAGTGGCAAAGAATCTCCCCGGAAGATCGATATCTGATGCCAAAAATAGAGGGACAAGTTTGGCTTGCACTGTATCAATTGCTACTCAGTCCTCATTGTTTACAAAAGTATGAATATACTGATTTTAATAAAAATCGTATCACGAAATTACGGGCTCATCTCAACGAAGTGGTTCTTGATCAAATGCCTCATCTTGTTCAACTGCAACGTTTTCTGGAACAATTGAGTTTTATGGAACCACCAGCTGTAAAAAAGCAACTCGTTTTAGAACAGGTATGTCAAGTATACATAGGAAGAGTTTCACAACGATTAAAATTTTTCTCAGGTAGCTGAATTATACGATCGAATAATACGTAAATATAGAAACCAATGGCGTGATGTTGCCGAAAAACAAGCGAAAACTGTTTTAAATCCGACAAAAGCTGAAGCACAACAACAAGCAGCACGGTAGATCATTTCATTGTTTTCCTTTATAAATCACCATTAAAAACGTGCATTAGATGGGCAAATACGATGAACTTCGATATCCTCGAGACGTTTATGAATGAAGCGCCCAAATGTGCAATGTGTGGTGAGCAAGCAACAAAACGTTGCTCACGATGTCAACGTGAATGGTACTGCCGACGGTAAGGGATAACTAGTATTGGCTCTCGGTTATATTCTTCGCTGTTATTTTCCTTATCTAGAGAATGCCAAGTGAAACATTGGTCGAAACATAAACCCATGTGTGAAATGCTAGTAGAAATGGTCAAAAATGAACAATCGATTAATTCCAAATGATAATATGTCTGATTATCCGTCCAATGAATGTTTTGTTCTCTAGAAAAATCCATGTCATTTTACTGATTTTTTTATATTGTTTTGTTTCAAAACACATGCACTATCGAATAAAAAAGGCGTTAAAACGCACTAAAATGCGGTATGAAAGTCTTCTCAGAAATATGTGTAATGTGTTCTTGCTATCTACATAGCTTCTGGTAGAATGTAAGAGATATCGTCCCATGGATGACGATAGAGACCTTGTCGAAGACGTTTCTGGTCGAGAAAATGACCGATGAAGCCGAGACTTCTTCCAAGTACAAAGAGACCATTTAATGCACCATTCTCAATAAATTCCGTGGCTTCTTCAAGAGTGAAACAACCACAATGACGAAGAAGATCAACCATCGCTACACCGATACAACCATCAACATTGAGAATCAAGTTTGGTTTCTAGAGAAAGACAATTTTCATCACAGGGTATGATTTGATTAGTGAGCACATACCTTGCTAACAGTAATCTTTTCAACTTCCAATGCATAATCAAGTAGTGGAGATGCTGGAAAGTGTTCTTTAACATATTCTTTGAGAAGAACAACACGCATATCCGGATTGTTTAGCTGAAGACAAGAAAACAAAGTATAGATGAGACAAACCCACTGTTGTTCATTACCGATTTAACTCGATGGCCAATACCCATAATCAATTGTCCTTCTTTACGCATCTTATTCACAAAGTCAGCTGGATGTAAACCAGTATCGTATGCAGCACTAAATTGTCTTGCAGCATCATCAAGTGCACCACCAAATCGATCACCCTAAACAAACGACAACATCAACATTCTTATGGAGGTACTCATTGTTTTTTATCTTTCTCACAATGGTTAGTAATCCTGAAGCTAAGCATGAAACTAAATCTTTTCCAGCACGTGCGCAGACAATGGTATTGTGTGCACCGCTGACAGCTGGACCATGATCAGCTGTGACCATAAGGACCATTTCTAAGAATTTGGTTGCATATTTCGGTAAACTAAAACACAATACTCTTTCTCGATTTTCCTACTCAAGATATAAAATTCAGACAAACCGTTTTCGGAACCAGAGTAAACTGAGTACACCTCCGATACCCATATCCTCTTTGATAACATCAGTGATAGGCATGCCGGCATACAATAATTCTTGACCTCGATCGTCAACAATACTTGTCATAAAACTGGCAGGTTTTCGGATCAAGCCAAGTTCCTGGAAAGACAAAAGTATACTATGACTAGTTGTTAGTGCTATGTTTTCTTCTATACTCGAGCCCAATCATAATCCATCGGTACGGATGGTGGCAACAGATCAGGTTTTGGAGTTAATTGTCCAGATTGAACAAGATCGACGAACACCGAACTAAAATATCGCAATCAATCTGATGTAAGATTATATTTCTTTTCTCATACTGAATTAAATCTCCAAGCTCATCGAAACTGTTTGGTACGAAAGCTCCAGCTGCTTTCAATGCCTTATTTTTCGCTACTGCTGTCTCTCGATCATTATCAGCATGCGAGCCAGCGTGACCAAATTGTACTTCGGAAGTGAACATCGATGCGCATGTGCCAATACACCAAGCGATCAATGGTTTAGTAATTCGTTTGGATTTCAATGCTTCACAAATATAATATTCTTCAATACCACCCACCTATCATCAAAGAAAAACTGTAGACAAGTGGTTTCTATCAGAAAAGTCAAACCTCGCCCAGAAGTACGATAACTTTCGCTTCGGGATCCTTTTCGTAACGAAATATGTGGTCTGTAAATGTTGTACCTGGATAACTGAAATGAATTGGGAGCATTTTTCAGTAATGACCTATGATAAAACGCGAATAGATGCTTACCGATCACCACCGATTGCAATACCTTCATAAACACCGTCAGAATTACGAGAAATAATGTTGTTCAGTTCATTGGACATGCCACCCGATCGAGAAACGTAGGCAACACTAAAACAAACGCAATTATGTGTTCTACTGTTTCGAATACGAGTTAGCGGATACATTACCTTCCAGGTCGATAGAGTTTCGACATAAGAATATTGTCCAACATACCACCAGTATGACCTATCTTAAAACAACCAGCTTTCAAGCCACCAACCTGAAATGATACGAAAATCGAGTACGTAATTAGTGCATTCGAAGAAAGTATGACATACTGTTGCTGGTCCAATAAGGTAGACACCTTTCTCATTTGCCAATCGTATCATGCGTCGTGTGTATTGTTCTGGAATGCCTTCAGCAATGATTGCAATCGAACGAATCTACAATCGAGTTCATTTTCACAACGAATACCACCACTACCAATTTTGATTTACTTGTGGATATTTCATTGTTTCAATGGTACTTTCATAAGCTGATCGTAACGATGCAAAATTGATCAAAACGTCCGCATCGGGGTGTCGTTTCATACAATCTGCCATATTTTTATAGCATGGAATAAGAATTTCCTCATGACCCCAGTAAAACTTCTGTTGATGGTCACCAGTGAATGGATAGATCATAGCGACCACCGATGGCTTTGTTCGACGGCAGACATGATCGAAATCAAGCATACCTTGCACAGCCTAAACAATATCAAGTCTTGCAGTTATCTGATGCTTTCTATTCAGATCGCTTACCTTAGTTTGCATACCCCACACAATTGCTCTGGTTGTATTTGTAAAAAGTGGCCGATTCATATTCTTTTCAACACCATTGGATAGTTTATGTGCGGGTGTGGAACTGACACCATTGACATGAGCATCTTCATTCTGGTAGAGTAGAACAGATACTGATTTATACTAAATAATCAATGATGAAGTACGAACCGTAACTGGCGGACGTTCCTGCGATGTACTTGAACTTCTGGTGGTTTTAAGTTGTTCATTGAAGTTTGTTTTTGGTTGCTATACAAACATTAGATACAGCTCTCGAACATTTTCGTGTAGTAAATCTACTTACATTAACACTCGTTGAAAGCAAGAAATTTGCTGTTGTTAATTCAGCTTGTTCAGGTGGAATAATCGGACGTTTACCTGCATAGATGGAAACTATGTAATAAAGGTTCATAAGAATCATTTTTTACCGAGCGCCATTCCAACAATAGCTGTCATATGTGTTTCAGGTCCAAAGACATGGATAGGTACACCTAATGATGCACCAACTTCGCGCATAATACGTAAACCTTCTTGATAGTTTGGACCAGCTCGTCGTACAAAAATCGATATTTTATATTCAATTAGACGTTCACGATACTCTTGCAAAGCTTTGACAATGCCCTGAAATAGAATCGTTATCACTCATACTGAAAACTACGTCTGTTTTCTTTCTTCCACATACTTTAAACGTTGCTGCTACGTTGGTGAAGTTAGCAATACCACCACCAATGATTAGAATCTTTCCATCAGCATTCTTGTCTTTTGTCATCAATGATAGAATTGTTTTGGCATATTCATAAGTCTGCTGTTCACTTGGCGCGCCTGAATATTCACCGTAATTGGCCAGTTCTGCGGAAAATCCAAGATCACAGATAGTATCACTAAAAAAAAAGAAAATAAGCCTTTCATTATTGAACAGTATTCAATTAACCTGTAAATGACCGATGCACCACCACCGGCAACCATAGTCCATACACGACCTTTGGGATTTAAAACAGTTAGTTTTAATGAGGCACCTGATTTAGCATCAAGTTCAGCAATGTAAGCTTCCTAGAAGTCTACTTAGGATCAAGAGAATTTGAATATAAATTCTTCGTACTTCAGCATAGGCATCTCGACCGAATGGTGGTGGAAATTCGATTTTACCCCATTTCGAAGCACATAAATAATCAGCTGTTTGATCGAGTCGACTTGCCAAATCCAAAATGTGAACTGACTTGGATGTAACTACTAATGGATTAACTTCTAAGTACGTAAATTGTAAATCCATATAAACTGCATATAATTTAGAAATAAATTCTGATAAAAGTCTAAAATCGCAACAAAATAGTCAATGAAATGAAAAGATTCTCGTTTGCAAACGTACGTTCGTCGATCATTTGGTACATTTTTCAAAAGAGTGTTTTCCATAGTTTTATCATCGAATGGATCATCGATAGCAACTAAATATTGCAATGCTTTGGAATCAACATCACCAATGTCGATACCACCTTCATGATGAAAGAGTATAACTTCACCTTCGCGATTCGAGTAAATACATATGTACATTTCATCCGCATTTTCATGACTAAGATACGGTTCAATAATAAAATGTTTCAATTTGCCTGTTGTGTGTCCAATCTGCATTTCAAACATGTGGTTTTTTTTATTGTGAGGGATGGAATACAACTACTTACAGATATCTCTTTGTTGAGATTTTCTGCAATAAACTCTTTCGCTCCTTGAAGGTCTACATTTGCTTTGATTAAACCAAGTTTTCCACGTCGTTTGATCAGTTGATCAGGCTTGGCAACCAATCTCTACAAAGCAAATCAATATGTTCGAACTGCCATCAGCGCGAATCTTTTCCTACTTCTGATTTTAACCAGGCATTGCTTGCAACTAGCTCATTCCAGTCCGTGTCAGCATCAATACCAACACATCGACATTCGGCTGCTGTTGAACCGAGATATTTATTCAAAATCTTTTTACCAGTAACTTCGTAAATTGCTTTTGTTGACATTTTAGTCGATTATCTGAAAGTCAGTTTCAAAGAAAGAATATTTTCGTGAGTGATATATAGTCAATTGATTCGGTAGTAACAAACAATGCATTTGAATCCATCTGTCGCCAGACCCACTGTAAATAACCTTTACTATTTTATCTCGAGGAAAGAAGAAAAAATAACGAAAGGCGGTCCATTTTGACTTCGACTATGATGTACTTATATATAATCGACGCAGAATGAGGTGATCGTGAGGTGAGCGTTAGGGGAAGCGTATGATCTTGGGGGTGATGTGTATTTGAATGTGCGAATGATAGCAGAAAGTCAACATTTGTTTTTGTACGTGAAACTGATAATATGCGTACATTCAAACGCGATCGTCGACTGATGCCATCTGTAAGGAGAATCGGTTGTCAACGAAGAAAACAGAGAAATGAAGTAGAGAAACAAAAAAGTAAATTAATAAAGCACTCATCGCGTGGATGGAATATGGCAAGTTCAAAATCGAATCAAAATCGTCAATCTTTGACTAAAAAGACGACAACTGTATTTCCTTTACCTAATGCAACCAAACCACGTTATAGAGTGGTGCATAAGACTGAAATCAATGAATTTTCTGATGATTTAATTTTGAGTATTTTTCGTTACCTGTCGCCCATCGATTTGCTCAATGTAGGCATTATCTGTCGACGATGGTAAATTTCACCTGCAAACCTTGCACATGCCATAATTCTTTGTTTTGCATCTTGTTAGGCATGCCATTTCTCAAGATGAAAGTCTCTGGCGTTCATTAGTTCACTCCTATGGCCTTCACCAAACTGTATCGAATCTAACAAGCAAACAACTAGTTCAAAAGTATCTCAATCGTCAAATTAATATTCAATTACAAAAGCTTTTTCCGGTTAAATTCGATAAATACAAATCGTATACCGGTGTACTTGATTATGAGACGATATTCCAAAAATATTCCGATCGGTTTCAGTTTTGTCTCGCGTTTTGCGATGACAAGCATAACGTCATCTGGTCACAAAAGTATGAGACAATTAAGTTTTTCGATATCAGTATGTCAGTCCGTTGGCTGGAGATAACAATGCCAGATTTATTAACTCGTATACATTTTCTCCGACTTTTCGTCAATGTTTCCATCAAGATTAACACGCGACCGAATCGTACTCGTTTACCGCAAGGAAATGAACAATTAGCAGATGTCACGGAGAAGCCAATTCAGTGCACTCAAACGATTCAATCGTTGTTACGCGAATATAAATTCGAATGGAATTTGTTTCGAACTCGATCTGTTCCATTAACAAAAGACCCTAAATCTCCTATACTTATATCCAGATTAGCAAATGAAGATGATCTTCTAATTGGTTACTACGAAAAAGATAAATCTATTGCTTTTGTCGTCTTCAATATTAACTACTTGTCATTTCGCGAACTTTTCTTTGCCGGTCTTCGTACAACAGATTCCACGATGTATCGTTCGTTGTCGAATCATATAGTTGGCTCACAGTTTCCAAGACCAAACGATATGGAAGTGTCTGTGTTCATCTGTCTTCGAAATATGACCACCAAATTCCTACGGCATCGGTTTGTTAACTGTCGAATAAAATATTCCCCATCGCCAGTCATTGAAATGATACGTATCACCGATATGAACAATGAATTAGGACCTGAGTTGTCTGAATTACCCAAATTCAACTGGAAAACCGGTATTTTCAAAGGAACAATCACTGATATCTTTCTCATTGATGTTATTGTATTAAATGAAGACAAAAATGTTTCATTTAGTGTCACTCTCCCTGCCACATTAACTGCAGGCAACGTTGGCGAGGAATCCAGTCAAGGAAGCGATTATATTCTTTCATCAAATGTATGGAATATCAAAGCAGCATCTCAGTGCAATAATACCATTCAACTCAACGGAACTATTATGCGGCTTGACAGTGAATATTGCGCCTTGGGACGAGATTCACAATCATGGCATTTACAAAATATGACTTGTTCTTTTTGATTCTCTGTTGTATGAAATGTTGATTCATTGCGTGCGCTCCAAGATTTATTGCTTATTTTTCACTTTGATGATTCGGTACTTGCACAACGTTGAGTAAAAGAAATACGTTATAAAAAAACACATTTGTTCTGTCTTGTAACTTTTGAAATGGAATGAAGTATGTCGATGGCATCAGATCAATACATTGCATACTTTCCCGACTACGCACACAGTCTTTGTCAACGATTCGTTAAAAATACAACACGACGTGATGCACTTCCAGATATCCAATTTTTCCTTGCTCACTATCGAGCATTTCCATGTGTATTAAAATGCACCGTTGGAAAATCTAATGATCTATATCACAACGCATCCATTTTACACTACTTGCACAGCGAATTCAATCATGAACCCAAAAATGACGTCGTTATACAAAAATTTCATCAGAAATCGAAGCAGTTCTATGCGACGTAAGCATTTCTGAAAAGGAAGATCTAAGTTCATTCGTTTCTTCATCTAGTCTTCGTCTTTGCGACCTTCAAAATGGTATTATAATATATATGAAACATGCAAACTTAGTCTTCGATGTTGACAATCCGAATAATTGTATTCCAGATCTTATGGATGATTATTTTCTCGTATCCAAACAAATTTTGGTCTATCACCTTCCAGATGTCGAGAAGCAAGCGCATGATGTCGCTCGTGAGATTACCAAACGAATTGTATTCCTTAGAAAAACGCTGCGATTGCGTTTAATTTGCAGTCGACCACAAGCAGGATTGTGTTTGAAATGTATTCAATTAAGGAAACCCTTGATTTATGACTTGGCATTACATTATGGAGAAAAGTTTGTACAAGTTCACGAAAGTATTCTGAAGAATTTGAATAAAACTGACGGACACGGCATTGTTCTTCTACATGGATTACCTGGTAGTGGTAAGTGACAAGCACTATGTAATGTAGTCCTACGTAATTTCAGTATTGTATAGGTAAAACGCATTATATTCGTTATTTGATCGGTGAGATAGATGATAAATCACTAATTTATTTACCCCCGGACATGGCCAAAGATCTGACGAAACCGGAAGTATTAACTTTTTTACTTGGGCATCCGAACTCGATATTAGTTATCGAGGATGCTGAAAATATTATCGGCGATCGGAGTGAACAAGTTTTGAATATGAACCAGGCTGTTGCGAATATACTGAATTTATCCGATGGGTTACTAGGTGATGCGATACATATGCAAATCATCGCCACGTTCAACTGCGACTTAACTGTGGTTGATAAAGCATTGCTACGCAAAGGAAGATTGATTGCACAGTACAATTTCGGCAAACTCGATGTAAATAGTGCGAAAATTCTCTCGACAAAATTAGGTTTCGGAGTGGAAAACATCACCGCACCGATGACTTTAGCCGAAATTTACAATCAAGAAAAAGAAGAGGAAAACGATACTCTTGTTTGAAGTGACATAGTTTTGTATTAAAAAAGAATGAAAATATATATTTTAAAAAAGATCATTCTAAAATATAATTACAATTGATATGATAAGCGGAATAAGAAAGATATGAGTGTATGTCATTCGGTGAGAATCTTTGATCACAGATAAGTTTATCAGATCCATTTTTTCTCAAAATTGAAATTGAATGATTGTTTTACCGCTGTACGTGGTGTGTATGAAGCAGGACCAGGCTGTTCAGCAGCTGTAGTGGTATCAATGGCCCATCGACTGGTGTTAGAGACAAAGGCTGCTGAGGACATATATTTCTTTTCGACTTCTTTAAAACCACAAACTTCATAAGCGCCCGGACCAGGGAATGGTGCTTCAGGTGCCGGTGGAATGGCTGGCGCTGAAATGGTTAAATACGGATGGCGTCTAAAGGAAAATATAAGTTTAAACGAGCTTGTGTGATAGAACATACGGAAAGATTTGTCGGTTTGGTTCTTCAGTCGGCTTCTGAAATGGTCGGTAATCAGCTGGTCCTGGCAACTACAATAATAGAAGGTCGATGCTTATCTAACCTAGGTGTGAATTAGACATATACTTCAGGTCCGGATTGTGATCCGAATGCATCTCGTTTTGAAGTTGATTTAAAGCTGGATTGATGGATAGGTCGTAATGTTCGTGTAGCTGTATCGTCGACATTGTATGCATCTACAAACGAAAACTTCGTTCTTTGTTCACATGAAGCAAGAGCCGACACGAACCAGGAGCTGGTGAAATAAAGTGGTTGTTTGTTTGAGCGGATCGTCTTGTATGTGAAAGGAAAGCTGCTCTTGCTGCAACGTTGTTTGCTTTTCCCGTTCGCTTTAAACCTCGTGTAACCTGCAAGAAACAATGGAAAATAAATTTCTCTTGACAAAAAAAACGGTATGAATAACCAACATCATATTGATTCGGTGCAGGAAGTGATGTTTTTGATGAGAGTGGCCGTTCGGCAATGGGCTTTTGAAACATACTGGAATATTTTGCTCGATTGAAATCATGGTAATTATTGCCGAATCTGGATGAAATATTATAGGTTGTAGGCGCTGGAGCGCTTGACACACCATTTGTAAAACCCTCTCGTCTACTCTATATTAAAGATGTCAATACACTAACAGACATTCATAGTATTTCAACAAACTTTCGAAGCGAAACCGCCGGAGCCTTTTTTTGAATCGGACGTTTTCTCCAATTGTTTATCGATCGCCTGTACAGTTTGATATTGGCCAGGACCCGGTGTGAAGCTCTGCAGTAGAAAATTATATCAAACATGCAGTGGAACAATTGAATGTTTTGTTTTACCGTTTCGTATTGAAAACGCTTAGCAGTCTGGTAAAAGCCTTTTCTCTCATTATTTTTACTAACAATTGTTAGATAACGTGATGGAATCGATGCAACACCAGCAGATGCAACAGTGAATCCTATGAAGAAATTTCAATTGAGAATACTATTTGAAAAAAATCAATCTTCCACCTCGTTGAACTTTGGCGCCTTCCGATTGCACTCGTTGAGGTTTCTGAGGCATCTCACCTCTCACGATACTATCCGTTCCTGAAATGGTCATATCTAAAACAGCAACAGGAATATCATTTTATTTAATATCAAATGGATTCTTTTCGCCTGTCTGAGCACACTCATCCATCGACTTTTCCCAATTTTCGCCATCAAAGTCAAGATATTCAATCGATTTTATCGTATCACTATCGATACAATGTGGCATAACACCATAACAATCGGGATTACTTCGTGGTTGATAGAAGCTCTGGACACCACATACTCGACAAAACATATGTTGAGCTTTATGCGTATTGAACGTGTATGTTGTTAGATGATCCGCACCAGTTAACAATTTGAATTGCCGTTTTGGAATAATAAAATGATTATTTTGTTTCTTACGACAAATGGAACAATTACATCGAAATACGCGTATATCAGCAGGTGCTTCGACTTCAAACTTAATTGCACCACAATGGCAACTGCCTAGATGTTTAACTAACATATCTAAAACGGCAAAACAAACAATTAATTGACTAGTTAGATGGTATGTGTATTTATTAAGAAAGAAATCATGTTCTATTTATCGTCATCTTTTTCTTCCTTTTTAGCTCGACGTTCAGCACGTATCTCCGTCCATTTCTGACGTTCCATTGTTTTCATATGCTCCATGAAATTCACACCGAAACCTTTAGTAAAATAATTCGTTGTATCGAAATAATCACCATCAGGTGCATCATAGTTCGGATTCGGAAGACTATAGAGAGGTCCACGACGAATAAATGGAATTAACTTTTTATCTACCTGAAAATATAAGTTATGTATCATCGATCTGTATAGAGCATTTATTCATTCATACTTGTATTGCTTGTTCGTAAAGTTGTTCACTTTCTTGTTTCAACTGTTCTAATGCACTTTCTTGGGATTTGATAGCGCGAGAGATGAAAGTGATCTCTTGTTGATGTTGTTTATGCTTATGTTTAGCCCAATCACGATTTAACATCAGTCGACGCGTCGTTTCTTCGGAAGTCAATTCAGTAGGTGCACGTTTTCGAACGCTAAAAGCAAAGAATTGATACAAACCACTTTTCTGATCGTTCTTTCATACTCAAGTTCCTTGAGAATTCGTCGTTCGGGTTCGTACTCATGAACAGGTTTTAATTGAAGTTTGAATTTTTCTAATTTACTAATCACTTTCTCATACCGACGTCGTTTACGATCTTCTCGAATCTTATCCGACATTGGATCGGCTTTCTTCTTCGCTTTGGTCGGCATGGCATAGTTGATCGCTGTCGTATGAATAGAGCGGGTCCATGTATTTCTTAAGAGAAATATTGATGTCGAGAGAATATTCCTATTCATAGTTAAACTAAATATAACAAAAAAGCGTCGCTTACGATGGTATCTAGAGGAATTTTGTCTGCTGGTCGTTATGCACCAATCAAAATAACATTGTATTCGAATATTTGATTGGTTAAGCGATTGCGCAATACGATTACACGAAGTTGAAATAAAATGAATGAAAGTTTTTTTCGAAATTTTCAATCATGGTTCGTCTGACACCTGAAGTTATCGAAAATGCTCCTCAGTATCTCAATCCCGTCGGACAATATGAACTTTGCCTGCGAGGTAAATACAACAAATCGATCGAACACACTTTTCAATGTTGCATCTTTAGATCTGAAAATTCCACTGATCGAAAATTTAGGTGCAACATTGAATCAATTCGACACACTCGATCTGACCAACAATGATCTTCGGAAACTCGATGGTTTTCCATTTCTACCCAAGATTAAAACACTCTATCTGTCGAATAATCGTATCACGTATGTGATTTAATCAAATGCCACTAAAATCATGAATTGTGTTCTAGTTCCATTGCACAAAATCTCGAAGAATACATTCCGAATTTAGATACGGTTATCTTAAATAACAATTCCTTGCAAAACTTAGCAGATATTGATCCGTTATCAACTTTACCAAAACTTGCACATGTCAGGTATGAGTTTTCATAAAACTCAAAGAAAAAGATATATTTCTCTTCGGCAGCTTTATTGGCAATCCGATTGCGATGACGAAAGATTATCGACTTTATATAATTCATATGCTACCGAATTTACGTACACTTGATTTCAATCGGATCACTAACAAAGTAATGTTACAGTAGAAAAGTTTATCATACTTTTGTTTTTATTTCGATTTTTCAGGAACGTGAGTCTGCTAGTAAAATCTATAAGTCCAAATCAAGTAAAAAGAACAAGAAGAAACAAAATCAGACGAATACGTTTGTACCCGGTGAACAGTTAACACAACGGCCAGCATCTCGATTGACAAAGAAAGATGCAGAAGCTATCAAAGTTCGTACATCGCTCGCCGTTGTTTTCTTATCTCAATTTTATTGTGATCGTTTAGAAAGCTATCAAAGAGGCAAAATCTCTTGAGGAAATGGAGAAGTTAACAGCAATGTTACAAGCCGGTCATATGCCGAATCTAAATAATGATGGAAACAATGCAAATTCGAATACTTCAGGTGAAATTTTGTTAAAAAGAAATGAAAATTGTTAATAATTCTTGTCCCCTAGGAACGAATCTCATGGAAATTTGAGACAATATGATTTTAACTACCTGTTTATGTTTACTACGATTGTTTATTTTTATATAAATAAATCGAGATAATGGAATAAAGAGTCGGATCAGTTGATTACGTTTCTATTTTTTCAGATAACAATGGCAACTGAGAACGATATTGTTTCGACACCCGAATGTAGGTGAACTGACAAACGAACTAATCTTCTCAAATAACATAGCGGGCACATATGAGTTCTGTTTGTTTTGTAGTGATACATATTGCGGATTTAGCCCATGCTCGAGCTCAGGAACTTCAGGCACTTTTACACGAACTCGGACAGCGACAAGATAAACATCGAACTGCTCTTCAAATTTTGCCACGCTATATGCGTCGTCGCGCAGCAAGTTACAATATCAAACGTTTACCACGATCACTTCGTCCATTAGCTGATCCGAAAACCGTAATTTAATTCGTGAAAACATTTTTGCTTTTCTACTCACTGTTTGTCAAGGGTACAGCCAAGACCAAGCGACCCTCTCGTCGTTATCGTCGTCGACCTCGAGATCTCCTTTCTTCGTATACAAATCGACAACGAAAAATAAAATGGTTGAAAACGCATATTTGGCATGCAAAACGATTTCATATGAATACATTTTGGAATTATCGTCTTGCGGAAAGATCGAACTTGAAATCTATTCGACCAACTTATAAATCTTTACATGAACGTTGTCTGATACATGTAAGCTTCATTCTCTTGCTTCACAAAACGTTCTTCAGTAGCACTCATTCAGGATATGTCGTATTATGGATGCATTGAATTAGAAGGTCAAGAAGACGAAATCGTTGAAAAGTTAAAACCGCTATTTTCATTATCGAAGACTAATCTAACACCAAAAGCAAAAATGTATCTCAATGGACAATTTGAAGGCCAATGTCTTGTCTATAAACCGAATACTCAAGAATGTTTGACACCCATTAGTTTCATGTGGATGCCGGCGAACGACAAACAACGTCGAAAACTGTGGCTATGGTGTCATCCGGCATCATACGATGCATTAGCTGAAATTCTCTCTTCACTCTTCAATACGTCAGTTGATAAGTCAACTGATGAACCACCGACAAAGAAGCAGAAGAATGACGATGATGCAACTATTACGCTGCTAAGAGATCAACAAAAATTAGCTCGTTTTCGTCTTATTGGTCCACTTGCAATGACTATTCTAAAACATGCATTACACCCGAGTCTGTTACCTGGCAATCCCATTGAACGAAGTACAGCTCCAATAGCATGGTGGTGTACTGATGCTCATTCATCTGATATACATCAGCAGCAACTACAGTTTTGGAATAGCAATGCAGGAAACACATCGACTATGATGCCCAATCGAATTGTTTCAATGGTTGTCCGAGATCCACGCGTATTTACACCGACCAAGCCCAAATTAACAATTCATTCAAAGGCGAATATTAACAAATCAGATGTCACTCCTCCTCCAGCAACGGATCTTGCTAGTTCACCTCTATGGAATGAAAAACATCGCACACATTGTTGCGAACATATACTAGCTACTTATCAAATTAACCTTCTACGATCAAAAGCAACCGCAACTGATAGTAAATAGCCAGTATACAGTTTGATATTCGCACATGCCTTTGAATTTAGATAATGAATTGCAGTTAAATGAGGAAGAATCACAAATTCCACTGATATTGATTCATCATCATGATTTACTTTCACCGACCGCAAAACCTGGATCAATGCGGAACGATTTAGGTAGTGGATGGGATATTATTTTGCCCAATGATTGGGCACAGATATTTTGGATTTCATTCATTTACAGTGGCGCTAGACCTATTGGTCAAAAAGAACTCTCGCTAGTTGCACATGAAACAGGTATACTGAGCTAACAATGCACTCCAGTTGTAAGCAATCTAATTCTTCTAGGAGAATTTCAATTTCCCCAAGAATATCCGGATACAGATGCTGGTATTAGTTGGACATCGAAACTTGAATCGGAACAATTAGCTCACTTTTCTAAATGTCCACCTTCGAAACGACCGAATTTCTTTCTCAATGGTGTTGTTAGTCCATTTCGTCCGCTCTGGTCAAATATCGTACGCGATTGGGCAAAGGAACACGATCCAACAAGCACTTCAGCACCTTCGGATCGATTCTATGTTTTACGCGACCGTCAACAACACTCAATTGATTTTCTCCGACAACATCTTCATTCCTTAATACCCATTCGCATTAGTACGAAAGGTAATAAAGGTGTCATTGATGATACAACATTGATTTATTTACCAACCAAAGACGATTTGAAGAATAGTCAGATACCAGTGGTCGAACATCAACATCGTGATCAAGCTCGAATTGAAGAACGAAAAATGGAGAAGGCCAAGCGACCATTTCGGCGAGGACAAACAATGGTGAAACTGATCGAAGAACGAGCGAAAAATGTCGAAAAAGACATCATTCACGAATGCGATCGAAAGTTACTAGGTTCAATAACAAGTGGAGCATTTCAATTATCTCATGCCTACTGCACAGGAAAGGGTTTTATCGCAACTGCTGGATTGTTGACACTTTTACAGATACAAGAAGCGAAAAAACAATCCGTTCGTGTACTTATCCGCACAACTACATCGCAATACTATCGATGGGCATTGTTAGAATTTTAGCATCTAGGAAATCAATGCTTGCTTTTCTTTCATAAGTTGTAGACAATTTTGTTAATACTATACTACCGTGATAGGATATCTAACGAAAATAAATTTACACTGTTATTTCCCAGTATTCGTTTGTATGACAGCGACGCCAACCTTATACAGGTACGTTTTGGTGAATGCGAAGATCTATAAATAGATGTAACCAAAGAGCGTCTTTCGTTGAGAGATTAAAACGTGATATTTTCGACTATATCGATATTGATTGCATTTATCGAAGCGAGAAAGTGAATAAAAGGTGTGCATTGCTTGTTTTTTTTTCTATCCGTGGAGTATAGAAAATGGTCTACACAATAATTGTCGTAAGTAGAATGCAGATTATCGAAGAATTGGTCTTATGAATTGATTTTCTAGCATCTTGTTGCTAAACCTGAACATGTTGATAAAGTAAAAGCAAAATTAATCGAAGCTAGTCGAGTTTACAAAAACGACAAAGAAACAATCGACTGGCATGTTGCTCAAGGTTTGTGTCTCATTCTCGATCAACTTTGCCTACTAACTATTCTATTGTCAGATGTTCATGATCCATGCAAATTTTCCATTGTGGAACGGTATGAGCAAGAAAGTTCACAATCTTATCATTTAAACAATCCCTACTGGAAAACATTTGATCCGTATGTGAAGCCATTGCTTGCCCAACCGATGGATTTAAGACGAGTTATTGAATTAGATACAAGTGAAGATGTCGACGTACCTAAGCACAATATTACTGAAATAACTTATCAAGAATAAACTGAGCTTGTGAAAAACGTGTGTCTTTTTGTGGTATTATTCTATCAAAAAGGTTGCAACATGTTTATTTTCGTTCCGAAGATTGTGATAAAAAAAAAGTAATGCGCGCAGGAAAATTAGAAAAAACATACACATCACAAATCAATATAATTCCTTATGTGCTTTTTATAATTAGGACGAAATCGAATCAGCAAGATGTTTTCGATGTAGTTCTTCACATTTGACTTTCAATTTCGCGAATTCATTTTGAATTATATCAGTTACTGCCTTCCGTATTTCTTGCTGAAAGAACAAACGAAATAGAGTTTCATAGTCTGAAGAATCGATTACACTATACCAATGATTGGTTTTCGCTTTTCATTTTTTGTACAAGTTCATCGAAGACTAATGGTTCCCCGACATAAATGCTAACTTTTTGGCCCCTTTGAGGAACATATGGCTCTGTATTCGGTAGAACTGAATCCATCCCTAATGAAATCGAATTCTTAGTCATTATGATTCGACTGGGTTTTTTTCATACCGAGATGATAAAATGGAACAACCAGAGGACATATAGTTGCCTCGGCAATCAGCCGACCAACACCTAAATTACCACTCGTGGCAATGCTGATTCAATTCCGATTCAACCTTACCCCATTTGAGCCTCATAAATTCTTTTGATAGATTTACTTTTCCTACAATACAACAGGAGAGGATATGCCTCAATTGTATAAATAAAACCGTTCACCTTCTGGAAAAATGTGCACCCATCCACCTTGATTGATTTGTTCTAAAGCAAAATCCATCGGCCGTTGATACACGCCATCACCTCGGGTCACGGGTATTATTTTTCCCAAACTGAAAAACAACTGGTGTCTTGGCAAGGTGAACACAATATCATCAGCACCAATGCCCCAACGCATTCGATGACGATTCCAGAAAGTGCGCAATGGTAAAGTCGCTCCTAGACATAGCAATAAGAAATGATCATGCATTGATATAGATCTCGATGAAATCGAATATATGTAAAACCAGAGAGAAGAAAGAATACTATTGTCTCATATACCGAGTAACAATGGATCGTCCATACCTATTTTAAAAACAGAATAGAAATATGGCATTGAACATGTTTTGACAAATCTTACAACAATGATGATTAGCAACGGTAATCAAGGGTCGATCGGGATCTCGATTTAATACAGCATTGACAAGAATTTCACCTTTTCAAACATGAAATGTTATATAAGGTGTATGAGAAACTCTGTGAACCGTTTACCGTTTTCTACTTGAACTGAAGTTAAGTATTCTACAAATGAGCACAAAATATCTCATGGTTTGCAATCGGTGTCCATTTATTATAATTGACTCACTCATCCAAGCTTTGCTTAGTGACCCGGCAAGTCCAATCGTGACGGCTGAAACTGCTTTATAGAATATCGATGGTTTTTCTGGAAATGGCCAATCGAATGAAAGAGGCATGATCTAAAACATGTCGTCATGTCCTCGATATAATCATCGTCAATTACAAGTGAATGGCATACAAGCAATCTGATTTATTTCCATGTATATATCACAGCAATGCAAAATAAACAGAAAATTGAACGATCGTAAAAAAATACAAATTGATCACTCATTAGTTCAAACAAACATTACAATACGCTAAAAACCTGAAATGTTCACATTCATCAAAGTTCTTGACGAACATTTGTCGATTCTTCTTTTTGCTCAGCCGTAGCTCCATTCTCATTTGTCGTTTCTCGAAGTGATTTGAACGAGAGAAGAATACTCTCACGTTCTACTAATTCTTGTTTCTTCTCCTTATTAACCTAAAACAAACGCATTGTTCGTTACTTCTCAATTTCAAATAAATGCAAACTCTCAGTGTGTGAGATATTGAGCTCATTGAGAAAGAAAATTTACAGCAAATATCGTCATTTACTCTCTCGAACAACTCATCAATATAATCGTATATTTATTTCCGTAGACCGAAGAGTTCAGTATATATAATTTTGCTAACCATACCAAACTATTTCATGAATACAGAATGTAATACACTTTTGTAAAGATTCGCATTTGAAAGAGTAAACTTCTATAGATGCCGGAAAAGATTTCCCTCAGCATTAGCATGGCAGGTATCATCATCGAGTTTGCAAATGAGATCTCATATATGTACCTTTCCCTTGAGAAGATTCTGAATGCGTCGTACTTCACGATTGAAATAGTCGATGCCATTTTTAACAACCGCTTCCATGATTTTAACATATACTTCACCACTAAATTTCAAAATCTAGTCGAGCAACTTGTCGGCGAACAAATTCTCACCTCGCCTTCTCTTTCTGATTATCCATACTTGCCACTAGATTTCGTGCTTTGTCTAATATCGCATCTCGTTCATTGTCATTCTTATCAAAGGTTGCATCAAAAAAGTCGCGAGCAATCCCGTCCAGAACTTCCACTGTGCCGTTCAAACCAAGCCAAACATCTAGAAATATTCTCGTTAGTGAAAACACTCAGAAGAATCGATTTTACTTGTATGTCGTAGAAGAAAGCGTCGAAGATCATCTGCCGATCGATCGCCAGTATAATGAATTGGTTTAGGTTTACCCTTAAGAAATAATCTGTAGATGGGAAATTCCGGTTTGAACGCCTGATAATCGAGCGCAAAGAGAAAATTCTCTTGTTCATCGCGGTCAGTCACAGGAACTTCGGCGATGATGAAATCTTTCGACCTGACGACACTCAATGATATCGATTTGAAATCATCTTGTAAACCGCCGAAAGCTAAACAACAATATGAATGCTAAGTTCGATGCATATTCGGATACATACGAAATTTATCATCGAATTTAATCAGAACGGCATCGAAGCGGTGTAGAATCTTTTCGAAAGTAAGCACGTCGATTGTCAATGTACCTTGTGTGTGTCCAAGATGTGATGTTGATGCTGATGTCAAGACGAAACAGCAGATGACAAGCAGTAAACGCATTCTCTTATCGCCGAAATTTCAATTTCAAACGAAAAATGAATGAAGGACGCATTTGTTTGTATTATATACACTTCGTTGAACAAAGGCAACCAATGAAACAATGCCGCGCTTGGACGTTTCATCGATTGTGGTGACGCCGATTAAAAAAACAAACTTTTCCGCTAAATATCCATCTATAATGAATGGATCATGTGAAGTTTAATGGATCAAATAACAAAAAAGAAGTTTGATTTGAGGAATGTATGAAAAAAAAATGAAACTAAGATTGTCACACACGGTTAAACATCAAAAAGAAAAGAGTCTCTCACCAACACCAACACTCTTGAATATCACGCGGTTCAGTCGAAAAAAAAACTTGTCTAAGAATCAGCAAAAACAAAATATAGAAGAGAGTGTTAGACTAGCACATGGGATATTTAATAACGAATGTAAGTTTGTATCCTTATAAATCGAGTTTCTTTCTAGCATCTTTGATGAGTTCTTCGGCTTTGTCTTTGCCGGCTTCGTAGAGTTGGCCAGTTTTTTCTAGAGCTTCCTTGCCATATTCTTGACCAAGCTCGACTGCTTTAGCAGCGAATTCTTTACCAGCTGAAAAAAAATCGAGTCAGCGTGTCATGAAATCGAATGTCAATGTACGATGTTTACAAACCTTCGAGAGCAACAGGTACTTTCTCTTGTAGGATTTCACCGGCTTGATAAGCATACTCACTAGTGGCTTTCATCGCTTCAGCTGCGAATTCTTTTGCACCTAGAGTAATGGAATTGATGTTCGAAAAACACGAAATCCTACGTTAAAATCCATTTACTTTTGATTGTTTCAGCAGCTACATCTTCAAAAGTTTCTTTGGCGAGTTCGGTGAAGACTTTTCCTTGTTTCAAAGCTTCGTCAGCATATTCGCTGCAATCAAATAATAAAAACAAAATGTTGTTAACGACAAAAAATAGGAATTACGTGGCGTATTCTTTAACCACTTCAGCACCGTGAGCTAAATATTCATTGCCAGCTTCAGCGGCGTTGACAGCTTTCTCACTGAGTACTTCAGCGTATTCTGAACCAACTTTGGCAGCTTCAGCAGCTTTTTCTTTGATAACATCGGTAGCTTCGAGAACTTTTTCCTGAAATGAAGAAATTCTCTTGAAAAAAATCTAGCCGTTACCATCGCTGTACAAACTTTGACAATTTCAGCACCTAAATTCAACAAAATCAATTGACAGACATTGATTTCAAAGATATCCTACCAGCGGCAGCCGTTGGGGCAACGTATTCTTTGAATACTTCTTGAGTTTTTTCGACGCTGACATGAGCAGCTTCGACAACTTTTTCAACACCAACATGAGCAGCTTCAACAACTTTTTCTTTGACCACATTCAATGTTTCGCCAGCTCCAGCAGCTTTGTCTTTGACAACATTCAATGTTTCACCGGCTACAGGAGCAACCTAGACAAAGAGTATCACATTCATCCATTAACATCGTATCGATTTTTTGACATTGTCTATCCTACATAATCATTGATAACTTCTTGTGTTTTTTGTGCACCGGCAGCAGCGAAGTCTTTTGTTGCTTTGGCAGCATCAACTACTGCTTCTTGACCGACCTTAGCTGCTGTTGCAGCAGCATCGGATATATATTCACCTAATGAAAATCAAACACAATAGATACCGTTGCAAACACTATCAAAAACGATTAGAAACAGAAGAACAAACGTTGCTTTTGTTACTATTAACTGACAAAGCCCAAAATCTCTCTACTTACTACCGTCTGCTTCTACGAATTGCGGAAAGAAGTTTGTATATTCTCTTTTCCAATCATTCAATTTTCCTTTTCACTTACTAGCAGTTTTTGCAGCATCTGCAGCAACTTTTGCTCCAGTGGCAACACTTTCGGATACAGTATCCTTGATATGACTTGCTCCTTCGACTACATTATCTTTGAGATGTGTAGCGCTGTCAACGACTTGATCCTTCACTGTTTTACTTTTTGCAGCGGTGTTCGACACGTAACATGCAATAACAATTAACAAGAAAATGCTTCGAAGAAGTTGCATTGTGAATAAATGTATTTGTTGATTGAGCTGGATCTATAATACGAAATAAAACAAGATAATGATGTTATTTGTTTCAATGGATCTAACAAGATAAAATTCGAACAATTTTCTTTATTTGTATTCTCACGAGAAAGAAAGAAAGAAAGAAAGAAAATCACACGTGGTCAGACAAAAACCAAAAACTCCAATCCATGAAATTACTGAATAGTATCTAGTCTATGTATATGTCAATCATTCCCAATAATGACTTGCGAGTTTAAAAAAAGTAATATACACACATAAAATAGTGATGAGTTGCGCAAAAAGAAACACATAAAAAAAAGAGAAGATCTATGGAATGATGTATTCCGCAATGCTGATATGAATAATACACAAAGGAGGTTAAGCTGGAAGTCAGTGAGAAGAAAAATGCTTGATTAATTTGTTTTCGTAAAGTGTAGAGGAGAGGAAACAACAAAAGAGGATGAGTAAATACTGAGAATTATAAATGTCATTCTATTTTGACTGATTCGCTTAGAGATCAACGGTTTCCTTGACTTTCTTCTTGGCTTTTTCGGCCGTTTTCTTCGCTTTACCGGATACTTCATCGAATTTCGATTTAGCTTGATCAGTTACATCGGCAGCGGCCTTTGATGCTAATCCGATAGTTTCTAGAAGGAAAAACAAAGAGAAAGTATTTGTTTGTTCTAGATGAAAGATAATCTTGTACCGAAAATCGAGTTTTTCACATCGATGAGGATACTGAAGAGTTTATCGCCGAGACCTTCACTTCGTTTTTCAACTTGTTTCTTTGCATCTTTAGCAGCCGATTTCAACTTTTCACCAGTTTCACTGGCTTGACGTTTGAGTTTTTCACCATGTTCTATACATCAAATCAAAGTCAATCCAAAGAACAAGAGGAAACTTACTTGCAGCTTGTTCGGCAACGTTATCAGCTGCCTTCTTGGCTGCTTTCGCGGTTTCACCGGCGGCATCTCGTCTAAACAACACAATTATCCACTAATTTACTCTTTTTCTTCGAAAAAATACATACAAATCTTCCACACTACCACTAGCTTTCTTCTTGAGCTCTTCACCAGCTTTCTTAGCTTCATCGAGTTTTTTACCAGCAACATCTTTCGCTTGTTCTGCTGCTTTTTGACCGGCCTTAAATGCTTCAGCTAAACATTATCAACGATAAGCGAAGTTTCAAGAAACTTTCTTTCAATGTTTACCAGCTTTATCTTTCAGTACGTCAACGTTCTCATGAAGTATTTCTGACGCTGAATCAGCAGCAACTTTCGCATTGACGACGCCTTCATTCACAATATGAGCGACTTTTTCCTAGAAAATATCCCAAACATTATTTGTAAATAACCCACATACTTTCGCATACTTTAACTTTTTCACCTTGATGTAATGCTTCGGATGCTCTGTCTCTGATGTCATCTTTGATATTACCACTGACAATGACGAAGCATATGACAGCGAATATGATAGCTTTGAACATGATTGTAGAAAGAGAAGTTTTCAATAAAACAATTGACTAATATCTGAAATAGATGTACAGACGTTTGGCTGACTATTTTATCTTATGCATCTTTATTTTGGAAACCATCAACATATTCCGTCGAAGTGTCGCCACATGTCAAAATTGCGAAAACGTTGATGTTACCGATGACTATCTTTTCTAAGTTCACGTGGCGATTTTTTTCAGATGATTTTGATGGCAATATCCATTGAAAAATAATTTTTAATTAACAATTCAGTGTATCGACTAATTCAATTAGTGAATTTCGATGAAAGCAAAAAAATTCTTTCTCATCTCTCATTATTTTAGTAGTTGGAGGCGTAAAAGAAAGGAGTATGACTCATATTCAATACCACTATCTATTTTGTTTCTAACAGTCGTCCACATTTATATTTAAAAGATAAGATTATATCTCAACTAAGACCACAAAAATCTTCATTTCTCTATCTCTTCTTCTTTTTATAAAGTGAAAGCAAAACATAAACTTTTTTTGCATTTTAATTCCTTTCTTGTATCTTCAAGATCATAAACATGGCGGGACAGTTGCCGATTAAATTCCAAGAGCATTTACAAGTAAATGAACATCTACTCAGTCCAACATATTCGAATTCGTTTCTGTTCTAGCTTCAAAATGTCGGTATCAATGTTACGAATATCGGTTTTAGCTCACTTACGATGGAATCCGATAAATTTATATGTGTACGAGAAAAAGTTAATGATACAGCGTTCGTTATTATCATTGACATGGCTGATCCAAACAATCCGATCAAGCGACCAATTACAGCTGATTCAGCCATCATGAATCCAGCGAGTAAAGTCATTGCTTTGAAAGGTAAGTTAATTGAATGGATTCATTACGGAAACATCGCTGAACTGTGTTTGTCTTGTCTTCTAGCTGGTAAAACTTTGCAAATTTTCAATATTGAATTACGTAGCCGAATGAAAACGTTTAATATGACAGAAGATTGTATTTTCTGGAAATGGGTCAGTGTAAATACCATTGGTATTGTGACTGAAACATCGGTATATCATTGGACTACGGAAGGTGACAGTCAACCATTGAAGATGTTCGATCGCCATCCGACTTTACAAGGCTGTCAGATCATTAATTACCGTACTGATGATTCGTTACAATGGCTTCTCGTAAACGGTATGCGAATTTTGTTATTTGAATAGATAAGAGTAGACTTTTTTCTTCTATTTATTCTTCTCAAGGTATCCAAGCGCAAGAAGGCCGTGTCGTTGGTCGTATGCAACTATACTCCATTGAGCGTAAAGTTTCTCAACCAATCGAAGGTCATGCTGCTGCATTTACTCAATTTAAACTCGAAGGAAACAAGAAATCATCTACACTATTTTCCTTTGCTGTGCGAGGACAACAAGGAGGAAAAGTAAATAGATCTAATCTTTGCACTTTTTTAACTTTGTCTTTATCTTCATTTCTAGCTTCATATCATTGAAGTCGGTACGCCAGCACCTGAAAATCAACCATTCCAGAAGAAGGCAATCGATGTGCAATTTCCAGCCGAAGCGCCGAATGATTTTCCAGTGGCGATGCAAACATCGGCCAAACATGGTGTTATTTATCTAGTCACAAAATATGGTTATGTTCACGTTTTCGATATCGAAAGCGGAACATTGATCTACATGAATCGTATTAGTGCTGATACAATGTTTGTTACAGCGCCCTATGAACCAACATCAGGCATCATTGCTGTTAATCGTAAAGGACAAGTAACTGATGATAAATAATACAACAATTCGTTTCATACTTTTTCTTTCTCTAGGTTCTGTCAGTTAGTGTTGACGAAGAGAATGTCGTATCTTATATTCAAAACACACTAGGCAATGCTGATCTTGCTTATAAGATGTCAGCTCGATGTAATTTACCAGGTGCCGATCAACTATTCGTTTCAAGATTCACACAGCTATTCCAAAGTGGAAACTACGGCGAAGCTGCCAAAGTCGCCGCTACAGCACCACGAGTAAGTTGTCAAGTGGAAAACAGAATGAAGTTTGATGATAATGATACCCTATGATATCATTCCCTTTCGATCAATTTAACTCTACATGTAATTTTATATCATCTTCATGTCTTCAATGATAAGAATAGAAGTGTATTGTCTACGATTACATGTATAGTCAAAGCTTGATTGAATGATTGTAATCTCGAGAGTTCAAAGGAAAATGAGCATTAATCTGTGTCCTTCGCATGAATGTTCACCGATTAGTTCAAAATTCTCCAGAGATTCGAGACAGACGGGCATTTGATAATCACATATGATCGAATGTTTTGTGCTTTCAATAGGGAATTCTTCGTACGCAACAAACAATTCAACAATTTCAAACAGTTCCACCTCAACCGAATCAACCATCACCTTTACTTCAATATTTTAGTATTTTACTAGAATCAAGCAAATTAAATAAGGAAGAATCAATTGAATTATGTAAACCAGTTGTCATGCAAGGAAAAAAACAACTATTAGAAAAATGGTTGAAGGAAGATAAGGTAAATTTCTACCCAAAACATCGTTCATCATAATCATTATACCTTGTTTTCTCTTGATAATAGCTCGAATGTAGCGAACAACTAGGTGATCTTGTTAAATCAGTCGATCCAACATTAGCTTTGTCGGTTTACTTACGTGCTAATGTACCTATGAAAGTCATCCAATGCTTTGCTGAGACAGGTCAATATCAAAAGATTGTTCTCTATGCCAAAAAAGTCAATTACCAACCTGATTATATATTTTTACTTCGAAACATTATGAGAATCAATCCCGAGCAAGGTGTTCAATTTGCTCAAGTAAATTTTTCTCTCTCGAACTCCACTTGTACATTCCTATGTGTTGGTTTATTTAGTTACTTGTTCAAGATGAAGAACCAATGGCTGATTTAACTCAAGTCGTTGACGTTTTCCTTGAACAAAACCTCATTCAACAATGCACAGCATTTTTATTGGAAGCATTGAAGAATAATCGTGAAGATCAAGGCCATTTACAAACGCGATTATTAGAAATGAATCTAATGCAAGCACCTCAAGTAAGGTCAATCAAATTTCATTCTTTTGAAAACAAAAATATTCTCATCTCAGGTAGCCGATGCCATTTTGGGTAATAACATGTTTACTCATTACGACAAACCACACATTGCTCAACTATGCGAAAAAGCTGGTTTACTTCAACGCGCACTTGAACATTATACAGATTTGTATGACATCAAACGCGCTGTCGTACACACACACTTGCTTAATCCAGATGTATGTATTCAAACTTGTTTGTACTTCAAATGAATATTCCGGTTTTTTTCCTTCCAGTGGTTGGTAAACTATTTCGGACGATTGTCCGTCGAAGATTGCGTAGAATGTCTCAAAGCAATGCTTCAAGCTAATATTCGACAAAATTTACAAGTTGTTGTTCAAATCGCCACTAAATACCATGAACAACTGGGAACTCAAAAGCTAATCGAATTATTCGAATCATTCAAAAGCTATGAAGGTATGTATGAGAATCACACTCCGGGTTTCATTTCATATGCCGCTGATCAGTAGAAGAAATCACTTCAATCTAGTCGAATTGATAAAGCTACACGCTGAACGAGTTCGAGTCCGCCTGGTATCGCTCGTATCATATCCTTGTTGTGATACGACGAATGCCCAGGCAAGAGAAGACGGATTATATAAACAGCTCATTAAATTCCATATTTAGTTTAATGATCCTGAGAATTCGAACAGATTTCAAGTCTTTCTTTTTTNCAATGGATACTCATCATGGATTGTAACAGATATAATCTCACTCATCTCGTTTTTTCTATTTTAGTCAAACAACTTCCGTTAGTCAAACCATATCTACGCTCAGTTCAAAATATCAATAATAAAGCAATCAATGAAGCATTAAATAATTTATTAATCGAAGAAGAAGATTATCAAGGTTTACGTAATTCGATCGATGCTTATGATAATTTCGACAATATATCGTTAGCACAGCGTTTAGAAAAACACGAATTGATTGAATTCCGTCGTATTGCCGCTTATCTTTATAAAGGAAACAACCGATGGAAACAAGCTGTGGAATTATGCAAGAAAGATCGATTATATAAGGTAAATTTTCATCTACTCGACCACAAAGATTTGATTATACACTTCCTTTTCAGGATTCAATGACATATGCTTCCGAATCGCGACAAATCGAATTAGCTGAAGAATTAATCGCCTGGTTTCTCGAGGAGAAATTATACGAGTGTTTCGGCGCATGTCTATTCCAATGTTATGATCTCTTACGACCTGATGTTATTCTTGAGCTCGCATGGCGTCATGATATCATCAGTTTTGCAATGCCTTATATGATTCAGATAATGCGAGAATACATAACTAAAGTAAGAGAATAACAAAGAGATAAGTCTCTTCGAAACCGAAAGTTTTCTTTTGATATAGGTGGATAAACTTGAACAATCCGATCAACTTCGTACAGAGAATGAAACAGCCAATGAACAAAAACCAATTGATTTTAATTGTATGTCAAAACCGACTCTCATCGAACGAGCATTGCATTGTTTTTTCCTTCTTCTTTAGCACAAGGTCCATTAATGATTACCGGACCTGGTATGGGTAGTTTTCAACAACCAGGTTTTGGTGCTGGTGGCTATCCTCCATACGGTGGAGCACCTGGCTATTCAGGATACTAGAGAATGAAAATCAAAAATCCGAATGAATGACGAACAAATGAATTCTTCTTTTATTTCCATCATCTGTAAATGTTTATTCGTCTGTCCGTGTGTTCTTTCTTTCTTTTTTTCTCACAATATTTATGACGATGATATAGAGTCGCATTCCTTTTTATTTCTTTTCAATGTTGTCACACCTATATGCTCTTATTCATTCTTCTTTCGATTTATCTTCTTAGGCAAAACACCGCAAACAAAGCAATACACACCTCTAGGAGAACCATTTATTTATATAACCCGTGATTTTTCTTTTTTCGCCTGGCAAAATAAAAAAAAAAATTTTTCATCATCGTTTTATTTTGATTTCTTCTGCATATATATAAATATATATTTAATTGTTGTCTATCGTCGGAAAACAAATTTATTCGAATAGGTTAAAGAGAAAAAATACATTCTATTGTCAAGATTCTTTTTTTTTGTTAGTGATTCTTGTGATCGTACATGTAAACCTTGTCTTCTTTTTCTTTTCCGTTCGGTTAATCGTAATACAAGCGTATAGTTCTTTATCTTTTTCTCCTCCGTCTGTAACTTGCATTTCGTATCATCATTTAACATAATAAATTTGTGCAACTTTGTTTCTTTAAAATATTTCGTCTACATGCGTGACTTCAAACGAGCGAATTGATACACACATCATTGAAATCAAGTGTCATTTGCGAGAGAACAGAAGTAGTGATCGTTTTCTGTCTATTTCAGAACATTGACTCCTGTTGAACGTAGTATTCCAATGGTTATAATTGAAAATTTATATTGAAGAATGGCTTTTCAACAGGAATATTTCGCTATACCGCCTATCACCAGGGCATATACGACTACTTGTCTGTTAACCACAATTGCAGTTGTAAGTGCGCGTGTACTATTCGAAATTTAAAGTTGATTGTATTCTTTTAGCAATTGGAATTTGTTACTGCGTATCAGTTGTACTTCAATCCAGAGTTGATCTTTAAAAAGTTTCAAGTAAGATTTCGTTCTACGCATCGAGAATTGTAATATTCTTGTTGAAAATTTTTAGCTATGGAGATTGATCACGTGTTTTTGCTTCTATGGCGGCATTGGTTTCAATTTTTTCTTTAATCTTCTCTTTACCTATCGATACTGTCGTCATTTGGAAGAAGGTTCTTTTCGTGGACGTGCAGCTGATTTTCTTTTCATGTTTATCCTCGGTGGAACACTGATGATAATCATGGCATTGTTCGTGAATATTGTTTTTCTCGGTTCCGCATTAACTATCATGTTAGTCTATGTTTGGAGTCGACGTAATCCTTTTGTTCGCATGAATTTCTTTGGTCTTTTGAATTTTCAAGCACCCTATTTGCCATGGGTCTTATTCGCTTTTTCATTACTACTCGGAAACTCAATCATTGTCGATCTGATGGGAATTATCGTTGGACATATTTATTATTTTCTCGAAGATATCTTCCCACGTCAGCAAGGTGGTTTCAAAATCTTGAAAACGCCAAGATTTCTGTATGTAATTCTTAATACAAATAAGATTTCGATCTACTTCTCATTTGAATAGACATTGGCTGTTTGATGAAAATCGACGTCCTAGTGATGACACTGATACGCGTCCAAATGCTGGTAACGATGTACCTTTTGGTGCTGGTGGTTTTCATTGGCAGTGATCATATTCTTTGTTACTGAATTTTTACTTCTTGTACATTACATGAATAAATAAAACACACCAGAAGAACTGTATGCAAATTATATCAAATAAATCAGAATTTTCATTTACTAAAATTATTTCTTTACAAATGTTTGACTATGTGTAGAGAGAATACTAGATCAATGCGATCAAGCGTAAAAAGAGATGAATATTCAAGAAAGACGAACTCTCAACAAACTATGAAAATGTATTGCATTGGATACAGTTGAAGTTGAGGGTCGATATCGTAGAGGTCAATGTGTAAGCACTCTCTTCTGTCTTGAACGGAAATCACATGATATTACAAAACCTTTTGAAAACTTCTCTTCCCATGCATAGATGCCAAACGAATGTATGGTGTAATCGCTATCACATGTGAACAGTATTAATCTATTACTTTGTATTGCTGCTTTTGTACCATACTATGACCTATTGTTTCTTCTATTAGCAAATAACGACAGGTGGAGTATCCCCCTTGTTGTTCGTTATTCAATTAGTAGAACATCAAATGATTGTGTATATCTATCTATATGTTTTAACTAGATATTCTATGCCATATGACACGAAATAGTAATAGTGTGGTAAACTCCTCCTATTGCCCGTGGTGTCTATTATAGTTTAATTGGGAACCGTCTGTTGTGTAAAGAGAAGAAAAGAAATGTGCATGTTCGCACGAGAAAGACAATCATGTCGTTTGTTTTTTAAGTTTGAAAGCGATTACGGGAATGCAATAATCATTGATTGGATTCGACTTCCATTTCTGTATCGAGTTCATCATCAAAATAACAATGAGATGTTCTGTCTGTTGGCAATCGACTCGATCGCATTAGAGATACCGTCTGCGATTTGAACTGGTCACGTAGTGAAGAAAACGATAAACAATCCGACTGATTCATTTCTTTTTCTTCTTTCTACCGGAATTTTTCAAGAGAAGTAATAGAAGATTGAAGAAGGCAAGACAGTTTAACAAGCTGTTGCATACACCTATCGGGCATAGAATAAAATACAAAAAAAAAAGATGCAGATGAAAAATAATGGTACAACAGGTTGACATGATGACGCTGCCATGTAGCACAAGGTAAATAAGAACTTTTTTCTCTGCACATAGCAAGTGAAACTATGATTGTCGAACTGTTTGAATTCATATCTGGATGATAAGTATACTTCTCCGGTGATGCTTCTGAAGGCTAAAGAAGGTATACACTTCCATTATCGTTCGCATGCGAAAGAGAAGACGAGGTACATTTGTTTATCTTTTCTCCTTCTGTAAATGGCAACACCATCGGTATATATATATATATATATATATGCATATGTATATGTGCGTCTTCAATCTCTATCTATCTTGGGATGCCCTCGAACGTATGTATATGTACATCAGCTATCTCATCATCTTTCAATCATAAAGTAAACGAAATATTAGATGAGTTTTCTCTTTAAGAAAAATAAATATAGCGAAGACAAATGATTGTTACATCGTTGCATGCAAGAACAAAAGGTATTAATGATGTAATATGGAAAAAAAAATTCTCTTTGTATTCTGAAACGGCACCAGGTGTTGAAAAGAACAGAGAGATGATAGAAAAAACAGGAGAAAAAAAACAGAGAAAAGAACGACTGATTTGTTAGAATACATTTGTACTCATTAGATTATAATAATAAGAAGAGAGGGGGAAAAAAAGAGTAAGTCGCACATACGTTACACATGCATAACATCTAGTAGTAACATACATATAAACACTTTTTGATGTCGCCTTTTCTTATTATTTGGCAAGATAGACATTTTTTATGCTAGATAGGTTTTTTGCTTTGACACACACGGACAGGATGCGACAGGATGTACAAAATGTATTTAAGAACAAGCAATTCTCAGATAAGGAGAGAGAGAAACATACCGGATATTCTTCATAGATTCGTCATATGTGCACCTATCAGAGGTGAGTAAAAGAGAAATATATGTCTCACGATTGGTGCAAGTACATTCACGTATTTCTTTCTTTTCTTCTATTCACACGTTTCTTTTTCTCTCTCTCTCTCTCTCTCTTATACACGCATTTTATTTCAGTATAAGAATGAGATATAGAAAGCATGTCTATCTACATTTATCAATACTTTCTTTCTCTTACAATGGAGGTAGAATATCATCCTGCTGTTATTCATTTGCAATACGGTATATCCATCATCATCGTCTGTATATAGATAGCAAACAAAGGCACATTTGTAGCATAGTACTGTGTGTGTCTGTTTTGATTCATCTATGAGTGACTTTCTTCGTTTTTTTTTTGCGATTTTTTTACGAATTAGCAATGCTAATACGTGTCGAAGGGTAAACGACAGATTTGATAGGTTGTCTTTTTACATAAATGAATGCCGAGCTAGGTTGACTCGGATTACAGAAGAAGGAGCTGAAGAGTAAGAAACTTCTTATTTTGTTATCTGTTGTGTTTTGCCTTCGAGAAGACGAATCGTTTCCATTCGTTTCGAATAGGTGTGAGAAGCAATCATTGAAAATTGTCATCTGTTTTCGATTTTCATCTCAGTTGGATGAAAAAGAAGAGAACTATGTAGTCTTCTGTTTATGTAAATCAGTGTTCGGTCAATGGTCGCGTAATGACGTTAGTTTGCAATAATAATGTGCATACATACATACATTCGCATCTTTCTCTATCATGTGTATAACGCATCGTAGTCAGAGATCGATTAGACAAGAGTATGCTACTGTTATTCTTCATGTTCTTCTTTGAGGAATAGGAAGATGTTCGCCCTTCCCACATGGCGTTCAGATTAATATCATCCTATTTTCAAACGCGGCATGTGAGTGTCTACATTGAAGAGATATGATTGCATTGAAAACAGGTGAAGTAATCAACTCATTTCACTTTTCTAGATTGACTGTTTCTTTCAAGTTAACCCGAAGATCCAAGTCAATATGATTGAAATGCATCAGAGTAAATAACACTGAAGGAGAATTGATTCATTATGTCTCGGATTTTTCTTCTATTTAGTTAATGATGAATGTGATAGCGGTTCTCATTCAGCAAAAACATTACTTGATGAAGACATGCTCCCAATAAAGAATGAATCTGGTAATAATTGATCATTGAAGGAAGATATGTCAATTCATGAGAGCAGTAACGATTGCGATTGTTTTCTTTTGATAACGAGCGATTCTCTTTCCTCGATGAGAAAATACTTCTTCGTACAAAGATATTCGTACATATATTTGTATTCTAGAATCAATTCTTTCTCAAATCAACCATTTGAATGAACTGACTGAATGTGCATCGGAAGACTTTCACTGCAGTCATTGCAACGCTGTTCTTACGAATAAAGTACAGTTGATTTACAAGGCAATGCATTTGATATCTGTGTTTATCTTTTCTCTTCTACAGAATGATTTACATGAACATGAATTAAATCACAATGCAAATCAAGTTTCTTGTCATATATGTCAGAAAATCTTCGCAAATACGTATCGTCTTCAACGGCATATGCTAAGTCATGAAGTCGATCCTCAAACTCGCAAATTTCGTTGTTTACATTGTCCGAAAGCATTCAAATTCAAACATCATTTGAAAGTATGCACATACTAACGCGCGTTTAGTATCAAGACTAAGACAAAGTTTCTCTTCATCGTTTAGGAACACATTCGTATTCACACGGGAGAAAAACCATTCGTTTGTCCGAACTGTAACAAGCGTTTCTCACATTCGGGATCCTACTCGTCTCACATGGCATCGAAGAAATGCTGTGCCAATAGTTCTGAGCTTGAAGAAGGTGAAATCTTACCGCTGAAAACCGAGCAGAACGCAGGAAAATCTCTGCCGATGAACGAACAATTCGTACAGTATTACTTTCATCTTCTACAAAATCTTATTTCACAAACTGAACCATTGGATTTATCGATCAAGAAATCCAATGAATCGCAACTGGAGACCGAATCATTAAGTCCAAATAGTTCATCAGAAGTCAGTTTTCTTTCGAATGACGATCCATCCAATACGAAAAGATTATCCTGTAATATTTGTGATAAATCTTTTAACAAACAAAGTTCATTAGCACGTCATAAATATGAACATTCAGGTAGGTTTACATGAAAACCTTCCTAATTCCATTAGCGTTTCTCTCGCTAGGCGTTCGACCGTTTATTTGTGATATTTGTACAAAAGCATTCAAACATAAACATCATCTTGCTGAACATCGTCGTTTACATACTGGTGAAAAACCGTTTCAATGCACGAAATGTTTCAAACGCTTCAGTCATTCAGGTAAAGATTTTCACTTCGAAAAGCAAAAAATCGGAAAATCAATCGCTTTAGGCTCATTCAGTCAACACATGAATCATCGGTATAAGTATTGTCATCCATATCAAACCGATGGTGGAGATGATGATTCGAATCCACCGGAATCGATGGATGAATAATTCGACAGTATGGCAATGCTCAGCAGTGTGTTTCTAATATACCTCGAAGAAAAGAAGAAAATGTTCAATGTGCATTTCGTTTATTTAATTGTATGTGACAATCATTAGCTTTCTTTTGAGTTATTTACAACTGACAAATGTTCCGTGTGACTGAGTTTCTTCCGTGTTGTTGTTGTTATGGTCGAATGATGTTTTTTCTCTTTCGTTTTGTATCAAACGCGTGCTTTATTGTATTTAAAAAAAAAGAAGATAAACCGATTCGTATTTACTAAAAAGTCATACTTTTTCCTCGTCACGTTTGCCTGATTTCGATTCAAAACGAGATTATTGGTCTGCTGCGTCATCTATCGATGTGGTCTATCGATCGCCTGTCGACTAATAACCATCTATAATTATGAGTTTGTTTTTTGAATCTTTCTTTTCTCTCCTGTACAGATGTAAATTGTACATTCATTTCTTCATCATCGTGATAAACAAAAATTGTTGCGTCACAGTATTTAAATGAGAAGGGTTACATCATGTAGACTGTTCAGATTTTCAATTTTAACGGTGTTCTGCAATGCCGAATGGTAACCAGGCAGAGGCAGAGGAAAAGAACACATCAACAACGTGACTGAGAATTTGAAAGTTTGCTTCAATGTGAATGTTTCTTTGTTCTGTTATTATTTTAGATCGTCGTTTGAAATGGCAAGTCGAGCGCCGAGTTTCGTTGTAGTTGGTCTCGTTCTGATCACATTCCTAGTGGGATTTTTCTACATGTCATGTTCGTCAAGAACTACTGAACTACAACGAACTGTCGATGACTTTGAAAGTCGGATACGAACGGTAAATGTCCATCCTTGTCGATCTTGTAGATCATGTCATTTCATTACTAGTTGATGCTCAAAAATAGTGATAAAGACAAGCAACTTGATTCGTTGAACAACAAGAAAACTGCTTTGTTGGAAGAAAAGTTGAGTCTGAAGAAACAACTGGAGAAAAAGGATGCGGAAATCAGTGATCTCAATACGAAATTAAATGAAAGACTAATGGAACTTCGAACTTTGAAAACGGATAAACAAATTCTCGATCAACGATTAGTAAACGATGATTGTCTTGAAGAACTTCAACAAAAATCGATGTATTCTTTTAGAAAGAATTCCAAAATACAAGTGATATGCTGGCGGCGAGAAATTTTGATATTAGTCGATTGAAGGAGGAATTAGATGAGCAAAAAAGTTCGTAAGATTTCCTATATTGTTCATATAATCAATTGACACGTTTCAGAATCTAATAAGGCGCAAATGTCACGATTCGAAAACGAAATTGACAGTTATAAAAATCGATCGTGAGTTATATTTGTCAAAGGAACATGCCGAGTAAATAATGAACTATTCTCTCAATTTAGAAAGTCTCCAGCTGACCAATTTCTAGAGTTTGCTAATCAACGTTTCAAACCATTATTATCAGTTAACGCAACAGTCAAAAATATTTCAACAATTGCTCAAGAACCTTTAACAAAAATTAGTAATTCGGCCAAAGAAATCAAGAATAGATTTGCTCCAGTCGTCTCGGACATAAAAGAGAAATTCTCAAATAACTCGAATAATAAAAGTGATCCAAGTGTTGATCAAAACATTCCAGCACCACCAATGGATAACGACAAAGAACATGCGAATCGTCGATTTGGGAAAGTAGATGATGTTGACAGTAAGTTCGAGACATGAAAGATATCAACAATCGTCGCAATTGCGTGAATATGCTATTCAACGATACATTTTCATTTAGATCAACAACAACGAGATATCGAGACTCGTCAACGTGTAAGAAGATGTTTGAAAGAAGTTTCATTGAATCATTTGATAACATATTTTATAGCGACATCGATCATTGAATCGTACTGATCGTGATACTGAACAAGATGATGGTAAAAATAATATGCAAAAGGTGCCATCTCGTTTTCGTCGTACGTTTTCCAATAATGCTAATGTTGCCAATGGATTAGATGAAGAGCTTTCTCACTTATCAAAACACGGTCGAAAACCTCGCATTCCTGGACGTGAAGAACGTCGAAATCGTCTGGTGGATAATGAAGATGGAAATCAAGTAATACCTAATCGTGGTCAAAAATCGGACGAGTAAATCTTTCGTGATTCATGTGTATTTATTTCTTCAGTTTCAACGCTCTTTTTTTTCTATTCTTATAATTTACATGTTATTTTTTGGCATTTATTTTGACTTGCGATCAGCCGGTATCTATTGTTCATTCTGGTATCTGATCGCTTTTTATGTGTGTCTGTATACCTTCATTCTCGTGCTACTACTCATGTCAACCAGTTGAATTAACAATCGATCTTTTCTTTTCATACAATTTTATTAATAAAAATTGTATTCTAAATTTAGTATTGGATAAAAGATTTAGAATGTGTTTTTTTTTCGTATGAAGAGCTCATGTAAGACATTGAGGATGTACTGATTCTAGTCTGTAATCGAGACAAGCGGGTTATCGGTATTTAAAAGTCCAAAAGTTGAGATAAGTGAAAGCGAGAACAAAACACCATCAGAAACCTGTTGAATCAATAATCCAACACATCGCGCTGATTTCGAAAGAAGTAATATGAGAGAAAAACTAATATTAGTTCGCGATGAATTGACTCTTTATTTTGTTCTTATGTGACATATGAGTGTATATATACATATGTATGGGTGTGTATATCATTTTACGTACATTCATTAAAATCTTTATGTTCGTAGAGAATGAGGATCTTGAATCCAATTCTTGTTCTCCTATGGTTAATTTTTCATATAGACAATAGTATTGCAGGTATGTGAAACGCTCTGTAAAAGGATATAGTTCGTTGTACTGTTGATGAAGCAATTTCTCATAAAAAATTATCCGACTCTTCTACTTTAGTTTCATGTGATCGACATAATGTCACCCACACCGTACAAGATGATTCTGTGATTATTAACTTTCTATCAAATGCTGTATTAAAATTAGATCGTAGTGTTCGATGTTCAGCAAATTCGTCATCAGAAACGGTGAATGGATGTGCTCATCAATGTGCGAATCTTGGTTATGGTCAAGATGGCGAAATTTTCCTTAATTTACAGTATCCTAACGGTACCAATGAAACTTGCACGACAGCATACCGTATCGGTATGTAAACACAGAAGATTGTTTCACTCTCTAAAAACTTTCTTTTTCAGAGTTACAAGCAGCGAAATTTGATTTTTTTCATGTTCCCGGTGATCGAATTCGTATAGGGGTTATACGTCCAGAAGGATCTTTTGATTATGTTAATGTTTATTGCTCAGAAGATGAGCCTCAAACGATTTTCAATACCAGTACGCCAACGAATGATTCCATGCAGACAGTTGATTGCTCGTTTATACCGAATCTGCCATTGACAGACATTTCACTCGAAACGATTAAGACAGATTTTCGTTCAGCACTTACCAATATCAATCGAGAAGGTATGACTGAGTATAAAAATATCATTGACATTGTTTATTTCCATTTCAGTTCCATTACCTATACAATATAGTACTTCTTTTAACTCTCTGTTACTCACCATATTCGCCAACGCACCACCAGCAATGAATCTACGTAGTACTTATGAATTACATTTAAGCTTTTCTGACAAGAATAATCAAAATCTCATCTATGAAAGAGCACGAGTAGTAGTCAATATTGATCCCAAGCTTGGCAGAACATTCAACTATAGTCTTATACCCAATTTAAACCATACGATTACGTTCAAGCATGTTGTCAATTCGACTATCTACGCTATTTCGACTTCCACAGTGTTGCCAGGTTTTGACAGCCACGTGTTTCATTCTGAGATAACCATCACTGGATTTTTCTTTTAGTGTCTACTAGTCCATATCCATACGAAGTGACAAATCTTCGTGTCCGAGAAGAATTTCAGAATATCATCGTCAGTTGGAATCATATGCATCATTCTGATGATCCAATTGAATTTATTGTATCATGTAACTCGAATAATAATGTAACAGTCAATGTTAAGCAAGAAACAATGTATGTTTGTGAAAATCTACACTTCAATGAGACAAATAGTATCTCAGTGGAAACACGAATAGTAGTACCTAATTATCGACACGATCATACAACGATTGTGACGATCAATAGTAATATTTGAACGTGTAGTTTACATAAATTTTCATATTTTGTATATGCTTTATAGTTCCACAAGTGCCCTGGATACCAGATTTAGAAGTTTATTACAAGACAGAAACTGATATCGCCATCCGATGGAATTATAGAGATGATCTATTGCGAACAGATTCGTTTGAATATAGAATTCAATGTGGTTCCAATGGTACTTTGTTTCCACTCTACATTCAAGCGAATGAACACCGATGTGAATCACTGGAACAAGGTGCATTGCATCTGATCACCATCTATGTCGTAAATACGAATAACACGATTCAACGAAAGAAAAGTATTTTAGAAGCAACATGTGAGTGATATCGAAATGAGAACCTCAGACCAAACATCTGTTTTCTCTTTTAGTACTCCCGAAATGTCGGTATCGAAGTCATTTCTATTCATCTGATATGAACGGCACTCGTTTTGTTATCATCGAATGGAGTCCACCCGAACAAGTGTTCGATAAAATACATGTTCTATGTCCGTCTGCGTATATTCCGTTTCAGTACCATCAAATCACGTCTTTGATGTATTTTAAATGTGAAGTTACGAATGGTTTGCCGTACGACATAACATTTCATACTATGAAGAGCGGTTTTCCACTAGCAACATATCGGTTTACTGACACCGCACCAAGTAGAAAACAGACTTTCATACTTATCAACCTGTATTTCTCTTTTCTAGTGGGTCCTACGACAACTACAACGATAGCAACATCAGCAAGCTCGAGTATCACAAGCATTACTAGTGTTACAACGTCAGAAACAACATCGTCAATTAATTCTGTACAATCATCAACAACAACAAAGACAACGACGACGACATTTGCTATAGAAACTTCAACAAGTTCCACACATCCAGATTGCTCTCCAGACACCATCTCAAACATACGAGCTGATTTAACACAATGGCGAATTGCTGCTATCATCGCTTTCATTATAGCTGGATTTCTGGCTCTACTGATCATTCTCTTGATTATTTTCTCTGTAATTCTATACTCGCGAAATCGATCTGACGATCAGAATGAATAATAATACATATATGCATACATGGGTTGAGTCAATATGTACATTAATTGAATCATAAATATTACACTTCGAGAGAAAACGAAAGTCAAGTATTCATGCCCTTTTTCTTTTTCATCACTACCCGATCGGAATATTTTAATATCGCACCACTACCTAGATTATGATCTATGTAAAATAAATAACAACGAATCAGTTGATCTTTTTTTCGAGAAGAGTCCTTCTATAAATGATTGTGTATTCGATACTGGCGCACATTAGACCTAAAAAAACAGAATGCAAAATCGTATTTTCGTTGTTCTGCTATTCTCCTCGATAGTTCTCGTCGAGAGTATTTTGTTCAGTTGTAAGATTCGATTTTGAACTTTTGTCTTCACTGGGAGTTCCTATTTCTAGCGAAACCAAAATGTCCGATAAAGAAATATAAATCCAACACATACATTACCGGTGATCAATTATTACTCGATGAGAATTTTCACGATCGTGTTAAACCATTAGAAAACGTCGCTAAGACTTGCAAAGTACGTTTAACTATTCGTGGATCGTATTATCAACTACAACAAGCAGATCAACAAGTGCTAGTGACTGATGCGGATCTGGTTATTGGCCATGGTTTTCGTTTTGAACTTCGAGATGAAAACAATGGAGTTCTATGCAATAAAATATGTCTCTCGAAAAGTATCGCACGCTGAGAAACAGTCCGAATACTTGAATACACTATTATATTTTTAGATCCAACCGATATTCCAGAAGTGAGATGCTTTTTGGAAAGTGCGATCAACCATGGTTTAACATGGTCAAAATATAATTCCGATGTTATTAGCGATGGAACGTATGCTGCAAACACAGGTGGATATCAAGCATTGAAAACTGACATACAAACAAGGTGTCAAAAGGAAAAATTCAAACGACAACTGTTACGTATTCTTCGAACAATGTACGATGAAGAAGACAAATGACAAGACAACTGAGACTGTATCTTTTCTTTTTTGGGAACTCAAGAACGAATTGAAAAATAAATAATCGATCGTTACATTTCTTTGTAACGTTTATATATTTTCCATAACAAAAAAAAAGGATTCAGTAAGCAATGTATGAGCAGTTTCTATTACAATGAGTTCATATTGTTTTAAGCAAAAGCTAAAAGAACAATGATCATTAAAGTACAAATCGTAACAGATAGACTACCACAAGGCATTGAGAAAAAGTGACACGAAGAAGAAGGAATGACAATCGTAAAAGAAAAGCGTATTGTAGCGACCAACAGACCCGTCACATATAATTACATCAAATTACGGATGTTTTCAGCAATTCAGTGAGCTATTAACTCGGTTTCATGAAATGGCTTTTTTGGATTCAATTTTGATTGACGCATGTTCAATAAATCACCCACTTCTTCGGCATACTTGAGTACATCATCGAGCATTTCCTTGGTATGCGATGCCGATAGGCAGAAACGAACACGGCCAAGAACTAATGGCGTAGCTGGAAAACCGACAGTGACAACAGACACGCCCCGTTTCAACATCTCACGATTGAACGCTCTGTAAAAAACAAAGAACAACTATGTTATGATTTGTTTTTCCGTTATACTTACGCAATCTTTGATGGACTGTATAAGAGAGCTGGTACAACAGGTGAATGTGGATGTCCGTAAACAATGAAACCCATCTTGGAGAGACGTTGTCGAAAGTATCGCGTATTCCAAGCCAATTGGTTGATTCGTTTTCGACCTGTGTACATCAAACAAACATTCACATTCGATTCTTAACAGATCGTCTCAATCATACCTTCACGTGTTTCATCATCATCAATCAATAAATTCAATACTGAAATAATTTGTTCGACAACCGGTGGGCTCATCGATATAGCATATGCACAGGCATGCGAATTTATACGAATATGATCGATGAGTTCCTTGAAAAGAGAAAGATAAAGAAAAAACTCGCGAGGAACTTTCTTTTTCAACTTACTTTCTTTCCAGCGATGTAACCTCCAGCCGCTGCGAAACTTTTTGTGAATGTGCCCATGAGAACATCTACGTCGTTTACGTCACATTTCCAGTAATCAACGACGCCGCGACCACGCGAACCCATTGCACCAATGGAATGTGCCTCATCCAAATAGAGGTATGCTCTGTATTTCTTTTTCAATTCGATTAATTCCGGTAATTTACATAAGGAACCTTCCATACTAGAATTCCACATGACAATGCTATCAAACACTAATCGAATTATCTTTTCGCTTACCTGTAGACACCTTCGACAATAATGAGGATTTTTTGCCATGGTCGATGAGTTCGCGGTTGACCAGAGACGATAGAATCTCGTAATAATCGTTCCAAATGTTTCATATCTACATTACATAAATCAATAATCATCAACAGGCAAACCAAGACACCTTACCATTATGTTTATAAACCTTAATCACAGCACCAGATAAACGAGCACCAAGAACAAGTGATGTATGATTAAGTTCATCACTTAAAATCAAACAACCCTAGACAAATCAATCGAACATATTCGTTTGATTTAATTCACTTTCTCCTTCACCTTTCCACAAAGCGATGAAATGTTCAGAGCGTTTGTTGCAAATCCCATACCAAAGGCAATCGCATCTTCAGTACCGAGAAATTGAGCGACCAACGATTCGAGTTTTCGATGTTGTTTCAAATTTCCTACAAAAAACAGATCCATAAGCACATCTCACACACATATCGACAAACATACCGAATTCCTGAGTTGAACTTGCTGTAGCAAGACCATTCTCTTTGATTGACTCGATGACATTATCTGCTATTGGGCCATTATTATTCGCAAAACCAAGATAATTATATGAACCAAGATTGATTGTTGTGATTTTATTTCCCGTAAAATTAAACGACCAGTTGTAGTCCTCGGTAACCCGTTCCATCAGATCAAGTTTTCCACCCGGCACGCCACCAATGGGTCGATTGAAGCAATCGGCAATCCTTTGGTAAACATTTCGAGTATAGAAACTTTCATAACTTTGATATAACGGTACAAAACCCTATGTAGACAAACAAGTTAACGATTATCATTCATGAATATTCATCGATTTACCGATGGATTATATTCTGCTGAACCTTTGCGATTTTCGATTCGTGTTCGTCGAAGAAAATCACGAAACCATCCGAAAATATTCAAAATAATATAGTTTACATAAGTCCAGAATGCTTCGGAAAACGGCGTTGCCTCATACACTTCCTCTAACGATGGATGTTCAGGCACAGGTGTCGGATCACGAACAGTCATTTTGCAGATCTCGGTTTAATAATCTAAAATTAGACCAAACAAAGTATACTTCTATTCATCGTTACATGCAACTGATAAATAAATGCACGTATATTTTTTGATCTACGCCTTTTTATTATCTTTTCTAGACTACTAGGGCTTTTTTTTCTCTTTTTTTATTTACAGAATGATAACAAGTCATCCATTGTGCATCATATCTTTACTTGAGTTGTTTGCCAAACGAAAATTTCGATAGATAGAGAGAGAGAGTTTCTGAAATCAGTGAACTTTGGTATGAGAGAACGAAAGAAAAAAATCAGTCGAAGACTTTTCTACATAAATATATATATATATATCGATGATGGATGACATAACTGCTTTACTGAAAGAATTAAAAGGAAGCCAATCAAAGTTTTGACTACAACAAAATCTAATTAAATTATGGCATGTGTCGACATCTCAAAACTTTCAGTTACAACAACAGACAATCCTTCACGATACACATAGTTGAATAACATTAATCATCAAAATACATATACAAGACTTCAATTTCATCCTTTTTCGCTTGCAGATTGTTTCCAGCAACGAAATATTTGTTTAAGATATCCGTTCGAAGTTAAAAGGTTATCTCGTGAAGTTTTTCTTCGTACATACTGATACTGAAGATAATACTAGAACTATATTGATTCGTAGAAGATAAATGCTCATGAAGTATTCGTTCGTTTCTTAGTCAATTGACATAGTAATCCAATCAAAGAAAGTTTACTTTTGGTACGCTTGTTCAACTTTGTAATCGAGCAATTTGTCAAGGTGATGCATGCAAAACGTACTCAATCGTTCCTTTTTTTTCATCCTTAAATGCATAACTCAAAACAATCAATCGTTCTTCGATAAATACAACATGACATTCTTTGTTCATTTGCTAAAGCACAAATGTGAATCACGATTTTAAATATCGAATGTTGTCTTTTAATTTTCCTAAATACATATCAATTTTCGAAAAAAAAAATCTGCTCTTTCCTTTCGCTCTACGCACATCGAAGATTTGTTTTTATATCCAATATTTTTCTTTATGAAGGTGGAGGATATAAATATCCTTTATTTCAATACGCCCCGTATATGAAATTATATATATTCGAATCGTAGTTATTTCCTTCAGGTGAAATTTCTCTTCAGTAGTTATGAGCAGAGATGCGAAGGACGGTAGAAGATTATAAATGGATATCGATTTTTTTCGTTCTCTTACTTCTCCTTTTTATAACTACTTTTTCTTTCGGTGTTCTTTTACCAACGATAATTGTGCATCTCAATATCGGATGTGTTATTACTCGTCCGGTCACGTTTCGTTAAGCATTTACTCTTCTTTTCATTTGTACGTGTTTTTTTTTTCTTCATTGGAAATTGCGAGCAAAGTGAGTTGATCCTCTTCGTCATCATTCTAATCTTTTTGCAAACTTATGATCATGTACATGTTAAAGAATGAGCATAAATATTGCGTGTCTAACAATGTAAGAATCAGGTTACCAGTGAGATGCAAAGAAAATTATTGTTTTTACGAGGCACGGTCGATACTGACAGTTGTGTTGCTACTCTTCAAATGTTTACTAATGTTCTTCAAGTATCGAGAAAGGTTTTTTTTTTCTTTTTTTCATTCTGCATCGATTCTCGAAGGAACATTCACACTCTTCGCTCAGTCACATTCATTATGTAAATAAACGTTGCTTGTGCGCTGGTGGTAAGTCGTGATGGTGACCGAATAGTTTAAAAAAACAATCTGACGTCGTACTTTTCTATAAGAGAGCGAGAGAATTTTTTCATTTTATAACATTTTCTTTCCTATATTGACAAATCTACTTCCAGATGACAGCAACGAAAAAGTCCGAACAGAAATCAATGGTAAAAATGCATGAATCTCGCTGTGATATTCCATTGCTGATTTTGATCTTTTGCAGAATCCAACACATACCGAATCATCACGTGAAGAATTTGAAGAAACACCGACATGGACAGCTGTTGTTACCGTACTTGGCTATGCAATTTTAAGCGCACTCGGATGGTTACGAGATTTTCTTCGCAATGTTGGTTTAGAAGAGAAAAAAACATCTCAAGATCCCAATCCTAAAGTACGAAAAAGATAAAGTTGATCTACTTTCACTTAATCGGTTCTTTTTCAAAGGACTTCGTACCACTCTATCAAAGCTATGAATGTTTTTATACACGAAATTTATATACTCGTATACGTGATGTATTCAATCAACCGATCGCTAGTGTCGCCGGAGCTAAAGTCGATGTGATGGAACGTGTTTCAGATGATTTCAATTGGACATTCAAGTACGACGACAACACAACGAAAAGCGATGTAATTAGAATCTGTTACGTATGTTTAGATTTAGTGGCAAAAAGATACCGTCGATCAATCTAGGCTCATACAATTATCTCGGTTTTGCCGAAAACTCTGGCCCATGTTCGAATCAAGCGATTAAATCGATTGAAAAATACGGTCTTACAACTTCGAGTACACGTCATGAATTAGGAACACAAAAATATATGGTTGAACTAGAAACCTTAATGGCGAAATACTTGAGCGTTGAAGATTGTATTGCATTTGGTATGGGATTTGCAACAAATGCTTTGAACATTCCTGCTCTTGCGGGCAAAGTGAGTGTTCGATTGTTGATTAAAAATGAATCATTAAGTTTGTGTTTTTCTCTACGTAGGGTGATTTAATTATTAGTGATACACTCAATCATACGTCCTTGATTCTCGGTGCTCGTTTGTCGGGAGCAGTTATTGGAAAATTCAAGCATAATGGTTTGTAGTTCAGATGTGCATCGATCTTCTCTATATAGAATTTATGTCTGGGTTTAGATATGGAAGATTTAGAAATTGAATTACGCAATGCCATCATTCATGGTCAACCACGCACATGTCGTCCATGGAAAAAGATTCTTATCATTGTCGAAGGTGTTTATAGGTAAAGATTAATACCTATTTTCTCTGTTATTGTATTTTGTATGAAATTGATTTCTAGTATGGAAGGTTCACTATGTAAATTACCAGAAATAATTGCATTGAAGAAGAAATATAAGGCATATTTATATGTTGACGAAGCACATTCGATAGGTGCGATTGGTTCCCATGGTCGCGGTGTTGTTGATTATTGGAATGTCAATCCTGATGATATTGATGTTCATATGGGAACATTCACAAAGAGTTTCGGTTCAGCTGGTGGTTATATTGCCGGGAAAAAAGTAAGATTACTCGAATAAGTCTTGATAGGAATAATACATCGTGTTTAATAATGATTTTAGTCGTTAATTGATCATATTCGAATCCATACGCATTCAGGTTGTTATTCTCCTAGTATGTCAGCACCTATTGTATACCAAATCATATCAGCTTTGAGCATTATTATGGGTCTTGATGGAACTAATGATGGTAAAGCAATCGGTTTTTTTTCCAAAGTGAATATATCGAAAGATCTGTTTTAGGACAAAAACGTATTAAACAATTAGCTCGTAATGTACATTATTTTCGTCGTCAACTGGTTGATATGGGTTTCATTGTCTATGGAAATGATAATTCACCTGTCGTTCCAGTGATGATTTTCATGCCTGCTAAGATAGCGTATGATGAATTTGACTTTGTTGACAATTCTCAATGATATATTTTAGTGCTGTTAATCGTGAGATGCTGAAACGTGGTTGTGCTGTCGTGACAGTTGGATTTCCTGCCACTGCATTGACTGAATCACGTGTACGATTTTGCCTCTCTGCTGGCCATACAAAGGAAATGCTTGATGATGTAAGTCGAAAGGAAAGCCACGCTTTTTGTTCTATGATAATCTCCTCTTTAGGCTTTAAAAGCAATGGATGAAGTCGGACATCTAGTATCACTTCGCTACTCGAAACGCAATCCTCCATTGCGTTGGAACGAACTCAACCGAGCTGATTATGAAAACGAATATTTCTCCAGCTAAGCCGATGGTCCTTTTTTTTTCGCTGGTTACATATGACTTTGTTCTCTTTTTCATCCTTATGGAAAGATAACAAATGATACTGGCAATTTCTTTTACATTTTTTGTTTGATTTTGACAAATCGATATACCTGTGATAGATCCGCAGCTAATAATCTCATTACTAATTCATGAAAATCTGGTTTTTTTTTCGAATAAAACAACACTAATGAAGAAAGATTATACACTGTTTGTTTTACATTCGAAGCAGTTCGAATTGACAATTAACATCACGATCGATTTGCGTATTGCCATTGTTGCAATACTCATCTTCATCGTCGTCATCGTCGTCGTCGTCGTCGTCATCATCATTATCTGATCGTTTTTTATGTAAACTTTCATTCGACAAAACACATGTAGACGTTAACCGAACATTGCGATTGGAATCGGGTATTAAAATCTTTTGTGACTGTTTCGTACAGGTCAAACACGTTGGAATTATACCGATAAGATCAAAACAGAAATTGCGATTCAATAATGCATACAAATATGGATTCAAACACGAATTAAAATATGCCAATGCGTGGGCGAATGCACGAATTGTGTAGAGAACTTTCGGATGAGAACGTGCAACTATGTAAAGTATGGATAGTTTCGAACATTTCATCAGTTCAAGAATATGTATTGGTAGCCAACAGAGAGCAAATACCAAGGTAACGACAATAACCTAGAATAGATGTACTCAGATGAGTTCAATTTATCTTTATGACAGCAAAGTAAAGAAACATTCGTATCGTTATGTAATTTTGGATTAGGTGTAAAGAAAACTGTCCTTACCATTTTAGTCACTTTCCGTTGTTTTCTTTTCAGAAATTTTGGCATACTTTTCTAAAAATAAACACATTCATATCTCTCAAGGGAATTTCACTCAGTGTCTTGCTTATTACAGCGTTTAGATGGTTGGCAATCAACTGGTTCGATTGAATGACATGCATTGCTAATTTTGTATAACAGACAATGATAATAACAAGGGGAATAGCATAATAAGAACAAAAGACAAGAAAACAAACGAGAAAATTCTCGTAACTGTCCGGACCACACGTTTTAGAATTCGAAGCGATAACGTGTAAAATAATATGATATGGAACAATCAATGCAAGTGAACCTATAGAGAATAAAACACGGATTTACGAATAAAAAGATCATCATTGTCGTGAGACAACATACTAGCCCAAATAATCAAACAGATCAACATCGCTGTATATGGCGTGCGCCAGTATAATTTGGATTTTGGTGAAACAATATAAAAATAACGATCAATGCTCATTGCTGCTATAGTATTACAAGTTGCAAGAAGAAATACCTATATTGGAGTAGATCTGTAATCTTTCATCACGGAATTCTTATCGACTTACATAGGCGAGATACATGTGAATTTTACAGACCATTTCACTGAATGGATAGTTGTTAACTAAGCCCAGATATGTTGTGTATGGAATAGAAACGATTAAGAATAATACATCCGCCAAAGCTAAATTTATTACGTAGCAGTTCGTAACATTCAGGTATTTACGCTTTCGAATAGCAACAAAGATGACTGCTGAATTGCCTACAAGGAAAACTTCTTAATTATCTGCAGCAAAAATGGACTAATCTCTGTCGACATACCGAAAAGACCTAAGATGAATATTAAACAGTAAAATACAATCAACAGGTGACCAGCAAACCAAATGGAAACATCATGTTGAGCATTGGCGATATCTACAAGCGAATTATTAACAATGGCGATTTGAGAAGACTGTATTTTCATTGCTTTGTCTTGCGTGTTCATTGCGCTCAACAGATCATGTTCGTTAAGTGCAAATAGAATCTAGAAGAGACGATAGGGCATCTTGATCACTAGAGAATCCTGTATAAAAAAGAACTTATTCTCTTCATGTTAACTCTTCATTGGGTTCAATAAACGAGATAAGGGAGAAACACATCAATCCGGTAATAGTCCTTCTGCTATTTTAACTCACACTGAAGGTGTAATGAGATTCACGCAAGCTCTATTTGCTCTTCTGCGCACATCTTCTATCGTGCTTATTTTGCTTGCCAACGGCAACGTCGGAATGATCTAGATGATTTATATATTTGTATACTTCAGAAGTTCGCAATCATACATTATCGAACCACTCAGTTACTAAGGAAGCCGTTGTCAAACTCTACATCTGGATCAATGAATCTATTCATTAAAGGAAAGAATCGAGAAGGAATATATCATCTATGAAAAAGTCATAGACGCATCGCTTCACAAAAGCGGACAGGTCAATGATGTTCATTTGTAAAACGCTAGGTGGTACTCAGGATATAAAAAAACAGTTAATTTACTAAAAATAACACAAGCAGACACTAGTTGTCGAAAACATGATGAGTACAGTTGTATTCAAGAGAACTATCTCATCGAACTTCGCTCGAAGGCTGCTATATAAATTAAAGAGAAGTCAAATTGATTTGCTTCAACTACATCAGCAATAACTATTTTCCCGTCGGCACTGTTCGTCTAAATACAGGCTTTTCCAAGGGGCGAAAAACGCGTGCCTTACCATGAAAACTTCTCGTTTTGTAAAAAAGATACTCAACACATCTTATTTTTCCTTGTTGCAAAAAGAGAAGAGAACGATTTGCCTTGATAGTATAAAAGTTTAATGCTTTCAGGCAGTACAACTTGTTCTCGCTTTTATCATTGTTTATATCATAAGGATAAATTAATAGCTTTTGTCCTTGTTGCAAATACATCTAAATTTACCCCCCAGTCGTCTCTCAGTGTTGACATTGCACACGACGAAGGAGCTAAAATACGAAAAACATATTAATAGATGTGCATGTCCTAATTGACGGTAGTTGAAAACGCGCGTTTTCAGTTACAACAGATGTATCATTTGAAATAAAAGCTTCATTTTGTTTTACTGGCTTCCAGTGATAAATATCGTTGTAAATAAGTTTTCTGACAACAACAAAATCTAATCCATTAACTTATATGTCACAGCTGTTGGGAAAACGTCTTGTTTATTGCACTTGTCGCCGGTTTCTTCTTTTTTTTGTAGAGATCTAAAGAGAAAAAAACTCAATCATTTGAAAATTGCAATTACATCACACACGATGTAAACATCCAGCGACAATCGGATTATCGTTGCGGTTCTCTTTTTATGCAAATGAGATTATTGAGATTCTCTAATGGTACTATTAGCAACATAGACACAACTAGAATGAATGAATCCCTTACTAGTCGATACTATTATATGCCGAGATAAAAAATTTAAGTAATCGTTCCTACTTTGATGGATGACATCCAGTGGAACGACCTGTCAGTGACAAACATTCCGAACGAATAATGTTGAAAATAGATTGCTGTTCCAATAATGTTTTTATTTTACATGATCGTACGATCGATTTGGAACCCACCAATGTACTTCTCATGTAAATATCAACATGGCCTACTTGTTAATCACGTAGGAAATACTAGGTAGACATTTCCGGAAAGGAGCGACAGAGAGAAAAGAAGCGTGAGATAATGTTTCTATTCGATACAGTTTGATTTGTTTTCAACACGGGAAAAACGATATTGTCAGTCTATCATTAACTACCGGCATATTTATGCAAGATTACTGGCATGGTTTGATTCGAGAGGAAGTAAGACATATGTGGACAATTTCCGACTAAAGAATTGAATTTTTAATTATTATTATTCTACTCAGGAAACAGGACTTGCTTATTACACGGAACAAATCGAATAGATTTCAAAAACGTTATTGCTGCGTGTTCTCTAAGTGGAAATAAGTTCGAATAGACCGTAGAGTAATCAAAGAACAAAACAGAATTGATTTTAGCGCAAAAGAGAAACAAACGTTCCGAAATCCTTAGACTATTGAAATTTGTAGCTAAACACTTTCCGACATGATTATACTTTGCCTTGAAAGAACATTATTATCGTCGGACTTCATTGTTCCGAAAAAAGAAATAATCTCCGAGCTTTTTGTTGACAATTTTGCAATCATGCAAATAAACAGGAAGTGCTCAGCGAGAAGAAATTTAAACATGAATGCAACGAGCTCCATGTGTACGATTAAATATTCTATCCAACGTCTTTAATAATATAAACATCTGACTTACTAGATGCCTAAATGATGAAAGCAAATACGGGAGAGAATTTCTTTAGAAATCGACACTCGTTTATTTAGTTTTCTTGATACTCACATGAGATGTGAAAAAGAATGGAACAATAGTTCTGTGTTTTTCAAGTGGAATAGCTATTTCCGACTAGATCTATTCAAATAATGCAGTTTATCTTCATATGAATACTTGAGAAAAAACTCTTTCATGTTTGATGTAGCTAATAAGAAGCATTTCTCCAAACGAGCCACGCTGTCCCTTGCAAAATTATCGTGTGATAATGATGTGTAACATTACTGCTTGATGAATGAAAACTTCTGCTTATCCGTCAATATTGTTTTACATAGGATAGTCAAAAAGTTTTGTCACTTTGTTATGTCTATCGAGAGACATGATATTTTATCCATTTCTCTACACTACATAATCGAGATAGATGTTGTGATATTTCATAGAAAATTTCATTTCTTTAGTTCCTTTTAAAGATACTTTTTTTAAACGAAATACTAGATTTTTTAAAGCATCTCTCGTCGCTGCAACCAACTTCATTAGTGAAGTTTCTAAGCATACGCACTAATTTAAATAAATTTAAATAGATACAGATTGTTAAAACTCAGTCCCAAACGAGTACGCGTGGCGAGTTTAAAATTGATTTTTGTCAAAATAACCTATAAGCAGCTTAATGTTACATGATGTTAAAAAATGTCATATGAGAGGCTAATCCATAATAATGACTTTTTCGTTCGATAACTTTTGTCTGTATGAATTCAAAGATTTTGCACCAGTATCGTTAGTGTTACACGATATCACATAGAATATTAATAAATAGGAAAAATGATTTGAATACGAAGAAAAAAGTCATGTGTGCTGCGTTATTACATAAGGCTCGCCATGGATACCGTTAAATAGACTAGTTTCCGTTTTTATATAAACTTCTCTAATGATTTCAAGTCAATACTGTGTTGATAAACCTAAGTCTGATAGCCACTGATAATACCACATAGAATCAGCTCTCTTTACATACACTTTCACTCGTTTTTGTGGGCTCGAAAATCAGTAAAATTTCGCTAGTGACGAGAGACACTTTAGAAAAAAGCTTCTTTAGAAGGAACTAAAGAAATGAAATTTTCTATGAAATATCACATCTCTCAATAGATATAACAAAGTGACACAACTTTTTGACTACCCTATATACATATGCAGATCGAATTATAAGAAAATGAAAGCTTAGCAAGATCTGATGTAGCTTATTTTAATCTGCTAATTCTTTGTCATGAGAGCAAGAAAAAAAACAAGACAAAGTGTGACATAGTTACCTGAGCTCACAAACACAAAACTTTCATTAGAAACATGAAACTCTTCTGAGAATTGTTCGAACTAATTCTCAGCTTCGCGATTAAAAATCTACTTTTCTCATAGCGGACCTACTCATGCCCAAACAATCGATGGACTGGAAAAAATAAGTCTTTGACAGAACAGGATATGTCTATATGATAAGCCCGGAGATTAGCTGTAATAGGTATATTTTTTCACTGATAAATATTTTAAAAGAAACACGATCAAATATTCAAACATACTAGCGTCTTAAAGTGAATTGCCGTCAACATAAAAGGATCTCTTGAGAATATGTCATTGTCACTTGCATTGACAACCATTGGATTACGTGTATTGAGAAAGGCAAAATATCTCGCTGTCAATTCTATTAGAAAAGAAAAGAAATTGAATCTATTTATGTCTATTCCATGTTAGAAGCAATTTTGTTTTTAAAAGAAAATGTCAACCACAATTGACACAAAAAGAGAATACAAGTGATATTAATGTTAATTGACAAAAATATGAAAGGTTACTTCAAAGATTCTTTGGTCCACGATGAATTGGAGCAGGCGTTAGTGAAATATTGCCCGATGCGTCTTGTACTTCCAACGAGGAACGAAGTTTCTGTTGAGAGATCGAGGTCTTTGGTGGTGCTCTATAAATCATCAGATCTAAACCTTGACTATTTGCAATTGTTGTTCGATTCAAAGCCAAACAACGGCCAATCAGTGCAATTAGAAAGAATATGCCAATAAAAGCAAACGCGACTACGGATGCATTGGGAGTGAATTCATATCGTTCAGTCGATGGTGGTACAGTTATTGACATACCGAGAAGTAGTACGTTGAATTTGTGATTGTGATTCCATTCTATCATAGTGAGTAAATCGTATCTGGTTTCGATCAACTGTCATGAACATCGTGTGCAGTCGATGAAATAGATATAAATAGGTCTGTTTAGTTCTGATTGTTTAACATCAAACTGTCCTTGAATAACTTTTGTAGGAATATTCACTGCTGAAGCAGTGATCGCATTTTATTAAATAAACAATCTTGCTTTCTAAACGTACAGAAGTATGTGAGGACGCTTCAATACGTCTCACATCAATTCTTCACTTTCAGCTTCTCGCTTGTTCGAGAACATAGTTGAGCAGAACATTATGGTCATAATATTCAGTCGAGAATGAGAAAGATATGTAACTTTTTTAGATTGTCATTTTTAGAATCTGTTCTAGATGATTAGCAGCTTAGATATGTTTTTCTTCAAGTGCAAAGTTCGGTATCTTTTGATATGCCACGAAGCATCAGACAAATCTTTCACATTTATTCGAAAACAAGAAAAAAAGAGATTCATTTTCTATCTGACAAAGATTTCAATGCATAAACCAAGTAAGATCAAGATCCTGATAAATCATTAACTCATGACAAAGTTCAATGGACGACGAAAGACTAAAACATGTGGTTCTAAAACCAAATATAACAATGAATTTGAAAGAAACGAGCCATTCTCAACATCCATACCTGGATTATGGTGCATAAAATGAATCCATCCAGCAGACATTTGTAAACCTATATGAAAAGATAGATTATTTTTCTACAAAAGACTTGCTTTCTTCGTTACCTAAATTTCTCCATTCAGTTTCGGTAAGCAAATGAGTGCGAGGAACGATTTGTGCTTGTTCTGCTGGTAAAATCACATGTCGATATTCATATATATCATCCTTATATGATTCACTATAGAAGACTTCTTTCACAGACATTCAAATATAGAAATATCTAAAGAAAAATTTATTTCTTAGTAACAAAACAAAACCCATGCGTTATATGAAAGAAAAACTGTGTTATTATTTTGCGTAACAAAACTGGAAAGATTAAAAAAATGATAGAAAAAAAAAGCAACAATATAAAATGAGATTCAAACATTCTCGTATCTTTTATTTATAATAAAAGACATGATGGTTTGGATACTTTGGCCGTTTTGGGTGATAATACAGCGCGAACAGCATCATCAAAAACCTTCGAAGAAAAATAAAACAAGTTAGAATAACAAAGATTTGATGAAAATGCAGATATACCTGTTTAAGACCCTTTTGTGTCAATGCTGAGCATTCCACGTATTTAAAAGCACGAATTTTTTTACATAATCGTTGTCCTTGTTCACGTTTAATGGGTTGGATGTTTTGCTTTTGCAACTGATTAACAAAATCTCGATCTTCGCGTAGATCGATTTTCGTTCCTAGAAAAAAAAAACACCAACACATTTGAGTTTTACTAAAAATTAAGAAAATAAAGTCATTTACGAACCACATAGAATAACTGGCTTATCTGGGCAATGATGTCGGATTTCCGGCATCCATTTATTGATTATATTTGTAAATGAAGTTGGACTAATTACACTAAAACAAAGGACGAATACATCCGTTTGAGGATATGACAGTGGTCGAAGTCGATCATAATCTTCTTGACCGGCCGTATCCCATAAGCCAAGTGAGACTTTAACATTATCAACAATGATATTCGATGTGTAATTATCAAAACTAAAAAGCAAAATATGATAATAAGAAAACGATCGAAGGATTCGTTTGCTTCGCTTACACGGTCGGGATGTATTCTTCCGGAAATGTATCACTTGTAAATGAGATTAACATACAAGTTTTGCCAACAGTTCCATCGCCAACAATGACTAATTTAATTGGTACACTTTGATGAGGATTGAGTTTATTAGCCATCAACACAGCAGTTAGTGATACGTCTGGCCTTTCCTTTTCTTTGTATCGGTTGCCCTAATGCCAATAGCGATGCTCGAAGGAAGAATATCGCTTACAGCTAAAGGCAAGGTCGTGAAAAAGTTTGCTCAAGTATTTTTTTTTTGCTTGACAAGTTTGGATATATGGGCAAAACGAGCACCAATAAAAGTACAACTTGATTTTCGAAAGGAAAATTTCGAATCTAATATGAAATATTTGCTAGAGGATCTATCGAGCAATTTTGATTGGTTGGAAATCAGCCAATGAGATTTTTAGATGGTCATCTGAGCGAAACACTCAGCTGCTTGACAAAATAATTAATCTCGCTAAATGCGAAGATTTGCAATCATAAGGTAGAATGATCAATTTCATGTTGACTATCGAACGAGAAAGATCTTTATCGTAGTCCAATCGACTACTTATCGAGTAAAGACGATTCGTCATATAATCAATTATGCGTATCTGTGAATTCTGCTGCGTAATAACTCTTCGGATAATTTCTTGCTTATTTTCGCATTATGACGAGAGCAGAGCCAAATGAGTGTTTATCGAATAAAAACAAACATTTTATGTAATGTAGTGTACGTCAATGTTTAGTTTCATAATCAGAAGATAAGAAAACAACGAAGGAATTTAGAAACATTATCTAGTCATTTCATTTTCGAATCACCTGAGCCACGCATTGAATCGATGTTCGCCTAGAACAATGTGTACTCTCTTCATTTCAGATATTTTTATTGTGTCAATGAACAGTTTTTAATATGGACTATCGAACAGTAAAGAATGAAGAGAATGATGGTTCTGATGAAAATGAACAAGTATTATCTCCATTTATACACTTCGAAACGCATGAGGATGAAAATAACAATGAGAAACGTATGCAACAGTTAAGTGATGTTTTCGATGGACAATTCTTCTTGTTTCTTCTAGAATCCAAGTGGAGTCATCAGCAAGATCTCGATGATTTCTTCGTTCAAATTTATCAATATCATCAAAAACATGGATTCTTTTGTATAGCTATTTCCGAAATCTTTGGTCTTATGTAAGTTGAATTGCAAATGAATTTTCTCTCGTCAAGATTTCTCTTTTTTTCTTCAGACAATTTGTATTTATTGTTTCATTTACAATTCTACTTGTACAATGTGTCGACTATCAGCTTTTATTTCGTTCCAGTCCAGCAGCCCGAAATATAACGGATAAAATACAAATCCATCAAGTCATTCAATCGCCTAAACAATGCCTTCATAAGTAAAACCTGATTTCTCTACCATGAACAGCATTTTCTTTACCGGCATTACATTTTCAGTATGTACCGAATAACAATTTGGTGTTTGATACTTTCAATAATCTACTGGATATATCGTTTTGCTCGTGCGGTGCACCATCTTGTATCGTATTTTAATATACGATCGTTCTATACTCAGGCCTTAGATATCAAACCGGTGCGAAAAGCATATCAATTAAAATTTCATAGAATCACGAGAGATTTGTTGTTTGTTTCAGCATGACTTACCAAACATGACCTGGCACGAAGTTCAACAACGATTACTGATCGCTCAACGAACACATCATTTATGTATACACAAATCAAACTTAACAGAATTAGATATACATAATCGATTGTTACGCTTTAAAAATTATGAAGTCGCTTTAGTAAACAAAGGTGTTCTACCATTGAGAGTATATCTGCCATTTCTTGGCGATATGTAAGTTGATATATGAAGATAATCCTTCGATCCACTTCAGTTTGATTTAGAATTTCATTTACAGCTGGATTCAAATTCAATCTACGTTTGATTCTTTTTTGTAAGCACTCTCTCCATTCTAATTCTTATTACTTGACTTCTTTTTTTTGTCAGGGGGACCATACGCACCTTTTGATCAACGATGGCATCTGCGACAGGAGTATAAAATTCAGAGTCAACGTGAAGCTCTGGCAAATCAGTATGTTATCATCGTTGGAGCTTTCTTCACATTATATGAACAATATTTTAGGCTATCACGTTTTATCTTGCTCTATGGTATTGCTAATCTCCTGCTGTCTCCCTTTATATTCATCTGGCAAGTTCTTAATTTATTCTATGGTTACACTGAAGTAAATAAACATTTGCTATCGGAGAAAAAGATTTGATAAATTTTGAAATGTGTAGATTGTTCGACGTGAGCCAGGTGTATTGGGTAGTCGTCGTTGGAGTAACTATGGTCGATTGTATTTACGACATTTCAATGAACTTGACCATTCGTTGAATCAACGATTAAATCGCGGTTATCGACCAGCGATGAGTTACATGACATCTTTTGTGAATTACAGTATTGTTGAAACTGCAAAGTAAAACTTTTCTCTTTTACTGAACAAATCTGGATCGATCTGATTCTTTTAGATTTGTGAGTTTCACAGCCGGTGCAATTCTTGCTGTTTTAATTGTATTAACAATTGTTGACGAAGACGTACTTAACGTTGAACACATGTTAACATTGATGACTGGCCTAGGAGTTCTACTTGGTGTCTGTCGATCTCTAATACCTGACGAAGTAAAATCTTCAAGTGATAAGTTCGACTTTTTTTGCTAAAAACACTTCTGCTCTAGAATGCCGTTTTCGATCCTGAACAAATGTTGCAACTTATTCTTGCACATACTCATTACCAACCTGATTCATGGAAAGATCATGCACACACTGACTATGTACAAGCGGAATTTGGAAAAATATTTCAATTGAAATATGTACGTTTCGATCACTCAATTGGATCGAAAATATTTTCTTCTTTCTTGATTTGAGGTGTACTTTCTCGAAGAACTATTCAGTCCATTTGTGACACCAATCCTTCTGTGTTTCCATTTACGTCGAAAGTCATTACAGATCATTGATTTTCTTCGAAACTATACAGTCGATGTACAAGGTGTTGGGGATGTCTGTAGTTTTGCACAATTGGATGTTGCTAAACACGGTGACTTAAAAGTAAACACACGATCTTGCTCGCATTAGAACAGAAACAGGAAACACTTTTTACTTTTTAGTGGTTTGCACCGGTACGAGCAAAACAGGATAATGATGCCGGAATAACAAATGATGGTAAATTAGAACTATCATTAATGCACTTTCACCATACAAATCCCAAGTGGCAAATGCCAAAACAATGCGAGACTTATTTGGAAAAAATACAAGAACGAGGTACGAACATCGATCCTATCTTCACCTTATTTACACACGCTTGCTTTTAGCCGTGGAAAACATGCAAACCTCATCCGTTCTACAACAATCACTTGGACAAGTTCAACGCAGTTTGTACAATGATGCACAATGTAAGATGCTCACTTTCTTGACTTGTAGTTACGTAAAATTTGATTTTTAGCAACTTCATCAATAGCATCTAAATCACGGAATGATCCAAATACATATTCTCATTTTGCTTCGCCAAATCATACAACTATTCAAATGTCCAGTCAATATCCATCTACTTCCATGGCTCAAACGAGTGCATCTCAAGCTGATCTACCATATAGAAGTCCTGCGCCATTCGGTGTTCTTTCAAAGTATAGAGATTCACTTGATTTACTTTTTTTCTCAACTGTGCTTTTGTAGAATTCATTCACAAATGTTTGATTCATCAAATTCAACTTATCTCTCCGGTTCCATGGCACCCTTGCAAACATTTTCAAGTGCTGCTCAATTAGATATGAATATCTCTTGTTTATTTATGCACGAAGTAAATCCTCAACTAGTCGTTTCATTAACTTCTTTTTATAACCGTTCTTTTCATTTAGTTGCGACATAAATATAAACATGGTGAATATGAAGAACTTGAACATATTAACGAAGATCATGATGATGATACAAAATGTTGATCGCTAGCAACCTTTCTTTCTTCGCATGTGATAGTTTTCTTTTCTCTCGCTTATACATGTAAATGTTTAATGTAAATAAAGCTCTAAACTATACTTTCACAGCTTACTTTCCTCCAATATTCTGTATAGCTTCGCATAAGTCTTCTTTCTTATAATGTAAGCGTTGTGTGTGTGTGTGTGTGTTTTTACTACATATATTTTTTCCTTTTGAAAATAAAGCAAAGATTTCTGGAAATCAAATTTATTTCGATGCTTCATGATGATTTGATTTACTTGATTTCCTGTTTGAAGAAAAGTAAAAAAGAGACTGATTTGATGTAGCTGAAGCGCCTTACTTAGTTTTCGTTGCTGGGAGAAATTCAGTGTAGAGCGTTTCTGGAATCGCTTTCAATGTCTTTTCAAACGAATCTCTAAAATATGAGAATTTTTTGGTTATTACGCTCGAAACTCGATTGAATACTTACGGTGGCAGCATCATCGGCGGTGGTAACTGTTGCACAACAAGTGCCGGTTGTTTGCTAGTTTGCGGTTGTTGCCGTTTCAAACTGGATGATCGTTTCAATGAAGATTTCGATCTGTTTTCGTCTTTTTTCGATAGTCGTTCTTCGTTATTTTTATTCAATGCATCCATATTCTCGTAATCGATGACTTCGTTGTATGGATTACCTTATAGAAAAGTATGAGAATCAATCGAACAAGAACAGAGTAGTCCTTACTTGGATCAGCACTTGCATGAACAGTAAATCGTTTTGGTTGTTTTTCCGGTTTCGGAAGTTCTTCTTTGACGTTTTCTCTGACAACTTTACACGCTTCGTCCACTGACAAATAACTTTGTGCAACTGGCTTGTTCCCATTATTCCATGTTTTCACACTCAACTCATACGCTTGTTCAATACATTCGACCTAAAAGAACTTTTTCAAATGAAATGCACAAATTGGAGAGCATTTACCTCTTCGTCAGTACCAGGTTGGATTTTTCCTCGATAGATCTCGGCGATATTGTCAAAAATGCTGTTCATTTTGCTTCGAACATCCTCATAACACTGATATTCTTTTTCATCGAACTTTTCGTTAGAATTCTCGCCTTGTTGCGGTAAACCAAATGTTAAGCATCTAAACAACGAAGTTTCATGACAAGAACAATGAGATATTCTTTCATCTACTTCGCACAACGAATAGTAAATTGAGTCAGTGGCGAAAGTTCAACCATTTGAGTTTTATCACTGTCGAGGATATATGCTAAAACCGTTTTTGCCACACAGAATTTTTCCAGTTTAATCTGCGCTTTGAAGTTCATTAAATCAATTGGTAAATGTGTTTGAATTTCGATGTCAACAGGAAATTCATAACGCATAAGAATCTCGGGAAATGTGAAACTTCCACTGTGATTTTGATACTGGTTATGCAATTCATGATCTCTAATCAACGTTGCGAAACGAAGTGGAACACCAGGTGGAATGATGAATTCATCGTGATTCGTAGGATCTTCAATAATAAAAGCTTCTTTCGGTTCACTAATCGATAGTTCACCTTTATCAGTTTTCTTCACACGCGATTGATATTTCTCGCGCCGTATAACATTGAAACACGCATTCTTACTGAGAACTATCTTCTTCCATTCACCATTACTTGTTTTGATATGTGCCGGTGTATGACAAAGAAGTTTTATCGACCGTGGCAGCTCGAAACGATATAACTCGAATGCACCTTGGAAAACCCACCAGCGTTTTTTCAGTGTCGGATTTTTCGACAGGATACGACATTCGCCTTGAAACCAATCTGGGATAAGATATTTTTCCGGAGGAACACCTTGTTTATTTGTTAATGGCGAAGCAACAATTAAATAACGATCATAAATGTTTTGCAAATACAACCATTGATCTTTCGTCAAGTTTGTATTCCAGACTTGCTCGACTCGAACGATTTGAGGTAATTGAAAATAATCGATAAAATTGTGAAAATAATATTCGCCTTTCTCCCATTTGATCTTCGATAAATCTCGAATTAAATTTTCAAGTTTTGTCTTGCTATCTGAAGGCAAAGAAATAGGTAATAATGATGATTGAAGCATTTCGGTGACAACGAGTAGATTGATATGAATGAGTTATCATATTAAAATGAGATAATAATCATACTGATCACGCTTGATTTGTTACACAAGGTGAAAGTTTAACCTTTTACTTTCGATTCTTTGTTTCGCTTGATATTTCACGATTAGACGAAGAAAAACTTGGTTGAAAATCTCTTGAAAGAATCGTCTTGATTTGTCATATTCATCGATTATTTATAAAAGTGTCAGTTCACACAGAAATACACACGTATACAGATCTGAATCCAATATATATATATATATCTTTCATAGAAAAAGAAAACAGATAAATTTCAAGGATAAAAGATTGAGAGAAAGAAAGGTAGACAATGAACAAATCAAAAAGATGCAAAAATTCCATGAATGACCATTTCAAACATTGACCAAGTCGATTTATTACAGTAAATGATATCAGAAAAGAACAGCACTTGGTGATTGATCTAAGCAACATAACTATACATTTTCCTAAACAATCCAAAGCAAATCAATCGAATAAACATTGGTGATTTGTCAATTTTACCTATCATCTATTGAGCGAGACAAATAATCTCGTTCAATTAAACTTTCAATTCGTTTTTTTATGAAAACAGGACTAGGCAGGAATCTTGCTTTGAGTTGATGTGTAACCTAGAATGCCCACATCGATGTCCGGACAGTGGAAAACAATAATAACATACCTCAGTAATTAGCTGTGTATGAGTCATTGTCTTTCTCGTTTTCATGATGCGTACAACAGCTGCATCGATAATGTGTTTGCGATCATCGTCGACTTTATTTCGTGTTTCTTGTCGTTCAGGATCGCTTTCGAGTTTCGCTGTCACTGGATTGATTTTTACACGAAATAATTTCGATATAAATGAATCATTGACACAGAAACGATCCGATGGATGAATTTCTTTTGTCTTAGGCTCTTTGAGAAACACACGCTGATTAATTTTACCCATTGATAATGATAACAACGCACGTTGTAAATCTTTTTCATTGATATCTGTTTCTTGTTGTATTTCCTAAAGATCATCGCATAGAAGTGAAAAATGAAAGTGATGTGAAGTGATTTACCTCAAATGACCAAGAGTCTTTTGAATTGAATAACATTAATATCACCATTTGGTATGTTGATACTTGTAATGTATGTTTTCGTTCTTTTGTCGTGATTGTTGTGGTTGTTGGTCTCGATTCGCCGTCTCCATCATCATCTTTAGGTTTTCCGTAGAAAATCGCAGTTAAATCTGCTGAACCTAAACTTGGCTGTAATGTCAACTGTCTTCCGCTATGTTTATCCAGATAGAATCGATGGAAACATTGGTATGCTTCTCGAACTATCGTTGGCAAATTACATCGATGATTCGCTGTTTGTGTTTGCCAAAAGCCAGTGGTTAACACTCGAACAGTTAAGTCAATTCCATTCAAATTAATCTATGCAAACGCAAGAAGAACTCATATGGAAAAATCATCGAAAACTTCTTCATATTTACGCGTTTTTGTGAGATATATAAACGGAAATCGTCAGCAGTTGTATTTGATACGCAAATATCTTTGAACATTCCTTCTAATTTACAAGTAAATTGACAACCACATTCAGTTTTCAATCGGGATATCATATTCTTCTCCGCATCGTCCGATGCCGATTTGTTCAATAGTAGTCGTTTAGCTAGATGTTGTTTATAATACCGTTCGAAAACATCTTTCTCTTCCAAGTAGCGAAATAACATCATGGCTTTGTCAAGGACAACTTCGACTTCTTGATCGCCGATCTAGCAAGAATGATTCGATGTGAAAGTAATCATCGTCAAACACCTCTACGTACATCTTTTGCACATTTTTTCAATTTGTCATCAATGAATAACGACAAATATTCCGGACTGCGTTGATTCAAGTTAACAAAGAATTCGAAGTCCGAATTGATTCGTTTTTTGAATACCTAAATCAAAAGAATTATACCTAAATTCGAGATGACAAGACAAACTTTGTCCTCATTGAACGCATTTTTCAGAAAATGATCAAATGTATCCTTCAAATCGAGTAAATTCTAAAGAAGAGAACAGAAATGACGAATCTTCTTCCATATTTCTTACTTGAACATAAGAAATCGCGCTTTTTCCTTCATCAGCATTCTCCGCTACGAGAGCACGTCCTTGTTCACGGAGATAACTGCTCATACAATCCACGATAGTCAAATGTCCATTGGGTACACGTTCAAATAGTCTATACATCGTCGTGAGATCATCGCATTTATTGAACTTGAGCATATAGCACACGCCTGAATTCTCCATTTCAACTATGGTTTTCAAATGCTTTGTTATTAATTCATCTAAATCAAGAAGAACATTGATTTTTGCGGAATAACTTCATGTTTTTCTCATCTCTAACCTTCAAGTACTCGAACAACGTGTTCTTCGGTTGATTTATCCAGATAATGAACTGCCCGTTCACCTTCTTCACTGATTCGTGCCGCTACTTTTCGTATGTAAACCGAGGCACTATTCTCCGCCAATAATTTTTGACTTTCAAGCTGCAAAAAGACAAAGCAATCAAGTTAGAAACATAGACGCCATCGTTTTCTTCTCTTCTTCATACGCGATAGAACTCCGCTGATTGTTGTAGAAATGGTATTTCGAAATCTTCAGCATAAACTGAACGATTGTCGATGCCTAGATTCATTAACATCTGACAAGCATTTTTCACGGCGCTCCTAAAAAGAGAAATATCATATTTGAAGATGTGCTTGTGATTTACAACTTCATCGTTTAGCTTCTAGGCATTTCTTTCTGCGATCAAACGTGCCCATCAATGCGTGTGGCTCACTTGTTGGTTTTCTTTCCTTGTCTCATTCTATTAACTATCATTGCGTTAAGAGACAACAGCGATTGAAAAAGAAAAAGGAAAAAAGCACAAAAAAAAAGACGTTTCCATTTCTCCGTTTGTCTTCTTCCATTTTTTTCCTTTGTTTCCTCTCGAACAAACGATCGGAAAAAAATAAGCTTGTTAACAAGCGTCGTCGTTCAACATATAAATCTTATTTCTATAGGGGACACGTTCAAAAAAAAACGAGAAAAAATGACAATATTTCTTTCTGATTTTCTCCTATTAATTCTGACATTTAAGTTTATTAATGGTCAATTTTGTTATACAAATCAATGCTCTGTCCATGCAACGTTAACTGGTGATGTACAAAATTGGGCTCTCTTGATTCAGAATTACATTCTGAAATTGGCATCAGATACTATGCATCGTGAAAAAACTCAAGAATATTTCGATCTAGCTGAATACAAGGAAGAAACGAAACATGGAGATAAATTATTGGACGAAATGAAAGCGACGTTAGAGAGATATTTCGAATACAAGCAACACGCTGCTAATCGAATTGCCAAACATGCGCGAGAATTACATGATTCCATGTATTTAGCACGTGAAAAAGTTTATTTACAATATTTAGCAAATAACTCAACTGGTCAATCGTCATGGCGCAAATCGAACGGATCGCTTGGGTTAACTCAGCATAAACAACTACTTCATTTAGACGCTGATGCGTATAAGGATGCTGATATACCGTTACGTTTACCATCGAATATGACATTTCATCCACATTTTAAACGAAACGTTAGCCTTAAACATAGTGTTGTGAAAATTAGTGATGAAATACCGCGAAATAATGTCGAATCTATTTGGACAGTCGAATGGACACACGGACTCGAATCTACATTTGTTCAAAACCGAGAAGAAGATCCTGGGATACGTTGGCAATACTTCGGCTCCAAAGTTGGTCTCATACGATTGTATCCCGGTCGTGAATGGGATCAGAACTTTGCGGGATTTTACAATGATTATGATCCTCGTGTTCGCCCGTGGTATATCGGTACGACAAGCGGACCGAAAGATGTGATTATTATAATTGATTGCAGTGAATCCATGGCATCGAATGGTAAATTTGCTATTGCACGATCAGTCGCTACAGTTATTATCAATACGTTAACGCGACAAGATTATGTAAATGTCATATGTGCACACGAATCTCATTGGAACGATATTGGTAAATGGCATATTTATAAAACGAAAGTTCTAAGTTGTGAGCAGGACAAGATGGTCAAAGCCACATTAGCCTACAAGCGTGATTTGAAAGAGAAAATCGCAGAATTGAAACCAGGTGGAACATCCGAATTCGAAACAGCGTTTGATACGGCATTTGATTTGTTTCAACGTGAGCCAAGAACGGGTTGTCAGTCGATTTTAGTCTTTATCACCGATGGACAAGATACCGATGGAGAAAAAGTACGTTGCGGAGCTGGACAATATACACGTAGTGGGTATGTGCCAGGGCCGATTTGTAAGTATAATTGGACACGATATTGGACACAAGTGAAACAACGACAACAATTTCATCCACGAGCAAGGGTGTTTAGTTACCTCGTGAAAGATAACGGACAAATATTTCCTGGAAAACTCGGTAAGAAACCTTCTCATCGATTGACACGATAGTTTCGTTTTATTTGCATAGCGTGTGAAAATGATGGACATTTCACTATTTTGAACGACGGGGAGAATTTAATCAATAAAATGTTCAATTATTTCGATTATCTATCCAAAGCTTCGCTAGGCACGAACGGCAGTTGGACATCGCAATATATCGATCAATGGGGTTTAGGAATCATGTTAACCTATGCAATACCAGTCATTTCTAACATAGATGGACGTTTAATTGGTGTAGCTGGCGTTGATGTTACATTAGACGATATCGAACATGTGATTTCAAGTAAAAGTTGGGGCAGTGTCTACGGCTTTCTCGTTAATCGTCTCGATGGTGATGCAATTATCCATCCAGGTTTAAAATCTACAACCATTCCCATCGAAGATCCTATCTCGACACATATTAAACAGCTGGAAATGTCAAATAATAAGCCTGAAAAATTTCTCACTGATATTCTGCCATCGATGCTCCGAGGTGAAAAAGGCTCGCTGAGATTAGTAGACGCTTATCGAGCGACCATGCGACGAGGATTTGGTAGGAAGTCATTTCATCACATCGTAATTGCTTTTACTCGTTTTTGTAGGTGTTGGAACATATTATTGGTCTCCGATTGAAAACACAGATTATGTCTTTGCGTATAGTTTGGGTGAATCAGATGAGAAATTTCGTGAAGTCCGACAACCCAAGGATTTATCGACTTATGAAGAAAGCTTCTTTAATCTATTGATAGAATACAATAGTAGCAAAGGTCGAGAAGTTTTACCCGGCAAATTCGAGCATATGCAAGTGAAAATTAACGATCCGAAATATAAAGATTTACGTGTGAGTTATTTGTATTCGTCGATTATGCTGGCACCACGTGTTTACTGTGATCCCAGCGAGTATTTCTACAATGATGATCTCGCACAAAAGACCATCAATGCGCATATTTATATTAATCAACGTGGCGATCCAAATGAGAACGATAAAGGTTGTGGTGAGGCAAAAGTCATGTTTCATGAAAACACACGTGCTTATGTTTTAATCTCACAACCAATTGAAAGAGTTTGGCGAGCGAGACCATCGGAATTAACGAAAGATATTATTTGGACGTATGTGGGGATGAGAACGGGTGTTTTTCGAACCTATCCGGCACATCGATCAGTACGAGACTATGACCATACAACACGTGGATGGTATAAACGAGCCGTTTCGCTTCAAGATCGAACAACAGCATCGATGCCATATTTGGATTTAAGTGGAGGCGGAAAAGTTATCACCATAGCACAAGTACTTTTTGAAGGTATGATTTCAGGATGAAGTTGTTTGGATTGGTGTCTTCCTTTTCCTTCTTCTTCAGGTATGCCATCAATATCGAATGAAACATGCCAACAAAAAGCGAAAGACGGGTCTTCCGAACGAAAATTTCCTGGCGGTTGTCCATGTTCTAATGGTGCTGATTGCTTATCTGGTTATTGTTATCAAAGCGCAGCACCTGGACCTGAACATAAGCAACTGCGTTGTGCTACGGAACGGATTATTGGTGTTACAGGTACTGATATACGGTATGATTCATTTCATTCGGAAATTATGAAACGTATGGTTGCCTCCGATGATCATCGGTCATGTGGTTCGAAGTATCCCTGTCCAGGAAATCAATCGAAAGAATGTTCAACACGTTGCTATCTCGTCGATCACGGCGGTTATCTAATTGTTGATCCTGACTTCGTTGATATACCTGCCATACATGAAAACCGTTACAATCAACTAACCCTCGGCCACAAAGAAGGCGAAGTCATGGCAGATTTGATCTATACCCATCAATTATTCGATCGAGTTGAAACCATCACCTTTCAAGGAACATGCCATGTGACAAAACCGTCAGCGAAAGTTACATTAAAAGGTATACCAGCCAATCCCGAAGAATTAGATAACAAATACAAAAACAAAGGACCAATTCCACAATTCATCAACGAATACGGTTGTATACAAGATCAAGTACGATATCGAGTTAATCCATCGAGGTTAAAATGGTCGGAACTATTCATTGGTGAAGTCAATGGACCATGCATGAGTGGACAGTACTATGTCACACCATTAGTTAAAACAAATCTCATTCTCGTTGTTATCGAAAACTATTATGCGGAACAATCGAAGAACTTCTACAACTTCAATTGCAAAATCCAACGAAGTATTGTCGATGCTGGCGCATTTCGTATTATCAATGGTACATGTGCGCATAAAACAGAAAAACTAAGTAGTCTCTATGGCGAAAACAAATGTCCAGCGTTACGCGAAGTGGAAATCGAATGTAAATATAATCAAACAAGCAGACCTCAATTCTCTCTCATTTTCATTTTTTCAATACTTCTATGTTACAAACTACTTTTCTAGTTAAATAAATTCTCTTGATAGAAAAACAAACACATTCCACTTACTTTTCTACAACTTCACCACGTCTTTCTTTGGCGACCATATCAAGCAACGTTTGTCTCAGATGATCTCGTATAGGTGCATAACGGACGACATTATCACGAAATAAGATTAAACCCAAATTGTAAACAGGTTCGAGTTTTTGTGCACTGACATAAACTCTATCCATGTACATAAGTATATCACGTATCATAACCATAGCTGTTCGATGATCATTCCATGCTGAGTTTAAAGTTGATAGAAAGTTATTATTCAACGAATCAACGATATCTTGTCGAACCTAAAAGTTTTCTTTCTCGAATACGTTTTAGACGGAAATGGTTCGGCTTACTTTTTGTACAAGATGCTCTGTAACAACATCACGTGTACCTGTATACAACTTCTCTCCATGTTTGTGTAGCACCATTGTATATGCATTTCGATAGAGTTCTTCAAAACTTAAACCACTGTTGTTCTTCTTTTGGATTTCTTGTATCGCTGTTTTTAACGACGTGTTCCATATACTATTGACATAACGATCGTCGACGGAGGACTAAATTGACAAGTTTGACGAATGAAAAAAGAGAATTTTCTGGAGAATTTAACATACGAAGAATTGACGAATACGCATTCTTTTATTTGGATCTTCTGCTTTAATGGCTGGCTTACTCATAGTCTAACAAATACTGCAAAGTTCGTCAGCAATAGAAAATCGTTGTGACAAGCTTACTCTATCGATGGCAAACCATATAGTTTTGCACAGTCTAGACAACAAAAAATAATTGTATTAATAAGAAAATACACGTCTTCGCTTACCAACTTGATAAATTTCTCAGATTTAAATCGAAATCATTGCCATTTCACTAGGTGGATTCTATAAATTAGCGCGTCAAATCCGAACTCAACTATATTCTTGCTCAATGCCGTATGAGAAAAGCTGCTGATGCCTCGAAGAAAACCGAACATGTTCTATGGTAGATTCTCAGCCAATAACTATTCGATAAGGTCCGTGATGCGATCTCTCCTCTTCTATTATCGACTTGGGGAAATCTCCTATCTACAGTGCGATACCTTTTATCTACAAAAGATTCGATACAACATTTTCTTGTGTAGATGTCGCTAGCTTTCACTTAAGATTCGATTGACTGTTTCTTGTGAACCAATAATATAAACAATCTTTTGTTCACATTCACGTTTTGAAAATTTTCAAGACGAAGAACGTCAACATTGTTGTTCGATTCAACTTATAAACAATCAAGTTGCTATTCTACTTTCTCCTCGTAACAGGTAAGTGAAAAAAGTCTGCGAAAATAAGGAAATCTTGACTATTCTAATGAAACCTTTTCTCTTCCGATGTTCGCGAAAGCAGACATAGTTAGTTGCTAAGGCTTTGTATTAATCAGGAAATGCTACCTCGACGTAGATCAGTCAAATCGCGTCACTAATCCACGATTTCGTTCCGAGAGAAACTTTAAATTAATTTTTTCTCGTTTCCTGGATGGCGACTATAGTTTAAACAACGAGAACGAGTCGCATCGTGAAGAGCACGTTCAACTCCAAGACTCTGACTGCTGGAGCCATCATATTCAGTACAAAGAATCTCGTTATTTCAAGTATATTTGCTATTTATAAACATATTTTGCTATTTCATGTCGATGATTAAAACAAATTAATTTCAATAGAGAAAATCTGTACATTTGTATCGATCAGACATTAATAGAGATATTTATATGTAATAGATTACGATCATCTGGCGTAATTGATTAATTTTTCATAGAGGTACTTGAAATCTTATTAAGATTAACCGATAATATCGTTTTTCTTTTGTTAATGAGCAAAATGTAATCGATTAGAGACAAGATTTTGTAAGTTATTTTCTTCTATTATGAAAGTACAGGTATGATTTTCTTCTTGTTTATTACTGTTTCGACATCGTTTACATTCAAATAAGTGTCATGGTCGGTTGATTAATAGACGAATTGCTTGTCTATTAAGTATACGCATGTTTTTCTCTTTTTTTTTTTCATAGATCTATCGTGTGTCAGATTTATTGTCGGCGATATTGTTTTTTTTTTGTTACGGTTTCGATCAGTTTAGTAATATTTTTTTGCTGGATTTAATTGTGAAAAATATGAGTTGCAGGAACAAGTGGAGACGAAACGAGGAAAGACAAGTAAGAGTGCAAGTGGGCGCTCAACGGAAAAAGAAGAAGAAGAAAGAAAAAGAAAACTGTCTGTCGTTACAAAAAAAAAATCATGTCACCAAAGAAAAAGGAGAAGATGAGAAAAGAAAAGAAAGGAGAGATGATAAGTTCAAGACCCTATCATTCGCATCGAACTATTCTCATGAGGAAAGAAAGGAAGAGTCAAGTGTGCAGAGTGGAAATGCATGGTCTCGCTCTCTATCCCTCAAGGTTGTTGGCGTCATCAGGTCTCTTATTAAAAGAAAAGTCAATAAACTTGTCTTAGCTTCTTCTTCTTCTTCTTTTGTCGACGAGCTATTAGAAATTAATATACAGATGGATTCATCTGACAGTTACGATGCAATTCGAAGTCACATTGACTCCTTTTCATGTGCAACTGTATAAATACCGACACTTAGAATGATATGAGAAGTATTGCCAGTAACTTTTTACCAGTGTAATTTGACTATACATCCCTGTATGTCTACCTATCTACGTCATTTGTTCGAAATCACTCAAGCATAATACATACGCAGAAGGTGTCTCTTTTCTCCTCTTCTTCTTCTTCTTCTTCTGTCGTCGTCGTTCTGGTCGTTACTGCCTTCTTCTTCTTCTTCTTGTTCTTGTCGTTTTTTCGAAGAAAATACATTACACGACGATGATAGTGATAACTGTGAAGAGTGAGTATTGATACAAAGATTTTACGTCAAAAAAAGAGCAAGAAGAAAGGAAAAAAACAACGTTAATCAATTGTCATTCTGAACATCACATGTTGAAGATAGGAATTCGAATATGAAAATTGACTTGTTAGTTTCTAATGTTTTTTTTTGTTCGGTATTTGAATATGCCGCTTCTATAACGCGAGCTTTGACAAATAGTGGCATGCTGCCTGTTTGTTTTCTTCTCGTTGTGATAGGTCTCCTTCTTGCTTTCTTTTTCTTTTC